AACAAACCACGGGGCGTGTAACTCAGTGGTAGAGTGCTCGCTTTGCATGCGAGAAGCCCAGGGTTCGACTCCCTGCTCGTCCAACTTTTTTGCATCTTTCGGATCGTGACCAGATTGCCCACTCGTCGGTCATTATGTATTTTTACATTTATTTACCTAACATTCACATGGCTCCGAAACTTTTATTTTTAGTTTGAGTTTGCTAGATACCTACCTCCTAAGGTAAATATCATCATCCACTGTATCGCGAGCTTTGGTTCGAAGCAATTGCTGCGTAAGGTAGTAGTAATCGATACCTAGAGGTAGCCCTTACTTCCTTCTTCGCCATGCATCGCGAGGTTTGCTGTTTTAGCTCTGCGATACGAGAAACATCGGCTCCCTCCGTGCCGATCGATCAGAGAGATGGTTCAGTAATACCATTTTCGGCGCATCGCTTTGTTTTATCGTGAAGCCCGCAGGAAGGCGAGCCTAGATGCCTATGATGAGCATAGCCACTGTGCTGGAGTTTGCGAACTAAGCTCCTCCTTGGCTCTTCTTGTCTAGGTAGCTCGTGCACTGGGATTCGGTTAAGCGAGGCTTATGTAGAGAAGTCCGCAGCGTCCTAGAAGGGTCGGGGATGGAATCGAGGTTAGATAGTGAGCTAAGAGAGTCGGGCGGTCTTGAACTGGGTAAAAGGGAAGTCACTTCAGTTACTAACCTCTGCGAGAACATTTAGATGGGATAACCCATACATACATCGCCTACGACGGCTTGAACTTACTAGCTAGACACGGAAGATCAGGTATTAACTGGTATCTCAAAAGGCTGAACTCTCCCCCCTTTTCCGAAAAGCCATCGAGCTCAACCCTCTAGGTAATATCACATTTCATACAAGACCCATGGCGCGCTAGATTTTATTCGTGTAGAGTGCTCAGTATATAGTCTTTCTTCTCACAGTGTGTTATGATTCTAAACATCTCATCTCTCATAGTTACATACCTCTAATAAAGGATGCTTCTAGTATAAGTGTCTATGGCCATGAGCTGCTATAGCTTAGCTAGAGTAACTCGAGGAACAAAGACGTTGTTTCTATGCCTACCAGTTACTAGTTACTACCTAGTTCTACCTTGCCTAGGAAGACTGAGTATCCGCTAGATGTTATAATATTCTTCATGTTATTAAGGCAGCATTATAAGACCTCCCTATTCATTCGTCCTAGGAACTCTCGGAGTTTCCAGATAAAACTCCTTTATACAGGCCTATGCGATAGAAAGCTTACTTAGGTACCTACCTTAGGTACCTACATATGGTATTCAGTGCTCATATTGGAATAGTTAATAACTTAGGTAGGTACCTAATATAAAAGCTTAGTTCATTATAAAGTTATCAATGAAGCCTGACTTATATTATAGTAATTGACGTTGCTTCCAAACATCCTTGACTCTACTACCGAATTGAATCTAAACTGCTTCAAAATTTATCGTCCTATTTTTCATCTTTTAGAACAATGCGATCATCAACATCAACCTACACTAAACCATACATACCGTAAGCATCGGTCAACATACCTGTTAACTTTCCTAAAACCATAAGTCAGGGTAATTCGAGAACTTCCTGATACAACCCCCCCTCCCACCTGAAAAACACAAGACATAGTCCCATCGTAACTTGATCTTTGTCAATTGAAAGTGAGTTACCTATCTATCAACTTTAGCTAAGCCTCATCAACATAACAACTGCTTCATTCGCCAACGTGTTCTTTCAACGGAGTGAAAGTAACTTGCTGCTACATCAAGCTTGGTCGCCTATAACAGGTACCACCTGACCCTACCTATAACCACACTCAGCTACCGCCACCATTCGCATACGCCATTGCCTAACACCGCCAACTTCCTGTTTTTTTCTTCTTTCTCATCCCGAACCCTTTATCTAAGTTAGACCTATCTATCTTCCTGCCCACATAACCTGCCTACCACCGCCATGGAAGAAGAAAAAGCCCCACCACTCGCACACCTCAGGTTCGTGCAGAGCTCCATGCTAGCTCTGCTAATAGCCCTGGCCCTGCCGTGGCTGGTCTACCTAGCGGTATACCTCGCATGGCTGACCTTAGCGCTCATGGTCTTTGCGCTGATATACCTTCCAATATCGTATCAGCGTAGGCGATATGTAATTACAGGTACCCAAGTGTAGCTAGGTAGCTATTGGGACTTGCCAGCTTGCTTTCTTGCTTCTATCGTGATGTTTTCGACTAGGAACACTTACGCTCACACCCTGAGATTTACCTTGGATACCTACCAACCTGTTTCTACTGTGGTTACCTCAGGTAATTATTTGCGTTGGCTAGGTATCTTCTATAACCTGGTGAACGAACGATAACTTAGGTACCTTTAACGTGTACGGACACCTGGGACAAGTATCAAAAGGTGTAGGTACCTGTAAGCAGCAACCAGATAGTCTTTTGACTATCTCAAATGCGCCTACGAAGGAAACGGTCGAAAACTCTATATGGGTAAAACTAGTATTAATATAACCAGGAAGATATGACGATATAAGAATGTTATACATACCTGGTATTCATTAGCCTGGACATGGGATATTACATTCACCTTACCGTTCTAAGTTGCGTCTACCACGCTGCCAAGGATGAGAGCCGCATTATCCTATTTTATTACATTCATTAGATTCCAGGAAAAGACTCAGACCGGTGTATTTATACGCTATCGCAAACGGGTTTCAGCCACCTATGCCCTCGCGGGATTAAGACGAGGTGTTACGCCGCTCTAAGTTTTCGATGGGCCCTTAATCAAGTAGGTAGTCTGAAATACGTTTGATATAGTACAAATAAGTTGACTCGATTGTTTAATTATTCAGTATCTACCATGTATTGTAAACTATCAGGTAGGGGGTTTTCTTGTGATGGATGTCATATACAGGGTGAGTGTTAGGATCATATATGTAGTAGGCAATTATATTGGACTGAACTAGTAAGGTCTGATCTACTATCCTCTTACGAGGGAGCCATCCAGACTCTATGAGATCTACCAAGTGCCCGGATTCTTGTTCAGACGTAAGCAGGCTTCCTTATTAAATATAGGTAGTTGGTCAGACACCCCTTCCGGCCTCGTTTATTACTTGCATGACACACTGTGCTGATTTTGGAACTCTTCCAACACGCTGAATAACTCGCCATGGAATTCATCGCTTGTTAAACATATGTCCCTTCCCAGAAATGAACCAAGGTGCTTCTCGTTGTCCCTCTGCTTCGCCGGACGACTGGACTTCCGAAGTTTATTCGTAGCCTTCTTGTCACGCCGTAGAGCATGAGGTAGGATAACAACTTCGTTGTTCCGCGAGGAACTCTAACTACGATAACTTTGAAGCCAAAGTTATAGGCAAAACAACTCCTTAAGACTCCTGACATTTCTTCGTCGGGTTCGTCTTCAATACCCTTCACTGGATAAAACCGTAGTATCCACCAATGGACTATGGGAACAATAACCCCCACAAGTCAAATCTTCGATATTCCTGGGTCAAGGTTTACTATGATATTTTGTGTAGTGTGGGCCGGCTTGGGTCGTCCAAATGTGAAGCAGAACAATAGCCGTACCATCGTCCGGCAATCTCGCACTGAGGACTCGGCTCGTTTCCGATGTAAAGGGCTTTACCTAATCCGTCTGTCCCCCAGAAATGACATACGCCCCAGATGTGTTAAATCGGAGCAATTTATGTCTGGACTTGGAGCGTTTGAGTGTTATGGAATGCTGTGAAGCGTGGATGATGATAAACAGGTCTTTGAGGTTGGCTCATGTTCACCGTTAGAAGTAATTTTTCTTTCTGAAAGAAAGTGATTGAAGGTGGTGTAGAAGAAAATTTCCTGTCCGGGCTGTCCGACGTCATTTGTTGGTTATGTCGACTGCTATACATGACGCCTATAGCTGTCTTTCTAGGCCCTGAATATTCACTCTCCCTAGGACTCTAGTGTAATAAGAGCCGACACCTAAGTCCTCCACCACTGTGAAGACGCTGATGATTATCGTTGGTAGACGACGGCGTTGCTCGAGTCATTAACCGTGCTTCGGACCCTGCACCGATTCGGGCCTACTACAACAACAACACAACTCCATGATCGATCCCAAACATCGCAGCGTTTCGTCGTGTCGAAGTGATGCCTACCTAGTCGCACCCACGAGCAACTTGCAACTGATTCGAGACTCGTTGCGCGTGGGTATATATGTTGTGTCGCGAAAGGAGGTAGGCAAGAAGTACGAAAACAAGTTCAGGATATCACCAGGAACTTGAACTAGGTAGATAGCTCTGGGAACCGGAGCTATACATATAGAGTGCATCCCTCATCCTAGATTATCTCATTGTGTATCCTTATACGTCGATTGATTATTATGTCGATTGATTATCCGGTTTAGAGTGTTCTTTCTCTCTCGTTGGTTCCCTCCCAGTTTTCCTGGTCGGTGATAAGGAAGACATTGCGTCTTCCTGGGAAGCCACGACATTCTTTTATACGGCGGCATGATGAAATTGTGTAGTAGTTTCATGAGGAAGTGTGTGTATATTTTCGGTAGTGTGAAAAAGCGACATCAAGACAGTCAGTGATAATAGTTATATCGTCTTCTTAATATTTAGGTATTGAGACGCGAATATGATAGTTTTGTTGTACGGTGTGATTGAAGTTGTGATTAGAATAGGGAATCAAATGTTGAAGGAGTCTGGCCTAGGAATCTTGAGTGTTACTTGTTCAATTTGCCTACCTACCTGTTATGGTCTGGGTTGCAACTTAGTCGTGTGTGCTTGTGCCTGCCTTCTGGTAGTAGGAGGTAGCTACCTTAGGTACGTATTGAGTAATAGATACGACATACTTAATAGCTAGCACCTGCCTGTCTAACGTCGCGTTGATAGGCAACCGATGGAAAGGGCAGTTGCAAGAGTTAAAAAGTCTTCATCCTAAAAAATTTGTGCAGTAGTACTCGAAGTAGTAGTTACAAACAAGAAGATTAATTTGGGCCTAACCGGACCATGACTTCCCAATCCAAGGACTTGCTACAGGTAGGTAAGTAAGAGAGATTACTTTGATTTAAGGTTTGGAAGGCACGTTTGCATGCGCTTTCTATAAACTTCAATATACACGTATAAACCTACACCCACGACTTATAGAGGCGGTAGCTCCTCTCTGCAAATCGGACATTGCAGCCTAAACCGCATCCAACCTTCCAGGCAAGCGCTATGAAAAACATGTCGGCAAGGTGTAACCATATACGCGCGGCGGGCAAACACGCCTGCCACGCCTCCCGCCGTAGGATCGTCGTCGCCTGCTTTTACAACCGGCACCTCTAGCACCTCCCTGCAGATCGCGCAGTCTATCACATGTATATTCGTGCGTTTCCTATCTTTATCCTTGCTTCCTCCCTCCTCGCCTGTCCTTACCCGCTCTAGCGGGCTGCTAGGCGCAGCTACTAGGCCAATGGGCAACCCACCTGCCTCGATATTGTCTTCGCGGAGAACCGGGTGGTACTCCCAAGCCTCCGGCATCCAGCCCTTCGGAACGCCGAAGCGGGGACCCAGGACGAATTGCGCAACTAATATCCATATCTGGATCCAGAGCCAACCGGAGAGCACGCTGAATGCAGTCCAATCGGTTTCGGCAAAAGCAAAGTTGTTCGGTACGATATAGAAATAAGCAATGGGCAATAGGCGTAGAATCGATTGACCGATAACAAAGCGCCACGATAGCGCTCTACGGCAGTTACGATATACATTGCGGTAGATCTGTGGAATCCATAGTGAGAGGTAGATGAAGAGGATAGTGTTAAAGTATGCAGCACGAATACTAGGTCGCCAACTTGCTGCCGCAAGACTTAAGAAGAGAACCGTAATTCCAATGAGTAAGAGACGACCAAATATGTTGCTTAACTGCGTTCGAAGATTTTGAGCGGTGGGTGTAGCGGACCCTGCCGTTACTGGAGCTGGAAGTGTGGCGTTATTGTTGGTGTTGGCTGTGACTTCGGCGATTTCGGCATCAATATCTTGATCCGAAGGAATGATAATTGGCGGAGACGGTGACCGACGAGGGGTCGCAGTTGTCGTAGTAGAAGTCTCGCGAGCGTTGTTGGATGAATTGGGTGGATTTGTGGCATTTGCGGGCGTGTTCTGTCGTCCCCTCTCGCGTTCTTGTCGTCGCCATTCAGGTTCCTGGACCTTGTGGATCTCAGCGAGGAAAAAGATCCCAACCGTCATGCATAGAAACGAGACGCACGTAATAGCAAGAGATGGTAACAAAGTAGTTGATGCCGAAAAACTCCATGCTGCTGCCCCGGTGAAGAGCATGCCATCAGCAAGTAACATCATACAGCCCGTATAGAAGCTAACACGACCCAACGTTGAGGGAGTAGAGGTTTCCCTCATTTGCATCTTAAGTAGTTGAAGTTGGCCGAACATGATCAACGCAAGACCTAGAAGAAATGTGCTGACGCTATGGAGAAAGATTTCTTGTTTCACGCCGACCATATGGTTACCATCAACTGACGCATATGCCGGCGGGCCTTTTGTTTCGAGGAAAAAGGCACAATCGGGGGAATAGACCACAGCCGACATTTGTAGCCGCGGTATTCGCCGGTGGCCTATACCCTGAGGGAAGCGAAGCTCGTTTTCGATATCTTTGATAGCCTTAGCTACATTTTCTGGACCCGTGAGACTCGGTTGCACTTGTAGTATATTTTGGTCTAAGGGATGGATTTGGATATAAATCAAGTACTCGCAGTGTGGAGATGGATTCCAAGTTTCTCCTGGCTCTAAATTGGATGCCCAGGGATCGAGTTGCTCAGTAAAGATATGGTGCTCCTTCTTCCTAAGGGCCGCATCCAGAGTCCTGTTCAGTAGTGCTTGGCTGGATTCGAAGAATTCGGGCCGAGTGGTGAGATGTGGCAATCCGAAAATACCAGCGAACTTTTCGCTCGTCGTGGTGAGAAGTATGGTCCCTTGGCGCGGCCAGTGAACACCATGGAGTCGCATCTCCCAGCCATTCCCAGTGCCTTCAATATCTTCGATGTTGGCCGTTGCCGAGACTTCTCGGGCTTTGACTTCTGCCCTGTCCAGTGTCATCCTGTCTATTTCGGCTGGTTCCGTCGCGTCATCTTCATTGTCTTCAATGCGCACCATTATCTTTCCTTTCGCACCAGTTATGTTTCTACTCCATTCAGAATTCGAGCCGGCCCACGTAACGCCCGGGCTAATCTGACTTAGGTTGTAGCTGGAGTGGTATCTCGGAGAAGATGTGTTCGCTCTCTGCCACCAACCGTGTACTACCCCCGTCGCATTTTGCCATACCGGTTGCGCGACCTCTGGAATTCCGACGGCATTTATACTCCACTCTTCGCATCGATTTTTGAAACGTTTGAGGTCCTCCCACACGTAGCCGTCTTCCTCTCGAAAACCGGTTAGATTTAGGTACTTGGCTTCGGTCTCGGGCGGATCGTCGGTAAGTCGCGGTGAGAAGTCACCCCATTGTGTACTATTTAATACACTTAGAGCATGTCTCTGGCGTAGGATGCGATTCTTTATTAACGACGGGCCGGCGATGAGCGCGGGACTCGAGTCTGGACTAGTGGCAAGCCAGAATATCAATATGATGAGGAAGACGGCGCGTGCGTTATCTTGCGGCTGAGGCATCGCAATGTATTGTTTCCATCATGTTTAAAGCATTTGTCCAGCGTCTAATCTCCCTGGTAAAGACTTTCTAGATTGTCCTGGCTAGAAATCTTTGTTTAATGAAATTTGGTGAGTGTAGGATTAATATCTAGGTACCAAGAGGATCGGAGTTGATGGGTTTAGGTACGAGTTGATTTGATTACCTAACAGTAGGTAACCTCGAGGGAGCTCGAACCATCCAATGACATACATACCTAGGTACGTACCAAGATACCTAACAAGCATGTAATCGATAAGCCCTACTATACACTGTGCATGCACATTTATACCATACCTAGTACTGGTGCATAACGTGTATCTATTAAATCTTTGTACTGTCTCCAAATCTCCATCGCCTTAGGTACGCGCCGCGGAATCGTGTTTCTACAGGAGTACTTAGAACAAACGGCGGCTCATCTCTTATAGAGAAGCAAACATTACCTTCAAATAATTACGCATTTTTGAGTAGCTTCCCTTACGCGACAAATTCCAGCTCCTTCAGAAATGTCGTCCAACAAGACTGAGGATACTAAGAAACCGACGGGCAACGTAAGAACATACCTACGTAACCTATACGCATTTAGGTACTCAACTCATTATAGAGCTCCAAGCTAACGCGACGACTCAGAGCTCGGACGAATTGACCGCGGTCGTTGAGGAACTATTGAATTCCTTATCAAGCAAGTTTGACGGCGTCTCCAGCGAAATCTTCGCTAAGAGTAAGTGTAACCTGTATTTTAATTAAAGCTTTGTAGTATCGCGTAGCTCGTTGGAGCATCGCTATTAACGCCGATATAGTGGATGATATGGCGCGTCGGCTGGACAACCTTGAGGCTTCACTTCAAGCTAACGAGGAGAATGGCGTAAACTCATCACCCAGAACATGATAGCGACAAAGGGGTGATCAGAGGTAATTTAGAACATGGCACGGCGTTAGGGGAACGGGCTGGTTCATAATGGAGTTGTATAGGACAGATGGTACAGCAACTAAGACTATACAATAATGCGCCTTTAGATTACGCACTTTTCTTCGTTATTCGTTACAAACGTTTACAACACGCCCGCTCGATTTAATTTGTTCATGAACGAGTCACCCTATAGCTCTTCCTTCTCATCATCACTCGTGACAGCCTCCTCGACCTTCTTGATGAATTGCTTCAAGATGTTGGTCTTGCTCTGGAGCTCATCTAGCTTGGAAGGGGCCAGGCCACCCTTCTTGATAATACCATCAAGGCGAGCCGACTCCTTCGCGACGTAGCCCTCGTTCTGTGACAGCTTGTCGAGCACTCTGATATAGTATTGCGCATACTTGTACTGGGCGTCCTCGGCTAGGCCTTCGGCGACCTTCTTAGCCTCTGCGAGCAGGTCGGCCAACTTGTCGCTGCCAGCAGCATATTTTAACGCGATATGGTTCAAAACGTCGATAGTACCTCCGGTCGCATCGAGGCCACCGCCGGGAACACGGTGAGTACCGGTCTTCTCGTTAAGGAAGTCAACGAGGTCCTTCTCGCTTCGGCCGCCGGAGTAGGCCTCTCCTTCGGTGGAACCCTTGGGGAAGAACTTAATAGTCGGGTAAGAGGCAACACCTTGCTCGTTGGCAGTCGCCTTGCTGTTCTCAGCTTCGGCATCCACCTTAGCGATGACAACGTGGGGTTCGTTGATGAAGTCCTCGGCCAGTGTCTCCCAGGTAGGAGCTAAAGCCTTGCAGTCTGCTTCAAGGTTAGCTTGTGCATCTGGGAATTGTGCTGGATAGGTAATTGGGTAATACATACGACCGCACCAGGGAGCAGTGAAGGCAACAAGCACGTTCTTATCGCCTCCAATGATCTCCTTGAACGTAGCATCCGTCAACATGTTTACCTGACTAGGCATCTCCAGCTTCTTCTTAGCCTTGACGCCAGTCTTGTCGGTGATGAACTTCGTCAGACTCTCGAGATCCCGGCCGCCCTGATAGTCGACGGGCTTGTCACTCTTGCCATCGAACCACTTGAGAGTAGGGAATCCTTGAACACCGTACTTCTGGCCTAGGGATCTCTCGGCGTCGGCGTCTACCTTGGCAATCTGAACATCCTTAGAAGTAGCGAAAGCCTGGGCTAACTCTTCGTATACGGGAGCGAGGTTCTTGCAGTGACCACACCAGGGGGCAAAGAACTCGACAAGAGTAGGTTTTCCGGACTTAAGCACAACCTTATCGAAGTTGGAGGGGATGAGATCAAGGACTGCTGACTTAGCTGCTACAGCAGCAGCTAACCCGGCGAGCACGAAGCTCTTTATTAAAACCATTGTTGCTTTGGTTCACAATTGTCTGGGGTATTAAGAGAAATATAGCAAAAAGGAAATAGGTCTAAATGCTAGGTGTAAGTGCGGTTAAAAAGGATTGGGATTGGGTCAAATAGTTGCTATTCTATTGTTATCCCAAGAGTGTGTGGTAGGTCATCAGTTAATGCTGCTTTGAAATACAAAGCAGAAGATGCCACTTTGCAACGGGCAGCACCGGGCATCATACCAGGTACCTAGCTTAATGCAAAGAACCTGGTTACATAGTACATGTTAAAAGTCGAGTAAAGATTATCGATAAGATGCTGATAAGGCACGTGGGCGGCGACTTGTGGCTTGTCTTTCAAGTTTCAAAGATTTGAAAACTGGGGCTCAGGCGACTTTGAAGAAATGGTCCCCTGTACGTACCCCAATTTTAGTCAATACCCCTGCAACCCTTACGCGAACACACAATTTTCCTCTCTCAATCCCATAATCTCCAAAAAAATTCGCGAAAGTTTTCCGAATCGTAGTTCGACATCCAGACAACATCCTGCAAACTAAACGTTCGTGATCATCGCTATCGCAACACCACAACCGACAATATGTCTCACGAATCCGTCTGGAACTCGCGCCCGCGAACGTACGGCAAGGGCTCTCGCTCTTGGTATGTTTCGACATATATATATTCTTTATTGGATGTCTCTATCGTGAGGAAGTCCGTCAGCTAACCTAACGTAGCCGTGTCTGCACCCACAAGGCCGGTCTGATCCGCAAGTACGGCCTCAACATCTGCCGTCAGTGCTTCCGTGAGAAGTCCTCCGACATTGGCTTCATCAAGGTACGAAATAAATCAGAACGACAATACGACGTAAGCGGAGAGGCTAACTTTTTTTTCTTTTTTTTTTCTTAGCACCGATAAATGCCCTTTTCAGAATGTGACTTTCTTTCCTACCACGATATCTCTCGCCGGGCATCGTCAATGCGACTGCGGATATGGAGTTGTTGGTTTGTTATTAGGAACAGGGTTGAGCAGTTGCCTTTGAGGCATTGGTACGGGTTTGCGTGGAAGGGAAATGAGCAAACGGCTCTTCAATCCGACTACCTAGACAGCTAAACCACCCCACGACAATGCTTACGAGAATTCGATTATGTTATTCGTTTTTTACGTCGTATGAAATGTGACGGTTTTCTTACAGGGTTCCCGATTTAATACGAATGAAGACCCCGTGTCTTTTGGGGGAAAGGCAATCACTACCTTAGGTACCTGTTATTCCTCAAGCAGGATAATACAAGAGACAGAACGGTTCTTCCCACTCGATTCTGGAGGTATGCTTGTAGTTTGCTAACCGAAGTTCCTATTAAACTCACTTATCTCCGATACCTCACGGAATGGACCCGAGAGTGAGGAATCGGGAATGCAAACTTGGCTATGTTTTCATAATCCCTTCCAGCTCTCACCCTAGCCTGGGATCAAGTTCAAATGCCTCTGATGTTATGATCGCCTTAAACCCGAACTTCATATGGCCAACGCTCCACTCCAACGATGGACCTGGATTAAATACAGGACCTTGATTAGGCAACATGTACCTGAATCCATCATTCATTACAAGTTAATATACAGAGAGCAATATGTCTCTTTCAAGAAGGATAGGCCACGGCCGTGATGCCAAGAGCCGGGAATATCAACGGGAGTAATGCTTGCAGGACTGTATGCGTAGGTGTTATAATATTTATATTGTTCATGATGTGTCTTTATGCGACTGCGCGAGTTCCATTACCTGCATATCCATGGATCATTATACAAAGTTGCGGTGGTGTCGTCGAGGTAGTTGAGATTGAGTTATATTTCGAGTATTCCCGTCTTTATTCCCGATGACTTCGATCGAACAAATAGATCCATCTCAGTTATTCGCGGGCTATCGGAGGACTGATTGGTTTATTCGGACCATCCCGTCATAGTAAGTACTACCCTGACGTTGCTTAGCATTTATTAATTATCCCGGCAATCTATCCCATGTAGGTATTTCTATTTGTACACATATAGGGTTATGTAAGGTGGATATACCTACAACATAGCCGTCGCTATAACTGGTGCATAGGCGGCTGGGTGAAGCAGCCATTGTGGATTAGGAAGTTATGGAAGTTATGTTTACCAAGTCTTTTTTATGTGCTACCACGCTGGTATATCCGGTACGTATCCGAAGGCACTATTCCCTTGCCTTGAGGCTACAGGCGAGGTGAAAGAACGGCCCATGTCGTCAACAAAGGGCATTTGCTGCACGCCTCGGCTTAGGAATGAGAAGGAACTGTTTGTTTGCCTGCATAAGGTACTTCGTAAAGTACCTCATGAAGAAGGATATATTTCTAAGAATGCCCCAACTTGCTAAAGTGAAGTAAAGACAGCTTCTTTCAACAATCAAGTCGCAGACCTTCTTTTATCTTTCATCGCTAACCTATCAAGCTTTTTTTGGGCTTTTCCTACGAATCATGGCTGGCTTCCACGAGTTAATACCTAATGTCATCAAGAGGAGAATAAACCAGAAGCGTCCTCTTATGAAAATCTGTCATCCGGATCGTGCTCCTATCGAAGTGACATTTGCTATCCTCGATAATGCCGTTAACAGGGCCGCCTGGTTCCTCACCGAACACCTCCCTTCGGACGAGTACTTCATATGGATGTCCCAGAGCGATGCTCGTTACATGATATGGATTATAGCTGCTATGAAGACTGGAAAGGTCGTGGTGCTTCCGTCTCTACATAATCGAGTTTCTGCCAATCTTCGGTTGTTCGAAGCGGTTGGGGCCAAGCACATGTTATACGGACCCGAGTCCTCAGGGACACTCGCAGAACTTATTGAAAAGGCTAGTCCAAATGTGGCCGCTCGTCCAGGTCTATCTCTCGAGGAAATACTGTCCCCGGAACCTGTTCCCGATTTTCCTTTCAACAGGACCTACGATGATATCAAAACGAAGAGGTTTATGGGGTTACACACTTCCGGAACTTCAGGTAGGACACTCCTTTAGATCCCGATTTAATTATTTTTTCTATTCGTACCCTATCTAAATGCCTCCTATTATTACCCATGATTCCGTTTGATAAATAATAGTAGATGGGTTTTCGTTAAACTTAGCTGCATCCACCATACTGAACACTCGCTCATAACAGGACATCCAAAGCCAATTTGGTGGACACATTCCCACTATGAATGCCTCTTCTCTCCCCTAGAGAAGGGTGTCCTCCCTGAGGGTGTCCATGTGGAGAGACATACATGCAGTACGCTTGCCAACCACGACGTTCTCGTCGTCGGATCGCAATCGCATGTAAGCTACCCACCTACTCGTATATTTACCTAGGAAATGTACTGTTATTCTAACTGAAATAGGCCGGTGCCATGTATATCACTATGGTCGCACTACATTCAGAAATGACAGCTATCCTTATGCATCCTGACATCCCCATCGGCCCAGCCAGTATTACGGACGTCATCAACCAGTCCGGTGCTAACAGTCTCATTTGTCCCGCCGTGCCAATCGAGAATATGCTTGACTACCCACCCGGCCTCGAGGCGTTCTCGCGCCTTAAGCATATCGGTTACGTCGGTGGACCTATTAACCCTGTACTTGGTGCCAGGGTTGCTAAAGTCACACCGCACTTGTATAGTCTTATTGGAAGTACGGAGGGCGCCTTGATGCATATGAACTATTCGCCCAACTCAGAGAACTGGGACGCGATACGCTTCGTTGAGGTTGGCCAGCGCATGGAAGAAGTTTTGCCCGGACTGTACGAGCTCGTCTTCCCCCGTATCCCAACCATTGATCGCCTCTACTCATATTTCCGCTCTTATCCGGATCTAGAGCACGAATATCGAACCAAAGACTTGTTCTCTCCCGTCCCCGGCCAACCCGGATGGTGGCGTTATCGTGGTCGTACTGATAACTGGGTTGCTATGGCCAACGGCTACAAGATGGACCCAACAGACTTCGAAGCTACGATAAATGCACACCCAGACGTCCGAGGTGTTATTGTTGGAGGCTCCCATCGCTTTAGACTTTGCATGCTTGTTGAGCTGTACGACCATCTACTGCCAACAACAGACGAAGAGGCGCATGCCGCGCTTGCAAAGCTTTGGCCTACCATCCACGAAGCTAACAAGTCCTCTCCAAAATTCGGCCAAGTCCCCCGAGAGCTCGTCCTATTCGTCCGCCCAGGCAAGCCATTCTTGCGTGCTGGCAAAGGTACTACTCAGCGGCAGCTCACTTTGCAGGCTTATGAGAACGAGATCGATGCGCTATACGAGTGTGTAGAGAGCGGGATCATGGTTAGCGACCTGGAGCCTATTACCTCCCTGACACCAGAGGGTTTGACACCTGTGCTCACGCAACTATTCCAGCAGGCGCTTGACTCGCACGATGTCGATGCTGACACTGATGTCTTTGCTCGCGGGCTCGATTCTAATGGAGTTACCCTCACTGTTTCGCGACTGAAGGCTGCATTACGTAGCTACGGTCTATCTGAGGATGTTTTGCACGGTATCCATATCAGCCTTTTATATAGTTCCACAACTGCGCGGTCCATAGCGAATACACTTTCCGTGTATCTCAGTGACGACAGTGGCCAGGTCAAATCCGAAGCCCCAGATGGCGGCGTTTCAGACATGTTGGCCAAGTACCTCCCCGGCTCCCAATGCCTGGGCACTCCCCTATCCATCATACTGACAGGATCCACGGGATCTCTCGGTACTTATCTTCTCGCAGAACTACAGGCGCAGCCCGAATCACACGTCCGTCGCATTTTCTGCCTGAACCGGGCCGCAGACGCAGAATCCAAGCAAGCTGCAGCATTGAAACTGCGAGGCTTTCCTCCGGCGCAAGTGTCGAACGGTCGCGTAGTTTTCCTCACAGTAAAGGATTTTGGGGCGCCATTCTTGGGCCTAGCACCAAAAGACTACGGCGTTCTCCTGGCCGAGACTACAGCCATAATCCACAACGCCTGGCCCGTAAACTTCTTGCTTCCCTTGCAATCCTTCGAGCCATCAATCGCGGGGCTAGTGAACCTGCTCGAGCTTGCGCAGAACGGCGCGCAGCGGCCTGCGGTACTCTTTGTTTCAAGTATCTCGGCTGCGATGGGCGCTGCCCGCGACGTCCCGGAGGAAGTCTTACAAGAACCGGAGGAACTAGTCTTGCGGCAGGGTTATGCGCGGTCAAAATACATTGGGGAGCGAATTCTCGACGCATGGGCGCTAGCGGGAATAGAAAATAAGAGACGTGCAGCAGTCTTGCGCGTTGGCCAGGTTGCTGGTCCCGTAGCGGCAGGGGGTGCTTGGAACCCCTGGGAATGGTTCCCAAGTCTAGTGCGCAGCTCGAAATTCCTAGGCATGCTGCCCAAAAGCCTAGGCACAAATAGTCGCGTGGAATGGGTCCCTGTCAACGAGCTAAGTAAGATTATCCTAGAGGTCGTTGGCGAGGTAACCTGCACCAAGGGCGAAAACGATACTTCCTCGGAGAAAACGAAGCAAAGAGGGGCAAAGGTGTACAACCTCGTGAACCCCCACGCCGTGCCCTTTTCGGACCTAGTCCCCGCGTTACAAGAGAAAGGCATTGCGGACGAGACGGTACCTCTCGAGACCTGGATCGAGGCACTCGAGGGCAGCACCTTCGACCAGAAGTCGTCCAAGCGTGACAATCCCGCCGCTAAGCTATTGGGCTTCTATAAGTCAATTGTACCGCATCACCGCGCCGACGGTGTGAAGAGAACTATCGACGGAGAAGCTAAGAATAGGGGCGCAGGAGGTAGTAAGGCGGGCGAGGACGACTACACCTGGCGTGTTGACAATACCCTACACGCGAGCCCGACGGCAAGGGCGCTGAAGCCGGTGAATACGGAATGGATGAAGCTGTGGGTTGATCGGTGGGAAGAGCATAGAGCGTAAGAAAGAGAGAGAGAGAGAGAGAATATTATTACTAGATTCATCAAGTGTATATATATAATTGGCTCGACATGGCCAGGTACAAACTTTTATAGAATAGGCATTTCTTAATAGACAAAAATTCATTTAATTCCTGTCTCGAAACAAGTTGAACTCTGATCTATGTCATAACTAACTAGCAGTCGTCAGTCCTACTTAAGCCATCAATCAACTTACCTCTATATAGTTTCACAATACAACATATATAAACGAAGAAGTTTTTGATTTTGAAAGTTTTCGTATTAATTCATTACACAATACTATATGCCATATAAAAGCGGCGTCTAGTAGTCTCTTCCACCTTAAAACCAAAATGCGACGCGATGCGATGCGTCTATCCAAAGTGGTATCTCCAAAAGCAATAGACAGGCAAGACACCCCCCACCCTTTTTTTTCTCTCTCCGCCCCAAAAGGATCTCCCAAGACCATACCAAACCAAGAAAAATGCTCATTGCTTTATAAAAAAAAAAAATCATAAAATAGCATCTTTGGCCCGTGTCGTGTCGTATTTCCCTTTCTTCCTTTCTCCGATCTACATTATAAGCGGTACTCAAGCGCAACGCTGATGACGAAACGCCTTGATACTCCGCTGCGACACTTGGCTCCTGGGCCAGGCGGTACTATGGTAGGTAAGGGTATAGCAGGCCGCGGCGGAAACCGTATTCTTCTTCTTCGTGTTCCAAGTAGCCTGCGCCAATCATGTCGGCGGCACATATAACTACTTTACCATCTATATCTCCTTTTTACGTACCCTCTAAGGTGTTGGGTACCTACTCTGTCTATGTCTAACCGAGATTCTATAACCTCTAGTCGAAAAAACTCTTATTGAAATCTTGTTCTTGAGATCAGGTCCGCGTTCAAGGGTTGCTAACGTAGCTCCTCGCGCGCCTCAGATCCTGGTCTTCGGAGTCGTATTCGCGGACGACGGGGCCGATGCCCTCGGAAGCGTTGGCGATCTTCTCGTCCTCGTCGCCGGCGTAGGCGTACTTGCTCTTCTGCCGGATGCGCTCGCCGTAAGTCCAGAACAGGAAGGGGATGCCGCAGCAGGCGAGGGAGATGAAGGCGAGAAGGGTGCTGGCCCACTCGTAGCCTAGCCGAGCGTACATCTGCTCCGTGAACAGGACCACGCCGGCACCCCAGAACGATCGGATGCAGGTCTTGGCCGCGAGGGCGGAGGCGGCTTGGTGCTGGTACGCGTCGACGAGGTAGTTGTTGGCGCTGTTGTACAGGAAGATGAAGCCGAAGCCGACGGGGAAACCACCGAGAGCGGGACCGACCCAGCTGAGACGTGGGTACGAGGTCCAGGCGAAGATGAACAGACCGATCGGGATGAACCAGCAGGAGCACATCATGGGAATAAGACGAAGCTCCGGCGGGGGGAGACCGTTGTACTTAGAGATGAGCTTTCGGTAGTGTGTGTTGACCAGGGGCGAGCAGATAGCCGAGCAGATGACACCGACAGCTAGAGGAATGCTATTAGGTTGGGGTTAGCGATCGAATTGAAGGAAAAAAAAACATGAAGGATAAATTTGCACTTACAACATAAGACCGGTGATACTGGCGGAGTATCCCTTGCCTTGCTGGAATATGATGGGGAAAGCGACGAAGAACATGTACAGAAGACCGTATAGGACGGACATGTACAAGCTGATCAAGAAGACAATTAATTCGCCGAACAGAAGCTGGAAGGGTCGAACCAAGAAAATAGCTAATCGCTCGCCAAGGGGTCGCTTATCAATATCTTCTTCTGTAACGTAGTCCGGCGAGCCAGTTTCCTGGCGCATTTTCTTGGCTCGCTTGGCTAGAATCGTGGGTGCGTAGGTCTCGGGGACAGTGAATGTGATTAAGACCCAGACGATGAAAGCGAGGATTAGGTGAATCCAGTAAAGCCATCGCCAGCCAGCAGCATCAGATAAGAAACCACCAACGAGGGGACCGACTGTAACTCTTGTTAGCAATCAACAATTACTAAAGGGGGAATTCTATTGTAGGGATGCTTACTAGCAGGACCAATGAAAGGGGCTGCGGAGAAAGCAGCCATGGGAATACCTCTCTCTTCAGATCTCCAAAGGTCGGCGAGGGTACCGCCAACAAGCGTCATGGGAGCGGAGAAGGCAATGCCATCGATAGCTCGGGCGACTAGGAGAGTAGCGATGTTCTTCGCAACAGCACCGGGAATAATGAAAATCACGGCGATCAGTAGCGTTGTTCCGTAGATGATACGTCTTCCGTAAATTTCAGATAGTGGTGCGAATGCCATAGGTCCTTTTTTAACTGTTAGTCGATTCTCTATTGTCTGAATTCTCTTTTAGGAGCTTATACTTACCAACACCGAATCCTACGACGAATAGACTAATACTGAGAAGCGCAACCTCTTCGCTGACACCGAATTCATCGGACACGCCAGCAATATCGGCCGTGATGACACTGGACGAGAAAGCTACGACGAAACACGTCGCAGCAACGACCATAGTACAATACCACTTATAGGCCTTCGACCAGTTCTTCGGGTTTTCAGGGTCACCCGGCGTGAAGGTGACAAGTTTGTACCGGCGTTCTCCATCAGGTCTTACGGGACCGGGTATCGCACCGGAGGGGGTTTCTGTGGTATATTCCGAAAGGTTTGCGTCGCCGGAAAGTGTTCGGTAGGGTAAGTTCAAATCCAGGTTCGGATCTCGAACTGTTTCCTTGGTAGGACTTCGAGCCAATGGGTTGGTAGGTTTGCGAGCTAACGATCCAGGGACGATTGACCCATACTTGACTTGGTCAGCTTGGTCGACTTGATCGGGTTGATTTGGTCGTGCAGACGTGCCTTCCATGGTGGGCACTTCGTAAGGATCCATGTTGGTGTTGTTATATATCCTTATTATCCTTATATCCTTGAAGAGATGTAGAAAGGGAAATATTATCTTAGGATATCATCACACGGTCAGTGTGGAAATGGTTATGGATCTCTACCAAAAGCGCGAAAGGGGGCGGGATCCAATCCTTTATATAAGAGAAGGCAATGACCCTTGAGGCTTTAGACCAGAAGCCTTCGGGTAATAACTTGCCTGGCTGAGGGACCTCATTGGTTCACACGAGTTGGTTAAAAGTTTTACACTAGAGGTAAGAGAACGAACTGGATGGTGCCCGATGGCGGAGCCACTGAGAGTTTCCTATTAGAGTATATCCCCATTGTTATGCGAGAGGGGATAGGTTGGGTTGGTTATTGGCTATTGATCATGTCAATGTTGGAAACCTGGTAAGGCTTAATTTGGAACGCATTTTTAGCTCTTTTCAGGCACGAGGGCGCGAGTCGAGAAAGATACTATGTATATTTTGAGGAAGGAGATGGTTCGGCAAACCTCGGTGTTGCGAAGGATCCACAGGGCCGGGACCCGTAAGGATCGGGGGCCACACGGCTCGAATTCGACGGCCGGGACGTGGCAATTGAGGAAGTTGAAAGCATTCTGAGGTCAATTGTAAGCTATAAGGGATTGATATTGGGAAATTGATCAACATCATGGCTTTCTTTGAAAGCAGAATAATTTCCTGCGAAAAAAAAAAAAAAAAAAAAAGCTCGTCATGATGAGCAGACATTTTTTAAGATAGGAGAAAAAAGTGGTATCTGTCGTAAGGGTTGAATCACATTTCGACTTATGGGCGTCCTTCGAGCTGCAAATTCCAAGGGTCCCACTCTTTGCAGCTTAAGAGCTAAGGAAAAGACCGATCCACAGAAACAACAAAAAAAAAAAAACTAAAAAAAAAAACTCAATACAAGGCTTACCCGATCTAGTAAGACCCAAGAGAACGGAAGCCAGTTAATGGATGGAATTCAAGTCTCATTTACTAATTGAGGTTTGAGGTTTCATTCTAGCTATACCCTTGTCTGCCCTGTCTGCCCTGTGCGACTTTTGGTAAAAATTGACAAACCATCAAAAAACACTAACGTAAGATGGCAAGATCGCGAAATGGGTAATACACCTATTAATATGAGACCAACTGACAATATTTTCTTCTTCTTCGAAATCGTGGTCGTCGGTAACTTTGGCCTGATCTTGAATTTCCATTCTTCGTTGCTTGTTGCTCCTTTACTTCTTGGCCAAGAGTCAAAATAGGTGACGGTATTTTATCGACAACAACGCAGAACATAAAAAAATAAAAAAAAATAAAAAATCCGAACTAAACCCGTGCCGCTAACGATCTCGTGTGGACCCCTGATAATAGAATGACGGGACAAGAGCAATTACCTCGACGGACATGCCCTAGGTGATACCGTGATCCTCCTTCTACCTCTTTACATGTGCTCCTAACGTTTCTACAGTGATATAAGAAAAGGCTTGGCGGTTTAAAATCCCTCTTTTTTTTACTCCAACAAGCGTTTTCGGATGGTAAGCCCATCGGAGGAAAGGACGAAGAAGAAGAGGGTCACCAAAAGCTCATGATCTCATATCATTGCTCATTGTTCATCATCGTTACTTAGATGACCTGGGCTTGGTTACATTGCCGATGAACATCGAAAATGGAGAAACCACTACATTTACTTTGGAGTAAAGTGGTTTTGAAGACGCGTGTATACACTGTACAATTTGGAGATTCGATTGCCTAGGGTAAGGCCTGGAAGAAAGAGCTGTGATATAATGGGGGACCCAGCAGCTGCCAGAACGAAGCCCCGATAGGAAAGAGGACCCTTTTTCGTGGCTTCGGAAACGCTACCTATTCGCCCGTCGGGAAAGCTTGTCAGCTTGTCAGAATACGTACCTACCAGGTACAGGTATGTGCACTAAAACAGCTTTTGGATTCTGGACCGAGCGGCGCGTTGGAAAAAAAAAAAAAAAAAAAAAAAAAAAAAAAAAAGCGCCGGAAGGGCCAATGGGGCTTACCTAAGGGTAAAAGCTAACCCGAAAACAACCAAAAATCTTGGACTTTTATCCTCGGCAGAGAGATCTTGGCTATAGTCAGGAACAACTTTTAATCTTCACCAACGAATAGGTAACTACCTAGGTATAGTCGACAGGTTCTCCCGAGCTGACTACCACCGCCCCACGATTAACCAAGGGCACCAGGTACTCTTCACATGTGCGAATGAATATATACCCGGTAAAAGCATTCCTTTCATAGGTTCATCATCAATAGTCTCGTCGACAGCATCGTCACCTGCCTTGCTTTCTACGCTATGGGTTACCAAAACCGGTCAATGGCTACCAGGGGATTTTTTTTTGGCGATCAGAATTCAACGCAGGAAGCTAGTGCGAGTAACCGCCGTTAGTGAGGGACGCTACGACCTTTTCCTTTTTCACGATGTGGACTGCCTACTTCGTACCCTGGGTGTGTTGAGATCCCAGTCCAGTTGGGCAGCGGCGACGACGCTAGGGCAAAAACACAAATACCATCATGTAGTCCTTAGTTGTTGTTGACAGGGGGGTCGGAATTCTGCTCCGTTCACAAGGGCGTGATCGGACACATCTTTCATTCGCGACAGTGACCTCTGAAATACCTATGAGAGGTTTGGATGCGTAGGTAGGTACCTAGGTACACTAAGCGTAGGGCTCAGCTCTTCCCCCTGAATCCGTGCCCGCGAGAGTAGCCAGCAACGTGCTAGATTGGATACTACCTAATATCTTAGGCCAACGGCAGATGCCAGATAGATTTTAGAAAAAGAGGGCACGAAAAACCCTAGGAGAGCCCTTGAAAATTAGCTTCACCGATCAGAATTGTGGTGTGATCCATCTATAAATATACACCCTATCGTAAGAGATGTGGAACTGCTCTGCGATATTTTACATACTATGTAAGGTATCCCTCAAGACACGCTTTCATGTGAGTCTCGAGAGAGATAGGGGGACAGGGGGGTTCGCATGTAAGTCAGGACTCAGGGTCATCGCCATGCACGGATACGAGTAGAAATATCTATACAATCTCCAACAATCATGCAAGATACTTAGTCACGTAGGCTTTCTGTGAGTTATATAGGTACCTTATATGAGATAGGATGCATGTAGAATGTCACAATAGGTCCGATCTACTTGAGCTTTGATTCTTCCATACTATGTAAGCTACGGCTCTAAGTCTTGGCGCTCCGGTCCACGACCCGAAGATTACCTAGGTGACCGTCGGCAAGGGATGGTCTCGGCTATTTAGGTGCCTACCTAAGGTAGGATGTCAGATTGGGATCTCGGTGAAATCTGGCTAGGGTTAAAATATTCTATGAATTCTCTATTATAAGTAACATAACCCACGTGGTGGTCTCGTTACTCGAGTGTTTCAGGCCTTTGACGAACACGTGGGACCAGTAGATGTAACATCATAGCTCTTTTGAAGAATCCAAACGATCTTGTCTCCAGGGGACCTGAATCTAGTTTTGATTTCAGCAAACAGGTTTGACGTAGTAGTCGGCTATCAACACTACAAAACTAGTCCCGTAGGTTAGTGTAGCTCTTCATATTAAAGGGGTACACTAACAAATCAGCATGAAGAATTCGTATTTCACAAATTTTTAGCATTTAGATCACATTCTAGCCCCCCCAAAATATCATCATGCAAAGTACCTTACGTAGGTAGGTAAGGTAGGGTATTGTTCAAACATTTACCATTTCATCATGCTAGAGTTACATTACGGGGAAAAATAAAGACGTGCCGTAAAGCAGAGGGGAGAGATTCAACGAGCCACGGGGGAGACAAGAAAATGTCATGTGTACATGGGCTCAAAATATGATACAATCCGAAATCCCTTATACACAAGAGAGCAAACGCCAAGATTTTCCCCCATGCCGGCTGTAAAAAGCGCAAAGCCGAAGATGCCCGTTCTATCCCTCTTGCACACATGGACCAGTCCCTCCCCCAAAATAGTCCGCGGACGCGTTTATTGAACGATTCGCGTAATGATACCGGTGGCGACGGTTCGTCCACCCTCGCGGACGTTGACTTGCTGACCAACCTCGACGGCGATGGGGTGGTGTAGGGTGGCAACCATCTCGACGTTGTCACCAGGCATGACAGCCCTGGACTTGTCCTCAACATCGTCAGGGAAGTGTAGGGCTACAGCCTCATCGGCGGTTCGCAAGTACATCTGGGGTCGGTAGTTCTCAACGAAGGGGGTGTGCCGGCCACCTTCCTCCTTGGTAAGGACGTATAGAGAGACCATGAACTTGGTGTGGGCCTTGACGGTTCCAGGCTTGACGATAACCATACCTCGCTTGATATCCTCTCGTCGGACACCTCGGAGAAGCAGACCGGAGTTGTCACCAGCGCGAGATTCGTCGCAGGACTTCTTGAAGGTCTCGATATCGGTGACCTTGGTCTTGATAATCTCAGTACCCTTACCGATCAGCTCGACTTCGGCATCTCGCTTTAGGACACCTCGCTCAACACGGCCGGAGGCGACAGTTCCACGACCGGCAATGGAGAAGACATCCTCAACAGACATCAAGAAGGGCTTGTCAAGGTCACGCTGGGGGGTAGGGATCCACTCGTCGACGGCCTTCAGGAGCTCATCGATCTTCTCAGCACCGATCTCGGGTCGCTTGCCTTCCATAGCCATCAAGGCAGAACCCATGATGACGGGGGTCTCGTCACCTTCGAAGCCGTAGTGGTTGAGCAGCTCACGCATTTCCATCTCGACTAGTTCCAACATTTCGGGGTCCTCAATAGCATCGATCTTGTTGACGAAGACGACGATTTTCTGGACACCAACCTGACGGGCGAGGAGAAGATGTTCTCTCGTCTGGGGCATTTGACCATCGGAAGCAGCAACGACAATGATAGCACCGTCCATGTTGGCGGCACCAGTAATCATGTTCTTGATGTAATCGGCGTGACCAGGGCAGTCGACGTGGGAGTAATGTCGGTTCTCCGTCGAGTATTCGATGTGTGCAGTAGAAATGGTGATACCACGCTTCCTCTCCTCAGGTGCCTTGTCGATAGCGCCATATTCTAAGAAGTTTGCCAATCCCTTCTCGGCCTGTCTCTTCGTGATGGCAGCAGATAGAGTGGTCTAATTGGATATAATTAGCTAGAGTTGAGGGGTACTCTGATATATATATATAAATATATATAGGATAGTATATCAAGATAGGTAGCGTATAATTTGACATATCCTCTCAACGTACCTTTCCGTGATCGACGTGACCGATGGTACCGACGTTGACGTGAGGCTTCGTTCTCTCGTAAACGGCATAGGAACGGGTGATGTTGAGGGCTGCGGCTACATTTTGTTGTCGCACAGCAAATTGTAACGGGTTGACGGTGCTACCGGATCTGAGAGAGTGACGGGAGGCGCGCAAAAATGGCGCAAGGGTGCGCGAAAACGCAGACATCTCGAATTAGATTTACCCTGCAGCCGGGAAAGGAATAAACCAATTCAACACGGAAAGAAGGGACTGGTGATGAGGGTCGTGGGAGGCGGGGGGGGGATATAAAAAAAAAGGACCAAGCGGCAGTGAAGACAAAAAAGCTCCCACCTTCCCACCAGCAGCTAGAAAAATTTCATTGGAAGTCGTTGCGTTCGCGTTTATTGGCCAGTCGAAATCCACAATTCCCTTATCGTACCATTTTCTATAGAGTATTTCTACTTGATAAGAAGATTCGTTACACTTAAACTAGAACTATCTAGCTCCGCACTCGAAGTACCCATACTAATTAAAGCTAATTCAACAACCCACCTTCCCGGAATTTAGTTGCAGCGTCGTGATGTTAACCAAACGGTTCAATTGATTGTGTTTGATTGGTCAATGCTCTTTTATACATCCAGTCCTGAGACATGGAAGGCACAAGTCAATGTGATATATTATGAATGTACTATGTAAGAAACCAGCTGACCAGGTGACACGACATATACCAATGTTTAGGGAAATAGGTAATGAGGACCTTGTTGACCCCTCGAGAAATTTACATCAAACAGGGTGTCATGACTCATCAGGTATATTACTTCGTACCTAATTTAAGATATAAATGAAGTCAAGCGGGACAATCATCATTCATGATACAGCAAGGGCATATTCATATTAGTTCGCGGTCATCCACGTAGTTGGTCCTCACAGCTTGCTACAGCTTGCTTGCTCCTTATTGAGCGAATTCAAGCTGTTAAGATTCGCATTCCGAAGCGGGTTCTGGTCTCCGAATTGCTGCTGAGACATCGTAAATTCAATGAACCGAGTCCGTAGGCGTCGGGAGGCTTCCATAGTCTCCAACTCCTCGCCTGTCTTCCCAGTTAAGAATTCACTTTCGATTTTTCCTTGGGAGTTTCTGTCCGAGTGTGACACCATAGTCATGTCATCTAGTGACTTCCAGGGCTTTTCGTAACACTTGCAAGTTGTCCATTCGCCCTCGTCATTGGAGCCATATTTCGGCACGGGCGGCACAATGCCGTCGTTGAGATATGCTCGGATGTGTCCTACGATGCAAGGTGAGACGCAAGATATGGTACAATGGCCCTCTGCTTTCTGCTCTACGAGACTCGCTCCCGAGAACTTGCGCGTCATTTTCAAAGCATAATGCAGCGGCGTCACAGGGTCGAGGTGGTTTGATAAGAATAAGACGGGGAAGCTGGTCTCGATGGCTTCGGGCTTGTGGATTGGATGATCGTCCCAACGCATTGGAGGGTCTTTTGACTCGATTTCCCATCCGCTGCAACCTAGATTGAGATCTACTCCCATCCACTAAGTCAACTGTTAGAAAGTTCTCTGGCTACTAAGACTTAGCGAAGGTAGGACTTACGACGTCTGCAAATGAGGAATAGGAGGCCATCTTCTCAAAACGCCGTTGAAGCGCGTCCGCGTCTTCTTTGAGCTGCTAAATATTAGGTCTGTCCCTCATGAAACCGCTAGAGACTGGGGAACTCTCACCTTATACCGTTTGTCACTACACGCGATCACTTTCTGGGCGTCATCCGGCCATTGAGGCAAGGTTAGGTTTTGGCAAAACGGGGTCGGCGATGGACTAGGTATCATTGACTCAAGCCTATTATCGACGAGAGCCTTGAGGAGTATAGCTATGGAAGGAAATATGACGATCGGGTAGTACAGTGCTGCGAATATTTGTTGCTTGATATCGCCCGCCGTCACTAAGACAGGCACATTCGATTGCAATGGTAAGACAACCGCGGGCTCTTTCTCAAGCCAACTCATGATATAGTTGAAGCGCTCCTTGATGTCCCCGGGAGTATCTCCAAGCCGGTAAAATTCACACTCTGTTCCTGCGTCGGCGCAGTAGGTGAAGAATTTCTCCCATATCGCGTCGGTGTCCGTGATGCCATCTCCTAACATCGGGTTGACGTAGTGGTCGGCGTCCACAACACCATCGAGGATGAGTCGACCGACTTTATCTGGAAACATGGACGCAAAGGTTGCCCCGAGGAGCGTGCCGTAGGAAAACCCCCAGTAGACAAGTTTTCCTTTCGTGCTGTCCTTCGATTTGATTTTCGAATCAGTCCGGAGTCCAAGCGCAGCGTCTGGTTCCTCCGCGGATTTGTCGCTGGATCCCGATCTCCACTCGTCCCAGGCGTGAATGATGGAGAGCATATCCCGCGCTACGTTCAGCGTGTTAGAGTACCGGAATATGCTATCGTCTCCTTCCTCCTCATCTCTCCGCTTGCAGAGCTTGGCTAGGGCTCTCGACCTGACATCGAGCTTGCGAAGCGCGATGTTGCTCGAGTTGACGAGTCCAATGCCACGGCCCGACATCATCCAACTCAATCGATTCATCAGAGCGATATTGCGCCCATCGAGTCCCGAAGGATCATCCGCAGACGCAAAACAATCAGCCTTAGGCGTGGTAGCGCCGACCCCGCGCGGGTCGAAGCCGATCACGTCGCGGTTTCCGCCAATCACCTCTTGGAGCCCCGGCCCTGTGATTAGCACGAAATGCGCCCCGCTGCCTCCCGGGCCCCCGGGATTAATGAGAAGTGGAGACTCCGAGTAGGATGCCGGGTCTGCGGTACGGTTGATACCGGGCTTCAGGACCAGGGCTAGGTGTACTTTCGGATTGTCCGCCGATTGGTTGAGCGGTCGGTGGTGATCCATAGGTACGGTCAGCCGGGCGCATTGGAAGCCGTCGCCGTATAGTGCGAAACACGGCTGCCAGATGAGTTTTTCGCTCGGTGTAATCTATTTCATACGGGGGCTAGTGTGTTAATAATATGTCCATTGTCGCAGATTAATGACATTGCTTAGGAGAGCTTACGCTGGACCATTCAGTCCACCCATCGAGAGATTTTGATTGGGTTTGATCTTCTCCCAACTCTGGATGGCGATAGCCATAGTGAATCGGACCGTGGCCGAAATGACCAATAATTAAGATACCAGATATGACGGTTAAAGCCACTGCACTCAAACGGCGCCAACCCCAGCTCGGTTCTTCCCGGGGTAATTGGAAACGTGCCTGAACGTTGTCGCTGTCGCTTTGCTTCTCTCCTAGGAAGGGGGGCACTGCCGAATTGAAGGCCGCCATATTCTATTGTATACGACAATTGCCTGCGAAGCAAAAGTTGAGACTCCGAACGACCAAGCTCACGAGATGATTTTTTTTAAAAATGTTTCCTTAAAAATACCTTAAAGCTGAGAGGCAATCGATAAAGTCGTAAGACCCGAGGCTTTGATGATCGCCAGGCAGCCACTTAATTGAAGTGGTACGCAAGCCGACGGGATGGGATTGGTCAATTGCGCTGGCTTGCGTACCTTGAAGCTTGGAAGTGAAAATGTCCAAGGAAAATGAACGGATGTATACGTAAGATTAAAGATGCATTCACTGTGCCTCTTTTGTACAACTCAGACCGGTCGGCTTGGCTGATGATATCTGCCTCTCAGCTCAACTCTCTCTCTCATCGGTCATGTATGTAGGCAAACAAGAAACCTTGCTTTTAATACAAATGCTTGAAATGGAGAGTCGAGGTTGGGTGGGAGTTTGAAAATGCTGAAAAGGTAATTGGAACATCCCACTCTACGGGCTGTTTACAAAAGCTGCCCCCTGTCTTTCCACCAATCCCCCGCAGTGGCCATCGACAGTGCAACGTAAGACAGATCAATCGTTATCTCTTCCATATCCCAAAGAGTTCCGACAAGACGACGTCAACAGAGAGAGATTATTCAAGTGTTTATAAGATAACACGGCATACAAACGAGGATCTCGTGTGCCACCTATTTATTTCTCATTACCTACCTCAAAGAGTAGCTGGACTATGTGCTACGCTGCTTCTATTGGCCAGCTAGTTCAACGCTATGTCTTGGCTTGGATTCATTGTTGATCTCGACTCGATGCGGCAGCGGATAGGTAGCACTCTGCATTATCCGGTCTTGACTTGCTAGGCGGTACTTCTTAATAGGAAATAAGCATCAGGTCGATTTCTTGGGTATATGTGTTTAAGGTTCTGCAATGAATTGATCTCCCCTTGTTATCTAGACACTAGTTGCTATTCATAGTGACGTTGATTAATAAGTGCTAGGTCCGCTAAGTCTGAGATGAAACTGACAACCATCAATAGGGCTTTTTGATAGTCCAGACACTTACCTAGTCCACGCACCGGACAAAAATAGGCGCACTTTGTATGATCTACAATTGATAGTGTACCTACCTCTTAGGTAGTGATGCTATATGCAACTCTTCAACTTGTCTATCATCGCTCATTCCCGATATTCGACGACGAGCATATCAACTTTGAATCTTGATATTATGATACTTATTCCCTCGGATTATGTCAAAACGATTAGTAAATTAAAAGATGATGTTGTTCTCGTTAGTAATCTATTTCTAAGTTGAGTCAGAAAACTCTTAATTCCTTAGGCAAGATGCGTCTTAATCTCATAGACTACGGTAGGTACCATTCGACTGTCTTGGCGGTATTAGCTATCTTCAATATCAAGTCAAAGCGTCCGGAGACCTGTCTCGATTTATCGTAGGTTAGATTCCCCCCAAGACTATCGAATCGGTGGTATTACGCGGCGGAGAAAGCTTGTTAGTCTTTGGAACGCACTGGGCCGCGGGGACAGATGGGGGGACCCTGGTCGCTTGGCAGGTCTCAAGACCCAAAATTGATACTCATCTCACACATTCGTCTTCTACATGCCCTCTCATATACCGCTACATATGCCGCCTCCCTGTTCTAGCTCGCCGCATTGGCTGGCTTACGGCACTTGGCGGGTTTAGCCAAGAGCCTCACTATCACGTACTTAGGACGGTGATAGCTGCTTCCGTGAATTTTTTGTTTCCTTGATCCTTGCTTTTTTAAACCCGGGTTTTGGGAGTTGTTGATAACGTCGTTTGGTATGTACCTGTATCTCATGGCGAACGACACTAGACTTGTCTACGAAGAGATCTCTTTTTACCTGCCAACGTGACACACTAAAAACCCTGCTTGGGATATTTTTAACATAGTTGTCGAAGGAGAAACACCTTGGCACCGGAGGACAATGGGCATCCCATGTTCTTCAACTACCTCTGCCACCTGGATTTTGAGGTCCCGAGTCGATAGCTAGGAGTTGCCGATGACACAGGATGTTTGGCTGTCGGTGTATATGAAGGCCTCTGTCGGCCCCCGAGATGATGATTTGGAGTTACTCAGCAGTGCTCAAGTCGTCGTCCGAACTTTCTCGTATTTCAGTCTCTTTCTTAAGTTTCTATTCGTCTTTACTTCTTCCGCTGGTCGCTTTATTTTTTATTCTTAATAACTATTTCCACTCTTTCTATATCCGGGGCATACCAAGCCAGCCAAGATAATTTGAGAACATTCTTCAAGAAATATTAGTCAAGATGGTCAGCTATCGTATGATTGCCGTTGCCGGCTTCCTCGCCAGCGTCAGCGCTCTTCCCTTAAATATCAACCTCGGCGCTTACTCCCCTGCATTGTACGTATTAGCCGGCATATATTAGGTACATATAACTATAAAGGTGTCTAATCAGTCTATAGGGTGGTTGGTGATGGTGAAATCTCATTCGGAGGAGGTCAAGATGTCACGAATTTGATGAACGCTCTGGAGGGCGCAGCAGTCAATGCCGCTACCGGGACAGCCAGAGGTGCCACAGAGAACGCCGCATCTGCACCGGTGACTACAACTAGCATCACTCCAGTGGCCGCTCAAAGTATCCCGAGCCCAGTTGCCGAGACTCCCAAAGCCTCTAAAGTTCCTGAAGCCCCTGAAGCCCCTGAAGCCCCTAAAGCTCCCGAAGCTCCTGAAGCTCCAGTTGCTCCCACCACTCCTATTGACCCTAACTTAGAGCAACAAGGTAAGCCACCAACTCTAAAAGAATTTTGGAGCCAAAAGCTAATAGCCATCCAGCTACTCAAATAGCCGGCCTCCAGGGCATGGGCAAGCAAATCGCCCCCCGTGATTCCGAGTCTCCCAAAGCAAAGCGCGACCTTGCGGGGTTCGACAGGGCTCTTACATACGCCGAGGCGGCATTAACTAAGGGCCCCTTGATCCAGCTTGGTACCGGCGAAGGCGGCGCTGGTGTCGGTATTATCGTCGATAACAACGGCGGCAAAGCTGGCGAGAAACCTGCTGCCAAGCGCGACGAGTCCTCGCCATCTCAGCCGCGGCGACGAACCAAGGTCACGCGCATGTATGTCAAGCGTGGTGTTCCAGCCGGTGAGTGAACCCCCCACCTTTGGAGTTTGTTTTTCATATGAGGTACCTACCTACCTACTATCTACCTACACAGTATACTAACTAGCGCGCTGGCGAAAGCTATCCAGGCATCTAGCGAATCCGAAACTCGTTCCGTCAGGGCCCTCCCCGTCGCGAACGTCCCGGCCGTAGCTAAGCGGGAGAGCACTTCTTCTTCTGACACGATCGACGCTATCAACCTAAATGTGAACGATAGCCAAGGGTTTACGATGACGTTTGTTGAGACGACGGAAGACGGTGAAGATGATACGATAGGTGAAGCGCAGGAGTAAGACGACAAGTAGTTATCTAGTATCTACTTACCTACCTCTACTTGCTCTTTATGTACTGCTTTGGCGCAATGTAATTTTTATCGTCGTGTTTTTTTTTCTTGATACCATGTATGGGAGTCAGGTGGGATGAGAGGGATTGATGTTTGGGACGATTCATCATATGTACGTTGCGGCACAGGTTTTCTACTTTGTTTTGGTTACAAAAATCTCTAGCTGTTAAAACGTGACTGCTCCGGCTTATGAGATATCTTAGGTAGTCGGTAGTATAATAAACCTAGATCGACGGGCCTGTCCATTCATAGGTATCTCTCGCTATAGTGATGTGGAAAGGAAACGAGATATCCAGTAGTATGCGCTGGGGCTTCCCTTGCACCGAGGCCATGTTGTAACACGTTGAAGCATCTAGCCCAATCAGCCAGCTGAGTAACAGGATTAACCTGTATCCACTTGATAGCAATGCGATATTCGAAAGAGGCATAATTACCTAAACACATGGAAGGCCGGGTGTTTCAGCGGGTTGAAAGCTGCGACAGAGCTAAGATATAATAAGAAATCGCCAAGAGCCTCATTAACTCCTTCACTGCGCCAAGACACCAACTGCCGGCTCCACAACGAATAATACCCCATGTACCTATCTTGAGTCTCTAACCCAGCAAGTGGTAGAGAAACTAGGTTGCTGAAACGCTTCCTATTTTCCACACGTAAGTCTTTACAGAAACAGAATACTGATACCTCAATATCATGAATAGGTAGGTTTGAGTTTAGTAGGTGTCAGATCTCGACTATTTATACCTGACTACAATAGTCCTATATCTCATCCGGAGCTCCTAGGAGTTAGAGCCTCAATGGCCTCATAATGTGCGGGAATAATCGGTCATCAGTCTAGGCACCTTATACCGACACCATAGCCGATTTGAAGTCCGATGTCCTCACTTAGGTTAGTTTGGATGGCGTATACCTAGCGCTAGAATCTACGGTCGATCTACCAAGTACTAGAACATCCTCTAAGAGATCAGCTCAACCCATTTTAACCGCTATTTAGATAGTCTTGTAAAAACTGCGAGCCAGTCTCGACTCTCTATCCCTCTCTCTCTCTCTCTCTCTACTTATGCCCATCTAATTCCCCCACTTCGCATATCCCTCATTCTTCTGCTTCTGTCTCGTGTTCCAGCCGAGTTTGGCGCTGATGCTCTTCACCCAGTCCTCGCTTCTCCGTCCTCGGGGCTGGACGCTCGCGAATGGGAACCGGCTGGCGCTGATCGTCACGTAGTCGCCGGGGAAGAGCTCGATGCGCTCGCGGCCGTCGAAGCTAGCCCAGCTGTTGGTGCGCGCGTTGTATGGCACGCCAAGTCGCAGCACGATCGTGTCTGGCAGAATGATCGGCCGGAAGGACAGAGTGTGCGCGCATATCGAACTAATTAGCATTACTGGATTCTCCGGGTGACAGAGTGAACCGCCTGTAGCGAGGTTATACGCTGTTGATCCCGTGGGCGTTGACACGCATACGCCGTCCGCGAGCACAGACGTGAAGTGCTCGTCGTCGCCGAAGATTTCAATGTTGGACATTGCTAACAATGTTCAGCTCGGTTTGGCTTAGTTAACGAAATCGCACGCGATGCTTACTTGGATTGGGTCCTCTGTCTACCACGATTTCATTGAGAATCTCATAAGTGCCGTCCGGCCTGTGCGTGTGCTCATCGTCCCGATCCCCACCGATAAGTTCCTCTATCAGGTCTCGCTTACGGTGAGCCTCTTTCTCATCTTCGGACTGAATTTGGTCTAACTGATTGGCCTTCTTCTTTTGACTTCTCATAACGGTTCCTTCGAACCGTAGACGCAGGCTTACTGTTACGCCGTCCCTAAAGGCCGTGGAGAGTATGTCCTGGTAGTCGTTGAAATCGAATTTGGTGAGGAATCCGAGGCTGCCTAGTGAAAAGCTCAGGACTGGCGGTACTATCCGTTGAAATAGCCAACTCGCATACAGCACAGTTCCATCGCCTCCAAGGGTGATGACGAAGTCAAATGTGTGTGGTCGCACATGGCACATTTTCTCGGCCCAGTAGCGTAAGCGACCTTCTAATGTACCTTCTGGGGTTTCGCTGTCCGTCTGACCTACGTCGATGTATTCTTGGCGGAGTTCCTGCAATAGGCCGGGCGCATCAAACTCCTTATTGCTTTGCAAGCTCTCTTCCACATAGACAGTATACCGAACATCTCTGTCCTTGCTAAGGAGCCATTTCGCAATCTCTCTCGTTTTCGGTATTAATTCGCGGTCATACGCTTTTGTCAGGAGGAAGATGCTCCTAGCCTTGAACTTTAGTTTTATATTTCCTAGTCTTCTACTAAGCTCCCGAACTCCCCACGCCATGTCGGTCAGTTGCTTCTTGGTAAGGAGACGGCTGTTGAGGCCCTGGTGGTGGTCTACACCAGCCTTGCCTTTTTTGACGGCTTTCCTCCATACCTGCTCGTCGGCTTGACCTCGATCATTGCTAGCATCACTGTCTTCTTCTGTCGTCGATGGGAGCTCGAGTTGGCTAACAGCTTTTCCTTTGGGCTCAACGTATTCATCCAGGCCCACCTCACGCGTAATCTCCTCGTGTTTATGATTGTCATGGTCTCTATTGGCGCGTTTAGGTCTATCATACCTATGACCCTCGAGGAACTGATGTACTAAGCACTGGGTTGCAGATGGTTTTGACCTGGATGTGGCGAATTGAGCTGTAGCCGCTTCGCTCTGTATCATAGAGCTCTTTCTCCGATTGGGACTGCTCGCATCAAAAGTGACCTTATTATAATAAGAGGCTTAGAATTGCATTCGTAATATTTTTTTTCCAAAAAAAGGAAAAAAGGCGACGCTTACTTCAACTGCGTTATAATCATCATCGCTTGCGCTGGAACACCTATCATCATATTGGTCTCCATTCGCCGTTCGTAAGTAATCGGCACCGTAACCTGTCATAGTTGATACTAAGGGAGAAAGTAAAAAACAAAGAGTGCTCGCTTAAAAGGTTACAACATAGGAAGGCCTCGAAATTTGAGTTTCAAATTGTTCTAAATTTTTATATAGGAGATGCCAGAAAAATCGTTGTTGAAAACTTACCAGAAGGTAAATGAATGAGAGTGGAAAGAATCTCAAGTCATTGCGTCAGTGTCAGTCTTAAGTTCCCACTTAATTAGGTACACTTGAGCTAAGGTTAGAGCTTGCTGTGCGGGTCCTTAGTAATGCCCCGCGGAATCGTTATCGATTATTAGATTAGATTAGATTAGATGCCTGTCATTATCCTCATCCTCATCCTCAATGCGATGCCAAAGAAAAAGAAACCCAGTGGTAATAATACGAATGTACTAAGAATCTTTTCTTTATAAAGTTGTACAAAATGAAATGGAGTTATACGTAATTTTTAGGATGTTGCATTGCTTTCTAAATTAAACATCTGCATTATATCTTTGATTTAACAGGTACCTAATACTTAAAAGTGACTTTTCCTCGGACTTAGTCAGCGCCCACACCGGCTTACCCCGGCCTCCCGTCCGACATGGAATTAATTTGAACTCGACGGCGTTTGAACTTTAATCGGGAACACGGGAATACCAAACTAAAAATATCGGCGGATTAATTATGAGCGGGATCTTGTCCTGTCCTGACTAAAACCCCGAAATCCCGGTTTATCCCCGTGCCGAACTGTCAGTTGTCAAAGACAGCGTCTAGATCTTCAAGCTAAAAGCCTGCGCGGGGTTGTCTTATAAGTGCCACAGGTGTGTAATTCATTACGTATCCGACTAAGCTATTCGCAACTCCTCATTTCTTCATGAATATATAACCTCAGACTTACTCTCAAGAAAATATCTTTATTTCTTTCAAACGCTGTTACAATATCACCGTCTAAAAGGTATTACAGTAGACCCCGACCGTAAAGATGAGCTCCCAACCGAGAATTGCTGCCTTGGACGTAAGTTCACTCTCCTTATTCGCTGCCAACTTATAAATATGAATTATTAATTACCGATGCATAAAGGAAACGCTGGCCGGCAGCCTACCGAATGTCTCCAGAACGCTCTTCGCCGCCAAGACCCTACATGGTTACACGTTCGAGGATATCGCGCAGAAGCTAGGACGCAGCGAAGTCGCCGTTGCTGCGCTATTTTACGGCCAAGCCACGGCATCCGACGAGGATATCGATAAGTTGGCGGAAGTCCTTCAAATCCCACGGCAAGGGCTGAACGAGCTGTCTGTTGGGTTCCCGAATCGGGGACGTGTGGGCCCGATGCCTCCCGTAGAGCCGCTCATCTACCGATTATACGAGATCGTGCAAAACTACGGATATGCTTTCAAGGCGGTTATGAACGAGAAGTTTGGCGACGGTATCATGAGCGCTATCGCCTTCTCTTCTAAGGTTGAGAAGGAGGTCGATAATGACGGTGTCACGTGAGTACTCTCTGAAGCCTGCTTACTAGATATGAACCGGAACTAACTTTGAGATATAGTTGGGTGAATATTACGCTCCGAGGAAAATGGTAAGTGAACTTGTTCCTAGAACTATGGTTACGTTAAGGCTTTGAGGTGCTAACTCTTATATAGGTTGCCATTTACTCGATTCTAATTTATCTTTATACATGGCGCCGAATATTTAGCTTCGCCATGTGTACGGCAGTACCGCTTGAAATGTATTTATACAGTTGGTTAAGTAGGTTAAGAGGTACCTAGCCTACCTCATACTTAACTCCTATGGACACTTTGTAGTTCCCACCTTTATACACAAAACAATGGGTTATATATAAAGTATTCTTATCATCGTGAACCAAAAAAAAAAAAAACCAGGTGCCTTTCGCCCAATCCATTATGGATATTTTGAAGTCAATTTTAAACTCCCCGCTCATCAAATACTCCTTGATTCTAGTCCGTTGGCTCTGTCGCCCTGCTTTTCCCCTTGTCTTTCGCTTTGTCTTCTCTCCAGAACGGCTCCACTCCCATCTTCTGGAACCTCTTCCCTTCGTAGTTCTTTGTGGCGATCCAATTACTAACAAACACAATCAAAACCACCAAAAAGATACCTATGCCTGCCGCCAACGGTGCGATAATCGAAAAGACCGTAAATCCGTAGCTTGCATTCTGGAACGCCTCGTCTTCTTGCAGTCTTTCCACCCCCAGGCCGACTTGCATCGCTGTCAGTACGATGACGACGTAACCGAGTATGGTCGCCAGCGCGGCAAAGTTGTCCCGAATCAAATCGCCGTAGACCGTATGGGCTGCGATCTTGGAGTAGCCGCGTAAGATGAAACCTTTCCGGATTCGGTAGATCTTGTTCAGCCGGCTCAGACGGAGTTCTCCGTACCAGTATCTCGGATTGACAGACGCATAAGCGTGGCCATCCAGAACTTCCTTGGCGAGGTTCCTCCATCCGTCCCACGTAATACTGAGGGGTAGTAACCCCTTCTCCTGCGCGATGCGGAAGTCGCTCTGGTACATGATCAGTGCGGCGTAGGAGTAGAGGTAGCCTCGCGCGCATTTGGTGAGTTCCTCGTCATGAATGATATGGGTAGCCCAAAAATCGGGAACGAGGAGATATAACGGGATAGGTTTCAAGAACATGCGATTCTTCGACCAGACGAGATGGAGTTCTGGATTCTCGCTGATGGCGATCTCTCTCGAGAGGAGGATCTGGTGGTGTAGTGGGCGGGGAGGCATTGGCCGACCACATAGCCAAAGCCAGTCTTGGATGTCATTCAACCTCCGAACAAGGAGTTCTTGCTGCAGGAAGCTTCTATCAAGTTGAGGCACAACTATATGATCATTTGTTGTACGACGTGAAGCTGGGAGGAGTTCAGAGAAGTCTGAACCTGAAACCTGTGATGGCGCCTTAGGTTCCTCTTGAGATCTAAGGACTTGAGTTTTGAAGGGGATGCATAATGTACCCATGGTTACGTGCAGGGAGGCATGAGAATGTTCGTCTTCACTTGGTAACCAAAAAAGAAAGAATTATTTCCGTTCATCACAGGATGGCTGAAGGGGGTTATAGCATGCTAATATGGTAATCATCTATTTAAACGTAATTAAACTATTTCATGTGGCATACTATGTAAGCGCTTCGGCTCTGTTCGTGGATCTATTTTTCAAACGGTAAGCAGGGGTAATATTCAGCCCTTCAAGGTGGACATGGGGTCATAATTGAGCATTGGCTGCATCCCCGACGCCTCAATCTTAGAGTCGGAGATCATACTGGATTCGATCATTAATACCTTTTTGTCCTTGGTCGCCTTTACATGGTATAATACTGCAAGCGGACATCTTACCTGCAGTAAGAAAAGCCACCAAAAAGTCTCATCTCATTGGGTGTCCAGAAATAGTATTAGCCAAGAGAATCGCACTTTAGGCATCCAAACCGTTGATAATCTAAGAAGTGATTAATCAGCTTTAGGCTTAGCATCGTGCGCCTATCGGGAGATAGCGAGCGACCAGATCATTACACCCTAAGATGAAGCTAGACTGGCGTGACAGGTCTTAGATCATTCAAGGTATCATTTTTAGCATCTTCGGGCTAGCCCATGGAGCATGGTTTGCGAGGATTTCTATCAGCCGCACAAAAAAGTCCATGCTCGAGTCACATAATTCGCTGGCCATGTACTTTGTCATGCTACTGGGTCCGAAAGGACTTCAGGACTCTGAATCGTTCCGTCACCCTAGACCATGTAGGGACTGGGGTCACCTGTTGTCCGGGTTGACCTATAACTCATGTTGCCCCATCCACGAGGAGTCTTGACTTGAACCTTCGTTGAAGAGTCCCGAGACCTATAGTCGTGTCGCCATGTCTCTGCAACGCTCCGTGACGCGGAAGGCCGCTACAGGACCTGCTCGACGGAAGAAAGACTATGACATCGTCCAGCAGGGCGTTAAAGAGCTTTACCCACTTGACAAAACTGATATCGAACCGGAAATTGAGTAAGTTGGAGAATTATAAGTCGTTATTGAAAGTCGCTTTCTGGCTCTAATCATCTTTTAGCATCGTCTTTGTGCCGGGCCTTGGCGCACACCCGGAAGATAGTTGGAAATCAGAAAATACCGGCTTCAACTGGACTACTGATGGCCTCGTTAGAGACTTCCCAAGGGCTCGTATATTGCTATACATGTACGAGTCAGCATGGACTGGTTCCCTAAAGGTGAAGCAGTTCATGAGCAATATTGCTACGACTCTGCTTAATGGTTTAAGAAGTAAGAGAGAGGTAAGCTGCATACCCCAAATTTGTCGCTGATACATTTTGACTTACATATCCATATGCGGGGTGACAGGGCGCAGTACAACGACGTCCAATTGTGTTTATTGGCCATAGTATGGGAGGTCTAGTCGTCGCAAAGGCGATAACTATGGCAGACTCTCGAAGAGATAAATATCCCGTCATGTTCGAGGCTATAGCCGCGGCTATTTTCTTCGGTACACCGTTTAACGGAGCACCAGTTGCTTCCATCGCCGCCATGTACTCATATTTCGCCGAGAAGACCGGCACAGCAACCGCTTCTAAACTACTAGACCTAATGAAGCCTGGAGATGAAGGCCTCAGAGAGCTCAAGCACGAATTCATGCGTCTTGTAGGAAAGTTAAGCCCCAAGATCGATTTGCTATGTTTTTATGAGGAACAGCCGACCGATTTCGCGAAAATGGCCGGTTTATCCGACCTGTTCGGGATGAGCAAGCTCATTATTCCTAAATCCTATGCCGATTTCGTGAGTCGCGATTCTGCGACGCTTCCGGGTGTTGATGAGCAAGGCTTGGCGCGTAACCACCGCGATCTTGTTAAGTTCGACGGCCCGAAAGATGATCAATGGAACCAGTTTGTGAAAGATCCTCTGAAAAGGATAATCCACGGTGCCCAACTGGCGGTCAAGAATCGTCTGAATTCGGTCCGCGATATTGATCGGAAAATGATCAATAACATCATGGAAGCTTTAGATGGTGCGCAGGTTTCCAGGAAGCGCAAGGCCCTGGCGCAAACATTTGCTTCATCCTCCTGGATCACGAAGGAAGAAGAATATATACAATGGCTAGCTGATGATAATAACAAGAATGATGAGGCCCAGACAACTCACGCTGCTAATTGCTTATGGATTCGAGGACCAGAAGGGCGAGGGAAAACCAGCGCTTCTTTAGCGGCTGTGGACGAGATCGACAAGGTTAGAGATACGGATTCGAACCAAGGGGCGATCTTGCTTGCCTATTTCTTTTGCGAGCCTACTACAGATTATTGTACCGCTGAGGATGTCCTCAAGAGTATTGTGATTCAGTTAATCGACCAACAAGAGATGCTTGCTTCTTATGCCAAGCTATTTGCTAAGAAGCGAGGCGAGGGGAATAAAGCCCAGGTAACGGTGGAGAACTTATGGCAGGCCATTCAGGATATGCTTGTAGATGAATTCATCGGCAGCAAGGTTATATTTGTCCTCAATAACCTACATGTCCTTCCGGAGGATTCCGACTCTACCATCAAGCTAATGAACTACTTGAACGCCGAGCTCCGGGGCGTCAATAACACAGATCCAAAGCGAGTCCCGACCAGGTGGATGATAACCAGCAGAGAAGCCCACAATATCGAGGAAGCACTCAAAATCGAGGGTGTCCGTCTTGTTGACTTTGAAGACGAGAAGTACGGAAACCAGGTTCAGACGGCGTTGCGCAAGAGAGCTAAAGAGCTAATCGCTACGCTCGAAAAGGAGAAGAACTATAACAAGGCACTCTCATATTTCGCAAGCAGTCTCATCGGAAAGCGTGCGCAAAATACACAATGGATCGACATTACCTGCGTCCAACTCCAAGAGCTTCCGGAGGCTGAGAGCGATCTCAAAGTGCGTCGGGTACTCGAGAAAATGCCACAGGATCTTACAACACTCCTGAATAACTCGTGGCTTCAAATATTCAAAGCTAACGAAGCCGATATCGAACAAATGAAGGAGATGCTGCGCGCCCTTGTACTCACTTACGAAGACCCGACCGAAGCAGAACTAAGTGTACTCGCTGGTTTTACCACGAACGAGGGAGAGGAATCCAAACTCCGAATGTTGGTGGACATGTGTAAGCCTTTGCTGACCATCAAGCGGGGAAGTAATTCGATTTCCTTCATGAACGTCGTGGTCAAGAACCATCTCCTAGAGAATGCCAAGCAGCTTCTCGGCATGTCAGAAGAGGAGAAAAAGTGGCAACACGGCGTTCTTGCGTTTAGGTCGTTCTTGCATGTAAACGACAAATTCAATTTCCCCGCTCAAGAAGAAACAACTGGGGAAAATCAGCCTCAAGAAGATGGGGAGGGAGGGCACAATGAGGAATATCAGGACGAAGATGAGGACTGGGATGAAGAAGAAGAAGAGGAAGAGGAAGAGGAAGAAGAGAGCGAATATGATAGTGAGAGCGAACCCGATAGCCAGGATGCGGATCCTGAGGCCGATATTCTTAATAATCTAGCTTGTAAGTTAAGGTTCTCAGTCCTAACACCATTGTCTATCCTACAGAAAAAAAATTCAAAGACCCGAGAACAGCCTGGGAAAACTCACTCCCTCACGAGCAACCGCTAACTCTTACCAACACAGTGCCGTACACAGTCAAATACTGGCTACGCCATGCTAGTAAAGCTACGCGTGAGATCGCTGAGGACTTAAGTTTAGAAGAAGATTTCTGGAAGTCAGATTCGAAGATACGACACCGCTGGCTTGTAGAATACTGTCGCATGACCAGAATTTTTGACGGGTTCGACTATAAGACATTAACAGGGTTACGTACGTGCTTCCGAACCTCCCTTCCTATTTGCCCCTATTCGGAACAAACTTCGCTTAGGGTTTTGTAACATTATACGAGGAAACACTCAGCTCATATTCATCTTATGGTAACTATTGCTGATTTCAGAGGCTACAGACATTGCCGCCTCCGTCGGTTTTCGGGAACTCGTTGCAGCGCTAATCCGAAATGGCTACGAAGACCAAATTCACATCCGTGATTCGATGGTTAATACTCCAGTCAGTACAGACCATATTCCTATTCTGATGCTATCGCTAATGTCGTACCAAGCTACACTTTGCGGCCAACTTTGGACGTCCAAAGATCGTCGAGGAGCTCCTGAACAGAGGCGCTGTAATTGACGACGGGGATGAAATCAGCGAGCAGACGCCTTTACACATGGCTGCTTTCGGAGGCCACGTCGAAGTTATGAAAAAGCTGCTATTGAGAGGTGCGAACGCTAACGCAATGTCCAAGGATATCGGCCCAGTAGTAAACGCGGCAATCTCCTCCGGCAACCGGGCGTGTGTGGAACTCCTTATCGAACGGAACGTCTCGTTAACGGTCGACCAACCTGACATTGACGCGCCCCTGGCACTGGCCGCGTTGCTATCTGACTTTTCCATGTTCGAGTATCTAATTGAAAAATATGCGGATAAATTGCCACATGAGGAATATAGCAAGGCGTTTGTTAAGGCCGCGGAGGCAGGTCGAGTGGAAGTGTTTAACAGGATGCTCGAGTACGAGCACACTGATGAATATTTCCAACTTGCTCTCGATGCTGCCGTTGAGGAGTGGAACTGGGATATTGTTACGATTATCTTGGAAAAGCACGAAGGGCTTAATGTCGACGATGCCTTCTACGAAGCGGCTACGGGCACCGAGCAGCAAGACAGGCTTTTAGACGTGTTCTGGGAGTATTCTGGCGGCGGGATAAGCCCGGAGAAACTCAACAGTTCTCTCTACGACGCGACTGACAGAGAAAAGGAGTCTACGGTGAAGTTACTCCTCGAGAAATACAAAGCGGATCCTAATGCTACCGGCATCGAGTAAGTCGCCCACCATAACCATTATAGAATCCAAGTTGCTGACACATTTAAAGGTACGGCAATGCCTTAACGGCTGCTGCTTACGATGGGACTATGGAAATCATTCGAATGCTCCTCGATGCCGGTGCCGATGTCAACGCGCCGGAAGGATGGGCCCTTCAAACAGCTGCTACCGAGGGTCATTACGATGTCGTCGTAGAACTTCTAAAGCGCGGGGCCGATGTGAATGCCTTCACTCACAGCGAGTACTTTGAGCCAGGCACTGCTATCCAAGGAGCGTGTGAAGCGGGAAAGACGGACATTATCACTTTGCTTCTTGAACACAATGCAGACCCCAACCTCGGAGGAGGCCGCGATGCACCACCAATCATTGCAGCCGCCATCCGTTCCGAAGAAGAAATCCTCGAGAGCTTAGTCAAGGCGAAAGCACGTCTAGATGTGCGTGGTAGCGGAGGCTGTCCGTCAACACCGCTTTGCTTAGCTGCTACCTATATGCCTTTGTCGTCGCTCCAGCTGTTGCTTGACGCAGGCGCTGACATCAATCTCCCCGGCGAAGACGGGGATACCGCCCTTATCGCATCCGCATCCAGAGGCGACGAAGAGGTCGTTTCATTTTTAATTAACAGAGGTGCCGACATTATGCAATTAAATGAAGATGGCGACAATGCTCTACAGAGGGCGTTGGCCAACGAAAATGGGGAATGCTTGCGAGTTCTTGTCGATCATGTCTCGATACTCTTAGGAGCCCTCAAGAAATCCATGGACTCTGGTAACAATGCAGTTACCAGCGTTGTGCGAGGCGCGTTTAACAAACAGCAAGAGCTCAATTATGACGATGAGCCTCAAGAAGCTTCGACGGGCGTCGAGTCCCCTAAACCATTGATTGTAAAAGACAATGAAAATATTCATTCCACCGCGGCGTCATTGCCTGACGGAGCTCAAACAGTCGAAGATGATGCCCAGGACATCAGCCCTACAGATGAAGAGTCTTCATTCCACCAGATGTCTGAACGGCTCAAATCTGCTATAGCTAACCAGGCTGCTCTGTGGAACGAGTTTGCGAGCACCAGATCGCCAACCCCTCCTAACCCTGAACAGCCTATCTACGAGCCTAGCGGTCAGGTTGAGGGAGGTGTTACCTACAACGTAGATCACCATATAGAGATTGAGCAGCCCCAAAAGGCGACCCCAGAGCCATTGCCCGTTGAACTTCCTGTCCACGAACCTTCCCCGGAACCTGTCTACGAATATATTAAGAGGAAGCCGGCACCAACTGTTTCGTATGATAACCAAGCTACATATAGCCAAACGCAGTCCTCGGCGCCGCCTCAAGTATCAGCCAGTTATGCCCAAGTAACTATAGAACCTAGGCCGTACGACCAACCCATTAGCGCATACAGGCCCGATCAGGCCGCTGCTGGTAGGCAGTCTCAAGAAATCCCCTCGTATCAGAGACCACAGAGCCAGGCCGTACAACCAGAACCGTCTATATCCTATCAGAACATGTATGCGTACGCGCAAAACCGGCCTTCTCAGATATCAGAGCATTATCACAGCTCGGCACAAAACCAACCCGATGGTTCTCTATATAATAGCACCGATGATGTCGACGCAACTCCGTCCCAACCCCCTACGACTCAGTATCCTCCTCAACAACCCGCCTACGCCGCGTATAATCCAGGTACACATAGTCCACCGCAGCAGGGGTCAGCGCCGCAACAATCCTACAACCCGAGCAATCCAATCCAGGCATATCAGGGGCAGGCCTACCAGCCGCAGGACTGGCAGCAGCAGCAACAGTATCAGGGGTACTACGGGAACGCTCAAAGCCAGCAGCAACATAACGCGAGCACCTCATACGATGGCTCCGAATGGGAGCAAGGTCGTCCGCCGCTCAAGCCTCAGAGGTCGTCATTCTTTGGGAACGGGATGAAGAACACGCTTAACAAGACGAAGATTATGGGAAATGGTATCTTTAGCAGGAAGTAGGAAATGAGGAGTCTAAAGCGAATATGGTAATGTCTAGGTTGATAGTTTGTACGTGTGTGGAAAAAAAATATCTTAATGGGATATGAGTACCTAGGATTTACTCAACGTAGAAAAGTGGGGAAAGGGAAAAAGGGGGGTGGGAGAATATGTAGAAGACTTTTTAAAACATATAATGGTAGTATGGTATTTGAACATGACAGTGTGTATCTGCAAATAAAATAATATGCTATTACTCATCTACTTGAAATATTCTTATACAAATGTTCTCTTCGTCCTCATGTGTCATGCTCGAGAATATTTCTACACTCATCCGCGGGAGTGGGCCCTAGGCAGAAAAGAATGTAAGTAAAACCAGATAAAGAAATTTATCTATTGCTTAAGAAATGGTCATGATCTGTTGGCTTTTGCGTACTTAGGTTAGTTTAGTTCGAAGATAATACTGTAGAGACGTAATCGTAGATAATATGTGCCACGTGAAAGATTCAATGTGCAGCTGCCATAGCTGACCTACGCAACCTTCGTTATTATGCAAACATCTTTTTCGAAACAAGTTCGTTATTCTATTGTTTATCTCTTTCACAATGGCTCGCACTCTTGATGCCCCGTGTATATCAGAATTTTACGCACTTGCACCTTCCAGAACACACAAACAAGTCCGCATAATCGCCGCCTTGACTGAAGAGATTTTTCTTGGGCATTACTTTAGTTTTTCCTATAAAGGTCGATGTCCTCCCCCCATTCTCTCCCACATCCATTTTGCTTCATGCACAACTTGTTTACTTGACCTGCCAAAACTACAAGAACCTATCTTCACCCTCAAGCATTCAAGTCCATTCACTCATACCAATACTCCAACCCAAAGCTTGCTGTCCTAAAGCTAGACTTCGCTCATAGCATACAAACGCTTCGCCTATCGAGAACTCGTAAGTATTCCTTCCGACCCCTTCTATGTTTACTTTCCTCACGTCGCCCTTTTGCAACGCGTACTGCTTCTTACCAAAGCAACAATACCTGACAGTCTGCTCTTACTTAGTGCTCATACGACCTTCGTTATCTCATTCTTTACCCGTTAGAAATCTACGGAACAAGAAAAATGTCGTCCCCCACCGAGGTCGCAGACACTCCTACCCTTGGCAATACTCATGCCTTATATGCCGGACAATCCGCTATCAGCTTGGACAATAAGCTGTCCGCTGTTGTACTCCCTAAAACCAGCAGTGTCTACCCTCTCTCGGGGCTCTCTAAGCTCCTCGACAATGAAGATACTTACGACCCGAAGCCTCAGCTCAACCAATACTGGAAGGACCATATGACCGAGTATCTAGACAACGTAGAGACTAAGGTCCCTGCCAATCCAGCTACCCCCGCTGGCAACCCCAGTCAAAGCCAGGGGAGCTTCACTTCAAACTACGTTCGGCAGCACGCCAAGATCTTTGGTAAGGGCAAGAACCCATACCTCGCTCAGGTCGCTAAGGTCCCCGAACCAGAGCCGGAGCCAGAGTCGAAGAGCGATAATAACACTGTAAACCTGGAGGATTTCATCGATCCGAGCCTTCTAGCCCAGGATACCGCCCAGGATACCGCCCGCGAAGCTTCCTCCGTACAGGAAGCTAGCAGCTCTATCAGATTGCCGATGACTGAGTCGTTTGTAAATGGTATCATACAGGATATCAATGCCATTGGTAAGTTATCAGCTCTTCTTATCAACCATACTTGTCGTTGAGATAAACTAATGATCATGCAGAGCCGCTGTTGGAGGACGAGACATGGGTCTCCTTGCTAGATCCGGCGTCCAAGGTGGTCCCAGCGCCGGATATGGGACTTGGCCCGCAGGCATTTATGGGAACGGCGCCCTACACACAGCCGGCCACCCATGCTGTGCCAGTCCCCTACGCGCAGCCGTACCCTTACGCTGGACCGGTTGCCCCTGCTGGACCGGCATTCTACACGCAGCCGTTGCCTTATACGGAGCCGCTGTCATATATGGGTCAAGCGCCATACACAGGACCGGCTTATACGCAAGCGATGCCGCCGATGAACCAAGCTTTTAATACCCAGCCAGCTTCGTATCCGCAGCTGAACCCTTACCATCAACAGGGCATGCCTTCGGGGCCGGTGGCATACCCACAATTCGGTCCTTCTCCACCAGCGGCGCCGTATGCACAGCCGGCATCATACCCGCAGCCGTTCTTCAATCCCCAGCCAACGCCCGGTGTAAATATGCAACCAGGGTTCCAGCCACAGCCCGTCCAGGCGCGGAACGTCCAACCCGACTTCCTCGCCATGCCTCCCCCTCCTCCGCCCCGCGAGTTCACCAGCCACTACTTCAACAACATGTCAGCGGTCGACTATGGTATTTCTACTAGGCAGTACCTAAACCAGCAAGTCGGCTTCTCGGCACCCGGTGATCTCCCGGCGACGAACCCTCACTGCGCCCTGCCAGAGTCGAACGCATTCCCGTACTATCAGGTTGAGTCGCCCAAGGGTAAGGGCAAGGCTCCCTGCAGACGAGGGGGGAACACCAACGATTTTATGGGGATTATCTGATGAGTTGTACTGCGGGGGTAAGTAGTACGCTGTGGGAGGATGCGGATAGGCCGCGGTTTTTTCTTATGTTTATTATGACTTGATTATGAGACGAGGGGAGGGAGGACAGGGGATAGCGGCTTGGTTTATGAGCCATGGATGGTCATATGGCGTTTGTTTCTGCCTTGCAAGGCGGCAGTGGTATTGCATCATTGATGCTTTTGCTAGGGGAGTTTAGGGAGGTCGGTTCTTTTTTTAAGCCATTCGGCGGGGAGTTCTTGGAAGGATATTCATCTGATCAAGGAATTAAACGGAGGTTTAAAAGCTCAATACCCTAGGGTTCTTTTCTATTCTTTTCTTTATGTGTTCTTGTCCTTCTCTTGCAGGTAGTGGCCAAAATGTCCTGACTTACTTTCCTGCATATGGCATACACGACAGACGGGACTGTTTCCCTCCATGTATTCAAAGGTATTTCCTTATGGTCAATGGATCTCAATCATAGATCTGTAACCCTAAAGTCTCACTGAAGAAGCTCAAGTGTCTGGATGCATGGGGCATGCTTATCACCACACTTACCTTAATATCGCTTGTGTCGTGAATGTTGATAACTGTACTAGGTACATACCTATGTAGTAAATCCATAAAGTTTCTTTCGAAACAGCCTTTGTAAAAATGTGATGGAAAAAAATGAAATGATTTTACTTAGTATCAAACTCATTATATAAGATGTCATTGAGGATTTCCTTAAAGCACGTAAAGGAGCTTATATCATAATAGATCATAATAACTAAGAAGATCTAATATGGCTTATTCAGAAGTGAATCATACCATTACTTGTGTGCTTAACTACTATGAGCCGTGGGTAGCTGAAGGCCTGATATTTGCCTCAGGCAGTTATGCAGCAAATACAAGGAAATCAGGTATGAGCCAAATTCAAATTCAAGTTTGAAAACACCCGAAATCACACATGACTAGCCGCAAGACGATGAGAGTATCCAGCTAAAACATTATTTAGGTACTTCCCAGCTATTATTGACTAGGTTAGGTAATTATGAAATTGGACTCGCATCAAAAATGCGTTGTAGGATTAGGAAGAGCTCAAGGCTTTATTATGGCCCTACCCTAGTAGCACACAGATATGGTAGATCACCTGCCTGTCACCTGTTCACCAGCTGCAAGCACTAGTCATAAAAATAGGGGTAAATAGGGGCTAGGCAATGGGGGTAATACGATTATATAGCATAATCGTTTTGGAGTGAACTCGATTGATTTCAGGAAACAAACACAATATGCGCTTATTGTTTATCAAACACTTTTAGTTTGTCGTTTCAATCGGAAATATCATCCGCTCCTAATGCCCTCAAACTTGTTTAAATACAGAACATAAGTATAAATTGCCTGTTTTCTGCACGGGTGGTTTTAAAGCTCTCCATTCCTTCATCATTAGAACGCAAGTAGCTTCCACACACCTTCGACCTAATTTATCATGTGGACCTAATCGCGATCGATGGAGAAAATGTATATGACTTAGAGATAGTGTACTTGGGGGTGGGCATAACGATGAAAAGCTTTTCTTACCCACTCCGCGACACAGTGGGCAATAACATAAACAAGATAAATGACTCTCATCTTGTACCTGCCTACCTTATATACCTTAAGATATTTTATGTCTTATCTAGTGGGTCGCAACATCATTAACACACACTTGGTGCCGTGACAGACCGACATACGCTCTCAGTTCAAAAGTAGATTAGGTACTCACATGCTTACATCACCGGGTAGCGGGTAGCGTACCTAGTTCTGATGTACCTTCTTAACGAAAGTTAGGCCATTAAGGTCGTTATTCTTATGTTACCACTGTGTTAGGTAAGTGCGTTGATCGTACGCGCACCTACCTACAGCTGTGTGCCAATGCCTCCTTCAGCAACCATCTCTATAGTCCATCTGCAGAGACCCACCGGGAGAATATAAATATGTTTCATGCCCACCACCTTTTCAGCTTCCTGATTATTCTTCTTTTCACTCTCATTTGGGATAAACTGGAAGCATTCTGCCAGAGTCTCATTGGTTTCATCCACATTACTACCATCCTTAGAGCTACCACCGTTAACGCTTTACCTACCGGTACCTTATTCCAATACATAACTTACCACCTTCAAGGTAAGTAATTGTCCCTCTTATTTACCTATCCTACTAAAGTTACTACGAAAAGCTAACTTCCTAGTCTGCTTCGAAATGGCGAATAAGAAGGGATCTGGAAACCACAAGAAGGGGTCGCGAGAGAACCCCATCTCTCTTCACGATGATACCGCCTCAAAGGCCTCGGTCCAGCGCGGAAATAACAATGCTGACGGAAATTCCAAAGCATCTCCTGCGAAGCCTAAGCAGACACGGGCCAAGGCTTCGACTAGCAAGAAAGGGAAGAATAGATTTTACCTGCCCATCTCTGACTCTGAATCTGAAGTCGAGAAGAAACTCGAACGTGAGTACCCACGAAACTCGAGATGCATAGACGAACTAATTGCTAACAATTCGTCAGCCTGGTAACATGGCCCAACGGACGAGGAATTCTTCGCACCATCGGCAAGGCCTCAGGGTGACCGATTTGGCACGTGGCAGCTGCACAAGCAGCTGCGGGAGAACGCTCAAGCGCGGAAGGACGCCGGACACAAACCGCCAGATGAGGAAGACTACAAGGATCTCGATGGTGATGATGACCTCCTCTTTAAGGAGGAGACTCGGCCCAAAAAGCGGGGCAAGAAGCAGGCCGGTCCTGCGGTCCGCAAGCGTGCAAAGTCTTCCTGGAAGCCTTTTGTTAGCAGCTCGAAAGCTATGGACCACTTGATGGCCCGGGTCGTAGACAAACGTCGACGTGATGATAGCGACTGAGGTCAGAGGCCGTGGGACTGCATTGGATAGCATGAGGGGGAGTGACTGTCACGGTACGGTCCTTATAGGTGGATATAGCATCGTCAACCCCTCGAGTTGACATCGATCTACTTTTTGGTAGTGTAGCGGTTTGATAGCTATCTTCCGAACTCTTACACATCGTCTCTAGATATTTCTGTGATTCCTCTCTGACATATCATAACTACCTACCTATCTTCACGAGTAACTGCCTGCTTGTCTGTTTACATCTTGCAATCTCGGAAAAAAAGATAACACTATCGCCCATATCTCGACAATGGCGAACAAGGCAGCAGGCCACAAAAAGGGATCTCGCGAGAACCCGATTCCTATTGATGACGAAAATACTTCTAAGGCTTCTAGCCGACGTACTCAAGCATCCAAGTCTAAGGGTAACCGATCTCAGGAGAAGTAAGAGACCCCAACCAAGAAGAAGGAAAAGAAAGCAAAGAAACTTTCTTCCCGTGCCCGACTCTTCTACAATGATTCTGACTCTGACGTCAAATCAAGCCGTGAACGTAAGTCATCAAAAAATGGTTAAAATAATACAAATACCTAAAAGCCTACTGTTAATAATATATTAATAGCTTGGCTGTTTGGCCCGACAGGCGAGGAGCTTCTTCAACCCTTGGCGGGGCCTTCGAATGACGACCCCTTCAACACCTGGAAACCGCACCAATCATTACGCAATGGAAGACTTGAAAGACGTCAATATCGTGAGGAATCAGGGTTACCGTCCTCCGACTCGGAGCAGTACGATGGCATCTATGATAAATACAGTGAAGAGGAGGTCAAGCCGAAGAAGCGTGGAAAGAAGCAAACCGGCCCGGCTCGTAAGCGCGCGAAGCATTCTCCGGAGCCCAAGGTCAGCAGCTCCAAGGCAATGGATCATCTGACGGCTAGAGTTGTGTACAAGAACCTTCGTGATGACTAGAGCGAGTAAGCAGATGTCTTACGAATAGCTTGGAGTGGGATGGAGGAAAGGAGTGGAGGAGTGGGAATTAGAGATAGGTCCATAGATTGTTACAGTACCTGACACCTAGATAGACCTATAACCTATTCCCTCAATGCAATATGAGATTGCAACGCCACTTTGATGCCATGATTGCTTGAATGTGTCGAGATTGCTTCAATATTAGGAGTATCCAACATTTCGTCTAATGTCATTTAATGATGATAACTTATTGGTTTTCATGCAAGGTACCTAGGTAGGTACCTAAGCCAACAATATTTATTTACGTTACCCCGAGCACACTGGTACATATCCCTCTATTACCTACTTTCATTTTACCTTTACCGAAGTCACATTATGTGATGTAAAACTCCTCATGCTGTTAAGACCGGATGTACATATCTACCAGTTTGGTTTGTTCTTTTAGCATGTATGCTGGAGAGGTAGGTACCTAATAAGTGCAATCTTCTCTTAACAAACGAGTAGCATAATATAGGACAAATATACCACCCCTTCAAATATATAAACAGTGACCAAGACGTAAGTATAGCTCCTGTATTTATGAAAAGTCCAACCCATGTCCAGAACAGGTTTCGGTGAAAAATATTTACATCCTTTACTTAGGTATCTTTTACGTATACTGGGACTAGATATACTTTGGCTTCCTCGAACATCCAGGCGGTTCACAATATCGTAATCATGTACGGCATCTCATGTTATTGCTTGCGAAACTTGCACGAAAAATGAACTTTTGATACCCCTGCCTATATAGCTAGTACAATTATATTGGAAGGTTAACATCGTGATGATGGTCACATTTCCTACTGTTCATCACATTTCTAGTTATCACAAGGTGGCTAAAATGATAGCATAAACCTCCTTTTTTGAATATGTTCTCGATATGATTCAAGCGCTAGCCAACATCCTTGGACATCACGATGCTTGGTTAGGAGATCCAGTAAAGGATCAACCAGAGTAACTTATCAATACTTATACGAGGATCAAACACCGACAACGGCACTGGCCACTGATGAACTTCAGCACATTGATCTTACAGTTGTTTTCTGCCTCGAGCTCATCACTTCAACCAACACACTGTCACAACCACCCAGGCCCTGTAACTTTCGTACAACTCATCGCACTTTCTGTGTGCTATCTTTTTTACGCATTGGCCAGGTCGTATTTGTCACAACTACTTATCTAGTTGACCTCTCGAACTAACTGTGTACCTAAGTATCTAATGTTCAGCTCTCTAGAAAAGCAGTTGCGCACCTGGACGGGTACCTAGGTACATAAGTACGCTAAACATCATCCAAAAGGTCGTGACATACCATCTAAATGGGCACTTGCGTATATCACCTGCCGTTTATCACATGGCAACAGCTTTAACGCATCGTAACAACCCTTATGGCCGATTATCTACCGACACTGTGGTAAATCTCCTAAGTTGCAAATGTTTGCCCCACCCGAGATGCTATTTTGGAGTCAGGTTGGCAGTTGGTCTGGTTTGAGCTGTTCAGCACTTACTGGGCTCCACAAACTTCAGCAACAAGAGGTACCTTAGGTAGTTACGAGTCACAGCAACTGCCAAAGTAGGTGCGCAAGATGGTAAAAACTTCAGTTGCGTAGATACGGAAACACGCTAGTAACAGCTGCAAGGCGTAAGGCAGGTCGTGAAAAAAAACTATATAAACACCTCTTCCCTCCCGCCTGTAACTCAATTCCAATCTTTCCCTCTCATCAAAAAAAGACTACCAAGCTCTCCTCTTCTTCTACCTCTCTCCTACTGCCTCAAGTCATCTACCTGGCACACCACTTTACTATAACACTACTACATCTACCTTCTGCAGCAGCCCTTTCCACTCTACTTTCTCTTCTACTTTGACTACTTCTTAAAAGTCGACTACCATCTACCAACATGCTTCGTGACGGTCAGAAGAGTTCGCAGGCGAAAACCGCCAAAGTCAGCACCCAAGACGACGCTGATGCTGAAGCCCTGAAGAATTTGCAAGCCATTCGGGCTTTAAGAAACCAATTCAAGGGACTTGGCGCGCAGGTTCAGCAGGCCCAACGCCGCGAAGAGCAGCTGATGCGGGAGGCTAAAGAGAAATTGGAGAGGGAATATAAAGAATCCGGCTCTGAATCGGAACGAGAGAAGCCTAAGAAAAAAAAGGGCAGCAAATACCATTATTACGACACTGACTCCGATTCCGAGTCTGAGAAACATCAGAAGACGAAGGGCAGAAAGTACACCTCTCGGGATACCGGCTCCGATTCCGAATTGGAGAAGCCTAAGAAAAAGGCCAAGAAACACAGCACTCGAGCTGTTGACTCCGACGAGTCTGAATTTGAGGAGCGCAACTCCGAAAAGGGAAAGTCCAAATGGACTATATGGGCCAAGTGGATGAACTGAAGGGCTTTCAAACACAAGGTCTTCAGCAAGCTAGGGACATCTTCATAGGTAAGTCCTCCACCAAAGGCGACTAATAATAGACATGCTAACTAACTCTTTAGATGATTCTTGAGGTTGGCTGACTCTACCTAGTCATGTACACGAGCATGGATTGGTCATTGGCATTGGAGGGAGGGGATATCGGTTTTCTTTTCTTTTTCTTGTGGTGGATAGGAGGATTGGCATAGGACAGGATTCGGGATCCTTGGCCGTTATGAGGAGGAGATAAGTCAGACGTCACTGCTACGCTCTTGACTGCGGAACTCCTACACCACAGTTATTTCCTTGGTGGTTTCTTTGGGTCATTTCGTGTTATTCTATACATGAGACAGAACTCACGATATGAATGAACCCACCCTCTCATAATAACATGACTGCACCCACATAGACCGTGAAATGAAGTATGAAGTTTGTTTATAAGTGAGTTTTCATATTAGATGGCTTGGTAAGACTTCATTTAGGAATCTTCGTACCTTATCTTAGGCGATCTCACCGATGTACGTCACGCCGGTGGTGGGCGATGATCCCTGAAGTCACAACCATATCCCTCATCTAAAAACTTGTAATCTTATCTACGTTATTGTACATTCTAAGAGCACGCTAGTTTTACAGCGACGCATACTTTGACATTGTTACCCCTATGTTGGCCCGTATACTACAGCCCCTATCTTACGTAATCACATAGAGTACGGTTATCGCAGGTCGCTTAGGAGGATTTGAGCAGGTCAAAAAAGAAGCAATAGAATTAAATTGAAAATAGCATTGATTAAACTCCTATGAATTGTGTTTCTGTGTGAGAGTTATCATTGTAGAAGTGTTCCTAAGCTTGGTGAACTTTAAGTTGAGGCTCAAGTTTGAAGTGAAGTGAAGTGAAGTCGGCCCCACCTTTACATATTTGAATGTATATATGTACAGTGGGCCAACCCTGCAACTAAAATCACACCGCCTTCATCAGCCACATTAGATAATAGCCACACTTAATCTAGCTTATCGGCAGAAAAAAAAAAGTTCTGAATATTAAAGTTATCAGTCGGAAAAGTTCACGTTTAATCGCAATCCAATCGTAATCAACCAACCAAATACAACCATTCTCAATTGAAACTACCACTATGGGCAAAAGCAAGCTTAAAGTTGCCCTTGCGGCAGAGAAAGGTGTCGACTTCAAGAAATTGAAGGAAAAGAAGAAGCATAAGGAAAGAATTAAGAAGAGGCAAGAAAAGGAACCTAAGAATGGTGGGGCGGATCGTGAAGAAGATGGCGATTGGGAAGGCGTCGATGAAGATGAGGACAAGGTCGACGGCGACTCAAGACTTATCGACGACGAGGCCGAGGAAGATTCCGAAGAAGAAGATAACGAGGAGGGACATATCGACTTTGAGGCTTTAGATGAAAGCGACAGCTCCGATTCTTCAATAGATCTCGAGGAAAAGATTGAGCGCCCGCGGAAATCTGCATTAAAAGCGAATAATGCGAAGACAAATGAGAAGAAGAAGAAGAATAACGCTGATGAGGATGAGCATGAGGAAGAAGAGGAAGAGGAGGAGGAAGACGATGAAGATATACCCATGTCAGACTTAGAAGATCTACCAGACGAAGAAAAGGAAGATCTCGTCCCACACTCACGCCTCACCATCAACAACACCTCCGCACTCCTCGCCTCCCTAAACCGCATAGCCATACCCACCGACAAATCCGTCCCCTTCGCAACGCACCAGAGCATAGTCAGCGCCGAGCCCACGGCCGACGGCATCGAGGACATCCAGGACGACCTCAAGCGGGAGCTTGCCTTCTACGCGCAGAGCCTCGACGCCGCGAAGCGCGCGCGCGCGCTGCTCAAGGCCGAGGGCGTGCCCTTCTCCCGGCCGACGGACTACTTCGCCGAGATGGTCAAGGACGACGGCCACATGGAGAAGGTCAAGGCCAAGCTCATCGAGGAGGCCAGCGCCAAGAAGGCCTCCGCCGAGGCCCGCAAGCAGCGCGACCTCAAGAAGTTCGGCAAGCAGGTCCAGGTCGCCAAGCTCCAGGAGCGGCAGAAGGCCAAGCGTGAGACGCTCGAGAAGATTAAGACGCTCAAGAGGAGTAAGTACCTACCTACCTATCTACCTACCTACCCCGTGTTATTTTTTTTTTCTTTTTTTTTTTCTTGTCCCTACTTCGATGTCACGATAACTAACGATAATACCACCACCGCTTCAGAACGCCAAGAATCCTCCGGCGACCTCGGCACCTCCGAGGCGGACCTGTTCGACGTGGGCGTCGACAACGAGCTGAGCAAGCACAACGCGCAGCGCGCCTTCTCGCGGGGCAAGGACGGCGAGCGCGCGGGCGCCAAGCGCCAGAAGAAGAACGAGAAGTACGGCTTCGGCGGCAAGAAGCGCCACGCCAAGTCCGGCGACGCCCTCAGCTCCGGCGACCTGAGCTCCTTCAACCCGCGCAAGATGAAGGCTGGCGGCGCCGCCGGCGCCGGTGCGAAGAAGGGCGGGAAGCCCGTTAAGCCCCGTCTGGGCAAGAGTCGGAGGAACGCGGGTAAGCGGTAGTGTACATACCTCCTAAGGTACCTAGGGAGTTTAACCTGAGGAGAGGGGTTGAGGGGGGAAGGAAGTAAGGTACATGAAGTCAAGAGGTTTCCGCTCGGACTTGGGATAAAAAAGAACAACAACAACATAATTTGTCGTAGAGATACCAAAGTAGCCTCACAAAATCAAGGAGTTATGTTATGCTTGGGGAAAATACAATTTCTCTTGCTCTGCGTTGAAAATATTTCTCGCTTGGTGAACTATCACAACGTGTCTTATACGCCTTTTAAAGGCAGTTACCAATCGTAAGAAATGACAAGAGTATGAGTATAGGTAGGTATCTAAGGTATGTACCTATGCACCTGTATCACGCCCGGAATATAATGCAAAAACAACGAGTCCACTGAAAAGATTCTTTGAATATATACGGTTTACGAGCCCTGCAACATCTCCTACATTATATAAGACACCTAGGTAATATTTGATATATGCTACTTGCGCTTAGCAATCCTCTTCTGCGCCCTAAGCTCCTTCTTCATCCTAGCGTCCACAATCTTATACCTGCCCTTCACGCCCTTCGGCCGGCCCTTGATACCCCTATTCAGGCCCCTGGCCACGACCAGCTTGGCGGGCTGCCTGCTGGGCTTCTTCTTGGCGGCCTTGGCCAGCAACTTGGTGATGCTGTCGGCCTTCTCCTTCTCCGTCATGCCCTCCTCGCTGGCCAGCAGGTCCGACTTCTTCTTGAGCTTCTCGAGGCGCTGCGCCGCCTTGAACTTCTTGCGCGCCTTGGCCTCGCGCACCTTCTTGATGGGCCGCGCGTTGAGCGCCCGCAGCTTCTCCTTGATCGCCGCCGCCGCCGCCTTCGTGATGGGCTTCTGCGGCCTGTCGTGCTGGCTCTCGTCGTCGACGAACCACTCCGGCAGGCCGTCGCGGTCCCGGAACGCGTGCTTGTTAAACCCGTCGTCGATCACGTCGTAGCTGGTCTTTTGGCCCGTCGCGAGCTGGTGCGCGAGCGTCATCGCTTCCGCGGTAATGATATCGATGTCTGTCATGCCTGTTAGCATACATGTGATCACCAAAGGGGCTATTTAGGAAGTAACGGGAACTTACCAAGCGTTCCGTCAGGTCGGCGTTTATCTTCGTCTTCCCAACGTTCCTCTATATTCTGATGCTTCTTAACGACTTTGAATCCATCCTCATCGTCTGATTCAGAAGGTGCCTCGGCTTTAGCCTTCTTTGACTTTTCCTTCTTGGGCTTTTGTTTCTCCTTTGTTATAGTGGGTTTAGGAGACTCATCCTCATCAACATCCATCTTATCGTTAGGCTCATCAAGAATGCCTGGTATATCTTTGAAGATATCCTGACTGAAAAAGTTAGAAGCTCGCTTTGAAAGGCCCCCAGACCCCGCAGGCTGGTTATCTAAATCAGTAAGGAGCGGCTTTGAGGGACCCGAGTCTTCATCATCGTCAGAGTCATCGCTGCTATCCTCGTCCAACTTGTCATCGTCGCTGGACTGGTGTTCGTCGGCTGATACTCCTTCCCACTCGTCATCGTCATGCTCTTGCCGCGCTTTCTTCGCTCGGTATTTCGCGTCTGACTCTGCTTTCCGTTCCCTGTACTGATCATACATGCTATCAAGCTCGCGTTCTAGACGGTCTTCCTCCTCGTCTTCTTCGTCGTCTGTTTCGCCTGAAGATCCAATACCGCTATCTCTGTCTTTCCTAGCGTCTGATTCTTTGAGGATGGCCATCTTTCCCTTTGCGATCTTATTAACAGCTCCGTGCTTATCGATGGCCTTTAGAGCAAACATGGAATCGGGACCAGCAGGACCATCTTGTTCCATACCGATATCCATGGGTGCAACCATGTGCAATTGCATTCGTACGATCTCTTTTTGCTTCTTCTCATTCTCTTTCCGTCGCTCACGCTTCTTCTTAGCACTTTCCTTGTCTTTCAATGCTTGCAGCTCCTCCTGAATCTTGAGTTCCTCGTCCATAGATTCGACTTCAGCAACTTCTTCCTCGGGTTCAGCGGGTTGTGTGGTCTTTTTTGTCGGTAAACCAAAAGCTTCACGGGCCTTCAACCTCCACTTAAGTAGAATCTTGAATTCTCTCCGGCCCAAAACTTTCAAGTCCGCGCAACAAATCCTGATTTCTTCTGTGGTTTCTGGCATCTTGTCCAGCGCAGCAAGCGCCACATCGCCGTTCTTAGGCTGCTCAAAGGAGAGCTTGTTATAGCTACCAAGTATGGCTATAGGATCAACAGTCTCAATAAATTGGCTTGCTGGAATTTCCTTGAACTGGGTATAGTCGCCCTCTTCGTAACCTCCTCTCTTTCGCTTCTTAATCTCGGGTTTGAAGACCTTCGCCTCGTTATTCGGAGCCTGTTCCACCAGTTCGGCAAATACTGCCCGCGGATCAAGGAACTTCGGGTCGAGATGCTTCGGAGCCTTATATCCACGACATACAACGAAAATTTCAGCGGACACGTTTCTCGAAGACGGGGGTTTCGTCGATTCGACTTTTGTAAACAGCTGGTTGAAGACCCAGAGGAGCTTGTTGTACTCCTTCGATCTGAAAACCTTTGTGACGAATGTACCGCCCTCGACTAGAAACTCCGTTGCCAACTTCATCGATTGAAGAGCGAGTTCTGCCTGGTTGAAGGAGTCCTGAACCCAAGCGGTACCAACGTTGGGAGCACCATCGTGAAGTACGGTATCAGCTTTCCACGTCTTTAAATGTTGTCGGATCGTCGCACGGCACTTTTCGGTAGTAATATCGCTCTGGAAGGTTATGACCTTAGGAATAGGTTTGATCGGGGAGAGATCGACTCCAATAATAAGACTGTTCGCAGGCATAGCCTCTGCGGCTACCTGACACCATGACTATAAGGGACAGTTAATTGATGTTCTCTCGTCTTATATATATTAGGTATATATATGATTTATGACTTACACCAGGAGCGGCGCAAAGATCCAGAAGGACCTTACTCTTCTCGAGGAAGCCATATTTCTTATTCAGTTGGATCAACTTGAAGGCAGCTCGAGCTCGGTATCCCTTCTCCTTGGCTAACTTATACCACTTGTCGAGACGACCTTTACCGTGTTTCTTCTGAATCGCCATAGTGATTCAAGCGGCGATCTAAGATTCGCCAAGTGAACACGGGTAATGATTGATCGGCTTCGAATAATTTATTGCTGGCGCAATCTGTTCATGTTCATGCGTCCCGCATCGATTCCTGGGAAAATTTCCAGAATTATTTCTTTGATAAGCTTATCAGTGGACCAGAATGTCGATAAAAACTCTTGGCGGATTTATCGGTGGCGCATTGACCAGTACATGAGTACATAATTATACGTGTGAAATCATAGTTGCTCGTACTGTACCCGGCTCGCAAGGCAAAAATAAGTGGTGCTAATTGGCTAATTCAGGGTAGCTGGTTACGGCTTTAGGTAATAGCCGCTCTTAGCACGCGCCACAGCCACCTCAATTTTAAGTGCAGACACAGTACTACACAGTACTAATAGCAGGATCCACGCGCTAGACCCTGGTCTCTAAAACGTCATTCCCTTTTTGGGTCATGTAAGTGGTTTTTTCGTGTTTCTCGCGTCTTTTCGCGGGCGTGTCGATGGATACGATACGTACCTAACCTAAGGTATCTACTTCTGTTTAATTCAAACTTCTTACCTCCGAACCAGAACCAGACCCAGAACCAGAACCCTTACCTACTACTATCTTTTTTTCTTTCCCCACCGTGACCTTTCACTTCGTTATCTTTTTCAAGTCAATTCAACCTTATCTTAATTATCCTTTCTCCTCTATTATGTTAAAATAGTCTCCATCTATTCTCTTGATACTAGATATCTGGTTTCAAGGGTTTAAAGGCATTGGTGGCATCTGTCCTTCTTTCGGAGGCAGGTTGTGGACCTGATAGAAAGCCGAAGCCAAAGCCGAAAACCGAAGCAAAAACAGAAACAGAAACAGAAGCTATAATGGCCGACAATGCATCAAGCTCAAGACTCCTATCGCCTCCTAGAGTCAACAATGGTAAGGAGAGAAGAAACCCATCTATTACTCCAAGGAAGTTCCAAAGATTCTTCACTCCTCGGTCTCGAGTCCCTACGCGAATCAGTCCGGCAAGAAAAGCTCTTCAGGACCTTGCCGCCCCTGAGTTGAACCGTTATCAAACGCCTGCTCCCTCTAGTCCCTTAAGACCTTATTCTGAAGAACATATTCGAGATGAGAATATCGATGCTGTAGATGCCCCAATACCAAAGAGACGAAAGTTCAACCATACTCCCGACTCTTCGCCTTGCCGACCCCCTTTAGCTTGTCAGCCGAACCATATTGGATCCGATGCATTGTCAAATACCCGGTCAGCCTTGCTCAGCCCAATTAGATCTATTCGCTCTAGTCAGGAGGATATCGAATTGGATGATGATGATGATGATATCAGTGAGGATGAACTCCCATCGTGGCCAAAGCCAATCAACCGACTCGTACCTCTGACGAGTCGGGGCCTTGCCGGCCAACTTGCGCAAAGACAACTAGGGGGAATGCCTCGAGCTGGATATTCTTTCATGTCTTTCCCCACCCCAGACTGGCGAATTGATACTGCCGACTTTTACAGCAAGCCGGATGATGTTCACTCATGCAACAGCCACGATAGTCAAGGCCGATGTATACCATTTTGTGTGGCCGCCTGTCATAAGAATAGCTTGACCGCAGTAGGAGATGAGGAAGGCCGCGTTCGTTTGCTTGAATCATCTGGCAATCCGTCCGAGCCCTTTCGCAACATTCATCTATGCTTCCAGGCCCATACCAATGCTATCATCGACCTGTCCTTCTCTAACGACGACTACCGTCTAGCTACTGCGTCTGGCGATCAGACAGGAAGAGTTATAGATATGATAACACAAACTCCAATTGCAATTCTCCAAAATCATACAGCGTCTCTCAAGCAAGTTCGTTTCCAACCAGGTAAATCCGACGGCAGCGTTCTCGCGACGTCTTCTCGTGACGGCAGTGTTCAGATATGGGATCTTCGTTGCGCAGGGAAGCCAGTACAGGATATATTGGCACCAGAGGAACGCGAAATCGCTCTACGATACCGTTGCCCGGCCCCCAAGCAAGGTTGCGCGGTAAATAGTCTATATCACGCTCATGCACGTACATCACGTCAAGCTCAGCAGGCATCTAACCTCGGACCTGGGGATATTCCATCGCATCGCGAGCTACCAAACCGAGTAGGCGATGTATCTGTTACAGCACTTGAGTTCTTACCTTCAGGACAGGAGCACTTGCTGCTTACCGCTTGTGAGGCAGATGCCTCTATCAAACTTTGGGATATCCGTGCCATACACTCTTCACGCCAGAAAGTTCCCTCTCCATTATCGGTTACTACCCCACCTTCTTCGCATCAGCATTGGAGACCCTTCGGGATTTCGTCCCTAGCGCTCAATACTGATGCCTCTCGACTATATGCGGTGTGCAAGGACAATACTGTGTATGCATATTCAACTGCCCACCTCATACTGGGACATGCCCCAGAGATGTCTACACGGAACGGCGAGCCACCCCGACGACGACACAATGCGGTACCTCATCAAGGTCTAGGCCCGCTGTACGGATTCCGGCATTCGTCGTTTCACGCGGCCAGCTTTTACGTCAAGGCTGCCGTTAGGCCTACCCGTGATGGTAAAAGCGAGCTCTTAGCCGTAGGGAGCAGCGACTGTTGTGCCATGTTGTTTCCTACACAGGAACGATATTTTAGAGATGATCTTTTAGGTGCGATGGGCTCTCTAAGTTTGGAAGACTCTACGATAGGTGTTTCTCAGCAACGACCGGCATTGAACTTGAGCTTCTCCTCTATCGACTCGAATGCCACACGCAGGCCGCTGTCAAGGACCAATAGTATCGCAAATCTCTCTACCAGACTCAACGACGATATACCTATCGTTCGAATGGGAACACCGCTAGTGCGTGGGCATGAGAGCGAAGTTGGCGCGTTGACCTGGACGAGCGAGGGTAAGCTTGTGACGGTGGGTGATGACTTTTTGATTCGGTGTTGGAGCGAAGGGAGAGACGAGGCGGCGGACCTGAGGACAGGCGGCGAGACGGGTGGTCGACGTTGGGGGTGCGGCTGGGCGGATGTCGGAGACGATTGGGACCAGGCCGATGACGATGAGGAGTGAAAAGGTGGAAAGTTAAGGCCGACATTATGGCATGGCGTCGGACGGGAAACAAGTATTCAGCATTGAGCGTTATAAGCTCTGGATTATACCCCTATATTTGCTTTAGAGCTTGACAGATAAGCTCCTTTCTGTGTGTATGAGTTCAGATTTAATGAAACCCCAGTACTACAAAAGTCGGCTTTTTAATCATTCGACGTTAGTCTAGCTTTCTGGTGAACGTTTTGATGCAGTATGATGTCGATGTTCCTGCGGTGTGAACCCTTAATGCTATGCGCACTAAGCTTTCTCGGACGAAGTCTTGATGAAAAGTAGTTGAAGCAGAAGCTTAATGTTTTCTATAGTGGTTCGATTTCGAACTACACAGATTGTTGCTGAGTATGGTATATACAATAGCTATGGAAGAGTAGTTTAGGTTTGATGACGCAAGTAAAATGCAAGCCCGACGCCCAAGTCTAACAACATAGGAGGTAGTGATGCTATATCATCGGGTCATGCTGACTTTACAAGCTAATTCTGCAAGATCTCGACATTCCACGCTAAAGCATTCTGCAGTAAGCTCTTAAAAATCCATATCATAAGTTAGAGGTGGTCATTATACCTCCCTACAAATATACCTACAACCTACCACCGACGCAGGGAGACTTCTGCTATTTAAAACATGATCAAGCAACGCTCTCTTATACGTCAAGCTACGACGCAATCCCATCTAGCTCGAGCAAATCAGCGACGAGATTCATGGAATTCGGTCAATCTTGGGCATTTTATTCGACCCAATCACGCATCCAGCTCGCTGCTTGTCATTTGCCTTAGGTGCCTACCTACCTACATACCTGTAGGGCTGCATGCATGCAGACATAACCACTGCCACTATCAAGTACCGCGATATGCAGCAGCTTGTCGACGCTGGGTTCTACGCGTGCAGCTGACAAACTGCCGGGCTAGAGGGGCTTGAAACTTGGAATCTGGCGAATAGCCCCCCTATATGAGGTATCTCTAGTAGGTACCTACCTACCTACGTCTGCAGGTGTCCTAACACAGGTAAGCTGAAATATGTACCCCATGGCTACCTAAAAGCTAAGCTTACATAGCTCCTAATCCTCTTCGTCTAGACGAGATCACATCATCGCCAAAGGCAGCAAAGTTCCAGAACCGAGTACCGACTTCTACGACTAGACAATCACTTGCATACCAGGTACCTAAGGTAGGTAGCTAACATAGTAAGATGTAGCTCTGGTTTCGAGTTAATAGGAAGAATAGGTACTTGTACATATGTACGTAGTAGAAGAGGAGCAGAAAGGGAAAAAACGCGCTGCTGCGTTTCTCCTCACCGCCAGTTAATGCAGCCCGTTTACTGTCGCGTGTAGACAAATCGCAGTGGAGCTTCTTCCCCGTACCGCACCTTGATGTAGGTAACAGGTATGTAGGTAGATGGCCGCAGATTTCGTAGCCTACCTACCTACCTAAAGGTATAAAATAGATTGACGGGCACAGCTGAGTGGATGGATAGCTCGATACCTACCTAACATAGGCCGCATAGATATTCAAAGACCCGGAAGCGGAAGCAAGCAATAATACGCCAATTTTCCTTTTCTTCTCCTTCTTCTTATTATTTATTACTCTTGCTCTTTTAACTTTTTCGTCTTATAGCGACTCGTGAGGCCATCCATCCATCTAGCGATGTTTCCTTGCGTTGAGCACCTCTATGCAAACCATGAAGGCCACACAGTCTCGTCATTATTAATAGCAACCGCGTTACCACTAGGTACTTGATTACCTACAGTAGCCTGTAGGTACTGAGCCAGTGAGCCTACGCCGAATGAGAAAATCGGGTGGTTGGGGGATCGGGATCTAATTATCCTCGCTGGCTATTGGTCAATGGCTTTCGGCCGGCCAGGCTCCCCTGTCAGCATCCGCAACACAGCAAACTGTGGTAATGCGACGCACGCGTACCGGTGCAGTTCTACGATTTTTTTTTTTTCGACCAGACGGATACCTATCGTATGGAAGTGCTTAAGCTAGGCGAAAAAGGGCAGAATTCGATTAGACCTTTTAGCTGAACGTATCTTGGGATTACACCACACCAGCGCATCGGATAACCCGGGGCCTAGGTACGTTTCCTCCTGTAGCACCGGTCGTCGCTGGTCGTGGACTACCTAGGTATAAGACGAAATCGTGCAGTCTCTCCGTTAGTACCTCTCACGCTTGAACCAAACCGGTCGCTGGCCCCACGGGTTATGCCGCATGAGGTGATGCTTCCAAGTGTCTTAGACAAAACGCATCGTGGCATTAGCCCGCAGACTAAAAACCCGTAGCCACGGGACGGACACTAGCACAAGAATATGTGTTAGGTACCTACAATCGTCCCTGTTTTAAATTCTTGGTAGGTACCTGAACGAGAATAAACCTGAAAAAAAATTAACCTACAACTCGAATGATGATGATGTAGAGAGCCGAGGTAGTATGTAACGAAACCTGAGAGCTTCCATGTTGATACGGGGGGTACGAGGTTTCACCCATGCTATAAAACTCGAATTATAAGAAAGCGTCGAAAGAGCGTGAATTCGGATGTCCAGAAATGAGGGTTGTCATATAATCCTTTTTTTTGTCTCGATGATGAAGCCAGCCATTACTCAATAGACTTGATATAGTGGTTAAACATCGTGGTTAATGACTCAAGTGAATAATAACCTTAAGGGTTGGAAAAAGGTTTGGGATTGAGCAGGAGATAAAGACGTTAATACTAATAAAGTCCCCTGAACCCTGCTCGTCCCTGGAAGATGTCACTCTTTGGGACGTGTTTGCGCGCGCGTGGCGGTTGGGCCCGTCATAAAAGTCCAAAAAAAGTATCAACGTAGTAGTGAGTTTTACCTTGTAATTTTCTAATCGAGGATCGTCAAGCCGCACTTTTATTTTCTTTTATTTTACTTTATTTTGATTACTTCTTTTCTTTTTTCTCTCTCGCAATCAACTCTACCGAAAACAGATCTACAATACACTAGAGACTTGATAGGGCATAACGATATTAATAACAACAACATCGTAACAAGTCTCGAGCCTAACAATTATCATAATAATTACCTATATATCTCCAAGTTACACAGCGTCCCAGACTCGAAACTTCGTCTCGGACCCGAATCCCAAAAAGCTTGTTGGACTCAGAATTTAGAGGTCCCCCGTCTGGTCAGTCTTGTTGACCACAACTCTTAGGCTTGTTAGCTGGCTTTGCTAGGCTTTGTTAGCATAGCAAAGTTTCCTAAGTTCCCAAGTTCACCCCGGCAAAGTGGACAACTCATCTTGCATTAAAGCTGCTGCATGATAAACGGCCTCCCATTCGCTTGTCACCCACAGCACGTTTTCTCTTATTAGAGATTCGGAAACTAAACTGTCTGCACCCGGTACCAGTACTACACATACTACACACACACAAGGCTCTCGTGGTATTTGGGTATTTGGGATATCTGGATAGTTATGGCTTCTTGACACGATATCTTATGATAATCTCCTTTCCCTCTTCCCTGCCCTCCTTTAACCCTCTTGCTCTTGGTCTCGCGCTTCCCCAGGTCCAGCGTTGCATCCAGAAGGCGAGCGCATATTTATAACGACCTGACGCGAACGCGTGTATCTGCAACCGTACGGGGAGAAAACCTCAGAAAGTTCGGTCCGTTCCTGCAGTCCTCCTGGAATACCTAATTAGCTGCTATATCTTTACTGCCTATTATATTATTTTCCCCTTCCCCAGCCGATCTTTAGCCAAGACATATCTTCCTACATATGCAGATACATGCATAAGCGCGGGCACGTAAAACATTATTTACATCCCGTCCGCCTGCGTGCCCCCCTTATTAAACGGCAAGCAGAGGAAAACTCGAGGCTCGTGCATCGTCATCATCGGCCCAACCACTACACTTATACACGTAAAAGACAGCCTACGAGAACGCCAGCATTAATACTATCTATTTCTGGAGTCGTCTAGAAGGAAAACAAGAGTTCGTGGGGGCCAAGAGCGTTTCGATTCGAGTTAGGCACATACATATAACCAAGCCAGTCTCGTAACGGACCAAAACTCCACATCGTCCCAAAAGCCTGGAAATTCGCCAATCGAGGAGACCCTCGTTGACCTCACACCGCCACCACTTTCGGTTCTTTTTTAGAATCACGAAAAGGCCTAGTTTTTACCAGCTTTTTTAGTTTCCTAGGGGGGTTTTCTTTCTTTTCTTTTCTTCCGTCACACCCCCTGTTTCCGGCGGAGATCTAGGTTAGGTTAGGTACCTACCTAGGTATATATGACCATCCAGGCTTAGCCGTTTTTACGTGCTGTAGTCGTGCTATTATTCGCACGTAACGCTTGCCCCTTGATCAGCGGCCAGGCTTCGATCGGTGTCGAATCAGCGGGAGAACCAAGGTTGCGCGCGCTACTGACGTCGAAATGCTTCACGATCGAACAAGTCTTAGAACACCTATCACCACCATCACCACTACCACCACTACCACCGCCGCCGCAGCCCTACTTCAGCCTCCATCATTACTCGCATCGTCATTTCCTCCTCGTTGGTTAACCTCCGCCTTAAATTAATCTTGCCTTATTCTGTCTGGCCTTTAAGGACTTGAGCTGATCGCCTTGTATTCCTTTCGCTGTATCATATTGGTCAGTTTCTCCCTCCCCCCTCCAATAGCAGTGCCAGCGCAGACTTTACCAGGGTCGCTTGTGGCCGATGAGCTTGCGCCAGCTAATACTTGCGCGGCGCTAGTCTACTGTAATAATTTTCGAATGTTTAATTTTTGGTTGGGTTGTGCTTTCTTCGGACCGGATTTTGCGTAAGGAACGTCCTTTTTGTTGTTGTTTATCATCATCATCGTCATCGTCAGACTTTTAAGAGTTCCCGCCTATATACATACTTTGAACAAGAAAAAAAAGGGCCAGACGCGAACTACGGAATTTGGATCGACACCCAAGGTCCGCTTTGCGTGTTTTTCGGCTCTTCCAGCAACGACTTACTTCTCATGCTACTACTTTCTTATCATTGAGATTGAGTCGCGTTGCCAGTCATTCGTTATAAAAGTCGTTTGCAGCTAGTGGAAGCGGTTCAAACCAGGCGTGTCAATCATCGTTACGCCAGCCTTAATCTCGCGCTTTACCGAGCTCCTTCATCTTTTACAACATAATTGCCATTGCCGAGATTATAGGACTTATCGAAGGAAGCGCTATTCCCGCCATTGTTTACGTTGCGCCAAGTCCGTCAATATACCCTGGTAGCGAGCTTCATAGAGCCTTTATATATCTGAGGCGCCAGCAGAAAGAAGAGTCTTAAGCGTATTGGGAACTTGAAGATTCTTATTTGGAAATAGTAAGTTTTCTGAGGTATGTTAACCCTGTATCGAACAGTTACGCCTTGATCAGGTAACCTCTATTACACTCCTCCAGTATCCATTGATATATCCTCATCCGCCTGTATCGTGTACAACGACGAGCCTTACAAATATCAACCGAATCCCTTTAAGTTATCACAACCCCTGCGCTCGTCGTTCTCGTTCAAATTTCTCACGCGCCGCAGCAAGGTGAAAAGCGTGTTTCTCACATCATCACAGGGTTCCCAGCATCGGCCCCCCTTTTTTCTCTGCGACATTTTCAATGGCGTCCTCCGAGGTCGACCAGAAGTTCCTCGGACGCCTCGCCAAATCAGTTGAGCCCAACAATGCGCTGCTCGCGTCGATGCTATTCAAGATCCTGGGGCTTTCCATCAATGTAGCTGGCCAATTGGTGAAGGCGCGCAAGCAGCGCCGCCTCGACACCACGCGCGTGACTCAGTCCCTCGAGCTCTACTTTCATATCCTGTGGCTCTCGCGCGAGGGCCTCGTTATGCTCGAGCAGTACGTTTTACCAATGGTGGGCGACTACGTCGAGTTGAAGGTGCTCGCGTACAAGCTGCGCGCATCCTTCTACCACATCTTCGTCTTGTTTCACAATAATCCTCCCGTCTCCCCGATGGGAATCGCGACGACGCCGGAGGCTCTCGCTGCGGAGATGACGCCGGAACCGCTACGTGTCGATAAGGGGAAAGGCGTGGATAGGGGCGAGCCGACGACATATATGCCGCCCGAGTATCTGCGGTCGTCGATACAACCCACGCACCCGTACGAGCAAGGCGCGCCAGCACCGCCCCCAGGATTCGAGGGACAAGTGCAAGTGCCGCACATAACCCCGGAAAACGCGGCTAATTTCCTGCTACCGTCCGTCGACTACTTACCCACCGCGCACCAGTACTTCAGGGAAGCTATCTCGCTAGCGGATAGTTTGCTCTGGGGATCGCACTCGCTACGACTGTCGCTGAAAACGGAGTACGCGGCGTTCTTGTACGATTGTGTGCACGACCGGGAGGGAAGCCGGCGGCTGGCGAAGCAGACGATCGCGGAGGTGTACGAGGCAACCGAGGGCCTAGACGACGACATGTATGACGACGCGTGCGAGCTGGTGACTGTGCTCGGCAAGATGATGAAGCGCGGTCTAGGGGCGGGAAGCTCGCGGAGTGGCGGGAAGCCGAGCCCCAGCGTAACGCAAGCTACCGCCGTGTCCCAGAGCGGCGATAGCAGTGCTACGGTGGTGCCGTCCGTGCCGCCCGTCGGCATGGAGAACCCGATATAATAAGATCGAGCGCGGGATTACGTGCGACAGTAACAATGATCGGTACTGACGATATTCAATAAGACGATACGAGTCCAAGTTATTCGATATCGTTGATTTACGAAACAAGGAACACGAACAAATGACCAGATTTTAGTATCTACGAGACAAGATCGAAGCCAAAATCCTATCCAAAGTACCAACAGGCCTAGCGCGAATTCAAGTTATATTATTACCATACCTCGACTATTAAGGATCCTAATACGCATGCTATCTCTTATATACCACGTACAGTCTTACGGAAAAGCCATAATCCATGCTTATAGCACTCAAAAGTTCGCATCCATATCGCATCGCTTGTAATTATACCAATTATAAACCCGCCCAAAACGTATACGACCAATACATCCAAGGGACTCGTAATATCTATTTATCTCTGAAAAGGGAATCTAACCCTCTATACCTTACATTCCTCATACATACTTACCAATAGGTACCTACACACGTCTTACCACATCTCATACCCACCCAACGCAACGCCGCACCACTCAAGACAACCGACTAATAACCACCTACCGCCATCTATCCACCACCCCTCCCCCTTTTCAGTACTTTATTTGCTCGTTCATAAAAAAGCGTTTTGATGATACCCAGTTTCGACCCAACGAGACGAAACAGACGGATATAGAGAGAGAAAGAGACAGAGACGAGGGTGGCTAGCAAGCCCCCTTTTTGTCGGTTGTATTATATTACATACCTCAACCTAAACCAATGTGTATTATAGACTCCAGCATAGTTGCTGCATTCATAGGTACCTACCTACCTAATCTACCTACCTAGGAGGTAGTCAGCTGGTTCGGGGGCTCTTGTTTACCCAAAGCTCTTGTTCCGAAATAGTACAGAAGAAAAAAGTTTTGCAAAAGTTTTGGTTTGGGTCTGTGATTGTGCGTGTCTGTCTTCTATTGATTTGTGAGAATTAGTCAAAACGGCAACTAGTAATTATGTATTTTGTAAGTCATAGAAAGACGTAAGGTAGAAGTTACTATTATAACCGTGTTCGTTCTAACTTAGGTCACGAAGTCGGTTCACATAAACGTCGGAATGATCAACATTAGTCACTAGGTCTTACTGTTTATAACATGAATAATACTTCAGAGGTAATTCTGAACTAATAAGAAATAGTACCTACTCGCTAGTCCCTGCTCTGATGTAGAGACATCAATATTTGGTAGAATATAAAGTCATTAGAGTAATAAAATCTTAAAACTTCTCATTTATTAGTAACTAATAACGACTTTCTCCCTGTTCGTTTTGCTTTCTACCATCAAGTGATTCAAGAAGATACCCCATTTTATAAGCGCTGCTGCTTATCAACCATATACTCAATGAATCAACATCCAACGGAACGAAAATAAACTCCCCAAGTAGCGAGGCTAGAAGATAAATACATAAATCCAATCAGAAAAGCTTCCCAGCCATCTCATACATCCATCTGGTAACTCAGCGTCAATAAATCACAAGTAATCAAGTACCTAGCCTTTACATATCGAAACCAAAACGTTCTCAAGCACAATTAGACGTACCTACCTAGGAGGTAGTTACGACATATTTCAAAAGTAGGATAGTAAATCTAATTCTATTTGTAGAAGTACAGTGTAGGATATCTCATATAGGTATCTACTACACAAAACCAAAAAGCCCGAAAACGCCCCCTATTCCCCGATCCCATGTTCTGATTCTCATAGGTTAGGTTAGGTGAGGCAGGGTAGGTACCTAGGTAGGTATCCTTGAATTATCCAATCAATCATCTTCCAATCTTTTTTTTTTTTTTTCGCATCCTAGGAAGTCTTTTTTTGTTCTTATCCATCAAGCGGGCCTATTCAAATCTGACAGTCGTACCCTTCGCATCTCCGTTCCTCCCACTCAGATCCGGATGTGGTGGTGGTGGTGGTAGTGCTGCCGTTGTCTCGCCCCTCTTCACGCCAGTTCCAACTCTCCTCCCCTTCACCGCCACCGCAGCAGCAGTAGCAGACGCAGACGCAACCGCAACCCTCTTCCGCATCCTCTTCTCCCTCTCCAACACCACGCTGTCACGACTCTTCAGATTCACCGGCTGCGGCGACGGCCCTCTGCCTCTGCCTGTTCTTCGTCCCTACTTCGCAGCGGCGGCAGCGGCGGCGGCAGCAGCAACTTGCTCCTCGTACTCGGTCCCGCAGATCTCGTCGAGCTCCTCCACGACGAGCATCATGTGCTCGAAGATGGCCTGCGCCTCGCGGACCACGTCCGCGCGCTCCCCGCCCGTAAGCCGCGGCTCCGGGACCGACGTCGCCGCCGCCAGCGTCTCTTTGAACGTGCGCTTCAGGTCCTCGCCGTCCTCCGGCGTCTCGAAGTGGAGGAAGCTCAGCGGCGGCTGCTGCTGCTGCTGCTGTGCTTCTTGTTGCCGGTAGTTACCGTAGTTGTCGAAGTTGTTCTTGCGGAGAAAGTCCTCCTCGATCACCCGGAAGGCGTCGAAAGCGCCTGGCATCCTAAACCCGAGCTCGGGCTTATCGTCGTCGTCATCACCGGAGGAGGGCTGGGATGGGGAAGACGGCGATGACGGCGCTGCTGGACGGGGCCAGAACCCGGAGCTCCGATCGACGCGCTCGAGCGACGCGCGCATAAAGCGACCGCCGGAGAACAGGGCCATGTACAAGACCCAGGCGTACGCGACCAGGACATGCGGGCGCGCGCGGACCGTCTTCCGGATATGCTCCTGGAAGCGGACGAGCGCGGGCGCGTGGGACACGGACTGGGTGCGCGCGCGGACCAGGGCGTCGTCGCGGCCGAGGAGCGCGGCGACATCCTCCGTTAGGGCGCTCGTGCGGGCCAGGCCCTCGACGCGCAAGTCCGCCAGGAGCGAGGTTACCCTATCGTCCGGTTTCGCCGCCGTGGGGGAGTCCTCTAGGACGGCGTCCCATTCCTGCTCGAAGGCCTGGTAGATGGGTAGGATGTGCAGTAGGCCCGTGGTGTAGCTTTTCGCGTCGTCGGCGTGAGGGGGCAGGGCTAGACGCATGCGCGAGACGACGAGCTTGTTGAGCTTGGTGTGTAAGGGGCGCGTGGCTTTGTTCATCTCCTCGCCTAGAGTAAGGGGAGTGGCAGTGACGTCTTCAGTCTTGGAAGCCATAGTGATAAGCGATGGGAAGCTAATGTTAAAAGATAGTGTAGTTAGAGGTAGTTCTTAGGTTGTATTAGGTAGGCCTCTAGTTAGGTACGTTATGTAGGATAGTGATTGTGATATTAATGATTAAATAGACGTAGGTCTGTAAGGAGAGTTGCTCAAGAAGTTAATGAATGGTAGGGCTAAGTGAAGCCTGACCTGGTAAGTCGGTTCGTGACTGAGCAGGTGACTGGATTTTGTAAGAGTCAAGTCACGGCCACAATCGTTAGCCAAGGCCCTTTCCAGAAGAGATAGACAACGCCCTTTGCGGATGACCAAGGCAAGTGTTTGCCTGTACCGTTCTGACAATATCTAGGGTAAGAGTGGCAGAAAAACTATGGTCTTGATTGAACCAGGCGAGAACGTTTGGATAGGCAAGATAACTCAACGAGAGGCAGCCACGCTCTTTTGTAAGCAACTCAATAATGTAATTATCGTTGGCCAGATCAGTCACAATCACCTTGGTCGATATCGCGGGCAATGCGATGAGAGGAACGAACGAAGTAAAATAAAACAGAATAGAATAAGACGTTACAGCTCTGTCGTGCTGTACGCACCAAAACCAACCCCCCTCCCCGACTCTTCTCAACAAGTCAAACAAATCACGACCCGAGCCAAGTGAATGGTGGCGACGCCGATGGCAGCGGGCATAAAAAGAAAATAGAAACAAGTCTGAATCGGCGAAGTCGACCGGGTTGCCACGCAAGCGTACCTTGGACGAAGCTCCCGACTTAGGATGCTTGCATCAGACTTCTAAGACGGGGATCCCAACGAACGAACTACAAACAAGAAGGGACGAACCTAGCCACCAGGCTTTCTCAGTCATTTTGTATTGTACCCGAATAGAAGACACTGGACCTGTAATGGATAAGCAGAAGACTTGTCGACTACCTACTATGAGGTATGAGGTATGTATTTGCCTCATATTACGAAGTATACGAACGCTGGCTGGCTACCTAGGTTATGTTAGGTACATAGTATGTGTTCAGCCAGACCTGAAAGTCCGAACGAACGGTTCTGAGCGGGAAGCTACTGATGTCATTCACCGCTGGTTTGGAAAATGCTATCCCCTGCGAAAGCTAATGCCGTTGCAGTTTAGGTTTGCTCCCCGGAGTCAAATGTTAAACATATGCTTTTTCGCTTGGTCTGCGGTACCTGTTATCGGGTTGATAGGTAAAGTCTTAGGTGCTTGTCTAGCATGGATTATCGTGAGCCTTCATCCAGATGGAAACAGAACCATTCAAAAACTTGAGTAGGGGAAAAGTGGTAGGATGATATACCTTTTCGGAGACCGCTTATAAGAGCTTAGTTGTGTAACTTATTACCTATTGTCATACATATCTATTAATATATGTCTTCTGATCAATATCCCTCACATGGTCTAAACTAAACCAGCTTACGAATCGAAACTTACTTACGAGTAAACTGGTGAATGGTTAACAAGTCATCTGCTATACAGCCTCATGATGTTACATGGACTTTGATTGGCAAATACCAAGTAATTTGATGGTATATATAACGTATATCAATATATGTTTAGAGATTATTTTTACATTGGGCAAGCACCCAGGTCGGCTCTCTATATCACTTTGTATACACGATATAGCCGTAGAATACCATTCTATTTATAATATGACAAGTCATGCCTGATATCTATGCACCAGTCGCTAACCTAGTTCCTTTAACCGTGACGCCGTAACACTAGTAGTCCAACCCAAGAATGAGAAAAAAGAAAAAAAAGAACCAATGAATAATACGCTACGGCTCTGCCGTCCTGTTTCCTCTTTCAGGACTAGTTTTCGCTCCTTCATCTTCATCGCGGCTCTCATGGTTAATGAAGACGAACGAGACTAGTACGATAGCAGCGCCGATCCAATATATGAAGCTTGAATACTGCGCGTATTGGATCATCTCGCCGATTAGGGAGAGTGGGATAGTTAAAGATAGACCAACAGTGACAACCAACGGTGTCGTAAGTAGCATAGCGTAAGCCCACGAGATGTCCGAGACGAAGGAAGATAGGGAGTTCAGTATGATAATAGCCCAGACCTTGCCGCTCGGAGGTAGTTCGAACTGTGCTCTATTAGTAATTTACCCCTTGATAAATAGACCATAATTAAAGATAAGACGTACCGGCTCAATCCCCGTAAAATGAAGGATGAAAAACAGGGGCCATAGAATAAAGATATTGAAGATGCCCACGAGCCCAAAAAACAAGGGCATGTTAACCCGATCTTCGTTCCCTATACGGACCTTCATCACGACCACGTACAGCCCGTACACGACCGCGCTGAAGATAGCCATAGCGTCCCCGATGGCGATCTGCTGCTGGCTCTTGTGGGGGAAGTTCCCACGGTTATCATCGTTGTCTTTACCCGAAAGGTCGACGGTCGAGATCAGTATGATACCGGCGAGCGAGGCCAGCACGCCGATCAGCTTGCGCACGGAAAAGGGCTCGATGCGCATGACGGCGCAGAATATCAGTGTCCACACGCTGCTCGTGGACGTGAGGATCGTCACGCTCGCCACGCTCGTGTACTCCAGGCACGCCGACGCGAAGTAGTTCCCTAGGAACCAGATCATGCAGAACTCGAGGCTGTACCGCGCCGTCTCTAGGAACGAGAGCTTGTCCGAAACCTCCGGCGGGTCGACCACTTCGAAGCTTCCCTCGTCGCCGGCCAGTAGCCTCTCGCCAACCGTGGCCGCCTCTTCCTCTTCTTGCGTCTTCAAGCGCTCGACCCCTTGGTACCTCATCCTCCACTCCTGTATCGCCTGGTTCTTGATGCGGGTGTAGCCGCCGTTCTGTATGACGTATTTTATGGATATAGGGATCATCGACAGCGCGAATACGGACGTGTTCATATATACGAGGAAGAAAGGCTTATCGTAGGTGTGGTCGGAGAAGATATACTCGTCGCTAAGTTAGTTAAATGCGTGCCCCTTATCCTCCTCCTCCCCAACTCGCGGAAATACTCACGCTGGCGAGGAAATTCGACGCCGTCCATAGGAACACGGTGAGCAGCAACAAACTGATTCCCAGGGTCCTCCTAGCCATATTCCTGATTCCCCCCTTGCGCTCCAAGCTCGGGATGCTTCCCCAGGCTGCGGATGACCCGGTCACATTTTCCGACGGTACCGGCGGCTCGGAAAGCCTCCTCCTAGGAGCAGCGTGTTCGGGCTGCCTCTCGTCCGCCGCCAGTATTGATTCCAGCGCATTCATTTTCGGTGGAACACAGAAAAAGTCACAATGTCTATGAATCCCGCCGGGGTGTAACAAAAGTCGCGTGAGACGGAAGCATTTATTATCCGAACCAGGGAAAAAAAACGAGAGATAGAGATAGAGAGAGGATCGACGTTGACAGTCGCAAGGATCAAGTCTACGGGTAAAAAAGAAAAAGAAAAATTGTCCAAAGAAAGGTGTATTTCGAGGATTTGAAACGGATCTGGATTGAGGGTCTAATTCGTTCACAATCCTACCTAACCTAATGTACATAATCTATGCGGGTGCTATCGGTGATTCAAGACGCCGAGACATTGGAACTTCCATTATGGAAACCCCTGAGCTTCTGCATATCATCTACCTAGGTAGCCCTAGGCCCTTGTGTACATAGGTACTTAGGTTAGGTTAACCGTTAGGCGCCTACCTACCTACAATAGGTACCTAACTTAAGGTATTAGGTCATCTCACCATATAATTGCATGTGCTATACCTATACCTACCTCTAGTATAATGCACTCGTTTTGATTAACAACAACGATGATAAGCTGTCATTGTGTCAAGGATATGAGTAAATAATCACTTCTGAATGCTACCTGAGAAATATCGAGATGCCTCAATCGAGGTCTTGGAGACGTAAACCTTGGATGATGAAAAGACGCCTAAGCCTCAACTTTGCAGTACTATGCTGCCACACCGAGACAAAAAAAAAAAAAAAAAAAAAAAGCAATGTATCAACTGTCTCTATACACTCATTATGGGCGTGGTTCCGAGAATCCCACTTCGCATCTGTATCATGTCCCTTAGAGCCCGTAAAATCCGAAGTCTTCCATACAAAGAGTTGAAACGATGGTTGAGAAGTGCAGCTGCCGTGAAAATGACCAAAATCCAGTCGAACAGGATGGATGACCTCTGTGGTCGGTAGGATGATATCGCATAGGACGGACGAAATAATCTTAATATTCTAGTTGCGATCTTTAACATGCGCAGCCATCCCGGTCGTTCTCGATGTGGATGTTGATCGGGTCTTGGAAGTCTCCGCTAAACTCTTCGGATTCTTCCTGCGCCAAGGCATGTCGTGCAATGACTATGATACAGGTTAGAACATGTAGGTATATATGAGTGAAAAGGGAATGAAAGGTATACCATCAAATGCTTGCTCTACGTTGACCGCCTCCTTTGCACTCGTCTCAAAATAGGGGATATCGCCCTTAGACTGGCAGAAAGTAGCTGCCCTCTTACTCGAAACCTGTAGATAATGAGCATATGATATGATTCAGGTGGCGGTTAGTAGGTTTTAACGTACTACTCGCTTGCTCTCATCGACATCAATCTTGTTTCCGAGAACGACCTTTAATCTGATTAGCCAAACTCCGGATTATGGCAATGGCAAGACTATTATTCTTACAAAAGGGAAGTTCTCGGGATCCCGGGGGGAGGCTTGGATTAAGAATTCATCTCTCCAGCTATCCAGTGAATCAAAACTCTTAGAGTTGTTGACGTCAAAGACCAGTACGCAGCAGTCGGCGCCTCGGTAGAACGCAACACCTAGGGATTGGAAGCGCTCTTGGCCAGCGGTATCCCAAAGCTACTTCTTGTCAGTCATCACTCTCGACAATCTTGCCGCCATTTCGTACCTGCACTGTGACTTGTTGGTCGTCGATCAGGACCTTCTGGATTAAGAAGTCGGCACCGATAGTAGCTTTGTAACTGGCGCTGAATTTCTTGTTGACCTATCCAAGTTGAAATATTAGTTCCAGACCATCTGGGTGTCGTAGTCGGAGGTTCGTGGAGGGGGGGCTGGTCGACTTGGCGATCGTAAACATACATATTGATTCAGCAGACTCGTCTTTCCAACACCGCTGTCGCCAAGGACAATAACCTATGCAAATGGAGTTGTTAGTTTATAGGCTAGTTCCATAAATGCACATATAATAGAAATATTATGTGTCGTTACCTTTAAGATAGCCCCTTTCCTAGAAGCCATGGTGGAGGTTGGGAATTAAGCTTGTGACTCGGAGGATTTGCTTTGGGGACGACGAAGCTCTTGGGCTTAATTCGGGCTGATTATAGAACTTGAATTTATGCGTTAGGTTAAAGGGTGATTTTCCGATTGAGGTGACGGAACTTGTGCGACTGCTATTGGTGGTAGATGATGATAGGATGGTGTTGTATTGTTGAAGTTACGAGTTGCAGTTGCAGATGTTATTGTACCTGTTTGAAGACCTGGAGTTTACTGGACGGATTAGCGCTTGGCTGACTGGCTGGTCGAACCTGCGCCGATAACTACCTGATTCAGATCCCAGCTGATAAGGCGCCGGGCGCTGTACACCACCTAGGTAGGTACATGTAGCTTGTTACTTTTAGTGAGCACAGACACGGGATCAAGCAGTCAAGTCCAACTTTACACAATCATTTGAAGCCACATGCAGGCACATTGCCACATAAATTTAACATTGAAATTACCTTAGGTACCTAAGGTACATAAACAAGATGGCATCTACCACTATTCCCATACCTATTTATAGGTGCTAGATATTTGAGTCTAGAGGCTATTATATGAAGTAATACGCAACTCTTATAAGTATTTCAATGTCCGATTCAACGTCCGGTCTTAAGGTATTTATATAAAGGCCTTTCTGAAAGAGCCTCCATTTTTACCGGTACTACATTATGGATGGCAAATTCTAAGGAAATCCTACCAAGACCAGGTACATGTTCAATCAGTCAATCACAAAGCCTTGTCATGATGTCATACTTCATCACCCCCCATATGGCATCACAGTTATGACTGCGTTGATCGGCTGCTATCATTTGATAGTATTGGAATGAATAATAGATTTTCTTAAAAACCTTACCTGTCTATCTATATTTTCTCAGTTGTATCATCATCCAACAAAGTGTTCATTTCCATTTTCATTAGTATTATACCTCTTAGTTAATCACAATGGTAGCTATTCGCATCAACAACTCTTTAAACGCCCTGAGGACCACTCGAGCACGGGCACCTCAGGCTTATCGCACTTTTGCAGCTGGGTCCCGTCACTTCTCGCAGCAAGGCTATGGCAACGGAGAGGGAAACCCGACTTCAGAGAACCCTCAGAGTCAGCCATCGTCAAGCGCTGCGCAGCAATCGTCAGAACATCCGGGTCCAAGCCCTCCGGACGTGGGTAAAGGAACCGGCGGTGGTCCTACCAAAGCTGGCTTCAGAGAAAGTATGGAAAAAGCTGCGGCTAAGGAATCCGGGCAGAAGCCCCCGAAGGAGTCCGGACAGAAGGCTCCCAAGGATGCCAGCGCGCAATCGGGAGGGTCCCGGTCTAAGGAGGCCACGGAAACAGGAGGCAGCCCTACTGGCGGGAAGACCGCGAATCTGGCGAGCCAGCAAGGGGGTGAGGCGCTAAAAGGACCTCAGGGCAAGGGCACACCCAGTCCAAAGATCTACAACCAGGCGGTGCCCGCCATCAAGGAAGGACTGAGTGACGAACAAAAACAGGAAGTCGAACGGCATAACGAAGACTTCGAAAAGCGTTATGACAGGGCGGCCCCCGCCACCGATGACAAAGTTGACCCAAAGTTTTGGAGAGGGACGTGAGTGATGTGTGTGTGTGTGTGTGTGTGTGTGTGTGTGATTGTTTTGCATTGCTCCCTAAATTTGCTGCTGCGTTCTGGTATTATTACGGTATACTGACTTGATTAGGTCTTAACATAGTGGCGGCCTTAAACGGGGAGAGGGAAAAACAGGAGGTGAAGTGCATAATTAGGCGAACTATGCCGTATCGTTTTTCTGTATTCGCTTGGAAGGGGGACGTCCCGATGCATCATTATGCGCAGTTGTACAAAATAATTATAGACATTGGAAATGATATAAGTATAAGTACCCAACTCGAAGTAATTTTTGATTAAGTGTACCCAAACTAGTCGACTCGTCGAAGAAAGCGATTTTACTATTTGAGACTATTAATTACTCGGAAATAAAATATCTTGGAAGAAATAAAAGTCGAGAAGTACAAACTTTTAAGTTAGAAAAGGTAAAAAGGTTGACGAGTTTACTTAGGTACCTAATGTAGGTACTTTAGGTAGTTGCGGCCCGGGAATCACGGATCCAAACCTAGGCCCGGACCGGTACTTGCCCCGCTAACTTATCCCCAGTAATTTAAAACTCTCTGACCTTGAGCCTGAGGTACCTTAGGTACCTAGGTACTTATTAAAAGTACACCCTAACATTGACATTGTCCTTGACATTGACATGGACATTAACATTATCAACTCCTTATCCAAGTAGAAGCATTCCCATCAAAACTCTCCATATGAATTCAACGCGATCCCATGGATAGCGAGGTATTTTCTAGACAGAGATTCGATGGCGGATGAGGATCTCCTGCAAAAGGTACACGGTTTGGAGGACTTGGATTTGGCAGCGCTTCTATGTCTCGTCAGTCGCGAACACTGCATCGTCAGCACTGAGCCCGACGAACTCGACACCTTGGTCGAAGAGCTGCAACTCGTCGCATCACACACTTTCAATCTATCTTCCGCCCTCGTAGACTGTACACCACACACCACGCTCGACGACCTCGCCGCCTCCATCCAGCTTCGTCCAACTACACCACCACCACCACCACAACCATCTCAACTTCAACCCCCAACTCCGCGCACTCCATCCGCTTCTCCTCTCCGTCGCCGAGGAACCGATGCGTCCTATTTACATAGTGGCGGCGGCGGCGGCGTCGTCGGCAGGACCGCGACTCCCACTACGCCGAGACACCAGAGCCCCTTTTCGACGACGACGCTGCTATCGCCGCCGCCCCAGATCGCCAACGTCGTCCTAGCCAAGAACCTCGACCGAGCCCCCAAAGACGTCCAGATCCAATGCCTGGAGCTCCTGCGGACGCGGCGGATCCTGACGCGCACCAGCGTGCAGACCGCGCCGAAGCAGTTCCTCTTCGTCGCCGTGCTCGGGTCCGCGGGCGCCGGCCGCCTCGTGTCGCACCTGATCGATTTCTTCTACGTCTCGCACTGGCACGATCCCGAGGACGGGTTTGCGCATCTGGAAGAGCTGGAGGAGCGGGAGGGGGGAAAGGGAGGGGAAGGGGAAGAATATAATAATAATAATAATAATAATAATAATAGTAGTAGTAGTAGTAGGAATAGAAGAAGAAGAAGAAAAGGGGGCGAGACCGCTAGCATCGACAGCGCCTCGAGCGTCGTCCATCGCCGGAGTACCGCGGACTCGATGTCCGCTCCCGCGCTCATCACGTCGACGTCTACGTCTGCGTCCGCGTCTGCGTCTCGGCCGGGTCCCAGCCGCAGCAGCGCGACTTACGTGAACCGCGAAGACCAAATGACCACCACCACGACCACCCCGGCAGACCAAGTCTCGCTATCCAGCTCTCGCGCATCATCGTCCTCGTTTACTTTCCCGTCCATCAGCGAATCCGACATCGCGACCCTCGCGGCTCGGGCGCGCCAGGTCAGCCAGGACGTCGACGTGCTGCGGTACCAGATGAACATCGTGTCGTTCCTGCGCATGCACCGGGCCGTGGCGCCCGGCGGCGGCGGCGCCACCCCCCTGGCTACGAAGCACCTCGACCAGCTGGCCAAGTGCCTCGCCGCGCTGCACGGCCTGGACTACGTCACGCCGTCCCTGGTCGCGCTCGCCGTGAAGAAGATATACCCTCACCGCATACGCATCGCGGCTCCGGGCCAGGAGCGCAGCATGCAGTGGGGGAGCGATCTCTCGGCTATCGAAGCATTGCTGGAGGGGATGGATGCGGAGTACGTGATAGAGGACGTGCTGAGCTTAGTCGAGGCACCTTTATAGATAGATACCTACCTACCTTAGGTAGACAAGGTTATAATGATGATACCCAGCGTTAACAAAACAGTCACACAGTTCACGGTTCGCAGTTCGGTAGCGCGTATGTAAATAATATAAGTAATAATGGTCTAAGGCATTGATTTGCGTCCTAATGTTTTTCTTTTCTTCATTCGTGATCGGAAGTTTCCTACAATACAAAATCCGCCTTTTCTCTTCCTACCTAGGCTTTATTCTTCGTCCATGCCGGAAATGCCGGCGCCATACTTCTTCGTACGGCACGTTTACAACCAGATCCGAAAAATAAAAAAAACGCCGGCCTCGTAGGGCAACTACCTGGGGTTATCCCACCGTGTCCGTGCCTCCTCGTCATTAATTATCTCTAAGCATTTCTAATTGCTACGTTCCCAAATAACGTGTAGTTTGATTAAAAGGTCTGGGTGATCTTGCAGGACCAGCCGGAGTTCTTTGCTAATAAGGGCAAACTGGACACGTGTTAGCTTGTGTCGAACGAGGAAAAGAAAATAGCGTAATAAGCTTACCTAGCTCCCAAACACCAGCCCAACTCGTTGCCCTTGATCTTCTTGGCGATCTTGACCTCCCGATCGATGGGCATTTCGTAGCCGGTATGAAGCAGTCCCATCATGAAGTTAAGGTCCAAGCAGTACTCGCCACGGTCGCGTAGCTCCTCCAGGGCCTCTGGGATATTGGAAAATGCGCCCCACGAATCCTCGCCGCCGCACACAGCATTAGTGAGGTCGTGCAGTTCCCGGAGGGTGAACGAGTCGGGCATTCCAAGAGGCTTAGTACGGTCGTAGAAGAAAGAGAAGATGTAGACATCCTCCTTAGCGAAGGTCTTGGCTAGAGGGGGTTGGTGGACGCCGTTGAAGGAGCAGGGAGCGAGCTTGCATTCGGCGTCCTTGTACAGAATTCTCTCAGCTAGAGCACGACACTGTGCCGGAGCAGGGTTCATCGGGCCGGTCACGTTCAACTCCAACTCGCCGGTGCCTAGGGGACTGTCATCGCCAAGTTTGACCGTAATCTTATCAGCCTGGCCCGCGTTGATGCAGGGGTGGTTGAGAATGGGCTTCTCTAAGAAGGCTTTGCTCTTCTCTTTCTTGTAGATATCATGCAACAAACTCAAGTGAATAGAATTGCGGGCGGCCATCAATCCATATCCTAGGTGAGAATGCTGGTAGAGCTCGAAATTTCGTCCACCGAAGGAAAGCTCATACTTGTGGTCGCCTTCAGCCAGCTTTTCGGGCATGCCACCAGAAGCAAGTCCCTTAAACGTAGGCTCGAAGACGATCTGGGTAGAACCACCACCAAGATCGAAGATAGCAGCGGTTGGGCTCTCGTCGGGACCGCCAATCTTGCCTAGAAGGTAGTTGGTGGTAATCCAGGCGTATACACCCTCGTCAGAGCCGTCCATGATCGCAACACCATTCTCCTCTTTGGAAACGACGGGGAAAGGGTAGTCCTTCTCGAGGTGGTCTCGTACGGTCTCAAGAATTCGCGCACTAGCCTCCTGGCCAATCATTCGCAGACCAGCGGTAGCCTTTACGGCAACCGGACTGCACCCCTTCAACTTATCGGGAACGGTCTGCATCGCGACCTCCATGAGGCTATCCAAGGTCTTCGCGGCGGCAACAGGGTCGTCCTTGTACTTGCTGAGGCCGCCAACGCTCTTCTCGGTCATCTTGAACTCTTCCTTCTCCAACTCAGGGGTCGGGCCGCAGTTGTTGAACTTATACACGTGGATACGAGATCCAGTGCTACCAGCGTCAATCATGAGAACATATTGTACAATCGGCTTGTCCTTAGAAAACGATTTCGTGCATTTCGAAGTTCCATACGATGAATCGGACGGCACCTGGCCGCCAGAATTTGATACTACAGAATTTTGAATTAGTTTATATTGTTACTCCGAAGGAAACTATGCGATTTGGTGTCCTAGAGCAAACATACCACCCTTATATACTTCTACACCCCTTGGCGAAATGTAATAGAACAGGAACACCAGAAAGACCACGATGGCCGTGGTCTTCAGCCATCGCGTCTTTTGGGCCTGATTCATGGTCGCCTGTAATTTCTCCACGATGCCGAGTTCTCGGTGGCCCGAGTCGTAACGTGCAGGTTTTTCGTGAGGGTCGTGTCTAACTTGCTTCGTAGGCAATGAAACTGATGTTCTCCTCATAACCTTTTACATTCGACGCATCCCCAAGAAATATCGGGGAATTAATTGGTACTGAAAGAGTGAAAGAAAAGGTTAAAAAAATTAGAGAAAAAAAATTAAAAAAGGAAACCCAGGAAAAAGAAAAACAAGCCAACAAGGAATCAGCTTGACATGCGAAAAAGTCTAAAGCGGACGGGTGCGAGGATCAATGCCGGGATATGAGAGTCGTTAAAGATAGGATAATGTGGAAAAGGGGGTGTGGGCGGACACGAGGCAGCGCAACTTGTCCAAACGGCGAATGGCAAATGGCAAATGGTAATCTGCAATCTGCAATCTAGAATATTTTCCAATTTCAACAGTTTTTAAAATGTTCCCTTATCGATCAAACCCCTGAAACACGAATTGGGTTGCTTCAAGGTTGGATTTAGTTGGATTTAGTTGGTGCTCTAGGGCACACGTCGCAACTCCAGAGGCGTATTTCTAGTAACTTAGCTGCTTAGCAGTGTATTAGTCGGATTAGTTACAGCACACCCCTGTCATCTTTATACGTAACCCCGTACTCTAGCAGCCCTGGCAGATCTTGGCATCTAGCATCTCCCATTTTTCAAGTCTTAGACTCTTTCCACCGCCACACTAAGTACCAGAAAGGTACCTTTTGTTGCTAGAAGGTACTGTGACGCAGATTCCCAGTCGGGCTTGTTCAACATCGAGTTGACGTACTTATTTATCGTTGCCTCCGGTCACAACTACAAAGTACCTTAGGTAGTCATCCCGACACGTTCAACTCTCACTTTTTATAAACTCAACCATTATTTTTATATAACATAACAGTCACTGCATACTTCCCTTCGCTCTAAAGCCTTGATCGCCTGCTATAAGCGTTCCGTTCATTATTAGAATTAGACGTTAAACACACATAAACCAGACTTATAAGAGTTCAGACGGTGATACCGAATTATAAAGAGCCAACTTTTACTACGAAACAAAAACATCCGCAATGGACGTCCATCTTCTCGCGTACGACCTATCAAATGGTCTAGCCAAGCAAATGTCTCTTGGATTGCTAGGCTTTCAGCTCGATGCTGTTTATCATACTTCAATCGAGTTAGACAACAGGGAATATGTCTACGATAGCGGTATAAATGTGATCCGACCTGGAAGTTCTCACTTAGGACAACCTTTAGAACGAATTCATCTTGGGAAGACCGAGTTGCCTATGGAGGTTATCCTCGAGTATCTTGATTCGCTCAAGCATATATATACTCCAGAAGTAAGTTAAAGTGACAAACCATAGAAGCACCATATGCTAACTACCTAAATAGGCCTATGATCTGTTTCGACATAATTGCAATAATTTCAGCAATGACTTCTCCATGTTCCTGTTAGGAAAGGGAATACCAAGCCATATCGCGAATATGCCACAAGCTGTGCTTGATTCGCCATTCGGTAGAATGTTGCAACCTCAACTTGCGCAGATGGTTGAGCAAAGGAAGGCTCAGCGAGGCGGATTACTCGGCATACAGGATAATATTCAACCGCACACGAACGGAACTTCAATCGGTGTTACAAACGGCGCCGGCTCAGCCGCTCCGTCTCACCGCCCAAGCGTAATAAATGTTACTAATCTCCGAGAGCTTGACGATGTGCTGCAAAGAGCCGAGAAATCATGTGCCATCATTTTCTTTACTTCGCCCACCTGCGGTCCATGCAGAGCGCTTTACCCTCTCTATGATGGTCTCGCAGCGGAGTACGGAAATAAAGTCACCATCGTGAAAGTTGATATGTCTCGGGCTTTTGACGTTGCGCAAAGGTACTCAGTTAGCGCAACGCCTACGTTCATTACGTTTGTCCACGGTAAAGAGGGCGAGCGATGGATGGGTGCTGATGCGGCTCGCCTTAAGAGTACCGTCGAGCTGCTCGTTCAAATGGCGGTCCCGAGTCATCCGCATCGGATGCTCAGGTTGCCTCGTTTCGAGAACGCGGAGTTAAAGCCAGTACTGTACGAGAAAGTCCCGCCGCTTTCTAAGTTACTGTCCAAGTTGGGACCGGAAGCCGAGAACCCCTCGATTCAAAGTCTGAAGAATTTCATCGAGACTAGGTCATCCGAAGGTCCTGCAGAATCTCCACTACCAGACTTGCCCGCCTTCTCTAAATTCCTATGCTCTGCAGTAGAGTCCCTGCCTAAGGAAGTCCTGTTCACGGTCGTGGATCTCTTCCGCTGTGCACTTGTTGACGAACGGCTCAGCGGGTACTTCGCAGAAGAGTACGATCAGAAAACAGTTGTCACTATCCTCGATACTGTGAACAAAGCGAGCGATTGTCCTTACGCTCTAAGACTAGTTACTTTGCAGATGGCCTGTAATCTATTCTCGAGCCATTTGTACGCCGAACAGATTCTCAGGCAGGAGACCTTACGAAGTCACATCACGCGACTTATTTCATCAAGCTTCCTAGACGACAGCCGCGACAATATCCGGGTGGTAGCATCGTCGCTACTGTTCAATGTGGCTATCACAAATTACCAGGCGAGGCAGGAATCAAGAGATGTTCTTCCCGAAGATGACCAGGTAGAACTTGCGGCGTCGGTGGTGGAAGCTATATCTCAAGAAGAATCCTCGAATGAGGCACTACACGGCATGTTATTGGCGCTCGGATATCTAGTTTATTGCGCCCCTTTAGAAGGCGACCTTACAAACTGTTTGAAAATCATGGATGCGCAAGGAACTATTCTTGGAAAGAAGAAAGCCTTTCCGAAAGAGTCTCTCATCACCGAGGTAGGGAGTGAGCTATTAGGAAAAGGCCTTGCTAGAAGATAGACTTGTTGCCGTGGGATGTTGTTTCTTTAGCATGAGTCGGTTGCCTGTGCGGGATTGAAGAAGGTGGATTAATTCTAGGTACGTTAATACAGGATGCATTTTTAATAGAGCAAACATCGTATTAGCTGGTACTTCTTACATGTTTATTTTTTGGACTCCGTTACTATGGTACACCCTTTTACACCTTCTGTATTCGCATTACCTATTCCATTACATCTGAAATTTTTACAAATTCCTATGGTAATGCCTGGAAGACATCACATCCGTACATATTTTAACCCCTTAAATGATAATAACTTTTTTTTCCGTATCACACATATCACAAAATCTTTGGTTAATGCCCCTTACATTAGGTAGCAAGAAGCGTGGTAGGCACGAGCCATACGTCACAATCACAACGTGGGGGTAAAATCGGTGCAGAAGTACACAGCTCTAGGTACCTACTGCCCCACCCGCGTCGCTGCCCTGGCAACCGGCGCACCCCTGCAACAATCCAAGTAAATAAAGAGACACCCCCCGGTCCACTTCCCCATTCTCCAGATGCCTGTCTACGGCATTCCATATCCATATCAGCAGCGCACTAACGAACTCATCCACGATATCTGTACAACATTGAATGGAATGCTAGAATCGCCTCTGATGCCATCGTTAAATATGAGGGCCATGCATTCGTCTGCTTCGACGCCGTCTCTGCGTGCTCGAGATGGCATACTACCGCCCCAGATGAGGATGGATGCGGGAGGTAACGTGCGGGTCGTCGTGAGAGTCCGGGCGTTTTTGCCCAGAGGTACGTATGCATTATTGGCCAATTGAGAGTTAATTGATGGAGGATGATGATTGACTTTTATTATAGAGATCGAAAGGGGGGCGGAGTGCTTGATCAGCATGGACCCTCATACCCAAATGACCACTCTCCATGTACCAAACGATAGTGACCCAGCGAACGCCAAAGCAAAGTCACGTAAGGTTATTGAGGAAAAGTCGTTCATATTCGACAATTCCTTCTGGAGTCATAACAAGAGGGACAGACATTACGCTCACCAAGAAGATGTCTACAACTCTCTGGGCGAGGAGTTCCTCGACCACAATTTCGAAGGTTACCATACTTGCATTTTCGCCTATGGTCAAACCGGTTCGGGAAAGTCTTACACCATGATGGGCACGCCCGACCAACCAGGACTTATCCCGCGGACCTGCGAGGACTTGTTCCAGCGCATCGAGGCCGCGCAGGAGGAAACACCTAACATTTCGTACCACGTGCGCGCCTCTTATTTCGAAGTCTACAATGAGCATGTCCGAGATCTGCTTGTTCCCGTGATACCCAACCAGCCTCCCTACTACCTTAAGATCCGCGAGTCTCCAACTGAGGGTCCTTACGTGAAAGACTTGACCGAGGTACCGGTGCGAAGCCTGAACGAGATCCTTCGCTACATGAAGGCTGGAGACGCAAGCCGCACGACGGCAAGTACCAAGATGAACGACACGAGCAGCCGAAGCCATGCCGTGTTCACCATCATGCTGAAGCAGATCCACCACGACATGGAGACCGACGAAACCACCGAGCGCAGCTCGCGAATCCGACTGGTAGATCTGGCGGGCAGCGAGCGAGCTAAGTCTACCGAAGCGACAGGCGCGCGCCTGCGCGAAGGAAGCAACATCAACAAGTCCCTGACGACCCTGGGACGAGTGATCGCGGCGCTCGCGGACCCGAAGGCACAACGCCCCGGCAAACGACACAGGGACGTCGTGCCGTACCGGGACTCGATCCTGACGTGGCTGCTGAAGGACTCTCTGGGGGGCAACAGCAAGACGGCGATGATCGCGTGCATCTCGCCGGCGGACTACGAGGAGACGCTGTCGACGCTGCGGTACGCGGACCAGGCGAAGCGGATCCGGACGCGGGCGGTGGTCAACCAGGACCACATCAGCACGGCGGAGCGGGACGCGCAGATCGCGGCCATGGCGGAGGAGATCCGGGTGCTGCAGCTGTCGGTGTCGGACTCGCGGCGGCGCGAGCGCGACGCCCGCGAGAGCGAGGAGCGCCTCGAGGAGTACCAGAACCGCGTCGCCGCCATGCAGCGCATGATGGAGGAGCGCAGCCTCGTCGCCGACGGCAAGATCCGCAGCCTGCAGACCGAGAACGAGGCCCTGCGCCTGCACCTCAAGCTCGCGCTCGACAGCATCAAGAACCCGATCCCCGAGGTCGTGGTCCCGGACGACGACAACAGAGAAGAAGATGGGAAAAAAGAAAAAGATCGGGCGGGTGAGGATGGCAAGGAGAATGGTAGTAAAGGGAAGGGCAGGGATAGCCCGGTTGATGAAGCGTATTACGGCGAGGAGGATGATGATGACGATGGGGATGGTGGTGGTGAGTACGAAGAGGATGTCTACGAGGAAAAGGCAAATGACGTCCAGGACTACATGCACGATCTCCTGGAGGACTTGGCGCTGTTCAGGAGGAAGATCGGCGATGATAAGGGGAGGTTCTTGGACGAGGAGGCGAGACACCCGTTGGGCGTCCAGGTCAACATTTGAGGTTTGGGAGCGTGAGGTAGTTTGTGCTCTCTACGTGGCTGGCCCAGAGGGAATAATAAAGTCTCTGGTCTTACTGGATGGACGGATGGATGGATGGCATGGTGTTATTGGAGTACCTATTGTTGGAATGGAAGGATACCTGAGAACTGGTAAGAGACCTGGATCAGACCAGACCGAGGGAAGGGTTTTATTTAATAGGGGATTCAATTAACGCTCAGCTCTAATACGTGCTGTGAACTTTAGGTAGGAATTCGGAATGAATTAGTTAGTTAGGTAAACTTACGAATTCAAGTATTTTTTTATTTTATTTTTTTATCTGTAGGAGGTTAGTTTTTTTATATTTGTTTTGTGACTATTATGGCAATATGCCTAAGTTATTTTGTCGCTTGGTTACCAAGAGTTCGAACCAACGATACTAAGGAGTAGAGAGATCCGCTGAACTCCATATCGTACCTATTATAAGCGAACTTATGGTAAGTGACTTTCTTTTTTTAAAAAAAAGAAAAAGAAATGTGTCGATACGACTTTGGAAGTTCTTACCAGTAGTTGACGGCGACGCAGATGCCTTCTTCGGAACAAGATTGCGAGACTTTGTGGTACCTAAAATGATAGGTCATAAATACTCTCTCTCTCTCTCTAGGTAATGCTAGGTATATTATTCAGGGGATGTAGGGGATGATGCAGGTTAGGTAGGGATATATCAGGATCCATTATGCTGACACTTTTTTCTTTTTTTCTCGCAACTCACCACATAGCAGGTAGATAGAGCATATCGCCCGGATCCAACGTAACCCTCAGGGGTCGCGCCAGGTGCGAATATTTGGTACTTCGGAGAGTCGGATGGTCGGGATCCCAGATCGCAAAGGGGACCTTATCGCCGTCCTCCTCGCTCTGCAGGCGTAGCAGGTTTCCGCCGCCGGCGGCCTCCCGGACGTAGGACGCGGGCTCGAGCTCCTGCTCGTTGACGCACGGCTGGCACAGCGCGGGCAGCAGGACGAAGTGCTTGCGGCCCGCGACTTGTACGTACACGTTCTCGTAGTTGTCGCGGTGAAGCGCGGTTACGGACGCGGAGCTGCCGATCCATAGGTTCACGGCATCGGGGTCCTTTTGCAGGGCGATGCGCGCGAAGGGGATGGAGGGGGGCACTTGGGAGTAGAGGGAAGAGTACTCGTTGCGAAGATTATCATTCTGAGTCTGAGCATACCGAACTTCTCTTCTGCTCTCAGGTGAGGAGAAGGAGGAGTGGGAAGATGATAACTCTTGAGATGTCAAGTAGTCGAGGAACTCCTCGAAAGGCTGGTCTTCCTCGTGCGGCTTGGCGAATACCAGATGGCCGTCTTTCTCGGTGGGGGCGTCGGCGTTTCCATACGGCGTCACAGCGACGTTGACGTGGTGCCCGGCCAGCTCGTCCCGGAGATAGGAAGCGGTCCAGCGTCGTACCGCCGGCCAGTCGGAGGCTCCGCGGCGCACGACGAAGGGGGTGTTCCGCGCTACGTACCTCATGAACTCGAGCGGGCTCGGCTCCTCGTCTAGCTCCTCGACCGCGCCGGCGTTGAGCTCGTTGAAGCTAGTGATTAGCTCGGCGATGGGGTCATCGTTTAGATCTTCGCTTTTCTCCATCTTTTCTTCTTCTTCTTTGTTCTCCTCTTTTTCCCCGGATGGGGGTTGGAGTCCTAGGTTACTACTTAGGTAGGTAGGTTACTAGTTTGAGATTATGTTGCAGCAGCCGTTCCGTTGTCCGGGGACCTGATCGTACGTTTTTTTTTCCCCCAGAGAAGGAGAAGCCAATGTTACGTTAGTTCGGCATGTAAGCGTGTCAGTCCATAAACCGTATACACAATATGTATGGGTAAGGCTGGGAAGGATGCATCCGCCAAGTAACCGCGTACGCACTGTAAGTATCTAAGGTTAGGTAGGTATGAAACCAGCCCTATTTGTCTGTGTCTCTTCTTTTGGACCTAGTCAGTTAGTGTGTGCGTTTACGATTTATGATATGACCCAGGAATCTGGTTTGGGGGAGATCTAATTAGTAAACCCTTGCCTAATCTGCCCATGATGCCACCAATAACGGCACGCCAATCGAAGGCATCGCGAGAAAAAGTGAGCTGATTCTCACTTGACAAACCCCGCCCGGCGACTGCTTGGTCGTCATTAAGATGGAGTTGATTTACTTATTAGGTAGTAATATAAGCGGTCAGTTTTGGCCTTCCTGCGCCCGCGCGCTGTCCAGGGCATGGGTCGATGACAAGTGACAGAAATTTTCATAAATATAAATACCTATAGGGGGGGAAGCCCAGGGGGACTTTTACGGTTTTCTCTATCTACCTAAGCTTCCCTTCCCCCGTTGCGACGTCCACATACATATATATATCTTTTGCATGCTTCCTCACGATCCTACCTTGGTAGATCTGCTTGCATTCTTCCTTCTGTCCTTCAATACCTCGGTCATAGGCCACCTATTAGCGTCACGATGATGTATCGAACAGCTCCAACTTCCCAGCCCAATTCCAACCCCAACTCAAGCTGCAGCCCAGCTACCCCCAGAATATAATGATAGTCGTTTTTTTTTACTGCTAATGATAAATATCCATGGGATGATCTTTTTTTTCTTGAAGAATTTTCTTTATTGAAAATGTGTCGACGCGGCAGGCTGCCTAATATTGATCTTTGAGGAGCGTTCGTTAAGCCGGAACCCGGTTTGGTGGGAAAAAGAAAAGTGAAAGAAAAGTGAAAAAAAAGGAAAAATCAAGGACGAAGCCAGGTGCCCATCTCAGACCGAAAATGGAAGAAATTGTGTCTATGTGGGGTAAAGGTGGAGATGACAGCTAGGTACCTCTTGGTAGGTCTTGTAGGAGGGACAGAAGCTTGGAAATGACCTGGTAAGAGGTACAGTGGACGCTGAAGTTACCTAGGAGTTAGGTATTGTACAAATGCGTCGTACCCAAGTACCTTCTTACCTACCTCCTACTGCTGAGGGGCTTGCTTTGGTGGGGGGTTAAGGCGATGATTTTCCAGGGTGCTAGGGAATAGGATCTCTACCCGGCCGTCCGCAAGTCCCGCTAATCCGCCCCGCCGGCGCACCTCTCAAAGTCCCAAGTCCATGTTCCAGGTTCCAAAACCTACCTATCTAACCTAAACTAAGCACCTACAATGGGATGGAAGTCGCAACAAGGAAGAAGAAAGAAAAAAAAAAAAGAAAAGGAAAAGTGAAAGGGAAAAAAAGGAAAGAGGGACTAAAAAAGTCCTGTACAATCTAAATACGTAAGGCACTTTACTTTACTACCTATCACTATACTATACTTTAGGTATACCTCTTAACTACTGGTTTAGTTCAATTTCTTTTTGATTCTTTAGATTTATTTTATTTTATTTTTTAGTACACAGTAAGTACAAACAACTTCTCTACCTCTCCCCTCCCCCCCTTACAATGTGGAAATCTTCAAAGCGCCCGCCCGAAAAGATAGATGAATTTATCGAGATCCATCCGATCTTCTTTGCATCCACCCTTATTACGCATTACGCAAGTTGGACGAGGTGAGCTAGTGAGCTTAACCAGGCTTAACTCGGTCAAGTCAAGGGCGAAGACAAGTAAGACAAGACTCTAATACGGCGGCGCGCCGCTCTAACAAGTCTAATCCTCTTCGAGCAACATTTTCCCGTTGGCATTTTGGGTCATTTTTCGGTCATTTTCACTAATTAATTCCTTGTTATGAAATACGAAGTTCGAGATAGCGTCTCCATGTTCGATTTTCCGCCTTTCGATTTGTTACAGTCCCTGCTTTTTTCCCACCGAATTTCTGTCTCTGCCTCCGCCTTTACGCATTCCTCTGCTCGTCCTCTAGTATTATATTTCGGGCCCGACGATGAGACATCCAATAGATGGTACCTAACCTAACCTGAAATATCAGCTCTCAAGTACCTTTACTTGCCTTTGTCTTGCCTACCCACTTGGTCCTCCACTCCTACGCTCTTATACGTTCTTATACGTTCATACGCTTATACGCTTATACGCCTATACTTCTCCGTCCCTCCGTGTTAGATTTACATACCTTGGTAGATATTTACTTGGCCTTCCCTCCCCAATGTCATAATTTGGGCTTCCAAGTATAATGCGACCCTCCTGCGATCTCAGGAAAGGCCCTTGCCTCCCCATTCTTCCGCGCGCCGAGTTATCGTGGGCAGCTCGCAATCTGGTGACTGCCCACCACGTGTGGAAAGAATGATTTGGTATATTCTATATCCTTTAAGAGGGTACGTTTTGCGTTTACCCCTTTTGCTTGCTTTATCTCCTCCCTCTATATGCTTTGCGTGCAGCTCAATTGACAAGGTAATCCTAGAACTACCGAAGCTCCCGTGCTTGCTGATACCCATCCTGTACGCCGTGCTTTCGCTCGCTACGGAAGATATGCTGCTAGTCATGTCGTTACTACCTTATTGATCTCCGTCGCCGTCGCCGCTATCCTCGTATACCCCTTTCCTTTTCTATATACTACCGACTTTATCAATGGCGCGTCCTATCTCCCCGAACACGCCTGGACCGATACTTTGCCCTTGCACGAGAGGAATAGAGTCGAACCCGATGTCATTATGCGCTCGATATGGGTCCACGGAGACTATTTCCAGGCTCTCAACAGGAACGTTTTGCTAAGTGCGCTGGAACTTCAAGACGAACTCCTCGGTCCGACAGTGAATTTCGATCCGCGGCGCCATATCGCTGATGATGTTCACGCTCAAAATGCTACGATTACGACTACCACCGATCTTACCTTGAGCCAGCGGGACGCCTATCATATTGCTAATGGCCTAACTAATCAATCTTGGTTCTTCCAGTCCCCGTTGCAATATTGGTCGTGCTCCTCGGAGAAGATAAAAGAAGATAACGATATCATTGAAACGGCGAACGAAAGAAAATCTCAGCCGACCTCGGTTAATGTAACCTTAAGGCATTCGACCGTTTTTAGTGGGAAGCGCTTTCAGGATCGTCGGCTTGTCGCTGTTGATGCTCTGGTCATTACCCTCGTGCACCTTCGAGATTCTCCGGTTGGCCGTTTGTGGCAGGAGAGAATCAAGTCTCTCAAGCAGAAAATGGCGGATCGTTGGGATATCTTTGACTATAGTCCGAGCGGCAAGACCAGCGAATTATATGAATTTAAGTTTCGTCCCATATCCTCTCAGGATGTAATCGTTTTAGGAGTACCCTATTCGGTCCTTCTTATTTACTTCTTGGCAACTTTGTCCAATTTACGAGCCTTTAAGTCAAAAATCGGATTGATATTTACGGTCATGGCTCAAATCGTCTTCGCCATCCTATCGAGCTTTACTGTATGCGCCATACTCAAGATCGATCTCTCGAGACTTCCGCGTTTGGGATATCCAGTCGTCATTTTCTGTATGAGTCTTGAAAATATCCATCGGCTGATCAACGCCGTCATTCTCACGCCATCCGAAAATAGCACGAGCAGCAGGGTTGGCCAGGCCTTTGGTGAGACGGGTTATGTTGCGCTGGCCAGCGTGGCTCAGAACGTTCTTCTTCTATACGGCTTCTCAAAAATCGTTTTGCCTAGTGTTTCGGCGTTTTGTACCTTCGCAGCTATCGCACTGATGTTTGACTACTTTTACCTATCCACCTTCTTCCTCTCGGTACTCAGTGTCGATGTTCGGCGGACCGAGCTCAGTGATGCGCTTGCGAAAGCGTCAATTCGGGATCATCGCTCTGCTTCTGATCTCCACTCACGCCAAACATGGATAGACGCGATGTTGCACGGGAAAATCGCTATGTCGACACGCATTGCGGGGACTATCGTTATGGTGGGATTCGTACTACTCGCTCAATGGCATTTTTGGGAGAGTGAAGGCGTACTCAAGCTGCTCAGCCGAATCATTCGTGTCTCCCCCAAATACAAAAATCCATCGTCAACTTCGTCCCTATCTGAAATTCATCAGGTCAGGAGTCCAGCGTCATGGCTAAGTCTTCAAGATCATGAGACGGCTCGAGAGCTCATCCATGTTGTCAAACCAGAAGCCCATAGCTACATCGCACGAGTCTTTCATCCTACGATATTCGTGCTCAAGGGATCAGACCGAGGTCTTTCTGCCAGCGAACCGTGGTTTACTCCAGCTGTCTACGACTTTGTACGTCATCAGTCGGTACCTTTTCTGATTACAGTCCTTATTGTTGCAGCAGCAGTTCGCCTTCTGATGAATTATCTACTATGGGATGAACTGGCAGAATCGCCGCGAGTTGGTCCGGGTGGAGACACACTACTCTCAGTTAGGACTCTAAGTAGCGGCCATTCTTTAGACGTCGCCTTGCTATCGGCCTGCTCTGACGGTCATCTTGTGTCTATAGGGCTGGACCGAATCATTAGGATCTGGGATATCAAAGCTGGGGGTAAAAATTATGTGTTGGGTGACAATGGGGATTCTTCTATTATCCCGTTCCCAGTCTTAGCAATGTGTATCGACGAAGAATCCCACTGGCTTGCACTTTTAACATCTGGCAAAGTTCTGCTATGGGATCTCATTGGCCTACGATGGGGTCCTCTTATCAGGGCTGAACCGGATCGACATAAGCCAGAAGCCTTCTTCTTTGTCACTGACGATTCCCTAGCTATTCCCGCCTTGATTCTTATCCGACGGGATGGTATTATCACGGAGCTTACAATCGACCAAGCGATACCCAGCAACTACATATTTGCTAAAGAGAGCTCGATTGTCTCCGTGGGCTTTCTTTCGGAAAAGGGTGAGTTGTATTTGTATTATTGTGAAATGAAGTTACATCCGCTTATATATATATATAGGGTTTCCTGCTCAAGTGATGGCTTCTACTCGTGAGGGTGAGGTGCGCCTAGCTACACAGGAAGGGTCCAGCTGGACTACAGAAATAGTAGAGGTGGGGAATTCCAAGGACCGCGGAGCTATTTCGATTCAAGCCTTGCCGGAATTAGGTTTCTTCCTCATAATTCGATCCCAGATGGTAGACCTAGTAGACTCGCAGACGCTCAGAGCAATCTACACTTTCAAGGTGGATCCAATCCAACCGAAAAGCTTAAAATGTTTCCATTCGAGGCCACGGCGGATGCGATGTGGTTCCCTTGCCTTATGGAGCTTTACATTGGCATATCTCAATACATATACCCGTGACTTGGTGGTGCAAACCTACAGTCCGCAGCATGAAGGGGAGTCCTTGTGTTTCTGCGATCCAGCTTCTCCCACTAGGAAAACGTGCTGCCCATGGCAAAGAGCCAAGGAATCGAGAAGGGTTATTAAGAATCCCGGACTCTGGGATGCTTTGCCGTCTGGAATTATAGTCGGAGTTAGGAGGAAGAATAGCGAGAAGACCCGAGCAGATGGTCACCTAAACCATCAGCCTCTCCAACAGCTTAGCGGCCTCCGGCGCCGTCACCACGCCGTTAAACCTACCAACGGTCACATTTCCCAAGACAACTGGGAAGTATGGATGTTCTCGCATTTCGGAAAGCAGGAGACGTGGGAAGCCCTTCCACTATGCTCGAAAGTCGAAGATGATGGTCATCTATTTGTCACGAATCTTGGACCAATGATTCGAGTTGGTCGTTCTTGCTTAGCTGTTGGACTCAGTAACGTGATCAAGGTTATCATGGTCGGCAATGAGCGATTTGAGACGGGCGATGACTCCCAACCCGGAGACGGGATGCCTGCACTAGGAAGTCGGAGGCGTAAGGGACCTTCCACTCTTCGCGGCAAACCCGCCATCCCTTGCTCACACTGCTAAGGGGTATGAAATGCCACATGGCATCTATAGTTTCAATTCTTACGGTATTATTTTGCGATTGGTGAAACGGATTACTAGGCTCGAAAGAGACATGACTGCATCATGGATATAGGAGGACGACCTGGCTGGTCACAGTCTACGCGAGGGCACATACGCACATATATAACCCGGGTTTTTTTTTTAGAGGATGGGCGTTTTACTATCTATTTCCACCACACCTTGGTAAATAGAACTGGACGGGGAATGGGTAGGGGATTACATGGTACGTACACGAAACATAAAAACAACATAAGGCGTTCCTCGAGACACCACGGGCATCGGGCATAGACATTGGACCGGGTTCTTAGAGGGGCTTACTTGGGGGGAGGTTGGGCTGATAGAAACGGGGAAGAAAAAAAAAGGAATTGTGATATCAGTCCATGATGTTGCACATATAGCTCTCGCAACTCCGAATGAATAACGGTGGACGGCATGTTGTCTAAAAAAGGGTGTTCCTGGCGGTTTTTCTTTTCTGGTCTCGAGCAACTTGGTGGACAGTTGGCTGCGAAGCGGAGAAAGGAGTTCTTGTGAACTTGGGAGTGAGCGTATATACCTCGTGCCTACCTCTACCTCCCTAAGGTAGGTAGAGGTAGGTAACCTACATACACCTTATATAACTTATATCTATACATCTGTATACCTATAACTAAGCCTTATAGTCACAGCCTGGTAAATTTTAGCTTATATCTTGTTGAAAATAGTTATACTAATCGCAATATTTGTAAGATATTTGTGGATGGATCGTTAATTCGTGAGGGTTTAATAGAGTATAACTACGTGCAGCCCGAAGCGATGGATAAGCTGCTAGATGATTAGGAAGGCTTGTGGGAGGGAGGAGCGACGGAGTCGAGCCACGACTTGACGGAGTTGTTTTTGCTTTGCTCCGAATTGGACGTCTTGTCTCCCTTGCAACGGCGAGAGGTGGTACTACAGCTGGAGGTGGTTCCGCGGCTGGAGGTAGCATCACCGGCCATGCGGCAGAGCTCACCAAGGCGTTGAAGTGTGAGACCGCCCTCCTCAGCTAGCTCCGTGATCTCCTGCACGCGGGCTTAGCTGTCTTCTTGGCTACCTTACGACTCGGGACGTACTTGGCTGAAGCGTGATGTCTGCCTTTTGTATACTTTAGAATAGCAGCCTCCTCAGACTCAGAGCCTTCACTATCTGTGCTAGGCTCTGACAGAGTGTCCTCATCATCAGAACGGAGTAAGGCTTTAGTACTCAGCTATATCTAGGTATATAAAGAAGCACATCACGTCACACACAGCAGCAATAGATCAAGCCATCATACACGGGAGACCAATCTGGGAGGTTGTATTGCTATATTCGCGTATGCAAGCGAGAAAGCGCAATATGTGTACCGGGTTGGTGTTTGCCCAAGTTAAGCCCACTCAAGCATATCTCAACTACACACGAAAAATGTCCGTATCCTTCCCCCCTGGCTGCAAAGTCAAAACAAGGTCCTGTAGACCAAAACCCGTTATGCAGCCCCTGTATCCATGCCCTACAAAGGAAATCCATCTCTAAAATCCCAAAGCCTTAGGATCTTCTTGTCCGGGTAGATCCGCGATAGCGTGCGGAGCACGTCGGTCTGCTCGTCCGGGGGTAGGCTTACGGGTGGCAGGGTGTTGATTGTGGCGGCGCCGGAGATCGAGGGCACAGATGAATAAGATGAAGCATAGGACGGAGAGGATAATCATGGAGCATATCCTGAGGACTGATAGGAGGAGGCCGTGGAGGAGGCGGAGCTTGCCACGGACTTCGTGGTGCTGCCGGCTTTGCAAATCTCCATGCCTTTGCCGTTAGGTTGCTTGTCACTAGGGCCGTTTATTGCAGGCGCGACCCTTCCGTGATGTGGGTGCTTCAGCTGGGGTTTGGGAGGATCCTTGTTCTTCCGGATGTCGTCTTTAATGTGGTCTCCGAAGATCTTGCCGAGGGTATTGATAGTAGATCCATTCTCCTCGGCTAGTTCCGATATTTCTTGGATCCGGATCTGAACCTCTTTCTTATTGCGCTTGAGCTTCTGGGCAATCTGCTGTTACCTCTGATGTGGCTCGGTTAGTTTATATCTGCTTTAAATATAGGTATTTAAGGTAGGTAGCTAGCTGTTATGAGTAAAGATAAAGGGGGTAAGAACTTACAACCATCCTCATGGAGGCCCTAGTTGCGAACTCTGTATTTTTCATCAAGATATTCTCTGAGACCTTCGTGGGCTCTGCTGTAACAGCAGCAGAAGCCCCAGAATGTGAGCTGCCCTCATCTGAGTCGGATTCTGCTTTGGAGGAGTCTGAATCACGCGGGGGGGAGTGGGGGAGTCCGTCTTAATGAATTGTCTACTAGGGGCTTGCTTTCTAACAACAGCGGCATCTTCGTCGAAGCTTTCTTCGCTAGCGTCAGCCTCCGCTTCGGACTCTCCTTTAGACTCCTCTGCAGATTCGTCCTCACTGGAATCAGACTTGCTTGCCGAAGAGACGGGCTTTCGTGCGTCTCTAGCTCTCTGGCCCGGCCTATTTCTTGACGGGGGTGGACTTCTTATTCCGTGAGCGCTTGGAAACAATCTCCTCTTCGGATTCCGAGCCTTCTTCGTCTATGTTAGACTCTTCTTCTGTTGAGTCCGAGTCGCTCTCGGGAAGGGGCGCAGGCTTGACTGCATTTTTGGCGATCTGCTTGGCTGAGGCCTGCTCAATCGAAGTGCATGTAACGGCTCTTCCACGCTTCGGAAAGACGCTCTCCTCGGATTCGGAACTTTCTTCATCTGCGTCCGAGCCCACCAAAGTGTTTGAATCTTCAGAAGAGGAAGAAGCGCTGACGTTGACTGTCCTTTTCTTCCGCTTTTTAACTGGAGCACGTTTTCTGGGAGCGATTTCCTCCTTATCTTCTGAAGTCTCAGATTCGCATTCTATTCGAATGGGATTAGCTTCGCATTAAACGAGTAGGCTGAATTTAACTATGTGTAGCTGTTAAATCTTTCTTACCAGAGGCTTGGTGTGCTAGAACGATGTGCTTCTTCGAAGGCCGCTTTTTCTTACTTTTGAGCGGGCTTCTTCGGAGGGACCTCTTCAAGGCCTGATTCGTCCTCATTGGTATCTACTAGGGGATAGTTAGCTTCGCTCTCAAAAAAATTGATTACAGCATCTTATAATAGTTACCTAAGACTTCATTTCTTAGCGGATATTTTTTTAGCCGGTTTATGTTTGGCTGACTTGTGCTTTTTACAGGTACGTCTTATCACAACTTCTTCCTCGATGAGTGATGATCCACTGGCCGCGCTTGATCCACTGAGCAGAATCATTGTCGCCTCTAGAGTTGAAGAATATGCTTCCAACTCGGAGCACAAAGCGACGACTTTTGCCTTGTCGTGGGCGAGCTCGTTCTGTCGGAGCGGTGTTGCTTGACCGGTTGATTGGTGGGATGCCGAATAGCGGCAGAAAGTAGACGTCTCCGCACCAGCTCTTTGCATCTCCTCTGGATTTCACCATAGTGGCTGAAGAAGAGTCAATGGATGATGTATGAGTTGAGTACAGTACAGGAGCAATGATCTGTGATGATGTAGGCAAGAAGCAGTCTATTCTTGATGGTGTGTGATGAAAAGAAGGGAAGAGGAAAAATAGAAAGGTCTCAAGGAACGGGGAAGGCCATATATTTATATTATTTAGGAGAGGGCCGGTAGGGAACGGGGCACTTAAGTGCGCAAGTATGCAGATATATTATAAGATATCTACCTTAGGTACCTACAGGTATAACCTAAGTATATATCTGTATATCTATGTTTGAGCTTTACATTTTGATGAAAGAAGTCATATTGATTGTAATACTTACAAAACGTTTGCGGATAACTATTTGCGAGCTTTTGATTGAATATAGGGGCAATCAAGTGTTCATATATACCTCCTTCAGACCAGAATGTTTTCAGCTGATTATGAATACTATGTTAGTTACTTTGCTTGTTAATATACGTCTTTAATGGGGATTGCGTACCTACACAATCCACCGTTCTAGAATTTGTCTATCTTAGCTCCTCCTCTACAAGTATAACAACCGTCACATAAAATATCATATACTGACTACCTAAGGTACCTACCTAGATTACCCCTTTAAAGGTATGACACATTATCTTCTAAGCATCTTCTCATTTCCATGCTATCTAAGCCCCTGAATAGCTACCCTTTCCTACCTAGTTCCATGACTTTACTTCTTAAGAAGATAAAGATGAAATATTCTATTCGACAGAAATAAACAAGATTAGTAGGAGACTGGTGATCACTCAGCTATATCTATACAAACACGCCCATAACTTCACACATAGTAGTAATAGATCAACTCAGCAAACATTAGGCACAAATCTGGGCGTCTATTGCTGTGCCCGCATAGCTGCGTCCTAAGCAAGCAAACGGCGAGACCTCTCCCAATCTTGTATAGCCAAAGCCTGCTCATAAGCATTGTCTTATACTCATATCCCCCTCCATGACTCCAAAGCCAAAAATACCTAGGTCATATAGAACAAGACCCCGTCCTGTATGATATCCCTGTATCAAATTCCCCAACGAAATAAACCCACCACCAAAGCCCCAAAAAGCTTTATACCAATTGTCCCCCCTTCTCACCGAGAAACTCCCCCCATCTAGATATAAGTACCCTTTCCACTAATACTTAAGCAACCAGCAACCTGTAGGTAGCTAACGACGACAGATGTCCCTCCAGTTCATAGTTACATCATCGTCGGGATCCGTCGCTTGGGCAAGCTTGGCCTTGAGCACGTCGACCTCCAGGTACCGGCCCGTCAGATTGTGAAACTCAGCCTGGACCCGTCCGATACTCCGCCCGCGAAACCGCGCTTCGACAACAGCTAACACATGGCATTCGTTCACGTTGAAAATGCCGTCAGGGTAGAATATATTCTTGCGCGGGTATCCGTGAGGGATAGCGGTGTGATTTATGTCCTTGGGCGGGGCGGCGGAGGGGGTAGGCGAAGAGCGCGATGAGCCACCAGGGCGGTTGATTGTAGACTTCATGGGGGCCTGGCGGTCTGGTGGTGACTGTTGATTGATCTGAACAGTCTCTCTTTTCTTTCTCAGATCGGCCTTGATGAAGTGCCCAAACTCCTCGCCAAGGAACTCGATGGTTGTGCCACTCTTCTGTGCCAGTTCCATGATCTCTTGGATGCGGGCCTGGACGTCCTTCTTGGCACGTTGGATCCGGTCTGCAATCTGTTGGAAACTGCGATAAATTTTGATTAGCTTGTTGTTCATAGTAGAAGCGTCAAATAGAGATTAGAACTTACGGTTTCCCGTGAGACTTCATGAAGCATATAATTCCATCTTCACGAATACCCCATTCGGCATCTATATATTTGCTCATTCTAATATTCTCCAAGCTTTTCTGGGGCCGTGCCTTGATGGCAGTCTCTTCAGAACCAGGACTTCGCTTTTCAGAATCTGATTCTTCTCTAGAGGCGTCAGAATCAGAGCAGTCGGAGTCACTCTCTAGAGGAGGGGGGACGGTATTTACTGGCGTCTGAACTGAGGCCTGTTTTTTAGCGATAATGACTTCCTCATCTGAGTTTTCATCGCTGGTAATGGGCGTGTCGTCAGCCTCCTCTTCGCTAGAATAGGCCTCACTTTGAGGAGGAGTGACGGGCTGGGCTACCTCCTTAGCCGCCAGTTTCTTATTTTGTGTAGACCCACTATCAGAGCTCTCGGAGTCCTCAGAGCTGTCCTCGGCGATGTCTGACTCTATTAAGGTATCCGAGTCCTCATCGGAGGAAGAGCAGACTATGACCGCCTTATTCTTCTTGGCGGAAGCGTGCCTCTTGTGGAAGACACCCTCTTCAGCCTCTGAGCTTTCTTCAGAGTCTGACTCTATTCAAATGAAATTAGCCTCATCTCAATATGTAAAATGAAATTCAAATGTCATATATTTACCAAGAATATGGCGAGTCAGGACGACTTGTTTCTTTGAAGACCGCCTCTTCGAACGAGCATGCTTCGTTGGGGCTTATTCGACGTCTGAGCTTATCTCGTTTGCGTCTGAATCTTCTTGAAGAGAGTTAGTTTCAATTACAGAAAGAGTATTTTGAGTTATGTTAACTCGTACCTGAGGCATCTTTGCTTGAATGGTATTTCTTGGCCGATTTATGTTTCTTGCTTCCTCTGACCTTTTCCTTTGAGGCGGCCGCTTCGCTGCCGTTGTTTGATTATGATAGCACCAAATCGTTGATGCCATCATGATCGTAGTACGACGCCTCGACGTTAAAGACACGACGAGGGCCTTTTGTGTTTCGCCGACTAACCACAACGTTGCCATTACGACGAGACTCACGCGCGCTGCTTGAAACGGGCTGATCTTGGCGATTGTGAATTGGCGGAATGCCAAAGATAGTGAGGAAGCGGCCGTTACCACGCCAGCTTTTGGCGTCACTCCTGAACTTCACCATGTTGAATCAACAAGTAGGTAGTTAACAAGTTGGGAGATGAATAGCGATAGTGGTTAGCGAACTGTATATTGCAAAGTTGTCAAGAGTGAGCAAAGTAGGTAGGTCTTTGATCATGTGTGATGGAGAGAGAAAGAAGGAAAGAAACGAGAGAGCTCTCGATGAGGAGGGGAAGCCTTGTATTTATATAAATTTCAGAGAGGGTCAGCAGAAGATGGGCTAGCTAAGTGCGCAAGTACGCAGATACCATCAACGCGCAACCCGCACTAGAGCAGCTGCTCTACAACATGAGTCACAGTGGTCAGAGAAGTTATGCGCACCTTTAAATAGCCTCATAACAGTGTCTGTTGTCGTGGATACAACCTGGAGGGAAGGTGCGTAGGTGCGTTTGACAAGAAAGGGGGGGGGGGGCGTGCGCAGTGTAGTGATGTGTTTGTGAGGGTCTAGGGAAGTTGCTAAGGCACAAATTGTCGTGATTGTGGTAAAACGGACTGATAAGAGGATCTGCTGCTGGGAAAACATCGCGAAGTGGGATACTAACGTACTTACCTGTGCAGTGACCATGTGAAAAACGCGTACTTTGTTATTTTGGCTAGCAAGGTAGGTGGCAACTTTTGTTTCGTACGTATGATATGAAGAAGTAGACGCACTGGGTTAGGTGCGTATGTTTTTATTTACTTCCTAAGACACCGATGTAAGAGATATGTTCGTATGTTTGTATGTATGTACCTGGTACTGAGGCAGGTCTAGATGCTTCAGCATACAGTTAAATATCTTCTCTACATACGCCCTATAGACGTTCACAGTTTGCTACTTCTCAATTTCGGCTTCTACCTAGCGTACGGATGTTGGATGTTGTTCAGACCCAGGAACAAGATGGTCGGCCGCCCTCGTATGTAGAAGCCCGGGATGGACTTCGTCGAGACTAGTTACGCCACACATTTACATAGTCGTCACCAGCTCGTCGACAAGAACTACGTAGGAAGTAAATATACTAGTAACAAGAGCCTTTTACCTACCTAGTCACAAGACATTTCGGGAGACAAGGGAACAGAAACGAAAAAAAAGGAGGGGGTGGGCATAGGGGGTATAAAAAGGGGTTAACCTTCCTATTAACGAACTTCTCAACGCCCTCCCTCCCATAATTCAGCGCGAACAAAAACCCGCGCCCAATCCCAACAGCCCTCTCCCCTAAACACAAAGCCTTAAAGAAATCCGTGCCCCGCGTGATGCCGCCGTCGATATACACCTCCATCCCATCAAACAAGCACTTCCGTATCTCCAGCAGCACCAATATCGTGGCGGGCGACATATGTATCCAAGCTTCTCCCGCCGCGGTTAGAAATATATATAGCATCGACCCGGGCGTCCATGGCCTTCACCGCGTCCGCCGGGGTGTTCCAGGGCAAATTCGCTGAGATCGTAGACTATGCTGTCGACGAGGAGCCAGAGATCCTGCAATGAGCGATGCTGTGACATCTCCTCCATGCTTTTCGACCGCTTCTCTTCTTCATTCTGACTATGGGCTGGGTCCGCCACCCATTTGTTATTCTCATTCATCCTCGGGGTTGAAATAAGGGAAAGTGTACTAGTGAATTGCTGTAGCCAATACTTCGAATTCGCACTCTTTTCCGATTCTGCTTCTAATTTTGGATCTTCGCTTATAAGTTGCCAAGTTCTTCAAGTATGCTTATTTAGTATAAATCTTTATCCAATGTGTTACTCTCTACGCCTCATATTGTATCGCTTCAAGACAAAGACTCGCAGCGAGCTTCAGGATCAGGAGTTAGCACGGCTCCTACCTACCTACCTGTCACAGATATATCTCCTTATTTGATTTAATATCCATTCATCAGCCGGTGGAATGAGAACCGAAGCGTGGAGAAAGACGTATGGCTAGCACCGCCAGCTTCCCCACATTGTCCTCCCGAACCGACTGGGTCCGGGGTACCCCACGATCTCTTCGCTCTGCCGCGGGCGAACGTTGAGATCCACCTCGATCGTGGGTTATATCAGCGAACCCGGACTTATAATTGGGTGTTTTATCCTTAGTCCAAGGGTACCTAAAGCTATATAAAATCTCAGATATAGCATATGAAACGGCGGCTAATGAATGATACACGCTTACCTCTGTTCTAATAGTCTCGGCACAAATCAAGATTCCCGTTTGTTTGACCAAATAATATCATATGTATAATGGGTATACAATAAATACTATACGTAGAACTGAATCAGTCCACTCTTGACCCTTGACCTGACCAAGCTCCCAGTTAGACTAAGATTTGGTAATCGTAGATACAACCCAATATTACTCGTCCATTCATCACCATGTCCACGTACCTAGCGTTATACGGATTTCTTTTTTATAAAAACCAATCTCCATCCGATCCTGTGCCGCCTGAATAATCTTCCAAGTGAGATCCTACCCCAACTTCCCTCCTCTGCGCCATTAGAAGAGCCACATCTATCTTAAGCCTTGCGAGATGTATTACGCACCTCCAAGACTCCGGTATTCAAGAGACCGTCGTGCGCAAAATGCGATTTATTAAAATTTACATATTTTCAAACGAGCGATAAGCTAGGTGGTAGGTAGCCGAAATTCTGCCCTTCACGTTCCGGGGTACGGTCGGTACGATTGAAAATGTGCTGGCGGAGGTGGACTGAATTGGGAATATTCTGATTGCGGAGGTGGTGTTGGGTTGGAGATCCATGTGTACGTTGCTGGATCGTCGGCGGGGTTCAGCTGATCACCAGGAGTAATGGGAGATACTATATCATCTTCGCTGGGCTTTCGTGCTGCCGGGACAAAGGTAGACGGGATTGCCTGCACCTGAGAATTCCTCTGATCCCTATAATCTCTATGTTCCCTATGTTCCCTGTGCTCCCTGTGTTCTCTAGGCATGGCAACTGGTTCAAAGTGAGTAGGTTGAGGGTAGCTCATAACGTGTTGGGTCGACGCTTGAGCCATTTGCGGCGGTAATTCTCCGTAAAAGTCTGATTGGTACTGCGGTTCAGGTAATCCTCCCCCATATACGCTGTTACGTGGGAAATCTCTCGGTTGAAACTGAGGCGACCCGTCTATCTCTTTCTCTTCTGTCTCATCCTTCTTACGTTGACGTCGGCGTAAACAGAAGAATACGGCAGCAGCTATGAGCGAGAGTCCAGCAACACCTCCGACTACTCCACCAGCAATAGCCCCTGCTCTACTCGAATTACTACCACCAGGACCCGTAACTGTCGTGTCTGAAGATGAACTGGTGCTCGGAGCCACAGTAACAGTTACGGTATCGGTAGGGCCAGTGCCCGTTGGAGATTTATCGGATGTCGATTGAGACGTGGTATCGCTCGGTGGTGCCCAGTCCGGTGGCGGACTAGTTGCGATTGCACTGGACCCTGCCTCCTTACCGCACGCTAGAAAACTGACGCCGTTGAAGTTTTCAAAGAAATTCGCGTTGTACAGATATGTCACGCAATGAGGACTTTCTGGTTGATCGCTTCCTCGGACTTAGTTTAGGAGAGCCGAGAGAGGATGGACGAAGCTTAAACTTACCATAGTAGAGTCCTAGCGAGATCAATTGAAGAAGGTTGTGATTGGGTTGATTCTAAACACGTCGTGGGTATTCTGCAATTACGACGGTTCCTCTCGGTACAACATCCTGCCGCGAGCGCTGTCTGCGCCTCATAGCAATATCCTCCCCAACTGCATGTAATCGCCTGCGCTACTAAGAGTTAAGACGGGGGCTTTTCGCAGTTGAATAAGGTAAGTCATAATCTAAATGGCAACCTACCGCTAATATTATCAGCAGGATATCCGCACGTGGCAAGACTAGTAGTGGTCGTAGTGGTAGTCCTATCCTGCCTCCTCCGAAGCTGAAAATCGAGCAGTTCGGCCGCCGGCGGCGCAGTCGGCTTCGGGGACCATCCTACAGGATCTATTGGGGAGGCGGCGACAGCGTCTTTGGCCGGCCCCCAATTCCCCGCATGGTGACCATAGGGGGATGGTAAGCTAGCATCAACATTGGTGATCGCATAACTCAAGGTGGCCAGCCTGAGGGCGGATTTCATGTTGGTGCAGGTACAGGGTTGCCCATTCAAGAGGCAAAGAGAAAAGGTCAGAAACGAATTCCGGAAAAAACGACTGTAAGGGGGGGTGCGGGCAAGCCGCTTTTAACATGTAACGTGCGGCGACTCGAATACCGGGACCGGCTATCCAACTGCCCAGTAAGGCTTCAGCTGAGACGAGATCCCCACCTCTGTAGATGGCTGATGAGACCTTGGGATTACTGGATGAGACCCTAGGAGGGACTGGTGCAACGTAAAATTGGGGGACGGTACATAGAAAAGCAGGTAAGCAAGTCGATATCACACATATATACATATATATAGGTATATATATATGACCAACCAACCCATCTAGTCATCGATTCAGCCGAATAGGCCAATCGGCCGTGTGCAGTATCACCGAGGAGTTGGGAGAAGAATTACCTGAGGTAAGGTTAGGTTAGGTACCTAGGTAGGTATGGATGAGACGATTCTGTATCTTCGGTCAGATTAGAACAAAAGTACAGTTTATCTTCACGAGTTTCTTGAGATAAGCGATGTGAAAGTCGCAATTTAAGATCGAACCAGATTTTGCTACAAGAGCAATGGTAGGATGGTGATGTTCCGTGTCTTAGCTTGTGACGGCTGATGTACAATACCTAGCATTCAGCCGAGAGAGACGGGCTTGCAAGCAGATCAGATTAGATCAGACATGGCGTAATAGTACATGGTATAGGATGAGGTTATTCATCGTTCGCATACTAAAGATTACTTAAATGCCACTCGGTCGGTAGGTACCTCAATGGAATTTTTAACCAAGGTTGGCAGCGTAGTAGTGGAGGTGCGTGAGAAAAAAGGGAATCAGTGTAGGTTGACCCCTACCATAGTACGATCCCTACAACCCCGCAACTTGAAGGATCAAAAAAAGCACAATCTGCCGACAATCCTTCCCTGGGAATTGGGTTTGTCCAGGTTATTGTCTAGGTTGTTTGAAGTAAATAGTAAATTTAGGAATTAAGTATTGCCATGTGTCACCCTTTTTGCCGGGTGTCTTTTTGGTTAGTTGCCAGTTGCCGGACAATTGTTCCTTTTCCCCTTGAATAACTCACCAATGTCATGTTGTTATTCAAGTTTCATAATAATCTGTCATGTTTGGACTAACCGTTAGCGCCATTTCATCGGATGCTAAACGATCATTGGATCCAAGATCAACATAACTAGACCCTTTTCAATACCAATCGTTGTACGCAAAAGTCGGCGATATAAGTCATTTATGATGAGTGCAGGAATATCCGTAAAAGAAAAAGAAAATAGAAAATCGCTGTAGTGGAGTTGGGATTGACGAGCAGCAGGATCACGATATAATGCCGCGAACTCTTAAAATAGAAAGTTGTTCCAGAAACGCATTGATATTTCCACAACCATATATGATATTCACCATGTACATAGCATAGGATGAGGCTAATAAGCCCTCACGTCGAATACGTCCATTTAGAGGTATTGTCGCATTGGTTCCAGTGGTATAAATAGATGAGGCTCCCTCTCGGTTTACATCCGTCTCTCCCGGATGACCCACGACCCTAGGTAGCGATCCCGAGGTCGATGAATCATATCCGCAACATTGCGCCTTACGATCTTCGCTGCCTCAGTCTCAGGGAGGATCCTTAGGATGTTCTCTTCAGATCATCAATACCGGAGAACGACGGCAGAGTTTGATAGACAGCCAAAACTTTATAACACGCGTCGCTCGATCTCCATCTAAGAATAGTACCACGTTACGCCGGGGAGACGAATCATAATACGGGGTACCGCCACAACGTAGTTTGCAAGACCCGAATAGCCAAATGATGTGGCATGTTCGCACATATCTATTATTTATGACTTTTAGTCCCGAAATAGAGCTAAGTCCCGGTCATATAAGATGATTCCATAAAGATCAGGACGTATATATGAAGAAGATGTGCATATGATATCCATCCCACGTAAGGATGTAATTCGCATAGCTCGATGTCCATCCTTTCGTAACATCCTTCTAAGTCAGTTCTGGTTAGAACCGTTTGGCATAGTCTGCGGGCCTCACGATAAAGTCGGGTGTTGTTTACCAAGGAAGAGACAAATTCCCAAGGTTGAGAGGGTTCCCATACGGCCCATCATCATATTCTACAAAAGTCGTTAGAAACTTCCATAACACGTACCACGGGTTTATCGGCATCGTAGACACTTACCATCGGCGGTGACACCCACCTCGGGATAGATTGAACTAGATACCCCGTACAGGGCCACATTATCGATCGGTACGTCATCTGGGTATCCCATCTCTTCCAAGGGATTCGACAGGCCAGTAAATTCGTTGATTTCATCAGGTATATGAGGCTCCGAGATGGCTATTTGGTAAGTGTCGAGACTCCGGTGTTGCGCATTGCTGTTTAGTAAAGGGTCTTGCGATGATGGTGGTGGTTGTGGTGAGATCATAACTTGATCGCCAACTTCCTGATTTAATTGTGTTCCTTGACCAGCAACATCAAGAGCATGTCTTAACGCTTTAAGAATATCATCCCTGTGGCTACGGACAGAGGCCAGTTCGGGTTGGTTGGTTAACAGAAAATCAAAGACCTCCAAAGCTCTGGCCGGGTAGGTGCTATGCATCTGCGGCTCTTCAAAGTCTGCACAGCTTGCATAATTAGCGTAGGTAGACCTCATTTAGATGGCTATTTTCGATGAGTAGATACACAACTATCGGCAATAATTTCATTGATACCTAAGGTACCTTGGGAACTGACTCACAGGCTGTCGGAGGTCTATGCATCTCAGGAAAGAGGACATCCCAGACACGGAACCACCTTTCTTCATCGGAAGGCTCATCTTGGGCCTTGCGCTTTCTCTTAAGGATGCCCTTGACCTTATCCCACGTAGCTTGAGATATACCTCGTTCATGTTCGAATGTCAATTTGATACATCTCGAGTCTTGCGCTAAATGGCTTTGCAACTCTCCGGATGTGTCAAAAATATCACCGCATCGAGAACATTGGTGCAAGGTATGGACACGTTCTAGATGGCGCCTTTTCTTGAGTCAGATTGCATATTTGAACATAATGAGGTAAACAGACTTGTAATGGTTGAGAGACAAGAATCCAGGACCGGCACATGATTTATATCGTGTCGCAGTTCTTCCTCTAGTATTCATCGGGCTGTATATTGCCCTGTCGAAAAGGTTGTACCCACAGGCGAATCTCCTGAGAGCTAAATCTTTTTCTCGACGTTGATGGTCAACAAGGACTCGATCATCATGATCGTCGCCTTCGAGAGTTTGGTTTGGGCGTAAATTGTCCGGCGAAGTATCGTCGACTCGCTTTCGCTTCGTAGGCCTAAAGTTATCCCCATAATTGACTATGATACTTGACTCCTGTGAGTCGTCGGCGCCGTAGGAGGAGATGGCCCCATATCCATAAACCTTCGCTCGCCGATGTAGTGGAAGGCGTACCAAGTAGTTGATTACTTTATCTGCAAGCTGTTCGTTAAACGAAAAGACTCGTCTGATTGCGTTATTCAATTTTTCAAACGGATCATATTCTTCATCGTCAGAAGAGATGTCTGTCGAAGTTTCGGAATCAAGTGAATCAGAATCGCTAGCTTCGTAACATCGCGTTTGGATATCGGCTCTAATTTTAGGTGGAGCTGATGTCTTGATCACAACAGGCCTGAACGATTTGCGAGTATTAGACCACGACTCAAATTTAGGTCTCGAATCCAGAGAATATCCGAGTTCCACATGCGGTAACTGAAGTAGCGTCGTCCGCAAGTCTTTGAAACCTCCGTAGCGTTTATTCTTATTGAGTGTCGGTAGTAAGTTTGACTTCAACGGGAACAACGACTCGCGTCGTTTAGGCGAATAGCGAACGGGGCTTTTCCGACTCTCGGCGAAGCTGAAGTGGTAGAATTAGTACCTATCCTATAAGCCGTACCTTAGGTAGCGATATAAATACAACACAACACGACACTCACAATGAAGTCCCTGACAAGGTAGAATCATCCGTTAAGCTAGGACATGACGATTCACACCTATCAGTTTCGTTCTTATCTTCGTACGCCGATAATCGCAATCCGATTGGGCGGTTTGTGGGCTGAACTGGTAGGTCAGGATATCACGCAATTAAACGATACAGAAATAAGCCGGAAACTACCTACCTTATATACTCCAGGGAAGTTTTTGAGTAAGCTGGTAAGATAGTTGACATATTCATCCATGACATATTCATGGTTAATGTCGCTATTAGTCAACCGATCAAACAAGTTCCAGTCGTCCCATGGCCCGTAACACTTTTGCTCGCCGTCCAGCTGGGGCAAGCTATCTTCATGTATTGTACCAGTAGTAACTTCGTGAGCAAACTTGGAGCCTGTTTCGAATACTGTGCTCCTAGAGCTTATGCTATCGTTGGTAGTTCTTGATAGCCCCATTATGACAAGCTAATAAGAGGATCAAGCAATGCTCAACACCCAGTTATTATAAATGCAAAATTATGTGAAGTAATAATATTGTATAACCTTAGGAGTGGTATATACAATATTATTTTATAAAAAAGAAAGAAAGAAAGGAAAGAAATAGGAAGAAGAAAATCAAAGTTGAACCATAACGCAGGTGCGAATTCATAATTAGCATCCAGCTGCGCAGTTGCGACGGTACTTTTTCGGACTTAACTTGTGTGACATCAGTCAGCGAAGCACTGCTGTGTGTACCTATGCGTGCCTGCATTAAATAAACAAGCAGGTTCTACGATATTTCATTGCGGTGATGAAGATAATTAGCGAAATATGTATCACTGAAATTAAGAATCGACCTTAAAATATTGGAGTTGAATTTATTTTATTTTAGGATAGTTTATTAAAATAAGACTTTATAGTTTAGGTACAGTTATTGAAAAAAAGAAAATCGGTACCTGTAGGAGGAGGTGAATCTCGAGCATACAGGGGGTGCTTACCTAACGTATGGTTTATCATCGTCCACTCCTGAACACATACGTGTAACAGCCTACCTTAAGTAAGTACGTGTTTTTCAAAGTTTGTTTCTAGACGTTCTTGCACTTTCCTGTAGCAAGTAGTTAAGGTGGGGATAAATAGTATCTTATGAGATTCCCGTAACCATAATAACGGCAACAGCGACCGCAACCACGACCACGACTTCCACGCAAGTTGGTCATGCTGTAAAGACGCACAAGCCGTACTAGAGAAATGGTTAACTCGTCGGCCTTCTACTTGCACAAGTCAATAGCCGAAGATTCTCGGTTCGAGTCCGGGGTACGGTATACCTTTTTTTCTTTTTTTCTTTTCCTCACGCCGTTTATTTTGGTTTCTCTTTCGTATGACTTGAGGTATGTGGTACGTACCCAGGTACACGTCCAGTTGATACCTGAAACGGCCCTCTCAATAAACCCCCTAAACTACCCGCTGTGGAGGTAGAATAATTAAACAATAAAATAATATTGACCACTTGTAGTGGTTCGTCTAAATGGCGGTGGTTAACTTGACTGACACCAATATAAAACGCGAGAATGAGGTAGATATTGGCAAGCACCACAATATGAAGATATGAGCCACGTCGATGCATTACCTCGATTGCCAATTTGAATATTCAACTATGCGTCTTCAAAAGTGGTTGTCATTGACGTCGTCTAGTTTAACTTACGGTAGGGCTATCCAATTTAGCAGGGTCAGTTAGAAGTTTGTATTTTTAGTAGTTAGAAGGTTTACTCGCCTTGGGTGTCAGGAGTCTCACTTGAGACTCCTTGAAAGAAAGGAGTTATTCTATATATAGCTTTGACTTCAAAGCAACTGTAGTTAGAGTTCCTTGCGGAATAATGAAGTTGTATCACCTACCTCATGCTCTGCGACGTGACAGTTTACTCGCCTTGGGGTTGTAGGTAACGCCAATAAAAACCCATAGCCTACCGAGGTATACATACTATATCGATGCTCTAACTCTCGAATAAGCTATCGTCATTGGTATGCTTCCTTAATGTATAGCACCCTTTGGGGTGCGTCGTCGAACTTGTGAAGACAACACTAATACATCAAATTCGTCTACCACTTTGTTTCAGGAGAGTGGGTATGAATGGCTTATAAGTGGCATATACAGACTTAATAGAAACATTAAGCTTGAAGAACTGCTGATGTAGAGGTGAATATGTCATACTGACTCCTGAGTTGAAGGACTAATTAAAATATTTCCTTAGGTACCTTAGGTACCTCTTACTCGACGAATGAACGCAAATGGAGTGTCAATATGTTTACCGAGGAACAGTATAAACACCTCAGACCAGTCAATTTCGAAGGTGGGCGCGTGCCGTGGCTTACTCGAACCTATGGGGATAGTTCGACCTCGTACAACCTCCCCCTCATAGCGCCAGTATATAGGAGATATCTAGTGGGTGTCCGTCTAATTGGATTGAAAAAAAAAAATAGAAGAATACCCAGCAAGTGGCAGCTCTGGAGGGAGGTCCGACCTAGAGGTGAAAGGGGACGAATTAGGTACCTACAAATCTTCTGGTTCTTTGTTCATTAGCTTCTCTTCCTATACGAACATCTTGAGTTGTATGAATTGTCGAATTATCTTCGCACTTAGTTATATCTAAAAGAAACTATACTTCAAATATCTATAATTACATCCTACATCTCCGATGTAGGTATGTATAAACATGACATGAGCATTACGGCGAAAATAGCCACATTCTGGACGTAGTTAGAGTAGGGATGTAGCATTTTTTCGTGTCGATTATCCAATCTGACATATAGCTGCACTACCACTTAAGCTATCAATAAACACCACATACGCCGTTGACGTATGTATGTCCGCCATAGTAGAAGTGAGTTAGGGGTGTGCTTGTTCTAGGCAGGACGTAAAAAGCCCAGACAAAACCTATGACAGGACGAAAGAAAACGGGAATATTTTGAATAAACGGAACTTTTCCTCACCGTTGCATTGCCATCGTTATGCTCAGAATGCTAAATCGCCATCGTAAATCAAAACAGGGAACTGTATCTGTATCCCTCCCTTCGTATGATTGAGGCGATTGTCCATAGAGGGAAATGCAGACGCATAGGAAGGTTAATCATCTAAACCTGTAGAAGCTTGACAACACAGTGATATGTCGAGGCTACGACGATATTAAGTTAGGTAGCTACGCATTGCACCTCTCATCGTGGGCCCACTGAGGCAAATAGTAAGCTCATCAGCCTCACCACCCCAAAAGAAGTAGGTTGTGGATGGGAAGGATACGAATCGAAGTGTCTGCGCACATACCTATTTTCCCGCTCCTTCCCTGCGCTCCCCTGTGCTCCATGCAAGAGGCTTCCTTTCGGGAAGTAACGAAACCGTACCCATCTGTCGTGCAGATCTATCCAGGTTACTTTGTCATTTCTGACGGGCGGATGGTTGACGATCAGCAGCCGTTCCAGGTACCTGGCAGGTCGAACCAGCGATCGAAAAGCGACGCAACCTATGCAAAGCCTTACGCGGAAAATCCGCTTCTGGCGCACTACGGCGAATTTGGACATAAAAACTTTCACACGAGAAGAGCTCTAAAAGTACCTAGGTACGTTAGGTAGTAAGCTACGTCGCGGAACTAGGGGGGTGTGGTATCACCACATATGCGGACGCCACACGCATCCCATTCCCTATACTCGCTAGAAATGATAATATACCTAGGTACCTAGGTAAAAAGGAATAGAAAATCAGGCTGCGGGAGAAGTATGATGGCCTTCGTATGTGGCCAGGGCACTCAAAATAGGGGAGCACGGGTTGCGGCGTCGCAACCTCGTGGATTTCCCGTTAACTGGGGCTGCCAGGGTTCAAACGGTTGCAGACTAAGTAGTATGTATATATGTACCTAACTTAATGTATGCATGTACCTAGGTAACGTACCTAACGCATGTAAAAGCATCCAAAGTAGAAGTAAGAAAGGGTATCGTATGCAGGACGGGAAGCGCGGGATATTACCACGACTATTCCCCATACGACGGGATGATGTAAGTGCCCAGCCCAGATACTGGTAATAAAATGCAATGTATGTGCACATGCGCGGGAATTGTACCATTTTCCGGTTGTTTAGGGGTCCTGTTTCCGCCCTCGGCGTAGCGGAGTTACGATAGCCTTATTAGGGTAGCCTTTCCCCTCCCCCTTTGAAAAGATGTTGACCCCCGTGCTGTGGCGGTTGACAGCAGCAAGTAGGGCGCATCATTGTAGGGCTTGCGTGCCTCGAACGCGTCTGTATGGGCGACAACCCCGGACGTGTTTGCTTAACTCCCCGTCTGCGATCGTCGGAGACCATATGATGGACCAGATCGCGGGAGCTCCTTATCTTCAGGGACCTTTTACCCAACTGTTCCAGACGTGAATGTTCAGACAAAAATTGTAGCATCGATCGCAAAGAAGGGTGTTCTAGGGCTTTTCGAGACATCTGGTTTGCTAGGTATTGTAGCTATTTCTACTGGACAACGTCTAGGCCGGGGGAGAGAGGTGAAATTACGTACCAAGGTTATAAGAGCTCGGAACATCCCCTGTCCGTAACGCGATAGGACAGACCCCAATTGGACAATTCGATATGCATGGTAACCACGAGGTTTTCCACCGTTGTCTTTCCGCTTTTTATATGACTTATCAAGTAGGGTCTTTGTTTAGGTTGAATTGGTGTAGAGAGCTATTAATATCTCATAAGATGTGTTGTCATAAGATTTGCTGTTATGTCGGTACTTACTACATGTGTTTAATTTAATAGTTAAGTACCCGAGATGCTTTCGGTGATGTAAGCTGATTTATATCCTCAACTTGGCTTGGAGATTGGCTACCTTTTAGAATCTGATAAAGGTGAAATGTTCGAACGATACCGGCAAAGGCCCGCGGCTGTATGCATGTGACTTGCTTTAGAACCTTCAAGTAGAAACGGATGGTACTGCTAATATGCAATTCCCGTAAGGCGGCCTCATTTTCTTGAATCCGCTTGTTGCTATTGAATGTCCCACTCTATAAACTAACTTTACCACATTCAACTGATCAACATTGATATGGGCTCAACGGGCGGCGGCAGGTGCGGCAAGTTGTGGCATCGAACCCAGGTGCCTGGGATGGACGGGATCGAGACCAAGGACTCGGGCCGTATGGCTTGAGCCGACGGTCATTCAAGGACGAGCCACACCGTAACCCCTGCCCCCATTGCCTCGGAGAAAAGTAAGGCGTCAGTAGCAAGTACTCAATGCTATCTAGTGTATTTGCACCCCTCGATACTCCTGCAAGCCGCTGGACTGCGGATCGCCCCAATCAGATGAGTGGCGACAAGCTGGGAGAAGGGGGCCCCCTGCATGATGATTTCCGCAGGAACACGAGAGGCCCCGGAATGATTTGATGTATTCCTCAATCTCAAATACATCTGACAGAGGGCTTCGCAGGTGTTACCCACGTCCCCGACTAACCTTTCAGCGTAAATTAGGAAACGAAGCGTATCCTCCTTAATGAAGCACCCTAGCAGCCCCATAGCCGATCCAAGGAGCCTCACAGGGAGCCTCACAGGGATGTGATGCCTAGCGAAATAGTCTACCGAATTCACAAGTGCTGCAGGGCTACCTAATCCGTTATTTGTTCACGTTTGCGCTCGTTCATGCGGAGAGCCGGGGTATACTCCGTCCAATGGTAGCGCATCTAGGTCTTAGAAGAATTGATTTCGAGGAGCGTCAGCGGAATATACGTTCCTCCATGTCTTGGATTTGGGGCGTAATACCACGAACGTTTTTTTCTTCTGTTGCTAGTAAGCTGTAGGACATGGGTTCGGATTGTCAGGTACGGATTCACTTCTGTTACATCGTGTGGCGCTCCTATCAACGATCATTCAAGTCATACTAGCACTTACAGATCGGAAAATTTGAAGCTGTCCAGAACCATCTGTTGAAGAACGATTGGCTCGATTTATGTCGAAGAATACCTATGTCGTAAAAGGCTAATATACCTAGTGGTCGATGACCTAACCATGATTCAGGTGATAAGATCAGTGCTAATTCGATCCATCTCTTACCCATAGCTGAAAATTTGATATTAAAAAACACCACTATAGCTGAGAAAGGCCGAGGGCGACCGGACCAAGTGTGCATGTAGTAACGGGCTAGGGATCTTAAACTGGTACATTATAAACTCTCCGACGAGCTTTTATGCGGCGGTGGCGGTCTCCCTTTATTGTGCATACGTGCCTACCTCTAAGGTATAGTTTATTGGTGGGCAGTTCGTATCGATTTGTGGTGGCCGGCCTTGAGCCTCACGGGTTATCAGGTCGAATAGAGATATTGAGGGTGATCCGTTTCCTTGGTATGTGCATACTCTGCTTGAGATGGTTCGAATAATATTCGTAGGTTGACTAGTTGGTTGAATTATTACTTGTCAAAAATCGAATAAGGCGTGACCTCGCTGATTCTAACCCAGCAGGTAGTCGAAAGTTACGTACTTGGGATTATTGCTGTTGACACACAGCATGGCCGCTGTACGACCGATGCCCCATCCGCCTGGTATTCGGCGCTGCAACGTTCCGGGAGGATGGAGATGCTGTGCTCCGGACGTTGTGGCTTGGTGGGTCCTGACAGATATTATTTACGGACGCAAACCGAATCCGACGCCACAGCTGTGGGATAGCTGGATAGCCGTCGTGTCCTTGTTGTTGAAATTTTCTCTAAGAGGCAATCATAGTTGGTTGGACCAGACTAAAACTGGACATAGCATAGGTAGGCAGGTACCTTGTGACTTGGCTGGGTGATTTTGACTGATATATCCCCGTATCTCACTTCTCTCTTCTCTCATAGGCGTGTGCGGGGAGCTAGGAGCTGGAAGCTGGAAGCTGGAAGCACAAGTGTCCCTACCTGACTGCCCTGAGCCCTCGGCTCCGGATCTGCATTGTTTCAAAGGTGTTCGTGACCGACCGGAACACACCCCAAATTGCTACCAGCGCAGCTGATATGAGAGCCAAAAAGAACATTGGCTTATCGAAGGTTAGCTGTCCTGTAATTTCCTTTCCGGAAAGCTTGTAGAGAGCTGTGTAGGGTGAAAATAGCAGATCCCTACAAGGGGGAGGGGAAGGGGGGTCTATTCCAAGGGAAGAGTTCCTTGTCATTCCTTGTCAGTCAACTTTATGGGGTAATTGAAGCCGCTTCGTAGCCGATTGAGCTCCCGACCACGGAATCTAGAACCAAGGTACTTCCTCGAAGAATTCCTCGAAGAACCCGGGATCCCATATTATTGAGGCGTTTATACTATAGTATCGTACTCCCGGGGCTTAATGTTTTCCGTAGCCATTGCGTGATACTCTTTTAATCGGATCTTCAAATAGAATTAAATGGCAAACTCGGCTACCTCCGAGGGGCTAGATCCAGATCCAGGTTAGTTAAAGCCTATGGTGTGTTGTCACTGCTGTGTTGGTAGAGATGAGATGTACCTACCTACATCAAGGTCATGTCCCTGTCTCAGACTGTCGAGGAGGTACAGATTCTCGGAAGGCAAAGCAGATTACCAGATCAGAGACTGGGTAAAACGAAGTTTTAGTGAGATGAGGTACCTGAAAGACCAGCATTACAGCTACAAGTCCGGCATGTATGAGGTATGTATTATATGTATGTGGACAGTAGAATGACGCAATAGGTATAATGTAAAAGGGTCGAATTGTTTTCTTCATTTTGTCCCCCAAGGAGGTCCTTGTTGGTACGATACTACCTACCTACCTGTAGTGTATGGTAAAAAGTTTTGCTTCTTTCTTACCTACCTCCTACCTACCAGTTGGAAGATGAAAAAGCTGCGTGTAAGTGGTTCGGCCGTCGGAGTTGCGCATATGCCATAACCTTGGCCCTTAAGCTACTTTAGTTAGAAGCTTGCATACAAGTAGGTACATACATTGTAGGCAGGTATACGCTAGACTACATGTAGAGGTAGACTAGATGCACCTGCTTGCCTGCATGAAGTGGTACCTTTAGGTAGGTAGGTAGGTACCTAAGGTATGCACCATTTACTCACCTGGATAAGGTGGAAATGTATATACACTAAAGTAAGGTACCTTAGGTATGGATTATACGTATGAGAATGCGAGAATGTTGTACAATACTATAAACGAGGATTACATAGCATCATCATCTGCACAAGGTTCAATCAATATTGGTATGTGTACATGTAAGGCATGCATTATTATACCAGATTTGGTGTGCTGTTACGAGGACACAAGATGGGTAAGCTGTACCCCCCACCCTGAGAATACCTAAGTGTACCTAACCTAACGTTTAGCTACCTAACATGCTAAACGTTAGGTACTATGCTACCTACCTGGTAGGTAGGTAGGTAGTGTGTGTCTAGCTGGTGGCGTTTGCAGAAGTGGGGCCGACGTAACTCTCAGGTCCCGTCCGTATTGTGGCCGCAAAAACTCGCTCCTGCACGGTCTGGGCTGCTCTGCTGGGCTTTCTATCCAATGATTCACTTTTGCTCTAGTTCCTGCCCTCTGATCTCTTTCCTTCTTTGATCGACACAGGACAGGGGTACTTACATGCCTATGCCTGCACACATATAACATTACAACTTGCGGCAGTGACCCTGACTTTTCCACCCTCTAACAGACCAGGTACATACCTCTTACCAGGTAGTGTAGGTAGGTAGTAAAACCTGGGCCTTGAACCCCTTGAGAAAACCCTTGGGCGAACGCCTCGCAGGGCCTTCGTGGCCCGCCCCCCCGCCCCCCCATTCCCCCCCCTCTAAGAGACCCCCTCGTAGGACCCCCCCGTTAGGGATGTCCAGGGCCCTTGATCCGCTATGTGCGAACATATGCATGGCATGTCTCTTGCAGCCTCATCTTCACCAATTTCATCAAGATCTTCGTCATCATAGTCCCATAATTTTTGCTTCTAAGACGTTTCGCGAATCCTTATGGACCATATTATGCTTGATTAAATTGACGTCGAGCTTTGGGTGATCGTCAAACTCATTTACCTTATTCTCTGGCGTGCATTTTGCGGTGCATTTGCGGTGCGTTGCATGGTTTGTATGTATGGTTTGTATGGTAGTAATGAGAGAGCTCAGGTCTATTTCCAATTTTATATTTTTGACTTGTCCACTTTTAAAGCTCCTCACCAACTAAAAACTCCCAATTTCCAATTCGAATCTAACCAGAAAATCTCCTAAGTCGACAGGTCAATTTCTTGCGTCATCGTTTTTAGATCCGACCTTTACTGCTTCTGGGCAGCTCCCCTCGAAGTTGTTCAAGTGGAAGTGGATCAAACAATGGATCAAATAAGTTTGAGAGATATCTAGGCCAGGTCGGAATCCAGGTCGGAATCCAATGGACAAGGTATGATATAGACACTTGCTAACGTGTATGCTTCTGTATGCTTCTGCAGCTTTGGCATGTTCCTATTCTCGGACCATGTCTCTTTTCGTCTTCACCATTACTAGTTCAACCCTGTTCGGTACGGCCCCAAGCCTCACAAGTGTGATCGCCCCCCCCCACAATGATTACATCTAGATCCTGTCGTTGAACCGAGTTTACATGCCGCCAGTGGCGGGTCTTCTGGTATACTTCTCTGTCATGGTTCAGCTACCGAGGACTAAGTTACCGTGACCTTCTCTTGTGACCGAGTCACATAACAACAATAGGTTTTTTTTCCCTCTCTCTCTCTTACTTTTACTTTTTTCTTTCTTTTTTTCGTATTTTATTTCCGTTGGTATTTTAGTACCTAGTGACTTACAGCCTCCCCTTTCTCCTTTCCCCTTTACTTGAAGCGGACTGGGCCAGGTGAAGATGATGAAAAAAGACAGGGGCAAGCTACCTGTCTTCAAAGTGGTATTAAAACCTTCAACGGCCCGCCGTCTTTAACTCATCCTCCGGTTAACTTCCTCTCTCTTGATTGGTGTACCGCGGGTCAATTCGATGTGGAGCACCCGCGATGCTTTAGATTGGTACACTTCCTTTCCTGCTACTCGATAAAACGACGCATTCTATCTTTTCATTATCTTACACAAACTAGACTTTATATCTAGACTTTTCAGAGGCTCCTTTAAGTGTTATAAGACACTCGCTGGGCTCATATTATAATAGAGACGGCCGCTCCGGGCTTTGAGCATATCAGACGTATTAATCGGCGCAACTTTGACGGCATGCCATTTCGTCCGCAGGGAGGTGGACCTCCTGGATTCCCAATGCCCTTTCAACCATCCCAGTCCCGGTCACCACCACAAGCTTCATCATCACGAGGGATGCCGCCTGGGATAGATCCCTCCGGTCCCTTCATCCCATTTCAAGAAACACAGTTCGATATTCTCGAGTGGTACCCGCAATTTCAGTCATGTGTCCGTTATTTTTTGGACCACGCCCAGCATAGCGGGCCGGTGCAGGCCGTTGCCGCCTTCATAAATATACAATTACCTTTTCAAAAGCTACCTCACCCAGTTGTCTCCTCACAGTTGCCTGGATCGCCGGCAGGTGTGCCATCTCCGTCCTCGATGCTCCCAATGCCCAGCCGCGTACCGGTATCTATCTCCTTAACACCATACATTCGACGGCTGGTAGCAACGGGCTTGGATCTTCCTGGTGTGCTACATGGATTTTTTGGAGATGACTGGCTTGCTGGGATAGGGCACCTCCACGAAGTGGAACGGAGAAACTTTCTCTTTGCTGCTAAGAGTGCCGGCTGGCTGAAGGTCAAATCCCATTACGACATGGCGGATGAGCAAACCATTCCTTTCCTGCGTCCCCTCCAGAACGTTACGGAAAAAGAAATTGTCAACGCAGAGGCAAATTGGAGCGAATGGCTAGCGATGCAGGACTGGATGGTCGGCCCCAGATCACCTGATGTCAATAGAGACATGGCGGTTGTAAAAAGCGAAGATGCTTAAGGCATGAAGCAGGTATCGTTATTACGGTCTCTGCATACCTTGTGAGGATAGTGGGCAAGCGAGATACATGATGCCCGGACATTAGAGGGGATAGACGGTATATAGGGGGCTGACCAGGATACAGTCTGCCCTTGAGGAAGCGATGAGGCGTAATGGTTTTATTCCATGGCACCAGAGATGACCGACTAGAGATTGACAAGCCGAGGAATTCCCCTGAGTATTCTCAGAATAATTGGGCCAACTCAATTGTAACGCTACGCGCCTCGTACTTATCTACGGGATAGAAGGGAAAAATACAGGCGATTTTGTATGGAATACTGGATTGATTCAGATAAAGGGGAATGGAATAGGTAGGGTTATGGCTGGGTTTTGTAAGGTAAGTAGAGCTACATGTAACTTGAGAGTATTGGCGGGGGATATAATAGGTATGTACGGCGATAGAGGTATCATAATTAAGTTGAACTCAAAATGTCAAATATTTTATTCTACAAAAAGAAGTTTCAAGATAGGGGGAGTTGTTGTTTTTCCTTTGCCATCACATTGACAGGTTTTCCTATAGCAGCTTATATGGCCCAAGCTCCCTAGGTTAGGTTAGGTAGGTACCTAGGTACATATCCTAGCTACCACGTTTTGGAGTTTGGACCTAGGTACCGTAGCGGCAGAAGGGGTTTTTAAGGAATGGTTTTATTAAATAGAACGGTTTATAGTTTTAGTGGCTTTAATTGGTTAAAAACTTATAAAAGTAAGGGTATATGTTGGTAGGTACGTACGTAAGGTAGAAAACAAATAACAAGTAAATCAAATAACAATAAGGGTGAGACTGTTGTGTTGATAATGTCTAAGGAGGGAAAAGCCTCCTTAAGGTCTACGAGAAGGGAAACTACCTTATATGTAAGGAGTACATAGGTACATGGGTGCCTCCTCCTCTTGTAAGCCATTAATCATACAACCATCAAATTTTTTTTTATTATATTAAAATTATAAAAGTAAAAATTAAATAAAATTTATATTAATTTTTATTTAATTTAATAATAAATACTGTAAATTTAAAATAATAAATTAAATTAAATTTGTAAAATAAAATAACTAAAAATAATTTAATAAAAAAATAAAAAAAAGCTTAAAAATAATAAATTTAAACCCTATTAAAAGCAGTAGGTTTTTTTTTTTTAATAAAACTTATTTCAATATAAAACCGTTCTAAGATTCTAAAATCGTTCTATTTACTAAAAACGTTAAATTTAAAAAAGTACAGGTTTTGACAGGAATGGTTTTATGTTTTTAGAACCGTTTAATAGAAACCCCTACTGCCGCTATGGTACCTTACCAAGGAGGTAGGTACCTTAGGTATTCTCTTGGCCTGGAGCTCAGGCTTGATTAGCAGCAAGGAGCGACTAACAGGTTAACAGGTACCAGGTTTAGGTCACTTAGCTGGTGCGCCCTACCGATAATGGATAAGGTAGCAGCGCTAAGATAACCACCGACGTCAATTTGTTACCGCCGCATATCTAAAAGTTCAGCCTCGTCAATTCAAAACATTCATCAACATAAACACACGCAAAATATATGATTCTATATGATTCACCAATGCACCACTTAATATCATATGTACGAAGACTCAGAATTGCTACCTGAAGATGGAGATGGATGTGGACATGATGGCAGCGGAGGGCGCATTGGGAGGAACCAGCCCTATGCAAGATCATGTCAATCTCACTCCTCGAGATGAGTGGGCAAAGTTTCTCGATCGATGCCTCTCATCTCGTCTCGACGTGGATCCTTTCGAGTCATATATTCCTATTATGCAATCGAGATACCCGTTACCTCCAGCTGCTATCGCCGATATCTTTTTGAAACCCCAACCTTCGAATCCCGAAAGCCTCGATCCTCGCATCCCACAATATTTCCAAGTCCTCGTCAAGCACAAACTCATCGACATCCCTTCTATACTCAAGGCTCTATATAAATATTCGACATCTCATACGCAAGCTTCGAAGACCGGTAATGGTTCGCTGCAAAATCCATATAACAAAACACAGCTGAGATGGGGTAATTCCTACAATGCTGAAGAGTTTATATTCTACCGCCTGACGAAGTCGGTTTCCATGGGATCAGGTATTGGAAGCGCCGGTGATGCCCTACAGATATGCAGATTAATGGCTCAATGGATGACATTATTCACTTCGGCTTCAACAGCATTTGCGAACGACGTCATGAGCCAGCTGCATAACCCACAGTCTAGGGATGAGATGGAAGCGGCTAGAGCTGCGTTTGTTATGCTTCTTCTAGCTATCTGCGAGAGCCCAACATTTCTGAGCGCTCTTAGTCGCCCTTTTGCAAAACGTACGTATTTTCACGTCGTCTGTCATGAATTTCATTAGGCACCTGACTTACACCTGACTTATACTATATAGATGCGCGAAGGGCCTTGTCCGAAAGTCTGGCAAGCTTCATCCCGTCCATCCTTCAGAGTGCGTCGCAGATAGCTGGTCGGCTCGAGCTATTCCGCACCGAGACACTTGCCTCTTTCGAGCCGGCTGATAAGAAGAAGGACATCACTCATCCTGGTTTCGATGACATTGAGTCGTCGATGGCTCTAGATAATTTTGTTGTGCCTGAGCTGCCAAATGTTAACTCGCGAGCTGGTTTATATATCTACTTGAATGCCTCAGTAAGATTCCGAATAGCATCATAGTGGAGCAAGAGACTAATTTTGCTTAAAGCTCGTTGGAAGACCCCTGATCGACGATGCTGCCCTCTTCAACTATTTGCACAATAGGTATCAGGTATGTGCCATGTCCAGCATTCTGTCCATGGGAAATACTAACCATAGTTAGGGAGATGTACAATCCGCCACGATTGATCTGATACTAGCTTCGTTCGATATCCTCGCAAACGCAGTATTTCGAAATGAAGGACAACAGGCGAGCTACCTTCTTCGGTCTTATTTGATCAACAAATTACCCCTGCTTCTGGCAACGTTGGCAACGTCCATGTATCCCCCGTTATCAGCTCAATTTTGTATCACTGAGGCACTTAACAACGTCGATACTAATGCTTTCCCAACCCTATCTGCCATGTTTGATGATACACACAACAGTAATACCTTTACCGATAGCGTCCGCCAGGACTTTTGTTTCGCTTGCTGTCTTCATGGATTAATCCCGGAGTCGAGTATCGAAGGATTACTCGGCGAAATTACATATCAAACTTTACCGCAGGCAGGTCGATATGTCAAGGAGCGACTAGTCGAGGAATGTATAGGTGACCCTGAGAGAATTCAACGATTCGTCGGCGAACTAGACAATATGGACGGCAACGTCGGAGCAGTCTGCCAAGCTCTAGCAGAGGTAAGCACCTAGACAGGATCCTAATGAAGATATCAATGCTAAAAAAAAACGCTAGCTTATTGGTCATCTTTGCAACAACAAAGAAACTATGACTTTGAAGCTTCTCTGCAGCCAACTTGCTAAAAAGCCTCTTCTACTGGATGTAATGCTTCTTTTCTGCAAACCAATTACTGTGCTCCACCCTCTCTGCGAGCTGCTGGATAACCACTGGCGTTACGAAGAAGATCAAGGGGAATACCAACCTGTTTATGAGGAATTCGGATCCGTACTGCTTTTAGTCTTGGCATTTGTCCATCGTTATAACCTTTCAACCATGGATCTTGGCATTCGATCAGACTCGTTTGTGGCTAAATTACTCACTGTACACCAATTCAGTAGACCACTGGACGAGTTAACAGACAAAGAGAACGGCCATCTAGATAGCTGGATACGAGGCCTTTTCGATACTGAATCTGGGGGGCTAGCGGACGAACTACTATCTTCGTGTCCCCCGCAGGACTTCTATCTACTTGTTCCGACACTGTTCCAGCAAATTGTTCTCGCATACTGCACAAACCACCTTGACGAAGAAAGCCTCAAAACCGGCGTTGAATGTAAGTCCGCAAGTAGCAAACCCCATTAGATTACATGCTGATTTCGTTATAGACTTAGTTAATACGTTCCTACTTCCATCTCTAGTACCGGCAATCTTATATATGTCAAATCTGCTTTGGGTAGAGCTCAGTCACGGTCAGGAGCACAAAGCAGTTATCAGGATTCTGCAATTGATCCTCTTAACAAAACAGGGCTCAACCGAGGCCCAGACGATGCTGTCGTCCGTTGTGAATATCATCGCAATACCACTAGATTCTTCACTGAGATCATGCCAGCGATGGGACCCCAAAAATCAGGCAATCGAACCTCTACTTAAGGCGATGAGGGAGAATATGCGCCTCTCGCGGCGGACCGCTAGTGCTGCTAACAACGAGCTCGAGGCATGGTGTGGTACAGCGAATGGGGGACTGGCTGCGCTTGTTCGACATTTGGTGCAAGGCTTTGTATCGTGGAGTGTTCATCCGGGTCTTAATGTAATGCCGACTTCATATACACATCGCCAGATTTTAACCGCTTTGAGAATACTTGGCGCAAAGCGATTCCTATACATTATCCTAGAGGAAGTTAAGGTGCAGACGGAAGCCGGTAACGGAAGTATCGCCCACGATATTGCTACCGCTCTAATTTGTGCTCCCGATGTAACCAATCTACAACCACCGACAGGAGCAATGCTTCATTTAGACTCCCCAAACCGGCCCTATGTACCTCCACAGCCACGGATTTCCCTTCAAGCAGCCTTGAAGGCGGAGGCGGAAGACTGCAAAACCATCCAGAAGTCGGACCCGGTCATGGCCGAGATCATTGTTCGATTGTACCGCAAAGTGGAAGCGCAGATGCTCATACCGCCACCTGCCGAGTCAATGCTCCAGAGCGACCTATCCAACCTAGGACTGGGCGGAAACGCGCACGCTCTCGGGGACGCGTTAGCTGCCGCCGCCCAAAACGAAGGTTTGGGGGCAAACGACGGAGGCATGAATCTGGATCTTGGAAACGGGGGCCACGACATGGGCCATCTCGGTGGTCCGGGCGACCCGGGCCACCACGGCGGGATAGACTTTGGCTCAAGCGACGATATGTTTAGCGGCCTCGGCGGTGGCGGTAGCGGTGCCGATCTACTTGACAATTGGGATTTAACTTGAATACGAGCGGTCCCGCGTTAGACATTGCATTGCGCTGGGACAATGTTATGAATAATCCTTTTCTGCTGTTGGGTTAAGCGTAGGTTAGTCAGGCGAGCAAGGCGTTTTTTTTTTCTCTTATGGATAGGAGAAGCGATGTTCGTCGATTCTAAAGAGGTTTAGCTACCTAGGTAGGTAGGTAGCTATAATTCAAGGGTATGGGATTATGAAGCAGCTGCAAGAACTAATACATGTCATGGTTGTTTATCCATTTTGGGTACTTTGAGTTGATATATGGTTGGTGAGTTCCAATATGTCTGAAATTCGCTGATGGGGAGGGTTAATGTCTATGTGCAATGTCTATATGGTATGGTTGGTGAAAACGGCACTTATAATGAAACGCCTCCCTAGATCTATAAATTATAATCATGTACCTATATATAAAGCCTATTTCTAAACTAAAGTAAGTTATTGAAGAATGTTTGAGATAAGAATCAATTACTATAACTTCCGATTTTATCTAGTTAACATGTAGGTTATGTATTTCCATTATTCATTTAGTGTCTCTATAGCCAAGCACGCAATCTTACCCCTGCCATGCGCTCATTGGAAACGGGGCCAGGAGTATCTCGATTAGAATCAATACGCATTAGGTACTTAGTGAAGACGTAAGTATTCCATATAACATATTAAAGGTATAATCCAGCACGCTATTAGCTATTATAAATATCATTAGGTTAGGTAGGCATACCTACAATCCTAATCTTCATCTGAGATTCCATCTTTGAAATGAGCTCCTACCGTACGTACCATACCTAATGTTGTAAACCAACACTTGAACGCTCTTACAAGTCTGTAATATATATCTATTATCAAAATGCGCACCGCGGCTCTAACCGCGGCTGCTGCGGTGCTATGTGCCACCGGCACCGGCACCGGCACCAGCTCCGTCCTGGTTGGAGCCGCCTCGCCAAACTTAACTCCGGAGCAGATGCCCCTCGGCCCCCATGGCATGGATCCCAAATCCGCCTCCCAACCGCAGCAGCATCGACGGCCGAACGTCGTGTTCGTCCTGACGGACGACCAGGACGTGCACCTGTCGTCGCTGGAGTACATGCCGTTGGTCAAGAAGCACCTGCTGGACCGGGGGACGCGGTTCGGCAGCCACTACGCGACGACGGCCGTGTGCTGCCCGTCGCGGGTCACGCTGTGGACGGGCAAGTTCGCGCACAACACGAACGTGACGGACGTGAGCCCGCCGTACGGCGGGTATCCCAAGTTCGTGGAGCAGGGGTTTAACGAGGATTACCTCCCCGTCTGGCTGCAGGAGGCCGGGTATAATGTGTATTATACCGGGAAGCTGTTCAACGTGCATACGGTGGAGAATTATAATTCGCCCGCGCCGGGAGGGTTTACGGGCTCGGTATATTCGCCTCCAATTCGCCTACTCCTATCGTTCAAGAGCGAGCGGAGTTCGAAGACTAACATTGACGTAGGACTTCCTACTCGATCCTTATACGTATAACTATCTGAACAGCACATTCCAGCGGAACGGCGAAGGGCCACGAAGTTATGAAGGACAATATAGCACCGATGTACTAGCGGAGAAAGCGTACGGGTTGCTAGACGAAGCTGTTAACGCTGGAAAGCCGTTCTTCCTCGTCGCCGCCCCCGTAGCACCCCACGCAAATGTTGTTATGAAGGCTTCGGCTTCGGATAGCCACCGCGACCTCGATGACTTGCCTTTCGAGTTCACCGAGCCCGTACCGGCGGAGCGGCACAAGCACCTCTTCAAGGACAAGAAGGTCCCAAGAACTGCTAATTTCAATCCTGATCAGGTACGTATAATATTAGCACCTTACCTTGGGTACTTGATACCGTCTTCGAACCCCTTAACCCCTGAGCACGATTGTTTTTACACCGAGTTCGTATACTCATATATATCTCTATAGCCTTCCGGCGCAAACTGGATTTCCCAACTCCCCCGGCAGAACGACAGCAACGTAGAGTACAACGACCACTTCTACCGACAGCGGCTGCGCTCCCTACAAGCCGTGGACGAGCTAGTGGACGGGCTTTTCCGACGTCTCGAGGCGCACGGCGTCCTCGACAACACGTACTTCGTGTATAGCAGCGACAACGGGTACCACATCGGGCAGCACCGGCTGCAGCCGGGGAAGAGCTGCGGGTACGAGGAGGACGTGAACGTGCCGCTGATCGTGCGGGGGCCGGGGGTCGCGGCCAACTATACAACCGACGGCGCGGGGTCTGGGTTTGTTACTACGCACGCGGACCTCGCGCCCACGTTCTTCGAGCTGTTGGGGATCGAGCAGCGGGAGGACTTCGACGGCGCGCCGATCCCGGTGACGAAGGAGGGGATTGAAGAGGTACTGAGGAGGGGGGAGAGGAGGGAACATGCGGGGATTGAGTATTGGGGGATGGCGATGGGTGAGGGGATTCATAATCGTAAGTGGGAAGACTGATGAAAACCCCCCTTTTTTGTTTCCTTTAAAGCTTCCCGATTGTGTGGATTGGGAGGATTTTGATCTAACACCTGTCTTCTTTTGCAGGGAACCCGCGCGAACACAACACATACAAGGCTCTCCGCGTTTCGGGGCCGGGGTACAATTTATACTATTCCGTCTGGTGTAATAACGAGCACGAGCTGTACGATTTGAGTGTATGCTATCCCGTCCGTTCTGTTGGAATCATTGAACTAACTTTATGTAGGTCGACCCAGGCCAGCTCCATAATCTTCTTCCCTCCTCGGAATCTACTGTCCCTTCAACTGCCACGATAGCCGACTATCCTGTACCTGTAGATAAAGTTGCTGCACGCCTTGACGCCCTTCTACTAGTCCTCAAGACTTGCGCAGGCACAACGTGTCAGCGACCGTGGGCGGAGTTGCACCCCGAGGGAGGCGTGCGGACGCTGGCAGACGCTTTGGAGCCGCGATACGATAGCTTCTACGAGGCCCAGAATCGTACTGCTCATGTAAAGTATGCGTACTGCGCTAATGGGTTTTTGCCTGATGCTGAGGGACCGACGTGGGAGGGCCTGAGGGATGGGTTGAGATGGGAGGATTGGGTTTAAGGGGGAGGTGATTGAGGACTTGGATAAGGTGTATATATGTATGTAATGCATAGTATTCTATGTTGAACTTGACAGACACTTATGAGAGTTATGATATAAATGCAAGTGTATGATATAATGCTTAGAGCTCAATGTATGATGAATTCAGTAATTAAATGCATACTCCTTATTATTTTCTGGGTACCCTTTATGAATCAATCATTAGCGTCTCAAACAACAGAATGGGCTTCATGAGATTGGTGTTTGTTATATCAATCTGGTCAATAGATAAGTCAGAAGAGTGCATTGACTGATTGATTGTTTCTATAATAACGGGTTTGAGTGACGGTGGTTTGATCTCTTGTTAGAATAGAACTGACATGACAACGGGTGGTTGATTTGAGTGAAAACGGCATCACTAGATAAATAAGTGTTGAGTCCACATTTTAAAGCACAACACTTGCAGTGTTGCTATGAAGCAAAGCTAGGTAAGAAGGTACGATGAGATACATGTAGCTATCAATGGGTCTGAAAGAGGGAAGTCGCAGCCACGTCAAAGTCGGGTCCCTACCCCGTCAAGAACTTTCGGGTACGTACCTTAGGTACTTCCTAACATAATGTGAACTTGCAGGGGTTTGAGAAGGAAGGAACCTTCTTCCTGACGCAACGTCACGTCATTGGTCCGAAATCAAATCCAAAGGACCCATTGTTCAATGCAATTGCATCTGACCAGATTGCACACAACCAATACCTAACACCTAACATAGTACATACCCTAGGTACCGTAGGCCTTCTCCAAATTTCCAATTCATGAATTGAAGCTACGCAACTTTTCAACTTTTCTTCCTCCGAGCTTTTCTTTCCCTTTCCCTTTTAATCCCAACAAACTTTTCCTCTTCCCTTTTTCTTCTTCTTCTTACAGCCTCGGTCAAATCCCTCCCTCCCTCTCTCTCTCTCTTGCGTCTTGCCCAGCATGGTGGCCCTCCATTATTCTGTCCTTGCCGCTTTGGCTCTTCGTGTCGTCTCCGTCTTTGCTGCTGCTGAGGCAGTTGCTGAATCTGTAAGCTAACCAGCTCCCTAATCTACCAATTTTATATATAAAGATACATAGCTTCTAACGACTTCTCATTTCAAGCCTCTTTCCGACAATACCAGTAGCCCTCCTAAGGTCGAGTTACAGGCTGAAGTTGTGGCCACCTTCCCCGAGGCGGACGACATCTTTGGCGTGAAGCTTGTCAACGGCCGTCCAACTAAGGCTGTGATTGATGTGACCAACAATGAAGATGAACCTATCGTGGTTTCCTTTGTGGGCGGCCAGCTCGTCAAAAACAAGCCCTTAACTCCGGAGGAGGACCCCATATCCCATGTCGTGCGCAACTTGACTACCGTCCGCTACGAGGCTACTATCCCGGCTGGCGACAAACAGTCGCTTCCTTACTCCTTCGTGCTGGATATGCTACCACAGGATGTGCGCCTACAACTTATGGCTGTTGTCAGCAATTCGGACAAGCAGGTCTTCCAAGTTGCCGTCTACGACCAGACTGTCAGCATTGTTGAGGCTCCCACTAGCATTTTCGACCCCCAGATGTAAGTTTAATTCTTTAGATCCCTCATTTCCTCTACATCGCACTCGAGCTTTATCTATGAGCAAAATTGCTAATATTGTTACTACAGCATCTTCCTATATGCCTTCCTCAGCGCCGCCTTTGCTGGCACGTGCTACTTCGTCTACAAGACCTACATCGAGGCTCTGTTCCCCCAGACCAAGCGGGCTCCCAGTGCAAAGTCTGGCAAGAAGGGCCGTGCTGCTGCACCCGCTGCTGAGAAGGAACCCCTCTCAGGAGGCGAAAGCTCTGCGACCGGCACAGACAAGGGCTATGATGAGAGCTGGATCCCCTCCGACCACCTTAACCGCCCTACTGCGCGCCGCGGCAAGAGCGGTGCCAGCAACAAGACCAAGTCCAAAGCTTCTGATTAGAAGAAGCTAGCCGCATAGGAAGACCCTCTCACTAAAGCTGTCTACGGCCTGTTGATAGGCATTATGTGGTACGCGTTAGGATAATGGAAAGGGTAGGGTAGGGGGATATTCCATTCGTCGTTACGAGGGTTGGAAAGGAAAAGGGTGTATTAAATTACGGCAAGGGAAAAAAAATCAAAGTTAATAAAAGTAAAGCAAAAAGCATAGTATGTGTATAATGTTCACTTGCCTACCAAAACCCATGTACATGAATCGGACTGGCACGATGAGTTCTGAACCGTCAATTCTAAATGGGAAAGGACATCTATGCCAGACATACTTGAATCCCGCCCTTTCAAAGCATACAAGGTGGCCAGCAGGTGCTTCTTCTCTACATGTCACAACTCCTAAATACTACGCCACCATATACGAGAGTATCTCTAGACCTTGCCCCGAAATGCATTTCTAAAGTCCTATGAGCAAGCTTGACAATGTCAATTGATCCAGGTAGGGATACAGTACATGTTATATTAGTATTCATCATTTATATTTTCAGTAGTTTAGGTACATATACAATCTACCTACGGCCAGAATCATTCATCTGCAAGAAACAGCAAGAATAAACATGAAAAATCATCGCAGACGTCCACTACCGCTTACATACATTAGGTACATACCTACATGTGTAGAGGTACGTTTCTCAAAAGAAACACGGCTTTAATTCGTATAAACATTACGGCTGCTGGCGGTCTCTAATCTATATACCTCTATACAGACACGCCATACCATGCCATGCCACGCCGCGCCCAAGTGTACCTAACCTAACTTAGTAGATCGCTTCGCCAATGTAGCGGAGGGGCTTACTACTGAACTGTCAACAACAACATCAACGTCAACGCTAACAAACACCAAGAAGTGTGTCTGTCCTAGGAAGAAGAATTTACGCACAGTCACCGTGATTCCAAACACACACAAAAAAAGGTGTTATCCAATAATGGCATGAATTCCCTGATTAAAACCCTAAAACCTTATTCGCTCTGGGCTGATTATGTTATGTTATGTTTGTTTGTTTGTTATATGTGCGATGCGGACTCCTTTCCCTACTCGTCATCCACAAGCTTTTTATCGTCCCAGGCCTTCTTCGCCGCCTTGGCCAGCGTGTCCATGTCCCCGCTCATCTCGCACATGCTCCTGAAGTGTCCGTTCTCCTTCTGCAGAAGCTCGTAGGGATGGGCGTATTCCACGACGGCGCCGTGGTCCAGCACCAGCACCTTGTCGTAGTCGACGATGGTGGCGAGGCGATGCGCGATGGTGATGATGGTTGTGTTCAGGTCGCGGATGGTCTCTTGGATCTTGGAGTCTGTAGCGTAGTCGATCGACGCCGTAGCCTCGTCCATCACCAATACCTTCGGATTCTTCAGCATGGCGCGAGCAAGACATAAGAGCTGCCTCTGACCCTGAGACAAATTCGAGCCAGACTCCGCGACTGGGGAAGACAAATCAAGGAATATGTTCTTGTTCGATACATTTGTCGAAGAGGGGCTAATCAAAGCTTGGGATTCTTCAGCTTCTTCGCTCTGTGCCGACGATGGAAGAGCTTCATTTGGTCCAATAAGCTGGACTTTCCTGAGAGCCGTGAAGATTTCTTCGTCAGTGTAAAGATCGAAAGGATCAAGATTTGTCCGGATAGTGCCGGTGAAAAGAGTCGGGTCTTGGGGGACAATCGTAATAGCTCCTCGGAGATCCTGAAGGCCAATCATACTGATATCAATATCGTCGATAAGTATTTTGCCGCTCTCTGCTTCGAGGGCACGGAAAATTGCTAGAGTCAGGGAACTTTTTCCGGCGCCTGTTCTTCCTACGATGCCAACCTTTTCGCGAGGATTGATCTTGAACGTAACATCCTTTAATACCGGGTCAAGCTCCTCACGATATCTTGTAGAATATCGAATAAATTCAACTGCTCCGTGCGCGGGCCAGTTCTGGGGAGGACGGTTCTTTTCGATAACCAGCGGAGCTTCTTGTTCCACGTCGAGATATTCTTTGACACGCTCGACCGAATTCATATTTTGTTCATTCGCGGCGTAGAGTCGTACAAGCCAGAGAATATTCTCAGAGAACCCAATAGCGTAGCTTAGAGATACACCGGCAGAGCCGGCATCGATCTTCCCTAGGCTGAGGATAACGAAAACACCAGCAAAAAATGACACGAGATCACCCAAAAGGTCCGTCCGAATTGCCAGCCATCTGTTAGCAGCCCAAAGGTAAATAAAGGGACGGGACTGCGTGTTGATCCTGGTCAGGTTCTCCCGAATAAATCGGCGTTCATCACCGTAGGCACGAATTGTAGTGACGCCCGAGAGGGTTTCGCCAAACTGCTGAAAGAGAGGGCTCCGGTTCACCGACTCGAGCCTCTTCAGATCCCTGGAAGCTCGAAGATAGAACATACCAACTAGGATATATAGACCAGTAATGAATACACCAGCGACCAAAAACCCGGGAGTGATGGCTGCTATCAATACCACAGTAATCAAGATAGCAACTGCACAAGTCATAACACCGATGGCGACAGGGGCAACCTCTTGGTCGATAGCCTCGAGATCCTTGCTAAACCTGTTCATCAGCTGGCCTAGGGGCGTGACGTCGAAAAACTTAAACTTCGCCCTAGACACCGCAGACATAAGCCTCTTGTGAAGCTTCCAGGATGCGGTGAGCGACCCGAAGAAGAGCCAGATATCGCGGATCAATGCTAGTATTGCGCCCGCAATTCCTATTAATGCGAGTATACCGAGATAGTAGTCAACATTAACTTCTGGTACATCCCCGGACGAATAGCTTGCGGGCGTGATGGAGAAGGATGCATGCTTAACGAAGTTGGTAGCGGTGGAGAAATAAGCAGGTAATGGAAAAGAACCGGAAGAAGGCGGCGGAGACATGCTAGGCTGTATTCCAGACAAGGATACGGTTCCGAGGCTTGCGGTATACTGGTTGGCCCATTCTCTAATCCATAGGTTGGAGGCGACACCGCTAAGCTGTTGGCTACTAAATACCACAACAGCTATGGCCCAGAACCACCAGGTGCCCATTGCTCGGAGATAAAGGCTGATGACTGCCCACTCGACAGCGCCCGTAGCCTTTGTCTCCTGCATAGCGTTTCGTTGAGACTTCTCTTGCCTGGTGTTGGAACTCGCGCTCGCTGCTTCGTTTCCGCTATGGTTAATTAGTGTCTGGTCGCTCTCATCGCCTACGCTTGATGGCACCCTAGAAGGGACACGTGAAGCGTCGGCTGAACCTGGGCGAGACTTATTCCGGATCTCTTCACCAAGCTTCCCGGAAGCGATCACTTCCTCCGCTGGTCCTTGTGCATCCACTCTGCCGTTGTCGAGTAAAACAACATACTCAGACTGGGGCACACATAGAGTTGTATTATGCGTGACGAGGATACAGGTGCGATCCTTCATTAGCTCGCCCTTGATACACTTGGTGAAAATCCATTTCGCGGTATGAGAATCAACAGCGCTTAAACAATCATCCAGCAGGACATGTCGCGAATTCGAATATACAGCGCGAGCCAGGGAAATTCGTTGTTTCTGACCTCCAGAAAGTGTTATACCGTTCTCCCCAACCAAGGTCTCGTCGCCGTTGTCCAGGATTTCAAGGTCTCGTTCCAAAGCGCAGGCTACCAAGACGTCTTTGTACCGCTTCTCGTCGTACGGGGCTGAGAATAGGATGTTCTCCTTGATGTTCGCGTTTACTAGCCAAGCAGTCTGCGCAACGTAAGCACAAGTTTCAGTCAAGCCCGTTGCCGGGTCCGGTCGAACGTCCTCGCGACTGCGGCCACCAGGTAGAAAGACTCTCCCATTCGTTATAGTCATTTCGCCGAGCAGAGCCATGAGCAGTGAGGTCTTCCCTGATCCTGTAGGGCCAGCAACAATGTTGAGCTTGCCAATTCTAAAATTAATATCAAGATCAAGAAGACGGAATGCCCTCGAGCCGTCTGATGCAACTGCGTCCTTGCCACCCCATATGAATGTGGCATTTCGGAAACCAACGACTCTGTTGCCATTCTCGTCAACATTGTCTGGTCCCAGCTGCTTATATTTATCTGTCTCCTCTTCGTTTAGGAACTCGTCGACTCGATCAACTGAAACCTTGGCTTCTTGAACATGAGCAATCATGTCGCCAAGCTGGTCTAGAGGCACTCGAAGGAGCATAAAGAGTGATATCGCGGTAAATGCAATGGAAGGATATAATGGCTTTCGTTCGACTTTCGTATAGACTAAGAATGAGAAGAACGTAATGAGAACCGGTACCGTGTTCCAAATAGCCACAGCAAGGGCCCAGATCATGTAACGGTTTCGCAGGGCTCTCAGTTCGTTGCGCCGCTTCTCATCCACGACGTCACTAAAACGTTTCTCCCACGCAAAGAATTTGATAATCCGAATGTTTTGGAGGATTTCATTAGTAGTGTGTATTCGCTTATCCGTCGCAGCCATAATCTCACGTTGGGTCAAATTGAAGCCTTTGGCTAATAAGATATTGATCGGCAAGAGAAACACCATAACGACAAGACCGGGAATTGCACTCAACCCCATAACTTGGTAAAGAAGGGCAACAGACACAATGAGCTGCGAGGGGGCAGAGGCTAGCAAGAAGTGCAGGTACGAAGTGCACTCGGAGATCTTGAAACTGTCAACTGACATGAGGTTGATGATGGTTCCCAGATTGGCTTGCTCATCTGTATCTTTAGACCCATCCTTCTTAGCAACGTCATCATTCTGAGCATTGGTCTTTTTATCTGCCTTCTTATTTAATCTCAAGAATCGTTTTAGTCGCTCTATTCTGGTCTCCTTAGAACTGCTCGCATCATTACCGCCCAGAACAGTATCTGTGCCGCTTGCCGCCTTGCGCCGGAGTGCCTTGGCGTAGATCTCTCCAATAATGATAGCACGGATTCGGATGCAAATCTTTCGCCCAATCCATAGGGCTTGGTTATCGGCGATGGAACGAACAAGGTCTGACACGGGAAGTAGAATAACGTAAAGCCAAAGAACATTTCTCGGGGCGATCGTTGGCTGTTCCACGTACTCAAGGATAGCTTTGAGAAGGAGAGTCGGGGCAAATGTAAGTATTCCGCCGAGCGTGGCCCAGGCACACTGAAGAATAACTAGACCCTTGAAATACTTGAGCAAATGTAGCGCGAGAGAAGTTGTCTTCTTGACTTGGCGATAGTTGGCAAGGACCATAGCAGCTTTATCACGGGCTAAGAGGTTCCATACGTGTTTAATCTCGAGAGGCTCCTTGTACCCTTGCCACAACATTGAGTCGATCCAAGAAAAAGTTACCAGAGATAGCACGGAAGCCAAAGGTTCGCGCGATGGCTCGAGATTCCCTTCCCACTCCAGGACAACCGTCTTATTACCCTTTCTAGTGTTCAAAGCCATGCCAAACAGCAGAGTTAATAGACTAAACTCAACAATAATTAGGGCCTGTTCAAGTCTGGAGCTGGGATGAATTATGACGGAGCGGAATATGACGAGGGTGAAGAGCCATTGGAATCCGTATATGAAAGCAGTATGATTCCACAGTCGCGGGACTCGCCACTTGGTGTTTCCTAAAAACAACCGGAGCGTCGCGAGAACCAGAACATAAATCCAAGTAACCAAACCCACGATGGCAGCCAATTTCCCATGGCCGGTGAAGGAATTGGTAACAAGAGCGGTAATATTGACAGCCACCAGTCCGCATATTGCGACTTCTTCGATAATCACTACAAGATGCTGAGCGGGCGGAGTATCGGCTTGGACGATAGAGCCTTTGGAAGTAGTCTTGACCAAGGCAAGGCGGCCACCGCCATTTGTGTTGATGGCCAATGCTTCATCGTCATCGGTGCTTAAGGAGTCTTCTTCTTCCGGCGGCACATCGGTATGGACCTGATGGTCAGGTATCTGGTTGTAGCCGTGCGCTCGTTTTAATTTGACATTACGGTAGATGGTCTGTACTAAAAGATGAAGGAGAGAGAGAGAAATTAATATAAGCGGGAAAAGAATCTGTAGATAACTTTTTTTTAAGCCGTTAGTATGCGCAATACACAACCACAACCACAAGCAATCTGAACACAAGCACAGGGAAATACTAACTCGGATTGAAAACATGTTGTGAAGTCATCTACCCGCCATATCGGCCATGTACACGAGGCAAAGCTCATGTTTCCTCTGTCTCCCCGGCCCCACTCAAGAAAGTGGTAAATAACTTTGGATGATATCACCAGATTGATATGGGGATGGATTGTTATCGCCTTCTACTATTAATTGGTTTATGAAGAAGGAGAAGAGGATGGTCGACACAGCTACTCGAAACGATCTGTAACTATGGGACGGGGACTGGCGAACACGGTGTTTGGGGTTTGTCGCGAAGAAGAGGAAAAGGAAGAGGCGAGAAGTCAATGGCTGCATGCGAATCGGGAAACTTTTTAGGGTGAGTGGAGCCGAAGATAGCATAAAAAGGTTTAGAAGGCGCTGTAATTCGGACGGATGATAGAATATAATATACAGGAGCTACCTAGCCTTCGCACTAGAGCTGATGTATCTTTCTCACATGATGGGGCATGGTGGGTCTTTAGATACTCAAACGTAACTTCTATACGCATATAATGCAATATGAATTCAATAAGTAGTTAATGTGTAGAGCTCCCCGAATGTGGAGTATCATAGGTGAATTTATACATAGGTACCTAACTGGAGCGGCATATTCTGTTACATTACCCAGGTACCTTACATACATCCATAGGGCAGGCAGATTTGTACGAGATCCAACTCCGACTGCGCACCTACTGTTTAGACTGGTTTGTTCCTGATAACGAATTCAAGCTAGATTAAGCTTAGTATCTTTAAACTCTCGGGCTAGCACGCGAGCCAGATCCACTATTCCACCTTTAAACACGTACCGAATGCAGTTGTCTCTTCACCGCATAGTCGCTAATATTCGTATTCGTTGCAACCTTCCACTATAAACATATACTATCATATCCGTGTAAGTAGGTTACATACCAAGGTATTCAAGTCCGTTACACCTTTTAATTTTTGTAATATCTAACTTGCTATAGTATTGTACAACTGACCTAGGCGCCGTAAAATGGTGCATCTAAGGTATTGAACTTGAATATTCGTGTAACGTTCGACATGTGTTCAATTCAATGCGGGGAGACGGGTGATCTGTAACTTCTGTAACTTATCTCGATCGATACACAACTTTATAACTGACTACGAGTTTACAATTTGCTTCTTTTTTTTTCTTTTTTTTTCTTTTGTTGGGATGGTAAATTTGGCCTTATGATTCGCTCAGCATTCAAAGATTAAAGGGAATTAGAATAGCAAATAAGGCGCCTTAAAACATGCAGGTACGTAAATCAGTCCGTCTTATATTTGTTTTACCGGTTCCCGTCCAGGAGCTATAAATTTATGCGGGGATAAAAGCTCATCTGAGCAGTTGACACTTACATGCATGCATAAGACGGCAACTAAAATAATGGACAATTCTAATTGGTCCCATGGCCGGAGTATACATAGTACCTATAAGAGGTAGCACCTGCACCTACCTAGGTACTACTACCTAATACGTAACCCAGCTGACCTAACCCAAACCTAACCTGACTTAACCTGATTTAAGGATGTAAGGACATCGTCTATCGAAGCATGCAACAACATAACACTGTTTTTTTTTTAGGAAAAGGCGAGACGTTGCCGATTCAATATTGAAAACTCATCTGCCCTGTTCTATGAAAGTTGAACGGCTCTATGCATATGCATCTCTTTCATAGTGAATTTACTGCAGCAAAAAACCTCCATTATAGGCGAACACGAGCCAATCATACGCAGCTATGGCTTCTGACATGCTTATAACTGACGGATACTCGCTTACCTTTCTATCTACAACTCGTGCCTAGACCGGCTGCAACCTTTGGAGTAGAGTTCTCCCGTGTCATCAGACCCTGCTTTACGCCCGCTTTACGTGATGTCTACGTATATTTCCGATATGGTCGAATAGCGGCTATCGAAGACGAGTCACAGGTTATACCAATATTGACGATCAAGTCTATACTCTATCAATAAGGGCTCGAGTTCTTATCAAACCTGTCCTATAAGTGGCTTGTAATATACCTAGCGTACACAGCAAGCTAATGCAAGTAAGTAAGCAGGCAATCTCGACGATAAACAGGATTATAACATTCGTCGGATTACAAGCAGATGCCAAAGTATCTTAAAGTAAACTCGAACAAGAAGTAAGGGGATACAAGAATCATGTTGTGAGTGTCCAAGGCTTTCTACCCATCAGATTTCTCAACCAATTAGAGTAGGTATTGAAGACTGACTGTTCCAAAAAAAAAAGTCTCTTTTATCCTCTAAGTACGTTCCAACTATGTGACATATATGGATTATTACTTGTTATACCTTATTTGACCTTGCCGCCCAGTACTCAAAGGTCACGGCGCTAGGTTCAATGAACAGAACCAGCCTACATTGACATGCCCGGGATTTCAGTTAACCCTGCGAGGGGGTTAGCTATATTAAGCCCACCAGGGAGGTCAGAAAACTCAGGGGTAGGTAATGTCACTTACATCCATCAATATCCTCTTCGACCATGCGAGGCTTAGTACACTTCATCGCTTCCTCTGAAGACTGTATTTTAAGTTGGTTGCAGATAGCACCGTTGCACCGAGAGTCCATGGCGCGTTGCAGAGAATCATCCTTCCAGCCGAAGACGTAGTCTCCGTGCTGCGAGTATCCATCCCTGCATGCCATCATTAGAACGCCATCTTAAGGTGTGAAACGCAAGTACAAAACTCACTTATCGCTGGTGCTCCATACGAAAGGCTGCGAGCCATCATCAGGCCACAGGTTCTTATCGTTAAAAGGTCGGGTCTAAATAAATATATCGGTTACGTTAGGAATTATGCTTTAGTTCAACCTCAACATCCCGGCCCTCCAAGCCGAGGCTCGGACTTCACGGAAGTCAACCGGAAGAAGGAGAGTAGCACTTACGTCCCACATGACTTCGTACATGACCTGCGGGATCTTCACAGGGTGGCTTGCCGGACAGCTACCTGACGCACCGACACCCACATCGCCGGACCCCGGGCTGGGATAAGCGACGTGGCTCTTATGGTCCGGGCTATCCAAGTTCTTCCCATCCTAGATAGTAATCTATCATTAGCTCTAGATCCCGGATATTGGATTTGAAAAAGGGGGGGGAGAAAAACCCAGCAAGTCGGAAACGTGATGACCGATCTGATCCCCCCCTCGCAGAACCCCTTGGGCAACTCTTGGGTGTCCGGGGCGCCGCAGTTCACGTTGCTGTTGTCCCCCTTTGCCGGCATGCAGCGGTGGCACACCTTGCGCGCGTCGCCGGGGGACCGCAGGGCAGCGTCCCCGATGAGCATGCGGAAGCCGGGCTTGAAAGCTGTGACTTTCTCGCGGGCGTTGGTCGACGGGATGTAGTACACCGTAATACCGCCGTCGGCCCGGAGGCCTTCGCTGACGAACTGCGGCACGCGCTTGTAGGTCCCGTTGCGGGCCTTGAAGAACAGCACGGCGGTCCAGTAGTTGGAGAAGTCCTCCGAGAACGTGCAGCTCGTGCACGTCGAGGACGACGGCAGGTCGTGCGCCACCGGCTCCATCGTCGCGTTGAAGGAGTTGCCGCCCACGATCTGGTGCAGGTGGGGCGACGGGATAGAGCCCGGCGAAACTAATGGGTCCAAGCGGTCGATGACGAGCTGCGAGCAGCTGAAGCGCAACATCTCCAGCATCTGGCCGGAGCCGTGCTCGACGAGGAGCGCGAGGGCGAGGGTCTTCCACTGCATCTTGGGCGAGATGACTTTTTACCGTCTAGGAAAATCGAAGCTACCTAACCTAACCTTAGGTGGGTAGAAGTAAAAAGGCACCGGCATTTTGTGCGGTAGCATGGGCAACAACTACTAGATATATGGCCCTGCTACTACCTCTTCTATGTGCCGCTGCGTGCTATCCTGGCTGTTTAATCTCGAATTGCTTCTATATTAATAGACTTTAGGCGGTGGCGGATGCTACGGTGCCCCGCGAATCACATTCAACTTTCCGGTCTTGGGCTCCTCAACACCCCTATCTTACCAATTATAGTCCATTAATATTGAGCTTTCTTACACGTCTGCATATGCTGTAAGTAGTTCGGGATGTTGTGTGCGGCTGGATCGGCAATTCCAAATCAAGCAGCATGCCCAGGTGCTAGTATATGCCCATAGTAAACTGGTCGTCTTCGAACCATATCGTATCGTTAAATAGTACCTAGTTGTCGTAAATATGGACTATCAGCCCAGGAGTATTAGCCAGATATTGGATGGGTGAGTTGACCTCGGTTGTGCCTGGAAACGAGGACATATTATGGTATGTGAAGCTGCAGTGGTAACCATAATGACCTTATCGTGAAAGATATCCGGTAACCCGAATCTCAGAAGGCTTGATTAGGTACTTGGCTAATCCATAATGTAGAGGTTCATGCTTAATGTTTACGAAGAGTTAAAATACCTTATGGAACTTGAAGGAATCTGATAAGCTAGGTAGGTACCTAACTGCTACTTGTACCTATTTGGCAAATTATCTTGCTCAGTGACCCATGAAATACTTAGTGGAATAGGTATTCAGTTACTTTCTATAGACTATGCTGTATACTGCAACTACATAGTCGGCATTTGTGTGTATAGGGGGTACCTATACATGATTTGAAATTACTTGGCGTTAACTTCGAAAACCAGGTCAAAAGATTTACACATGGTACTTTTCATGAATAATATTGTTACGTAAGCTAATACACTCTTCGCCATGAGGTTTTTTTATTAGAAAAAAAACCCTGACGAGAATGACCGAAGACCGCCATTAATGCATTTTCCAAGCACCGCCGCCCTCGTGGAAATCCTCATAACTTTTTGTTATCCCTTGGTATTACATGCAGCGCTAAAGAATAGCATTTCTGACCTTGTGCCGTCATAACGGTCAATTAGAAGGTTAGAAGGGGGTTAATCATAAAACTTATCCCATGATCATCCCTTTCATTCCTGCGAGATCACCCTCTTTTGCGGCGATTTCGAAGTAACCATAAATGATCCTATAGGGGAATGAATTAGTAAAGAAACTAGGCGTAAAAATGTAGGCGAAACTTACGTAACGGCAAGAAGAGTACCGGTTCCGGAGCCGAGAGCACCCATGAGATCGCTGGCAACGGAGAGCGCACCAATGCAAGCGCCACCGAAAGCAGCAGCGGTAGGGATGATGCGCTTAAGCTCCTTGTACATGCTCTGGTCGCGGTGACCAGCCATAACAAGTCCTTGGTCCTTCAACTGCTTGGCAACGTCACGAGGGCTGGAACCAGACACCTCAATCCAGGTCTTCGAGAAGATAGCACAGGCGCTAAGCATATACGTAATGTACACGACGGTGTGAATAGGGTCCAAGATGGCGTCGCGGAAGTTGAGAGGAGGGGACATGTAGTAGACAAGACCCGAAACAGCAGAGAGCTGAGCAGATCCTTCCCTTGCTTCCCAGACACCAAACATGCGGACGAGGAGGTTCTCGGAGAAGCGGGAGTACAGCATTTGGCTAATGAGGAAGATGTTGGAAGAAAGGGCGGACTGCAACATAATGGGCATGTTGGAGGTGTAGAACAGGCGAACCGGGTAAGAACCACGGGCGCCTCGCTGGCGGGAAGACTTGACAGGGATCTCGACACGGAAGCCTTGAAGGTAGATGACGGCGGCGAAGACGGCCAGGGTAGCAAGAAGATTCATGATGTTGGGGAGGTTCTGGCGGTAGAAAGCCTCTTGCAGAGCACGCTGCTTGTTGGGCCACGTCATCAACAAGTGGAAGAGAGCAATAACAGCACCCTCAAACTCGGGACCACGACCAGTGTTGATCGAAGTGGGGGAGAAAGCTTTCCACATGATCGACTCGCAGATGTTGGTAGCGATGAACAGAGAGATACCGCTGCCGAGACCGTAGCCCTTCTGTAGAAGTTCGTCGAGAAGGATGACAATCATACCAGCGACGACAAGCTGAAGAATTAGGAGGAAGACGATACCAGCGCCTAGATCAGAAGGAGGGCCGTAAAGACCAGTGAAGACGTAGACAGTGGCGGTACCGGCGGAGAGGATGAAAGCAAAGAGCTTCTGGGCGGTCTGGTAGAGCTCGCGATCGGACTTGAGGTCAAGGTTGACGTCAATCATGTGGGTACCAGCGAGGAGCTGGAAGACCATGCCAGAGGAGATAATTGGCGTAATACCCAATTCCATAAGTGTTCCTCGATTACTCGCCATCATCATTCGCAACCAGTATAGAGGATCAGAGGTATCGGACGAGACGATACCGTAAAGAGGCATTTGGCTCATGACCAAGAAGATCAGCAGCGTGAGACCTGTCCACATCAACTTTTGGTTGAAGGGAACTTTGGTCTCGGGCTGCTGAACCTCGGGCAAGAATGCCACGAAGGGCTTAACGAGATCAAGAAACCGCACTGAAGGAGACGAGGTTAGCCATTTTTTCTTGTTTTTCTTTTCTGGAGAGTCAATGGCAACAATTGAGTCGCGTGTCAAGGTTCAAGTAGCGAGGAATGGGACGAGATGGGATGGGAGCTAGGACGACGCAACGATGCAATGCCGAGGACACGATAGTAAATATATAATAGCAATAGCTATCATAACTATTGGGTAAGGCCACTTACAACTGCTCATCGTGATATAAGTTAAAAAGTAGAGGTAAAATAAAGGAGAAGGTAAGAAAAGGAAAGTAGATTGAGCGACGAAAGGCCCTCTTATTAGGCGTAGAGGTTGTCGCGATGATTTCTCTCCAAGTTGAAAGAGAGGAAGGATTCAAGACGCTGGGTAAAAGATCTGGCTTCAAAAAATTCCCCAAATTGAACGATGTGTCCATTATGCTATAGGTGGATCCCTCAACCCAACTAAGCAATAGCTGGAAAGCACGTGACCAAGACACTTTAGTTTCAAGGTTGCTTTCATTACACTCTAGGTACCAACCTAATCTGTGACAATGAGGTAAGCAAATGTTCCATGCAGCCATGCCGGCCATACTAAACGTGAGAATGGGACCCTTAAACTTGCATCTAAATTAGGAGCAATGAATTTTTATGGAACATTCCAGGTATGCATACATATATTATGTACCTAGGTACCTAACCTCAGTCTTGCCATGAAGCCACAAGCCAGAAATAAATGTGGCTGTTGAATTTTCTTTCAAAATCAATTGAAGGAGGTATGTACATGTACCTTCTTCCGGGCGAAGACAAAATATTCAAATTACCAAATTATTTAACATGTACCTAACTTTCATTTTTTTCCAAATGCACGCACTCGCGGTCCATGATATCCTTATCGCGAAAGCTCACTCATCTCCTTAGCAGAAATGTTCGGAGAATGGCTACTACAATTCCAAAAGAGCCCCTCGTGGCTATCGTGGGCACAACTGGCACAGGAAAATCAGATGTATATTCTTCGAGTCTCTCTCTTTCGTGGACTTTTTAAAACTAATATCATATATAGCTCGCGATAGACTTGGCACTCAAATTCAATGGCGAAGTTATCAATGCCGATGCTATGCAGATGTATAAAGGCCTGCCAATTATCACAAACCAGCTTACCCTGGAAGAGCAAAAAGGTGTTCCGCACCATTTACTAGGAATTATTGACCCTAATGAGGCAAGTTGGAATGTTGATGTATTTGCGCGCGAGGCGACTAGGCTCATTCACGATATTCGGAGCAGAGGGAAGCTGCCTATTGTAGTAGGCGGCACGCATTATTACATTCATGCCTTACTATTCGACGACAAATTGATTAGCTTGAAAGGTGCCAACGACGATGTTCTGAAACATCGACCCGCACAGGAAAATGCAGTCCATTTTCCAATCTTGGACGGGCCTACCGATGTAATGCTCAAACGCCTTCGAGAGGTAGACCCAGAATTGGCGGACCGGTGGCACCCGGATGATCGCCGCAAGATTAGGCGTTCTCTCGAAATATTCCTAACTACGGGAAAACGCGCGTCGGATATCTATAGCGAGCAGAAGCGAGCAAAGGAATTATCCAAACAAACGAGTGGTCCTTGGCAGTCCTTGATTTTCTGGGTATATACCGAGCCAGAAGGCTTAAAGGAACGTCTTAACAAGAGAGTAGATAAGATGTACAAAAGCGGGTTGATGGACGAGGTAAGACTTTTGCACGAAAGCCGGCGAGCACGGACCGGGCGGGGCGAAAATGTAGATCTTACCCGGGGAATATGGCAGTCCATAGGATACAAGCAAATGGAGTTATTTCTCGAGGCCGAGCGAAATCATGAGAGCCCTGATGAGAAGGATAAGCTAAAAGTAGCCGGACTGGAAGATATCAAAACTGCGACAAGGCAATACGCAAAATACCAGTTACGATGGCTCCGACAAAAAACCATTCCAGCATTGAAAGAGCACGAGGCAACGGACTATCTGTTTCTATTAGACAGTTCCAACCCTGATAATTTTTCGACGGCCGTTCTTGAACCAGCTTCGCAAATTTGTCAAGGGTATCTAAACGGCGACGCTTTAGCGAAGCCAACCGAAGTATCAGATACGGCACGCGAAGTTTTGACGGCGTACGATGAAGATAACTCGGCACCAAAAGCTCCACTTAAGGTCAGGACTTGCGAGTTGTGTAATGTCTCTCTCCAGTCGGAAGAGCAGTGGCAAAAACATATTAAAGGGCGAAGGCATTATCGTGCTCTTCGAGGTAAAAAGATGACTGCACTTGTGCCTGTTGATTCTGACACGGGAGTGAAAGATAGATTATAACAGGTACCCAGATAGTTGGTTGAACAATCTCTATTACTTTGTGGAGGTGTCTTTTCCGATTACTTTCAAGATGAATATAAATAAATCTACGGCTCCTGTAAAGGATCTCCTTTTCCCCTTTTCCCCTTTCAATTCGGCATATGTCATCCTTCATCTTATCAAGTACCTACCTACGAACCCGGGGTTTATCCGGTGCTAGACCTGCGTTACCTCCTGCCTATTGCGTTTGATACCTAAGCCACAACTTAATCGATTCGACTTGTTTGATTGGGTCTGAGGTCATTTCCATCCGGGCGGGTTGGAAGAACAAGACCTCGGTTAATTGGTCCGTGCGTTTTGGTGTAGAACTTTGCCGCACCTAAGGGCAGTAGTTTCTTCTAGTGCACCTTAGGCCTCTTAGGTACCTTAGGTACAATACTTTTAGGTACATGTAACATCCTCCCATATATTAACTTAACTTATCTTACCCGTTTTTTTTCCTTGATGATATCTCAAGTGAGCAAGTTTCCCTTTTGGTTATATCTCACCCTTAGCTCATAGTCAGCCATACACTTCATAACCAATATGCTACGGCGTTTACTAAATTCTAAAGGTTTCCAAATACGTTCTGGAGGGACCAGTTCAAGTCCTGGTACTTGCCAGGCCATTGCAAATAGAGTAAACGAACGCTCTATTTCACTAAGCTGTAAACATCAGGTTGGATTCCAGGTGACGACATCTCAGTCTCGTCAATGCAGCACGGCAGCGAGAGGCTATATTCCATCGCCTAGGAGTCGACCTTCATCATGCCGAACTCGGATTGGGCTTAAAAGAGGGTTTGCAAGTCAAGCAACGCCGCACGAAAATCCTTGGATTAAGATGAAGGATGAGAGCACAATACAATTTGGCGACCCAGACAAGATACCACTAATTTTGGATCGACACTGGCTACGCGACTCCTGCCAGTGTAATTTATGTGTGAACCCAGACTCTGGACAAAAAAACTTCAGCACTTGCGATGTCCCAACCTATCTTCCCATAAAGGAGATTCACCCGACCGAAGAAGGCGGGCTTGATGTCGTTTGGGAAATGGATTTCCTATCATCAGGCGACCATGTATCCCACTACACGGCTGCTCAAGTTAACTCCACACAACCTGAATATGCGCTACCCGGAATGACATTATGGGACACTCGTAGGTTTGAGAAGGACCGCCTCGTTATTGACTATAAGGACTGGATGGCAGGTGAGCGTGGGTTTCTCTCTGGATTACATCGACTTCATACCCATGGACTAATCTTCATACGCAACGTACCATCGTCCGAGGAGTCCGTCATATCTATCGCCACCAAGTTTGGGAACCTACAAGAAACATTCTACGGAAGGACTTGGGATGTACGCTCTAAGCCCCGCGCAGAAAACGTGGCGTATACAAATGAATTTCTCGGACTGCATCAAGACCTGATGTACATGAAAGACCCGCCTCGTTTGCAACTTCTGCACTGCCTCGAGAACACGTGCGAGGGCGGCGAGTCCATGTTCAGCGACGGCTCTCGGGCAGCCCATTTAATGGAACTTGGGCCGCGCAAGCAGTTTGAACATCTGTGCAATAGAAATATCAAATACCAGTACAAAAAGAACGGGCACCATTACCAGCAATCGCGACCCGTTATCGAACAGTCAAGGGGCCAGCTCCTTGTGTCCTGGTCCCCGCCATTCCAAGCTAGCAACCAGCGCATAGCCAAGACTAGACCGGGCCACGAAAATTACCGCAAATGGCTCCAGGCGGCGACCGTGTTTCGGCATCTCCTAGAAGATAAGCAATGGATGTATCAGCACAGGATGGAGCCTGGCGAGTGCGTCATCTTTGATAACCAACGCGTTCTCCATGGCCGGAGACAGTTCGACACTTCGTCAGGGAGCAGATGGCTGAAAGGAGCGTACATCGGAGATGAGGTGTTCCGAAGCAAGCTGGTCAACTTAAATAAGGAGTTGTTAGCGTTAGGTGTAGGAAACGAGCTTGCCTTTTTATACCAGGCTTCTCTCATCAACTATACGTATAAGATTTGGAACCAAGATGAGACGCTGAACCGGATGAAGCAGCTTGGAGCTGACACGGCAATGAGAGGTTATACTGATGAGAATGGCTTTACGATCTGGTACTCGTAAGCCTATGTAGATGACTACGTCAGATACCTATAGATAGTAAGAATTGTTAGATTAGCATTAAGTTAGCAAAATAATCATCACTTATATCCCGCTATTCAATGTTCTCGACACCATAAGTGGCTGCTCGTATTTCTTTTTTCAACGCTTGTTACTAGCTATTGTATACAGGAAGTAGCAGCTCTCATAAACCTAAACGTACCCAGTCCACCTAGTCAAAGAAATTACATGCTGTACACCCTGGACCGTCAATTTCGCTGGTAAGGAGGCGGAGGGAGGGGTTCTTCGTCATGTCCATCGTACTTGTAGAATAATCAACCTACAGCAAAGCTAATGAAGCCAATAGGGAACAGGATAATAAAAGCCTGAGATGAATGTTTATCCCCTTCATTACCTCATAGGGGGAGTTATAAGAGCTACTTATCTCTTTGTACGAAGCAATCCTTGATATATATCATACCTAATATGGATTCTGGACACAATACCTCAGGCAGGAAGGTGCCTACATACCTATTACCTAGTAGTGCTTTAATAGGGGTTACCTTTTACGTTTTTACGAGGGCGTCGGCTCACTACAATTATTAGGTACCTTTAATGTGCGCCTCACAGGTATACGTGGTGAAAAGAAAGCAGTGGGATGTAAGTAATACTGTATCAATTGAGGACTAATGAGATAAATCTGTGGCCTCATAGGGGAAATCAAGTCCAACCCAACGGAGACATGATACCTGTGTCGAACTCCCATCTCAACTACTTTTTCGCATTTTCCTCACTTTCCTCCCTTTCCTTAAGATAAGCATACGTGGCCTCTACCTCCTCAATTTCCTCCTCAAGCTTTTCGCGCGTTTCTGTTTGTTCTGCTAGTCGCCCCTCCGCTTCTTTCCCTTCACTAGCCGGTAGCAAGGCATGCGCGTCTCGATCTTCGTCCTCTAGCTCTTTCAGTCACGCAAGCTGGATTCTTAGACTATCCAGCAAGTCCTTGATTCGCTTAAAGCCATCCATGAGGCCGGTTTCGCAAGGGAAACAGCAAAAATGCTGATGGCTTGATTTGGTAGCCTGGACTGTATTTGAGAGAGCTTCAAAGCCGAAGTCTCAGAGATTGATCAGTAGTAGAGGCGATAACCTGGTGTATATAGTTATTACGGACTGGCAGATTCTGAGTTGTGGTAAAGCTTGCTTACTTGGTGCTGGAGAACAAAATATTTTCAACCTCCATGGAGGCGGGGGAGCTTGTTTAAATAAGAAGAGAGATTTGCGCCTGTACTTCGTGATTCAGAGTTGCCCACGTCTACAGCTTGGAATTCATCCAAGGGTTACTCAGGTGATGTATCGTATTAATTACACCCTATTACTCCTTAACAGAGCAATGCGTTCATCACATATTACTACTGGCTTAGTTTGAGAGAAGTCAGGTGTCCTATCATGATTCTGTAACCACGCAGGGTAGGTACCTGCCTGGATAGTCATAAAGCCTTGATATCAGGTGGCCAGGCTTTTTTTGTAAATGACTTTTATCAAAAGATCATTTCCCTACCACCATACCATGCGTCAAGTACTATGGTATGTATATCACATTGGTGGAGATACAGAGCCGAGTCTTGTGGGATGAATATAAACTGAAGTCTAGGTACGCTTTCAGATACGGGTATAACGAAATAGGGGATACTATGGTACAGTTACTTAGGTACCTAGGTATCGAGTAACCTGAAGAAGAACTAAACAATCTTATATTTAATGTCATAAATTAGGGATAAAGTACCTGTAATTTGTAAAGGAGGTATCTAGTTGACATTGTAAATGTGGTCCTGGACTGCTACCTTATCTTGCGGCGCATCATCCTCGCCAGCGCTATCTCGTCATACTCCTTTTCTAAATCATTGACTTCTTGATTATGGCTTAGTTCCCATTTCTTTAGTTTCTGAAGTATTTCTCTCATACGTTTCCTTCGGCTGGCGTCTGGCTCCTCGGCTATCTTTTCCTCTGTCTCAATTGTTTCCCTTCCCACACTTTTGAGGTCAAGCCTTATCCTGGAAAGGTGCCATCGGATGTCGTTCTGGCGAGCGGTAGGCATTTCGAGCAGCTAGGATGTAGAGGTTGGGAGGGCAAAATCTTCCAATATGGATGAAGACAATATTGCTTCCGTCCGGGTTTATGTGGTGGGGGATGTTATTAGATGTATCTTCAGAGGTACGGAATTTCAACGGCGAAAGGAATAGAGGACGCCTTTAAATAAATAAAAAAGAAGCCATAGTGCTGTAGAATTTAGCATTCACATTACTTCTATGTCCTATAGATATATGTCCCTGAAATATCGCCATTGTCCAATTTTTATTCTTTCATACCTTTAGCTGTGCAAGTAGTTGTATTGATATGACATTGGATGAAACATCTGGAATAATGGGTTTGTTTCCTTGTCTGCTACATTTAGCTCTTCATAGGTAGTTCTTTTCTTTGAGCCACGGGTTAAGTAACGCTTTTAGATAGATGCTCTCACTAATAGTATGTTCACAACACCTTGGTATTTATAGAATTCCATTAATGCCTCCTTTCGCTGGTTAATTGATATCAGTTACGTTACAGAAATTCCTAAGCAACGGCTTGTCTTACTGATAGAAAGTATGATGTAAAAATAGCCTTTGTTATATAATATGACTGACTTGTTGTAACTGTGGAACCGTACTTTTGGCGTGCAAGTTGTTCAAGTTCCAGTCTACAAGTGCACTAAACTTCATAGGGAATTTGCTACACACACACATACCCTTGGCGTTGGGGTAACAAGGAGGAAGTACCGAGTCGCGTCATTCAATGTTGGAAGTTACAAGCTGCATGACCTGCACGGCCACATCTGGAACCCCTCCAAGCAACGGCGGAGCTACCACAAAGCAAGCTTCATGTACTTACGTTACTGCCTTAGAGGTACCTACAGGCAGGTAGGTAAAAACCCCACCATCTGGTGTTCCCCCATTTACGATTTATTGTTTTAGCATTCACCATCGTCAACCAATAACTCGAAAAACAACACCTTTTTCTGCTCTTTCCGTTGCAGTTGTTTTGTTCAGCACGTAATTCCTTTTTTTACAGCATGATTGTGAATTTGGAGAGTTAGTAGCTCCATTTCTTTCTCGTTCCATTAAGTTAGATAGGTATTTACGACGTTCCTTAGCATCACATCCATCCATCCATCCATCCATTTGGAGTTTGTTGGTTTGACATATTATATTGACCTTCTCTAGGGTGCCCATATCCTCTCCAAAAGCTATCAGATACGGACGCTATCTCTACTGTGACGAGGTAATCCTCTCATCTGCAACAACGTATTGTACTCTGATTCACGAGGTAAGTTGACCAATAAAGTAAATACAACTTTCATTTTATTTCGCCCGCTGCCCGCATCTAATACTTACGATACCCAAAGTTCGAGATCAAGTTCGCGACGGCCCCTCAAGCCTCTAGGCACATATCATCATGGCGTCCACAGTCAACAACCCAAGCGCCCAAACCATCGCAGGGCTCCTATCCAAACTAGGCGACCCAGATCCCGATTTTCGTTTTATGTCGTTGAATGATCTCCATCAGATCCTTACTAAACAGAAGGTTGATTTCTTAACTCATGACTACAATACTTCATCACGTATCGTCGACAATGTCGTAAAGAGCTTGGACGATCAGAACGGGGAGGTTCAAAACCTAGCGGTCAAATGGTATGCGTGAATCACACACACACACACACACACACAATCATAGTATCTCGGTACTAATATCTTTGCAGTATCGGCCCATTGGTCACCAAAATCCCCATCACGGTTCTTAATTCTGCGTTGGATAAACTCAGTACGATAGAGATAACGAATTCAGTCGATAATTCGATACCCTCCCTTGCTCTACGAAGCGCCATCTCGTCCCTCCAGAAGCCCGTGCGAGGAGTAACACCCTCCCGAGAAGTAATCGAAACCTATAATATAGTTAGCCGAATTCTTATTCCTCGCATTCTAGGCTATTCTACGCCCTCCGGTACCCCTAGGCAAGCCGGTAGCGAATCCCGTGGATTACTAGATACGAACAGAAAGCCTACGGTGGAGTCGGTCGATGTCCTCATTGAAGTGGTTCGGTGCTTCGGTCCTCTATTGCAGCCTCTAGAAATCGAAAAACTGCAAGATGTTGTAGTACAAGTATTGGAGAAGGAATCCACACCTTCTCCCGTGAAGAAACGAGCGGTCGTTGCGCTTGCGATCCTTGCACCTTACCTTACGTCCGAGGTCTTCGATGGATTTATCGCGAAGATACAAAAAGCCTTAAAGCAACCTAAGCTCAGCCCCGTCATGCGCCGTCTGTACATTTCAATCATGGGGTCTCTTGCTCGGTCCATTCCGTACAAATTTGGCGAATACTTACCTCAGCTCATTGAATTCGTCTTGTCGCCGCTAAGCCAGGATGAACTACAGAGCCAGCTCGATGCCCTTAGTGAAGGCAACGACCAACTTCATCCTGAATTCAACGAAGTACGAGAGGCAGCATTGGTTGCACTCGAGTCATTCTTAGCGTCGTGTGGTCTGCAAATGCGAGATTATACCGATGAAGTCATTGCAGCATGCCTTCGATATTCGAAATTCGACCCTAACTATGCAGTTGACGAAGATGAAGAGATGGATGAGGACGACGAGGCCGATGATGGTGATGAAGATGATGTAGACGATGAATTCGATGACGATGCTGGATTTGACGATGACGACGATGCAAGTTGGAAGGTCCGCAGATGTGCCATAAAAGCTCTTTACACTTTGATCTCTACGCGAAGCACCGATCTCCTTGAGAAGGGAACACTATATAATGACATCGCCCCTCCGCTAGTCAAGCGATTTGATGAGCGAGAAGAAAGCGTTCGTCTTGAAATAATTGGAACCGTGTCACTTCTAATTAGAAAGACCGGTGAAGGTGTGATCCCGTCGATCTCGGCCGACGATGAGCTTCTCCATTCTCTTGGAGCGAACCGAAAGCGACGGCGACAGAGTGGTGGAGGCATTACGTACACCAACAAGGCCCCCTATCTTGGAGCCACTGGTCTTACCTCTCCTACTCGCGAATCCGTTCCGCCGACAGGACCACGAGCCGACCTTAAAAAGCTCACCCCTCAGATTGTCAAGTCGGCAACGAAGCTACTCAAGGGAAAGCAGATAGCTACAAAGCAGGCAATAATTAATTTGCTAGATGATTTGATTGCCGTCCAAAATGGTGGCTTGGCCGATTATTTTGACCAGGTTATGCAACCTATTATCGACGTTACAAAAGGAATGACAGGTAGTACTGGTTCGACGTCGGCTGCATTGTCGGGTGCCGCGTCGGCTACCGCTACTACACTGCGAGTAGCGGTTCTTCACTTCACAAGTGATATAGCCAAAACCCATTCCTCAAACCTGTTCCAGCGTTACCTCGAAAGCATCGTTGCGGGGGTAGTTTCTGCAGTCCGTGACAGATTCTATAAAATTTCTAGCGAGGCCATCAGGACAGCCGAAGAGCTAGTCAAGGCCATTACGCCTCCTCGTGCAAGGCTCACAACTGATAAGTACAAGCCGGAGTTGCACAAGCTATATGAAATCATAGTAGATCGTGCTTCTGCAAACGATGCTGATACTGAGGTACGCCAGAAGGCCATCCAAGCACTTGGGACACTAATCTCGAGAACTTCATCCCCGGATGGAATCGCTCTTATCCCTAGTGATAAGCGACAGGCTGCTTTGAACTTGCTTCTGGATCGTCTGCGGAACGAAACAACGAGGTTACATGCCGTACGAGCAATCGACAATGTCGCGGCGCATTCCTTGCCACCTATTAACCTCGAGCCCGATTGGATTAAGCAGGTTGCATTAGAGCTTTGTGGTCAACTTCGAAAATCAAACCGCGCTCTCCGAGCTGCTAGTATTCAAGCCCTGCAGCACCTGGTCCTCTCCCCGGCGGCCGGCGACAAGATTCAATTGGATACGGCTAATGAGATCGTTACAGCTATCCTACCTGTCATTGCTACCAATGATAATTATCTTTTGAGTCCGGCCCTGCTAGTCGTTGCTCACCTTCAACGAGTGCACCGCCAATTGATTTCCTCAAGTACCTTTATCAAGCCCCTTTGCGAACTTCTTAAGAAGAACATCGTCGGCGTAGCACTGGAGTCCTTCGTCACTCTTGTGACCAGCGTTGGCGAGACGGGCTTAGGAAATCCTTTGATGCGTGGCGTTCTAGATGTTGGCGTGGCAGGTGACCCAGCAGTCGTGGGAAGAGTTGCTGGCGCTTTGTTTGTTGCGAGCAATGGCCAGGTAGATGTCAGCGTCGAGGGCTTTATTGATGAGCTCAATAAGTCGAGCAGCAAGACGCCCCCCGATACTGCCAGACAAAGTCTCGCATTGGCGATACTGGGAGAGATCGGCCTACGACTCGGAGCTAAGTCTGGCCTCCAACCGAGTATCTTCTTACAGCAATTCCACGAAGAACCTGACAAGGTTTCGGTATCAGCTGCCGTTGCTCTTGGCCGTGCGGGTGCAGGTAATGTGTCGGTATTTCTACCCACCATCCTAGATGCAATCAAGCAGCCTAGCGGGCAGCAGTATCTACTTCTCCAATCTATCAGAGAGATTCTCCACCAGGCTATCGCATCATCTACCGACATCAGCTCCTACGAGAGCGAAATCTGGCGATTGCTCTTCTCGGCATCTCAACTTGATGACAACAAGGCGATATGCGCAGAGTGCATTGGAAGATTGGCCATTATGGAGCCCAAGACTTATATCCCCAAACTCCAGGTATGTTTCTAAGTTTGCCGCTCTTGAATTATTACTAACCTTTAAAGGAACTTTTGGGAGACCCTTCGCCAGCCTTTAGAGGCGTGGCTGTACAGGCGCTTCGCTATACATTGCCAGATAGTGATGAATCTTTTGATTTGATGATGAAGACGGTATTATTTGATATGCTCTTGACCGTATTAAAGGACCAAGACATGGAGATCCGCCGGCTAGGTATGACAGCGCTGAATTCGGCAGTGCACAACAAGCCGGACTTGGTTTTACCGCATCTGGGTGAATTAGTACCTTATGTTATACAAGAGTCTGTCATCAAACCGGAACTCATCCGCGAGGTTCAGATGGGACCGTTCAAGCATCAAGTGGACGATGGGTTAGAGGTTCGAAAGGTAAGTACTTTACAGTCTGATCAGTATCTATCAGGGCGAAATTTCTAATACTTCTATCTAGAGCGCATACGAGACTCTTTATGCCCTTATGGAGACGGCATTTTCACGTGTCAGCTCTCTTGAATTCTACGATCGCATCATCGCCGGCCTGAACGATGAAAACGATATTCGATCCCTCTGCAACCTCATGCTGAGTAAATTGATCGTTATCGATCCCGAGGAGACGACGCGACGCCTGGACACAATAGCGGAGTGCTACAGGAAGACGCTGTCGACAAAACTCAGGGATGGCGCGGTAAAACAAGAAGTAGAGAAGCAAGACGAGGCGATCAAGAGCGTGCTACGTGTGACCCTGCTCCTGGTGGAAAAGACCAAGACTACTCTACCCGGTACGGGTGTCGGGCCAGGTGGCGCGACAGCACAAATTCAAGGGGCCCAGTCAGTGCAAAACCCGGTGTGGCAACAGTATTGGGAATGGGTCAATAAGGACTTTGAGAAATATCTCAAGGAGCTGAGAGAAGAGAACAAGGAGGTAGTTACGCATGGGGACGTTTAGGAGGATTTTAAGAAGATAAGTAAAGTAGCTATCGTATTTGCGACGCCTGAACCGCGACACCCGCGACATCCGCGATTTATTAGGTGGCTACGGTCATAACCTAGGTACTGGCTGAACGACTTGCATTGAGAAAGGCCTAACGAATTGCTCGAGCATGTGGTTGTAATTCATGACGGGATGCTATTCTGCGATAGTAAATAGCAGTTGTTCTTAAATAAAAAGGCGATGATTTATAACTTTGTTTTCAAGTGTTTCTAACAGGTAGGTACTTTGTAAGAGGTTGTAACTTGTAAGTTGTAGGTTGCATTAGCTATGGCCAAGCTACTAGGCCTACCTGGTTACCCGCACTCTGACAAGCTGACAGGCAGGCATTTCCAGGCAGGGCTGGTTAAGGCTGGGCAAGTTGGTAGTGGTACGTACTTGCGTTGTAATGACGTAAAGAAACGGTGATGTATTAGTGGGAAATGGTGCCTTTTTAACCGGGGGGGAGGCCCCACATGAGCTCCGGTCGTGGAAATGGCGAGCTGCTAAGAAGTGCATAAGGTGGGAATTGTGAAGAATGAATGACATGGATGACTTCGAAGAAGAACATCACCAGATAGATTACCGAGCTATCGGAAGGAATTGACTTTCCTGGGGAAGCGAGAAGATTCCAAAATAAATATCATAGCTAGATCTAATATTGGTATAACTATTTACTTTTAACAACAAAGTTCATTAATCCATTTCACTAGGTTAAAAGAATTCATCAATATTTACTTTACTTGCTATTCGCAACGAAATTTTGAATTGTTCGATATTTTCATCCGTGTCTCGGACAGCACAAGCGCAAGCACAAATCCTTACGGAATTCATCGGGTGATTTTGAGCTTGTTACATACCTGTAGGTACCTACTTACATAAGAAATACCTACCTCCTAGCTACTTAAACCTGTACCTATACAATCCGGACCTAGGTACCTACCTGGTAACCTTGCCTTGGAATTCCCTCGCTCGGGATTCAGTTCCGTCCTTTAATAAAATTTCTGCTCCGCCGCTGCGCTTGAAGAGCTGCACCCACCTCTATCTACGGTCTCTACTCACTTTCACCTCGCTTCCTTGTTGCCATTGAGAGAAGCTATCAGAGCAGAAAAAACGAAACGTACACCATGTCGACGTCTCGCCTCTTAACTTCTTCCCTGCGCACCGTCGCCAGGCGAACGGCTGCGTATGCGCCGGCTCGGCGACAACTAGCGCCACGCTCGGCTGCGAGGAGAGCATACTCGTCAAGTGAACATGCCGGGAGCGCGGGAGCGGAGAAGTCGAGTGATATGCCTTGGTAAGTTCTTTTTTTATTCTTCCACAGCCAATTGAGAGGTAGGTAGGTAGGCAATTTCACGGGAGGAAGAAAGGCAGACAAATACTAGGGGAGCTATTGTGTGCCGAATCATACCGGAGGAGCGGAAGCGGAAATATGACTACCATGCGAACAGAGCCAGCCTGGGTAAATTACTAGAGCACCAAAGTAACTAACCGTTATAAACCTGCAGGCTCATCGGCTCTGTTACCGTCACCGCCATAGGTCTAGCGTGGATTCTATCCCCCGGCCCCGTCAAGAAGACGTCGTCTAAAACCCACGGCGGCGCCCCAGTCCCCGACGAAGAGAAAGCTCCAGCCATAGAATCCGGTGAAGACTCTTCTTCTTCTCCCCCTTCACCTCCTTCCTCCGAGTCCTCTCCTGAGTCCTCTTCTCCTTCCGATTCTTCCGATTCCTCCTCCAGCGAGACCCCAGCCCCGCAGGACGGCAACCCGCAAGCGACGTTCGGCAGCGGGCAGACGGGCCGGCAGGTGCCTCCGCCGTCGGCGGACAGCAGCGACATGGCGGCGGGCTACGAGGAGAAGAAGGACGCGCACGAGCGGGACAAGGCGATGATGGAGCGCAAGGACACCCGCGTCGCCGCCAGCTCCTCCGACGTGCCCTCCAAGAAGACCGCCGCCGAGCACCCCCGCGAGGACCCCCAGAAGGGCGAGGGCGAGGGCGCTAAGAAAGGCGATTCCAATTCTTCTTCTCCTTCTTGAAGAAGAGGAAGAAGAAGAAGAGGAAGAATTTACACAATACAGTTAGCTACCTAGGTACCTATCTACCTAGCTAATGAGGGGTAGTGGGTACATGTATTCCATCTATCCCTCCTATGAGTGTTCCTTATTAGAGGTTCTTACCTACCTATATATGTATGAATGAGGAGGGTCCCCTATATCGTGTATTTTATAGAAATTGGGGGAGATGGGGGAGGGAGGGGTGGATACCTAAGGAGATAAGGGGGGGGGGGGGGACAAGGAGCATCTTTCTCTCTGTTGTGTAATTCTGTAGTACTACCGCTGGCAAGTTAGAGAAAATGGGATAAATGTATCAATGCCGCTAACTAATCAAAAAAAAAAAAAAAAAAAAAAAAAAAAAAGAGAATAAAGAAAAAAAAAAAACCCTTGATATAACTAACGGACTCAATCTTATTCTTGCTCCTTCGAATTGAGCTTCCTTCATAAAAGGGGGTAAAGGATATAAAGGTACAGTCCTTATAGGGGAATAGCTATAGGTACCTACCTTAGGTAGTTAGTCCTAGGTACATTAGAGGTATGTATAATAGCATTCACAAAGTCGAGGCATAGCAATGGACAAGAAGAAACACATGCTTTTCATCAGTCTTGATTTCTCTTCTTCTGCTTACTTACTAACTTACTAGCCTACCATCCATCGACTATGGTAGTGGTAGTAGTTCCAACATTGTCTGTTTGTCTTTCCTTTTCCTCCTTCCCTCCTACTTCTCGGCCTCTATGCCGTGTACCATACAGTGGTGTGTGTGTTTGTGTGTGTGTGTGCAAAGGATAGGCAAGCAGGGTAGGGTGGGTGCGAAGCTTAAAACCAACATCGCGCGGAACGACAGCGCCAACCTGCGGTGCATTACCAAGCGACTTTAGTGATTAAAAAAAAAATCATATATGGCCTCCAAGCTTCCCTCCCCCAGACAGGAAAAAATAGAAAACAAACCCAAGAGACTGGAAAGACAAAAAAATTCAGGATCGACGGCAGGTTAGTTTTTTTTCTTTTTGTTGATTGTCCACGCCAAAAAAAAAAAATAGCGACTGGCAATCTGTCGTCTGATGATCCTGTTTGGCAAATCTCGTTTCCGAGTGGAGATCGCCCCCGTAGTACTCCTTAATGCGAAACTATGTTGTAAACCCTAGTGCAAATCGAGTCCGTCTAGCGACGGGTCATACAAAGGAAATGTATCTAGATGTGTTGTTCTTAACGATTCGGCGTTTATGATGTCAGCTCATCAAAGGAATGCTCTCGGGAAGGCAAAAGTATCGAATGTTCTGAAGCTGGGAAGGGCTTGGTCGTCAGGCGTCAAGAACATGCTTCGGCCGCGTGGCAAAGCTACAGGATGTATAGGCCCAGAACTGGCTGGGGCTCAGATTGTCGTAAAGGCCGTTGAATATCGTAAAATGTGAAAGGGATGATGAGAATTGGTGTTATGCAATTAAGATAAGTGTTTGGACAACATGTAGGGCGACTTCCAATAAGCGCTCCAAAGTGTACGCCGGGTCCAAGACTAGACGGACTGGTAGAGTAAGAGAGGCTCGCCGACATTTTCGATCTCGGGTATTGTGCATTTGAGGTCGAAGGCCTTTGATAAGACAATCTTGAAGATCTAAAGGAAATGGTCAGTAGAAGTTCCTTTCTAAAAGATGAGTGGATGGCGCAGGTATTGGGAGACTAACCTTCTGGACATTGATGCTATGGCTGGTACTACTAAAGATAAGAGCAGCTCGCATCGCCTTGGCAAATCGTTTGGCCTAATAGTGTGTAAGCTAGGTACATATATTCAATATATCCCCGTGCAAGCTTACCTGGTTGGAGATCTCCTCCTGGTCCTCCCTCGGGAAGTTGACGAAGTGGTCATATTTCGTCCCTACCAAAATAGGAATTGCCGTCTTGTTGAAGCCTCGTCCCTGGCGATACCACTCCTTGATACTATTAAGCGTACTCTTGCGCGTTAAGTCGAACATGAAAAGTATAGCCACGGCGTCGTTACAAACTAGGGGAAGCATGTTGACGAATTCTCTCTGGCCACCTAGATCCCATATGCTGAACGTAATCTCGGTGTTTCGTATGCTGATTGTCTTCTCCATGAAATTGACACCCAACGTCTGGATGTAGTCTTCGTCCCAGCTGCCTTCAACGTATTTTACCATCAGAGATGTCTTCCCAATCTGCGCATCTCCAACCATGCCGACCTTGATCACGACATGGTTTCGGGTATTCCGATCCGCGCCGTTACCTTCTCGAGAAGCCTCGCCGTTGAGCTGCCTATCACCAGTGCCAGATGACGATGCAGGTCTGGACATGGACTGCGCGGGGGGCTCATAAGAATGAGCTTCATACTGGGCGTTATGGTCGACAGTGCTAGGGTCGATAGCACGAGGATCGAGGTCGTCGGCATGCGCACTATTGGCTAAGCCTTGGTCGAGGGATCGCGACTGTCGATGGTGAGGCTCGTGAAGTCCCGGCTCACCAGCGATATGCATAGGTCCGTCGAATCCACCAAGAGTATCATCAGGGATATCGTGGGGAAGGGGTGAGGCGATGCGATCTTGATCCATTGTATCGAAGGCGTCGTGGAACTGGGCTCCAGACCCCGCTGAGAGCGTAGACGAATCCAGGCTTGGGGAAGCGACAGTGGAGAATACAAGGCAGAAAATAATAGCTGAACGCTATTCAAACGTAAGGAATGTTGGGCGAATCGTGGGACGAATGACGAGAGGGTCTCAGATTAGCCCCGTGTCTGACTGCATCGGAGTTGTCTTGGAATGGATAGTGAGGAGGATTCCGACAGGTAAAGGGAAAGGTTGGGTGTACGAGTAGTTTGAGCGTCTATACTCAGGTTCTAGTTAGTCCTGACGTATGAACCTATCTATAACGAAGAATACGAAACTGTGAAGGTTAAGGTTGTCGATCCCGAGATGCATATGGTAAATTTCCAATCTGGTGGGAAAGGGGAAGAAGATGAGGGCCCGAATTCCCCCAAGATTTCAGGCGATAGCAACTATCAATTGGTCTGGTCGCCAAACGGATGAATGCCTAACCTAAGGTTGTATGTATATGGAATAGTAGGTATAATTTTGTGCATTACATACCTTCGTACCAGAGACGGGCCTTCAAGAAAGGTCAAGACGTTGCAGTGCAGTGCAGTTGGTGGAATTGGTAGTGGTATGTAAAAGTCCAAGTCCAAGTCCAAGTCAAGGTAGGTAGCTGTGGGATATGTTAATGATGCGGGATCCCGGGAGATGTGACGGGTGGAACCTTAAAAGTACGAAATACTTTTGATGTATGTACTATGTACGAGATTGAGGGGCAAGGCGGAAGGCCATAATAAAAAGGGCAAAGGGGGCAGAGGGGGCCTTTGCGATAAGGCGATTAGGCCTGGGTAGGTGGGTTTTATTTTAGGTGGGCAAAGTGGGTTACGGGTTTATTGGATTTACATGGGCAGCATGGGAAGTCGCATGGAACCTTCACCTAACGAGTCTCAAGGTTTCCATAATGTCAGGTTGTTTTCAGGAAAGTGCCTACTGCGTGCATATATATCTGGTGATAGCACCGAACCTTAATACTTTAGGTTCTAGAACAACGTGTGTAGATCCCACTTTATTTAATTCTCTTATATACCTGGAAAGTAATTTTTCAATTATTTTTATTTCCCTACATGTACTTTTATTATTACATGTTTTGTCCATTTGTTTGAGCATCGAATATAATACTTGGCAGAGCTGACAGTTGCAAGTCTCCGAAGGGGCGGCTAAGTTTATGGTACAATATAATACATACCAACAGCGAAGAACCAATAAGATACCATAAAAAAATACGGTACATGTAGGATGATCACTTGTCGAACGCGACGCGAAACGTCGATTCGCGAAAGGGAACACGAAACAACTCGATATTGTTGTTTCTGAATCTGGTAGCGTTAATAGGTCACTACTATCATAAGCTCGACTTACTTTCACGTGTGACATGCGGACAGTCGAATAGGAGATCATCCTGATTCAGATATCAGGTACGTAGTAGGTCTTACTTAAACAAATGTTACGCAACAGGTCCAATCAGCAGGACGAGCAGGCAGCTTAGCTTGTTGTTGACGTTGTCAGTCGCAATTGGCGCTGGAGACGATTTGTTTACTCCGTTGTTGACGAGGGGCATGGAATTAACCTAACCTTTCCAGCCCTCTTGGTGTCAGTAGTATTACATTCAACGTACCTAAACTAATAGCCTATTAGATTAACTCTTATTTATTCAGGAAATTATATTGGACGATGTTGAAGAGCTAGGATTATTATGGTACAATATCCGCCGCCTTAACGGTCTGTGAAACTGACGCTACGGTCGTCGACATTTAAGTAAACATACAAATTCGGCTTAGCGCAAAGAATCATTCTATTTTTCGAAATTTGTATTCCGTACGAAACCCCAGTATCGCTAAAGTAACAGTCAGGCAACTTCCGGCATACGAATAGCGCCGCCAGGTGATGTTGGCAGCCGAGCAGTCAACACTTCGACGCCCGTCTCCGTCACTAACAGCGTATGTTCTGGAACATATATGTACGTCAGCCAAACGAATTCTCCGAACATAAGGTACAAACGGAAATATTTAGGTAAACTCACCGAATTGTGCCGACTTCTTCCCATCGATCGTGGTGATAGTCCAATTATCAGGCCAGGTCACAAATTGATGCTTGCCCAAAGAAACCATAGGCTCAATAGTGAATGTCATTCCAGCCTTGCAGACACCAACAGCCTTGTTCCGGGCGTAGTGGGGAACGTTAGGTGGGCTATGGAAATGAATGTTGACGCCGTGTCCGACGATATCCCTCACGACACTACAACCTTTGGATTTCGCGTATTTCTCGATGATGGCGCCAAAGTCCCTGACTAGATATCCGGGCTTTACAACTTTGATCGCTTCTTCTAGACACTCTCTTGCCGTCTCGACCACTCTAACAGTATCAGGGTCCGCTTTTGCCTTGTCGCCGACGTAATAGGTTTCGTTAAGATCAGCGTGGTACCCTCCGTGGTACAGACTGACGTCCAAGTTAATAATATCGCCATCGACTAGTACACGCTGGTCCGGTATTCCGTGGCAGATCACTTCGTTGATTGACGTGCAAAACGACTTGGGATAGTCCTTATAATTCAATGGCGAAGGATAGGACTAGATATTATTAATAATGCAGAAATCCCAAGAGTTAACGCAACGGTACTGACATCTCGTTCAATACAGAGTTTGTGGCAAAGCTCGTCAAGGTAATCTGTCGTGATACCAGGTCTGACTTCGGCTGCCAAGAGGTCCAATACTTCTCGACCTAGCCTACAGACTTTACGCATAGCTTCTTGTCCTTCATCGTCAAGGATATCGATCTTGTTTCTGGCGAGCTTCAACTCGCTTGTCGGAATGCCCGTTTTCGCATAGTCTGGATGGCGTATCGTCTTGGGAACTTGGCGCCTCGGAGACAGCGGATAAACTGGCCGCAACGGCCCGGTGAAGTAGAATGAAGTGAATGGATTGTATGTCCCCGTTGCTGTAGCTAAGTTAGCAATGATTCTAATACGGTCGGTGTAGTGGATACCGTTCTGCGATCCGTTTAGGAAAGCTTTGTGTGTTTTCTTGTGCTCAGCCTAGGATAAGTGTTAGCATCCGAGATTTTTAGATTAGTAGCTCTAGAAACAGGTGTCCAAGATGCGTGGTCAAGGGGCCAGGGGGTGTTACCCAAGCACTTTTGAAGCAATCTTGCGAACAAAAGTAGCTGTTTTCGATACCCAGCTTCAGGCATGTTGGGCACTGGAGAGACTCCGCCTCATTCTCACAGCCTGGTGAAAGGCACGTCTTCTTGACCAAGTCTACTGTCATGGTGGAAATTAGTATACCTGCTTAGATATGGGGGACAACGCTTTGCAAATAGTAATGATTGGGTATTTCAAGTTCCCGATAATTATTTTTGACAAGTAGCTTTGGTAGATGGGAAGCTCTGGGTTTCAATTGTTAAATATAACTCCAACCATACTTCCTTCTTTGGAACCTTCGCCCCTTTATACCCTGTTTGACCAGATGTCCACCGAAGGGCGTGTCTCTTAGCCAGTTCCAGACTAATCACATCAACGGGTCACATTTAATTTTCAGATTGTTCATCGAATTATCTTTCATCCGTAATTATGATAAGGGTCGTTTATTTCTTCTTGCTTGAGTTTTACAATTGTGTCAAAGTGGACTTTTCGTATTGCTTACCTACCTCCTATGTGTCTATACCTTAAAAATATCTTCAACCTATGCCCTCAATCAACCCACCTTCATTTAGGTACCTTAGGTACCTATACCTATAACTTTGGATCTCGGGCGCTATCACACATAATTTTGTGTTAGCCTGTACCATTGATGCCTACGTTTTCAGTATTGTCAAACATGTCTCTTAACCCTAATAATACCAGTGTCAAATCTATATTTGCTTCTATAATAGGTCCTTAAGATTTCCAATGCATTGAAAGTTCCCCTAATTTTAACACCTGCGACTCCAAACCAACGGCACCTTCTCCGGATGCATCAACTGTAGTAGTAACCCCCCGTAGTCCGTTTCTTCCTCTATGACATTCAGTGTCCTTGCACGTGCTTCGGCAAACGTCTCGTTTTCTAGGAGACGTGGCTCTACCTTCCAGTCGCGGAAGAGAGCCGCCAGGATGGCTACCCATTCAACCTTGGAAAACTTTTTCCCGGGGCAATCCCGCGCTCCCTCGGACCAGCCAAGGTAGTTTCCACGAGATGGAGGCGGGAGTAAAACTTCGTCATCTACACCGTTGTTCAGCCTCTGCAAGTCCTCGTTTGGCTCCACCGGATTTCGGGTCTGTGCTGCCGCGGCCGGTTCGCCATCCTTGGCCTTTCCGATCCATCGATTCGGTAGCCAGCTTTGCGCATCTGGTCCCCAGAACTTTGGATGCTGGTGAACATATTTGTAGCTGGGTATAAGCAGAGTTTTCGGTGGGATCGTTAAAGTCCGACCGCCGATATCTAGGGAGTGTACATTGTTGCCCGTCCACTTAACTTCTGCCACAAGTGTCTTGAGACGTAATGTCTCATAGAGGATAGCTAGGCAGCGCTTAAGTCGGGGAAAATCGGTGTGATAACTCCAGTCTTCCCGAGGTCTGTCACCTAAGACTTCCCGTAACTCGTGGGCAAGCCATTCCTGAACGGATGGGTTGGCTGCGAGGAAGAAGCTGGAGGCGTTGAATCATATTAGCAAATATAAAAAGCGATTGGGATGCTTGAATGCACACGTACATCGCATAGGTAAGGAGGTGCGCGGTAGTATCATGACCAGCGAAGCTGACTACAAACATGGTGCCGTAGATCTCAGCTTCGGTCAACCCCTTTCCGTCGCCCCTTTTCTGAGATTCGCGAATAAGTGAGGTCATGAGCGTTGTCTCTTCTTGCAAGTGACCCTCGCTGAGGGCGCGGAACTTCTCGTTGTAGAGATTTGTCATGTGTCCCTTGAACTTGGCGCACGCCTCGCCGATGATCCGCCAACGTCGCGGAAGAGGCAGCCACGGATTCATGAAAAACGACGGCCCCAGGGCAAGGATGAGAAGTGCGGCCTCCATGATTGTCAACAATGAAATACGAAAACTTGCCGACGGGCTGGCTGATGGCCTCTCGTCGTGGCCCTCGAATGCAAAGGATTGGCCAAAGCAAGCCCTGCTTAGAATATGGAGAGATACTGTTCGTGTGTCTTCTCCAACACTTGTAAAGACGCCCTTTGATGCCCAGTAACGCGCCATTTCGTCACCGAGCAACGCAGCTTCAGACCATACGATCGAGTTGCATTTCTCGTGGAGGCAAGAATTGATGATCTTCCGATGCACTCGCCACTGCTCCCCCGATGCCTATTCTTCTATCAGCTTCTTTGATCGGCAGTCAAGTAAGTGTGATTTATGAGTGAGGAATAACTCACGGTTGCTATATTTGGTCCTCCAAATACGTCCAGCATTTCTAGTTGTTGTATGACATGTAAGCCAAGGGTTCAGGACCTCAACATAATAGTTGCTATGCTGCGAATGGACATAACTAAGGGGACTAGGGAACTTAGTTGACTTACTTGTTATCTCTATCCAACGTGGGAAGTCTTTTCCCCGGCGATACATGTCCATCAGTGCAACCGGATCCGCAATATAGAGCCAGATGTGAGATGGCGTGACTATTATGAAAGCTTCGCCCATCTCATCATGCGCACGGGTGCCGTCATGTTCGTGCCAGCCACGGTAGTTGAACCTAGTGAAGGTGTTGTTACCCAATACGCCCGGGAGTCGCCGAACCACCGAAACGACCTGTTTGTCCACTAGGAGCCATAGCTTATTGAGGTGGTCAATCGGGAGTATACGAATGGGAATACCGATCTTAGTGGCTTCAACATAGTTACAATATAAACAGTAACCTGAATACAAAGACCATGCTGCCCCGAGAGTCAAAGATATCCAAAGAGTCAACACAAGGGAGGGCATCTTCTTGATCCGCAATGGGAGATATCAAAATGATCATGATCAAAGAACAGATTATATCATAGCACTAATTACCTTAGGCGGGCATCCATACATTTATTAGACTCCAAAAAGCCTCACTTATCAAGTAATCACTGACACAGACAACCAAGACGAGCTTCCGGGCTGTGTTAGCACCGTATCATAGACGAGTTGAAAAGTAGGTGTCTAGAACGAGCCATTCTAAAAATACGAGCTGGTATTAATTTCTACATAAGCAGATATCATGTCTTAGAGCAATATCATTCCCTAGAAATAGACTATCTGCTTTGAAGCTCTGGAAACTATCATAGTGGAGTCTTGTAAACGTAGTAAAGGATGAAGTGAGTAAACTGTGGGGGCGCGGCGTGGTTGTGCTTGGCTATATTCTAAGAGCCGAAGCTCGAAAGAATGGGAACACAAACACATCGTCAGGGTGGCCGGCTAGGCTGATTAGGTGGTTACCTACCTAGTATATTTACCTCCCTTGTTTTAAAACCACCACCACCAATAGATTCACTTAACGCACTTACTTACGTATTGGCCGTGTAACAACATATAACAGTAGTTGAGTGTCGCGTTTTGAACTGCTTAAAGAATGCAACGGTAAAATACGACGCCAGGGTCGTATTTCAAGTACGATATATTGCATATTTTAGGTATTTATAAATTTAGCAAGGATCGATATATAGGAGTTAGGTTGGGCAGGCTTTCTTTGCCTACAACCTTTAGCATCCAACTCCCTTTTCTTGTTGACCACTCAACCTCTGAATGCCACCTACTATCATAAGCCTATAGAGCAATGCTACCACATGTGAATAGGATTAGCCTCTTGGTCTTCCAATCAATGCCTAAGGTAGGTCAGCATGTCATTGCGCGCCTATAGGCTGTCTCTGGGGGCGTCAGCATGCTCCGCTCCGAGGCAGACTGCCCCTCCATCGTCTTATTAGCATCTAACCCGTGCAGGGCCACGCTTCTACCCCAATTACCATCATCGTTGAAATCCACCGTCATAAGCCCGGACGGCACACCAGGGAGGTGTTGCGTGGAGGATGAACTAGTCTCACTGCCCGAGTAGCCCTCGAGCGTCTTGCATGTGTCAAGCAGGCTGTTGTGAAAGTGGCGGGCTTTGGCACGCCATCCCTTACCTCGACGCATGGCACTTCGATAAGCTGCCTCTCGCCGCTGCTGCTCCTGGAGGCGGTCGTTGTTCTTATTCTCTCGTTGTACGAAGAGTGCGCGGAAAGAGACGATGCATGCTATGATGAAAGCTTTAGGTGGTGGGGTGCAGTCGTCAGCTTGAGGTTCCAATTATAGCATAGCCCCTGAGAAAAGGAGTCTGCGGGAGCAAGCTTACCGACGCTGTACTCGCAATAAAACCAGAACGTAGTGAATGTTACGCTCTGCTCATGCTCCGACCCAGAAGCTGAGCTGTAGGCTCTGTGAAAGACGCTGTGCCCGCAATGAAACCGGAACCCAATGATTATTGCGCTCTGCTTATGCTCCGACCCAGAAGCTGAGCTGTAGACTCTGTGAAAGACGCTGCCTCGCACGATTGTGATGGCAATTGTGAGAAACACAAGGCTGAACACGAACGTAAGGACTAGCTTCTTTTCCATGCTAATGCGACTTCCCCAGAGTATTGCAATGGGGAAACCGACAACTGGGGAAGAGATTGCTGTTAGTCATGTGCGCTCTCGTAGGTAGTGCTTCAGAAGAAAAAAGGGAATAGGTAAGAGGAAGAGCTCACTGAGAAAGTCGGATACGGCATCCACTGCTGCTGAAAAGATAGCATTGAAAAAGATTCTGCTCGTAGCAGCCGCACTGGTACACCTGTCGCTAAAGATGTAATTGAGCCCCCCGAAGAAGCAGCCAAACGTTTGCATTCCAATCTGAGCTATAGCAGCTAGCACGGTGAACAGCGTAACGGCCCACCACGCGATGGTGAACTTGCGTATGTTCTGGCCGAGACGGCGGAAGAAAAGCAGGAAGTTCAGCTTCACGAGCAGTACCCCAACAATCGTGATGTTGACGCAGGCCCCGATCAAGACGAATCCTTTGGCCAGATCCGGTCCGAATTTGTAGAAGTCGCCCTTTTCGACAGCTTCCACGTCGTATGCGTACCGAACGTAGATCTGGATCAGGACAGCCTCGGCATTGTGCATGGCCAGGGCAAGAAGCATGATGTAGTCCTCGAGCAGGAGTCGGCGGAAGCACATATAACGGATATAAGCTCTGATAGCGAACGCGATATTGCAGAGCGCGAACAAGATCCATGTCAATGCCTTTGAAAAGAACGTGAGTTAGTGATGGTCTAATAACACTCTGTTCAGCAACATCTTTTCCTCCTTCCTAGACGACCGTGCTTACATAGAAGGCCGTTGAAGATATGCTGTCGTTGAGTGTTGGTACTATAATAAATTCGCTCGAACAAGAATCCATGATGGAGAGTATTAAGGAAGCTCAGGTCCGCTTGTTCGACTTGAGTAAGGATGATTAACTTAGGTACCTGGAATATAGGCGTGGGCACAATTCTAGCAATGTGAAGGTTGACTGGCCCCTTTCTGCATTTATCATGATCAGGGCTGGACTTCGTAGGAGCAGTTATATTCTTCTTCTTCCTCTTCACTCCTCTGCTAGGTACTATCTGCCTTTGCCAAAGTACGTGCCTCTGCCTGGAAGGGTATAGGTAACGTCATGTTAACCATCTTGGCTTTCTTGCCAACTGCCACGTTCGTGGATGTCCTCGACATCGCTATAGCAGCTACCCTGGAATCGTGAATCCCTGTCCATGCTTGGTCTGCGAGCGGCTCCCAATAATCGGGGGTTGCGTAAATGTGACAGATTTCCCGACTGCGCCAAAAAGTAAGATTGTTATAGTGCGAAAGGTCATTTCTTACTATATACGGATTGCGACAAAATGTAACGCCGTTGATAGATCAGGCAACAGGGGTAGCAGGTAGGGCAAGCTACATGCTGGGTCCATAGGGCTGGGGACGATAGGTAAGGCATTTTGTGAATTGTGATTTTGATACGGTGATGGTTGCGCAACTTGCTTTCGGGATGTAACATAAGATATTAAATAATTTACGACTTCACCTGTATCCCTTACGAGGCTGCAGCCTTTTCTCGTACTTCTTGCTTTCCCCCTCTCTCTTTGTTTCCTTTCCTTCTCCATCGTTTTATCATAAGAATTTCAAACATCACGATGCCCGCTGTGACCATCGCCCTCGGTGGCTTAGTAGCTACCTACATTTTTCTTCGCGTTCTCCTTCACTTGACTCAGGATGCCAGGGAACCGCCAGCAATAGAGACTCGAATTCCCTTCCTGGGCCCCTTGTTTGGGATGTTTAGAGAGAAGTCACGCTTTTATCTTCGAATAAGGTTTGTTAATTGTTCCCGAGTCTTATGTATTTCTATAGCAGCCCTATTCTTTCTTGACACTGACCCGGGAAATTGGACAGAGATACCTACAAGCTTCCGATCTACACTCTGCGGATGCCCTTCTCGCGGATGTACATCGTAAATGCTACTGAACTCATCCCCGCGGTGCAGAAACACTGGCGTACCATCAGCTTTGCTGCTATCGCGGCCGATGCAGGCAACTTTGTTGGGATGAGCAAAGGGGGCGTCGAGGTAATGCGTCAGAACCTCCAAAGTGAGGATGGCTTCAGCATAAGTTGGCCCAAGTATATTGCGCCCGTGTTGGGCCCTGGAGAGGACCTTGATGCGATAAACAGGAAATCAGTTGAGGTTTTCTCGGCAGAAATGGAAAAGTTGCGTTCACAAGGAACTACGAAAGTCGGCCTGTGGCAGTGGTCACGTCGAATCATGGTTGAATCCACGACGGAAGCAATCTGGGGACCGGAGAATCCGTACCGAGATCCGATCATAGCTGACGCTTGGAAGTAAGCACAATTACCGCCCCCTAGTCCTGAATGCCTTACTGACAGCCACTAAAGGACATTCGAGGCCGGCTTTTTAACTCTTTCGGTCTTTCCTTTCGCTTCCCTATTTTTCCCCAAGCTTGTTCGTGCTCGTGAGCTTGCGGCCAATGCCATGATCGACTATATGCGTAAGGGCGGGCACGAACAAGGTTCTGGACTCGTCCGTAGGCGCTTTGAACACCATCGGCATCTATTCGGCCTCAGTCTGGAAGATGTGGCGCGAGGCGAACTCGGTAACACCTTTGCCGTCTTGGGAAATTCAACTCCCTGTTCTCTATGGGTTCTTTACCACATCTTTTCGGACGAGGAGGTGCTAGCCGATGTACGCCGCGAAGTTTCAAATCTGGTGCGCGAGGAGAAGGATGAAGAAAAGGGTACCGTTAACGTTGTGGACTTGGCTGGCATTCGCGAATCTTGTCCTATACTCCTAAGTACATTTCAGGAGACGCTACGTTATCGCGCCGTCAACCCTGGCCCCCGTGTGATTCTCGAAGACGTGCTCTTGGAAGGGCGCTTCCTTCTCAAGAAGGGTAACATGCTCATGATCCCGGCTCCAGTACAGCACACTGATGTCGCTGCATGGGGAGAGAATGCGAAGATGTTTGATCATCTGCGCTTTGTGCGGAAGCCCAGCCCTGGACACAAGAAGCCTAACAGAGTGGCATTCCGCGCATTTGGTGGTGGCCATGTCCTCTGCCCTGGCCGCCACTTTGCAAGTACGGAGATCATGGCACTTGCAGCGCTGCTAGTGCTCCAGTTTGACGTAGTGCCTGTTGCTGGCAAGTGGGTTGAGCCTACATGGGAAAACTCGCCTGTTCAGGCAGGGTTTCCCGTCATAGACAAGGATATCGATGTCGAACTTCGACCAAGAGACCCTGAAAAGAAGTGGCACGTAATATTTACCGGCTCAGATAAGGCTATGGGGATTGTGTCTGAAGACAGCCTTCCTAATAATAGTAATTAATCGGCGCCGTGCATTGTCGGTTTTGGGTCTAAGGCAATAGGGTACCTTATGCGAAGTTTCTACGTAACCCATTTTAATAAAGCCTTGTTTTTTCTGTGTGCATCGAGACTTCGTCAGACAACCTCATTTCCACTATGATTTCTTAGAAACTCAGACTGAACTCGGCCACCTATACCCTCTGCCGAGCTTTTACGTCTATTCCACGTTAGTACCAAACTGGTATTTAGCCATCAATCTGTCTGATAAGATCATCATGTAATCATAGAGAACACATCTGCTCCTCAAGCTTCAATAAAGCGCTCTAGTGACACAGCGTTGTCTAGACTCTCATAGATTGCTTGGGAGGCTTAGCTTGATTACGGTGACAGAAATGAAAGTAACGAATAAGAGAACACAATTTCGATGTTGGCCCCCAGGTGTAGGTAGCACTGCATCTTTAAATTTGAGCAATGAGGTTGGCTGTTCCGTCGTAGCAACGCCAAGCAAACCCGAACGCATCATCTGTAGGGGTTGTTTTGGGGGCGGCAGAATCCCATAATGACTGCATTTAGGTGCATTTCGCAATCCCAAATTACTTAGAGCCTGCTGGTCCTAGACTACCATTCATCCGATCAGTAGCTTACCTGTAAAATACATACCTGGGAGGCGTGCGACTAATATGTATCATTTCTGCAGGCCTTGTATGATCGTAATGCTATGTGATCCGCTTCGACTCTGTCAGCACCGGCAGTTAAATCTCTATACGTCTAACGCGCTTCACTGTACACAGCCTACCGTTAGCTATTCCTCCTATACTCGACCTAATCTCTATTCATGTTTTCCATATTTCGAGATGCTTCGTCAAGTACTACTCATTCTCTCGCCCTAGAATCTTCAAACATTACCTCAACACACTTGCTTCACCGAGATTCACGTTAAGAAATTCGAAGCAAAGGATGGCTCTGCTACTTCGAGTCCTAGCAGTAATAGGCATAGTCATACTTGCATGCCGTTTATTCAGTCGGCTTCTTATTCAACCCCATGATCCGCACGAGCCACCACTCATACCGGCCAAAATACCTTTTATCGGGCACGCCATTGGCTTGCTCCGCCATGGTACTAGTTACTATGCGAAGATAGCGTTAGTTAGGAGACTCCATACGTGCTTCAACTGTGTGGCTAATAAAAACCTTCCAGGAAGGAATATAAGCTGTCAATATTCACGTTAAACCTTCCAGGCGGGAAGATGTACATAGTCGCATCGCCTAGTCTAGTAGCAGCCTGTGACAGACGCGCCAAGGTCGTGTCCTTTGCGCCATATGTCGTTCAATTCGGGAAGAGAGTTCTTGCGGCGAGCCGGCCTGCTGTAGAACTCTTATCCGAAGATATACTTGGGGAGAAGGGAGCTTCGAAACTCCGCCTCGGGACCATGCAAGCCATGCACGATACTCTGAAGCCTGGCAAGAGTTTGAAAGACATAAGGCAGGCGACGCTAAAGGACTTGATCAAGTTCCTAGGCCTAGGACTCGAGTCTGAGGACCGCAGAGAGGTCCCCTTATTTGATTGGACTCGCAGGTTCATGACCGAAGCTGCCACCAATGCTATATATGGATCCGAAAAGAATCCAATGAAAGACCCCGAGGTATACAATGGATTTTGGTATGAGCAACTCTTCTCCGCCAATGAAGGTATATCGGATATTAACCTCATTCTTTACAGGGCGGTAGATAAGTCTTTAGCCCTGCTAGGCCTTATGATAATGCCTGATCTCATTGCTCCCGAGGCAAGTCGAGGGAGGACCAGATTCTTCAATGCGTTCAAGGAATATTACGCCACAGGCGGGCTTGAAACAGCTTCTAGCCTTGTAAAAGAACGATATAAAGTCAATTCTCACCACGCAGTCTCAGATGAGGATATCGCACGTTTCGACCTAGGCCTCTGTACCGCGCTTCTCGTTAATACGGCACCCAGTATATTCTGGACGTTGTGCCATCTCTACTCTAATAGCATGCTCTTAGCCGAGATAAGAGACGGCATTGAAGCTGAAGTGTATCGGCGGGGTAAGGGAGAGACAATCGCAGTCAACATTCCTGATGTGATGAAAGCGTTCCCACTTCTAGAGTCACTTGTAAGAGAAATCCTCCGTGTTCAGAGTACCAACGCATCGGCACGATTCCTCCTCAAGGACACCGTTATTAATGACGAAGACGGCACGACGTACCTTCTCAAGAAAGACTCGTTCCTTGCTATGCCATCGCGGCTACTACATATAAGCGAGGCGGTTTGGGGCCCAGGCGCCGAGACGGTAGACCCGAGGCGCTTCCTCAAGGAGCGACAGCACGCGGTCCCGGCATCTGCCAACCGCACCTTCGGCGGCGGGAACTCGTTGTGTCCGGGGAGGCACTTGGCGATGGACGAAATCATGAGCACTCTAATCATCATAATACTGAAATACGATATCGAACCTGTCGGGACGGCGTGGAGGATTCCTGAGGCGAAACATCATCTTTCTACTAGCATTTTGACGCCGGTAAGCGATATCTCTGTGCGGATACGGCTGAGAGAAGAGGTGCGCAATGTTGAGTTCAGCTTCGCCTGGTAGCCGGAGAAGGGACTAGGTAGAAGTTGAGGATCTGAGTTTATCGGGTGGTGAAACTTTAGGTAGGTAGGTACCTTACCTTAGGTTAGGTACCAAGTAAGGTAAATGTACCTATAACACCTGGGCATGTAGCAATGATAATGAGGTTCTTCCATCACAGCTTTCAGGCGTGTTTGGAGATTACACGTACGAAGTAGTTATTCAGTGTACAACATATCTTGCCTGGACTTATAAAACAATTCTCCCTTGAAAGTATTTAACCGGATCGCAACGCGTTGTTATGTGATGGCTTTGATCACGGAGAACGCGAGAAAAGTTGTTGAAATGGAATCGGAATCGGACTGATGTATCTGCGTATTAAGCTTATACGTAAACTTATAAGAGGTAACTAGGTACCTTATTTAAACATAACATGCCTATAATGATGTCTCTTATCAATTGAGGTCCAGTGGAATAACTCGGAGCTTTCATTATGATGCGGGGCAATTGAGGAGTTTGGATTGGCCACAATACCTTATCGGATCCTGCACTGTACGACTCGGTCATTGATACACACTAGTATTACTAACTAATATACTAATGCACTAAGATTAGACAGTGCGGGCTCATTAATCGGGTAACTATTCGGCGCCAAGCTGAAAGGATCGTACCAACATTAATAACAATTTCATAGTGGTATCATCGATAACGATACCTATCTACTTCCAAAGCAAAAAAGAAAAGCTAACTTGAGCTTCACCCGAAGCTACCTCTTTTTTTTTACACCATCTCCCATCTCCCATCTCCCCTCTTATACGACTTTCAGTCACACGCTCTTAATTCTCAAAATGGCCTCAATTGCGCGATGCCTTCGGGCAGCTAGACCGTCTACCCTCTCTCGACTGGCACAAGTACCGCGCACGACATACAACTGGCAACCGGCGACGCTGCGAGCTTTCTCTGCTTCACCGATAAGTGAGTTTATCCGATGTCGCTTTTCAACCAAAACCTCACCCCCCAAGCTTCTTAAAATACCACTCACTCTTACGCATATACCCTCATACACTCTCATATACACATACACACATGCATTCATACGTACATGCGCTAGAGGTAACATATTGCTAATCATTGTTTAACTCCCCCCACTCGTATAGGAGACATTCGCAAGTACACCAAAGACCACGAATGGATCGACCTGAACGCCGATAAGACGGCGGGCGTGATCGGCATCTCGCAGTACGCCGCCGAGGAGCTGGGCGACGTGGTATACGTTGAGCTGCCGGAGGAGGGCAAGGTGGTCAGCGCGGGCGACGCCATCGGCGCCGTGGAGTCGGTCAAGAGCGCCGCCGACATCAACGCCCCGATCGCCTGCAAGGTCACCAGCGTCAACCTGGCCCTCGAGGAGAAGCCCGGCACCATCAACCAGGTCCCCGAGGACGACTCGCACGGCGGCGGCTGGATCGTCAAGGTCCAGGTCGGCGAGCAGGGCGTCAAGGACTTCGACGCCCTCATGACCCTCGAGGAGTACAATGCGTTTACCGGCGAGGAGGAGCACTAGACATAGTTAAACTTGTATATCGAGAGAGATGGGGAAGTTTGAAAAGGATAGTGTAAGTGATGTGATGTGATGTGATGCGATGTGATTGATGATGATGAGTTATGGATGAGGAAGAGGACAGTCGGAGAGACGTCAATCAATCAATCATGCAAGCAAGCAAGCAAAGGGAGGGGGGGAAGGGGGGGAAGGGGGGGAGAGGGGAGAGGGGAATAGGTGTTCACCGGAAATGGATATTGACATTCAACAACCAGCAAGTGGGACAGAGACGGGCTCAACCTTGTATCATAACCTCGTTTAAGGGGGGTATTCTCATCATTCATGGCGAAAGCATCCGCGCGCAGATTCTACATAAAGGTTACATAGAACGGACGGCTCAAGTCTAAAAAAAAAAAAAATAAAAGCATCGTCCACCAGTGTTTTCCCCCATGAGCTTTAGGTACCTTAGGTCAGGTTAGGTAGATTTTTGTCCCAGTTCTATATGCTCGACAGCTCTACAGGACATCTCTACGCCGGCACCCACGGCTCCGCCTTGTCTCTATTAGCCTCCCGGTCCTGGTTTATCACGTCTAGAATCTTTTGCGCGCCGTTGTCCGTCAGCTGCTGGGCGACCTTCTTGCCGAACTCGATGGCCTCTTCCCGCGTCTTGATCTCCTCGATCTTCTCGGCGTCTGCGGCCTCGGTGCCCTCGACGTTCACAACCGTCCCCGTCAATCTTAACGTGTTTTCTCCTACCCACTTCGTCTCCACGCCGATGGGGATACTGCAGCCGCCTTCTAGCGTTCTCATCACGCTTCGTTCTGCCTCGGCTGCTAACATGACTTTGAAGTCTTGAAGGGGCGCTAGTATGTCCAGCGTCGTCTGATCGTCCGCTCGCGCCTCGATACCTAGACCCCCTTGGCCGACGGCGTGCAACATCCCGCCGCCTTCGGTAGTGCTATCGAGGTACTGCGAAATGCGGTTTTCCTGGCCCGTGCGGTGCAGGCCCGCGGCGGCGAGGATCAGCACGGAGAACCCGCTGTCCTCGGCGTCGAGCTTCTGGAGCCGCGTGTCGATGTTGCCGCGCATGTCCTTGAACCGCAGGTGCGGGTATCGTCGCTTGATCTGCGCCATCCGCCGGACGCTGCTGGTCCCGACCACGGCGCCCGCCGGCAGGTCCGCCAGCTTCTTGTACTGGTGCTCGAGGCCCTTCTTGACGACGACGACGTCGCGCGGGTCCTCGCGCGGCGTCACGCAGGCGAGGATCAGGCCCTCCGGCAGCGTCGTCGGCATGTCCTTCAGCGAGTGCACGATGATGTCGAGCTCGCCGGCCTTGAGCTCGGCTTCCAGCTCGTTCGTCCAGAGGCCCTTGCCGCCGAACTTGTACAGCGCCGTGATCTTGTCCTTGTCCGCCGTCGAGTGCATACCCTTGATCTCGAAGTTGACGGTCGGGTGCAGTTGCTTCAGGGCATTTGCGACATAGTCGGCTTGGTTTAGAGCTAGCTTCGATTTGCGCGTGCCGACCCTAATCGTAAGCTGCGGCGTTGTGGACGTCGACATCTCTTTTTTTTTTCTTTTTTTCTTTTTTTTCTTATGGGATAGGGACGGTCGGGATGGTCGGGTGGACGTTGAAGTAAGGAATATGGAAAGCTAAAATTGGCACTCTTGTAAGTCGCTGCTCTCAGATATGCTCTACTTTAATGTTGAATTCGGACGGAGGCAGATAATCTTGATCAAGGCGGAGGCCAGAAGTATTGCGTGGGTTTTCGCGGGGTCCAGACTTTCCAGAGCGGAAGATGGAGGGGCAGTTTTGAAATCAGCTGCGGGGCATTTCTTATCAGGTACTTCCGCATTCATACAAAAAGATGTACGATTAGATGTATTTACTCTATTAAGCTAAAGATTTTAAGGATCCTTGTTGGGTCGGCCCGCACAATATCCATCGGCCGCCCTCCCAGCCTCCGCATCCTCCAGTAAATAAACCCTGTTCTATTGCGGGGTACCCTGGGTTTCCATTTGCTACTACATAATACTATATATATTATTAATAATACCTTCATTTACATTGTCAACAGCGTCTTCTAAGGCTCACTGAGGTACTGGAACTTAGTTCAAGGCAATTGGATTATACTTAAGGTCAACCCAGCAAGGCCAACACAATAAGGCTGATATTTCGAATAATTTCCCTAAATGTCTTTCTTAATTCCCGAATGAGACGTCTCCTGATCCATAGGACTGTATACTTGCCGTCACCGGCTCGGAGCACCATTAACGAGCTAGAAATTCTCCTCTTACACATACCGGCATACCTAGTATTCCCGGACAGGAACGACAGGCCCGAGCATGTAGCATTTGTCCTGTATTTTCACATCAGTAACTCCAACTAGAGACGCCAATGTTTGCAAAACGCTCTCACAAACGCGTCACCCAACCCCAACTAACCGCTATACAACCACATCTAGGTATTCGGGCCTTCGCTTCAAGTTCTAGAATCCCTTTGTAATGCTAAGAGAAACCACAGCATGCATTAGCTGCTACATATTGTACCCCAAGTCGGCCCAACTGGATTATCGATCATGCAGCAGAGATGCGTGTATGCGTGTATGGAGATGCTGTTCCTGGCCGTAGATATCCAACTGATGTTACTATTCTCGGTAAATAGACTACAAATTCACGGCTCTCGTCTCCAGACCTCGATCACTTACCTCTTTTCGATGGAACATTCGTAATGCCGAACTGCTCGAGCTCTTCCTTATGGTAATCCTTCCCAAAATTGGAATCCTGCGAAGTTACACTTCTCTTCATCGTTTTCATGCCTCGCTTTTCACTTCCAGATGAGGCATTGAAACATATTACGAAGACGTCCCACTAGAGACGTGTCGTAGTCTCTAGGAATCTAGGCATCTAGTTCGCTTTATCACGAATGATAGCTTTTCACACACTGATATCATGCTATTACATAGTACCTTGAGGATTGATGCATTCATTCGGAATAACTCTATATAAGGCGACAGATCATTCGGTGTTTAGGAGCAAGTAGGAAGAAATCAACAACCTAGTCTTGTTCAGCTGAGTCGATATATATCATATCTTTCTTAGAGCAGTTCCAGTTCTTCATTTTCGAATATGAAATTCCACGCCATTCTTTCCGGTCCCGTCCTCATAGCCAGTTCCACTCTGGCTTTGAGAGGTCCACTTCTACGGGTTGACTCAACAGGTCCTGTGCTCACCACTACCACTGTGCTGACCGCCCAGATCCCTTCTCCAGCTGCAGGCTTTTCGTCTTCATCCGTCGCAGTTCCTGTCCCTGTGCCAAGCGGTTCCCAGGGCATTGGTCCAAAGTGTGGTAAAGGGTATACATACTGTGGCTACATGCTCACCGCAAACGGTCATAGTAAGAATTCTGACCGAACGGTCAATGATCCATAGAAAGTCTCTCTTTGCTAACTTGCGTAGACTTCGCACCTAACGATATCAGTAAGGCTTACTGCAACGGTCTCTCCGAGCTTTGCACGAACGGCAAGCCCAAGACAGATGTTTCCCAAGCTGTCTTCGTCTGCATGAACGAGCAGCCGTCCAGCGTTGAGCTCTTATGCGCTTGTAGCAGCAAATGCCGCAACGATGCCGAAAGCAATTTCATCGCCCACTGTGACAAGCCTTGCATCAACGCATGAATACGCGGAAGTATTCCAGCAAATACGGGAGGGGTTTAAACGGGAGTTTGCTCAAACCTGCACCTGTTAGGATGATCGGAGTGTGCTCAATGTTTTAACACGAGCTGGAGCTATAATGAATGCAACGTCGCTCGTTAGTTACATGTAATCCGAATTCTCTTCTATTCATTAGCCTATTTTCTCGATAATCCCCTGGCTTTCATCGTAAGATCCAGTCATTGATGATTAATGGCCCCAGTGTGTTGGCGCATGGCTATAGAGAATCGTAAAGGGTGAATGACATATAGAGAAAATTGATAGGATCGATATGCTTGTCTCGAAATAATGAAAATCATATGTCTGCAATATCCATGGCTCTTCTCGCTCTATAAGCCCCTTTAACACTATGGATGCACGTGATGTCTCAACATTTTTCTAGTTGAAGATGTTGGTAGTTAGAATTCAAAAAGTCTCCTGTTGCGCTTTCCAGATCAATATATGACACGACAATTGACACGTTGTATCCGGCTTATTTTAAGAGAGACCAACGAAGAAGTGATCGACTCAATACGGACTGCTCCACGGCTGTCCAGCGGCACAGCGACTAAGCAGCCAGGCCCGCCTCGTGATTTAGAGCTGAGCCCCTAACATGCACAGCGCAGATCTACATTGAGGCTTAACTTCATCCAATCAGCAAAACACATCTCTTATACACATGGGTCTATGATCTCAATCCGGTCGTTCCGTCGGCTGTTAATAGGCGACCCCGGCTTTCGTGTTCGTAACAACTGGCTCGAACCGCCTTGAGATTCCCCGGTTGGCCCGACAAAGGAATTGGAAGAGGGATCCTCCTATCGGTATCACGGAACCGGGCTCGTGCATCGCCACGACTGACGTTGGATTACGATAATCAGGAGCACATATAAAGCCAAGAAGACCGCTGTTCGTTAAAGAAAAAAAATATCACTCTACCAACCAACAACATTATCCCAGACAATTACATCTTAATATCTAATACGTCTACTCACCATATAACGTTTTTTTAATATTTTAATATTATTAAAAATTCACAACCTAGTCGTCAAGATGTTCGCCTCAGTCATCGCACCTCTCACCTTCCTCGCCTTGGCCAGCGCCTCTCCGGTCCCGGCCTCCGACCCCGGTAGCGCCTGGGAGCTCTCCAAGTCCAACGGCTTCCACCTGCAAGCACAGCTGCGCCCCGGCAGCGGGGACATCGACCCCCCGGTGTCGGGCGGCTACCTGAGCAGCGCGCACGTGGGCGCGGGGCAGAACATCGCGATCGTGTCGGGCGTCAAGCCGGCCGACGGGTCGGCGTACTACGTCAACGGGACGGAGGCGCAGGGCTGGGTCGACGTGCTCACGGACCTCGGCACGACGTTTCCCTGGGGCCTGAACGTCCAGGACGCGGACGCGTTCGACCCCGCGTACCCGGGCGAGCACGGCGCGAGCGTCAACGTCGGCGGTGGCAGCGACGGCATCGCGATCCAGCGCGCCGAGAACCTGGTCCTGCTCGGCGGCGCCTCCGAGGGCTCGTACGCCGTGTGCAACCGGTACATCGCGTACTGGCAGCAGGATCTGCAGGTCGTCAGGTACATCTACCCCGGCGAGTCCGTGCCCGAGGACTGCGTCGCTCTCGACTTCGTCCCTATCTGCGCGGAGCTGGCGCCCCTGCCTGAGGGCTCCGACGCTACGCATGAGTTTGCCCAGGAAGTTGACTGTGTTGTGTCGTCTTAAAAAGAGGTTATGAGAGGGTTTGGAAGAGGAGGTAAAATGGAGGGGGAATGTGGGAAGAGATACGATAGTTATGCAATGGGAATTGGTACATCCAATATTCTAAAAGCACCTACGGCAGTAGGAAAGGAAGCACATGCTATCCTAGAAGTTGCAGCTATGCCAGTAGAACACGTCGGCTTATTGTGATGGGGAAAGATATTCTCCGGTATATACGAAGTAAATTTGTGAAGCACTACCGAAGCGCATTAACCCTTTCATCCCGTCTTGTGATTATGTGACACTACTCGCTTCAGTAATTCCCCAGACTCAGCATTCCCACAGCCTTTAAAATATGTCAGGTATACTCGGTACTCTTAAGTCTTAGACAACTAGACTCATAGTTTCATATCATTAGGTCGGTACGTATGGTTTGGTAGTCGGACCTGAGGCCCCCGAGTTCGCTATCCGGTGGCTAGCTTGCAGCGCACGAAGCTCTTCAAGAGTGCACTGGGCTGGTAAATAGGCGTGGTGTTCCGCCCAATTGTCGTACCATTCATAGCCTTCCATCGATGAATCCGACTGAACACTCGCTGGTGATCGGGGTATGCCTTCCTCATTGGCGTCACTATCCGACGAATTGTCCACGTCTGATAATGATTTCCGAGGTTCATCAGGGTAGAAAATTGATAGTGGAAGTCCCTTGAGCCATTCTAATACATCTGGGTCTATGCCGTCAACCCCTTGCTCCACCCACCATCTTATGCCCTCCAGATCGTATGTTGGATTAGGGCCTAGCGGGTCTCCTTGATCAATAACATGAGCCTCTGTCCATCGCGAACCGCTTAACATCCAACGTTCATGGATGTTGAATTCCTCAGGAAGTCTCAACACCACATTTTCATACGGTCTCGTTTGGACCGCGTTGACGAGTTGGTCGAGGAGAAGATTCTCGTTCTGTTGAACGATAGGCATATCATATCCATTGAGACCGTATTTCTGCGGTCCCTTGGACACGAGGCACTCAGCGCACTTAGTATAGAATATACGTTCAAATCTTATATATTCGGGGTCATAATTTGGGCACTCCTCGGCAGAAGGCAGTGGCGTTGGACAGCCAGACGCATGTTCCTCAAGCTTATGAGCTACACGTGCTGCGTGACAGCCGACAAGGAACCTTAGGACGGCGAGAGTCTTGGGGAAGGCATTCGAAGGCTCATCTTCGCAGCAGATCTCTAGATTGACGTGATAACACATGACAGCACTCAAGGACGTAATGAAGCACCAATTACCCCTAGGCTTGGACCTAACAAATAGTAAACTCCTTCTTACGTAATTCACCTAGGTGGCGATATTCACTCTTTATATATATGTATACTTGAAGATATAAGCCAACGATGTTTATGAGGAATCTGTGTAACAGTGAGCTTGATTATATGCAACATGATTGTTTTAGGAGTAGCAGATATGCAAAATCCACACAAATATCCATTTTCAAACATACACGTTCATGTACAGTATATATGTATGTTGTAACTAATGCACATTGTTAGCAAGTGGTCAAGCACAAGTTTGCCTCATACTTTACATATCGTATAACAGTTAGCTAAGAGCGGTAGGGTAACTATGGTACCTAAAGCATGCCATGATCGTCTCCCAAGAAAAGAAAGACGAAAAATAAAACAAAATACCAAACTCTTAACAATTCTGACAGGAATAAAGTTTACCTTAGGTAGGTGTCTTAGAGTTGAATAATATGCTTCACTGTCTCTCCAGTTCTTTTGAGGTGATGGGATGCAACTTTGCAATTGATGGGTATTTGAGGGCAGAGGGAGAAACGACTTGGATGGTTCAACTATCCTCACAGGTGTCTAGGAGGTAGGTTAGGTGCCTGTTAACTTTCAACTGATATAGTCATCACGCGGGGGCGAATTCGCCCAACTCAAAAGGACTTGATCATGTAAGCACTTGTTCCATTGCCGTATTTAGTAATTATTGAGCGTAGCTGAACGGTCTGATTGGTTGTATGTAGGTAGATGCGTCAAGTCTTAGATGGCTGACATGCGTTGCATGCATAACTGTATGCCAATGTTCTGGCATGTTGTTGTCATAAGTAAGAGAAAGTTGTAACGAAACAACTTTGTTGTTCCGCATAAGACTCCAAGATAACTCTTAGAACTAGCTATACGTACAACCATTTCCTTTGTCCTGAGGCTACCTGGTACACATCATACGTCTAACTGCTAATCATTATATCACATATCAGACAAACATAGGTAGCTATAACGCCTAAGCTATTGAATAGATGTCTAACGCCTTTCATATACTACTGTGCAGTATTTCAGTACCACTATACCTCGTTTAAAGGTTCGTATAGCGTGACCTATAGGTTCGTTGTGACACTTGACGGTAGAATTGAATTGGGATACCTCTATGTTAATAAGCTGTCTAACTTTTGGCGGAGTCGGAGCGTCTTATATACATCTGGGATGTACTTAGGTGGTATTTGTTCAACCTTGAGAAGTATCAGAACTACCACGAAATTACCATAACCCTTTTAGATACCTCACTTGTTACCCTTTTTCGAAACATCGAACCAATGGTTCCATTCATAGCAACTTTCTCTTCTACCGTCCCTTGCAAACTAAATATTCATCTAACCGATAAAGAAGCTAGATTCATACGTCGTCGTTGATTGGTGCCCGCAAACCCACCTTTCTCCGCATGTCCTTTCCCATGGACAGTACTCCACTTACTATATCTGGATACCCTTTGCGGGTCTACGTCTCATTGATTTGCCTTGACCTCTCACAAGACGCACACATGCCAACTTGCGTAACCTTTGTCACACAAACGCCTGACGACTTAGAAGCTTAGGCAGAATCTTGCCAATGTACTCGATGTATCCCTGTGGGATGTGATTTAGACATATCATTCTTGAATTCTACATCGGCTGTTCTTTTATACCGACCACAGAGGACACAGCCTACAACCGCTGGACCTTTGATTGGTGCGGCCTGTTTCGCTAACTGTCCATATGATCCAGACTGCTACTATGTATACCAACAACTACCAATCTAAATCATCTTCACGTATTGTTAACTTCTTGAGTAGCCAGGATCCTTAGAAGCGGGGAGAGAGGGTGGTAGGTTCGAGTGGAGGTTTCAAAGCAAGACTCGGGTATCTATTTAAATTATCAAATACACATACCCAAAGCTTGATCATGTGCCCCCTATTTATTCTCCCTAGTTGCCACTCTTATCCTTCTCGGGCCGTGTGGGATGAACCCTCGTCAACCCTCTTCTTCTACTCACCTTGTGTGCCTTAGGTACTTTTCTCTCTTATACATTTCGATTTTCCCCTGCTTCATGCTCCTTCTCGTAATGTGATGCGATTCTAGCAGTTAGCAGGGAGGGATTGCGAATGTCGAATGAGCCTCTAAATTTGCGCTGCATGGCAGACATTTATTGTGCTCCGTCAACATGTTCTCCTGGTCGTTACTCCGGCCGGCCCTGGTCGCGAATCCTGCTTCGCCTGGTGCAACGAAGGGCCTTACACGTTGCGCTATATCACATGTCTTAGGTTCGTTCTAATATATAGGATATATGAGTTGAGGCACCTGGGCGCTTCATCATATTCTTCTTCTGTGAGATATATACTAATTAGACGAAATTGTAGACAGGACGGCGCAATCTGGAGCCGTAGCTGTGAGGTTCCGACGACAATGGAACAGCACCTATGCCAAGAAGCCCACAGTTCTACCCGCTCTGCCAAAGAAGGCGTTCGGCAGTGGTAGGAATGTTGCAAATAGAGTAATTTCTGTGACGTCTTATTCGACCGTCGTCGAGACGCCATCCACGCCTTATGCAGATCTTACTGTAGGTGTACCCCGCGAGACGTTTGCTAATGAACGCCGCGTGGCGATTTCGCCTCAAAATGTTGCTCTTCTCAAGAAGAAGGGGTTTCGTAATGTCCTGGTGGAGCGTGGAGCCGGTGCGCTTGCCGATTTCCCGGATGAAGCTTACCAGAAAGCTGGCGCTACTTTGGTGGACGCGGATGGAGCATGGAGCCAAGCGGATATCGTACTTAAAGTACGAGGACCGAATGTAAAGGAAATTGACCAGCTTAAAGAAGGCGCAACGATCATCTCAATGCTACAGCCCGCCCAGAATAAGGACATTGTTGAGCGGCTTGCTGCTCGTAAGGTTACCTCATTCGCCATGGACATGATTCCCCGTATCTCCCGCGCTCAAGTATTTGATGCCCTTAGCTCAATGGCAAACATCGCTGGGTACAAGGCGGTTCTGGAAGCGTCTAACAACTTTGGCCGCTTCTTAACTGGTCAGGTTACTGCTGCTGGGAAAATCCCGCCATGCAAGGTTCTTGTCATCGGTGCCGGTGTCGCGGGCTTGAGTGCAATTGCAACTGCTCGCAGGATGGGTGCTATTGTTCGAGGTTTTGACACACGCTCCGCTGCAAGAGAGCAAGTCCAATCCTTGGGTGCGGAGTTCATCGAGGTTGAGATACAGGAAGATGGGTCTGGAGCCGGTGGATATGCCAAGGAAATGTCTCCCGAATTCATCGCAGCCGAAATGAAGTTATTCACCGAGCAAGCTAAAGATGTCGACATCATTATCACAACGGCTCTTATTCCTGGGAAGAGAGCGCCTAAGTTGATCACCAAGGATATGGTCGAAGTCATGAAACCTGGCTCTGTTATTGTTGACTTGGCTGCTGAAGCAGGAGGAAATTGCGAAGTGACCGAACCTGGTAAACTGATAACGTACAATGACGTGAAAGTCATCGGTAAGGCCTAATTGATAGCCCTAAACCTCTGATTTGCTGACATTGTTGAAGGATATACGGACTTGCCATCTAGACTACCGACACAGTCGTCGACTCTGTACTCGAACAACATAGTCAAGTTCCTCCTATCAATGTCTCCCCAGGATAAGTCATTCGGCATCGGCTTGAGCGACGAAGTTGTTCGAGGCGCTATTGTCACTAACAAGGGAGAAATCTTACCCCCTGCCCCTCGGCCAGCTCCGCCACCAGCTCCCACGCCCAAAGCTGCAGCAAAATCTGAGGAAGAGGTGGTGGCAATAACGCCATTCCAAAAGACTTCTCGAGAAGTGGCTGCAGTGACTGCCGGTATGGGTACTGTTTTGGCTCTTGGTAAACTGACTGGTCCTGTCTTCATGAGTAATGCCTTTACCTTCGGACTAGCTTCGCTGATCGGATATCGTGTGGTCTGGGGTGTGAGTCCGGCTCTTCACTCTCCCCTGATGAGTGTCACCAATGCTATTTCTGGTAAGAAAACCCAGGATATCGTTTGAATAACCGTCACTGATGAATATGCTAAAGGGATGGTCGGTATTGGTGGCCTCTTTATACTGGGTGGTGGTTATGTCCCTGAAACAATACCGCAAGCGCTTGGTGCAGCTTCTGTGCTCTTGGCTTTCGTAAACGTATCGGGCGGCTTCGTCATTACTAAGAGGATGCTTGATATGTTTAAGCGTACGTGATGTCAGGCTCGAGGAGGATACGTCGTTACCTGCTAACCAAGACGTAGGACCAACTGACCCCCCGGAGTACCCATGGCTGTATGCGATCCCTGGTATTTTATTCGGAGGCGGCTATCTTGCGGCGGCATCGACAGGCGCTGCAGGACTCGTTCAAGCTGGATATATGGTCAGCTCAATCCTCTGTATTAGCTCCTTATCAGGCTTGGCTTCCCAAGCCACGGCACGAATGGGTAACTTACTCGGAATCCTCGGTGTTGGCTCTGGTGTTCTCGCCTCCCTACTAGCTGTCGGATTCAGCCCTGAAGTGTTAACCCAATTCGGCGCGCTTGCTACGGTTGGGGCAGTCTTGGGATTTGTCATTGGTAAACGTATCACTCCGACAGATCTTCCTCAGACCGTTGCTGCGCTTCATTCTGTAGTTGGTCTGGCTGCGGTATTGACTAGCATTGGAAGTGTCATGGGAGATCTTTCACATATCTCGACTCTCCACCTCGTCACGGCATACCTCGGGGTATTAATTGGTGGTATCACATTTACTGGATCTATTGTCGCATTTATGAAATTAGCTGGAAAGATGTCATCTAAGCCTTTGATCCTCCGTGGTCGGCACTTGATTAACTCCGGTATGCTCGCTGCTAACATTGGAACAATGGGTGCTTTTGTCACGATGGCACCAGGCTCGCCCATGATTGCTGCCGTGGCACTATGTGCAAACACGATATTATCGTTTGCGAAGGGATTTACTACGACATCTGCGATCGGCGGAGCAGACATGCCGGTTGTGATCACGGTCCTTAACGCGTATAGCGGCTTTGCGTTGGTAGCGGAAGGCTTCATGTTGGAGAACCCATTGTTAACCACAGTCGGCGCGCTTATTGGCGTTTCGGGCTCAATCCTTTCGTATATCATGTGTGTGGCAATGAATCGGAGTCTCACGAATGTTCTATTTGGCGGTATATCGGCGCCCGCGAAAACGGACTATAAGATCGAAGGGTCGGTGACGCAGACAAATGTCGAGGAGACAGCAGAATCTCTAATCAACGCGGAGAACGTTATCATTGTAGTCGGATACGGAATGGCGGTCGCGAAAGCGCAGTATGCTATTAGCGAGATAACTAGGATGCTCCGGGCCAAAGGGATCAATGTTCGCTTTGCCATTCACCCTGTCGCGGGTCGCATGCCTGGACAGTGCAATGTCTTACTGGCGGAGGCGAGTGTGCCGTATGATATCGTGTTAGAGATGGACGAGATAAACGACGACTTTGGCGACACCGATGTTACTCTCGTAATCGGTGCAAACGACACGGTTAACCCTATCGCGCTCGAGCCTGGTAGCCCTATTGCGGGAATGCCCGTTCTGCATGCTTGGAAGAGTAAGCAGGTTATCGTCATGAAACGTGGTATGGCTAGTGGCTATGGTAAGTCAATCTTCTCACGGATATGATGTGCGAAAAAGGAAGAACCAACGCGCTAATGTTCTAATACCTAGCTGATGTTCCCAACCCGATGTTCTACATGCCCGGAACGAAGATGTTGTTCGGCGATGCTAAAGTTACTTGTGATGGTAATCCCCCTCCCTTGTCCGAGATGAATTTGGACGTAGAACTGAAATTGTAAACAGCGATTAAAGCAGCTGTCGAAGCGCGAACCTAGAATAGAAACTCTGCCACGGGTGGAGCATGCATCTTAGACTCTTGTTCAGAGATCTCGTTTGCATTCTAGACTTTTAGAGCATCCGATATCATGCTTATCGTTATTTCGAAGATTCATGTTCCTTGCGAGGAGTCAGCTATATAGGCCTTGAGCTATCGGGATTAATCTCCTTTGAAATGATCACGTATTATTCGTGAGGTTTCTGATTGCGATGTTGCTGAAGTTAGTCCCCGTGTAAAGACCATCGTCTTCTTGTTTCCAAGTGCCGATTGGTTCTGCTACAAAGGTAATTTTAGGTACTCGGCCGCGTAGACTTTTCGGGTACATAGCGTCGCAGTGCCCCCAAAAAGGTTTTGGTGTTCTTCCCCAGCATTTAACAATCGCTCGAAGTCGGGTGATCACGTCAGTGGCTTGATACACACAGCAAGAAAATGCAAGTCAGATTCTATCCATGCATTAAGTACCTGATACCTTTGAGCACCCTAGTCGTCTAATTGCTTCTATGCGATAGAAGAAACAGAGGAAGTAAATTAAAATTAACGAATTGTCTGATCTTCTGATAAAAAATCTTTTAATCAACCGAGCACAGAGAATATCCCCACCTAACCTTCAAACGTTATAAGGGGAACTAGTCAGAAGGTCGCATGAAGACGCGAACCCAAAATTACACCCATAAAAAAGTAGAGAAGTTCCCCTTCTCTCGATAATCCGTTCCGTTGCATAATATTCCAGTCCCTCAAACTCCATATCCTACTCCCTCACGTATATAACCCCATGATTTAAAGAATTCCAGACACGGAGGTAGGTAGGATTCCGCCCTGCTCGTCTTTGCCACCCCGCTCGGCGCGGTTGACACCTTCTTTCGATACAAGGTCGCCGACCGGTTGTAGGAGTCCGCCTTGGCCGACTTGGCCAGTGACTACATTATTCACGCCGTCTTGTAGCGTATCGACTTGCTCGATGTTGGTAACTTTGGTCTTGTCCAGCTGCTCTGTTATTCGAGACCGATATTTGATTAGCCCGAGTCCAAGAATTCCCTTTTTGCACCAAGAAGAGACGAAAACAAAGGAAATATAGGGGTAAAAGTGGTAGTGTTGAAGAGATATAAGGGGATTTTCTTACCCCTGGTTGCGTAGCTAGCCTTGTTGTCCTTGGTAAAATATTTGAGGAAGTGATCCTCGATCCAAGGCATCCAAATCTCGTATTGCTCGTTGTACTTCTGCTTTGTCCACTCCATGTTGTTTAGTCTCGATAGCGATTCGCGGTATCGATTCAGTCAAGATAAAACTTAAAAAAAAAATCCCCAATAATGTGATCTAGGTAGCGACGAAAAGGAGGCAAAAATAATGTAAACACGAGAAAGACGAATCCTGTTCTTACCCACAAACCCCGTAAAACCGCGTCTAGTATTAATATCGACGTAAGGAGCCATAATAAGTACATATGTAGGTCAGGAGATCCTCGTCGAAGCAATGTGGCTGCTTTTCTACGTCATATGATGGCTGCATTGGAGATGCTGATTGGCCTGTACGGGTGAACAGGAACTAAACAGGGAATCATCCAAGCATTCAGCCACACGTTTGCTGCTTGCTTCCACCCCTACTATGTCATCAAGATAATTGGTCGCATAAGCTCATCGTCGATGTAAAAGCTTATTTTGGAGTACTTTTAGTCTTATTGGTTGACACACATCAAGTAGTGTGTCTACATGTGTCGTACTCGATTCAAAGGAACGAATGTGGCAGCCCCTGTTTAACGGGTCTCCATATCATTTCTATGTATACGATCAGGATCTACGAAGTCGTCTTACAGCTGGATTGGCCTTTTTGTGTCTTGTAATAAAACGGCCAACCTAATGTACGCCGAGAGGGATATTGATGTCTTGACCAGCTAGCATTTGTTCACGAAGCTCTTCAGTCTCTATCCAATGAACAATCTCCTGTTCTTGCTCTGGAGGTAGTTTCTGAAGATGTTCAGCACCCTAGTGGTGGTCTGAGGTCTTATTGAGCCTCTGGGACAGCGTCGATGCCGATGAATTATAATATGAGGCCGTGTGGTTCAACCCAGCGCCTGCTCGGACTTTAGTCATTGCTCTGCGAATGCGCTACTCTCGGTCTTCCGTATATTTGGTCAGATTTTTGATTGACTGGATTTTGTAGTACTAATGATGAAAGCTTGGCTGAGGTCATGTCATAGATTTACCATATTTGCCTACCTCGCATAAAGTGGGTGCGTTCCGGACAGAAAACCAGCTATATAATATCCATCGCTGAAGTTATTCCGCATTACGTATTACAGCGAGGTGCTTACTTTAATTTCAACACTCGGGATTTACTGTAGTGAGTATTTACTGGGATGTATGTAGATGCTGATTCGAGGACGATGAATTATTATCGGATACCTAAGTTCCATAAGAAAGGCCTTAATCAGGACAACTTTCGTCCGCGCAATATGGATAGTGACTAAAAAACAGTCTTGAATACTACGAGTATAAGCAAGGACTGGCCACTTCCTTCGATCTCAAACGAAAACAGCAAACTCGCGGTCCAACTATCAAGATGTAGTTCGGACTCTCCATGCTTCTCCATTAAACCTTCTGGCGTTTGGCAGGAGGGGCATCCTCCACATCTTCCAGATCGTCGTCAACATACTCATCGTCTTCATCATCCTGACCTTCCTGCTCTTCCTGACCAGACTCAGGCTCGACAACAGCATCCTCGTCTTCGTCTTCTTCCTCCTCATCTCCCTTTTCCCCCTCTCGATTCTCTCGGAGAGATTCCTGTACGAGCTGGGGCATTTCCGTGAAAACTTGCTGGAGCTGACGCTTAAGTTCGTCCATTCGACGGAAAAAACCCGTTTGCATTGCATCCAATCGTCGAGCTATATCAGTGATCGTCGGGCCGGCCTGATGGGGTGCTGGCTGCGCTGCCGGCAGCACAATTGGCAGCGCCGGTGCGGCTGGTGCGGCAGGTGCGGGAGCGGCAGGTGCGGGAGCGGCTAGTGCGGGAGCAGCTGGTGCGGGAGCAGCGGCGGGGGCTGGAACAGCTGCAGGCACCTGTGGTGGGGGTTGGACAGGTGCCCCAAGAGGTGCTGCCGCTGCAGGGGCTGCCTGTGCCACTTGTGAGTGTCTCTGGTACGTATGATGATACATACATCTATTTGCTCCGGTTACGACCATAAACGTTTTGCCACACCCTGTCCAACCGCAACTGTACCGGTTCCCTGGGGCTGGAACAGGCGTATGCCCCAGGTCAATATGCCTTCGGAGGAGGTCGTCAGTTGTTGTAGTGAACTGGCATCCGGTCATGTAGCATCGCGTGCCGATATGCACACTTCGTATGTGCTCCTGCAGTTTCTTGACTTGCTTATCGCACGTGGGACATCGGCCCGGACCATTTCCTACACTAAGTGTCAATGGGTTTGATACAGATTTATCGATAGATACTCATCATAAATGATAGCTTTCACATGAGTTAAACATACCTTGACCTTGGGCTTGGGCTTGGGCCTGGCCCTGAGCTTGGCCTTGAAGTTGGCCCTGACCTTGAGCAGACATTGTGATTGCAGATTCCGAACTGATATAACTGCAGAATGTTCAGATGCGATGGTTTATAATGTTTAATCCGACTACAAGTTGTCAGTTATGAATCATAATAGCGATATAATACCTGTCAAATAGAAGGTGGGTAGGTGATGAAAGGTCACTGGAGTACGATAAAGGGGAAAGAAGAAACTTACCGATGGACTGACTGTATCGCTTGTTTTCGGAATGTATGCGATTCGCGTCTCAAGATTCGCAGCTTCGAAATCGCGCGAAAGTATGAACACTTGGATAAAGTTCGATGAAAAAGGACTCGAGAGACAGTATGAATGAAAAGAAATTGTTGAATCCTTTTCTCAGCTTGCGTAACTATAGCCTATTGAGATGAAGGGCTAAAGCTTGACAATAGGAACCTCGTAAGAGAAAGCAACAAAAAAAAAGATTGAAGGGTTGTTTTGCTACGAAACGAGGGTAGTAGTGTTTTGCAAAGCTTATACCTGATCAAGAGTCTGAGAGGGGATATCTTCTTCTGGAACAATGTAAAAAGAGACGCAAAAGTTAAAAGACTGATGAAGGATGACTTTGAGGCACTTAGCAGTGAGGAACAGAGTAAAGATTCAAAGGAATGGAATGCCAGTTATAACTGTCAGTGCTAATGAATGTCGAACTTGTGGGAAAAGAAAAAAGTTGGACAGACAGAGGGGGGAGGGGAGATATTTATACCTTTGGTGGAGGAGGGGTTACTGCCTGGCTGATTAGAAAATTCGCAAGAATAAAATAATATATGTGCACAAATGCAGGAAGGAGGCAGGTGGTTACCTCCTTCAAAAGAAACGGGAACTAGGGATTGGTGTGATATGAAAAACCTGCTACTGCCTACTGGTACATTGGTTTATTTCGGGCTGAAAAGTCAGTCACTAGGCCATAGATAACCAAGTTTGAGGGCGGGAGGCAAGCTGTCAAGACTCCAGTTCGCGAAGTAATCACATTCACTCTTGCCCATTCTTGTAGAATACTAAATACCAGAGTGCAAGTACACTGTGCTAGGAATGATTTAAATAATTCAAGCAATCACATCTACATATTAAATTCACCTGCATCCCAAAAGGGCTTAAGTTAAGGATATGGGTAATAAACAATTAAATAATTTTTATGATGTTCTCCGGGGTCTAATCCTAGGTAGGAAAAGAGGTCTAGTTACTTTTAGGACTGTATGGCAGTAATGATTGTGTTGATTTGATTGTACTTATGTTGGGGCTATACGACTATACGACTATACGATGATATTATGGACTGGGTGCTGTGAGGGATTCGTTAGAGTATGATTATTATATGTGGGGCTATACGATTAGGTATACGCTGGTATTCTGGACTGGGCGACAGTAGTGATTAGTTAGAGTGTCGTTATAGTCGGGGCTATACAACTATACGACAGGACTATGGACTAGGCGGAGATAGTGATTAGTCAGGCTACAGTTATGTTCAAGACTATACGGCAGTGCTCCGCGCCGGACGTTAGTAGTGTTTGGCTGGATTCCAGTTATAGTCGGGTCTATACGACTATATAGCAGTACTATAGGACTAGGCGCCGGTAGTGATTAATTAAGTTATAGTTATATTTATGACTATATGAAAGTACTCAAAGCCAGGAGTTAATGATTATTGATTAAATTCTAGTTAAAGTCGGGACGCAGTATCCCGGACTTTGCGGCAGGCAGTAGTGATTAATTGGATTGTAGTCATATTCAGGCTATACCACTATACGGCGGTATTCCGCAGTGGGCCGAACTAGTGGTTGGATATTGCAGGATATTTGGAAGTAGTCGGGGCGGTGCGGCGGGACTCTGGTAATGATTGGTTAGGTTGAAATTATGTTCCGGGTTGTCCGGCGGTAGTCGGGGCCGTGTGGTAGTAGTAATTGGTTACATTGTGATTATATGCCGGGGGTATGCGGTAGGACTCCGAGCCGTGCGGCGGGAGCGACCGGCAGGATTGTGGTTGCATCCCGGGGTATCCAGCGGTGGTAACCGGCAGGGTTGTGGTTACAATTGGTGGGGTGCGGGATATGTGGGGCCAGATTTACAGGGCCAGTCGGCCCCATAACAGCACAGCACGTAACGCGGAGCCGTTTTTTTCAGCACGGGTTTTCACAAAAGTTACCCCTGCAACTTCCCGTATGTTTAATAAGTGGGGCAATCAAATCATGTACATTGCACCTGCCAAATCAACTCAAAATTGAGCGTCACCTCTGTATAACAACCCCCAAGACCTTGCGGTGTACTACATAAGCATAAATATCATCTAGATCTGTGGCTTACGTTAATCTCAAGCTATTACAGTACTGAAGCTATTACCCCAACTTTTAAGACATGCAGATGCTAGGCGGGGCCAATATTATATAACACGCTATTAAAGGTTCTCTAGCAGGTGAAACCGGCTCAAAGGTAATATTAGGATTCTTCGCTGTGCGACTGAGATATGCAGAAATTATTATCAATTTTATTCAGCTAAATGTGTTCTACAAAGCTTGCTAGGATCTAGTTGGGTACTGAAAATGTAGGTACTTCCATATGCACATGGTGTGGAATTGGAGGTAACATGAGGTTCTAGGCAGAAGCGTTTTTTTTTTTTTTTTTGCAGCCAAAAGTTTGGGCTGCAGTAATAATGGCCACAAATTCACTTCCCCTTTGAATCACAATCAGAATCAGAAGGAGCTCACAGTAATTTTTAGATGGTAGGCTTGTCGACCCCAAAAAGGGGAGTATCCAACAGTGGCACATGATACTGTGAGGCGTGCCGTAGAGTCCATAAAGTGCAATTCCTTTGAACTGTCAGCATTCATTTCGTAGCTGCTGTGTTCAATTCTGATCGCCTTTGTTTCACAGCATCACTTCTTATGTCCCTTTTCATCGTTCTCAATGTTACCCATATTATGAAAGGATTTCTACTAGGGTCGTAGTGCATGTTGCCTCCTTTTCGTGACCCTATTACATACATCATAGATTTAGCGCGGGATCATGAAATTTGAAATGACACTTGCACATCTTCCGCTTTTTTGATCCCCCATTGTCTCATTTGCGATTTGTAAGCTTACCGAAGTCTTGAACAAGGCTATGCCCTTTTTCATTCTACATTAGGTACCTGTTATGGATCTGTCGTCGCTTGGACCTTAATAATTACCTGTCAAGTCTAACGCGCTAGATTCACAGCTTTCGATCTTTCAATGTTGATAGAAAGTCGAGTTGAATTGGAATGATGGAGGAAACTCCGTACTACTACATGCGCGCTGATCATGTCGTTGCATCAGCTGTGGCCCTTTCTGTGGTGGATATATTCGTCGTAGGCTTGAGATTTTGGGCACGTAAAGCACAAAAGCAAAAGCTTGGTGCTGATGACTGGCTTATGGTCCCTGCTACAGTATTAAAGTCCTGGAGTAAGCTTGATTGTCCCGCACGCTAATCTGCCATGTATAGCTCGTAACTGTAGGGATAGGGATCTGCCAACTTTATGGTGTTTCGCGAAAGACACTAGGATATCGAACTACAATACCAGACGGATACAAAGGAGACCCTTTCAAGCTTTTCACACCGCAGCTGAGTCTTAAGTCGCAGGTAAGTAATATATATCCAGATATTTGAAGCTAGTTGGGATTAACAATGAAACAGCTTGAGTGGATTTTCTTCCTCCTGCTTCCATTAGCAACAGGATGTATGAAAATTAGCCTTTTGTTATTTTATAAGCGCGTTTTCGTAATACAGAAACAAAGCGGCATCAACAAATTCCTTAAGGCATTCATTGTACTCACTGTTGTGTGGATCACGGCTTTCCTTTTCACGATATTTTTTCAATGTGGTCGGAACCTTTGGGCTATCTGGGGTTCTCAAGTGGAGGTCCAGGCATATTGCTTTAGCAACACGAAGCTTATCCTTTCTCTGTGCATCACTGACTTTATTGCGGATGTTTTTATCATATCTATCCCAATTCCACTGGCAGGTATATCCGCTAATATACCTGCCTCGGGACTAATATGGATATAGGTCCTGCGGTTACAACTATCCCCCAGCAAGAAGCTGGGAGTCTGCCTAGTATTCCTCCTCGGAGCTGGGTAAGTTCATTCCGATCATGAACCAACACTAAGCTAATGTGCTCAAGTACTTTAGTCGCTTCGATCATACGGTTCGTACTAATGGCAGGACGCTATCTAGGAACTGCTAATTTCATGAATGATAGCGTTCGTAAGTCATGAAGGCCCTCCATTTGGGAGTGGGTAGTAACTTACTTGCTCCAGTTGGAACAACAGCATGTCTCTATTGGGGAATGATTGAAAGCGGTGTTGGAGTTTTAGCCGCTTGCTTGCCAGTTATCAATTTTCTCCTCAAGAAAAGGATTTGGGAGCCGGCCCTTCGATCTACGAGAAGCATATTCAGCTCCCAATCTACCCAGTCGACTAGCGCGTCATGGGTTGACGAGACCCACCAAGACTTTATCCGTGTCCAGCAGACAATCTACGTTACCTACGATCGACTTCCTGACAGCTCTAACCGCTCAACGTCAGCGAACTATTTTCCGTCTACATCTGTCACACGGCCTAAGCTGCCAAGAGCTGTTGGAATATTTAAGGCGATTAATAGTAGTAATAGGATAGGTGTAAGGGAAATTATTGGGTATAATGTATTATGTGGAGATGCACGAGTTGGGTACCTGCATTAATATTGGAGATATTTCGGTGCTTAGGTTATAAAATATATATTTTAGAACGTTTATAAATAGGTTTAAATCTCGTATTTCGAAAGAAAGGAAGAGATTATGGCTTTTAAGATTATTAAAAAATTATTATTAAATTAAATATTCTAAGTTTTTGTCAAGCTTTTATTATAAATAATTTTTTAATCTTTTTAAAATTGTGACGAACCTACACTCAGGTCCGTTAGAGTGTAGTGTCGAAGGGTCTTGATTTTCAGGTAAATAGTAACGATACGAGTCAAGTGTCAAAATAAACGTTGAAGTGTTCGTCAGGAAGGCTTGGAGTCCTTCCCCTTATATGGGTTAGATATAAGACTTAGATTAATAGCTAAGGAAACCTGAATGAATGACTAGATACATGATGGTTTAAATAAACCCGTAGGCTCCCTTATTTCGTGTGTGTTCTATATGGCTTCGTAGATCTGGTTGATCTGGTTGATCTGCCAGATCCAACAGATCCATCGATGTTGACGATGCCTTCCGATGTTTACCCGATTGTTTATGTGTTTGAAACCCCGCTTTCAGGCATCCTAGACGAGTGCCTTCTTACATTTGATGTTGGTTCGTAACATCTCGCACTTCAAAAAAAAGAAAAGACTATGGCCCTTAACACTATTAGAAAATTATTATTAAATTAAATATTCCAAGCCCTTGCCAAGCCCTTGTCACAACATCGAACGAATAGCTCGTAGGAAAATCATATGAAATGCAAGACAAAGGTTCCAGTACTGTTCCTAATGGCTTACGAGAAAGATAGATATACTATTATGGCTCCAAGTCAAAGAGATGGTGCATTAAAGAGATTCTCAGTTTGAAATAGGGGTTTTAATATGTACTGAAGACCCCGAAAGTTACAGTGAGGTTATTGGTTTCGTTGGAGCTTGGATTCCAGAACATGTACAGAGCTAGCCTTTGCAGAGTTCTGATCTGGAGGCTGGATTTGAGGTTGAGGTGAGGACTGAGAAAGCGAAAAGACCCATCCTATTGAAAGACATAGGACCCTTTGCCGAGTCAACTATCAATCAGCTAGGCGTTGGATATGCTATAACTCCGGAGCGTGTGCCAATGACGTTACCATGGAGAATCGAAGGAGTTAATGTACTCGAGAACCAGACTATCTTCGCAGATGATAGTAATAATGAGCAGGTGAACATACATATAAGGAAGTACGTGGCCTTTGCCTCACTCATTCATCTTCACTAACACGCCCTTAGATCGAGTATAGGGTGGGGTCACCAGCTGTGGAGAGTTCAGGGCTTAGGTACCTAGGTAGATACAGGAAAGGAAATCGTACCCTCATTCGCGAAGAAATATCGCATAATCAGGATGCAAATATCTAGATTTAAATCCACACTGCTGTGACCGGGACTAGTTCGAAAGGTTCGAGGTAGCTCGACTGCTCGATCCCGAATGTGGAATCGTAACCCCAAAGCATGCTCCTTGTATATTGTAAGCTCTTATTTCCATAGGCTATTGCCATGCGTCAAAGTATCGGCTCTATTTATCTCTTTATGTTAGATGAAAGCACAAACGGAGCATAGGAAACGACGTGAATGGAAATATGGTTATCATTGGTTTCGTCCTGGGTCTTCCTAGCCATTATGACTATTAGATATGTACATGGCTCATTTCTCGAGCACCTATTTTCTCTCAACAGCGGTAGGCTCCCACATTGTAATCTTTGACTTGGATCTATAGATATATTAGTAAATGTCCGGAGGCCGTACCGTAGGCAGTCGGAGGCAGTAAACGTACGTGCTGTATGGTTTGTAGGCCCCCCAGGTGGCAGTATAGTTAGGGATAGTCTTCGCGTCGGTATCTTCCCATACTCGCCTCTGGTATCTGAGTGAAGCGTCTTGTGAAGGGGGTTTGTCGACGGTGTAAGACATCCAGGCGTGCCAACCGGGCTCAATCTGACTTCTGAAGGCGAGTATTAGTAAATGATATCGAAACCCAATCCTTAGGAAATGCGTACGCGTCGAAGTCGGGGTTCTTATAGTCGATCCATCTTGTTCGAACTGGGGAACTCATTAGCCTTCCAGGTAGTCTTGTCGATCGATACGCAGTTAAGGCAACGTAGGCAACGTACGAGGTAATTCTTCGTCGTTCTGGAAATATTTGTTGCCGAAACGGTCGACACCAACTAAGGTACCAGCTTTCGTGTCGCCTGCATCCCATTAGAATCTACTGTATGTTAATAAACTCCGACGAAGGCGCACCGATGTACTAATACCAGGGAAAGTCGTCGTTAGTTATGGATTAATTAATAGCTGGGTAATGTCGAGGGTTAACGCACTTGAAGTTGGTGGAAATAATCCTGCGACAATAAAAAGTTAGCATCAATTAATAAAAAAGCGAGGACTAAATAGTAAATACTGACCTTAATTCCCACTCGCCATAAGTTGGCGAGGGTTCTTGTGATGGTCGACATGGTGGATGAACTTTCGGTGTTTGGTATCGTAAACGTAAGGGACGGGAATTCGAGGTCATCGCATTGAAGGGCGCACTCAATTGGGCGCTGAGGTCCCGTCCCGCCTTGGCCGATCGGATATATATCGGACCGACGTGCAATGACAAGGTTCTACCACCTGGGCAATTTCAGGTACCGTACCTTCTCTGCGCACTTCCACTTGGCGCGCGGCATTAACCTGACGACGTCATTTTCAGAAAAGTCTATCGATAAGAAAGTCAAGCTATCCCGGACTATCTGCACTATCAACGCTATCAGGAGCTCAAAAATTCAATTGACTCTTTAATTTATTATTAGATACGTACCTCCTATTATAATTTCCTCTACAAGCTAACTTTCCTTTGTTTCTTAAGAGGTAGCCTTCATAATTGCCATGATAGCTCGGAGCGCATCACGATACTGCTTAAAGCTGCGACCTACCTTGGCTCGTCCAGTGAGCCAATACAGCCGACAATGGTGTCGTCGATATTCCATACCTTCGGGTCCTCTGCCGACTGCTAGCTCCTCTAGCTCTACCGGAATGCTGGCGCCCTTCGTAAATGAGTTGGATAAAATTGCACCATCATTCCACATCAACGGGTCGCAAATACGAATCCTGAAAACACCTACTGATTTCTACGAGGCGCTCAAGGTCGGTGAAAGGGCCCTTAGCAATGGGAGTGAACGAGACTATGTTGACACTGCTAGACCAGGATACGTAACGCTAAGAAACGCATATTCTTGTCTACTCTTTACATTGGGAAGTCAGAGAAGGAACTGGTATGTTATGTGTTCAGACGAATCTATAAGCGTTATTTATTAACGTTAACCTGAGCCAAGATCGCAACGCTCCAAGATGCACTTCGCGCGAATCCCGAGTTGAAGCTAAGCATCTTGACGGACGCCCTCCGTGGAACTCGAGAAACACCTGACCCGTCTTGTGCATCTCTCCTCGCCCCTCTTATTACGGAGTTTGGCTCGGATCGAGTTGAGATTCGCATGTACCATACACCAAACCTTACCGGCTTACGAAAGAAGTATATACCCAAACGCATCAACGAAGGATGGGGCCTACAGCATATGAAGCTTTATGGGATTGACGATGAAATAATTCTCTCAGGGTATATACGCGTGCGCTGTATTCAGGAGACATTTCGCTGATTTTATCTACCTAGTGCGAACTTATCGAACAATTACTTTACCAATCGTCAAGATCGATATCACCTCTTTTCTTCGAGTGAAGTGACCAATTATTTCTGGAGACTCTACCAGGGCGTCACGTCACTTAGCTTTTTGGTTGAGCCCAGAAATGATGTCCCTGCAGGTTACAAACTACGCTGGCCCTCAACAAATGCTGCTCCGTCCCCTCTAGAACACCCTGCCGAGTTTGTTTCCCAGGCTACACCACTTATTAGTAGGTTAATATCCAGAGACGAAACTCTCAACAACCCCAAGTTGCAAGATCAGGGCTCGCCTGTCTCGCGGAACACGAAGGTTTATATGCTTGGCCAGCTGTCCCAACTTATGAAACCGGATTCGTCCACCGAGCTCCCAGCGATAACGCACATCCTAAAGACACTCGCGGCACCAGAGTATGCCGGCTCAGCGTGGACTTTTACGGCGGGGTATTTTAATCCAGCTCCATCGCTTACGAATTTGCTCCTCTCGACAGCTTCGCAAAACAACGTGGTGATCACGGCGTCTCCGTTTGCAAATGGGTTTTATAAGTCGACGGGCGTATCCGGGCTTTTACCTGATGCATACACGCTATTAGCTCGGAGGTTTCTTCGCGCAATCAAGGAGAAAAAGCGAGATTCTACAGTAGTTCTCAAAGAGTGGAGAAAAGGCACTGTTAATGAACCAGGTGGATGGACTTATCACGCTAAGGGGCTATGGGTAACTCTTCCAAACGAACAACATCCGGCGATTAGCATCATCGGAAGCTCCAATTATACGAAACGAAGCTATTCTCACGATCTCGAAGCTGGCGCTTTAATTGTAACTGAGGATAATGATTTAAAGAAAAGATTAGGCGACGAGCAGAAGTGGCTACAGGAATATGCAAGCCCTGTAACTTTGGATGACTTGGCTAAGACAGAAAGGCGCGTTGGGTTAAAAGTGAGAATAGCGATGTGGATCGTCAGTGTTGTCGGAGGCGCTCTCTAATGATCCAGCTCATATTGATGATAAGATATTCAATTACCATGGGAACGTCAACCAAATTATGCGACGAACCCAGGAATTGAAAAACCTGTCATTATACTTGAATTTCTTGATGCATACCAAACGTTTCGCTGCTAAGCGACGAAGCAAGAGAGAGGGAGAAAGACGATCATCTAAACGCAAGAAGAAGTGTCGGAGCCAAGCTGCGTTTACTCAAAATGTATAGGCGGAGCGACATCCTCCGCATTTGATCTCACCACCTACCTACAATGATACCCGCTATAGATGATTAAATACATTTTGATCCATGTGCATAGATCTATGGGCTACCTGTTTGACCGGATTCTATTAGTGCAGCAGTAATCAGGCGTCGTCCATCCACTCCCACAGGAGATGTGACATGGTTCGATGTGGGAATAGAGCGCCAATCCTATTACTTGGTGGATTGAACCTACCAGCTTATAAGAAGAGCTTCGTTCGCACATACGAGCACTACAATTAGCTCAACGTCAACCTTATCCACAATTCGTGTAGAATAACTTTGCCCAGCATGAAATATCCAGCTTTACTGGCAAGCTTCGCTTCCGCGGCTTCGGCAACCATTTTCTACGCCGGCGTCGCGGAGTCGGGTGGTGAATTTGGTGTCTGGAGTGCCGACGCCAAAAAGGGTACCGGTTTACCAGGAGCATTCGGTGTCGACTACAAGTTCATTGATAAGGCCGGCGTTGATGTTCATGTGGACCAGAATCACCTCAATCTCTTCCGTATAGCCTTCCTCCTCGAGCGAATGGCTCCTGTTGCAACCGGCCTTGGGAAAACTTTTAATGAGAGCCATTTCACATACTTCAAAGAGGCGGTCGACTACGTAACAGTTACCAAAGGTGCATATGCGATCTTGGATCCGCACAATTATATGCGCTATAACGACCCGAGCTCCCAGCCGTACAGCGGCAGCGTGATTGGTAACACGTCGGATCCAACCGCTGCTACGACGGAGCAATTCGGAGAATTCTGGGGCGAGTTAGCGAGTCGCTTTGCGGAGAACGAGAAGGTCATCTTCGGGCTAATGAACGAACCGCACGACATGGAGACTAGTCTCGTGCTCAAGAATAACCAGGCTGCTATATACGCCATTCGTGCAGCCGGCGCTAAGAACTTGATTATCCTACCGGGTAACAGCTGGACAGGAGGCCACGCCTGGACTCAAGGGCCGGATCCAAACAGCGCCATCATTCATCAATTTACCGATCCGATTAACAACACTGCGATTGATATCCACGAGTACCTTGACGTCGACTATAGCGGCGGCCACAGCGAATGCGTCAGTGATCCTGCCACTAATTTGGCAGATGTCACAAAATGGCTCAAGGTTCGTAAATTCCCCTGTTGAGCTTGTCCTGAACTACTCGGCGTTGAGATCAAGTGGGGAATTCATGCATAATTCATGAGTAGCGAATGGCTGGCTAACTCTTGTAATAGGAACATGGTCTTAAGGCTTTCATCACCGAATTTGGCGGTCATAACAACACAGGATGCGCCGACATGTTGACTGATTTCGTCAACTACTTGGCCGACAACGGAGAGTACATCGGTTGGACTGCCTGGGCAGCAGGACCATTGTGGGGATCTGCCAGTCCCTGCTGTACGGACTCTCGGAACTACGGTAGTTTTGAACCTGGTAGCAAGGCTGCTGATGGTGGCCCAAGTCTGTACGATACTATCTGGCTTAAAGTGCTCCAGCCGCTTGTGCCGAGTAAGCTTCAGTGGACAGGCAAGGCAAGCGTCGAAGGGGGAGAGTTGACTGAGTTCTCGGCTTAGGCCTAAGAGCCGACCTTACGGGGTTCTGCAGACGCGATGCTACTTGTCACGACTTCGCCGAGGTGGGAGTTCAATTGTATATTACATTGACCGCTCTTCGAGACGTTAACTATTTCCGAATTCTAGATAGTATTCAAAGCCTGTTCTCAAGCCCACTCTAGCAATACCCTTGTGTTGAAATGATTATGCTCCAAGTACCATGATAGCCACCATGATACTCGAAATGATCACCAAGCACTTTTTGCTCCAAGTCCGCTGTGGAAACGAATATGCCTCCTTCATACTTCCGTGGGGAGGCCATAAAATGCGACTGTAGGATCACGGATGGTCGTTGCACCGAGAAGCCTTGCAGAGATGAGCACATGCTGTACCACTTGGAGAGTCTTTCTAATTTGCGCGGAACGTTGCTCATCCGCGCATCTACTAATACCGATCCACCGGATACTCCAGCTCCACCACGGCAGGGTCCGCCGTTGTGTTGCTTCCCCGCCCCGGATTGGGAATGTTCCGTTTCGAGCAGCCGTTTTCTGATTGGCTGTTGGCCCGAAGATCAATCTGTTTTGATCCCCAAAAGGGTACCCGTTCGGAGTGAAACATGGGGCTTGCAGCAGAGTCGGCCGTCTCTGAATAAGCTCATAATGACATGCTTGGCGTGGCTTCTGTAGAGGTTGACTTCGCCGACTCGAGATTTTCAGGCCGGTTTAAAGCAACATGACATGTGCTTCACACGGGTGTAGGGACACGCACCTTGTGTCTTAACACCGGCCATTCGTTGAATAATGACTTCCTTTGTTTTCTTTGACCTAATGTTGATCCCCACCCTAGGGCAGATCATCGGTCCGTCCCGAGCCTTCCCATTGATACAATCTCCGAGGGACGCAATATTGAACATCAATTGAGAAACAACGCAGGAAACTTCGTATATTATCCTCATCCCATTTACTTGGCCTACTTCTGTTAAAGTCTCCTTTATAGTGGTTGCTTATGTTAGGTAAGTCCGCGCGAAATTGGCCTTAAAGAGAGTTGGTCTATTCAAAAGAACATTTGAAGTATATCTCTGTTAGCTCATGTAAAGTGGCTGGCCCTTCTTGGATTTTGGACTCTCTACCGAATAAAATGTCATATACTTTAGTATTCCACATCTTCATCTTATCCATCATTCAAACAGCCTCCTCTTCCCAACGTGAGCTTCCGCTATCGCAGGATCTATGTGTATCCCAAGACTTCCCAAACCAACATGCTCAGCAATACCCAACACTTGTTAGCGGGAATTTGAACGGAACTATCTTAATAGTACCGATACCTCTTGATACTGCGCGGCAGATCATTCCTAAGGAGTATGGAATTATCGAGAACGCGTATAGAACGTTGCTACCTTCGTTCCCTGATGGAATGTACCCAATGATGGCACAGATCGTACACGATCACGATCTCCAACTGCCCGCGTACAACGCTTCCTTACCGGACTTCTCGGTAAGCTAGCTGCCTTTTGAACACCTAGGTACCTACCTGCCGAATGACAATTTAGCTGACACGTGTTACACCTGGTACTTAGCGTGCTTCTCTTGAGTTTCCGTTCTTGGACATATTTGGCGGCGGTCGCACCCCCTTTCGTTGGGCAGCGACTTTTATGATCACGGCGGAAAACGAGATGGCCATCGAGGGAGCAGAGAGCTATGGCGCAGAAGTCTACCCGTCGGCGTTTGACCCGCCTTGCGACGCTTACGGAACGTTACCCAGCGGCTCCACCACGTACGCGCGTAGCTGGAGTAACAGCAACGAGGCGCAGGGCGGTATCAGATTCATGACCATCGAGGCGGTACCGTCCCCTGGGAACGTGCCGTACCCCATGGACTTCATCGCGAACGTGACTAACCAGCCCGTCTTTGCGAACACCCGAGTCTGCGACTACTACACGAGATTGTTCAACACGACGCTGTCGAGTTCCGCGGAGCCAGTCGTCGGGAGCGTCAGCGCGAACCTGGAACCTTTTAACAAACCCCGGACTTGGAGCGGCGTGTACGGCTGGCGACTGGCTACGCCATTTCTAGAGCCCCCTGTGCTTACCGAGTGCAAGCAAACGCCGTAATTCGTGGCACAAGGCCTGTCACTTGTTCCTACATCCGCCTGTCTTAAGACCCTGGGTGGTACGGGCCAGATGGCAGAGACACGCGCTCGCAATTAACTGCCTAGGTTAACAGTGTCTGTTATTTAGCTGTGATCAGGGCCAGCAGTGAGATTGGCACGTCCAGAGTAGTCTGACGGACCACTTGGTTCCCCGACTGAAAGTTTGGAAGTTTTTACCTATCATTTCATGAAGGCAGCAGTAAAGAAATACTTGCGGCTTTAATACTACAACACATGGGACTGATTTATTAGGAATACTAATGGAGGCAGCTGCGGTGCCTGTTGTGGAGTTGCGCTCAGTTATGGGTGGTAATGAAATTGTTGGAAATAGTCCCAGTCGGTTTTTCGGCGTCTTGGTAACATCGATTCGATTTAGAGATGACGCTTATGCGTGCAAACCCGTCAGCCTCATTGTGAATTGAATATGAGCTTCTTATCCTAGATGCCAAAAATGCCATAGGTACCTAAATATATGTGTATATAGAAGCAAGGCTCATGATATGATTACGATTGTCAGAATATCGGCAAATAGTAGGTGGTATACACCGTCAAGATATGCTCTCACTAGATCTAAGTTCCTGGAGCCTAGGCACATCCAGAATTATATGATATTACATGTCACAAGGTAGAGAAAAAGGTAAGGAAACCTAACCTGAGATAGCTCTGCGAATTGAAAGCAACTACTCAATACCTACAAACGTATCCCGAAAGAAATATAAGACAAATAGACGCAAGTAGTAATCTATTAGCGCTTGCCCCTCGAAGCGTACCCTTTCAATAAACCTATCCCATTAAGTTTATCTCCCAATACGTCCTAGTGTACCATACGCCTGGCATACGACAAAGCTGATAAAATGACTCTTGTAATAAAAAGATGTGATAATATTGCAACTAGTTACTACCTAGTAAAACCCCTACCTTCGAGATGCTAGGCTGAGCAGAAGCTAGAATATTTCCCGTCCAAAGTTCCCAGTAACTACTTCCAGAATTCGTATGAAGTAGAGTTCCTATGCTTTACGATGCTGTCGTGCTGTCGTTGATAGTGAACAGGAGGATGAAGCCTCCTGGGGGTTGATAACCTCTACTCAAGACCTATCAAAAATCCTGATGCCGAGGCAATGAATAGCTAGGAAAATAACTAGCCGTCGGAGAGGCGGTGGTAAGCAAGGTAGAAAGTCGTAGATGTCTAAAGATGGATGTATGTGTCTCTGATCGAGAAGAAAAGTAAGACTTATATAGCCTAGGCTGATTATAACATACGAGATTATATTGATCATGACACTGGGTAATACCCTAAACTTATTCAATAGATAATTACTGTTGCACGAAAAAAGGAAGAGAAAAATGGTGAAAGATCCCTCATCTAGCTATCCTGCATTAGGTACACGATGGTGACCCACCGAGGGATCCATGGGACTGTACCGTGACAGGTACGACACGTTGCTGAGCTTCTATACACTAAACTACGATACTGTAGGGCTCGAGAGATATGTATATAAGGTAGCAGACGGACGACGGAACTGACCAGAAAAAAGTAGGCCATGCCCATTCCTCCAGAGTCAACTCAGAAACAATCCTACCTATATAGGCAGTTACTTGTTAAGCCGTCTGTACGAAGCTACTCGTCCACTGCATTACTTACTTATCAAGATGCATTTATCCAATTTTGTTGTTGCTGCCACCATGGCTGCCGGCTCAGTGTCTGCAGTGACAATTCGTAACTTCAGGACCGCAACATGCAAAGGAAACTACTTCCAGTGCACTGGAATCAAGTCTTGGACGTGCTGTGTGGGCAGCGCCAAGGGAGGTACGGTTACCTCTTCACTATTCTTGGGACTTCCCATCGCCTTCTACGGAGCTATTTGCAAAGCCAAGGGTGGAAGCAACTGCGGTGAAGTCAAAAATGCCGGTTCGGACTTACATCTGTGTCTCGGAGGAGCAAACTGCAAGGGATCCATGTGGTTGAACTGCAAACGCTGCAGAAAGCGTGACGAGGAGTTTGCAAATGCGACCAGCGTTGCGGAAAGCGGCATCCCTCAGGAGTTGATTGGAGCTAGCTCTCGCTCATCTGCCCGGGCCGACGTCATTGCTTTTGAGAACCACCAGTTCAAGTGCGACGATTCAGTCCCGACCGAGGCCAAGGAGAAGCTTTTCAGCTTGCTTGAAGCCGATGCCGGATACGACGACATCCTTGAGGAGCTCAAGCAATATGAACTCAAGGGCAAGGACCGCAGGGGTGACGAGGATTGGGAGGCTGTTATGTAAACGGACTGGATGATTTGAGGATTAAAATTGATATGGTGGTATCTCGCTTATTGAAGCGAATCGTAGTAGAAATCTGAATTGTTTGTTTGGATATATTAATACGACGCTATTAAACTAAGGGGGTTAAGGTTTCCGGGCATGTGGTACAGTATGCCGCTCAAAATATAAATAGGATTGAACACCGCGGCCTATTAAAATACAGAACTTCTGCCTACAACCTACATACCTACTTCCAAATCCAAATCCAAATCCAAAAAAAGAAAAGAATAGAAAAGAAAAGAAAATGTCTTCCCAAAGCCCGATCAAATCCGCACTACCAGACATAATTTGCCTCGACGAGCACAAATTCCGCATCCACTATGACGTCCCGCAAGCAATCACCGACCGTTTGTACGAATTGTTCAACCGAGACGACGAAGTCAAATACGAAGATATCCCTGACGATTTGAAGGAATATGAGGTCCGCGATCCGTCTGAAGAAGAAATGCCAGAAGGTGGTGCATCGGGTGCAAGGTAACAGTTGCAACTATCAACCCTCCCGAATTTCGCGTGGATTCTGACATGCAGTATTAGAACCTCTTAAAGTCTTCCGATATACCTTGAAGGAATGCAAGGTGCCGGGTGCCGAGCTCAGCTTTCGGCTTTTGGAGTGAAGGATGCAAGGGCGAATTGATGTCTCATTACGCAGTAGTCTTCATTAATCGATCGCGAATAGTTACTTTTATATCTCTATTTTACTGAGAGAGGCACTAAATTATTTCTAAGTAATACATTCGCATTGATTACCTGATTTCCTTAGGCTTGGGAGGTGACCACAGGTCCATTAAGTGAACAAAAAGGTTCTTCTCAAGCACGGGCGCCTGCAATCGGCCCCTAAGATATGTTCCAAACAGAATTTTCGACTTTCCTTCCTTTCTACCCTCGCGGAGCTTGTCAAATGTAACCATACCTAAGACACGCGCGATAAGGTACGTAATAATTATTTAACTCCCATCAGAGTCGGGTAGGGAGATCGAGAACACTACGTAGGTATATTTCAGGTTAATCCAATAAGAACTCTGGACATTATAAAAGGGGTAATAGTGAGTCCGTCTGCATATTACGGTATTACGGTGTTGCCCTTTCATCACGATCCCGAAGTTTTACGGCACGAGATTTTAGGTGGAACCAGCCAAATCCAAGAAAAAAATGAAGCAGAATTGCCTGCCATTTTACCTTGGAAAATGTCTTACCTATATTGATATGGCAGGCCGGTTTCGAAATCGCTGAACTGTACCTACTTCACTTGGTGGTGTACAGGTGTGTGAATTCAAATGCTTGAGCGAATTGCACAATCACTTAAATTCCAACTAAAGTCTCATTTCATCAATCTCAGATAATTTATCCTATTTATGTGTACATACCTACCTCCCTTATTTTATAATTTTGTTATCCTTTCTTGTAGTCCCAAGGCTGTATACACTAGGTAGCCGTAAAACATGAATTCGGGCGATACCTCATTTTCCTTCTGCCTGTAATCTTAACCCAATGGATCTTTTGTCAAATCATCGTAGCTGTTCTTTGCTTGAGTTCAAATTTCAAATCGAATGACCAGAGGTCCCTGTTGTGCTACTGGGGACGATCCTCAACCCAATTTGTCTCTTTTACATTCCAAGTGTATACTGAGCACCTCACCTACCCCGTCACGTAATGTGCTATGACGGGTATTAAAATTGGTTTGTATACCTTATTCTTGCGTATGTGGCTTATACTGAGACTTAAATTGACTCTCAGCCTGCGTTTAAGCCGATACTTCAGCCAGAGACTACCAGCATCTGATCGAAGATTCACTCACTCACCCTTACTATATATACTTTACATGGCCCAGCCAGCGATGAGAAAGGTTTATATTTCATACCGGAGTCCTATACTGGTTTCCTCTATGCTGGTATCATAGATCTTTAGGGCTGCTATTTGCCCGACTGGGGTCATCCTCGGCAAGCACTCGATCACCAAGGGGAAGCAATACCTAGTAAACACCACCAGCCTATACAGGTCTCAACGTCTCGCTTACGCTAATAGCCATGATATTACTCTTAATCACTCTTCTTATTGTCGCGGTTGTACCGCCCGTCCTCTCGGACTTCACTGTCTATATCGGAAAGAGCAACGATATAACAGATGTGGGCGTCACTTACAGCTCGACGGAAATGCAAGTCCACGACCACGCGCCACTCAGCTGCTATGATATGGGACATGTAGTTCCCATCTCGGCCAGTACTAACAATGACGCTAGTAAGAGCCGCTGGGCTTGCGATGGCTGTAATGCAAAGGCACCGAGAGACTGGGTCATCGACCGCTTCGAGATGTATAATAAGGACGATGCTGTTGGTCACTCCACGGACCATCCCGTTCCTCTATTTAACAGATCTACAGGTGCAGTCAGTACGTAGGACCCTGCCATTTTCGTTTCTTGTGCCGCAGTAATTAAACTGACTACCTCTCTGCAGCTTTATACGGGACGGGCAACAACAACTACGATATGAGAGATATCAATAATACATTTCTCGGTACCTGTAGTCGCCCGACGCACCCGCAGGAGATGGACTGCTGGCAGATCATCTCCGCTACATTTCTTACACATGTTTTCACCTGTAAGTGCACTTATTACCTATCAATTAGCCGCAGCGCGTGGGCGGAGTGCTAAGATTCAACCAGGTACTAGTGATCTTGTTCCCAATGACGCATTATGGATATCAGACGAATGAAGATGGATCCGAATAAGCTACGAATTAGTAGAGAATAAGTGCCTAACCCATGGACGAATTATTATGATAACGGCGCGTTTTCTATTTGCTTCAAGACGTTGTTATGGGATGGCGATCCCTGCCTTAGGTGTTGGAAGCGGAACTTTGTCTTCAATAAATATTATAGTTTGAAATTGACGAACCTATATTTTATCTAGTTCTTATAGGATCATGTTGACCAAACCCTCTGAGTGAAGCTCAGAACCGCGTATCTTAGGTACCTGGTACAGTTGCCTTTTCTAGGATTTAGCGTAATATGATTGGCAAGTCTTTACGAGGATACTTATGAATGTGCCACCCACTCATGAGCCACGTGGCTCCCTTGCTCTCTCTCGAGCATGAGTGAATGTCGTTTGTAAAGAAAAAAATAAATAAAAAAAATAAGCATCTTTTTCTTTTTTATATACCTGACAGTACACTCATCCCACAATACCCAAGCCCAATCCCGTGCATGGTACACCTACCCTAACACCTGAAGGGGCGACCAATCGTAACATGAATCTAACCTTCGATAAGGACCAAGACGAAACTCTGCATCCTATTGATTACCATGTTGATGAGTTGGGCAATGGCGTCCGCTCTGATTCTCCAAATCCTCCCCTTCTACGGTATCGTTGGAACGGGCTCGAGCATTTGACCGACGTTTAGATTAGGTACTTGACCTAACCAGGTATTTAACCTAGATGCGCTGGACCTTTGATAACTTGTGGATATGTGTACGAGCCATTACTTAGACCGTCGCTCGGTGCATAGAAACGTACTATAAAGCGGTTAGCACCCAGTGCAAGCCTTGCTAATTATCTCGTAAGGGCTCGCGGCTTACGAATCATATTGAAAGAACCTGGAGTGTTTGGCGACGGGAGCCAGCTACCATCTATTAGCAAATTATGTTCATATCCAATATCGACCAGTTGTTATACGGGGTTGACTTACTTCGATGTCCAATTTGCAGGTGGTTCAGACGCCTGTACGAGGATATCGAAGGGTACATCAGCGCTCGTGCCGTACACAGGAGTCCCGTCGGAGAAAGTAAGGTTACTACGGTCGCCTAGGGAGTAACGGTTGATCGAGTTCGAGACCAGTTCTTTCTGCAAATTATACAGCGTGACGCTCCAGAAGCCAACGTCAGTTACCGGCGGTTTTTTTGCGAATCGCAGTGTATAGGACTCGTTAGTTCCAAGTGCGAACTCTCCGAGGTAGACCGGATAGAGAGCTTGGTCGTTTGTCAAGGCAAGGTATCCGAAGCGGGCAACGGCAACTCGCGCTTTATAATTGTCGCCGTACGTCCCGATGAGAGAGGGGCGAGGCATCACCCATCCGTTGCTCAGCTTCTTGACAAACTCCAGCGAACGCGTGTAATTGCCGATCGAACTGTTAGCTGCCTTATAAGCCTCCGCTAGGTTGACGCAACTAGGGCGTTGGTAAGACCCGTTCCTACCAATGCCCGCAAGTAAAAGTTCCGATGTAGTTTTCGTAGGCAGTAAAGGTTTGTCGTTGGTCAGAGGCACCGTCTCATGAAAGCGTGCGATAAGTCCAAGAAGATTCTCAACCTTCGAATGCGATATGTTCGCAAACAAACCGCTGTTTAACTCGGGGCCGATCGGCTTCCCACATCGTTCGATAGTATTCGTACTGAACCCTTGTTGGATTTTGTTCACTGCTTTTACGTCGCCGTCCTGGTCCTTTAGTACAATCCTGATAAGAAGGTATCCGAGCGTCCTGGGCGCATAGATTGTCCCTTGATATGTCGAGTTAGGTTCTGCCACTATTTCTCCAGCAGTGGTCGAAGAAACGGCAGGCGTAAGGAGGTATTTCCCTGCCTTGGTATGTGCAAGTGTACCAAGGTTAAGATAGTTGTCTCCCTCACTGAATACCGATTAGCCGTAACTATACGAAAATCCCGGATGTATTGGTTTTCACTCACGGGGTATAGAAGGAGACACCATAGTATCTGTTGGAATCTACCTCTGGTATCGTGATCGCTATATCTCTCCGCGATATATCGTAGCACTGATTCATGTACAGGGTGTCTACATTTGGGCTCACTATGGCCGTCTGTTGAGGCGTTGCCAACGCTGTATTCTTATATAATTGATTTATAGGGGGGCCGTTCGGAGGGCCTGCGCATGCTTGTACGTAAGAAGCTAAAGGCTCGCCGTACTGGACGTGTTAGCGCCTAGTTCGTTCAAAAAAGACAATTGGTGTTTCTTCTTACTGTGATTGCAAACTCCGTAGCCGACTGGGCGGAGCAGATGGAATCTCTGGCAAGCGCTCGAGCTGAAGTTCCACCAATCAGGACAACTGCTGAGAAGTTTATTGCTTTCATTTTGCGTGGATGTAGAAATAAGCGAACGTTGGCGACTTCAAATTCAAGAGCCACCACCACAGCTGGTTATTATAAGAACAGTGTAAGTCCTCATGGTTTCAAAAGTTTTTCATTGGGCTATATATAGGTAGGTAGGTAGATATGTAAAGTCTTCGCTGCGCCTTTGAGTCGAAAGCTGATCTGCAATGTTAGACCATCTTGTTGGCCACAGCCCCAGAAGCCTAAAATATGACATATTCTTCATACAGGGTTTGGGCCACTTATAAAGGCTATGAGAGGAGGCTAGTTTCTTGCTGTTGGAATATCGTTACTCATCTTTTGTCGTCGTTCCCAGCTTTATCCGTACAATATCCACGATTTTATTTGGGAGTTTTAGATGTTGGTCAGCCTTCGCGACGCAGAAGGAATGATCTACAATGATGCTTGGCGCACCGAGGTAATTGATCCATTTTAAGAACTGCGGCGCAGTGAACCGAGGTACCTAGATTGGCCTGGTTCGCACAAAAATTGGGCGACGCGACGCGTCCTTAACAGCCCTAACTCGTACAGCTTCGTCAGGGATTTAGTGTAGCTCGGAGCTAAAGTAGCTCCGAGAGGTAGCTCCGGTTACTCCGAAGGATAGAGCTGGAGAGTTGGCGCCAGCTACGCTGACGAAGTAGCAGTATATAGTGGCGCGAAGCGCCCTCGTAGGTACCTAAAGTAAATGCGTTTCAGAAAGTTGGCTCCTCGTTGGTGAGGATATGTCTATTCGCCCGGAATGGAAGGATGTACTATTTAATGCTTCATGTCTTCGTCCACCAATTCTCCAGGTAAGCGAGCCAATGCAACACCAAAGACTAAGAAATACAACTATTTAGGTACCTACCTACCGTAAGATATACACACTTAATAGGTATATCAAGAGTTATTCTGAGCGATGTTGGTTATTCACTGTGATCGTTCCATTTAGCACATTGCCTTGTCCTGCCAGACTGGCATCATAACTGAACTGAGCTTTTGATAGTTTAGTCCCAATATATGTGCCTAGAGCTTCTGAGATGACGTTAATAATTGTCCCAAGGCCCTTAAAAAGTCTTGAACGTTCTCACGCTGGCTAAACGTTCGACACAGGTTCGCCTGAGGGCAGCGGGTTCGCTAAATCAGATACCTATGAGCTTGACCTGTAACTGGCCTGAACTAGATATCTATCTTAGGTTAGGTAGGTCCCTAAGATACCTTTCTTAGTACGCGCGCGTAGCGTGTAGCCGATGTCGAGATCTAAATGGAACTTAGAATGTTGTATTAGAAAGGAAAAAGAAGAGCGAGAACGACAAGCTACTAGGAAGACATAGAGCCCGTTTGTTACCCATGCGCATGAGGTTGACACTTGGAAAGACGATGGAATGCAATATGAAAAAAAAAAAAAAAAAAAAACCTCACGCGGGTACTTAAGAAAGGGGACGGGGACAAGCTTTTAATATCATTGTTAAGTGATTTATCTTGGAAAGAGCTCAAATTGCTATCTACTTACCTATCTATTATTGATGAAGCCATATTAAGGACACACGAATTGAAGGTAGATAATCGCTTAAGGAGGTTAACGTTATCGAACAGTCGTTCAGAAAGCACAGGGCGCACTCTCCATATGAACTACATATGAAAATGGCGTAGGCTCGGCCGGGCGTTTGGACCAGGATACTATGCGAATCACGGAAGCTCGCCCCGGGTTAGCTATTTGAGTTATGAGACCTAGGGTACGGATCCGTACGTCCTTAGCATTACGAGCTTTTATCCACGAAGTAGGTGGTGTAGGCTTCTGGAGAGGCGATGCAATAAGGCTCTGAGGGATACGTTCAAGGAGAGCTATTTACAAGCCTGACACTGAAAGACAGCCAGACTATTCGCTCACCACTTGGGTTAAATACCTCTATTAGAACAGTTTGATGAACTCGCCCGGCTCGATTCAACGGGGTATGTACCTGAGATCTTGAAGGTGCATCAGCCACCAATCACGTCGGGGTCAGACGAGACTTGGTCCGCGGGTTTGTAAACCCGATTTGGATTAACTAATGGGAATCATAATGCTGACGTGCGAGGTACATTGCGTGTCGTAACGATATTTACCTAGCTAATCTAAGGTAGGAATGTCAAGGATAAGGGGGATTCAGGGATGTTATCCCCTCATGCTAAAATAAGGACCACATATTGAGGCTCAAGTCTGATAAAGTTATTATCCAAGCTGCATTTAAAGAAACAATAGTAAACCAATTAAGAAAATCCTGTAAAACTATTGGTTGTTTTGATAGATATCAATTATTTGCAATAAACCCTGTTACAACTCTGTTTCAGGGGTAATTCCCCTCGCGCCATATCGCACGATCGATTTTCTGTAGATCCACTTCATTGGGAATCATTTTAACTACATAGATCTACGCAAGGTTAAAAAAGCGGCGATAAATCTGGAGTAAAATAAAAACAGTAACTGTTCACAATGTTACCAAACTACAATATTACGGCAGTCATCAACATCATACAAGATTTTACACTTAATTGGTGAGATATGTTATGTATAAGGGGACATACTCAGTCACCGCCGATTACTCCTAATGAGACGTCTAGGGGGTTATCTTAGTATTGTTTCGGATCCATCTGACGCTATGACCTAAGATAGGTAGGCATGTCTCCAAGATCGACTGATTATGAGCCGAGCGACGACGACTTCGTCGAAGCTGACCTGTAGGATCCGGGGGGGTTCTCATATCAATTTTCATTATTATCATTTTACTTAAATTGACATAGACCCAGTGAAATTGATAGAATGGTAGTATTTGCAAGAGTCAAGCTGAGCTTCACTTCTCATATTCCATTCTCGTACTTGTATTTATTTCACAAGTTTACATTCATTTTAACAATTTTATAATTATCACCTAAGTTACCTCTCCCATTCTCTTACATCATGCCCGCAATCAATACTGAGCTTATTACCCGAGAGCTGCCGCAGCTCATCACCCGGGAAATGAGTAACATGAGCATCATCATGAAGAGGGAGGTTGACCACAGAGCGATAGAAACATTTCTCGTGGGTACGTAGTTATTTGGCTTGTTGTATCTTATTTTGGGCTAACGTGCCATAACTTAGTATTCACCTGTATATTTGGAGTCGGCGGCTGGATCCTCTGGATGGTCAAGCAAAAGTAGTTCAGAAACACAAGCGACGAGATTCTACAAACTATCGACCCCTATTCATGCATGAGAATACGGCTCGTCAACCCCCCCGCCGCGCTGAGTGCAGGAAGATGATATACTATTGATACCCAAATACATAAGAACATCGAGGCTACAGGCGAGCAGATGTACCGGTATATATAAGTCTCATTATGAGGACTTTTTTGAGATATCCACAAATGGAGAAGGTGAATGTCATAGACGGATATAGACACTCGTCATTGCAGGGATAGGGGTGGTTTTGTCACAACTCAGCTCTCAACATAGGCATATAGGCCAGCAGTTTGGGGTGATCGCACGAAGTTGACTTCGAATGAAGAAAACTGAAAGTCGTGGCGCGATCCACAACCACCCATACGCATATCGCAGCTAACAATGAGTAAAGTTAGTGTGTTAAATACAATGAGCCAAAACCTCAATGCCAGACCGAATAAACATTGCTTGAGACTTGAATTTAATGTTTTTCATATTGCAACTAGCTGTGTTTCCCGTTTGCGTAGGCGCTTAGCTCGACAGAATCCTAGACTCTGACTGGGTAAGTATCCCTTTCTTGATAGACTTAATCACATCACCTTGAAGAGGAAAGGACACAATGTAAACAAGCAGTCTATATTACTATCGTTCTAGTCTGTTCGGGATTTCATAGCCGCTTTATCGCCCCTGGGCCTTCTTACACGCCACGCTAAGTTGAGTATAGGACCGAGGGCTCTTCATACCATGGGCATGTTGATTCCGGGAAGTTCAGTCAGCCCTATTAGAGGGTGTTAGCAGGACGATCTCCAAAACTTGGCAAGGGTACAAAAGACTTACAGCCATCTTCGTCTTCAGAGACAACCTTCTTCACGCTGCACTTCCTTGCCGAGTCGATGGCCTGGGTCTTGAGGTTCGCACATCGGGCACCCATGCATCCGGAGGTATCCATCGCCTTCTGGAGAGCGTCGCCCTTCCACCCGAAGACGTAGTCACCGTGCTGGCCGTATCCGGTGTTGTCGCCTGTGCTTAGGTAGAATGGTTGGGATCCGTCGGCAGGCCATTCATTCTTGTTGTTAAACTTAGTGGTGTCCCAGACAACCTCGTACATGAGTTGCGGGATGCGGATGGGGTGAGTGGACGGGCATGAGCCTCCTAAGCTAAGGAAGTTGGCCGGGCCGGTTGTAGGGTAAGCAACGTGGTCCTTGTGGTTAGGGCTGTCTAGGTTCTTGCCATCCCAGCAACTAAGGAGCCATTAGTCTCCTTGCGAGATAGATTTGGTTAATGGGGGAGCCGGGGGGACCTACGTGGGGAAAAGAATGTTGGATCGAATACCACCTGCGCATACTTTGTTGGGGAGATTCTCGGAATCGACGCTACAACGAGATAAGTCAGAACCTAGGTTGCTAAACAAAAGCGAAGAGGACAGTATTCACCGGTCATCCATGCAAGGGGCACCGGTGTCACCACCGTAGTTAGGTCCCGTGTAGCAACGGAAGCAGTTTTGCCTCTTTAGCTTAGTGTCGGGCCTGGAGCGCGCCATGGCATCACCAGAGAGCATACGGAAGCCCTACAATGATAGATCAGCAAAGCCCCTCTAACTTAAGCGTTACTTAGACGTTACTTACTGGCTTGAAGGCGGTGATTTGACCGGGCTGGGCCGAGACATAGTATACAAGGATACCACCTTGGGTCTGGGTGCTGAATTGATCGTTGAATTGTAAGCTAATATGATGTTAGTAATTGCCGGGCTCAAGGCTTCGAAACTACTAGGGATTAGGTTATGTACGTACGCATGTCCAAGTTGGGGAACACGCTTGTAAGTGCCATTGCGAGCCTTGAAGTAAAGGTTGGCTGTCCAGTAGTTGCTAAAGTCCTCGCCTAAACAGGTCAGAACGTACAGCCTGTGGGAACTTTAATAGGATGACTCACTGAACTGGCAGGTGGTGCAGTCAGCAGTAGCAGAGACATCACCAGTTGTCATGGAGGCATTGAAGCCGTTTCCTCCTACAATTTGGTGGACGTGGGAAGAAGGGATTGAGCCGGGGTTGACGAGAGGGTCCAGTCGGTCAATCACAACATTCGGGCATCCAAATCGGAGCATAGTAGTGCCACCGAAACCACCGCCGAACTGAGGTGCCGCTTCGGCGAAGGCGGCGAGGCCGAGGAGAGTAGTCCAAAACATTTTGGCAAAACTTTGATACCACAAATTTCGTTGGTGATGATCGGAACATGTCCAGATGTGATTCTAGGTTGGGCATAATGAGACATATATAAATTCGAACTCATGGTGAAAACTCAGCTCTTGTTTATTAACTGCCGAAGCATCGTGTCCTATTAATATTAACATGGATGGTACCCAACTTATCGAATTCCCAGAAAAGTCACGGTATGCTATTGTCCCCGTACGCTGCACACGCTGAGAGGCTAATATTCTCGGGCTAATATGTAGCACAATTCTGATAGGCCCGCACCGGGTAAAAGGACTGAGACATTTTCAGCATTCCGGACAAAGGAAATCGTCTAGGGCTCCCCTTTTACCGGTGATAGCATTACGGATGGCTTATGTATCTCAAACCTATAATCAAAACATCTTCGATTCCAAATCACGAAGATTCTATCAATATCACGGAACAATAGGCAAGGTGAATTGAACAACTCGCCGATATAAGATGAAATGAGAATTTATGCAATCACACGTCATTTCTCACCATGAACATGAAAATAAGGGAAGGCTTTGGGCACCAACCCGTCATGAGGATGAATTTTCCATGTAGAAGATAGATATCTTTAGGGGAACTCCAATATAGATGAGGAGGTCTATTATTGGCTCTTATGGTTGCCGGTAATTGTACTAGCAGTCCTTAAATGAGGCGTTAACCAATTAGATGATGTATGTTGGCGCAAAAGTCAGGCTGCAGCCGCTGTAGTAGTCCAAAATGGGAACTTTGTTTTTCCTGACAGACCTTGAGTTGACATAGTAGAAAGGAAGGTAATGTGTAAAAAACCCAGACTGTCTCAGCATCTCAGTAGGAAATGTGCGGTGTCTTAGTCTTTCCTGTTGGTCAGAGTGATGCAGAACCATATATAAGACGATTATATGTCCAACTATACCCCGGGCATAAAGGTATTCAAGTAAGCCCTCCAATTCCAACATATGGAGATATGAGAGAATCTAATATCTAAGTTCTAGGTAGTAAATCCATGAGACTGGCATGAAAATGTGAGAAATACTAAGCAAACACCGAAAGTTTGCTAAAAAAGAGAAGCCCAATAGCGAGGCCTAGAACACGATAGGGATCCAAGTTTGTGTTTTTCGCCAGGGCTGAATCCGGAGCTGAATCTAGATGATTCTCCATGTGGTTATAGGTAGAAGCAACAAATAATCCAATTTGGACCAGGTGACAGTTTGACTGGCATACCTTAGATAACTAAAGAACGCCTTATTAGAAGATGGCTAACATACCTGGTATGGATAAGATTGGAGGTATTTTTCTACTTTTCCTCTCAATTATCCATGACTAGACCCGCTATATCTCAACTTGGAGAGTCTACGTACCTGCCTGTTTAACACGTATCACGGACAGCTCACTGGAACTTACACCAATTCCATGAATATTGGAATCGTGACCTTGTGCACAGCCACAACAAGTCACTCAACTGGTGGATTGTTTAACTCATTTTTATTGGACAAAATAACGAAAGTTGTGCTACAGTTATACCACATTAGGCTCAGCCACCTTAGGTAGTGCCCCGCAATAGGATCTCTTTGACGAGTGTACTTACTGCTGTTGGTACCTAACCTAAGGGGAGCAGAGGAAATACATGGATCTGTCCTAATACAACTACCTGTCGTGTGTAGACTACATAACTCATAATTAAGTTCACTTTCAATCCATCGTAGTAGTTCTTCAATGAAACGTCTTATGCGGAGATTTACACATCCGCGCGGAGAAAAGGCTTTAGGGAAAGGAATTCCGAACGATGAGGCTTTGCATGAGCATAACTATCTTATTTCCAAGTCAGCACCACAAGAAAAAGGTAGTATGGGAAACGAACTCACCAGCGGGGTTTATAAATTCTCATTTGTCCCGGACTTCTTTGAAAATTACGCACAAATCGTAAATGGACCGGATGATAAACTTTCGACTCGACCTGCCCTGGGGATCTTATCACGAAGTTATGATGGTTTAGGGGGTTATTTGGAAGATGATAAGGGGCGTGCTCAGTGGGCTCAATTCGAGAAGTACATCCGACATCTTAATCAGCAGCATATAGATGACGGTATATCATACAAGCTGATGTATGTAATAAGACATGGGCGAGGAATTCACAATGTCAAAATGGACGAGCTGAAGCATTCTGAAGAGGCCGGAAAGCTCGAGATAGTGGATGGGAAGTCATTAAACTGGAAAGTAAGAAAATATTTATTTTTTATTACCCATATATTCTAGTTGCTCAAGAGAGACTAACTATATCAGAATTATTGGTCTCATAAGGAAGGAGATGGCAAGGTAGTATGGGTTGATGCTCAACTTGTGGATGAAGGAATCGCAGAAGCGAAGGAACTCTCCAAGTTATGGTTAGAGGAGGCTCAGAAAGATTCTCTACCTCTTCCCGATACTATTTATACTAGTCCCCTTACGCGATGCCTTGAGACAACAAAGCTTGTCTATGAGCCCGTCATGACTAGGCATGGAAGACGCCTTGAGCCCATAGTAAAGGAAAATCTCAGGGAACGGATCACAGATCATACGTGCGATAAACGAGGTTCGCGATCACGGATAAAGCAAAACTACCCCAATTACATTATTGAAGGTGGCTTTTCGGAAGAGGACATGAGTTGGAAAGCTAATACGTCGGAATCGCTTGAGCAGCACATAAACAGGACACAGCAACTCCTTGACGACATTTTCGCGCACGACAATTCTCCTATTATCTCACTCACAACTCATTCCTATACCATTACGGCGCTTCTGTCGGTAATCGGGTATCCCAAATTCATGATGAATGAGGGGACAATTGTGGCGTTATTCGTTAAGGCAGAAAAAGCTGCAAGGGCTTCAGCTGTTTGATCAACCTGGCGTGAATATTCAGCCGCGCGCGACCTGGCAACCCGTGAAAAATCTTGGTCATATCTCAAATTGCTTCAAAATAATAGCGTCGGCTTATGCATAGCCCCATTTCTTTGTTCGAATCGTCAAGGGTTGTTTCCGAGACCCCTCTTATTCGATTGGACCATACCCCTATATCTTACCCAGGGTGGGCGGCTGCAACATGCCGCTCACTGCTTTGAGAAATAGCCCCCAAATGCAGGAAGGGTTTCAATGCGCTATGGATGCGCTGTATCAATAGAATTTCTTCATTTGTATGAGAGGCTCTGAATGAAATTTCTTTACCTAAACCTACCTACTTTCTCCTGTCGTTTTTTCTTGGTATATTAATCGATGTTTTCGTAAAGGAATTGTTAGAATTTGCTTAGTGTTTTCCGTTCTTTTTACCAGGCACTTATTCTTGGAGGTACGGTATAATTATTATTGTTACATCTACATCAATGGAAATTCTACGAGAGATTTCGCGTTTGTCTGTGGATGGTAGCATTGGAGATACCTCACCAACAGAGATTTGCCTCTTACGCGCCCACCCGCCGTCTCACCCAGACGCGGATGCACATCTAGAGTTCTCTACCGAGAACATCCACGAAGCCGCTCTGTTTGATAAAATTCGCAACGACCAATTATTCCCTCAATCTACTCCGCCAACGCCAAGTCTAAGTTTAATATTCTTTCCAGATTTTAAGTGGAAACCTATCAGCAAGGATCCAATTCAACGTGATCAGCTTTGTAATTACCTGCGACTAGATGATGCCTTGCTGGCTTACATCGTTTCCTCGAGATCAGGCTGGTATCATGTGGCAAGTGACAATCAATACAACTTCATGATCAAAGACTACCTCTATATGCTTGCATGGACCTTCGATCCGGTCACTCTGGAGACACGTGCTATGCTCGCGGCGCGGAGTGATTATAAAAAACGGTCTAGTCTGAAAAACAGGCATGGGGAATTCTACCTACCAGGGCTCCGGGTCGCGCATTTATATCATCCCCTCTCCCTTGCCTGCCTATGCCTTACGGATTTTGTCTTCTATTTTGACAAGCTTATCGTTGATGAGGGGTACACGATCGGCGACATCGAGGAAGACACTGGTCACGGATTATGGGTAAAGGGCAAACCCCAGAAGGGCTTCGACCTGGAAAAACTCATGACCGCATCAAGGAATATCGCGAAGATAATAGGCTTGTTTGCTAACCTTTTTAAGAGCGTGGAAATCACACAGACTATTATCGAGTCTCTGCAGGATAAGAAAACATGGGAAGAATGGTACGGCAGAGATGATGCAGAGTCATTGAAAAACTTCGATCATTGCACTACGTCGTTCAGCTCGGCTGTAGGGCTGCTAAAGCTACGTATCAAGACAATCAAACAATCTGGTCGCGTTATGGATGAACGAGCCAAAGCACAATCCAATGTGGTATGAGCTATCTTCAAGTCATTCGGCGTATTATTTTTGAAAGCGACTTCGTTGTTAACTTCACATCTCTCTAGATAGCAGCTCTGATCCGCCGCCAAGACGCCGTAACGGGTCATCGACTGGCGGAAGCTAGCAAGAAGCTTGCGGAAGCAACCAAGAAGGATAGCTCCGACATGAAAGTGATTGCCATTATGACTATGGCGTTCCTTCCTGCGACATTCTTCGCTGCGCTCTTCGACCAACCTACACTTGCTTGGGACCAACCGCAAGTAATTACAAGCAACTTCTGGGTGTATTGGGCCCTTACAATACCTACAACGCTCATCATATTCGCTCTCTGGTATATACTAAATGAGTACAATATACTCAGATGGAGGAAAAGGAAGACGGAGGATAGCGATATAGAGATGAATCCATATTATGGTTTATCTGAAGGCACCTTCGGAAACACCCTCTTGGTAGATCCAAATGAAGAGGTGAAATCCAGGACCAGAACGAACTTTACGGGTCTTTTTTAGTTGACACTAGACACGTGGTGATGTTCATCTAAGGCGAAGGACACGAGTATTGATTTCTCTGGTTGTGCTCTGGGAATCTTGAAAAATTGGGAAACTGATGCTTGAGTTTTATTTACGCCCTTGTCATGAATAGCATAATAGGCGTACCACTGAAATTGAATGATGGCGGTAATACCTTGTGAGATCTATGCTCTCTTTGTTTAACCCCGGTGCGAGATTGTGGCATGCTGGGACATTATCAAACCCCCTTGGAAAATGACATGCCACCAGCTGCTAAATCAAAGGCAATGCACTCCGCCAACCCGCATACAGTAAATACATCTTTAGGACTTGCTTTGGTCTTAGATTCGGCGGAGATACCAGTATCCCTTAAGAACCTAGCTGCCTCCTCCACTGCTTCATAAACAGGTCCCAGAGCAAAGGCGGGAAGTATTATCATCCGGTAGCCCAGATGCTGCGCTTCCTGTACCGACAAGACGGGGGAAACACCACCTGGGACACAGTTGTAGAGGCACGGCGTCGGAGCCATGCCCTCGCAGATCTTCCTACCCTGATCTTTGGTCTTGATACCCTCAAGGAAAGCTACATCTGCCCCTATATCAAGAGCCTTTCTCAACCGGTCTCTAGCCGCATCATAGCCCAACGTCTCTAGAGCATCCGTTCCAGCGATGATGACTATGTCGCCTTTCTCTTTTTCGCGTGCTTGGACAGCCGCTCGGATGCGAGAGAGAAATTCGTCTTCAGAAGCAAGTTCCTTATTCATCAAATGTCCACATCGTTTAGATTGCACCTGATCCTCGAGATGAAGAGCGGCGACGCCGGCTCTCATATACTGCGACACGGTTCTCCCGACCATCAGGGGACCTGCTTATGACATTAGCCGTATTCATAGCATATAGGTGCTGAAATCGATATACCACCAAAACCGGTGTCGGCATCGGCTACCAGTGGAATAGATGTGTCAAGCGAAGCTATCATGGCTGCATTATCTCTCATATCATTCAAAGTAGCTATGCCCAAATCCGGCATACCGAGTCGAGACATTGTTGTCCCCGCCCCTGTCTGTTTAAAGTGTTAGTGTATATCTGAGTACCATAAGAATCTGGCTAAAGCGTTCCGCCCAGTCTCACCATATACAGGCAGTCAAACCCAGCTTTTAGCGCTATTCTCGCTGTAAGACCATCGTATACTCCCGGGCTGATGATAATATTCCCCGGCGTTGAAAGAGCAGCGCGTAGCCTTGCCACTGGAGTTTTCGAGGTGTCGGCCATTGCGAAGAAGAGCTTGTATTATCAGATCTTGAAATTCGAGCACGTAGGACCCCTTTACCCCTTTATCAGTCAAATCAAAGCCGCGACGGTTCCGACCCGCCAAACAATTAAAAGTTTGCTGATTACTGCGCCTAAGAATATGCAGGTCTGTATCCGCTTGAGATGCCCGTCAAGATGTGGTTACGTGGTTCGCCGAGCTGCCCGATATCTTGCCGACTTTCACCGACACGGGTTCCGTGGTACTAACCCGCATACCTTCGCGATCATCGGCTAACAGCACATCTATCTAAGATTAAAACCTTGCTAACATGTAACCGAAACGGCTTTTTCTTTACGGAGATGATAAGCGAAACTTTACGTAGTAGACAAGTCGACCTATTTCGAGCACCCCTATAAGTAGCAGCCTGACTATTTACTTCAGGACACGACTGGGTTCGAAAATTGGTCTTTTCTGCTGTATGCAAGGAGTTATATCTATCCCAGGGCGGGTATTCTTCGCTATGGAAGTTTCCAACCAGATTGATGAGTTGCTTCGCACATCACGGAACGTCTACATATGGAAAGACACCGAGTCTCAAGGTACGTGATGCTGGCGTTACATGTATCAGTACTTGTGGACGAAATCTGAGCTGACGAAGCATATACCCGGTAGCTTCAATCAAATTCATACGAGACTTGGGGAATTTAGCGCTTGAAGTACGAAGTGCCGGATACCAGCGTGAATGTGAGGTCTTGCAACACGTGGCCGGTATTTGTCTGACGTCGCCAAACCATGGTGGCTTGGGTCTTACTCTCGACACGCCAATAGTCGAAAATGTAGCAACTGAAGTATTGCTATTGATCGCGGCTTGTAAGTAAACAACGATTATAAGCCTTTGTATTACGATAAGTGAACTGAAGAGAATTAGGGCTCGAATCGTTAAACTCCGCTGATCGAGAGAGAAGTCTCGGCAGTAGAATCATCAGGGTCAGACTAGCAGACCGACCTCCGATGAACTTGACTGAGAAGATTTTCGCTATGCACGACGTGGACTCAAAAGGGTTCGTGAGCGTAGGAGATACCATCCGCGTTTCGGTTGATTGGATTATGGCGTCAGAAGCATCGTGGGGTGTAAGTCTACCTGCCGATAGTTACATTATAGATAATACGATCTAACGGTGAGATATTAGAGTATGGAAGCGACATACAATCAGCTAGGATCCCCAGGCATATTTCGGAACGATCGGTTTTGGCTTGCCGGTGACCATGTGGTTGACCCTAGGGTCAACACCCATCCCAGAATCAAGCCCCTCATTGAAGCGTCCGAAAGAGCTAGAAGAGTCTTTAAGATGACGGAATACCAAGGGATGAATGTAGGCATATGATTCAAGGCAATACTGGTATCATAGTGAACACTGCTAATGCATTGCTAGTACACTATCATGCACACCGAGTTCTTTCGAGAGCGTGCGCAGCCCGGGATGCTCGTTATAGGCTCCGACTCACATACTTGCTCCGCCGGTGCGGTAGGGAGTCTAGCTATCGGGCTGGGCGCTGCTGATGTAACAATGGCTCTTGTCACTGGCGAAATCTGGTTCAAGGTACCGGAAATTGTTCAAATTCGGTTTGTAGGAGAGCCGCCCCAGGGCATCGGTGGAAAGGATGTAATACTCTATGTTTTACAGCAACTGAAAAGAAACACTGTGGCTGCGGACAGAGTGGTAGAATACACTGGACCAGGGTTAAACTACCTATCCCCGGATGCTCGCTTCGCCATTGCGAACATGACTACCGTAAGGAGCAGGGCTAGTTGAATATTGAAATGAGTATTCGCTAATGTTGCCTAGGAGTTTGGGGGCATCAGTGGCATCTTCGAAACTGACGATATTACCAAGTCATTCATCGACTCGAGGAAGATCGCACGGCATAGAAACTCATCTTACTTCATGAGACCCGACCGCGATGCTAGATACGCTGACACAGCTACCGTCGACTTATCGAGAGTGCAGCCTTTCGTCGCGAAGTATCCCTGCCCAGATGATGTTGTCCCCGTGTCGGAAGTCCAAGGCCAGAAGCTGGATGGCTGCTTTATCGGCGCATGCACTACAGCTGAGGAGGATATTATCACGGGTGCGCTGATCTTGGAGCAGGGTCTGAAGGCGGGCAAAATACCCGTGCCACATGGCAAGAGAAAAGTCGTTCCGGGATCGAAGCCGATATTAGATAGGCTTGAGAAGAGTGGCTTGGCAGATATTTACAGAACGGCCGGATTCGAAGTAGGCGTTCCTGGATGTAGTTATTGTGTTGGTATGTCTGCAGATCAGGCAGGCCCTGGTGAAGTATGGCTATCCTCTCAAAACCGCAATTTTGAGAACAGGATGGGTAAAGGTCAGCTCCTGCTACCCCCTTATTATTGTAAATACTCGCCTAACGAAGTCAGGCTCCATCGGAAATCTAGCATCTGCTGCGACAGTAGCAGCATCATCCTTCGAAATGGCCATCACAAACCCTCAGGCTCTACTAAATACCATAGACCCAGCAAGATTTGACGCGCTTAAGGGGCGGGGCTCGTTACGTGTGATATCAACAGCGACTTCGCTGGATTATGTCGAGCCGGCTTCAGTCGACCATTCGCGTGAATCAGGATCAAACGACATAGCGCCTAACAACGATGGCCAAGTAGACAACAATACAGAGGCTGCAAAGAAGATGCATGGAAACAAGATAAGAGGTAAAATCCAGAAACTGGGAGACTTCATCGATACAGATGCTGTGGGTATCTTTCCCTGTCCTCAAGATTTTTACTGACGCGAATTCAAGCTGGCCCCGGCCCAGTTCTTGGTAGAGTCCAAAACAGACGAAGCGCTTGGCGCGCACTGTCTCGAGTTCACGAATCCAGATTTCCGTCGAAGGGTCAATGAGGGCTATGATATCGTAGTCGCTGGCAAAGCTTTTGGCTGTGGATCATCCCGCCAGCAGGCAGTCTCTGCATTAATAGGTACCTAATCTAAAGTTGTTTTCTTTTGCTACCCTTCTTCAGACCGAGTACGGGGTCCGCTAAGTTGAATTCTAGGATGCGGGGTGAAATGCGTGATAGCACGGTCCTTTGCGTTTATTTACAGCCGCAACCAACCCAGTCTAGGGCTTCTTGGTATAACTATAAGCGACGATGACTTCCACAGTCTCGCACAGGATGATGTTGAAATAAGCATCGATCTCGATGAGAACATGCTTTATATTAGTGACAAGGGGTTCCCATTTCAGCTGAGTCCAATGGTGAAGCAACTCATGAACTTGGGCGGAATTACGCCAGCATTCCAGAAATTTGGTAAGCAGCTATTCGAAGCACTGTGCTCTGACGTTGCTGGTTCCAGGAGACATAGTCCAGGGCATAAAGAAGTAACTGGCGTGCTACAGTGGTAGATGTATGTTGTCGACATCGGCGCGATGATATAATATACTTGGCTGAATTTGTATTTCCATGGTCGTGGACGTACAGTACATTTGGCGACAAGAGAAATCGTCGGAGCCGAGGCGGGAAATAAAACTTCTAGATTTACAGCGTGGGGTGACCGATTTGCTTCCCCTAAAGGTCACTGTTACTTGCCACTATTACGCTTCCAAATTTGTTGCCCGCTATTAGAATACAAGATATACCTAACCTAGAACATATGAAATATAAGATTACCTTGGGTATCAATGACATATGGTCACTTGCTCGACAACCTATACCCAGTTGCATTATCCAACAACCCTTTCTTGCCACCCCAGTGCGAAGCTTGGGCCGCAATAGAGCACGCACTAACCGCTAACTTACCGACCATATCAGTAATGCCACTGGTCTGTCCCGACAAGCTCCATGTATAAAGACATGACCCATGTGTTGAGTGGCACTGCCCTGCACTTGGCTATGCAGATTGGACTTCATGTTGTAGGTACTGGCCAAGACTTCGCTCGTACCGTCTTGCCTTCCGATGCCGACCATTCTTCCAGAACCTCTAGAGCCCAGCTGTGGATCAAATGTCTCATCACATACCACATGTAAGTGAAACAGCAGTATTCGTTTGGCTGATGGGCTAATGGATATTAGCACGAGCTTGCGACAGGGTATCCTGCCATTAGTCCTTATAGACTCTTCCCAGACAAAATCCTTGGAGAGAGAGATCTCTTCGAAGTTTTCAGATGATCTCGTGTCTCACCAACGACTGCACAACATTCTTATGACGGCAACTTCGTCTTTGGTGAGGCTAATCCCGATAACTGGATCTGATTCTCCATCTGAACTACACCCCTTTATCGGCCTCTATGACGCACAGCTTCAAGAAATGATAGCAGATATCAGATCCACTCTAAGTAGGTATATCACCAGGATTGATTCAGAGTTGAATTAGCCCCTTGCCTACCTCCTATCCCTACTAATATTGCTAGACACGATATACCTATATTGCTACCGCATCCATCTACTAGCGTATCACTTCCTAGATTGGCCGAACCCGGACCATGATAGTTTAATCAAGCTCTATACTATCTCTTGCAAGCTTATTGAGTCGTTGACTTCCGAGGACGAATCTACCGGGTTCGCAAGAGCGTGTCTAGAATTCATCCATAAGACGATACTCCTGGCCGCCATCTCGATTCTCAAAATCCAGAAAAGTGAGCTCGTGCGTCATGTCAACTCGACCTCTGGAGAAAAAGCTTATTTTTCTGCAATTTACCTGTGCCAGAGGATATCTCTCCAGAGCAATGATCTTGGCGCACGAGGTGTCATCATTCTCGGGCAGATGTGGACGAGTAAGAATATGTACCGCCAGCAGGATGGGCGTGTCGACAGCTTAAGTACGCGCATTCGGAGCCGGTTATCTATGAGTGTTGTCTTTGACAGTTTCTGGTGGTGGCGTGTTGAGTTTAACGGGCAGACTAGCCCTTATCCAGAACAAAACCGCATTGCTCCTGGTTCGTACCGAGTTAATCAACGTAGACAGACATGCACAGTGATAGCATTTTATGCTAACAGGTAACTAGCAGTAGCGCAAGCGACTCCGTTTCCCGCTGGTCCCGTCGCTGGTAACATGGACATGATGCCAGTAGATGAGCCCTTTCCCGACTATGACTGGGCTGTCAACTTTGATTTTCTAGATCAAGTCTAGACTGGTAACGATAAACAACTTTTCATCTCATACGTATGGACTATGGTGGATAATATGATCTTTAACTTAGGTACCTATGGAATTACCTGTGAGGTAGCCAGTCATTCCCGGGGCTACGCCAAAGGATTAACTGTACGGCCTGTCATGAGTTTACTAATGGCAGAGATGTCATCACACTCGTCCAGCGCGAGCGCAATCTGCTCAATCTTAGTTCTTCTTTCCTCGTCAATGATACCTTTAGTCACGAGACGCCATTTGTTCAGCACCTCTTCATTGCTAAGTGGCGGCTGGACACCTCTCGGAGCCCCTTTCTCATGGCTTAACGGTGCTGATCCATCCTTAAACGCGACGGTAACCTTCGTCCTAGCTTTGTCTTTCGGTGACTTGGAATAGTCCGGGTTGCACTCGCAAGTCGTAATATCGACTAGTCGCCACACCTCGTCTCTGTCGAGCTTATCGTTGCGGAACTGTCTTGGCGTCACTTCCTCGTCAACCAGATAAACAGCACCAATATATGCATTGCTCATCTGCGCACCCGTTGAGGTCAGCGGTCGCACAGCCTTCCAACCCCCGTGATGATATGCGGGTTCGCTCATCTCAATACGAATGCTCTCGAAGTTGGAAAGATCCCGTGTCTTTTCTGGGTATAACGTACGCAGCGCAGCTATACAGTCAATGGTGCAATGCGTCCCAGCCATCGAAGCATACGGCTTTACCATTATGCTCTCGATCTCACATTTTACCCCTAAGTCTTTCGACACTTCCTCGGGTTTGAATTGTGGTTGCATGCCATTTCCAGCGCTAACCATAGCCAGAAAGCCACCATATTCCCGCTCATAGACTTTCTTAATTCCCACATAGCCGCCCTTAGCAAGCACGGCCGCGAGAAGCCCGTTCCTCGAAGCAAACGCGTGCTGCATCCGCTTCACTTCGCTTTCGAATTGAGCAGACATCAGGCCGCCTGCTTGCGTACATGCTATCCCCAATGCGTCTTCTATAGCGGCTGCTGAGAGACCAAAAAGCTTTGCTACCGCAGCAGCAGCAGCGGAGGGACCAAAAATAGCGCCTGAATGCCAACCCTTCGAAAGAACGTGAGCACCCCAGACGCCCAACCCAACGCGCGGGCCTACCTCGCAGCCCGTGACATAGGCAAGCAGTAGGTCTCTACCAGAGTAATGCAAAGCGGGAGTGTCTCCGGTGCCACGGCCGTAGTGTTCCGCTGCTGCGAATAGGGCGGGCAGCAGCACGGAGTTAGAGTGAATAGGAGCATCGCGGTGCCAATCATCCAACTCGAAGCCTTGTATAAAGGTGTCATTAAGCAGCGCAGCAGAAAGCGGTCCGACCTTGCGTTCCCAGCCGAAGACGATTGCACTTCCGTCCGCAACTTCTAGGTCTAGGGCGGCGGCGGCGGCTTTCTCGGACGATGGTAAGTGTGCGCCGACCAGGCAGCACGCTAGTCCGTCTAGAATGAGATATTTTGCTCTTGTAATAATATCTTCCGGGATATCATGATACTTAAGGCTTTCCACCCAAGTGCATAATCTCCCTGTCGGCCTTTCTGGGTCCATTGGAGTTTGACGAGGCGAGGAAGCCATGTTGTTATGCGCTAATATTAGGCCTTAACTAAAGAGGAATATATCGGCAGGTCAGGCAAGTGACAATAAAGGCCATTTGGTTTGCATATGAATAGGACTGTACACTTCAATATTTTTGGAAGTATCGGAGCCGGAGCGGCAAAGGAGTTTAAGGCTTACGCCGTTGGACCCGGGCGATCAGCCGAAAAGCCAACATTCGGCGAGATAACTTGAACGACGTGATATAGTTACCGCAAGTTCTATAAGCGAAGGTCATTTATGATTATTAAGTCTAAGCGATCTATGCCGACCATTTTGGATGCGCCTACTGTCCCACGGTTTTTGACATCATCCCCGGCGTGGCCGGTCGGCAAAGCTCGGCGAAATAAAGCTTCACATCGGCCAACATCGGCAAGGCACGACAGCAGCTAGGGCTAGACTTGGAACCATGTTAACAGAGAAATGGGAAGAATCAGCTTTGGCTACTATATCAATCGAGCGAAAACGATAATAATATGCGTTGGCGTAAAGACAAGAGCACTTGAATTGAAACGATAGTGTCAGCGATAGCATTCTGGTAGCTATCCTATCCTATCCGAAGTCCTGCTGAACATCACGCTGTGAACTTCATCGGCATCTTCTGTCCCGGAAGCTCAGAAAGCCAACCCTCAGTATCCTCCGTGACCGTGTTCTGAACCGCGCATTTGTTCATCTCGGCGACCGTCTGCGTCTTCAGTATACCTTGCGCTCCGGGGCTACCACACGCGTGGAACATGCAGGAGTCGTTCATGGCACGCTGCAGGGAATCCCCTTTCCATCCAAACACGTAGTCGGCATGCGTTCCGTAGCCTAGGCTATCTGAATACGACCATACAAAAGGCTGCGACCCGTCTTTCGGCCACATGTCATCGAACTGCGTCGTGTTCCACATGGTTTCGTACGCGAGCTGAGGCATACGGACCGGGTGGGAAGCGGGACATGGACCCGCTTCTAGGAAAGCCCCTGGATTAGTATTATACTGCAAAAAGTCAGCCCTGTATTCAACCGTGTTTGGCGACGCGCTTAGGCAAGAAGTCTCGTGGATTGAAATGGAATGGTTTATATATACCATGTGAGACTGATGGTCGGGACTGTCGAGGTTCTTGCCATCCCAACATCTAATCATTGTTATTACAAGCACCTGTACCGGGATAGCGAGACTTACGATGGGAAGTGGTGGATTGCCATTATACCAGCGGGGCATGGTTTCTTTGGGAAGTCTGGAGTTTCGTAGCCTCGAGTCAATATCGTTTGCAGGCAAGTATATCGAAGACCTTTGTTGGCCTTCGCAGCCTCGAGGGTGTTTGTCGTGGGACTCCCGACTGTCATTCGGAAACCCTATGCATGTGTTAGTTAAAAGGATCCTCGTGATACTCAGTCTCGAAGACCTGATCGCAACTTACGGGCTGGAATGCGGTAATATACTTGTCGCCATTACCGTCGAAGTCCTTCTGGGTATAGTATATCGTCATGCCTCCCTTGATATCAGGGGCATCACGACCCTCGGTACCCAATTGGGCATTTGGGTACTGCGGTACACGCTTGTAAGAGCCATTCTCATGCCTGAAGTATAACACCGCGGTCCAGTAATTGGAAAAGTCCTCAGTGTAAGCGCATGTTGTACAGCTTCCCTGCTCCCCAATGTCCCCTGTCATAGTCGCGTTAAAGGCATTTCCACCGACGATCTGATGTACATGAGCTGATGGGATAGCACCAGGTTCAACAAGCGGATCTAATCGTTGGATAGATACGGTCGAACAACCGAATCGAAGGGCGGCATGGGAAAGCCCAGCCTGAAGTAGGATTGAGAGCCACTTCATCTTGCTTTGAAGCTAACTTGCGTCTGTATACGGAGGAACTGCGTAGTCAGTTCTGGTGACTTCGAAACAGCATTCAGATGTTGAAGTAAGCGCTTGAATGCACCAACAACTTATTTAAAATCCAACACATTATCTTCAATATAAGATCTTACCGCCACCCATTCGGCCAAAATCCGGCTCCAGGATAATTAGCCTCATTTCCTCAGGTTTTGATGCAGATCCTATCTCACATGTAGGTGAGGTTGGCAAATTGTAATAATATTGATCCGCTTATCGTCTTCCAAGAAGGTCTGGAACCTAGAGAGCCGGATAATATACCTTAGGTACCCAGGTACCTTATAAGAGCATCTACAACTGCCGAAGTTGAAGGGCGCTATATTTTGATCCTGGATATATTGAAAGCTGTCTAGATTGAGATAGGTAACAAGGCATGCTTCCTAAGCATTACTCTAGGTACCTATCAACTATAATTTACTTTAAGTGGATTTTGTAAATGTGTCAGCACTTCATACTGTGAGAAGTTTGTCGCCTTTTTAGTAAAAGGCTGTAGTGTTGGTTGTCAAGTCTGAGGGTTGTAAAGTCTGAGGGTGTAGTACCCGAAACACCAAGATCCAACTCCCATAGCGTGTCCTGGCACCCAATGAAACTTTTGATGAGCCACCTCGAGAGACCTTGTGTTCATTCACGATGGATAGAACACCAAATTCAAAAGTCGTCCATCATCTAATCTTACCATAAGAGCATAAGATAAATTATCATTGAATCGGGAGCTGTCAGGGATATGTGAGTATATAGGGATAGACTGGGTAGAGTTGGGCTAGCCAGCTTCCTCAAGGGAGGTTAGACTATGTACGATCCCGATGCTCACTCTCTACATGACAACCATCACCTAGACATATTAAACCATACCTGATAGGAGCATAGTGAGAGCATAGAAACCTATGATAATCATCAAATATCAACGACTTTAGAAAGTCGTAACTAAATAGAAGTAATACGTGAGTGCTAACCTCCTACTTATTACTCTGGAGAATTATGATGCTCTCAAATTTGATGGGTCAATTGGCACAATGGACAGCATTACTACGTACCTATTACGGCAACGACCCGCAAATCACGGCCGGGGAACGGAACGGCGTCGGTATGAGATCATAGACATCGTCTTAATTATAAAGGGTTCTTCTAAACTCCTACGGCGTGGTACTAAGATTTGCAATTCAATAACTTTAGGTTATCTAGGTAGGAAAAAAAAACATTTCATCCAGACAACCAATTTATTGAATACTAATAGTTCTTAAGATTATACTCGAATCTATTAGAAATGGAAGGCGAGCTACCACCAAAGGAAGAACTGCACCAGCGTGCCGTAGAAGGCCCGCCGATCACGCAGGCGGAGGCGTCGCAGATCGCGGCCGCCGAAACGGACATCACCGGCTTCGGGCCAATTAAGGGCGGACCGGCGTCCGTGGCCCAGAGCGAACACGACAGACAACAGAACTTCTTCGCCAAGGCGGGCGACATCGCCCGCAAGCCCACAGACCAGATAACGAAGGAGGATGCGGCGCAAGTCCAGAAAGCAGAGGTGAGATCTTCGTTATAAGCCGTCTCCGAGAGGTAATGGAAATGGAGATGATTCCTAACTGCTGAGTTAGGCCCGTGCCCTCAGAGAACCCCCCGGAAAAGGCTCAACGGCTGCTAATGTGCAATCAATTGCTGATCTGAATGAGAACGCGAAGCGGGTTTGAAGAGACTGAAATCTTCGAGGGAAAAAAAAAAGTCTCATAACTTCCTCTTATGAAACATACCTGTCTAGGTAGGCAGATAGTATAGGTACCTAATTGTCTTATAGTTCGGTTATTCATTCCAAGGGGAGAAGCAGCCGATTGAATATTCCTGTGATAAGACACAACAGTACGGTCTATTGTTTACCTACCTCCTACCTACCTTTACCAAGCAGATAGGCTTTAAGGTATTCGATCTCTAATAACAATTGTAGAATCTCACAAGAATATCCTTTTCTCCCTGTGTTGTGATAAGCTTATAGTACCTGTATTGGGTTAGCATTATCACGTCAGTCGTCCGTCATGACAGACTTACCTATCCATGACTTGAGCCAACGATGATCGCTAGGCGCAGCATACTACTTTCCCCAATTATGACTTGATCCATCAAAATCGGTATTCGCATTATCATTATATTATATATATGAACCTTTCAGCGTCTTACTACAATGCCCTTCTTCTAGTCGTCGCTCACACGCCGTCCTTTTAAACATCACACCGTAACTCCTAAGTACCTACACGCTCCTATTGACCCTAATGCTTTCTGCATCCGCTTCCAGGGTTAGCAGGAGGCTTGTTATCCGGCCGTGCCAGACCTAAGCAGTTCGCGACCTTGTAGAAGATATCAATGTTACCGTACACGCCGCCGAAGGTCTCTTGGCAAGGTCCCATCGCGAACACAGCCACGTCGGTGAGTGAGTGCACGCCCGCTGACTCAGAGACAGGCAGCGTACCGTTGACGACGAACCCGTCAGGGCTGTCCTTGGCATCTACGAATAGATCGTTCTTGCTGAAACCCGGGGTGTTGCTGACAACCTTGCGCGGTTTCTTGTGCACGCGGTAGTCCTCGCGGTGGTCGGGGTTGGCGCTGAGGCCTGCAGCTAGACTGTACCGCGGATCCCAGTTTACGGGGAAGTTGGGCCCGGTACCGTACGAGACACCCTCCACGGGAACAGTGTACTGCGAAAGACCAGACTGTTCATAAATGCCGACGGCGCGACGCTTGTCACGGTCGTTGTCCTGAGCGGAGAGGTATTTCGTATCGACACCTCCGAAAACATCGAAACCGTGACCGTGATCGGCAGTGACGATGACAAGCGTGTTCTCAAGCTCGCCGATTGCTTTGAGGTGGTCAATGGTCGCGCGCACTGTGTCGTCAAGCTCGAGGAGATCGCCGAGGGCACGGTCATAATCGAGAGCGTGCATCTGCTTGTCAATGGATGCGCCCTCGGACATAAGGAAGAACCCCTTATCACCACCACGCGTGTGTAGAATATCGATGGCTTTCAGAGTCATCTCCTTCAGACCGGGGAGATCAAGAGCTGGGCTATCCGAGCCTAGGGGGTCATTCTTGAAGCTTTCTAAATTCTCCGTGAAGACGTTACGGTCTAGCCAGACAGGGAAATGAGATTGGCAGAAGATTCCAAGAGCCTTGCTGTTGTTGCCAAGTTCTAATAGCGACGTCTTGTTCAAGCTGATTTCATAGCCAGCCTTAGCGAATGCTTCATAATAGTCTTTGCCTTCATAACTGTCAGAATTCGGGTAGAATTGCTCAGCACCTCCGCCAAACCAAACGTCGGGACCACCCTGGTTCGTCCAGGAATAGTTGGTGACAGAATTCAATCCTTGATCGACAAGGGAACCATAAGCATATCGCGAACGGCTGTGGCCAGTGAGGGCGATAGGCGTCGCATCAGAGATCGCCGCAGTCGAGACGGCACCCCAAGCCGAGTCCTAGTAACTGATTAGTACGATAATTCAAATGAACAGCTTGTGACTAATTACCCAAGTACGCTTCAATAGCTCAACGATGGTCTCAACTTTCGGGTCATCAAAGAAATCTGCAGATGAGTCTACATAGACACTAGAGAAGAAGCAATCAGCATCTAACTTAACAACATATTCGGAATTCCACCCTGTGACCTACCCCATAGCATTGACAGTACTCTTATGTCCGGTATAGAGAGCAGACGCCGAGTTAGCACTGTCGGTGATGAAACTATCAATCGAATGGGTCTAATGATAACTATTAGTTTGTGGGAGGGTCATTGATTTTAATATTTGAGTTGGCTTATATTATACCATTTGGTGTCCCACGACAGGGAATTGATCCATTTGCAGTAAAGACTGGTACTTTCCGTTGATACTCTTGTGCCCAAGTAGGCGCGCAGCAGTGATCATGTTGGTGGTCATACCATCACCTATCTATTGTCAGCATCGAACCCCTTTTCGTAGTTCCGATGACTATACCAATGAACAGAATGACATTCTTGGCCTTCTTCTGAGTAGCCAGGGGTCGCACAACCCAGTTAGCTGTCGTCGTCTGGCCGTCATAATATTTCAGCGTGACGACGTAGTTCCCCGGCTCGTAGATGGCCAGCTTCCGGTAGATCTTGGACGCGACATTGACTATAGACGGCGCATGCGCGTCCTTGGCGAAGAGATCCTCGTACCAGTGGAAGTCCCACTTCTCAAGCTCGGGTTCGGCAACATCGAAGAACTCGGCGATGCTCTTAGACTCGCCGCCTTCCTTGGTGATGGTGACGGAGAAGTTCTCGTCCGGTTCGCCATTGTTGAAGGCTTCTGACCCGTTAACTGGGGCGTGTACTTCAAGACGAAGGTCAAAGTATTGACCCGGTAGGAAGTCTGATTGATCGGGCGGTAGAACGCAGCCCAGATCCGGGCAAGCGCCGAGTCGCTGGAACGTCTGGGCGGTGACAGCAGAAACGGCTACTGCCGCCGCAGCAAGTAAGGCCAGTCCACCCATAGTAGCTCTGGATTATTGGCAAGCTGAAGGTACAGGGCAACAAAAACATAAAATCCAGGAGATCTGGGAAGCTCCATTATATACGAACTTAGCTTGCTATGATTATGCAGTGTAACTATGCCATGAGCTTGGCCCGTCGAAAGATCTATGGTGCCACTGATCCAGCATGGGAAGGTAGTCGAGGCCTAGGCTATTCCTGAAAGCTGAGAATCGAGTGGTAAAATCTTGGCAATGGAGGAGACCTGATCATAATTGGTTATTTATGTCCCGGAAATTTTTGATAGTAGATGATAGCGGTGGTGCTACTGTCGAAGCGTTTGACCGCGCAGGAATCATAGAGGTAATTCATCGCACGTGCTCGAGTAGTAAGCTGGTTCCTGCGTCAAGGTAGGTAGATCGTCTAGGCATGTTAACTTAGTGGGTAAAAGTTTGCTGTTGGTTCCTAGTCTCTAGATATTTCAAGGTAGTCGCTCTCATAAATTTCTATGATGTTTAGATGAGCTGAATAGGAGGCTTTGATTTGGTTAGCCAGCAGGATATGCAGTAGTAATGCATATCTTTTATCAATAGCATATATTGCCAGCTGATCTCTTTCGTTACTACATACTAGGCGTAAGAGAAGCAAAATATCTCCTTAGGCTTGACGGGGAGCGAATGAGCAATGATCATAGATAGTAAGTAGCTTTTCTGATATGCTACATAGTAGATATCAAAGTTCGATGTGGGGACGCATCTGGAGGAAACAAGGGGGTTGAAAACGTGGGTTAAATTGCCTACTATGATTGGCTTCTTTCAAGACCAGGATACCAATACAAGTTGGCTTGGCCGACTTGGCTAATATTTCCCGCTGCGCACAAAGCATCTGGGGCTGTCCCGATCACGGATGGAGACACGTGCGAATTTTGCGTGTATTATGTGAATAGGATCAAAATATATAAAATCTGCCTCCTATACTAAGTAATTTTCACCGATTTATATTTTAGACGTAATCGAACTTCTTCCAGTTCTGCCCTTAATACAGGAACAAGACGACTGGTGTTCACCAGTAAGTTTTTAGGAAGACATAGTAGCTTCACTGCGATGTGGTATTCTCCAATTTCTGGGACTTGCCATTTGTTGTTTTACCTGCAGTAAGATGACTTTACCGAACCGATACTTCAATAAAAAAAATCAATAAGGATAGAGGTTGATTACATGCAGATATATATCTTGTTTTCAAGTTCTTGGGAGCTAATCCTTGTAATTTCGATGTCGACGAAGTGGAGGCTGTCGAAAAGTAACTTCGGCGACCGGATTGTCTCACACCTTATGTCCTCAGAACCGGCTGGTAGCTATGCATTCAAAAATGAAGCTACCTATGTTCAGTTGATTCTAGACCGGCTATGTTGGATAAGCGGCTACATGCTTAAACCATGCTCGTAGCCAGCCATGAATGAATGGTCACGGCGTGTAGCCTATCACCACGTTCAGCAAGAACTTAAAGTCAGCACTTTCACCACTTATAAAAGTTGCTAAGGTTCACTTGTCAATTTCAGCGAACCCTCTTCTATCTAATTCGTTGGCATCAGTCTCAGTGTCAGGAACAAGAGGGGTTTCACCACCCTCTGCAATGGCTCCTGTTACGGCGAGTCCTGCTATTTCTCCAGCGAGAGTCGAATCTTCAGTCCCACCTTCACCGTACTTCTCCCAGGCTGGAGGGTTAATTCTCGATGACTGACCTCCTTCAGTCTTGAAATGGTATCCTCGGGCTCGAGGCCTCTCTCCCGTACCCTTAGGAAGCACAGATTCGTAGCTATTGGAAAATGCGTCACAATCGCGCTCAAACGTCGATGGTTCTGCAATTATCGCAGCTCGGATACCCTTGAAAAAATCAGACAGGACATGGTGGTTATGGATCTGAAGAAGTGTCCATCCAAGCATTTCCTTGGCGTTCAGGAGATGTTGGAGATAAGCGCGGTGATGCTTGGTGCAGGTGTAGCATTCGCAACCCTTTAAGAGCGGTTTCAATGACACTTGATGATCCCGTGACCACATATCTATTCCTAAAGGATTTATGCCTTCAGTCTCTGGCGGTGGTGGGAATGAGAAGGTAAGAGCGATTCCAGCATCCGAAGCTGCGTTAAGAAATGTTATCGTAAATACATCTATTCCTAGGCGAACTTGCCGAAGAATCTCTTGTGGCGACGCGATGAAATCCATGGAAAGACGGGGCAGCGAGCCAACGGGCTCGTGGTTCGCGAGGTCTGGGAGAATATCTGCGTCATGAACCGCGAGCCCAGAGAGATGTTCCACGTAGTCTTGAGATATGCGGTTTATATATTCCCATTGCGTCGGGTAAGCCACCGGTAACAACGGGGCAAATAATGAGGGCTTAGCGGTCTCGGTCTTGTCATCAGCGTTTCTCAATTTTATGAACTCGGATAACCAGTCTTCTGTTCTCTCTACCATTCGGAGCTGTCTTTTCTGGTTTGGGAGCTTAGTCCTAATATGAGCATTGCCAAACGTCAGATCTGCAAGGGGTATCGCGATATCTGGCTGCAGCCTTTCGATAGCTTGATGAAACTCTCTGTTTTTCAGTTTTTGAAAACCAGTCGACGTGTAAATTGAGACATAGTCCCTCCCATTACCCATAGGTGCAACTACTGCTGGATGCCGTCGAGCACCGAGAACTGTGACCAGTGGTGTAGGTGTGGCAGTATACGCATGTAGAACATTTTTACCATCAACATCTATGTTAAAGATGGCAGGTTGAGTTCTCTTTTGGGATCTTTCTACAACTAGGCAAAAGGTTAACCCGGTGGGAAATATTTTGGTGATATACAATATTATATAATATATTATAATATATATACCGTAGCTAGGCGGACTCACAATCTTCCAAGGCCATATATGAGCCGTTGAGCTCGACGTGCTTAGAGATGACATCTGGTGTCATATGCGGTATTGATCCTCGTGATGAAAGACCAATATAATTGGGCGTGTCAATTGGATTTCGCTTCGGGAGGGCTAGGCGACCTGCTCTGGGCACTCCGCCCTCCACGGCTATTGTCTTCAGTATGTTAAACATAACGTTCTCCGAGGATGACTCGGCCATTTTGTGGTAGTAACTGGTGAAGACTTTGGAGTTGATTGTTCATATAGGAGCGCTAATATAAGTTATAAAATAGATCATTAATCTATATCGTCTAGGTATTCTAGAATTTATTTAGCGTGGCCTATTTTTAATCGAAATTTTCGACTCATAAGCTGAATTCCCCGTAAGGCATCGAGACAAATGATGTATATACACCTCGGCGTTGACAAAGTGAAAAAGCTAAAAAAGAAAATGCAAAAAAGGCATCCTTGTAAATGCACGTATTCCATGTAAGGTACCTAGGTACATGTAGGTACTATATCGATAACAGCCTAGAACTTTTGGAGAAAGCAGAGAGCAGAGTGGACATCACATTCCGATTGGATTTGCTTGGAGAAGTACGATTCGTACGGCCCGCACTAGATCCACTCTTGCTTCTTTCGAGGATGCAGCTGATATCCAATCGTTAACCCATTACCAAACCCACCTGCCCAATGGGCTGGGTCTTTTGGGTCTTTCGGCTCTTAAGCCACTTCCTTTGCGCAGCACTTGTTTGTTTCGCGTTCTCGGCGCTGATTCCAACCAATTTCCATTCCTTTGCCCAACTATCAGCTTTACCAAAACTGCTCTGCTGTGCAAACGACATCATTTTAAAAAAAGGCTGAGCAGGCTCTCGGTTTGGTAACTTACTTTATATCGCTTTACGTACTTTATCGTGTTCGAGATTTCATCTCATGTATCGCTTAACGTTTGTTCAGTTATACTTCCCGAACTGAGTTTGTTTCGTGACCCGTTGGTTACCTGGTTCTCGCTGGGTTTTGCTGTATTATACCCCTCCTACCGCTCAGTGTGTAAGCCAACTTTTACTTTGCAATCTCTTTCTCTATACAACACCGGGTGTAGTTCTTTAGGTCACTAATAGACTTGATACCGCATCGAATAGTTTGATATCATGAGTAACAATCAGTTAGAACCTCGTTCAGTCTCTCCTGACATTGAACAGCAACGGCCGCGTAACGCTTCACCGGCGCATCCGGACGATCCGCTCACCGGCCCGCAACATCTCGAGTTCAACGAGGACGACGACCTGCCGACCCCACGCTTTATGCAGGACCAAGGAGCTTGGAAGAATTTTAAATGGGTTCCATATCCCGTCCGAAAGTATGGGAAAGCCGCCTTTAAGTGGATGAAGGGGCCGCCGAACCCTAAGCTCTGGAGAATCGAACCACTTTTCCCGACTGTCCAAGAGGCGCCGCTCCATCTACTCGATAGACTCCTTCCCAAAAAGATACATCAAATCTTGCTATATATGGGATATGTGGCCGTATGGATTGTTACATTTGCAATCGTTATGTGGCGGGGTCAGGTTGCTTCAGAAGTTGCGACCTATGGCACACCTATGGACATCGGGTGTGGTGTCGCATACTGGAGCCGCAACAACGACTGTGGTCTTGATGGTATGAACTGCAGACCGTTCAATGGCAGTGGCTTCGCATTTCGATGTCCCTCCAACTGCGCTAGCTACCGAGTCCTCAATCCTCGAGCCGTGGGAAGTCAAGAAGTTGTCTACGCCCCGTTGGTTGTCGGCGGGCCCCCGAATCCTGCTAATGAAAAGAACCCAGTCTATCGGGGTGATTCCTTTATTTGTGGCTCTGCCATTCATGCTGGTCTTATCTCTGATTCCCAGGGTGGTTGTGGTGTCGTCAACTTAATAGGACAGCAGCAAAACTTTGTCAGCACGAATAGACACGGCATCAAAAGCGTTGCCTTCGACTCGTATTTCCCGCTGTCTATTACTTTTGAACCAGGGATTCAATGCAAGGCTAAAGATGTCAGGTGGTCGCTGCTGGCGGTCTCTGTAGTATTCAGCTCCATCTTATCTTTATTCACTGCCTCGCCGTCAGTTTTTTTCTTTACAGTCTTCGTTGGTATATTTTGGCAAGTAGGTATGGCTTCCGACCCGCCCTCCTATTCATCCATTCCCGGGCTCTTCTCCAACATTCTCGGCAAGTTTCTCCCCGCCATGTTTTGTGCTTGGGTATTGTATGACAAAATGGGTGTGCGACGAACTTTACGAGGGTTAAGTGCTCAGATCGAGAAGACTGTTTTATGGCTGGGTGGCTGCTGGGTTGGAGCACTTACAAATTACACATTCGACTTTATACCCATTCAACGCCTGACAGGGCACGATCTTGAGCAGCAACCTGGCGCCAAGGCAGCTCTCGCTATCATTATCATTGTACTATTTTTCATCGCTGTTGGCCAAGTCTGGTGCTTCCGACAAGAAGGGAGATTGATACGATTCCTCAAGTTGTACGCGCTGTTCATCCTGGGTATCATCATATGCCTTGTGCTACCCAACCTTAGCCTGCGAATTCATCACTACATCTTAGCATTGCTACTGCTACCGGGCACTAGTATGCAAACAAGACCATCTTTGCTCTACCAAGGTATTTTGATCGGGTTGTTCATCAACGGTATTGCTCGCTGGGGATTCGACTCTATCCTACAGACATCGGTAGCTTTGCAGGGTGATGCTCAACTTGGTTCTCCTCTGCCTATTCTCCTCGCTCCAGTTATTAACACCACTCTTTCAACAATCACGTTCCGATGGGAACCACCACCAGGATTACGCTATGACGGTATCAGTGTGCTAGTAAACGATGTTGAGAGGTACCGTGGCTTCTTTGCAGACGAGAGCCCAGATCATTTCGTATGGTCTCGCGAGAACGGGACAAGTTACAACGAATACTTTCGGTTTGCTTTCATGTCGGGTTCGACAAGTGGTGACTACACTCAGGCTGGTATCTGGACGAAAGAACTTGATTGGGTTGATCCTCAGCCCGGAGCTTCAAAAATCAAAGTCCGAGGTTTGGATGTGTCGGAAACAGAACAGGTACCTCGTGCCGTTTGGAAATGAATCATGATCGTATTATGTCAGTCAGTCAGTCAGTCAGTCAATACAATAACGAGTTTTATGAGCGAAACATTGCTTTATGTTTTAACATTTTCCATTGTTAGTGACACAGTATAGGTGCCTAACTACCTCATAGGGTGTGACATGTCATTTATTTTTCTAGGGTTGGATGTTTTCAATATTTCAGTCGTCCACTTTCTTTTTGGTGTTCCCAAGACCATGTTTTCAGCAATCAACAGTTCGTTACTTATCATACGTAATGCCATTAATAAGGTAGGTACCTATTACAGTGTATTATCCAATCTACCAGAATAACTCCAAGCTGCCTTCTCTTTGCTAAACACAATACGTATTGATGCAGGTAAGAATTATCGCCCTCCGTAGCTCCCGTTCATTCGCAAGTTCGAACAATATAATCTACGGTCTGGTTTCCGGTTGCGGGGACCTTGGGCTTAAAATCGAGGTAAACGAGCTTTACAAATCGCCAAATACCATTAGCATTCGAATCATCGCCCACCTCTCAGCCTTTATATAGCAGTTTCTAAGAAAGATAAACTTACCTCCCCCCTTTCCGGTCTCCAATCGCCGTTGGTATCGCGATAGAAAACTATCTCGCTAGACTTGACATCGCGGACTTCGGCGGTAGTATGCGTGAGCGTCCCTTGCGTGCGCCATTCGAACTGGTAGCAGGTCGACTTGATGGCGAGGAATGGTTTCGAGCACCGCGTATTGCCTTCGGAGTCCTTGCACTTCTCCACCGCGTAGTCCATTACCGATCCCTCCACTATTGTACGTGCTATATTGACCAAAGGCTGGTTAGTAAAAGTAATGAATCTGATTATTTGTTTGGTGGATCGGAAAAGGAGCTGGGCGGAACTGGGAATGAGATGGTGCACATACGCTGTCTGAGAGTGCCGGTAAGAGCCAGCCCTGCTGTCAGAACACTTTGCGTTGATGGAATATACATGACGAGATAGAATATGTTTTTTAAAGATTTTTTAATAATCAAGAGGTAAATAATTTTAAATTAGGATGACTCTCAAGTTTCAAGAGTTAAGTTGTTAATTAACAAGTTGACTGAAAACAGCCGGGTAAGCATTCTTAGCCTTCGCAACCACAACGTCATAGACTATCACCATTGGCTAAGTAAGCCCTGTAAAAAGCCAACACAACAACTTCAATGTAGGACTTCATTTCAAGGTTATTCAACCTGCATGTTTCGGTCCTTAGCGCACCTTCAATGGACGACGTGCATTTACTTGCCCCCTTATTGTGATTTTTCAACCAGGTCACGGGTAACACAGACTCAAATGAGATGTCCGAGTACAATAATTAGTGCCGCATACTAAGTATCTCTCCTAGTACTGAAGTCATAAAACTCATGCGACACATTGTACAAATTCTAAGTCAATGATGAAAGTCCGGTGTTTAGAGGCTTGTGTTCTCGGCCGAGAAATGTTTATATTTGCAGTGTATTCTTCATAATATGAAAGCGACGAGATGAAGGAAGTCAAAGTCCATGTTCTATATCGATACTATGCCCTTATTTATACGCCTTGTTCAAGAACGCCTTGCGCATCTGCGTGTACTCGTCGTGGGTCAGGTCCGCGTACTGGAGACAATCGTCGCCGCAAGCGAACGGGACAGATCCAACGCCGTCGAACCAGGGAGCAGCAGATACCTATGCAAGGATAGGGAATACCCGTGATTTTGATACATGTTGTTGAATGAAGATAGTTAGCCCCCACTTCTCCCTCTCCCTCCAGCCCTTTGGTAGGTTAGTTAGGTACCTACCTCCTAAGATAACTTACCGGACTTGGGGGTCTTTCCGGTAACTTTAATGTGCGCGCCCCTCAGCGCATTGCAGCACTTCTCGACGACGTTCTCGGGGACGCCTTTGGAAACGTCCATGCAGTATTTTCCGCGATTGTACAGCTCGTTGTTGAACTGCACCTTGGCTTCGACGGCGAAGTTGTCCTCGCCGTCGCCGATGACGTCCCGCTTGTCGATCTCCTCGACGATGATCTCGAGAACTTAGACTACGATGCCAGCGATGGCGAGGACTAGATACCATACTGGAGCAGGGCAGCTCTGGAAGAGAGTGAAGGCCGCGAGTACGGCGGTAACGGTGGCGGCTTCGTAACGTATTTTGAAATGTTGGACGGGGTAGAGAGGATATCTTCAAAAGAGAGGTGCAAGAATCTGCGAGGAATCATCTAGCTAATGTGACTTAATCTTGAGATCTTGGTGTCTACCGTTCTTCTCTAACACTGGGTTGAAAAGACTCTTATATATACACAGGTTCACTTGGAGACTGTCACCAGACTTGTTTGGTGAGGCCGCTCCATAGCAAATGCCGTCTAGCTATACCGATTGAGGTTTTTCTCGTCCTCGCCTCTTGTTTCTAGAACGAAACCATTTAAGGACTTTAGCTGGCAGATGCTTAGACGCCAAGTTCTTATTTTTGGGAAGACCCTGTATGCGTTAAGTTCTTGATCGCTTCCCCCACAGGCATATTGTCGGTCCTAGTAAAAAGAGCCAACGCTGCCCATCTCAAGGGCCTTCTAAAAGAAAGAAAATCGTAACTATCAATGCTCTCCTCATGGATTTACTTACAGCTATTATAGCCGCAAAACCACTGGTTTTATACGCATCTACCGTGGCGCTGGTATTCACGGGCCTCCATATCCGGCAAACTGTAGGGATAGCATCCTACCCTTCTTATGGACTCTCCTCGCGGCATCGATACATGACATCGGCCAGCTTGACTGGATCCCAGGTTTCGCCTACCAGTTCGGGATGCTGGTAGTAATCACTTTCCTCTGCAGCCCTCTCATATCCCATGCCCGAAAAGACCCTCTCAAAGTCGAAGGCGAGGTCGATGGCACCTTGAACTATAACCTGACGACGGCCTACAAGATCTACAATAATCCGCGGATGCTTCCGATAAAATTGGAAAAACCCTCACGAGCCGTACGAGTGTCGAATGCTGTACTTGTGAAGTTTACGTCATATCGCCTCCTAAAAATATTAGTTTTCGTCGCGCTCAATATTAGCCTCAATCGCGCCATGACCCCTATATTCTCAACCTGCACCCTTGACGACTTCTCACCGGCCCGCGAAGCCATATTGAGGCGTCTCATCAGTGGCACCGTATCCCGGCACGACCTCGGCATACGAGCATTCATATCGACGATCTGGATATTACATTCCGTTTTCCAGCTTGAGATCAGCCACGTATCAATGAGCATTCTATTGGTAACTGTTCTTCGCGTCGATCAGCCTCATGGGTGACCACCGCTTTTCGGCCGCCTACTTGAAGCTTATGCTCTGAAGCGCTTCTGGGGGAGGTACTGGCATAGACTTTTCGCTTCGGCAGGGATCTGGGCTCGTGCTATTGTCGATCAAAATGCCTTCTCTTGGCTGCCGTCCGGGCGAAGAAAGTATTGGCTGCCTTTTTACTCTTTACCATGTCGGGCATCGCACACGCTATCGTCGGGTGGAGGATAGGGGATTCCGCCCCGGAGCGAGACGTCCTCTTCTTCTGGTATAACTTCTTGGCCGTTTGCTTCGAGATAATTGTCTCAAAGTACTGGCCGAGCGAGAAACTGGCATACCTGTTGCATTGGGTAGGACTTCACGGCAGAGCACAACACGTAGCAAGAAGGTTGTTTGGGTTCTTGTGGGTTTGGACGTTCTTCATGTGGTCAACTCCGCGACTTGTATATCCAAAGATATACGCTTTGTTACTAGCTTCCATAACCAAGTAAATTTTACAATTGAGGGAAACATAATATGACAACCTAAGGCCCGGGCCTTATGCTCAAATCTATGTACCAGTTCCTTAGTTGCTAGTTTATGTGAATACACTAATGAAAACCAGACCGGCAAGCAGCCCAATCTTCAAGTACGGCGTCTCGTTCAAGCATATGGTTATCCATCCCAAGTAGGGGATGTAGCCTCGAACAACCCCAATTATCTCATCCCTATAGACATACCTCCGTTTGCCGGGATAGAGCGCAACATCATCCATCTCATTATTATCTCCCTTGGTTAAGATTAATTGCCTGTAATGCGTAGGGGATTAGCAGTGGGTACTATCTTGGCTGAAGTTGAACGGATATTCCAGGCTCTTCTTACTCAGTCTCTATATTTCCTGGTCTTGGTTCCTTTATGACCTTGATTGCTCTATGAACCATTGGCAACGGCGCGTTATGAAACCAGATGACGGGGATGTCTCCTATCTGTATTTCATTCTTCACGTTGGATATGATGATAATATCACCAAGCCGGCGCCATGGAATCCGACACGACAACATGAATAGGGCAGGGTGAGTTGGTGTAGACTGATAACCCTCTCCATAACATGAAAATCGTACTGCCTACACGCAGGATAGGTAGGAGATGCTGAAGAGGTTTCCTCATGATGATCAGACCAAGTATCATAAGGAATGAGCTTATGACCACCCGGATGAGTACCTGGATGCCACCTTTACATATGAAGGTGGAGGTGTATGTATAAATGCTCAATGCCATATCAGCGTCTACTTTCATCGCCAAGACTGGCCTTTTACAAGTCACGACACTCGAATTGTTTGCTCAACAAGCACGGTAAGACTTCTACGCTTAGGCTTATTCAGTCAGCGTACGTACCTACGTTAGGTACTTACCTACCAATTGGTTGCATTTAAAAGCAAACCATTATACCAAGGATATTAACTCATACAGGCTAATTGAATTATTTTAACGTACCTGTTTATTAGCTTACTGATTAAGTTGTAGCTATAGGAACATTAAATAGAATACAATCAATACCGACGTAGGTACTTTCGTAATTTACTTCTAACGGGCCAACGACTTTCATATTCCCAGCAGTAAGATCCGGGATTCAAACACCAGAGGGTGGAATCAAAGGTGGTACAAGCGTATTGTTAAGGCGCTGATAATTTGGAGTCATAATACACTGATACTGAATGGTGAGATCAAACGCTGATACTGGAGGATATGGTTAACCTGAATCTTGTGGATTGAAGATAGATCATATCGTAAGGCTCCAGGAGATGGTCCCTTTCTTCTCTCGATCCTTTCTCGGATTACGAGTCGGCCCAACGGTAATGATGCGGTGGGCGATACTTAAAAATGCAACTCTATGCAGGCAACATTGTGCAACCCCAGCTCCCTCACGTTGATTCAGGGAATCTCTCCCAAACAAGTTGGGTGTATCTCGCGAAGTCTAAGCGGTTGATTGGCCGAACCATAGGTTACGGATGTATTGGAGTTGTGATTGAGCTATGGCATTTTTGGGATATGCGGCGCGAGGGATTCTGGTAGCCTGCCTTAGGTCTTGTATCTGATGTCATATTCCAGCTGAAACTGTGTCTAGACTCTCTGATTCATCTGGTCTTAGTAGTTGGAACCATTTTTTCTGCCCTATAACATCTAGAGCAAAGAAAACAATACCAAGATCTCCAGCTTATATTTTCATTCGGAGCCTCCCTTGACTACATCTCGGTAATGGAAGTTTGCTGAATACTTTTTGTCTTATATTAATTAGACATTGGCTATGATTGGGGGACGGCCTAGTACCAACCTCTTGTTGGGCGCGGTGCTTTTTACCTGTATTTGCCTCACATATTTGGGTTCCGGGTCCGCACGCAATGAACGGGGCTCGACTCCGAGCCCCCCGAGATGGAGATTATCATCGGCGAGCCAAGGAAAATCGGATGTATTTAATAGAACACTTGGCGTGAGTTCTGTCCCGGCCGATACGGGGGTTATTAGCTGATTAATAATTATACTACCCTGTAGTTCGAGAAGGTCTTCGTCATAGGCCTCCCCGAACGTTCAGATAAGCGAGATGCATTGACACTGATGGCTGCGCTCACGGGGTTCAAGTTGAGTTGGATCGACGGCGTTATCGGCAGTACCATTCCGGACAAGGCTTTGCCGTTTGTAAGCTCGTCGTCTTCGATCGAATCACGCCACAAGGGAACTAACTAACGGAGTTGGCTTCTAGGGATGGGATCGCGAGACGATGCGGGATAGCAACCTAGGTTCCTGGCGCGGCCATGTAAACGCGATGCGACGCATAGTCGAGAACGGAATCTCGTCGGCGTTGATTGTAGAAGATGATATGGACTGGGACGTAAATATTAAATGGCAACTAGCCCGGTTCGCGGCGGCAGCCCGTTCCTTGCAAAACGGATTCCACCGAAACCAGACACTCGAATCGCCGAGCCCATATGGTCAAGACTGGGATATGTTGTGGTTAGGTTCATGTGTAGCAACATTCGATGAAGACCTCCCCGAACACCTTCAGATCCCACTTGAGGAGCGCGACTCCCGCAAGATTTTCATCCACGACGACCCGACGGTACCATCGCCGGGGCACATACTAGGAAATGGCTCCTTTAGTTGGGACGATTATCCTCCGCGCACGCGCATAGTATATGTACCTGGCGATAACGTGTGTAGCTTCGCATACGCGTTGAGCGCGGCCGGAGCGCAAAAGGCGTTGCAGCATATGGGACTTGAAGGACAGCACAAGCCCTTCGATAATCACCTTAGTGATCTTTGCCGGCTGCGCATTAATGGTATGCGGTGTGTGAGCATAGTGCCAAGTCTCTTCGTACATCACCGGCCGAAGGGCAAGATTGGCGGCGACTCGGATATTAATAAAGGCGCCGAGAACGAAGAGGTACGAGAGGTGGGATTTACCGAGAATATAGTATATAGCACACGTTTGAATCTGAAAAATCTGGTTAGAGGTTTGGATCCAGAGAAGCAATGGGTAGATTGATGATCACGACTAATAGGTCTAGGTCTATATGGGCGGTTATTTATCATTGGTGAAGCTCTTTAGAATATGGATACCTAAAATATGAAACTCATTTAAGATAAAACCCATATGAACTATAAAGGATGGATTTATATGCATTTATATTTTAACTAAAAACAATTTTCATCTTTCATTTTTCACTCTGATTCCTCATCAGTTGATGGTGTTCAGGCACAAGGTCTTGGCTGTCAGGTACCAGGTTAGAGGTACCTAAGGTACCTGATGTTAGGGATTATCAACACTATCGATAAGACTCGGGACTAACACTAAGAGAAGAGTTCCACTTTAATACATCCAACAATTGAAGGTCGGAGAAAAAAAAAAAACTCTTGGAGCTTTTCACTTCTCGATCCACATCGGACAGCGCCAGTCACCCTTCACCAAAAAAATCTCGTGCAGATTTCAAACAACTGTAGCCATTATAAACACCTCGCTACAATTTATCGAAAGTACAAGCGACCTCGACTACCTATATTCGAGGGCCGGCCAGACGGGACGAAATAAATAAAGCTGTAAAAAATAATAATAAGGGAAGCGAAAGCACAAAACAAACCGTCAAGATGCATTTGATGTACACCATGGACGAGAGCGGCAAGCGCATCTACACCCTGAAGAAGGTCCTAAACGGCGAGGTCACCAAGTCCGCGCACCCGGCACGATTCTCCCCCGACGACAAGTGGTCGCGCCAGCGCGTCACCCTCAAGAGACGTTTCGGTCTGCTATTGACGCAGCAGAGTAAGTCTTACTTACCTTACCTTCGTCACCCTTTCCCCCAAGGCAGAGGGATAGATGGCTTTATCTACCCCAGTCAAGATACGGTTGAGAGCTGGTCACAAGAAAAATGAATACCATGTACTAACAAATATTTCTTCTGCAGAGAACAAGGTCGCTGAGACCTCGCGGTGAAGCACTGTTCATCATGTTGGGTGAAAAAAAAAGAATTCGAAATCGGCAAACTGATATCTGAAATATTCGATTCGGCTGTTCAAAGGTTGCAAATATAAGTCCTCTATTGGACTGGCGTTCATGGCGTGCGAATCAGGAAGAGAGACATTCGACTTTCGGGATTATGGACTACTTTAGGTACCTACTTATGGCAAGCCATCTGCTCGATACCTTCATTCATATGGGTGGTAAATGCTTTGCAGATTCCATTATACCAAGCGATACTCTCAATACGGAATGTTAGCTTTTTCTGAATGAAAGGGTGTAATCTGAGCTCGGGGACGTAAGGGACACCAGGTTCCATAGTTAAGAAACCTTGTATTCATAACTGCCTTTTTTTTTTTTTTTTTTGGTTCCATGCTGCACTTTTGAAATACGTAGTTCTATATCATGCCATACCATACCATTTAACCCGTTTTAAATACCGAACCCCTGTAACACCTATATATACCTACCTAAGGTATATATATATACCTCTCATGACAATGCTTTCCCATCTATCTCTTCCGGGAATTCACATTCCTCCCGGCGCCAACACGTATCCTGCCGGGTGCTCCCCCGCTCCTGTCTCCCGTCAGGATACCCGGGAGGTAGTCCTCGTCCATGATATCCCTCTGCTTCGTCTTCTTCTGCTCGGTAGACTTCTTCGCGTACTCCTTCTGGTCCTCGGCGAAGATCAGCTCTCTGCCCCAGCCGCCCTTTCCGCCCCCGGGGCCGCGCGCCTTCCCGTTCGCCGACCCGTGCACCGGCTTCGGCACGCTGTACACGTTGCCGCGGTTGTTCCACTGGAAGTTGCGCTTCAGGTGCACCGTGAACTCCCCCGCCGCGTTCGTCGAGCAGCTCACGCGCGTCAGCGTCGGCTGTCCGCACCGCGGGCAGAACTGCTTCTCCATGTGCCGCGAGATCGCGAAGCACCCGTGACACCGCAGCACCCACGTCTTGACGCGCGTGATGCGCGCCAGGCTGGGCGATACCAGGTTCAGGTTCACCCTCAGCGCTACGTTTTGCATGGCGTAATCTGATGTGAGGAGCGCTACTTGCAAGAACTTCTGGATCGGCTGTTCTGGTGCCGAGATCTGGTCTTTGGCTTGGTGTTTCTTGAGGTTTGATGGTGTGATCCAACCTTCTCCATCGTCGTCGTCGTCTTCCTCTTCCTCTACCTTTACCTCTGGCTGTTCAGTAGGGGCTGTTTCGGATATTACGGCTTCATTTGGTATGGTATCGACTGTTGGTAGAGCAGATGGTTCTATGCTGAGAGAACCAAGGGCTTGGGTGACCGTCTCTTGTTGAACGGTCGGCTGCTCGTGTGTTTCGGATTTGGCATCGGTATTCTCGTCCACTTTTGCTTCTTCTAATTGAACTTGGTTTCCTTCGTTGTGATTACCAACATCGTTTTCTTCCTTCTTACTCTCAGCATTCGCGCCATCATTTTGTTCCGTGGCGCTGCCTACTTTCTCTTGCGTAGGCGCCTTTCCATTCAAACCTTTCTGTCCGGGAGTCTTTCTTAGTCGCCAATCGCCGCCGTTCCTTTCACACTCTAACTCGTATGTTAACGCGATCAGGTGCAAATCGGGTCTGCTTAGGACCTCAAGATCGCCAGTTCGTCGCGCGAAGTCGGTAACAAATTTGATGCTTTCAGGACGGGGGCTGCGCAGCTTTATGAAGGGAAGTAAGGTTGTTTCAACGCGCGTCCTTGTCGCGGCATCTCGAATTTCAGAAATCACCGAGGGGAGAGTGTATAACTCGTGAGCTTGAGCTATAAGGGTGCTGACGGGAGGATCGTTCTTAATTAGAGGGCCTGTGTCGAGGACAAGCGAATGAATAGGTTTTGAGGGTGTAGCTTCTGCGTCTTTTGGTGCCGTTGGTGCTGTTGGTATCGTTGGTGTATTTTCGGTATTCACGGCTTCTACCGCTTTTTGAAGTTCTGTTGTTGCCATCTTTTGGGAATATATTTGTAGTGATATAATACCTTTTATCTATCACGAGTTGTATCGCTATCGCGAATTTGAGAGATGGTGGGGTTGCGATTTCGTCTTGTGAAATTGTTGGCAGGCGTTGGTGGTGGGCAGTGTGGGGCTTTGAAAAACTTTAGCGGGGAAAATGGGCAGAATCTTTGATGTCCATTTCCTTCTGAAGTACAAATACATGGGTACCTTAGGTACCTAGGTACCTACTGTAAGGCCATCAAGCGTTCCCATACCATTAGGTTAGGAGGTAGGTAGGTACATGCCTAACGGGATCACATACTAGACGTTTAAATATTTACGCGACTTCGTCTATGTCAGGTAATAGGTAATCTAAATACTCACGTACGCAAGCTTTATTCACGACAGGATGTTTGTTTGACGATTAGTATGTTGGTAGTTCTCCATATGGAGCATCAATATCACACCCATAACAAGAACACAACGAGTTATATGCATTACACACTTTATGCCGTTTAGTAATAACACAAGCTATCAATGTCAATAGGCTGGCTACTTGAGCCACATAAGGTCTTTTCTTATAAGAGAACGGGGATAAATTCAACTTAAAATACTGTCGTGATCACGTACCTCGCTAATGGAGCAGTTTTCAATCATCATTGAAAACCAATCCGCTCTATGAACTTTTATGCTTCAATCGTCGTGTCGTTTTATATCGTAGGCCAATGCGCCTGAATATGAGCATATACATTGCCCGAAGAGCTTTGCGGACCAATGCCCGCAACCTCAACCTTGGACCGAGTCACCTCTTTCGAATATCCCCCCTTGACTTTCTTAAACCGCCAAGGATTGTCAAAGACCAGCTTTGGGAGCTTTAACCCGTAGATGCTGCATAGTTGAACAGCTGACGTCCCGCTTTCGCACATTGCTTCGATGGTTGTATACCATTTAATTAGACACCGAAATGTGTCTTGTAATTCGTAAGCCTGGACCTGGTAGAAATGGGAGCTTCCTCCAAGTTGCAACGGGCATATTCGCCTCGCAACCGTCACTGGAAAATCCAGATTTAAGTAGTGCTTATGAATACGTGCGGTGTTCCAATATTTAAACAAAGGAGCTTGGTTCGAATCGTCTTTAAGTCGTATCTCGTATACGTGATAGCGAACTCTTGGCTATTTGGGGACAAAAAGTCTAGAGCTTAATCGATTTCTCGGAATTTAGCTAACCTGCAATATCGACGATAGTTTCGGAGAGTTGATATCAGGAGTTTGACGGCGATATGATCTCCAGAATAGCCTGCGTCAATAATCTAGGTCTCGCTCCGATCAGCAAATAAGAAGATATCCCGGGAATTAAGAGTTCTACCCTGATCGTAGTATTTGTGAAGTAGGCTTTTTATTCGGAATGGGCTTGGTATCTCCACAGAGTATTGGCATAATGATGCCGAGTTTCTTGGAGAATCTTGTAGTGTTCTCGTATTAGCTCTTTGGCTAATTCAAAGTGGTAGTAGCCATTAAAGTGCCAAGCCAAGTCAGTAAGATTGGTAGCACAGTTACCGTTATCAAATTAGCAGGTATACCAACCTGTTTGAAAAGCTCAAACGGTTGTTTGCGAGTATTCGTTATTGAGCCATTCGCTTGAAAGCCACGATGCCGACTCAAGACCGGTATTTCCGGACGATTCGAGGTTGAACTCGAAACCATCCATCGCACCCTCAAAAGCGTTATTATTGTCTACTCCATCTGGTGGTATCACCGGTGGCAAATTTGACTTCGACATGCTAAAATCCCCGATTGGCGTCTCAGGTAGCAGAGATGTGCGGGTATGCTGCTGTGACGGATGGGGAGTTGAGTGTTGCATTGGGGTCGAAATCGAACTACCTTGCGGCGAGGGCATGTGAGCTGAGGGAGAAATTATAGGAATGCTGGTAAATCCGCTTTCATCCACAACTTGCATTTGTTGAATCGGGGTATGGCGCGGCAAAACGTGTTGTGATATGAGGTTGGGAGCGTTAGTACTTGGGCTCCCTGGTTGATTTGGCACGGCATTCGTAGCAAAGCCGCGAGCAATTAGTTTTTCGAGATCGGCAACCTAAAATTGCATATGTATTGAGTAAAAGGTAGTTATGAGATGTTCTGGATTGTGGTAACTTACAATAGCGGCCCCAGCCGGGACGTGATCCATTGACTTGGCAATCGTTAGGCATCTTGTACCAAGTTCATGCACCTGGTTTGATGTCAAGCCAATTTCCATTTGATTTGTTTGGTGCACAAAGTAGATGATCCGGGCGCATTGATAAGCACAACTGGGTAGATCGAGATCGGTAACCGGCAGACCTCCGTCGAGCGACAAGACTAGTTTGAAAATATCCGCCATAGCCAAAGCGTGCTCATAACATTGACGAACACAATATGACACGAATTGAGGATCTAGTCGATTCAGCCCAGACTGCGGCAATGCTTCTTTTAGTCCTACAAGGAACATTCGGTAGAGATCACAATAGCACTGTCGCCACCAAACGTGTATCATGATATAAACGCATAGTCGTGGGGAATACGCTCGTAATTGGAGGTTGCTTTCAGAGAACTTGAAAGAGGCTGGTAAATGATCGTTGAACCCGGCCAATTCATCTGATAGTACCTTAACCAGTTCTGGTAATTGGGCCAGTTCAGACTCTGGCATGCCTAACACGTTTTTGGTGCAATACAGGACTCTGCTTCTCATCCATAGGAGTCGTACATGCAATGCTAGCGAACCGACGTCATCAGGGAAAGGCCGCGTTGGAACCGGGCGGAGATATTCGGTTACTTGTGGTAAATCAAATTCGAAGTTACGCTCGGTGCAAGGGAGTTGAATGTGCATGGATTCAGACGGCATCAACGTAAAATCCGAACACCCGCCGTTAATACCAGAGTCGATAGTCATAAGCGCCCACATCAACCTTCTTCGTGATTCTCGTGCTAAAAAACATAAATTCGGATTCTCATAATTCAGGCGGAGAGCATAGGCAAAACGAGTAGCCGTGGCAGCCAACATAAAGGCGGTGGTAAATTTCCGCGACATCATGCGGTGTTTCATAACGAGGACAAGTGCCTGTATCTTAATAGTTGAAGGATTTTCGAGATCTTCGAGTACCATTTTCTGGCATTCGTCAATGCATCTAGTCCCATATTCCCGAGTGCCGGGGCCCAGGTCTATCATTAGTGAAGTAATGCCGACTAAAGCAAGAAGCAGCGCCTTATCCATCATGCCAGCATGATATCGTTGCATGAGCGAAGCGCGATGAAGAAACGAAAAAATAGGGACGTGATGAATTTGACGAAAGAAATTACTAAATGTCCGCTGTATGATACCTTCATCCGGAAACACAAACCTAAGTGGACGGTTAGTTTAGCTATACTAAATACGCGCAAGGGAAAGGGGTGAGCTATCGAATGCGTACGGTTCATTGCTGGGTGCTGGGCATGTCGAGACCCCATTCGGTTCGAAACTATTCCTATCGGATCCTTGTGGACCATGATGAGAGCCATGAGTATCTTTACTCGTCATTACTCGCTTCTCAGGTGGTTCGGATGAGACAGACTCAATCTCAGAATCAGTAGCGCCCTGGTGAGATTGCTGGGAGACACCGCTGACGCCTCCAGATCGTTTCGTCGGTTTATAAACGCACTCGATTCCTTGGGCTTGACATCTTGCGCATTTCGGGGTTTCACCACTACATCTAGCTTTCCTGGAATGACAGTTGGCACAAGCTAGTCTAACACGTCTTCGTGGAAGGGTGAAATTTGTCAGACCCTCGGAATCCTGGCTGGGCGAGGCGGCATCTTGAAACGAGCATGTGAACCCCAATCGCTCGCAATTCTGGCAAACATCGCGACGGCCGTCGCAACGAACTTTCCGCACCCTACACGGAATACACGTCTGGCTTGACTTCTTGGGATGTCTGTTCGTAGGGTCGACGGCAGCAACGTCTGCCGCGACCTCAGCTGCTGTATCCGCGGCCACCATCTGCACGCTCATGTCTTCCAGATCCATTCTCCCAGAACCTGAACCAGGACATGAGTGTGGGTGTTGGGTGTAAGCGTGAGCGTGAGTGTTAATAATTCGTAATGAGAATGAAATAGGAATAGCTAGGTAGCTTCTTCGACGGATTTACCTGTTTCAGGGCGCGAAATGGCGGTATTGCGTTATTGCGTTATTACAGATTGTGGATATGTTACACCTATCAGCGTCCCCGGAATATTAGTTGTATTGGCTGTATTGGTGGTCAAAAATTGGAGGGAATTTCACGTTGGGAAATTCGGCTCTGGTTGTAAAGTGTGAAAACAGAGAAAATGGCGGAGACCGGCGAAAGCGGCCTTCTGATTAGCGATTACTCAGTCCCAGTCGTAGTGGGCCGCAACTCAGTGGACTAGTCTAGGTCGTTCCAGCAGACAAGGCCCGCTAGCACTCACTATAAACCTGGCTCCGGCTTTGGCTAGTCTAATGGATATTGGATATACGTCATTAGGTAGAGATAGAGAGGCTCAGCTCAAATCGAATACAAAAACAATTACAAGTATTAACTTTAACTATATTGTCTTTACTGGTTAGGTACCTAAGGTAATTTATATTGTTTCCCAATAGCGAAATGCGTCGTAAGTTGTCAGCATGGGACAATTATTCCGTACAGATAGGTACAGGTAAGTACCTAACCTAAGGTACCTGTCAAGAAATACTTTATAGCCCATAGTACCTGATGGATCATTATAAGTCGGCAATGACAACAGCTTCATCCTGTATGCCTCTTTTTTCTAGAAGGGCACTTCAAATATCTAGACTACCTCTCAGGATATACCCCTTTATAATTACAGGTGAGAGACATTGCAAGAAATCAGGATAGATAATAGATAATACCTAACTTACGATCTCTTCTCTCTTCAGATACTCATACTCTTGGCGTCGTTTTAGCTTCACGAGTATTTTCTGGGGTTTGCATGTGTTAGCCCCGTTCTAATGGAGGGATGACTAAAAATTTACATACGACCGAGGATACAATATTCATCCCTTCATCACTTCACCTTTTCGTAGTTCCGGGGATTATCTCCTAAAAACTTCCTAAGGAGGTATTGGTAGAATTGGATAAAGGGAATTAAAAAGAGCGCCCTCCATCATCCGAAATTATCCAATCATACACAACGACACGCACGTCAAACAGGATCAATAATGTGTCATCTAGATCTAGAAACACCGATAGCCGGTCCGACAACCGGAGGGCTGGCGGAGCCCAAGACTTTCGTGCTTAATCCATTTTATTCCCCTGGGAAGACTAAATACGTTTCTTAATTGTCTCTAGACCCTGATATTTATAAATAAGTTTCCATAAAAGCCTCACGGCAGTACATGGTCGTCCAATTAGAGTCTTATATCTTATAAAACCGTGTATAAGCCTTGCATGACTTCTTGTGTAACATTAGCTTCAGCCAATAGAGAGATAATTTGGTACAAGCCTGTGATGAATTGAAAGCAATCAAAGAAATACTCTAAGTTACTAAATTACCCATAGCCTTAGGTTAGGTACCTAAAATATAAAAACCAAGTAAAAGTCAGTAGAAGTTTTCTCACATAGCTAATCTCATGCAGTATCGTCGGTAAGATCTTAACTTTCCTTGACCTATGAAGTTACGACTACGAACCTAAGGTTACATTGATCGATAAAAGATGTCAACTTATCAAACTGTACCTAAGTCTTACTAAGAGTCTAGGTTAGTTCCAATTTCGGTAACTCAATCTAGCTTTATGCAAGATGTAAGCCAACGTTGTAATATGTGACAGTTGATAAGGAGATTTTGTTACTTTACCTCCCGGACATGAACAGTACCTTAGCCAGTTAATTCGACAATGCAACCTAGCAAATTGAAGCGAAAATTATATTCGTAAAAAATATTAAATTTTCAACCAAGCTACCTACCTACATTACCTAAGGTACATTACTAAACAATTTATTGCCATCGTCCAAAGAGACATAAATGTTGAAGTATCATCCTGCATAACCCATTGTAGCTTCTACCAAGCCAAAGCCTAAACTCATCTTAACCAGAGATGCGATATAAAACCTGTTCGACACTTACTCTTCATGTACCAAATACTAATACTAATAGAAAAATAACCCTTGAACGGCTCAAGCAGGCGTATTTGCAAGGTTTTCCTTAGTACTCAGGTCCTGGGGCAATCCTTTAGCAGCCGCTTCCTTAAGACGTCGCTCCCTCTCGGCTCTCCCTTCACTCGCCGGATCATAATATGCTATATGTCGTCAGCATGATTCAATAAAAAATTATTAGATACATGGTAGGTAGGTGCACAGGATTTAGTAATATTGTACTTACGTTTCTCCCCAAAGACCGTCGTACGAATACCTCTTCGAGGCGCTTCGTAGGAACCGGGTATGACCCGATGAAGGACGCATCTGTTATCCCACATCGCGACACTACCAACTTCCCATTTCCACCGCACAGAATGATCATCTGCCGAATGGAGGTGGTATTGGAAGAAGTCGAGTAGCTTATCGGATTCGTGCTTCTTGAGCTCGGCGAACCCGGTGACGAACCCGGTGTTTACGTTCAGCGCCTTCAATCCGGTAACCGGGTGGGTCCTAACGGCCGGGTGATGCGAGTCGATAGGGGGCCGGTTCGGCCCAACGCCCCATAGGTCCAAGATGGTGTCGTACTGCAGCCTCGAGGTGTGCACCGCATGCAGACCCTCAACAAATCTCTTCATCGCGTCGCTCAGCGTGTCGTAGAGACCGTAACCGGAGACCCAGGCCGTGTCCCCTCCCACCGGTGGATGCTCTTCCATGCGGAGGAGGGAGTAAGAAGGTGGGTTCACCTCGAATGAAGTATCGGCATGCCATTCTCCAGAGGGCCATGGTGTATACTTGAGGATCTCGCGGTGGTCTTCTCGACTACCCCGGATCACGACGTGTTTGACGTCCTTCTGCGCCGGATGTCGATCCAGGGTGCCATAATGCTCAAAGAGTTTAACTTGTCCCTCAGTGGTCAAATCTTGATTGCGGAAGAAAACAACTCCACGCTCATTTACGAGTAATGCAAGCTCGTCCAACTGCTGCGGGGTCAATTGGGAAAGCTGCACGTTCTCTAAGACAGTGCCAATCGACTCCGTCAAGTCAACAGGTTTGGCGACTGAGAAAAGAGCTTTCTTCTCCGGGTCCGCGAATGCAGCGCGGTCCTTATCCGGAAATATTTCCTCCCGGATAGGGTCTGGTGGAACATGGTTTCTAATCTTCTCGGAGAAGTGCGGATGGATCGTGATTGGGAATCCAGAGTCCTTGGATATATGCTTTAAGGCTTCAAGTCCAGCCGACATTTTCCTAAAGTACAGTAAGAATAAATTCAGTATTCTATTGTTAAAGGGCTCTAACGCATATCAGAATAGCATATTCTACCCACTGGTACTTATATATAAAGTACCTCAGTATATATATGCCAGCCGTCTGGGTGGAGTTGGAGACTAATATGGCGTGCGCAGCGCACCCCGCCTATCAAAGTCGAGACTATCAATAAGTCGATAGATAGCTAACCGCGAGGTTGCGTCCATCGATGGCGTTAGGCAGGCCTATGATCACATCAGTCTCCAAGATTCTCCTTGTCCGGTCTACAAACTACCAAGACACCTGATGAAGAGTTAGTTATAGACTGAACATAGACTGCTTGGCAAAACAACCGTCTATCTAAGCTACCTCTAACATACTAATGTTTTTTATATCTGTTATAATAGAAGCATTATCGTAAAGCATGGACGGTTTTACCTGATCGAAGTTCTATTCGCAAATTTCTGCTTCTGTTCCTGATTGGTATCGAGAACCCCGAAGTATTCAAGTACGTATCATCTAAGTACCAGGCATGTAATGCTACCAATGGAGTCAGTTTGAACTTTCATCTTTCCGTAGATCCTTCCCTTGAATTTCAACGCGGCTCTCAAGGTCTGATTTGTCTTCATCCGCACCAAAGTCTTTGATTACCAGCCAAGCCGGTAGTAAGGCAGCGCCCCATAGACCAAAGTTAATATAGGGGCCACCAACGGCTGCAATGATGGGAATTGCATTTAACCCATAACTGACAGCTTGCCAAGCCGATTCTGTTCCGCGGAGTAACGCAGCGAGGCGAATCGTTTCTTGCGGATTGGATGATATCTGACCAATGATGAAGTATGAAAAATTGTAGTTAAGCTGGAAACCAGCGACGAGGAAGACAAAAACACCGAACGCCCTCCCAAACCCAGGATCGGCCCAATCAAAAAGAGGCTGAGTTCGGCGATACTCGGTAACGTTGATAGTAAGCCACAACCACCAAGCACCTTGCAATATCATAATAACGGCAAAGGCACGGCGCGATCTTGTCTTGAGAGAGATCTGGTGCTGGTCTAACCATAGACCAAGGAGATTTCCACATATGACCGCCACGATTCCGGAAAGGAACGAACCAAGAGCTCTTGCGCGCACGCTAAACCACAGGGCGTTATAGGTGAAAAAGACGGCTTCCGAGTAGACACCCTGACCTATCCACAAAACGAGTAACAAAAATTTCTTAGTCAGAAATGTTTTCGTCGTGGCCTTGATTTCTTGCCAAGGATTGTCGTAAATAACAAGCTGGACAGGAGTACCATCCCGTCGCTGGACTTTGGATGGCCGGTTTAGTAGTAGAGCTACCAGCGTCCCGCTTGCCTGAAGAGCAATGAATACGATATATACCGTATAAGTGACTTTTCCGGCTTGGTTACGATCCGCATTGAGCCCAAGGTTTATAGCTCCTCCTAAGATCTGTCCAATTCGAGTCCATGTCAGCCAGTAAGCGACCATTCTCCCTCGATTGCGCTCCTCGGGATAAGCAATCGCTATCGCCGCTTCCGCAGCCCAAAATATTCCAGCTGAGATGCCGCAGAAGGCCGCTCCAACGAGGACAAGCCATTCTACACCATACCGGTTGTTAAGATAGAGTCCTGCACTGTATGGGGCGTAACCAATGGTTCCGACAAAGAGAGCACCGGTGATGCCAATATATTTCACAACACCACTGGTCAACCAACAAGACACAATCATAAGACAGAACGTAAGTGCATTTCCGGTATTGACGAGATAAGGTGATTGGGAACCGCCAGCCCCAAGAGAGTTCATGGCTCCCCATAGTCCTGGTGCAGCAAAACTACAGAGTCCGAGAATTGTCGCATTATAAAATACTGATCGATACCATTTAACTGGACAACATTAGTAAAGAGCTATAGTTATGACGGCTCTGCGACTTACCTTGGACAGGCTTTTGTTCAGTATCCCCAACACTCTCAGGAGCTGTCTCTGTTACACCCGCCATGTTGACCGATATAACAAAATAATCAGATGAGTAAACAATGTAGAGAGTTCTCAACAAGGTGAGGCTTATTGAGAATTTATTGTTCAGACTCTCATACGATATGCTGATCCTGGTCAACTAACACCCTAGATAAGGCTTCATAAAACCCTGACCGAGCAAAATCGCGCCTTACCTTAGGGTGAACGCGTGATGCATGTATGTAGATCCGAAGACGGATAAGATATTATCGGATAGATCGCCAAGTACGGAAACTTATTTGCTCATTCTGATAGTCGTGGAACAGTACGCATGCGCGGACAAGCACGTCATTCAGCCCCTGGAATTGACCATCGACTATATTCTGATATCTATGCATCCTTAACCCTCAAATTTCCGATTTTTGTCAGGGTCTAGTTCTACTCATATTTAGTCTAATGTAGCACCGCATTAGCCACAACTTTCATATGAGACAGCTGCAGTAGGTATCCGAACTGTCACCTCCAGTAGGAGCTTGGTATCCCAAAGATTCAGCAATCCTAGTAGTACACACGTGTAAACTATTGAAACTTTTATTGTATAATGATAAGATAGATCTTACCAGGGTAGTATTTAGCTCAGTGCTACTCATTTTGAATGGTTCGGCGTGCTCGCCGAGGACATGGTGTCCAACGCTACGAAATGCTCGATTAGTAAACAGCAATGGATACAATATGCTACTTTAGCTTTGGCCCCTCATCTCTTCATACCCATTCCTCGTAAGAGGCGTTTATACTGACTTCATCACTTCTGAGTTTCCCAAATACCTTAACAATCAGCTATTCTAGGGTCGTCGGTCGACGATCCTGTATGAAGTATTGACATCGTCTTCAAAAATGATATGACGAAAATTTTTCGGAGCGTCGAGGAGCACCAGAAATCCGAGTTTGGCTACCTACCTATGTACTTGCCCAAAGTCATCACAAAGAGGCGATGCTATCTTCGTCTTCGTTTACCTAGTTAAAACTTCAAAGCCATTTCCTACATACATCCAAGCAGCCAAGCCACTCTGATATGTGGCAGTGCTCAGATAAGTAAATTAAAGCCACTTTACTTCGTACTTATATGCATTTATTGAAAGGCTAGAGAACAACAAAATCTGCGGGCCAAGCCGACAAACAGTCTTTTATTGACGAGGTCGCAACTTGAGAGGCGGAGATGCCTAATTAGACCAAGTCGAGTTTTTTTCCGTGGGAACTCCGACAGCAAATAAATAAAAGATCGCTCGTATTTGCTCGACGTTGTGGCGCACTTTTTCATCGGAAGTGAATTGACCAAACCCCCTATTGTTCTTCGATAATAACGTTTCTGCTGTAAGACCTCAAGGAATCATGGCTGCCCAAGAAAAAAACCCAGTTGAGATTGAGAAGGCTAGGAGCCTAGCTCATGTCCCTAAATCAGAGGAATTCGATAAGATGATCTCCGGCATGCTGTGAGTGCTTCCCTACCGACGAGGCGACATCACCGTCTTTCATTTGACCGTAAAAAGGTTCGCGCGGGATCGCATCAAGGAACGGCGTGGTTAACAGGTATTTCACCACTCAGCTACGATAGCCATGATCCTGAGCTGTCGAAGGCACGCTTCAACGCGCGGAGGTGGATGCATAAATACAACAACTACTTCCCCGATGACCCGGAAGCGAGCTTCGAGTCAATAACAGAGGTTCGGTCAAACATGCTCAAGCAGTTCCTGGGCCATGTTGGGGATGATGTTTTCATCGAGCCGTCACTCGCAGTGGATTATGGATGCAATATCCGACTTGGAAATCGGTTCTATTCCAACTTCAATCTGACCATATTGGACTGCGCCCTAGTCACCATAGGCGATCGTGTCATGTTTGGCCCCAATGTCTCGCTCCTGACGGCCACTCACGAAGTTGAAGTGCGGAGCCGTAGGGACGACATTGAGTATGCCAAGCCTATAACTATTGGAGACGACTGCTGGATAGGTGGCCATGTCGTGGTTCTACCGGGCGTTACAATTGGCCAGGGGTGTACTATCGGTGCTAGCTCTGTGGTAACGAAGGATATTCCGGCGTGGAGTGTCGCGATAGGCTCGCCCGCGCGGGTTGTGAAGAAGGTGACACCTCTTGAAGCTTCAGGTTAAGGGGTTGAGTTCAGTCTCCATCGAGAAACACTCATACGCAGATAGCAAAATAAATCTGGCTGTAGGCACGATATCCTACCTACTTCTGCCATTCGTCTGCCACGAATACCGCAATCTCCTTGTTAGTCTTATTCCATTCCATACTAGTATTGACTTCACTCATATCATATCAAACGACTGAACATTCACACCAATACTGGCGAAAACTTGCGGATCCACAAATAGAATAGCACTGCCGTCCTCCTTCAATTGCTCCCTATAATCGGAGAGATCTATTCGAAGATTCCTCAATCTGGGGTCCTCAAAGGTAATATCTGCCGATTCTTTATCCCGAAAGCCGAAGATAGCCTTATTGGCATGAGTCGTAAGGAAAATTTGAACATTTTCAGGAAGGGGTCCTAATAAGCCTTCCCCGATGCGCAGTTGGTCAATGTATGCTTCGCCTAGAAGAACAAACTGATCATTTGGCATGGGTCGAAGAGCCGCGATTCCATTGAAGCCGATTAGGACGCAAAAATGATCACCGACTTGGGTATGTGGGGGAGCCATTCCAAAATATCCGTTACTGCATCGGGCAAATTTCTTGCCCCCTACGACTCGGGATCTTTGGAGGAACTCATAGCCAGGACTCCCTGGTTGGAAAAGTTCAGGAGCATAGCGTGATTCAGAGTACAATTCGGCAATGACTTTCTTGGCCTCCCCTAAGCTTGGAAGTCTGATAAATGGGATGTCGCTCATTTCGTTGTCAATGCACCCCCAAACCAGGGTCTTCGCGTATGCTTCCAGGAGATCATCAGACAACAGATTGCCATCTATCTGGCCAACACCGTGGCCGAATAAAGTCTGACGATGGATATTAAACAACTCTTCCATGGTGGCGTTGGAAAGATCTGGGACGTGATAAATTTCCTGGACTTCCGCACACGTAACGCCTGACACGCGAAGTATCCCATCCACGGGAGATTCTATGGGTGTAGCCAATCTAGAGGATGCTAGGAACGGCTGTTGGCATAGTGGGCGAGCTGGTGCTAACTTGGACCAGTTAGGAACCCAGCTTGGATGTGAAGCATCTGGATCGAAGTGACACTCGCGGAGTAACGCCAAAAACCTAAACTTCCGTAACCATCTTAACGCGACGTCTTTATACACTTCCTCCCACGGTTTACTATAATCCGGGACTAGGCAACAAGCCCTTTCGCTTGGCGCTAACAACGATCTGATAGCGAAAATCTTGTCCCTGGGGTCGCGGCATATTGCTCCGTCAAAGTGAACACGCAGTGCTATTAGCGATATGTTTCTTCTCGGAAATATCAGTCCGGAAATGAATTCTAAACGCCTTCGGAATGAGTAGGAATGCTCAAACCCTATAGCCGGTTTGACAAACAGGCATAGTAGTGCGCTCCGGAATTCTCTCCAGCTCGTCTCTACTTTGCCGCATTGCAGAATGGCGGAATCATTGGCAAGTAATATCTCTTGTCGGATCCAAAGTCGTTCAAACCAGCCGCGGTGGATGATGTGGTATATTGCACACATGTCTCTTGCTCCCACTGGAAGTTTACAGTGCCTGTCAGCAACCGTAGGGTCTGCGCAATGCTTTGACGGCCACATATTCACAGGCTCCCAATTGACGTCGACTTGGGAGCCAATATAAGACATGATATTCATTGCACGGGCACTGTCATCGCTTTCCTCGCCTAGAAAGCCCACAACCCGGCTCGCTGTTCGAAAAATGTCTCCCATTCTCATGACTTGTTGGCCCTTCTCAATATTGTTTGCCTGATTAATGCATATTGCATCGGTCCATATAACCCTGGGGCCGTCAGGTCGGCGTAGTAAACGCAGGGCAGTAGCTAAGTTCTGCGTTACAGGGAGGATGAAGGTCTTGCTCGTGTTCGTGATGATACGAACAGTATCCGGGTCGTATTCTGATCCCCATACATAAGAGAGGGCCTCATATGCGGGAGGGTCGACATCAAGAAACTCGGCAATATTCAAGCTAATTTCGAGTTCGCTACGCCAGTCGCCAGGATGGATGGTAACTGTTCGGATGAAGCCCTCTTCAGGAAGGGGATATTCGGCGTAAACAGCCATGACAGTGAGTTAGACATTGTCGTTCTATAGACTCTTTTCAGAGGAGCGAAAGGATCAACTACATGGAAGAATGCAAAGATATACTGTCTCTATGCTTCAACAAGGCTTTGTGTGACCTCTTTCGTTGCCTGAAATGAAACCCTCTATGTATGCCCAACCCCCCTTTACTTACTTCCAATCACTTGCGAGGAGCATAGCTGCTTGTATCATTTATGTCGCACTTTAAGTTTAAGCATTGTGAACATGTACGTTTCAACTCTTCTCCTCGTCCCCGAATTCCATGGAGATTTATATTGCTTGCATGGGCCCATAAATCAGCCGTCTTATTATTGGCTGACCGCATTTTTCGGATTAAAGGACTAACATCATATATAATCTCTAAGTTTTATTTTGAGCCTATCTTCATATGTACTACCTACCTAACCTAAGTACATACGTAAGACTAGTTGATCACAAACAAAAAATGGCAGAAAAGTATTTATTCACGAAGAGCACTGTTCCCAGTGGGTATTATCGATCAACACACGAATCAGTCTGTGCTAAGATACGATCTAACATGATATTGAATTTCTTAGTGGGGGCTTTAGCGTCACTAATTTGTCTTTCCTTCAAAAAATATTCAAAAATAGCACCACTCACCTTTCTGTCGATACAAGGACCTATCCAGGCACCTTAATTTCTTATAGGAAGCTAGGTTGGTAGTTGTATCTTGCTTTTTACCTTAGCTTGGGGGTAATTCATCCACTTAAAAACAATAACAATATGGATGCGTCGCCCCAACAACCACCACTTACTGCTCAACTGATTTCTCATTTCATCAACCGGTACGTACCTACATGTATCAAATCAAATCAAATTTCAACGTCGCAATCCATACTAACGTAGTTCTAAAGTTCACGAAGTAACTCAAGCTCAAGGTGGAGTGTTCTTTGGAATAGTGATAAGAGCCATTTCTTGGACCGTGAAGGTCCCTCGCCGGCTCTCATCGACTGGATCGAGTCGCGACTCAAAACATTAAAATTTTCTCCTGATCGTCGGCCAGTTGCCCTCGTCCCCGTAAGTTAATTAAGTCATAAGCGTATAGTGAGATACTCCTACAATGCGGTTCATTCCACTGACCCATATAAAACTTTGAGGGGAGTAGGGCTGTGGGATAGGGTACGATGTTGTTATGCTAGCCCTCCATGGTTTCGACGTATACGGCTTAGAAATCTCAGATGTGGCAGTCGGAATAGCGGAAGCCAATGCGACAGCCGAATTCCGCGAACCATCCGACTATAACTTCGGTTCTCCCACGGCGGCGAGCCTACCAATTGAATGCCGAGGTAGTGTAAAATTTATTCAAGGCAACTTCTTCGAAACTGAATGGGAAAAGGAGATAGCGATCGAAGATTTCAAAGGTTTCGATCTCATTTATGATTATACTGTAAGTTGATTACTCTAGGGTGGAGTTCATGATCTAACGAGCAAGTGACAACTTGGACTGTTCGTCGAAAAAAGAAAAAGAAAAAAGAAATGCTGATGCTGACATATATATGCTAGTTCTTATGTTCTCTCCCACCTGATTTACGAAAGGACTGGGCAAGTCGCATGTGTGAGCTGATCTCCCCGACCGGGGTACTTGCTTGCCTCGAGTTTCCTTTATATAAGAATTTAAAAGCTCTCGGTCCGCCTTGGGGAGTGAAAGGGGTGTACTGGAACACGTTGGCCGAGGGAGGCGATGGAATTATCCACGAGAGTTCAATAGAAGAAGACGATGGGAACCTGGAGGGGCCATTTCGAAGAGTGGACTACTTTAAACCAGCGCGATCGTATGAGTGTGGGAAGGGCACTGACATGTTCAGTGTTTGGAAACTGAGAGATTCGAGGCAAAAAAATGGCACGGAAAATGTAACATCAAACTTCGTCTTGTAAGATAAAAGATAAAACATTTGAAATGAGTTACGAGCTGAAAACGCTGGGAATGAAGCTAGATAAATATGAAAAGGGGTTCGGAGTTAATAGACATGTAGGAATAGGGCCAGCGATATCTCCGACATAAAAGTCCGTGCATAAGGAGCTGACATATTCAGTCCAAGGCAGAACAATTTCCCAAAAAAATCTCAATGTCTACATCTATTTTATTTTTATTGATGTCTTATTTTCTTTAACTGCCAAGTACCTTGACGTCCATGATGGGGCGTAGAATATGAGTTCCTTCTCAACTCAAGGCCAGAATTGGCGTTTTATGCCCCTTTACGCTCCCCTAAAAATTTGAATGACGGGGCGCCACCTCTTAAGCCATTAGGTACGCTAGGATGGAAAGCAAACCGCGAAGCAAGCGACACTGCTGGGAGTGCCGCCGGCGCTGTCTGGTATGCGATTTCACTGAACCCGCCTGTCGGAGATGTTCCACATCGGGGATTGAATGCCCAGGATACGGTGATGTGAAGCCAGTAAAATTTAAGTGGCTCCCGCCCGGGAAAGTCGTATCTCGGGGTCGAGGACGGAAGAAATCATCTTCTAAAGAGGCTGCCAGCGAAACCACTAAAAGCACTAAAACCATTACGAAGCTATCCAGCAAAGCAGTGTTAAATGACAATATTCCTATTTCGCTATTCAATATAGGGACCGAAACATATGACATAGCAGAGTGTATTGAGTACTGCAAGTTAATCTCCCATTAAATAACTGTACATGTGAGGGACTGACCTGATTTGGTTAGTTAATTCTTGCATATACCAAGGTCTACTCCCCCTCTGTGAACTTGGGGATAATCCTCATATATACCCTCTTTCCGCCAAACACGTTCGGAGGGCTTCTTGGGCCCCTGATTATCTACGGCTTGGAATGATCTGTATGATACTAGGCCATCAAATCAACCGAATGAGGGGCAACCCCGAGTCCAGGCGGTTAACCGAGAAGTTTTATTCTTACTGGGGCCTTTCCATCCGCTCTCTTAGAGATCACCTCGACAAGGAAGATAGGCGCCACGGCGATACCGTTATCGGCGGAATATTGACGCTTCTTCTTGTCGACGTGAGTATTAATAATCCGGTATATTCTATGTTAGTAGCATGCGACACTAACTATATCCTGCTAGGTTCAACTCGGCACATCCCTTAACTGGAGATGCCACCTCGAGGGACTGTACGGATTAATCATGCAGCGTGGCGGCTTCGAAGCGACGACCAGATCTAGAGTTTTGAAGCCGTTATTACGCTGCCTCTGGGTGTACGTAGCCTCAATAGTCACCATAGATGGATGAATATGGTACTAACCTTGAAAAGTCTTGCTGTGATGGGGAACACAACTTGTCCTGCATCAGATCTACTAACTATAGGCTCAGAACCCGAGACAGCTAACTTCCTATTGAAACAATTTAGAAAAGAGATGTCTCCTTATCACATGTGCCCTTTACCCCTTTTTTCCGATATCATCAGGGTTAACCATCTCCGGATGTGTGCTACGCAGTACACCAACACCACAACCGAAGAACTCTCACAAGAAGCAAATACAATCCTACAGCGCGTCCAAGATTTCTCACCCGAACAGTGGGCCGATTCTAGACGCTCACCGGAAGACTGGGTGCTTATTGGAAGGATACATCAAGCCGCCGTGGTGATTTACCTTATCCTGTCCCTGCAGAGTGTTTCGATTCTGCCCGTGACATGTGAACTAAGCGCGTATTGCGCTACACAAGGAAAGCTTTTGCAGGTTCTCATAAGCAATGGACTATCATCTCCAAAGACTGAAAGATTTATGGTTTGGCCGCTGATCGTACTGGGAGTGTATGCTGTTCACGGCGACTTGGCGATGCGCGCATTCGTTATAAAGCAACTGCCGGATCTCAGTCGCAATCTTGGTACCTCGGTCCCATTGACAGCTAAGCAGGTGCTTGAATCGTTTTGGGACTCAGGTGAGAGTCGCTGGGATGCTTGCTTTAGTAAGCCATACATTTTTACGATGCAGATCGCAGTTGATACCGGCGAGCTGCCCCCTTCTCCTATGGCAATACACTAAGGGTTAGTAAGATATCCAAAGAGATCAGATGGGTATATTTAGTTACTCCATATACTGAACTACGGATGATTAGAATCATTTGAGTCCTAACTAATCTATATACCCAACAAATCTTTATGTACGCCTCCATAGATGCAAACAATAATTATTAAGCTAATCGTTTCTATCACCTAACCCAAGAACCGTAGTTACCTTGCTCCCAGTCACACCATAAGCCAGCTATGGTAGAATATTATAATCGCAACAGCCCCTAAATAACATCTTCTCAGTGTAAGACACTCAAATCAGATTTGACGTCAAAGATGCTTGCGTAGGCTAATCAAGCTAGCCGAGAAGAGCAACTACCTAGAACGCTCAGCACCTGGATATTCGGAGAGTTCTTCGAATTCTCGGGTCTGCTTCTTCTTACGGAAAAAGGCGCCGAATAGCATTGAGTGGCCCAGAATCTTGGCCAGGAGCGGTCGGTCATCCGATTCCTCTTCCCCACGAACTTCAGTCCCGTCACGCGAAAGATAGATATGGGGTTCCTTCGGCAGGAAACGGCCGGGGTTCCACACGTTCCAGAGGATAGAGTTGATGAGCATAAGGGTCGCCTCGAACACGTAGAAGAAAGCCTCGTAACGCAAGATGGGGCTCAAGTTCCTGAGCGCCTCGATGTTGTCGAGGTCCACGTTCGTGTTCCCCGTATGCTCCACCAGTCGGTAAATGCAGCGCACGAGTATCAAGGCCATGCTCGCGTATAAGGTATAAAGGAGAATCTTAACACCTCTAACTTGCACATTTGCCCTCAAGCATCGCCGATGGAAAATACCGGCAAGGCAAACGAATATGAAGATGAGGAAGAGCTGGATCACGAGAGCCACTATCGTCAAGTTACTCCCAAGAGATTGCGTTGAGCTCGAGGACGACGGATTCGAAGACAGTGATACACCCAAGGAATTCAGCAATTCGACAAGTCCCATGAGACCACCGAATATAGTCAGAACCCTAGCCGGGGGAAGAGGTGCACACCAAGGCACGTACGAAAATATACGACCCAGGACATGGTAGTTGGCAAGTTCCAGAAGCGGGCTGTGGTAATATCGTTGGATTAAAAGCCAGCCAGAGACGATGTGTCAACGAGAGCCAAAACTTACGGGCATACGAAAATGAATATCTGGCTAAGGATAAACATGATCAAGGGAGTTTTCGTGGCCACGCTATACATGTAGTTATAGGCGCCATATTCACGCAACGCATAGCCGATAGCGAATAATACTGCACAGAGGGGATGCAGACCGATTAACTTGAAAGCTCCATAACGACTATTACGGTTAGGTATTGGAAATCGATCGGATTCGAGTTGAACGAGTATACTAACAAGCATTGCCATATATGAAATATGGCCGAAATGGCATAAGCAATCGCGAAAAATATCGCTGCCGCTTTGTCGGGAGCATAGACGTACAAGCTGTATAAGACTGGGTTGAATCTTGTTAGTGGTATTGCCGATGATTAGGTAGTGTTGTAGGATTCTTACTAGGTTCTCCAGCTGCCATCTTAAAGGCACCTGGGTACCTAACCTAAGGTAGTTCTAGATAGCCCGAGTGAAGCAAGTAGATGCCCAAGGAATCAATGACAGACGATGATCTAAATGCAAAGATCTATATATCAAGGATTATCTACCTCCTAGGTATCTCAGATGTTGCTATTCCGTGGAGAACAAGATGCTCGTGCCACAACGAAGACAATTAAAAAGTTTCATTGAATACAATTCCATTAAAGAGCTAGACGAAGTTATTTATAAGAAAAAAAACCTCCCGTCACCTCTCGCAACCTCATACAATAATGTCTGCTACGTACCTTCGTAGTAGCTCTCGTCACCATCGTGAAGCACGGCGCCTAACCTAAATAGGATAATAAATATGCCAAGAAACGAGATCTGTGGATTTCCACCAGATCGACATAACAGCGGTACATATGAGCTAACCCAAATAAGACAACAGAAATGCCAAGCCGGGCTGTGATATAACCTGGAGTAAATCTCAGGCTGAGAGGAAGCGCGAAACGGGTAATAATTGAATCTTATCAATATCAATATAATGTATTATTTACGACGAGGGACAAGTTAGTTGACGTTCAATGTTAAATTATATCTATGTGTATTGAAGAACGCATTGGATCAGATTAGGTACCTCTAAAACACTTAAACAAAGGTCATTAGCTCCCGCGGGGAGTTTTTTGAGTTGTGCATAGAAACAAATATTAAAAGTAATCGTAGAATTAACGAAGTGTAAATACAACGAACAAAATGCCAACCTTGCTTGAAGTCGGGTAGGTATCACTAATTACATAGTAAAACAAGCCTAGTCCATCTGACCGAAGGCAGATTGGAGTCCTTTGATCCAACCCTAAACCAAATGATACCGCGAAATTAATCCACTATGCTCAATGGAACTTTCTTCATATGATTCCTTTGAAACAGCCAATCCATAAGCATGCTGGAATCTTCAACACTTACGCCGCGCTTCTTCTTCTTCTTCAACTTCATCAGCCCAGCTAAGAGGAGGCGTAGGAGGGTTGGGTGAGATGGTCTTTGATTGTTTGGTATCCATGGAAATTTCTTTGATTGCAACTTCGCCTTCATCTGGTTGCTCCTTGGCTGCGCGAGAGAAGATAGAATTCGATCCGATAATTGTGCCGCCCGGATTCTTCTTACCTCTGCGCTTCTGTAGAGTTGCTGGGATGCCCTTTTCTTTCGGTACGGGCTTTTGTGCAAGTTTCTGTTCTCCGCCCGATTTCCCATTCTCTGAGGGCGTGGGGCTCTTCTTGGGATTACCCTTGACCTTACTCTTAGACTGCTTGTTCATCTTGCTCTTGGCTGCAACGTCCACCCATCCGTCGTTCTCTTCGAGATTTTCAGCCGGGTGTTCACTTTCTTTAGCCGGGAGGACTGCAGGACCTTTCGAATTGGCCGGCGGTGAAGATACGTCATCACTATGTTCAGTACGACCTTCTTCTATCCTATGACTCAGGGGTTTCAAAAAGACTAATCCGGTTCCAATTTGAACAGGTTGATCGTGTGCTTGAGGATCCGTGCTTTTTAGATGTTCGTCTACTTCATCAACCAAAGGTGCGCCATCCATGATGTTTACTGATTCTTGTATCCCCTTAGAGCGGTACTTGCCACTAACCTCTTCAGCACCGAGGTCTCCATTAGTTTTATCCTCGCTTTCTTTCAGATCGCAAGTTTCGTTATTGGTCTCAGTATCGGAGGTTGAAGTCTCGTCGGTGGCAGTATGAATCAAGTCATTAACTTTATTGTCATTAGCTGGAGTAGAGGAACGTCCGACAACGGAAGGATCATTGTCGGATAGGGTCTTGGAATCTGAAATCGATTCATTGTCCTTTTGGACGGAGCTGTGGCTGACCTCAGTACAATTATTTGTATTGACAGAAGGGTCAGTTTTGCTAAGTCCATGTGAATCTCCAGCGGTTTCTGATTGATTCTGTATAAGGTCCTTGGCACTTTCGACAACCTGCTCAGCTTTTTTCAAAGGCTCACTAACTTCTATATGCTGAGTTGCATCGATGGGAGAGCTGACGTCTTTTAGAGAATTTCCAATTTGGCTCGTGGGTAGGTGAGTTGTAGTGACGGTCTGGTGACCGTCCTTATTAGAACGATTGCGCACATTAGAAAGTTGGTGTGCGTGTTTGGAACTTTTGTTCTCTTTTTGAACTTCAGGCTTCTTACTATTAGCTGTTGGGCGCATAGGCTGTCCGTGATGTGCACCATTAACCTGCTTTAATGCCTGCTGGGGGTGGGATGGCGATTGCACACGCATTGTCTGTCCAGAATTCTGATAATCCTGACGGCCATTTGCGCTGTTTTTCGGAGTGGACCAAGAGTCTCCTGTTTGATTTGCCGCCATATGAATAAAGGCTTGATCACTGCCAGGTCCGTAGACTTGACTGATGGAAATAATTCCAGTATGGATGGAGTCTCGTAACTCGGCATTTTCGCACTCAAGTTTCGCAATCAACTCATCCTTATCTTCGCCTGTCTGGGCAGCAGCGTTAATGGAGCGTATATTCTCCTTCAGCATTTCAACAGCATCCTGGAGATCTTTGATCTGCATATCTTTGCTAGCTAGCGCTGCTCTTGCTTGGATCAAATCCCCATTCTTGCGAGACAAATCCTCTTGTAGTGTCGAGACCGTTGCTTTCATAGAAGCAAGTTCAAGATTAAGGCTGGGTGTATCCTGAACATCTTTGAGTTGAACCGCGCCATGTTCCAAGTCAAACTTCTGATTTACTTGCTGCCTCGTAGCTTGGACCTGTTGAAGGTATTGTCCTTTGAAAGTAGCCGGGGTAGATACCAAAGACTGACCGGGGTGGATCGGTAGCGTCATTGAATGGTCACGCTGGCCTGGTTGAGTGTTGGGTTTCTTGTAGGTACCTTTAGGTTTAAATGACATACGGGCATTACCCAGAGGAGTGCCATGGACCATCTCATTCGCGTTGTCATCCTGATTCTGGTTTTTTACAACATTTGCCCATGATGAGACAAGAGTCGGGTTATTGCCCCGAGAAACAGGTTTGTTATCCATAGTTTTATCAACTGTTTAGAACAGCCTCAGCCGGAAGTTATTAGTTCTGAAGGGAACAAATGTTTCTTTTTGTATCACCTTTATTGCCGAAGGAAAGGGATGATCCAAGGTGGTTTTGACTCTTCTGCAAATGGGTAGTAGGAGGCGGTGCGATAACGCCTATACAAGTTAGTAAAAATAGAATAATACGTTGGAAAGGGATGGAGGAATAGGTACCTAGGTAGGTACCTAGATAACATGTAGGAGTGACAGAGTGATATTTGCATGTTCGGAACATTGAAATTGGAGAGAATGTGAGGGTATAAATATTGACAAATGTATAATCTAGAACTCACCTGAAATATTGGCTAGGACGCCCTGAAGGCTAATGTAGTCCTGTATTGGGGATGACAGCAGACGGTATGCCGGAAGAATAGGATGAGCGGAATGTTGAACTGAGCCCTGGCAGTTCCCAATGGATAGTTGAAATGATAATTAGGAAATGTGAATGGCAAGGGGATAAAGGTTAACTTGTAGAGAAAGTCGATAGCTGAAAGCTTGATACCACTAAGGAACGGATAAGTTCCTGTTGCAGTACACTTGATATTCAACTAGCTAGAATTCAAGGAGCGTAAATACCAAGGTATTAGCAGTAGAAAAAGTGGTGATGACGCCTCAGGTCTTACGCCTTTGGAAGAGAACTGGAGAATTGGAAAGAATTATGAGCACAACTGCAAACTGCAACTGCAACTGCAACTGCCAGTCTGCCACAGTGGAAATTGAAGGAAGCAGAATGAATCACAGCCAAACCCTGGATGTGGTATTGGAATTCAAGTTGTAGATACTAGAACGGATTGTTCAAGGAAGAAAAGTTGAATTGGTCGAAAAATGTTGTAACGTACTTTGTAGTACGGAGATACTTCACGTTCCTTTGCGAATGCCTTGGCAACTAATGCAACGGATAGGCTACCGCGGCAAGACGGCAAGGCAACTACGGTGGTGATAATCGTAACGGAAAACACTTACCTTGCTTGCTTATCTCTGCGTAGCTGCCATCCAGGAGGAAGCAACTACCTGGACAGGTAGTACTCAATAGTGTTAGTACGGACTCTAGAGGGTTTTTGGAAACATAGGTATTCTTAGGAGGTAGGTACCTACTTAGGTAGGTAAATTTGGCCTGGCAAAACTCGTAACTTACTAATTAGAGAAGGAACTATTTTGCCATGTTTGTATCTTACCATGTAGTAGGTACTATCCCATTACTGGTGCAGCATAGACAGAGAGTTAGGTAGATAACGTACTTCAACCTACCTAGGCAAGGTTTAATATATTAGGTACACAGATATGTAACCAGATAATCATGATCAGACGCCATTAGAATTCACTAAGCAGAGAATATAGTAGGTTCTGGGAGTATGACTTAAACTGCTCTTTATTTGTAGTGAAACTATTAACGGTGAACGACGTAGAAATGTCTATGTAGATCTCAAAATGAAACGACATCGAGACGGAGAGCAACTCGAGGCCGAGATTAACGACGGATCCTTCTTTCCCAAGAATATTCACTCTGAGAGACATCCATGGCGGTAAGAAACCGCTACGACCATTGCGCAATATCCCAAAGTTTGAAAGATATCAGCAGTCCGGATGCTCTGTGCTATCTGAGAAAGAAAGAAAAAGAAAGAGAAAGGAAAAGAGCCGCTTTTAACTTCGCGATGAATTTTACTTTGCAGGACATTTGTGTGCACGGACCTCTCAGTCACGTGTATTGTGGCTCAAGAATTTGAGGCACTTTGTTTTTTGTACTTTGGCATTTTGGTACTTCGCTACTTCGATACCTAGGTACTTCCATTTAGTAGCTGCTGTGGTCATCATAGATCATATGTCATTTGATTGGCCAAACTAAGAGCCGAGGATAGACGTGGGATTGGCCGCATTGGAATTGACTTTAGACTTTCCTCATTCCGAGAATCAATTATCCATTCAATTCAACCCTTTTGCTATAAGTAAACGTTCTGGTGAGGGCATCAACTCTTGTCTCTGGTTCTCTGTCGAACGTGGCTCTACTGGTAAGCATAGCGATCTAAGCTTCTCCATAATAACGGCAACACATCCTTACAATTATGATCCTCTAGCACTGTTCGAATCCATAGCGAGTTGGAGAATTACTGTCGCATAGCAATATCTTAATATCTCGGAACGATGAACGCATCAGGACTCGGCCTCCGGGCTCTACGGCAAGGTACTATACCACCATCCTAGCTCTGCCAGCTCCCTCAGCTATACTTCATATGGGGTCAATATTCAGGTGTAGCCGTGGAATGCGATCACTTTCCAATTTGTCCTTTGTAGAAGGACGTCATAGATCAAGTTTATTAATTCGAAGTCGCCCAAGCAGTTGCCGTTAAGAAGCCCAATGCCCTCTTCTTGGAGAACCTCCCTCGCCTTGCTATGACATCGAATGCCGCGAGCCTACAGATCAGGTAATCTCTGCCTATTCCGAGTTTTATTTGTACCCCACCAACTGCCTCCCACGTTCTGCGCAAACCAGTACACCCTACCTACAGCAGATTACGGCTCCGAAGTCGCATGGTCGAAGTAGTTGAGAGGGATCAATTCGTTAGCATTCGACCGAGGATATAAGCAAGACTGTCTTACGAGCATGGAATTTATGCTAACCGCCCTGGCGATATAGAGCCGCATCCACCCAGAAGCTCTCCGAGAACGACGCCCAATCGCTCCTCGCGGCGCAACGACGCGAGCGGCCCGTAGCCCCCCACCTAACAGCCTACGACTACACCCAGACGTGGTTCGGCGCCTCGATCTGGACCCGTATCACGGGCCAGACCCTCAGCGTCTCCCTCTACTCCTTCTCGATCGCCTACCTTGTCGCCCCCCTCACCGGCTGGCACATCGAATCCGCCACCCTGGCCGAAGCCGCCGCCTCCCTGCCCCCTCTCGCCTTCGCCGGCCTCAAGACCATCGCCGCCTGGCCCTTCTTCTTCCACTTCGCCAACGGCGTCCGCCATCTCACCTGGGACCTCGCCTACGGCTTCAAGAAGGAGACTATCGAGAAGACGAGCTACGTCGTCTTGGGCGTTAGCGTACTCGCTACTCTGGGTGCTGTTTTCCTGCTATGATCGATCTTGTTTGATACGAGGATTAAGGCAAGACGATGGGGGAGGGGGAGGGGGAGAGTATACTGGTATTGACAACAGGTTGATGGCTTCGAATTGGGGGGGAGCAGGAGGGGGCTGTATTGGATGATGTAGACTACGAAGAGATCAATCACCAGGTCCAATTGGTCATTCGTCCGTTAACGGAGCGATTAGACCTGATAGGTTAGAAGAAACCTGTACGAATCAGTTCATATGCGCATGTCACCTGGAATACAATATGAATATTCCCTTTGTCTGCATGATCTGCTTGGCAATATTTACTAGTCGCATGTTAAGAGATATTGATATAGATTAACTACTTGTTTTACTGGCAACCTAAACAGTGCTGCAAGTTACAATCTCCGCCGACCCAAGATAAGCAGTGCCCAAAACGCCATTCACCTCTTAATGAGGGTATCAATCCAGACACCTGATCCCCAAAATCTGTACTGCAGCGTAATACCACCGAGAAACTGAACCTCTGTTTGTACCATTCTTTAAAATCGCCAGCGGGAACTATTCTACCGAAAGTGACTATTCTACTGAAAGTCGCGTGCGTCCAAGATCGCCTGGTTCAGCTTGTGATCGCCCAAGGCCACGATGCGCTCGCCAATGGTGTCACCCAAAAATGCCTTGATCTGGCTAGCCTCGTTTTCGGTAGAGAATCCGTTCATGCCATTCGTAATAGGGAGATTATCTTCCGATAGTAGTTGGATGACCTTAATAATAACACCAACTAAAGCCTCGAATTCTGCGCTAGGAATCTGTTCATTTTTCTGGCGTAATGGGATGAGCATCGACGTCTCGAATTCCTTGAGATTTCGCAGTAAAAGGACCTTGACAACATCGGCGCCACCCGCCGCACCGAGGCCGCATACCGCACCATACCACACAGCTGGCGGGAGTGATGGATTAAGGAAGCTTTTGAGACACGTGCGGACGAGCTTCGGACGAAGCATCTTGTTGGTCTCGGAGTATTTTCGAGCAATCTGTCCGACCAGAGTAGCCGCAAACTCTCTGAGACTGTATTGCTCCTTAAGTGCGTCCACGCCATTCTCGGAGCCAATCTTACGGCCCAATATGCATGTGAGCACAGGCGCACACAGTGGGCTAGCATATGGCGAGAGGAAAAGGTGGTCGTTGCTGATTAGGGCGTTGGTGAGTTCCATCATCTGCCGCAGGACGAAGATGTCGTCTAGATGATGTGTGACCTGAGTGGAGATGAAGTTGACGAAGTACGGAACGAGCTGATGTATGCTTGGTTCGGAAGACACGGACTCTAAGGCAGCTTCGCGTAATCGTTGCACTTCAATGTCTGGACTATCGTCCATCAGAGCGGCTTGAATCTTCTCGAAGTATAAGATCAGTTCCTGCGACAGGGTGTGCTTCACCGAAGGCTTGAAGTGAGGATTATCCTGGCCAGAGAGAGCGGCAAGGGCAGGGTTGGCACCAGGCCCTTTAGATAGAAGGTCTTGCGCCCGCGACTCCGCCGTCGTAGGATTTTCTAAGGAGTTAGGCTGCACACCTTCAACAGCTAGCCAATGCTCTGTAGGAACGTGGTTAGTATTTATCGATATCTATTACAAAGCACTCGTAAAATCTTCTGGCATAGGTCGAACTTACTTGTGAAGGTGGTGTCTCTAGGAATTTTTGGTAGCGGTGCATTGATCAGCTTTTCAAAGTCGACCTCTTCATCTTCTACGTAAAATAAGGCCTGGGGACCCAAACTAGCCTCGCCGTACCTGAGCGCTCGTGAAGAATCATAGCCATACAATGGCTCAACGTCCAATACTCGTAGCGCCTGCGACACATCCTGAACAGTTAATGTGGTACGTTTTGCAAGTCGCATAAATCGAAGGGCCTCGACGATGACTTGGCCAACGCGGTACTCAACGTCCTGGGAGAGAGTGCGTAGTCCTTCATCGCTTAGTTTGAGGATACCGACTGATTCTGCGACATCTCTAACGCTTTCTTGGTTCCAAAGAAGTCTTTGATCCTGGGTAGGCGGCTTGCTTGAAGCATCTTGAGCAGAACCACGGGCGTCTCTATTTGCCGACATTATAGCTGATGGATGCACCAGGAGATTTCTGTTAGGTGAAGATTCCAGATGATATGATCGTACAGCCTGACTGAGAAGTTAATGGATAACTTGTGTTGCCGGTACCTAGTTTTAGGATAGGGCGCTCTGCGCCTGGACGGATTGGGGTGAGATTGGCTGATGGTAGGGAAGCGACCCCTAGGAGTAAAAGCGTGAAACCCAGGAGAGAAGATAAACCCTTATATTAGGTAGTTTCTCGGGTATACAAGCGGTCAATCTTGCTTGATAGCCAGCACGCTGCTTTCTACCTCTAGACGATGAGATGCGGTGTGGTCTTCCAAGTTCCAGTAAATCAGAGTAATAATCCGACTATTTAGCAACGACTTCAACGTAATTTTTTGATTGAATTTCCAACGCGAAATTTGTAAATAGCTTGAATCTGATTCCCAACGATATATGCGCCGCGCGAAACTAAAAATTGGTACCAGAAACGCGCTCGATGCGCCGGACAATAATAGATCAGCCTCGATGACGACGAGGTTGCGACCCCACAACTAACGACCAGTGGCTGAATTAGAGCCAATCAGATATTTATTTTGCGACAATCTCGCAAGAGGAGAGAGGAGATAAAGGAATATTCACTATGCTTGCGTATTGCGTAGCACTAAGCAGAGGAGAGGGTTGATGAAATCAAGGCAGATGAAGTGGACAAGGCTGCACGAATTTCGAAACTATGAATTGTTGATGCTTGTCAATGCTTGTGAGCAACTGTGATGAAAGTTAATAAGGAACTTTAGGACCAAGGTAGTTCAGACACCTCCAATAAGGTTAGGTACCTAGGTACCTCCTACCTACCTGTCCTACAGCAGGGCACTGTACCTAGAGGGCACTCCACTAACCAATCGATTTACATACCTGTAAATGTACCAACACATCTACGAGCTTTGTCATCCCCGTCGATGTCATCAATGATGATCAGCCTCTAATGAACAACTTATAAAGTAAACAAGACGGAAACTTTCGGTTAAAGAAAAAAAAATGATATTTTTCTGTAACTATACCTGAGGCTTACTTCAGCCCTCAATATATCCTCCTGCTTCCCCTACTGCGAGTATAAAATATTATTCAGTATTGCCGGTATTTTTTAGGTACGCCAAACATTGCCGGCCCATTAATTATGGTCGTGTCGTGTAGATGAAGCAATGGATGAACTGGATACCACTAGAAAGTCATGGGCCGAAAACCAGACGTAGATCAAATTAAGAAATACAATATGTGGATTCATGGCTGTGTTCAATAAATAAACGCCGCTGAACTACCCTGTGATCTGAAGTCCGATGTCTTCTTTCCTAGGTACTCCTATCACTCCGTTCCTCCTTACTTGGCTACTCCCCGTCCAAATTTACCCAGCATTACCCAGCAGAAAGTCTGTATGGCAATTCGCAAGAAACACTGGGATTCCCCTATAATTACGACAAGCAAGCGTTCGCCTGAATAGTCATGCTCAACATAGGCTTCCGTCATTGCCTCGTTCACCCGTTAAACTTGCTTGCTGTGTCATGCTGTTAGGGTCTTCTGCTGATCCCAAACGTAACCGGGTATCGGTCATAACCTATGCGAAGGGCAGCAGAACTGACTAAAAGTAGAACAAGCGTCGACGTTCGATGTACTCGACATCTATATCCACGATGCGGAAACCGATATATTCCTTTTGGTTATAGGCATAGAAGTTCCGCCTGCGTAGAGCAGCCAAGTGGAAGGCTGATCACTGTGGAATAGTCATCGAATGAGTAACCTAATTCAGTCAATACCCAGATAATCAGTGATCGCGGATTCCATATGTTGAAATGAGACTTCTTGCATTTATAGAGGTACCTCAGAGAGTAAGGTCTCATAGAGCGTCTGCGAAGGCTCATGTAGCCTGGGGACCTTGCTTCAAGGTCGATTGTGTCCCTTGTCTTTCGTCCCACCTTCGGGGCCAATGACATATCAGACGAAGTATGGTTCACTGGCAGTGTAATAGAACACATCGGCAAATACCAGGGAAAACATGGAGGCAAATGCAAGACACTTTCAAATCATTTATGTGGAACGCAGTGTCAGACAAAAAATCAACGAGGGACATTTATAACTCTCTATTGGAATATAAGGAACCTTGTATATAGCCTTATGCTAGCAAAGTCGATTATCTAACTCCTAACACCTTGCATGCTATCCGTCTAAATCGTTGCCTCTCGAGGAAAGTATTGTTATAACGTCGTTAAGTTTCTCTCATCCATAATCTCACAGTTCCCTTCACCGCCGATTCGTCTAGACGGTCTCGAAACATCCAAACAACATTGACCTAGTTAACCAAACCAATACAGTAATAAGAGATACACCCACCAAAGGTGAAATTGGCCAATTCGATCACGCATCAGAACCTCGATCTGGCCCTGCGCTTGTTTGGACTCTTGACGCCCATTATTTTGGACGCAATCATGCTGCTAATGGTATTTTCAGCGAATCCTTTGACACCCTTCGACTTCGTCTGTCTTGGGTCCTTGTCGATAAAAGCATCGATCGCCGCCGCACCCAAAGCAGCTGTAGCTACCTTGGCGCCTTTATCCCCCGTCCAGCTGCCCGGCTCCTTGCGGAGTCTGAAGGCAGTGAGGCCAGCCGCTTCGAGAGCAGCGCGGGCAGCCATCTGCCACCTATCGGAAGCAGCTTCGTCGGGGACCTTAGAGGACCTGAAGCTAGACGACACCGATTTGGATTTACGGCCTCGGTGTCGCGGAGGGGACGGTGACAGGCTCGGGGTGTACGAACGGGCCCGGGATCGCCGGTGGCGCCGCCCTCGATCGGGCTCATAATCTGATTCGTCGCTCACGGACGGAGATCTGTGTCTCCGATGCCTGCGCGGAGGGTCATCGCTATATGCTCGTGAACGTCTCCTATGCGGCGACGGGGAGCGACTAGGAGAGTGGTGGCGATGATGATGGCAATGTCTTGATTCTGAATCGTAATGAGAGCTACGGCGAGAGCGGTCGTGACTCTGCGAGCGGTCTCGGCCTCCTGGTCCGCCTTGTGTTGCAGCGTATAATGCAGCTGCTTCACTAAGGAATTTCAAACTTTTCTGGCCTAGAGATTTGGTGCGTTCAACACCTGGTCGTTGAGGGGGTTTTTGATCTTCATGGTGGTTACTTCGGGAGGCCTTCCCACTGCTGCGAGGTGGTGAGGTATGTCGGGATGCTCTGGGGGGTGATGGGCGTCGGTCAGATTTTGGTGGTGTAGTATAATCTCTGTCGTGTCTTGAGTGTGGAGGAGGGCTAGTGGTTCTAGAATGCCCCTTAGGACTGTGCCGTCGACGTGGTTGAGGAATTGGGGACCGGCCGCGATGAGATCTAGAAGCGTTGGAAACTTCTTCAGTACCAACATACTCATAGCCGGTGCTGTTGATAGGCGAAGTTGAATGGCGGTACGGGTCGTCAAAGACATAGGGATCGTCATGGCGACTGTGATGGTTGCGCGATCGGGACGACATGGTTGGCGTTTGCGCAATAAGGTTTTATGCGCAATATTTGAAGATGGTGGTGGTCGTTAAGTACCAATTTCGAAGGAAAGCAAGCCGTAAGTTACAAGTCCAACGCAGTGATGTGCGACTTTTAAAAGCCACCACGACGCAGACAGGTGATGTATTATGTACCTTATTAACACTAGGAGACCTCCCAAAGGGTCGCATGTAAGCTGGTAGGGTGTTATTACTGTTATTACGCAGAACTGCGCCTCGACGTATGTCCTGCAGCAACCCGATGTTCACTGGTTGGCGATATCCTCAGATATTCTATGTTTGCCAATGCTGTTGTCCAGATCTAGAGATGTAACGAATAGCTGTCGTGAATCCCAAAAAGCTTTTCAGAGGATTGCATAAGAGGTGATGTCAACCAGGATTACAGCTCTCCGTTATTTGCAGGGGGCAGTGTGGGTTGAGCGGGATGGGAGGCCTATTACGCACTTACAAGACGCCTATCATAAATGCTTAGCAGACAGGCCAAGCTACCTAGACTGGAGCTGTCATGCCTATGTGCGCACTAGAGAAAGTCCGTTGCCACTTTAGACGATGGACGATGAAAGATGCATTCCCCGCATGATCTCATAGTGCTTCTCGCGTGGGCCAACGCAGAGGAAGAATAACGAGACGTGTCTCCCCTTGGCTGCTTAGAATTTTTACAGAACGTAAAGGGTTAATTCTTATTTGATCTGACCCTAGTATAGTAAAGACGGAAATATCGGAACAATTTCTATGGACGAAATTCCATCGTACCGGCATTTGCCAAGCTATTGGAAATGGAAGTTTTGGGGTCTCTGCTCGAGAAGCTGCGGCGGTAAACGACGCTGGTCGTTCGGTGAAAGCCGTCCGAGGTCCTACCATAATATGTAGCAGCATCTGACGCCTGCACCTGGTATTGGACATATGATAGTACCTACCTCTAGGATAGGCAACACAAGCCGAACCGTTAAGAACTGTCACAACGAGAAGGTCTTACAATGTGTAATGTTATCTTGTGACAGCATTTAAGGCGTGACGAGGCGAAGGTGATTGTATCCCATCCATGTCGATTCATATTTACTTTAAGGTCTTGAATTTTTCTTCTGATGGATCTCGGCGATCTGTTAACGAAAAGTGAGGATACCGTGCCGAAAAAAATGTCGAAAAGTATAACAGGTAATTGAAAGATTGAGTTTTTTTTTAGTTTTTTTTTTTTAAAAAAAAAAAAAAAAAACCACACAGGACCCCGAATCTACCAGAGGTATTGATTGTACTTAGGTACCTCTATCATCCAGACCGCCCCTAGACTGCCGCTTAATAGTTGAAGCGATTCCGATAATACACAATACCTACGAGCTGTGTCGTCGCCAATTATCAAATTAATATGATAAGATCAAATGGCTTTATGTTGTCATTAACACACTGATCACAGTACTTGCGGCATCATATTGTTGAACTTTTTTTTATCGTTTCAAAGTTTGTAAAATCTAATTACGAATTATCTTGGTATTTTGAAGAAAGATAATACTAAATTATATGGTTGACGCGACATAGTGGGAAAACTGTTAAGAGATCTCGACAGCGAAAGGGGAAACGACATTTTAGTACGCTCTGAGCATTTCTGTCTGACAAAACAATATAATAATTCTGGAACAAAAATGAAGATATCCAAATAAGATACATATCTTTAAAGCTCGACTTCAAACTGACCTGCTACGGACGAAAACTTCCATACCTTAGGTGGTACCTAGTCAAGTCCTTACCCTCATCCATTACATACTTTAATCTAGGCACGCAGGATGCAGAGTTATAAATATTACCAAATTTTCTTCTCTTAAGTCACACGTCTACATAACCAGTATCTGTCTCCAAGATAAGTACCTTCACACTATGGCTGGCGGCGACACATCCCCCGTTGTATGTTTGATATAAGAGAGCTGCGGTGCCAAGTGCGGAAGAAACCACAATGCGACATTCCGGTTAATGTCGCCGCATATCAATCAATGTACGCACGTCGTAAGCTTTTATAGAACATCCAAGCAAAATTTTAGTTGTTCAGTGTCAACACGATATGTCCATCTAGAGATGTCAGCAGTCGAACTGGTCATTGTATGCCCACGATATAACTAGGGTCCCGAGTTTGGCTTTTTGATACTAAGTCTACCTCTTACCTTACCTGGTCCGCAGGTAAGGCTTAAGCAAAGACATGGTGTTATTAAGAGGTGGTACAATAACGTTGTTTATGGCAACATCCATCCATTCTTAGCTAACATCACGGCAATAGCCTGTGACCCCCTTTCTAGGTTAATTTCGACGCCTCTAATATCGGATCTATCCTGCGTCTTCCCACCCCGGGTTCCGGGGCCACCTCTACCGGATGAACTAATAAATTTCCAGTGGGATAAGAGGCTGTTTATAATATTAGTATACGCCAAGGCGTCTGACTTCGTATCAGCGCACCCACGTTGTAGGTATGTTCCGAGATGGAGATGGAACATCTCAGGCTACTTAAAGACCTGGCCACAACTCCCTTTGTTTTAGGTAACCACAATATTTCTGTAAAACAACAATAAACAAATGTTCACATATCGACTATTCTCAATGCTGTTCGATATTGTCTTTTTAGCCCTCGGGGCTGCCGCTATTGCTCTGCCAGAAAAGGCTGCTTGCCCTCGCATCAGATGTATAGACGGGGTTAGTCGATGTGGTGGGTAACCTATAAATGACTGCGCGCTATTGAGCCATGGAAAATTGACGTTCTCCAGGAATCAAGTATGGTCGGTGCTACGACATGTGCACGCAGTCCCAGCCGAGTCCTCCGCCATGCCCTGAGCTTACATCGGCTCCGACGACATTGCCGTCGGCAACGTCAATTGCCTCGCCCTGCACTAGCACTGGAACTGCCTGTGTCGACTATCTTAGGTCTTGTGGATCGCCCCCTACCGCTATCCTTACGTATGGCGGGTATGTAGTTCCCTCCTGGTCAAGGATACTAGTTGTCACTCTAATGCTTGTATAGATGTTACCCGGCTTGTGGCCCTACGCCGACTTTTTCACCTCCGCCATGCCCGGTGGCAACCGAAACTCCGACGGAATGAATTGGTAATGATGATGGATAAGACGAAAATTGTTTACTATTAGTTGAGAAGCTTTCAGATACTCATGTAAATTCTTCATCTTCCTATGTAAGGTATGTTCGGTGTTGGGTGGAGAAACAATCGGGTTGAATTAATTGAGTTTATGGATTTTTACATTAGCTAAGGCCAAGCCTGGCTTCGATGAAGATAAGAAAAATAAAAGTTACATGATGAGATTAAAAGGGTACCGTATAAAATCCGTATTGACCAAATCAGAAGGGAAACTCGTCGTTGTCTAACAGCCCAATAATCTGCTGGTTCATGGTATACCACCTTGGCAATCGCAGGGCCTGCTCGACATCCTGGTATTCCTTAGGCATATCTGACTGGACCCCCTCACCAAACCTCGCTCCCGAAGGCCTTTCCAACGCCATATCCTGAGTCGCATTTGCAGCGGTTGATCCGGCCTGCGTCTGAAAGCCCAGTTCGCTTAGGAAACTATCCATCTCCAGCCTGAGCTCCTCCTGTTCCTGCTGCACGGGGGTAGAAGCCGATTTCAGTTCTTTATAGCGCACCGCCACATTATGAAACCCCTGGAAAAGAATATGATGCTTCGCAATGACGCTGGAATGCTCGCTAGCGGTTTCTAAGGAGCTCACGAAAGCTTGCATTCGGGCTAAGTCTCCCTCGTCCCCCGTCTCCAGCACGCAGCAAAACAAGACAATGAAAGGGATGAATGGGGAAAAGAGGATGGTCCTAAACGAGGAAGATAGTTGTTAGAATACAGCAGATATATACCTACCTAAGGTAGGTAGTCAATAAAATTTGCGCAGAGAGGTATCCAACACGTACCAGTTCACATATTCAGAAATGAGTTCCGGGATCCCGAAGGACTGGACGTGGTTCTTATGGTATTCTAGTGCAGCTCTGGCGTAAAAGATGCACTCGTCACTGAATGTGGATACGGAGCCGACTTGTTCAGGAGCAGCTCGGTGTATAAGTGTCAAAACTGATAGCCGGTACACTTCGTCGCAGCTCGACACGAATTCGATAACATCTTGCGTATATTTGTCGGTTTCTGTTTGAAGCAGAAGTTTCTAGAGGCAAAGTTGTAGTGTTCATGTTGTTTGCATTAGGTGCTCAAAGAGAGAGCCAAAGAAAGGTTAGGTGGCACTTACAATTATAGCACGCGACTTATCTTGAATGTCAAGCATTTCTTGCGATAACTCGGATACCACTTGTTCTCGTACATTATCAGGGGCAGAAAGAGAATGCTCGCTGTAGAGCCTCTCGTAAATCCTTGCGGTGACCATGGAAATCCTTATAGATTGATGGAAGTAGCTCATGACCGGGGAAACAGATGTTTGCGAGCTTCCCGGTAGTGGGACTGTTATCTCAATGTCTGATATTGACGAACAACGGCCGAGTCGTAGACTTAGAGGTTTCTCTAAGCAGAAAATTATCCAGAAGAGCAAACCCATATTATTTGGGACGTCTGATCCTGGATCTGCGCCCTTTGCCCGAGTGTGGAAACCTAGAGCATGAGAGGCATGGTATGCCGCAACTGTGTACGTCCATGCTAGAGATGGCCTTGCAATATCCACCGCGTAAAATGCCTGCTCAAAGTAGATTAGCGGGGAGGCGGTAGGTAGATATAGTCCACGTAGATATATGGTGTAACTTACTCCTAATATCAGCGCAAGAACCATATCATACGTAGCCTTGAAATATAAAGACAATCTAGAGAGTGCGGTTTCGAGGTTTACTCGACAGAGCAGCTTGAAATCTTCTTGCGAGCCTCCTGGCTGTAGCTGTCCGTCTTGTTCAAGGTCAATATTGCCGAATAGGTCTGTACATGGCCTTTTAGTTTAGCTCCTTATAATTCTAAAGCCGGTAAACCTACAGTGTAAAGTAGTGTTGATGATGATAAACTCTGCCTCTGAATACTCCCCGGAAAAGTACACCTTTAGGCACAATTCTGAGAGGCTTTCGGCCTGGAGCACAACGCTGAGGAACCTAAGCATATAATTCCGCTGTTCTATAACTGACAATCAGTACTACCTAGGTACACATCGATAATTTCAAATTCACAGCTTATACGTGGTATTTAATTACAGGAATTCGTCAAGGTGAGCACATACCTTGTCCTTTCCTTATGACTGCCACCGTGGCTTCGATCGGCGGCATTTTGAAGTCATCACGACTCCTAGCCGGGGGTAATGCATGTGGTAGTAGTAGTTCTGGCGATAACTCCCTGTGCTTAATTGCGTTAACAATTTGGTGGAGCTTGTCCAAGAGCTCCCTAGTATCAAAATTATGACCCTTCTCTCGATCAGCGCCGGCTACTTTGCGTAAACGGTCAACGGCAAAGGTTGAATTGGCGGAGAGTGACGATAGTCCTTCAACGACTGGCTCGTCTTCCTGTTCCTGGCTTGCCCGTATTCGGGTGTTTGCGAATTGAAAGTTCTGTTGACACTCATTGTGACTCGACGGAGTAGCCCCGGCGTTACTTGCTGTTGTATGGTGCGAAAGTGGCGACCGAGTTGAATGGGTTGATGGGCTACGGGTAGACGAACCAGCGCCCCTCGATACTTGAGATGGGGTACTACCCGCGACAAGTGTATTGATATGTTGATTCAATTGATCAAGCCTTGCATTGATATCGTCGATTTTATCATCACTAGCTCATGATTTTCATGGTAAGAAATACTTTATCTTGGGAGGGTTGATACTCTTTGAGCGTGGACTTACTATTGTGATGATATCAAGACCCGTTGCCGTCTTGGCCTTGCAGCACGGGGTGCTGTTGTGCACGTTATTCTCAATCGCTGGCAATTCGAGCAAGGAGACGTTTTATCGCAGCGAATCTTTAATGGCCAATTAGTTTTATTGAAAACAACATATGAGCCTCATAATATCTAACCTTTCGGCTTCGACAATAGTTGCACTAGATATTTTTCATAGTTAGATAGTTAACTCTTTAAATTTGTTTAATAAGATAGGACTATCAAAGGCCGTACCGCTTTACTCGGGGTCAGGGACGCGCGTTCCGCAAGCTCCGCAGTATTTTCCGGCATATCAAGTCGCGCGCAACGTGCGGTAGGAGAGGACGGGAGAGGACGGCAGATTTTCTGCTAAACTAGCAGAAGAGATAACCTTAAGAGATTGCGTGCATGATGCATCCTCTGCTGAATTACAATGATTCGGCGCGCAGTGACGAGATGTAGAACCGTCCTTTTTCGCGTCCCGGAAACACCGAAACTGCGCTGCCGCTCCAAGCCAAGTAGCCAAGGCCCAAGCCCACTGGAGGTACTAGACTAGACCATCTACCTAGTCGCACGTGGAAATCGTAACTAAAACGTGCTGGGGTAGATTTAAACCCATGCCCCCACGCGAAGAAGCTGTGTCGAGCGCACCAAGCGGTGTCTGGGCACTCCCGAAAGTGCGCCGGGCCGCGCGCTGGCATCTCATATGCCTCGCAACTCCGGATTTTTGGTACAGCTTTCATGCCGCAATATAAGGAGGTAATAAGTATAGGATTTTAGTTAGTTTTTTACTGTAACTATTTAAATCAAAAGAACTCCATTCGAACCCATGGGGACTATTAAAAACTCTCTAGAGCCTTCGACTTTCTTTCGTTATTTGCGTTTGCTGTACTCATGTTCAACTTACAATGGAGTCTTCTTCAGAAAAGACGACAATAGATGAGACATCTAACCAAGACTCCGATGCCTTCAGCGCTTACGTGGTACGTGAATGACAATTCTAGGTGTTGATGTAAATCGCATACTGAATATATGGCAGAGGATCTTTAAATATGGCACGCCGAAAGAACACGCCTTACAACTGGTGGCGACCGCATGTGCTCTAGGCTCCGGTGTTGGCATGGCTCTTCTTAACCTGGTATTCGGACAGTTCATCACAGTGCTGTCCGACTTTACATCTGGTGCCTCCAGCCCCGCTGATTTCCGAAGAGATGCTTCCCGGCTAGCGTATGTTCTCGTATTAACAAGCCTCATCTTTCGCAAAGGATAGTGACTGATCCCGGAATAGTCTATACTTTTTTATCATAGGAATTGCGCGATTCTGCCTCGTTTTCGCTTACAGTTCTCTTTATACGCTCGCAGCCTACCGAATCGCTCGAAACATTCGTCGTCTATATCTTAAGGCAGGTCTCAGCCAGGAAGTCGCCTACTTCGATGCTGGGACAGGCGGGTCGATTGCCATGCAAGCTATTTCGAACGGCAAATTGATTCAGGCAGGGGCATCAGAAAAGCTAGGCCTCGTCTTCCAAGGAATCTCAGCTTTCATATCTGCCTTTGTCCTAGCTTTTGTCACGCAATGGAAGCTTACTCTGATCATCTGTTGTATTGCCCCGGCTACGCTTATCGTAATGGGCGTAGCTTCTACCATCGAGGCTTCCATCGAGTCCAAGATCCTCAAGATTCGCGCTCAGGCTGGGTCTTTTTCCGAGAGCATTCTGTCAAGCGTTCGGACCGTTCACGCCTTTGACTTGCGGTCCCGGTTAACGAAGGATTTCGATAAGTATTTACAGGCTGCAAGGGCCCTAGGAAACAAGAAGAACGCGCTCTTCGGTTTCATGTTCTCTGCCGAATATACCATTATATTTGCGGGGGTCGCCTTGGGCTTTTGGCAGGGTATTGGGATGCTGGCTAGGGGGGAGGTTTCTGCATCTGGTGACGTTTTTACGTTCGTTCATCCTTCCCATTTTCCTTACTCTATTTAAGTATAAAGCTAACCGCTACATAGTGTCCTCATGTCAGTGATCATTGCGGCTACCAGTTTGACTTCTATCGCCCCCTATGTAATTGACTTTACTCGCGCGGCCACCGCCGCTGCGGAACTATTCCGACTTATGGACCGAACGTCGGCCATTGACCCATTCAACCAACAAGGGGAACAGCCTACGCAGGTGACGGGGACTATCGAGTTCGATCATGTGTCTTTCAGCTATCCAATGCGCCCTGGTGTCGTAGTATTGAAAGACTTCGAGCTGCACATCCCTGCTGGGAAAGTAACGGCTCTTGTGGGGGCAAGCGGATCAGGCAAGAGTACTATCATCGGTTTGATTGAGCGATGGTACAATCCAGTATCTGGGACTGTGAAGCTTGATGGCCGACCCATTGATCAGTTAAACCTAAAATGGCTGAGACAACACGTTCGACTTGTTCAACAAGAGCCGGTCTTATTCGCCGGGACTGTTTTCGACAACATCGCGAACGGTCTCGCTGGTACCCCTTGGGAGAATGATAGCCCATCTGACAAACTAGTAAGGGTAAAGGAGGCTGCTCGGATCGCCTTTGCAGATGACTTCATCACCAACCTCCCCAAAGGCTACGATACTGTTATCGGAGAGCGAGGCGGGTTGCTATCGGGGGGCCAGAAGCAGAGGGTGGCCATCGCTCGAAGTATTGTATCACAGCCAACTATCCTTCTACTCGATGAAGCCACCAGTGCGCTTGACCCCCAGTCAGAGGAGGAGGTCCAGAAGGCCCTCGACAACGTTTCACAAGGGCGTACTACGATCACGATAGCGCACAAGTTAGCTACTATACGCAACGCTGATAACATCGTGGTAATGGAAAAAGGCTGTATTATCGAACAGGGGACGCACAGCTCGCTCCTGCAACAGAACAGTGTCTATTCACGCCTCGTGAAAGCCCAAGATCTGTCGGTAACTAAGCAAGTATTTGATAGCGGCTCCTCGGACGACTTCAACGAGAAAACAGAGGATGGAGAACCGGTTACCTTAACCAAGTCATTGACACGATATTCAACGTCGACAAATCGCCGGTCGGAGAAACAGCTGGCTCGGGATGACTTTGAACTATGGAAAACAGTCGGGCTTCTCCGTACTATCTGGCGATTAGTAGTCTCGAATCCCGAACTCAAATGGACTTATTCTCTTCTATTATTCGGATGTCTAGGTGCAGGTAAGGCCTATGTACTTTTAATCTTGAATCAGTTAGTTGTAACATTGGCTAACTGTATTCTAGCCGCCGCGTTCCCAGGTCAGGCAATCCTGATGTCTAAATTCATCGAAGCATTTCAACTATCTGGCTCAGATATGCAGTCAACAGGAAACTTCTTTGCACTAATGTTTTTAGTTATGGCAATCGGGGCTCTTGTCGTTTATTTCATCATTGGATGGACATCGAACGTTGTTGCTCAGGTAGGACGATGGCGGCAATACGTAGCAGTTTTAAGGAAACTAGCTGACAAGCTCATAGACTTTGAACCACAAATATCGGAGGCAAGTGGTTAGCGACTTATTAAAACAGGACTTGCAATTTTTCGATCGCCCTGAGAATAGTACTGGCGCCTTGATTAGTCGGACAGATTCTTACCCTCAGGCTATATTTGAGCTCATGGGCTTCAATGTCGCTCTTATATCAATTGCACTAGTCGGTGTACTTTCATGCTGCGTCTTAGCTTTGGTTTACGGATGGCGACTCGGCTTGGTTATTATATTTGCTGGTCTTCCGCCTATGATGTTTTCTGGATATGCTCGCATTAGAATTGAGTCGGCAATGGATCACAGGATTTCGAAACGGTTCTCGGCAAGCGCGTCAATAGCTTCGGAAGCGGTAACCGCGATTCGTACGGTATCATCATTGGCCATTGAGAACTTGGTCTTGGAGAGATACACCAACGAGCTGGATCACGCCGTCTCAAGCTGTACAAACCCGGTGTTGCTTAGTATGGCTGCGTTTGCGTTCACGCAGACCGTTGATTGCTATTTCTTGGCTTTAGGCTTTTGGTTCGTCCATCAATCCCAGGGTCACTTTTGAATAGCGGGTACTAATAATCTCCCTCTCGAATAGGTACGGATGCCGCCTGGTCTCGTTCGGCGATCTGAGCTTGGGAAACTTCTTTATAGCATTTCTCGGAGTGTTTTTTTCCGGTCAACAGTCTTCTATCCTATTCGGGTTTTCTAGTAGTAAGTATTCTACTATGCTTAGATATAAAATCGGGGTACTAAGAGTCGTTTAGGTATGACCAAAGCAAAAAACGCTGCGAACTATATATTTTGGCTCCAGCAGCTCCAGCCCACTATACAAGAAACGGAAGAGAATAAACACGTCGGACCGGCTGGTTATAAGCACCTGGACCTGGATAACGTGCAATTCTCCTACCCCCTCCGGCCTCACGCCCGCGTCTTGCGCGGTATCAACCTCAAAGTACGTAGCGCGATGCAGACTGATTTCCTCCGATTGCTTAATTGAAATTACTAACGCCAGTGTAATAGATTCAAAGGGGACAATTTGTTGCTTTTGTCGGTGCTTCCGGATGCGGAAAAAGTACCATGATCGCCATGCTAGAACGCTTCTACGATCCTGTAGCTGGGCACTTGGTAATCGACTCCAAGAACTTGGATGCGATGAATCCTCGGCTCTACCGCAACCAAGTAGCACTTGTACAGCAAGAGCCGACGCTTTATCCAGGAACCATCCGCGAAAATGTTTCCATGGGAATCCTAACCGAAGATCTGACATCCATCGACGAAGCCGATATTGTGGCGGCCTGTCGTGCCGCAAACGCCTGGGAATTCATTTCTTCTCTTCCCGAAGGGCTCGACACTCCCTGTGGTAGCAACGGACTGCAACTCTCCGGCGGACAACGCCAGCGCATTGCTATTTCGAGGGCGCTAATACGAAATCCACGCGTGCTACTTCTGGATGAAGCAACGAGTGCCCTAGACACGCAGTCGGAGAGAATTGTCCAGGACGCCCTCAACGAGGCAGCTGCGCAAGATGACAGAATAACTATTGCAGTTGCCCACCGCCTGTCAACCATCAGGCATGCTGATCTTATATGCGTGTTTTCGGGGGGTAGAATTGTTGAATCAGGTACACATGAAGAGCTGATCGCGAAGAACGGCATGTATAGCAAGATGTGCGAAGCACAGAACCTGGCTCTATAATACACCGATAGAAATTTCCGTTGAGGATATAAATAGATGGACAGGATGAAGAATGGTAAATTTTAGAACATGGACTCACAATAGAATTAGAGAGAGCGGAGGCTAGTGAGCACGTAGATGGAAGGGATAAAGCGAAACATAATATTTCACATTTTAGGTACTCATTTTCCATGATTTTTATTTTTATTTTTATTTTTCTTATTCTTCTTCCAAATATTCAAGTTATCAAATAATGAATTATATACATCAAAAGGTTTATTTACACTATATACAGGTCGAACAGTAGTAATATTGTTTTGTTTGTTCATCAATATTAGCCGGGGTCTGCCAGACCCGAAACGCGCGCAGCAGCGCGCAAAAAAACACCGGAAGAAGGGTAACAAGGAGATATATGCAAATACCAAACAAACGAAAACCAAACAAACGAAAACCAAACAAGAGGAAAAAAAAGAAAAGAAAAAAGCCTCACAGAAAAATAACAATCAAACACTAAAGGTCCAGCTCGATGCGGCCGCGGTGGTATCTCCAATCCTGTCGTTTGCGTACGCTCATATATCAAGATGAATGAATCTCCGAAAACCGACCATTACTTCGTCCTGTCAACTCGTTTATTTTTTTTCATCCCTACCATGCCCGCCAATTTTTTATTTCAGAGAGACCAAAAGGAAACGAGCCGGATATGTGTGTTCGTGCTTCTTATGCACGCATGGATTGTTTGATGTGTTGAGTTTATAGGAGGAAGATGGCGGCGAGAAGTCCGATAAGGCCGGTAGCGCCAGTGCTGGCGACTTGGGCGACAGCGCCGGCGGTGGGGATGGGAGTGTTCGGCTTAGGCGGGACAGTGCCGGCGGGGAGGGGTGTGGAAGTCGTGTTGGCGCTGACGATCGGGGTGTAGATGGGGTAAGAAGCCGGGGGAGGGGTGACCACGGAGGAAGTCGAGCAAGGAGTCGTGGTGGTGACAGTGACGAGCTCAACGGGAGTTGTGGTGCTCTTGGTCTCGCATGAGCAAGGAGCGGTGTCAGTGACAGTGCTCTTGATGACGGTAGGAGGAGTCTCCTTAGGAGTGTCCTTAGGAGGGGGAGGGGTCTCCTTAGGAGGGTCCTTAGGAGGCATGGTCTCCTTAGGGGTTTCCATAGGAGAGGTCAGGGTCGTCTTAGGGGTTTCCATAGGAGGGGTCGGGGTCGTCTTAGGGGTTTCCATAGGAGGGGTTGGGGTTGTCTTAGGGGTATCCTTCGGAGGCTCAGTTCCTTTAGGGGTCTCTGAGCACGGTGTACTGCTGCTTACAGGAGGAGTCTCCTTAGGGGGTTTAGTTTCTTTGGGAGTCTCTTTAGGCGGTTCTGTTCCCTTGGGAGTCTCTGAGCATGGTGTGCTGCTTACAGGATGGGTTTCTTTTGGCGGTTCGGTTTCCTTAGGAGGCTTAGTCTCCTTAGGAGTTTCCATAGGAGGGGGAGGGGTCACCTTGGGAGGCTCGGTTCCTTTAGGGGTTTCTGAACATGGCGTACTACTGCTGCTTACAATAGTAGTCTCCTTAGGCGGTTCGGTTTGCTTAGGGGGCTTAGTCTCTTTAGGAGTTTCCATGGGAGGGGGAGGGGTTGTCTTGGGAGTTTCCATAGGAGGAGGAGGGGTTTCCTTAGGAGTATCCTTCGGAGGCTCAGTTCCTTTAGGGGTTTCTGAGCAGGGTGTACTACTACTTTTGGTAGGAGTTTGCTCCGGCGGGGGTGTCTCCTTGGGGGTCTCAGTCGTGCTGCATGGGGTTGTGGTAGTGATAGTGATCTCTACCGTCGTGTTCTCATCGCATGGTGTCGAAGAGGGAGCCTGGGTAGGAGTCTCGGTGGGGTGGGTAGAGCAGGGTGTGGTGGTCGTGACGGTGGTCTCAATGACGACGTATCCGCCGTCGGAAGGCTTTGGCTTTTCCTTCGCGTCCTTGCAGTTGTCGGGTGCAAACTGGCCAACCAGGCCAGACAGCTTGTTTACGACCTGGTCGGCAACTCCTTGTGCGACGTCTTGTCCTTCCTTAGGGAACTGCTTGACCACACCGTCAACGAGAGACTTAGCAGCACCTCCAATGTCCTGGACAGCACCACCAACGACAGAGCACAACGCCCATTTCTCAAACTCCTTCTTCTTATCCGTCACATCGTTGAGTAGTCCCTCAGCCGCGGGGCCCAGAGGTGTTACAACTTCCGTCAGTCCAACTAGGTCGACTATTGAGAGCTCATTGTTGCCCTTCGTTAGCTCTTTCCCACCATCGTTGAGGAGTTTGACGAGGTCCTTGGCGTTATTTTCTACACCATTAATGTCGGAGCCGTCAAAGGCCTTGATAGATTTATCGAGTTTCGCGATGGCATCGGACACCTTCCCAACGATCGATTTTATTCCCTCAACATCCCTTGGGACCACCTCAGTCTTGAATCCCTCAGTCCTAAATATTGGTTTGGCCACAACACCTGATGCGGAAAGGGCCGCTAAAGAAAGAACGGATGATGTCTTCATATTTGATATTTGCGATGGAAACACTGGAAACGAAAGAAGAAGAAGAAGAAAAAAGGAATGATTCCGGATCTCTAATAACGAACGCAAGATCAATGCAGCCGAATGACTATGAAATGAGTGTCTAAGACGAAAAGGAAAAGAAAAGCGCTGTGAAGAAACACAAGTTAAAACTATTCGTCGATCATGGACGCGGCTTTCTTCCTTGACATTATATACAGAGCTGACGATGGAAGAGACGGGCTACGCCAAGCCATTTGACCACGCAGCTGAGCCGCTCATGGATGCAAGGCAGGGTATAGCAAACTCAGAATTCATTTTCAGATGTCTATAGGATTCCAACACCAAGAAGGCTGGCAAGGAAGAAGCAACGTAGCGTAGCGTGCGGCATAGCAAAAATAACCTTAACGTCAAGGGTCTGACATCGTAGCTAGGTCGAGATAGGCTATCGCTGCTGTGCAACGAGCAATCGATTAACTGTTAAGTAAGGTGATCTGGGGAAGATCTCGTGGTCGTTGACTCTCGTTCATGGCTAAGACGGCATATATCTTGGCGGTAGGTAAATAGTAATAATTAAGGGGAAGTGGAAGTAAAGTTGAGAACCCCCAAACGGGAATCTCGATTTGAAGTGGACCACCTACGACGCCGCGAACTGCCTATATAGGGCTGCTAGTAAGCACCGCCTCACGTCGGCTTGCTTCAACTTAATGGATGGATGCTACATGGAACTTGAAATAGAAATAAGTTAAGTTAGGTATAACAAGCTTAGATAGGGAATTATCTCATAGTATTGATAGCCCTCTTGAGCTTGCTAAGAATTTCTATTGAGAAAACTAGTCCAACTGTTCATAAGTACATCTTTAGAATGTATCTTCAGTCAAAGGTACCTACTCTCATTAACAGGTTAGGCAATGTCTTCTTCAACGCGCTAGACCACCTTGAAGTATTAGGGATCCGATGGAGATAGAATAGATTCACCACTGTTTATTGCGTCTCATTCTATCCGATAGAGGAAAGAGGAGAAGAGGAAAATACTGAAAGAAATAAGGGTGCAGAAGGATCTAATATTTTGAAACATGGTTCTTCGGACTTTGTAAATCCTTCTAGCTTCTGTTTGCGGGGGTCCCGCGGTGTGGTGTGGACCGAGTTGCGAACGAAATTGGGAACTTAAGAAAAAGTGAAAGGCTATTGCGATAGTTGGTAGTACTAGTAATGGATTTAGATTTCCATATTATGGTAAATCATCTCGATCTAATCTGCGGATAGCTTTCCGGGATGTCATGATCGATGTTGCAATGTTGGTTGTTGATGGTATATAAATAGAGATAATTTTAGAAGCTATCAGGGAAAAGCTGTCCAGCATTTGGAAATCAGGCAGCTTAAACCCCACTAAAGGATCACTTAGAAAATTCCAACTGCAGCTGATGATTCAGGTAGACCTAACTTGTGCCTCAGCCATATCGCGATTTTTTGTTTCAAGTACACCGAATCAAGAAAGTGAAACATTACAAAGTAAACCAGAGTTAAAGTTAATACCTAGCCTAATCGCGATCGAATGGTACTATCGCCTCATGGAAGCTTTTCTCCCTTTCGCGTCGCTTGCGCGACTTCAGATTGCGTAGTGTCTTCCGCATATCTCTCATACGCAGCAATGTACTGTTCGTCAGCGCTCCAAGTATCCTTTACACTTTGACGCGCCACTGCCGCGTCAAACCATTTCCTCCACCTAGCCCATACTTTCTCTTCCTCCTCATCACCGGCTTGTCCCGGGCCCGGAATACCCACACCACCGGGCTTGTAATGGTCGATAAGGAAGAGGCGCTTCGCCCACGGTGCAAGCATGACATCGACCAAGCTGAAAGTGCGACCAAGAAACCACGGTCCGCTCTCTTCCCCGTGTTTCTCATTTTCTAGAATCTCTCGTACCAGTGTCTTGATATGACCTAGAAACCCTTCTCGCGCCTCTTCGATGGTATATTCCTTGTCGGGAGTGTGCTGCAGCACCCGATAGAAACCCGGCACAATTTTATTGCTGATATGGTCAATCCAGAGCCTACACCTCGCGCGCTCGTACGGGTCGCTAGGCAATAATCCAGGTCCGTTTTCTTTCTCGTTTGCATATGCCTCATCGAGGTACTCGCAGATTACCGCACTCTCGTACAGCGGCTTCCGCTTATATCCCTTCTGCTCCGCATCCACAGGGACAGCCAACGTGGGCACGAGCCCGCGCGGATTGAGTGCAAGAAACTCGGGTGCTTTGGCGTACGGATTGATTTCGACATATTGATGCGGAATGCGCTTCTCGTGCAACACGATCCAGGTCCGCTGCACGAAAGGGCAGAACCATCCACCGTATAACTTGAGGGGATGTTCAGCGGCGTGATCCGCTGCGAATTGGGCTGCGGCGCCTGTGGCGTGTCCTTGTAGGGAGGTATCCACCGTCGCCGGCATGACGCTTTTCTGTTTCGTCAAAGCCGAGTGAAATTGGTTAAAGTGTTGTGATTGAGATAAGTGTGGTCGGTGACGTATGCGCAGTGCTTGCTGGATGATGATGCTTACTGACTGTCCCTTCATTAGGTATAGGTATAGGTACCTAATCTATTGAGGATATCACAGAAGTTTGGATGGTGAGTATGAGCGAGATGTATCTAGGAAACGATGACATCAAGATGTAACGGCGGTAGGTAACGGTTAGTTGCGGGGAGATGGGGGAACAGGGAGTACCTCTCCGATATACTATCGAATAATAGACTACCTAAGGTATGGTGGTCATATTGTTATAATTATGATATCGACAACTTCTCATTCTCATCCTCTTCTCATTATTAACTTCATATAAATAATCAACTTAGTTGGGTACCATTCGTCAGTCTTCGGAACCCAATAACACGCTCAATTTACATGCAGATCATTTCAATATCCATCTTTAATCAACCTCTTCCACGTCCCCCTACCCGCCAATCTCCTCTTAGTAGCCGTCTTACGATTTAAATCCGGGATGACGTATTCGTTGGGTCGTTCCGCCCGAACCGTTTCCCAAAAGTCGTACCCGCGCTCGCGGCGTCGTTCTGCCCTTTGCGCGCGCTCCTCCCTTTGCTGTCTTCGCCGCTGCTTCACCTGACGCGACGCCTCCGGCTCGAGTGTGGCGAGCTTAGCGGTGCTCTGCTGCATCCCCTTCTTTGCTAATTTAAAGCATCCTTTAAATGCGGCTTGCACACGGCCGCTGAAAGCTGCCAAGAGCGTGCCGATTATAAGCACTGCCGACACGGGGACTACATTGATATGCGTTAGTAACACACCTAAGGATTCATTTTCGGTTATCTGGATCGCCGAAAAGGGAATAATAAATCAGAATCAAAATCAAAACAGAGGGACCTACGTGAGATGGCGCCAATAAACCCCAGGCTAACAAAATTGTCATCTTCACCTCCCCACTCCTTAGTATTCATACCGAACAAACTAGTAAAGAAGCTGAGCGGTAGGAATAACACCGTAAACGTCGTGAAGATCATCACCGAGGTGTTTTGAGAGCTAGCCAGCTCGGTTTGTAGTCGTGACCACCGCACTTCATCTACTTGCGCTTGACGTTGTATCATCTCTTGGAGTTTCTCGTACTAAACGCGACTTTGTTAGAACCTGTCGTCTAAACATCCCATCTTTTGAATTAGTTTGAAACTTACGTCTGCCTTCGTGTTATCAACCCGCTTGATCATGTCCTTTACTTGTTTCCGGTACTCCTGCAATCGTTTCAATGCTTCATCCAGAAACCCGCGCCCATTTTCCGTGAAGGACAAGAGCTCAGTTCTTTCGTAGCTCTCCTTCATCGCTTTAATTGTAACCTCTTGTTCCGAGAAGAGATTCATCATCGTGTTGAGTTCGTCATCCATGTCGCGAAGCTCGAGTAGGGCAGATGTGTTTTCACGGTTTTCTCGCTCCGCCTGCTCCAGCTCTCGCTTATGCCGTCGTTTTATGCTCTCAGATCGGTTATCCTCCAGCTCGTCCGAGTCAGAATCATCCAGGATTCTATCCCGAAATGTCTGCATTCTGAAACGTTTGAGCGATGAAGTCATCCTTTCAGTCTGTTGATGGTTTAGCTATTACTCCAATGCATGGTCAGATATAGGTATGATTTAGGTACTTACAAGTATACCAAGAGCTTCTTCAAAGATACGGAAAACCTCTAGATCCGGATGCGAGGTTCTATCAAGTAGCACCGTAACCGCGTGCAGAGTTACGAAAGCCGCAAGGTCCAATGGATTTTCACAGCGACCGCTAAGATCTCCGTTAAGCTCATTATACACGCTATTTCTGAGATCGGCCTGTTGGAATAACGGGCCTTCCGTAGGATGAGATTCGCGCTTCGGGAAAAAGGTCGTCAAAGTCGCTGTCAAAATGTTAACGAATAATAAACAATTTTGCTTAAGCACTTTTTGTGGCAACTTACTGGTATCAACTGCCCAGAGCCATAGCTGGTCAACCATGAGGACATTGCCATCGATAATATCGTTTTCGAGATCGGAGTCACTCTCTTCCTTATGAGTTGCTGTATCGCCTGTTTTTAACGTGTCCACAGTTGACATCAACCGACTTCCCGGCGAAAGGACACTCAAAGGCTCCTTGCCGTCGCCTACATGGTACATGTCCCGCTTCCGCTTAAACGGAATCGCGATTCTTTCTTTGGTAAGCTTATACAACATTTGGTCGTCGTCTCGTGCGTAAGTGTCTCGGAGAGCCGGGTACCCATATTGATCCAAGGTTCTACGCGTATTAAGCGGCGGATCATGTCCGATATATTGCCAGATTACCCGCGAGTCAAGAGACTCGAGTTCAGCAACGTCTCTCGGGACAGGTCTTGCTCTACCTTGTTCCATCCTCCGCTTGATGATATTACGGCGTCGTACTATATTTCTATATGTATCATAGTGCAGATATGGCAGATATAGATATAGGTGTGTTGGGGTGATCGCAGGGCTAGGACTCCTACCGATTCTTCCTGGAGACGGCGGACGGGGTGACCCTTTCGTGAAGATTAGCAAGATTGATTTGACCCTCGCATTTCACCACAATAGGGTGGGTTAATCTCTTACCAGCCTCCGATGGGACGAAAGCGCACCCCGGTTTGACATATGAAGAATGTAAATTCGCATGGCGCCCTTGTACATGTCTGTTAACCCAATTCTCGTTGCTTAGAAGTTTATCAAAGTTTCGATTCTGCGTTTCGGAGAGCTTATCGAAGATTTTCTAGACCTCAATTAGCAGAGCTCAGCAACGGCGAAGAGAAGCATTTATACCTTGACCCAGTGAGGGTTATTAAATGGTAAATGAATCCACATAAACTTTCTCCTGGAGGGGTCTGGCCTAGAGAAGCCAGCGCCCATGCTGTGGAGTGTGGTAAAACGGCCAATACCACCCCCTAAGTCGAAGGAGTCCTCTTTTGTGGCAGCTCTTCGTCCTGTTCTTGGAGAGATGCCGGCCCCGTGAGGATCAGAATTGGTGGTCCTAGCTGATCCCGTACTACCCCGTGAGGATGGACGATGGAAACCAGGAGTCGCAAGAGAAGGAACCGTCAACCCACGACTTCTCCTCGACGAGGCAGCAGGGACAGGCTCAGTTGACGCGCCAATCATGCTTGGTCGAGAAGCGTGACTCGTAACAACGATTTCGGGCGATGGACCAGTGTTGGACTCGTGTTCAGGGTTTTCGGATGAGCTATTGGGTCGCACTGAGCTGAAAAGCATCTGTCCAAAATCTTGAACAATCCCCAATGCGCCTGCAATTGGTGATGGGCCCGATAATGGGCGCTGTGGTCGTACTATGCCTCGGTGCCGCCTGGCCGCCACAGTGTTCATCCGCTCCTGAAGGCATTTCTCAGGGCCCTTCTCCAGGAAGTCTTTCAAAATATGCTTCGAGATATAAAGCCTGATTTCTTGGCCGTATTCCCCTTCTGGATCCCCATAAAATCCGATGAGCTCGACCTTAATATTTTCACTTAACCCCAATGGCGTGTGGACGTATTTAGAGCTCAATTCTTCTGCTTTCCGAACCGCAGCTCCTAAGTCAGCGAGGAACGAATGCATTGTTCGGATATTGCTGGGCCCGAACGAAGCGCAATGAGCGTGATCGCTCTCGAGAGATAAGGCTTGCTCCCCTCGACATCCAAGTATACCTGATTTAATAGACGTTAGTGGGGCGCTGAAGTGAACTTCGTCGAAGTCGGCGCCGCCAAATCCGGACAATTGCGAATCGGCTGTCTCATAGAAAGTCCATATACGCAGCTCACTAGCTATGTCTACGAACTTATCTTGTAACTTCAGTAACGATTTGTTTCCTAATCGCAATTCACGAGCGATAGACTTAGGTAGCGGACTTTGCAGGTACATGAGATGCTGAATGCTCTCTCCTAGATGAGGCATCGACATGTAACTCGAGCCGCGATGAGGTGTAGCTGATACACGTTAATAACCACATGTGTGAACAGCGCATAGTTACCGGATTTTATGACTTGGAAACTTACCAAAGAAAGCGATACCATGACAATCGAAGATTAGAGACCTAAGCTCAGGTTTCTGGTTCGCTTTGACTAAAGCAAGTTTCACAACAAGCCCGCCGACGCTATGGCAGATAAAGAATATAGGCCTTGACTTTGACTGACTAACACGTGTCTTCATGATTTGATCAAGCAGGTCATCGGCAGCCTGGTCGAGCGTCATACCCTCCACTAGCTCACGATGACGATAAAGCATCACCCGCGCCATGCTAACTTCTTTGCGGATGCCCTGTCTTATCCAGAGTTGGCTCGCTTTCGGCAAATGACGATTTATCGTGGGCGATAGGATGCTACTTCCCGGGAGTTCTTTCACGGTGGAATAGCGCTGAAGCTCATTCGGCGGAGGAAAGCCAAAGTAGTCCTCCGTGAGAGGATCTCTAGCCCAGGTATCAACAGGAGACGCGCCAACGCAGGGTACAGCGATAATATCGACCGTGGTCTGGTTGTAGCCATGTCCGTCAACATCGCCGTCAATGTGCGCGAATCCCGGTTCCGGATCCCAATGCGAGTAGCCACTGTCGATAGATCTCTTATTATCAAAACCATCACCATCTTCTGACCCGTCACTATGAGACGCCTCGTGGTCGCTGGCATCGCTAGTTCTGTTATGCATCTCGGGAGCGCTAGAGGTAGAACGCGTCGCGGCATCTTGAAGCTCCAGCTCAGCTTCGAGACCCAAACCACCCGAGTCTTCGCGGCCTGTTTCTGCCATTTTGGCCGTGATAACCTCGAATTTACTTCTGGGTCACCCTTCTTTACATGAGATTGCGTCAAGAGCGAATTCTTAATGGCGTGTTACAGAGACTTTTATATATTCGCGGTCGCTCAGAGTTTTGTGAAGATTCAATCCATGTGCGATAATTTTATACGAAGACGGCCGAAGGTACCTAGACAAAGGCCCTTCAAAATGGCGATGCGGAGTCAGCCTTGCATTATTGTTTATTACTGCCTACTTCCCTCCATATGCTCCATATGCCGTCTCCCGTCAGCTGCTTTTGCTGCGGCTCTTCTCCATCGAGATTTCCCCAGAGTCGCAAAAGAGGATGATCTCCCATTGGCTTACAGGGTGAGACATGGTGGCTTCGGGCGCAACCGTAAGATGAAGATTCTCAGCTGACGGCAGGGGTCCAATACGGCAGGCGGCCAAGGCGGTTATACGGCAGAGACCTCTTTTTCAGCATATACTCAGGAAAGAATTTGAAAATGTATTTATTGGTGTGTGTCGTTACACTCCTCTACCAAAACAGCATTCTAATAGTTACATAACTCCCAATAAACACCGCTTAACTACCTGCCTGTCATACCTACTAGGCAGATAAAACAAAAGTAACTGAAAACAGAAGACAGCAATAAAGCCGGGGATGCAAGAAAAGAAAATTAGGTCACTACATAACAAAAACAACTAACCATCTCTAAACCTATATTGAGAACTAGTTAGGTCCTAAATATAGGTGTTCTCGACGAAGATAACCACAACTAGTTAGGTATGTTCTAACTAAGCAGTAGCCCCATCATAGATCAGCATGTTCACAACACCCGGTTGAGTCATTACGAGATATTATTGCCAGTTTAGCGAAGCCACTCTGTCATAAAATCTCAAAATGCTCACCTAACTGATGTTGAATTGCCCAAGCCAATTCAAGCTTTCACATACCTATATACACCAGTCGTCTACTAAGGATGTTTTCTTTCGGTGTTTACACTCGAAACCGGAGTTCTCCTGATGTAACATCGTGCACTACATGTTGGTCAGGGCAATTATTTATGCGCATACCTACCTACCTTATGTGCCGTAGGGATACATACCGTCTTTCTAATCCTGACGACCTATCATGTTAGCTATCTTGTCGGCTTTGCTGCAAATTACGCTGCTACTGCATGTAGCCTTGTGAGTTGACCCATGATTCCAGACGAAATTATATAACCTGGCAGATTTTGGATGACAAGTGGTCCAACAACAACAACAACTTTTGATAGGCACCTAGAAAGATATCAGTATGAAGCTAATACCATTTGGTTTGTTATTAAGGTGTTATTCGGCATAAACATGTTTAAACGTATCACATCAGCTCTAGCGCTTTATGCGCTTGGGTTTTTAAATCACAAACTACCAACATCTGCGCCGCAGGCCCATATATAATAAAGCGATAGGGAGTCGCGAGCGTGAAGTGATGATTTCTAAATAGAGTCTTTCATCTTTCTCGCAAGTCATCAAGTCATCAAGTCATCATGGGCGGAGTTGCGTCTATACCGACGGATCCCTCCCGGAAAGTCCAAGTCATCTCGGCGGGATACTCGCGAACCGGGACCGTGTCTATGTCCATGGCCCTGGCGAAGCTAGTCGACGGTCCCGTACTCCACGGCGGGACACAGATCTTAACGCGCGACGATGGTAAAGTTCGATTCGATTACCTACCTGGTACCTAACCTACTATCAGCCACAACTACCTAACACTGGATCAGATTACTGTTCAACGTGGATTAAAGCGTACGAGGCTAGGGAAGCCGGCGATAAAGAGCAGACCTTGAAGCTTGTTCGAAAGGCAACGGCCGGGTTCGCCGCGACTGCAGATCTGCCACCGGCCGACTTCATTCCCGAAATGGTGGAGCTGTATCCCGAAGCGAAGGTCGTATTAGTCCGTAGAGATTCCGTGAAGTGGTGGAATAGCATAGCAACTTTAACCGGTCGGACTACGCCGTGGTGGCTTGGTATCGTAGTAGCCCCGTTTCCCGGATGGAGGTACATTCCGACTTTTGCAAGCGTGTACAGCCGGTCAACGTTGCGGCTTGCAGGTCTCGACGCGAATAATGCCAGCCCGACGGAACTCGTCGAGAAAGGTGGTCCTCGTAAGTCTCCCGTCCCTTTCTTACGCATCTGCTAATCAGGTATTCCCCGTCTGCAGACATTCTAGAAGCCCACCACAAGAAAGTTAGATCTGTCGTCCCTGAGGGACAGCTGTTGGAGATGGATTTAAACGAGGGCTGGGAACCTCTTTGCCGATTCTTAGGCGTACCGGTTCCCGATGAACCATTTCCTAGGGCGAACGACGGGCAAGCTGCGGATGCATACGCCACCAAGATTCTACTCAAGGTATTTCAAGTCTGGATTGGTATCTTTTCCGTCGCAGGACTGGGCATTTATTCTGCATCTCGTTTGTTAAGACGAGTGTCGTAATGCGTTTTATTAGCGGTCAGAAGATTATTAGAATAGACGTCCTTTCATACATACCATTCACAAGAGGCCCGGGATAGCAAGAGGCCAATCATACTAAGTTAACGAACAAATTTGATAGATATTTGGGTCTATAGAAATACATATCCCCTAGCATCATTGAGCGGACTGCCGGGTAGTCATACTAAGTTTCCGTACACTCTTAAATACCGGCTTATTAAGGGAATATGAAAAAGTAGAGACATCATTAATTTCAATCTCTCAGCATGAAATCAATTTATTATCACGGCATCCCGTACCATCGTACTTACGAGCTGATACCCTTAACCCGGAGGCGGGATAAGTGAAGGATCTCATGAAAGTCCCCGCGATTTGTAAGCCGCCAGGGTTCGTGTAGGAGCGCACGACGGAACAAGTGATGGATTCGTCGAGATAAGAGTTCCCCTTATGATAGCAACTGTTCTCATGCACCTAACAAATGTATACCCGCCGGGTCTCAGTACTGTCAACTTTGTAGAATCGTCGGGTTAATAGAATTAATTAGATTCCTGTGAAATTATTCCGAACACCACCAAAACCCCTGTGTAGTGTATTGCAGTGTAGAGTTGTCTATACGCGAATTCTCATAGGGGTTTCTATTCTTTCTACAAGGTAAGTATCTATTATATCTCTCCGAAATACACCTACCTCCGTAAACCACTCCTTTCGGTTGATGGATCAAGAAATGACGAGGTGGAAAATGTGCAAGTCAGAGGAATCTGTTCTGTTATAGGCAGTCCAGCTCCACAATGAGGTTGACACATTGAGCAAGCCCAACGGGTATAAAACAAGGTTTCCCATCATTTCTTCTCGTAAGTCACGATCATTCCAGCAGCATATCAAACCGCCTTCCAACCATATCACCATCAAGCCTTCTTAACTCAATCATCTATTCAGCATGTCTTCGCTCAAGCCAATAATTCTGTGGGGCAACAGCGCTCCCAACCCCGTGAAAATACAGATCATCCTCGAGGAGCTCAACATCCCTTACGAGGAGAAGACAGTCGACTTCTTGCAGGTGAAGCAAGAGCCCTACATCAGCGTCAACCCGAACGGGAGGGTCCCAGCAATCGAAGACCCGAATACCGGGGTTACTCTGTGGGAGGTAATGAAGTCCTTACTTTGATAATTTAATATCCACGCTATTAACTAACTACCTATGTTTACGTCTAGTCCGGTGCTATCATTGAATATCTCATCGACACTTACGACAAAGAGCACAAGTTGAGCTATGGTACCTCCCCTGAAAAGTACCTGATTCAACAATGGATCGCTTTCCAGATCTCAGGTAGGATCTTCGTAGTTCCTCCGTTACGTGCTCTAAGTTTTGCTGACATTCCAAACAGGACAGGGACCTTACTACGGCCAAGCCGTATGGTTCTCCACCCTCCACCCCGAGAAGATTCAGTCCGCAATTGATCGGTACGTCAAGGAGATCGAGCGCGTGCGCAGCGTCCTTGAGAAGCATCTATCCACGTCGCCATCTGGGTGGCTCGTCGGTGATAAAGTCACCGTGGCGGATATCGCCTGGGTCATGTGGGAGCATATTGCACTTGTGCTTCTGAAAATGCAGGGTATTGATCTGGAAGGGAAGTATCCGCATTATGAGGCTTGGTACAAGAAGTTATCAGAGAGGCCTGCTGTCCAGAAGGGCATAGCTATAAGGATGAAGCAGATGGCACAAATGGATGCTGTGAAGGCAGCAGATGCCGCTAAGAAGGAGTAAGGCATATAGAGTGCATATAAGCTCTCTAAGCTATCTCAAGTGGCGTTGGCTGTTAGTGATATAGAAGACCGGAATTCTTGCAAGTTTGAATAGAAACAAGTAGTTACAATAGATTTACTATGTATGGAGAAAAGATACAACAGCGGATATACTGAAGTCCCCATCTCAAGAAAAATTTTGACTCATGATATTCAGTCAAGCATAAGATGTAAATATCAACATTTACCTATAAGTGGTATCTAATAGGCATGAGAAGACGTATAGGGCGTGAGTATGTTGATAGATATCTAAGCCTCCTAACAGGCACCTACTCTAGGTACCTAAGGTATTGACTCACGGCATGTATGATGAGAATGTGGCTTATGAAGGAAACTCCAACGGTGTACAAAGACGACACTTAGTTTATTGATTTTCTTTACTGACCTACTACTAGTACTATCAACTTCAAGGAGCTTACCGGAAGTGACGATGTTAGTGATAGAGATGGTCGAAGTAAAAGAAAATAAAAAGAAATAAAAAAAGAAATCCGAACAACAAAGTAAACACTTCTGTAGACATATAGGATCACCAGGACTCGGCTCAAGTGTCCGCTTCTAACAACCTATTAGGAGCTAGAAATCAGACGCATATTAAACGCCTCCTAATTGTTGATAAGCGAGCAATATCCAAGGTCTTGCATTTATATCTTCAAAACCAGGAAGTTGTCAATCAACACAAAAGCGGTTAACAATCCGGGAGAGCCACATGGATATCAATCAGGGACCCAGAGCTATCGCATATGCACCTAAACTAGTGCTTTGGGCAAAAGTAGGAGGTAGGTAGTATTTTATCCACACCTATGGCAAAAGCGCCTGCATATATATCTTGGGATCAAACGGGTCACGTTCTACATATAGTCACATGCGAGAAGCATCTCGTATGTTTTTCGCTGGAGCACAATTGATCTTACGACTATCTTCAGAGGATATGGCCGTGCTTGAGATATTCCCTACCAAAACCCCCAAACTCCCGCATATCGCGAATTGAGAGTTCCCTCCTTTTTGGCTGCACATACCTTTCATTAAACCTTTTTATTGCCGTTTCTTGTACAATGGCGTTTTGTAAATATAGGAGGTACCTACCTAAAATTACCTAAGGTACCTAGTTATGTACCCTGTAATAATAATACATCAGAGCTGGCTTGCATGGCGAGAGGGTAGATAGGTAGAGCTGAACTAAGGCCATAGTCGTAATAATCCACCTCTTCTGTGAGTGCCTAATTCTATGAGCAAGTTTGGAGGAGGAATGTCCAAGGACCTTGGTTCTTTCACGTAAAAACGCTAGAGGGTCTCTCAAATTAATTCTTATGCTTTCATGTCTCTTCTCTACGCCTCTACCCTAGGAGGATCAGTCTTCCCTCCCGCTGCGGGAGGTGGCACGTCGCCTCCCGACCCACCCGCCTTCTGCTGGGCCTCCGCGGCCCTACGAGCCCTGTACTCGCGCATACGCTTCGCCTTCGCGGCGCGCTGCGCGTCGAGCGCCTCCTTGCGGCGAGCAATCTTGTCTTCCCGCTCGGCGCGCATCTCGAGCGCGATAGCCTTCGCCCGTCTGCGGCGGTGCTTCATGGCGACCCTCCTACTGCCGAGCTTGCGCTTCTCGGTGCGGATCAGCTTGCCGAGGCGCCAGCTCTCCTCGGCGTAGGCGTAGCTGCCGTCGTCCCTCAGCTTGAGGACGCGCTCGTCGCGGGGGTGGGGCTTCCGGCCGTAGCCCTGGCGCACTACCTGCGTCGGGATGCCGGAGGAGGAGATGGCGGGCTCGGGCTGCGGCGGAGGGATCGGGGTCGCGATCATGTTGAGCTTGCGCCTTCGCATCACGTGCGTTGGGTACGGGAGCTTGTCCTCTTTGTTGAACACGACCCCGATGTACTGCCGGTCCGGGTGCCGCGAGGGATCTCGGTAGTACTTGACGTAGCCCGTAGCCAGGGCGTATATGGTGTGGTCTCGGCCCATGCCGCAGTTCTCGCCTGGCCACCACTTTGTGCCGCGCTGCTTGTATATGATGTTTCCAGGAATCACGTAAGAGTCTGTGATTTGTAGGCGTTAGTTACGTTCTATTCTGGGTTTATAAGTAAGTGACAATTATGTCGCAAACATACCACCGCTCTTCTTCGCGCCCAACTTCTTCGGAATCGTGCTCGAGTCTCGTAACTTGTACGCTCCCTGGGCCTTGACCGTGGCATTTCTTCGACCTTCTACGGCCGCATTGTTGGCCGCTATCCTCAGCTGTCCGAACACGTCTCGTAGCTGTCGTATCGCAGTGGTACTACCAGGTGCCGTTCTCGATATTCCAGAAGCAGCCGCCACTATGGGCCGCTGCAATTGAGCGATCCTCATGACTTGCCGGACTGTCGTTGGACTGTCGTTTAGACCCGTTGTCGCTTCTTCTCGGCGAAGATTTGGAGATGCAAAAAGCTCGGGTCCACAAAATCTCGGGTCCCACGTTTCCCGTACCCATAAGATTTGGACTTAGTCAGCTGCCGATAAGAGCTGAGGAGGTTAGGTACCTGATACCTACCTCTTAAGCCGGACCGGACTGATAACGATAAGCAGTGGAAAGTTGCCAGCAATACCAAATCCGAAATACGTCAGGTAAATACCTATACCAATCTCTCCATCCTTTTGTGTTTATGTACCTCTTAATTCTATCGCAAGCGGAACTAAACACCAAAACCTCCCCCCAAAAAACCTCGAGCCAATCCCAAGCGTGAAAGATCCCTATACCAACTCCATCAATTAACTAAAAATGAAGCTCTTCCCCTCCCCCCTCCAAATCCTCCTCCTCGCCCTATTCTCCTCCCTCGCGCGCGCCCAATTCGGTTTCTTCGACCAGATGTTCGGCGGCGGCGGCGGCGGCGGTGGACAGCAGCAACAGCGCCAGCAGCCGCAGAACGTCCCCAGCGACTCGGCCATCTACCGCTCCAACTTCGACCGCATGCACTGCGATAACTACCTGTGCCCGGATACTCTAGGTAGGATTTCGTACCTCCCCTGCCCTCCCCCCCATTTAGCAACATTGGCCATATCTCGTAAATCGATCGATAAAAAACATACCTAATCCAAAAAAAAAAAAAAAAATGAATGATAAAAATAAAATAAAAATGAATGAATGGCTAATTGGCCCACCTGTCAAACAGCTTGCGTCCACTTCCCTCACCACTGTCCTTGCCCATGGCCTGCCCACGAGGACAAGTTCGAGACCGGCGAGGGCCACCGGATATGCGTGTCTAAGGGCGGTTTCAAACCCGGGGAGGCCGCAAGGAAAGTTGAGCTCGCCCGGAAGGGATTGCTATAAGTCAAACGGCCGTGCTTTAATAAATATGGTACTTTATATAATCGGTGGATTGTTTGTTTCTTGGAATACAACTCGGCGTCGTTCTAGTCCTTTTTAAATACGAAACCGCATTATCTGAGTAGAATGGTTAAACACTTCAGCACCCCTCTTGGTTAAGTTATATCCAATTTGACTTAGGCGACAGAATGAATAAGAATGAATGTTGTTTCATTGAGTTTGAGGTCTAACCCCGTGCAAGTAGAACACTTCTATAAATACAACTGTGATTCACCCGAAAATAACCATGTCTCCCTCCCAGCCCAATGGGTAGTATGTCGCTCGCCCCTCCAACACCGAAATTCATCTATTGTGCCTCTGGGAAGAAGAACAAATCAAGAGGCACTCCAGTCCACCTGGCCATTTAACTCCGTCCATCAATGCATGTCCTGTCATCGCACCCATAACCCCGTCGTTGTAATTTACTTGCTCTTCTCTCGTCATCAAAGTTGGCAGCGTTTCTCTTAAGAGAAGAGTGGTTTGTCCCGTATTCCTAGTCGCCAGCTCCGACAGCAGCGCCATTAATGGTAGGCATCGGGGGGACCTCTTCATCGTCCTCAAGCTCGTCGAGCGACTCCGGGTGGCCGAGGTACTTGGCGACGTCCTTCATCTCGTAGTGCTTCTTCCGCAACAACTCGAACTTGCGGTGCTTCTCTTTCTCTTCCGGGGTCAGGCCCGCGAGTTCATTTTCGGCATCATGTTCCGGTGTGGCATCCTCGTCGTTGACATGAACCTTGCTCTGCTTGCGCGCGGCTCCAAATTCGCTTTCGGGGATTTCCTCTTCCGGTTCTCCTAGCGACAGCCCGGGAATTTCTTCCTTTCGGGAATGCTCGCCATCAAACATCTCATCGTCGTCGTCATCTTCCGACGGCTCGTAGTGTCTAGCATACGGCGTCTTGGGCTCGGTAATTTTCATGGTAGACGTACGTTCCTGCTCGGTCAAGTAGAGGTTTGCTTCGTCCCATTTCAAGCGCTGATTGTTATCTAACACTTCTTGGTCTGGGCCGTGGGAAGGGGTGCGTGACGATTGGCGGCGCGAGCCCGGGGGACGGCTGGCAGCACTCGAAGAGCGACGATGTCCGGCATTTGTTTGGGTATTTATGATGGTGAGCTCCTTTTCAGACAAGTCCTTTTCCTTGATCGGAGATGTTGGGGGTGGCGATTTTTGAAATGAGTTCTTTAAAATGCCTACCAAGAGAAGAATCAATTAGTCCAAGGCCACGCTGACGGAGCAAGATGGGAAATCGTAGCATAAGGGATAGATGGAAACATATGACGTACCTCTAGGGCGCTTAATTTCGTGGTTCGGAATATGCATAGCTTTGGGGCTCAACTCCACGGTCGCCATTTTGGGACTGCAAGAAGAGGAAGTGTTGGTAAGTGTATTTAGGTAAGTTGAATGAATGTATGTAGAATGGGGAAGTTTTTGAAAAGTACGAAAGGATGGGAATAGAGGTAGGTAGTCAAGTATGCGACAGCTTTGGGGGGAGGAAAATATGGAGTAATGTGGATGGGAAAGAAGTAGGCGGAGGTAAGCGAAAACTACCTAGGTAGAGGTAGGAAGTTGGTAAGTGGAAGTGGTAAGAATAATAACGTTAGGAGGTAGGTAACTAGGGCTAAAAGAAGGATGGCGGGTTTGCGGATTGGCGGTTTAGGTTGGCAGGGATTTGTGGAGGTTAAAGTTGGAAAATACCTTAGGTACCTAGGTACCTAACCTAAAAAAATAAAATAAAAATAAAAAAAAGGTGGCAGACGGGACGCGGGGAAAAAGAAACTTGGGTCCCTGCAGTAGAAAACAGTGGATTTTTCTATTCCAACCTTTCCGTCCCTTCTGCTTGTGATATTTGATTTGATGTGATTTGATGCTTCGGTATGATTTGATATTTATTCGGGATTATGGCTGAGGGAGTATGTATTGTACAGTAGCGTTGTGCTGTAGTGCTGTGTTGTATTGTACGTGGTATGCTAGGGTACCTATGCTAGGGTATACTACGGGGTAATGCTGATGATCGTCCTGATGATAATGATGATGCTCTAGTATTTCACCGATGGGCTTGGGGTTCTGGACTTTGGAATCCAATGCGGGTAGATTTTCTTTTTTTTCTTCACTTACGGCTGGTAGGGCATGTGTTACCCGCTGTATGGTGTATGTGGATGTGTGGCTTTTTTTTTCCCTTATGATGGAGGGTGAGAGGAATGCAATAGCGTATTATCCTATTACCGTTTTGGCCTCTAGTTCCTGATGGTGTTGTCGCTACGTCGTGTGTCTATCTGTCTCACTTGGTGGAGATCTTGTGATTGAGAGGAAAGACGCGAATTGTCATATAAAAAAGAAAAAACTCGGGATGGGAAACGGAACTAGAAGGCTAAAAAATTTAAGGCGGGTTGTCGAGAAGGCACACAAGTTAGAGAGCAAGGTGATAAGGTGAGGATAATGTGGCGATTCGTTGCTCAAAACAATGAACTTGTTAGTTCAAGTCGCTAGTTCAAGTTGTTGTTGTAGTTAGTTAGGTACCTAGGTAGGTAGGTAGTGTCTGCTCAGGTTGCTCTAGTGAAATCGACCTCGGGAGGGGGGAACAAACACCTAAACGTGCTAAAACGTGCTAAACCTAATAACGCTATTGCTGTTGCTACTGTTGTCACTACTGCTGCAGGTGTTACAGCTTTGGGGTCAAGTCGTATCATTAGCCTTGTTTGATGCTTGCACAGAAGGTGCAGAATGGTACAGAAGATGGGTGGATATTTCCAGCATAGTCGGGGGGTCTTGTCTTGGTGGGGTCATAGGTACCTACCTAGGTACCTAAAGTAATCAGTATGAGCTGTACACAGCTACGTAACATGTACATATGTAGGTATGTATTTCATACCTTAGGTAAACAGCACGAGCCTCCCCCTGCAAAGAAGCTTATTAAGGCAATGATCATCCCATCATCTCACGAGAACCTTATGTCACGATTCCAATGTTTGAGTTCTCTGGTACGAGATTTTCCCTGCAAAAGCCTGCTAAAACCAAAGTATTCCACGTATCATAAAAATGTATCTGTACTTCTTACTCGGTAAAAGCTTACCTACATCCCGCCCCTGCGGCCAGGTACCTAACCCATTGTTCACTTTAAGGCTCGAGTTCCTTTCAGGTCCTTCCCGAAAACCCTTCGAAATGGTAAACCTGACATCATTTTTTTTTATTCTTTAAATTTTTTAAGGGGGTGGGCCTTGGTCTCCAAGTGACCTCATGATACTTCTGTCTTCCTGTTGTCCTTCGGTCGGCATTGCCAACCTATAACGGCGTTACCTAAGCTCATGATTTACTTCCCTTTATCCACTTTGTCGGACCCTCGTGCACGGCGTCACGGCGTCACAGCGTTGGGTCCCATTCCGACTTATCTCGAGTTTATTAGTATCAGATAAAATATATTTATTAAAGAAGCAAGCCCCTTAAATCTGTTACCCCCCCTTCAAATTATTGTCATGTCAACCACCAAACATCAAACATGCATTCATTGCCTATCGTCTAATATTGCGTCTTCTATATAGTTTGTGCACATCCTGTACGTTAGGTCCGTACAATACACCATGAAATGCGCCAATCTGTAAAATGCCTTACTTTCTTTCCATGCTCTCTCTCTCCCTCTACTTGCGACAAGGACCCTTTCTTATTGAGCCGGATGGACGGAAATCGATATCTCCCGAATTTTGCTCATCGACCCCTTAACGTGAATTTTACCAGCTCACCAGTTCGTTCCCTCTAATAAGATGTTTTTCTTCCTCTGCCGCTGTACACGCTCCGAACTCTCCCGTCACCCACCCAGGCAAGAAAAAAAATAACGATAATAATAGATTATATACCTATAAAAAAAAGTCAGGGTCCAAAGGGTGACTATCTATCTCTGCGCGTACTACATAATTAGCGCACCTTTCCCGTCCCTACCCCTGGACCATTTGACGCAGGGTAAGACTGATATATGCGTGCTTTTATATAGGGAACTAAGGTATAATATGTAGGTATCTTATGTATACCTATCTCTACCTCCCTTAGGTAGGTACCTAAAATAACGTGGCGGCACGCACGGGCAGAGGGCGATCGCAGAACGTCCGAGGACGAGTAGGAACAACGACCGCTAGCACATGCTTATCCGGGAATTTTTGAGGCTCGAGGGAAACAGGCATGCCTATCCAAGCGCTCCAATAGCTCTGCCGACGATGCAAGAACCAGACCCCTATCGTGCTCGAAATAGCTAGTAGTTTAGCGAGCCCAGCTTCAGAGCTACCTGATCCCAGCGGTAGGTAGTTCAGGGGTCCTTTTGTGTGCGTAGCACAGCAGCGAGATACGGCTGCAGTCCCGTTGGATTCGACCGACCGTGGGTAGGTAGGTAGGCCGGCCGCGCTGATATCGACCCGGAGATCTTATCTTCTGCCCACTATCTAGATGAGGGTATGGGCGACCCTGATGTCTTGGACCGTTGGCTCGTGTTTCCGGCTTTTGGTGAACCAGTTGCCGAACCCTGAGATATGAGACCTTGTAAGCCTTATACCGTAGCAGATACGACGCTGCCATTTAAATGTTGTTTACGAGATGGAAAATCCGTGCATTGCGCGCTACATCTCTCTATCTCTCTCTGTCCATGGGCCGATGGTGACTTGATAACATGGTTGGTCAATAGTGGCCAATGTTATAATATTCATCAGATTCCCGATGACCCCTATTTCATCCCTGGTACCTACGAGAGGTATTAATTGAATAATATGGTGAGTTAAGAAAAGCAGTGCTAAGTACCTTAGGTAGGTGGTATACCCATCTTTCAGCAATATCACTCCCTTAGTTTGTCTCCTAGCCCATGTAATCGTCGTTCTAATTCCGTTACCTAGATCTGCGTTGTTATATATCACATTTTACCACTCGGATCCTAGCACACATCTGCTGTCCAATCTAGCGACGGTGACACATGAGCAAGATGGACGGTGTTATCTCTGGCACGGTCGGTAAATGTATCCTCACATGCAATGTGGTGTACGGGCTGAAAGAGGCTGGAATAACTACCCTGCAGATAAGCGATTCGGCATTACCGACTCTTGCTAGGTGTTCGATTGATGGCTCTTCGCGTGCTGCAAATAAGATAATTCACATAGCCCTTCATAGAACTCGCGAATCCCGGAGCCAATCGTTCCTATCCCCGATGATCGAGACCCTCAAAGACATGACCTATATAAGAGAAGGGAACGGCCGTGGTAGCATCCATGGCTACATAATTACCAGTCATATGCACAGCTACAAGTCCCTGCATCAAGGAAAATATATTCGGCATAGCTACGCTGTCATTGTTGCGTGTTGTCCTCCTATAGTTGCTCTTCGTTATCCAGCAGCCTCACACCCATATCTTGTATAGGCCGGGGCAATATCAACCGATATGGTTTATACCAAGCGACAGGTCAACATACATTAGCCATTTTTCAGCGCTCTCTTCAACTCGCAAATGTATGCCTCATTGGGATAAAGAATCTGCCATGCAAAGCTTACTACAGCTTATCGGCATATGTTGATCCGTCAGATGATAGGTCTTTGCAACAAGTATGGTAAACATAAAGGTTACCAGGACCTGACAATTTTACATACGCAAAATACGACGACGTTGATGAGATTATGTTAACACGTAGTTGACAATGCACCAAGCAAATATGTCTACGGAAAAGCCAAACCACTGGGCGACGATGAGGAAAGACACAGTGCTTCTAACGTTACAGTCTGCCGAGTTTATCCCGTTGTATCTGATTGTAGACGAGTATGCAAGCCTGTTGCAGTACCTATAGCACACCACTACCCAAATCCGAAAGCGGAGTTAATCATCGCCATCAATTTCGTCACTAGCTCTCTTCTTCTTGGTCTCCCTCTTCTTCGGGCGGAGCCATTCCTCCATACCAAGGGGCCAGTATACCCGGTTATTAGGGCCGCCCATCCCAAGGTCCGATTCCGGTATCTCGGGAGGCGGCTTGACTTCCTGCTCCGCGTTTTCTTCAGCTTCGATATCTGCGTCTGCATCTTTCTTGGCCTTGCGCTTTTTCTTCTTCGGCAGCTTTGGTGGCGGTCTATTTTCGTCCGCGCGCTCGTACGGGATAACGTCGTTGAATCGGTCCCATCCGGGCAGTTTAAAAGTTCGCATGAGATCAAATACGGCTTGCTCTTTATCTTTCGCCTCGATCATGAGATCCATAGTATTAGGACACGGCGGAAGAGTTAGAACACGAGGGCGATGCTTTCGCCGCTGGCGAGGAGTGATAGCCTCGGAGCAAGGCTCGCTATAATGCATTTTTTGTGTAATCCTTTTCCGATCCCAAGTTGATTTTATCCTTGGGTAAAGTTCCATAATATCTTTTGTGCCTTCGCGGATTTGATCTTTGTCAAACATGATGTTATGATGATGAAAGTCCAAAACAAGTGGAATATTTAATTCCTCACATATCGGGAGTAGATCATGTACAGTCCAAGATACGTCGTCATTCTCCAGTACCAACCTAGCTTTGACACCCTCCGAGAGTTTGGCATAACTTTTCCTGAACCGATCGAGGGTAGCCTCCTTATCACCGAACACGCCTCCCATATGCAAAACCATGATGGCGTCCCTATTGAGCTGCTTGGGCAAGCGCAAAAGCGTAAGCATCTCGTCATGATATTCAAGATCGCGCATCGCGTTTCGAACAACTTCTGCCCGAGGTGATCCAAGTTGTGTATACTTCAAACGAGTTAGCAGTAACAACTTGGGCATCGGCTAGTTCAATATACCTGTCCAGGATGGGTGGTGAGTCGATGGCCTAGCTCGGACGCGACTCTTCCAGCCTCGGCAAGCACTTCTGAAGCAAACGGTGCCAGCTTATAGCCATACAATTCATGACTGGCGAAAGGGAACATCTCCGAACTTAAGCGCATGAATTTGATACCATACTTATCGTTCCAGAGGATCATCTTTACGATATCACGCGCGTTGGCAAGGCCAAGCGCTTGTACATATTTCTGGCCCCTGGCTACGTTAGCCGGCTTATCTTTGTCCGGTCTATTCTTGGTTGGGTGTTCTGGTTGGGACGGATCTTGAAGAGGATGGCGATGATCAAGAATGGAAGATATCCGACAGGTTCTTGAACTGAATACGGGTGGGTTCGAAAGTCGTAAATATGTATTGAGACAGGCCTGACTATTGTTAGAGATCGCATGCTACGCTATTACATACACCTAATCATGATGCTCAGGGGGATTCACATAACCCAATCGACCTTTCCAGGGCAATGGTAGATAGTCACTGTTGACTGGAGGAGGTCTGGAGCCTTCCTGTTTCAAGGTATTGACGTCGACCTCCTCTTCGGGTTGATCACCTCCTTCCTCCCTATCGCCCGGTTCACCGTCTGGGTAAGCCTCACTTCCCTTGTAAATAGCAGCATCCCGGTTTTTTGCTGCAGTTTTTGGCTTGGGTCGTTGCTTGTCTTTAATCCGACCCCCCTCTTCGAATTCCGCCGGGATAGAGTCATGAGCATCGTTATCGTAATTCGATAAAAAAGCTAAATCTGGTTCTTCTTTCTTAGAGTCAATTGTAATGGAACTTCTGTCAATTTCCAACTTCTGCCTCTTGACATCATCGCGGAAGGAATTCTCCATTTCACGAAGGTTATCGATGGCCCCTCTAACATCTCCTATAATATCTGGCTTTGGCAGTCCTTTCTTTTTTGATCGAGTGGACGCCAAAAGCGAATTTCCCCCGTCAGTTAGCTTACCACCAGGCTGAGATACATCGTTTTGCTTTTTGCCAATACGCTCTGACCTTCTGGGGTTGGCATCAGACTGGTCCTGTTGAGCATCTTGGTCTGGTCGTTCTTGTTGTAGAACAACGGTGGATCTATTTCTTTTAGGTACCATCATAACGGAAATGTTAAGATAGTCTAGGGAGCATATGTGTATGCGATGTGCGTGATGTATAATCAGCGTGATGTGGCTGAGAACACGTTTAGTTTCAGCTCTGGAGCAGCGAATCAGATACGGAAAGACGGACATTCAGAGGTTAGATGGTGGGTAGGAAAGGATATTAGTACTACCATGTGAAGTGCTATGACTTTGGCTTGGAAGTCTGTTAAGGCAGGGTAGGAATGAGAAGTTTGGCTCAGGGTATTCATGAATGATAAGAAAATTAATATGGATGAGATCATCTGTTATACGCTATGAAAGAAGCAAGCTGAGCGGTCCAGAAGCGTCAAATGTCATTTCCCCCATTGTTGAGCATATCAGCACGGATCAACATGACTTTTAAATGGATGGCTACGCTAGGTTGGCTGGTTGGTCCATGCTGTCCAGTGTTGAAAACAGTGAAGTAATGGAGTAGATATGAGAGATCGGATACGCGTCATGGGCTTGAGTCTAGCTATGATACACGAGCCGGGACGAGGCGCAAAGTTGCAAGGGAGAAAGCTTTTGGGAAGCCTTTGGGGAAGCTTTGCTCCATTTTGGCCACTTCTCGAATTTGATGATGATTCTTGGTTGTTCTTGGCTATGTTCGTGTTGCGGCAGCGGGCCGGACCCTCTCTAACGAATTGTATCTTATCTGAGATTACCGTTAAAAAAATTGAGAATCCAACACAGAGGAATGGAGATCAATTCCGATCTTGGTACACCTTGGGATGCGTTGGGGCAACGTTGGAGCATATTAGATGTGAGGTCATGTATTCCGTAAATTCGAGAGATGACCCGATGAAATCATCTTAGCGCCGATCGAGTAAATGCTCCGGGTGCGCGCCTATGTTGCTGGTTACGTGATAGGTACCTATGATTACCTAAATGATAGCTTAGAATTATGTACGATAAAATAATGTCGCAAAGAAATATGCGAAAATACCTATTATGAAAATAGGTATTTTATAGAAAGATCATAGTTGTACCTATTTATTTTAGTCTGTTTTAAAAGAGAGTTGCTAAGCGCGTACCTTAAACGAAGAAGTTCAAATGCTTGATCATTTGCCTATCGATAAATGGACCAAATTCAGTTGTCTTTAATAGATTGATGTACAAATTACCTAGGTAACCTCATTACCAATACCCATTCCATAGGTACCTTGGTACCTAGGCCCCATTTGATCTCTATTATCAACTTCTCGACATCAATGCCAAACGCGGCTAATCGTCCGAATCATCTAAGATCGATTCTAAACGACCGCAGACTTCTTTTTTCCCCTTCTTCTTGAAGTCATCATATCCTCCCCACTACATACCTAGGTACCTAACCTATCGCCTTAATGCCCGCCTAAGGTAGTTCTTATCCGTCATAGGATCTCTCATTCTTCCTTAACAGATACCTAAAGAAGTGCTGAACACCCAATCAATACCACGGTAAGAAAATAATATATCCACCTAGGTAGGCACCTAGGTAACTATTCGGACTTACTACCACACTACGGCAACTGGCATTAAAGCTGCCATGCGATAGTCCTCTGCCTCTGCCTCCTCCTCCTCCTGGTAATATGTAACCCGGCAGACCGGACATCGGTACTCCTTTCGCAGAAACCACTTGGCCAGGCATTTGGCGTGGAAAATGTGTCTGCATCTTTTCATCTTCAGTACTTCGTCGTGACTTGGTTTTGTGGGCGGGCCCTTCTCCACAGCTCCGTCCGAAGCCACTGTGATGATCGTAGGCGATCTCGACATACCGTTTCCCGTCTCTAGATCTGCTTCATGGTCGGCTGCCGATGTAGATGGGCGAGCGCTGTTAGGGTAGAGATACGCTAGGCATATAGGACTGTCCGCGGGATTAGATTTACGATACCAGCGCAAGAAGAGTTTCGGGAACAGCCTGACCATTCAGCATCCTCCAACTCCGTCAGGGAATTGCGCGCCGGTCTCTTGTCAGTGGCACTCTCTAGTTGTATCAGTGCGCTCTCGATCGAAATCGGCAGGCCAGGCTCCGAGTTTCCCTTATTCCTAGCCCATAGACGAGCTAATCTTCCTCGCAGGTCGAGCCATCTTGTGCACCTATTAGAAAAGCTTGTCAACATCCTTCAGCGCGCACAGGGTCGGGAATATAGTAAGATAGGTATGAGAGTCGTAACTTACAGCACTAGGACGACAATCAGCCCTAAAAAGGCGAGGATGAACACGACTATGGATTTCCAGGTAATCTCCATCTCTTGCCGCTTACAGATATGGGTCAAAGTTAGGTATGAATTTGAGTGACACAGCGGGAGTGGCAGTAAATGTCGAGATGTTTCGAGCGGGGCTGCACATTCCACAGCTCGGCGAGTACAGAAACCTAACCCGCCTTCAAGCTGTAAAGTTTCGGCAGCCGTCGTCGAATGTCTTAAAAAAGGTTCTCGTCCGAATGGTGCATATACTCCTCCATATGCTGAAGCATAGCCTTAGCTACCTGGCAGTCAACGCCCATACAGCTTATTACACGCGTTAGCCTCGAATGACAAAATATAAGGTCTAGGCTGCTTATCCCTTACATGTTCGGCTGCCTAGATTTGTGAATATTAATAGTCGGTTCGCAAGATAGTTCTAGGACACTAGAATTTACGCAAGATATGTAATTAGAAGTAATTAGAGCGACCGCTGAGATTGGGGGCTGAAGCATCTGGCGAAAGCCGGGGCCATGAAATGGTACCTACCAGGTGAGAGGCGCAATAGCAAACATACCGGAATCTATAAGGCTTTGATATGCTAAATTGAGGTCCCCGAACCCCTTTCTCGCATGCAGCGTTGGAAAATGGAAAATAGATCACCGTGAGGTCTTCATCTAACATCTACCTAAAGCTAGGTACCTAGCCACTATGTTAGATTATCTACACACTCCATTCTCTAACCTTTCCCGACCCAAGTACTACCTTATTTGACACCTTATTTGCTAACCTTGTCCCTGTATACTTGCGCCTAGCTAACAGGACGAAGTCAGCTACATGATAGGACGGCCCCCCATCGGCCTGCATCTAACAGAAATAGCTAGGATCTCTTTGTGGCCAATGCCCTTTTCATTTGTTTTCTGCACTGCCTAAACATCAGCACATCAGGCTATCGGGCGGGCACACGTGGTTAGGCTTCGGCGGGGGGGGATCGAAACAGATTAACGTTTCTTCGCAGAACGCTGTGTTTCCTTCACCTGGTTCTTTGCCTTTTCGCATATGGTTCGGCTTCCGGGTCTGCCTCCGATTTAACCTTAAGAAGCTTTTCTTGCGCGAAGTCGATAGCTTCCTGTAATAAGACCTTCTCGCCCCATCGCACGGTCACAGCCATCCTCTGCCGACCCGAAATCTTATTATTGGACAACAAATCCAAATCGTATACTTGACTTGTAGGATATTGGGCCAGCCGCAGTTCAAGAGCACGACGTATAACCGACAATGTGATTTCGTCTCGTATCGACTTGCTGGGAATGCTAGCTGGGCTACTCTTCCTAATCGCTTTGAGTAACGTATGAAGCTGATCTACCAGATCAGAAGGAAGCTCTTTAAAGGCTGGTTCGTCCTGAAATTCGCCATTGGAGTTCGGCTCTCCCGAATCTCGTTCGATGACAAAAGCATCTTCAATCTCCTCCAAATCTAATTCATTGACCTGCAAACAGTTAGCACCTTGAAAATTAGCAGATACGGGCTTTATCGCTTACCGCTTTACCCCAGACAGCTTCGTCTAGCCTGAGCGTATCCTTGAGTACAGATAATACCAGGTCCCAAGAGATTTCTGTCACGTCATATCTGGCGTGTTTTCTCGTCACGTACCCATAACGTCTTAACAGGTCGCCATTCCCTAGAGGTCCATAATAGTTAAGGACTTCAGATCCGGCAGGAATTGGTCGCAGGGTAGTGACAGTCAAGCTGTCTTCGCCATGATTAACATGAGCCTGTTAACTATATCAGCACTCGTTCATAAGGCATGATCTATTGGGGTGGGCGTGAGGTGTGCTTACGTTGAATTCGGCATCTGCGTTTAGGATATCAGCCATTGGTACCATGCCCATCATAAGGGTACCTTCTTTATCCTCAACCCATTCGTCATCATTCTCAGGCTCTTCGTCATCATTTTCTAGGTCGAAGGCGTACGCCATTATGGCACTACCCATACGATGAGCGAGGAGCATCAATTGATCCTCGCTAAGCTTCTCAGATCCTTCCGGATAGAACACATTGGCATGCTCATTGATTATCGGTATTACTCGAGTGCGAAACATGCCGTCAGCTTCATCTTTGCCGATCTTGGAGACAATTGAGCTTGCTTGCAGCTCGCTCAGCTCCTGGTCAGACCACCACATCAACGTCTCAAACTGGGTAGGAAGCACATCAAAATAGGGCTTCCATCGAGATCTGTCGCCTTGAAGGTACTCATATATCATAATAAGAATAAGTGAGACCCAGTTATCGGGAGGACCGCTAGTCTCACTCCCATCTTCGTCGGCCTCATTATCTGTATCCTCTAAGCCCGTGGTCTCAAAAACTTGGGGTATGCGTTTAGGGAGGTCAGAAGTTTCCGTATTGATGATTGCTGATCTGGGAATGGAGAATAGCACGGTATCTTCAGGGATGTCGGCAGTAGTAACTAAAGCAAAAGGCCATGGGTTAGCGATTTCGGAATATTCGCTTAAGTGCAAAAAAAATGCACACTGTTGGATTCTGCTTTGGGGTCGCACCAATTCCTCTCCCGGTGCCGTTTGCGCGTAGATCTTGGATCTGGATGTTAGGATGAAAAGTTGCGCCGGGCCAGGCCTTGAACCAGTCCAAAAACGTTGCGGATTTCGCATCAAAAGCTGGGTCCGACATATTTCTTCGTACTGCCTAGATCTCTGATCAAATAAATTGGTTTTTAGATCCTGATGATGAAATATCTAGTATGTCGCAAACTGTGTAAGTAAGATAGATGGGTGGTAAATTCAACCAAGTTCTGTTTTCATAGGATCGGAGATTATTCGGGAATGACGACTTTACTGCGAACAAAGCGAAGCTAGAAAAGTTATAGTCAGTTACCGGATAGTTGAAAGCAACAAACAATATTCATCTACGAAGGTTTTTATATGGTAAGAGCTGTGTATTACATACCATCTTCTGCGACTATATATATTATATATGCGTCTAACACCAGCCGGGAGCACTAAATTAATGTGCAGAGCTACTGCTTTAAATAAATTTTAAATTTATTAGACTTGTGCCATATGTTCCTTTCTTTTTCTTTTTTTTCTCCTTCCCCCAGTTATGTCTAAATTTAGTAAAGCTGTAAGACATCCTAATCGCCTCTTCTAGCAGTACCTTATCGCCGAGCTGACGGGACCTTCGAGGGTCCACCGAATTGACGAATCAACTTGTGGACTTTACAATTTTTTTTTTTTTTTTTTTTTTTTTTTTTTTTTGCTTCTATGTTTCTTTTTACAGCTTGTTTTAGACCACGTACTTTACTAAGAGAGATATGAACGGGCATTGGGCACTCACCGCTTTCTCCACTGCAGTAGTTCCGATTATGTACACCACCGATAGCCCACGGCGTCCTCTATCGGCCTTAGTTTTGCGCTATTTATTACTGTTCTAATATATCATGCAGCGTGTAAGTGTTTCTAAAATCGGGTTTGACATATGAAGCCAGTCCATTTTTAAACCTCAGCAGTATGCGGTATTTGGGAAATACTGAAGCTAGAATTATAACACTATCTGGGAGGTAGGTACCTCTCCTCTCATCTTTCCATTAAGCTTCAACTAACTTACATGATCTTTTCTATTGCCTGCTTTCTCTTATGCATTTCATCCTCCCACTTCCTTATTCAGTAACTATACAACGCTATATCACGACTTTTGAGGAATCTATACTCTACCAATAGAGCAAACAGTTTAAGAACAGCAATTCACAATCCAAACTCCCATTCACATGAGCTCGCTCATACTTATAGGGAAACATATTGCTCGCATAAGTTCAGTTAGATTTATAAATTCCATTAGTGAATTGTTCTACCTATAGAGCAATATCCGCAGATTACTGGTTACTAAAGAATTGGCTATATTCATCTGTATTCCGTGATTAAAATAGAAGAAAAAAAAGTCTCATATTTGACACTTGTAGCTCATATTCAACTCTACAACTGACTGAAGTACCTAGGTAGGTAGTTTGAGTATCTCCTCGATGGGTCGGGATCACCACTGAAGTAAAATCAGAGAGGTTAAGCTTGGTCGTAGTCATCCGCTTCTCAAACGGGCCTGCAAAAAATTTATAATTATTGGACTTCATGCTTCCCCTTCTGGCTACCTGGCATCTACCTATCCGCTAGGCCCCATCCGTCGAACCAGCAGCTTTCGCACCCTCCTCCGCTCCCTCCCCCTCTCCATCATCCCCCATCCTTACATCTTGCGCGCCCTTCTCCAGCCCTCCTTCTTTCGCATTATCGCCCTCGAGATCCTTGCTCTGCGAGAGGAAGTAGTCCACGACGTGCATGTGGCTGTTGAACGCCGCGAGGTCCAGGGGGATCTGGTCCTTGTCGTTGGCCGCGGTAGGCGACGCCCCGCGCGATAGCAGCAGCTTGACGACGTCTAGGTGGCCGCCGAGACACGCCCAGTGTAGAGCTGTGTTTCCGAATGCGTTCTGTACGTTGATGTAAGGTACCTCTGCTTCTGTGCTGGGAGACGGCGAAGCAGCTTCGTCTGAAGATGGTGCAGCAGCAGCTGCTGCTGCCGCTTCTTTTGACGCCTTGGAAGGAGCAGGGAAATGCGACAGTATCAAAGTGACAGTTTCTAATATGATGTTAATAAAAATTCCCTTAATATAGCTACGATGGTATAGTTGGTGATGTTGAGATGTTAAAATGCATAGCTGATTAGGTTAGGTAGGTACTTACTCGCATGACCATTTGCTGCCGCCATATGCAAGCAGGTTGCTTTGCCGTCATCCCTGGCCGCCGCTATGATATCGGCCCGTGTGGCACCCTCCCGATCAGCAAGTTCCTGGACCATCCCCGTGAGCTCCGCATCATCGCCGGTGCGGGCTAAGTAGACGAGGTCGTCAATCTCATCTTCCGATAACTTAGGTGCCATTTTTGCCCCCCTTTAATATTTTCCTTCGTCGTAAATAATCGAATATTGAAATCTCAATCTGGTTCTCTCTTTCTGGTCCGTGCTTTTTGAATGGATGATGAGCGAAGTGAAAAATTTTAGTTGCTCCGACAGCAACGTTTCTGTACACTCTTATCGGACAACTTTGGCACAAACTCCAAATAGTTTTAATTTTCCGCTTAGAGAAAGCAGCACTGGCTTTTTAAATTTAAGTTGGTTGGAATTTCAAGAATCGGGTGAATTTCTAGCGGCAATGTCTTTTCGCGATAGCGTTCAGTTGGGCCTTTGCCTTCAATTGGATTTTCTGGTCACGTGACGCCCTAAAACCTGACGATGCAAGCTATACCCCCTATTCCCCTATACCACATAAGCCTCTATTTTACATATTTCAGGTAGCATTTCATTCAGAAATGATAATTCGAGAGCTTATCGTCCAACCAGCCCGCCATGTCGCCAGACTCATCGACTGCTTGGATCTCAGCCTTGATATTCAGCATAAGCATTAGCTGCAATTCGTGCACCAAATCCGGCTCACCAACACTTCCAATAGGTTGGCTTTCTAGCCTTCGTAAAATACCAATAGCTTTCCTCCGGTCTGAAGTACTCAGATGAGTAGTAACTTCAATCGGAATCGCGGAAAGAGAATCACCAGGTGGTGAATGTGGCGAGGTGGATGGGGACGGATCATAACCATACTCAGAACTGACATCGTCAGACGAGCTGGCATTTGGCATAGAATGGTAGCGGGTATGGCCTAGGATGTCAGTACTTGTCGGCCCCAGCCATAGAATCCCTGGGATTGTGATGCTTTCCTCATGGCTAAGCCCCGGGCTGCTGCACTTGTAGGTGAGCATAATTGCAATGCCGCTGGGGTCGTAGTCGACCAGCGCGTAGATAGGTATTTGCGGGAAGGCTGAATGTAGAATATGGAGAAATTGTCGTGTGACTAGGTCTGGAAACCCTTTTGCCTGAGGATAGCAATGAGCAATATAATATAAAACACTTTCTTATGGATATGGTGCCTCACTGTAACAAGAACGCCTACACCGGCATCACATAAGCCATAATATCCAGACGCGGCTAGTCCCCGAAAGGTGGCCTAGAAGAGTTGTCAGAGAGGCTATCGAATATATAGACAAGGAGACTTACCTCTTTTTCGATGACTAGAATCCATTTTGTTTCACCAATATCGACCCGACGAATGGCTTCGGCATGAGGAATTAAGGAACCCTGGTGTTATTTATTAGCTACCCCTTAACGGTTCTACTAGTAGTCACTTAGATCCTCACATTTTCGTCAGAGCTGCAGTCGATGACGGAGTGGTTCTTCAAGGTAATGATGACACTTCCTGCAATCAGGCCTTTGTATGCAGCAACCTACATTGATACTCAACCTCAGTTCTTTCTTACACATACTTCGCTTGAAGGATTAGGGGCATACAATGTTCAACGCATCTCTACCGACTCCGAAAGTAAAAGCGATATCATCGACTAGGCTATCAACGTATTGCTGACTGCCGAAAAGATCTGGATTCTGATAGTATATGTTTCTAGGGTCATTTAGTATCTAATTTGTCTAATACATCCAATCTTCCCGTAGGTCGGGAAATAGTAGCAATGAAGCGAACTGACCTTTTCGTAATAACGTGGCCAGAGTTGAGTGCCTCGTAGCATAAATGGAGAACCAACAAGACACACGCTAGGAATACAAGTTAACGTTGCGTTGTGTACCTACCTTACCTTATAAAAGTCAAGTGAAAGGCCCCTTCCCTGAAAATGAACTCACTAAATCTTTTTACTTCCGTTCCCGTGCTAGCTGGAAATCGGAGGAGGCTCTCGTTACCTGACCGACGGCTACGGAGAGGAATATCAAGGACACGATTTTCGCTAAGTGCATCAATAATTTCTCCAAGGATATCCTCAATCTTAGCTTTGACAGTTCTGGCCTGTGCATGTCGTGTAGCATCTCCATTAAAAACCACGACGCTATTTGATTGCCTCTCCATTGTTATGGAAGTTGTAAATGAGAATAAGTTTCTCCTGCATCTTTTTTAATATTTACCTGGTACGGACGAATTGCGCCTGAGTATGTCAGCAATCATATCTTGAGGAAGTCGCTGCTCCTGCTGCTGGTACCTCTTACATAAGGCCTAAGCCTATGATTCTTGGCACTTTGCACTAACGTTGGTGCAGCGCATCACGGGTAGAAAACGGGTGGCTGCGTCTATTATGCGCAAACGCGAACCTTCTGCAGTGCAACTTTAACAGGTTTAGCGTCATTGCCGCTCTTTCTCCTTTTCATCTCCTGTGGAAATTATGCTGAAGTATCCGAATTATTCATACTACATAAGAATCATCCTCGAATCATAGCAAAATTGAACACGAGTACGTATACACAAAATTGGCGATAGCCGTGTTCAAGTACCTTACAGCCAACAGTTTATACCGTAGTACGTTCTCTAATATTGTGCACTTTGGGAAGATATAATAAAACGTAGCACAGAGGAGGGGTCCTTAAAGGTGAAAAGGCATCGAGGATGGTATTTATTAATTTTTAGTCCACGGAATGTCTACCTACCTTGTAGGCATGTAGATAATTACCTGACATATGCGCACTAATAGACACTAGCTACTAATCGTAGCTTGTATCTTTTGAAGTGGACGCCAACATCACTTGCTGCTTACCTATTAAAGCAACCTACTATGTGATTTAGGAGTGAGTTAGGGGGTTGCCCTCCTTATCGCGCTGCTCGCCGTACTTCTTCAGGCGGATAGCTATAGAGAAAAGTAAATTAGCCATTACCTTCATTTGCGAGAACAAGCAAGGGAGGTGAAAGGACTAACCTTGGATAGCAATGAAGCCAGTCGTGTCTTGGGGCGAAAAGCCCTCTAGAGAGTCCATAGAAGCGGCCCTAAACGTGTAAAGTAAGCAACTGCTCTATGGCATTCTACGGAGAAAACATTGAACGTTATTCGAGCAAGAGGATTTGGAGTGGACATACTCTTCGGAGTAAAGGTTACTGGCAGTGCTGGAGCGACCAAGGACGTATACCTAAAAGTATTGTGTTAATTATCTTGTCCAACACGAATTAATCATAGATATTACTCACATTTCCTTTGTATGCCCTCAATCTCACAACACCGGTTGTGTTCTTGGATGAAAAGACAATCGAGTTGTCAAGGAACTCCCTCTCAGGGCTGAAGTAGAGACCATTGTAAAGCAGGCGGCTCCACGAATGTGTCACGAATTGGTCACGGAGCTCGCGAACTCGTCCGTCGAGGACTAAACCTTCAAGGTCAAGGTGTGCGAGTCGTGCAATAGTGCTGTAAGGTAATACTTAGCAATTGATTATCAAGACAAAACCAAGCGGTTAAGTTATTGTGACAGGGTAAAGGGAACTCACAGTCCAGGAGTGTCGTAGCATCCACGGCTCTTGAGTCCGACTAAATTCAGCAAAGTTAGTCCAGACACACTCGTTATCCTTCATTTCTAGTACTGACTGAAGCGGTTCTCGACAATGTCGATTCGGCCTACACCGTTGTCATGGCCAATCTTGTTCAGGAGCTTGAACACGGCCACACTGCCAGTAGTTTCCTGACCTCCAAGGACGACCTTTACCGGAATACCAGCTTCAAAGTGAATAGAGAAGTCAGTCGGCTCATTGGGAGCATCAAGAGGGTCCACAGTTCGGGTCCATAACTCCTTACTACGGTCAAAACAGTTAGCAGTGTTGCTGATGCTCAGATTATGGAGACCTAGATTTAGGACGAAGAGAATAACAATATGATGAACAGCAGAAAAGAAAACTCTTCTAGATTGGCTCCCTCCCTCCCCCCCCACCCTCTCTCTCTAAAAAAAAACCAAAAAAAAAAAAACCGAAGAACTGATAAAGACAAGAATGTACTTACGGAGGGGTATGGTCGGGATCTTCGAGGATACCAGCTTCGTACGAACAGTGTACTAAGTTGTCTGTACTTGCTGTGGTTAGCTGCTTGAAATTGCTCCGTAGATTTTCAAACGTCTTGTGGAGGGCTATTTATTGGCACCATGTAAAGTCGCATCCACGCCCAAAATCAATGGAATTCTTACCATCTTTGGACCAAGGCTCTTTAGGGGTCGAGCTCTGTATTCCGTTAGTTATTGTGAGTTAAAGAGATGCTATATAACATACAACAGGAATGTTCTTCTCAGCTGCGTAGCGAAGCAGGTCTGCACGGCCCCTGAAAACAAATATTAGTACATTTTATCGAGACACAATTATAGAAGGTACTGTATTCGAGTCGCAGGTTATTCATGGTGGGTAACCCAAGCTCCAGATCCGGCGGATAATTGAGTCTAGGTTGTAGGATTTGGCCTTGGAATACTAACTCTGTAATGATATGGGTTAAAAAGGGTGCACATTGGAACTTTTAAAAGGGGGAATATTGCATACGGAATTTTGCGCAGAATTCTGGCAGTCGCCAGGGGGCAATGACCTTTAGAGAGGGTCTTAATGCCGCAAAGGCGAGCTCGAAACGAACTTGATCGTTGCTGCGCTTGTTAGCTAGGATAATATACTCGAGGACCAATAAATGGTAAATACCCTTTGCCCTGCGGTCTAAGTCAGTGTTTATTACTTCTATAGACGAAACTTATCAAGGAATACTGCTTACTGTGCATCCGTGCGAAACGTACTACTCAAATGTAATAGGTTAGTAAGCTTTCTATCAGAATTATTCAGAAATGGCAGCCAATGTGCCGCTTCTAATATGAAAAGTTTGCCCTAGAGGTGCCTTAATCCAAGCGTATTGGATCAAACATTGAAAAATTCAACGTACATCGCAGTTGTTCTCGATGGCTGCCTTGACCTGGGCCTTTGCAATGATTGGGCGAGCCAGAGAGGTACCCAAGAGATCTAACAAGTGGTTAACATTTTCATACTTGAGTCGGAGGCAGGCTGGACACGTACATCGGTCCTCATAGATGGCGTTGCACTGAATTGCTCTGTGGATGACCTTCTCAACAAATTCCTCTTGCAGATTCTACGTATTCCGTTGTTAGTAATTTCCCATCCTTGAGTGGCGTAAACATGGAAACATGATATTAGGGAGGTAGGTAAAATAAAGGGGCAAAAAGAAAAGGGATATAAGTACGTCAATGATCATGCGCTCTGCACCCAAGCTCAGAGCCTTCTTCTCGACGGCAGCCCAGTCTTCTTCCTGACCGACATCTGCTAAGAAGCACTGATTGCATATTAGATACGAATCGTAGCTACGATTGGCGATATAATGAACTTACGACGACAGTGTAGCCCTCGTTGATGAGCCATACTAGGATGGTTGAGGTATCAAGGCCTTTATACTGATGTATTAGTAAAAATTACAGATAGTTACTTCTGAAGACAGACGGTATGGTCATTGTAATTGTGATCGTGATGACCTCGTCTCTGATCCCTCATTTTTTTTTTTGGAAAAAAAAACACGACGTTATGGTGTCTTGACTCCAAATCGAGAGCCGATAACGGGGATACAATTTGGGAACTAACCTCCAGAGTAGGCGCTACGAAAAAGGTCAGTTTTAAGCTTTGAGTTAGGTAGCTACAAATTTGATTTCTTAATAAAGGGAAATACTCACAGACAGACACGACCCTTAGACATCTTGGGCTGTTTGCTTCTATAGAGCTGTATGACTGTATGACTGAGCAATTGGGACACAATGAATAGATTAGGTATGGATAGAAACGACTGGTGAGGAAAGTGGGATGATGTTTTATGTGTTTTATGTATTCAAAGTTCTACTAAACGTTTGTTGTGGGCCGCACTTATGAGTCAGCCTAAAGCTTCTTTTTCTTTTTTTCCCTTTTTCTTTTTTTCTGTACCACCTTACCTAGGGCTCGACAATGTACCTAAATTGCCAAATCAGAAGTCGCTCATATTTCAATTGGTTGGAGATAAGATAGCTTCTAATTCTTTGGTCGTACAGTCATATTATATTGTACAATAATGTCTCTAATAACTTCTTAAAAGGCAGATCTCAAAAACTATGATTAATAGTATCTAAGTTAGCCTAAATATTTTATGTAAATCAATCAGGTACCCCCCCTTCCCTCCTTCCTTAATGGATCTATGGATCTTATGTTAAGCACGCTCCGGCTAAGTCCCGGGGTTGCTCCACCTAAAAGCGGCGCGGGAATAAGGGGAGAACAGGAATTGGGCTGAGAACTGGAAATTGGTGGATACAACGATTCAACATCAACATTGCGGATAGTTAGGGAGATTACCTTGGCTGAAATTAAGTTAAGCCACACGGGATTTCTTCTATTATTACCATTTTACTTAATCGAATCCAATTACTGATATCTCTCCATCTCTGTTTTGATTTTGATCTCGCTAAAGATGGTCGTCACGACACGGTCCAAGAAACGCGCCACCGAGGACGCCCATGAAACGACATCCCCGACCAAGCGCCCCAGACAACTCAAAGAGAAGACCGACATAACAAGATGGCGCATGTTGGATGAGAAAGGGAGACACACATGGCATTATTTAGAAGATGACGAGGCTATAGAGAAGTGGCCACAGAGTTACGCTGACAAGTGGTATCTCGGTTTAGATACTGTAAGATTCCATCTTCCCGAGTATTCCCAATCACGCAATGATATCCCTTCAGCAATATAACTAACCCTTGCATTCGCTATAGGGACTTCCAACTCTACCAAAACCTACGAAACCCCTTGATTCCGTCGTCAATGGCTTGACATTCTTCGAGAAGCTCCAATTGCCTTCCGGCCAATGGGGTTGCGAATACGGTGGGCCTATGTTCTTATTGCCAGGTATCGTGATTACTTGGTATGCGACAAAGACACATATTCCCTGGTACGTCGCGACGGAGATAAAGAACTATCTATTCGCCAGAGCACATCCCGAAGATGGAGGTTGGGGCTTGCATATAGAAGGAGAGAGCACAGTTTTCGGAACTGCGCTGAACTACACCGTCCTTCGTATCGTTGGAGTCGATCCCGAACACCCGATTATGGTAAAGGCTAGAGGGACATTGCACAAACTTGGAGGAGCTACGTTTGCTCCTCATTGGGCTAAGTTTTGGCTGAGTGTACTGGGTATTTGCAAATGGGATATTGTTAACCCCGTACCCCCTGAACTATGGTTATTGCCTGACTGGGTGCCAATCGCCCCCTGGAGATGGTGGATCCATATGCGCCAGGTCTTCCTACCCATGAGTTACATCTACGAGAAGAAATGGTCCTGCGAGGAGACTGATATAATCCGGGATTTAAGACAAGAACTATTCGTAGAACCATGGGAGACGATCGACTGGCTCGGCAATAGAAATAGTATATGTTCTGTCGATAACTACCATCCAAAGTCCTGGCTTCTAAACACCGCAAATTGGTTCCTTGTCAACATCTGGAACCCGTACCTCCGCCCCAAGGGGCTTGCACAGAAGGCCGAAGCTTGGGTTAGCAAACTAATCGATATGGAGGATGAAAACACGGACTTTGCAGATTTGGCACCAGTGAACGCGGCGATGAACACAATTGTCTGCTATATCCGCGATGGCCCACGCTCATACTCGGTCAGGAGGCATATCGAGAGGTTGGAAGATTCAATGTGGGTTAATAACGAAGGTATGCTTTGCAATGGCACCAATGGCGTTCAATGTTGGGATACCTCTTTTCTGATCCAGGCCTTGATGGATGCGGGGCTCGAGCAGGATCCTCGCTGGAAACCGATGCTGAACAAGGCGTTGATATTCCTTGATAACCAGCAGATACGCGAGAACTGCAAGGACCAAGATATCTGTTATCGGCAGCAGCGAAAGGGTGCATGGGCCTTCAGTACTAGGGACCAGGGATATGCCGTATGCGACTGCATTTCGGAGGCATTGAAGTCGGTCATTCTGCTACAGCATACCCCTGGTTTCCCCACGCTTCTTGAAGACCAACGCATATTCGACGCGGTTGATACTCTTCTTACTTATCAGAACAAATCTGGTGCTTGCTCATCTTACGAGCCAACCCGAGGGAGCGAGCTATTGGAAACGCTTAACGCGGCGGAAGTTTTTGGTAAAATCATGGTAGAATATGACTATGTGGAGTGTACAACGGCAGTAGTTACCGCACTGTCATTATTCAAAAAGCACTGGCCTGATTATAGACCCAAAGAGATCGAATCATTTATTGCACGGTCGGTCAGAGCAGTAAAGTCGCTGCAACAACCAGACGGGTCATGGTATGGCAACTGGGCCATATGCTATACCTATGCGACTATGTTTGCCCTGGAAAGCTTAAAAAGCATTGGCGAGACGTACGGCAACAGCTCTTACTCTAAAAGAGGTTGCGACTTTCTGATTTCCAAGCAGAGGGAAGACGGGGGATGGTCAGAAAGCTATCGCGTAAGATTAACTGGCACCTTGAATTTATATGCCTGTTGATGTATGTATACTAACTGTTCTTAGTCCTGCGAAAGAATGGTGTACACCGAGCACCCAACGGGCTCGCAGGTCGTAATGACGGCATGGGCTCTGATAGGGCTCATGAAAGCGGATTACCCAGACATCGAACCCCTGAAAAAGGGGATCAAACTCATTATGGACAGACAACAACCGAACGGTGAATGGAAACAAGAGGCGATTGAGGGCGTGTTCAACAAGAGCTGCATGATATCATACCCGAACTACAAGTTCACCTTCACGATGAAAGCTCTGGGAATGTTTGCAACAAAGTACCCTAATGAGACGGTGGTGTAATGGGTGTAAGTCAGGAGGTAGTGTACCTAGGTACCTAACCTAAAGTAAGGCATGAGAATCGATCTGGCAAAGGGCCATAATATGAGAATGAGATCAATGGGTGGGACAAATAATTAATGTTAATATTATCAATGTCACGTATGATGTTTTTGATTTTCGGTGACGATAAATCTACTAGAATACGTTAATCTTAATCCTATCATTACCTACTATGCTGGATGTTTACGACAGCTGTCGCGTGGATAATATGACCACTGACGTAGCTGCTTCCAGTGAATGTTGATTGCGTACGACGTAGTTAGTCGTAACCAAGGTGAGTTACAGCCGAGATCAAATTACCTAAACACCGCCTACTGTTTCCAGCTATAGATCTGGCAGAAACTGCGGCAACCCCACTGTGACTAGTAGCTTCTATGGTTCTATGGTACAAAGGTACAATACGGAGTGCCTAACGCTCTGACTCCAGCTGAACCTTGAAGTTATTGAATTACGAACGCCTGACTTTACTACAACAAAGATACATGCTTCAGATATCTTAGAAAAACCATCAGGAACGACTATAATTCTAAGCTATATCACTCATAAGATAACATATATCAGGTATTTTAAATGGCCTGTTATCTCCTGTTTTTGTGACCTAGCCTTATTCACAGGAATTCACAACGACAGCGACAACAACAACGACAATAACAGCCCCAACCCCGATCCCCACCACAAGTCCGTGTTTGTGATCGTCTACCATCTACCAAATTTGTCGCAAAAAGACAATTTAGGCGCCGACGTCACACAGCTCATTAGAGCTATTACACTCCAGTTACTACTACCTTAATTAAATCATCAATATCCCTTTCAAGTTAGGGATCGCTACCATGTCCTTCGCCGCCTTTGCCGATGAAGGCACCAAGGCTGTCGCCGCTGGCAAGTACGCAGAAGGGATCGAGAAGCTTTCCCAAGCTATCAAAGAACGTGACGCCCCCCTTTGGTTGCTTGAGCGTTCCAAAGCGTATCTTCGTACTAATGAATTCGACCTCGCCTTACACGATGCAGAGAAGGCTCTGCACGTGGCATTTTCCCGCGCCAATAGAGATCAAATGACCGAAGCTCAGATTAGACGAGCCATCACACTCTTCCGCATGGGTCGTTATGCCGATGCTGATGTATGTGCCTTTTGGGCTATCCAGCTAGTCGAGAAGGCCAAGGCTACCGAAGATGACGGCCAGCAGAACAAGGTTGACGAAAATGGAGACTATGTCGTGCGCGCCAGTGAAGTAAGCAACTCTGATAAAACGAATAGGGACCAACAGATTGCTACTGCTATGGGCAATGGAGGAAATTCGAAGGCTATCAGTTTGAAAAACCAGGCAACTTCGTGGCGTCTGCAAGCTTTGAATCAGCTGGAGAACTTACCTGCTGGACATCCTGGTCTAAAGGTAAATGTCGTGAAATATCCTAATCCATCCGATAAACCTGGCACCAAACCCAGTACGATTACACCCGCGAAAGATCAAGGTTCTGACGAAACCGCGAAACGCGACGCCTGGGAGAATGTCTGGAAGCAGTTTTCGTCTGCCTTCGTGGCGAAGAGTGTCAGATCGAGTTTCTATCAGACAGACACAACCATCAATGCCGACTTCTTCATAAAGAACGTGCCTGCTGGTCGCTTTGCCGTGTCCACCCAGCCTCGAAAGGTGGTTATGGGACCAATCACAAAAACCACCTTTAACTCGGACTCTCTTCAGCTCCACCTCTGGGACACGGTCAAGCCTGCTGAAACCAAATACACCGTTAAGTCCATGAAAGTTGAGCTAGTCCTTAAAAAGGAAACACCAGGCAAATGGCCCATGCTGCAACGGGGAGATTCCGAAGGATTCACCAACATTGCGGGGAACACTAAGGTGGCCCCTTCGTTCGAGAGATTCTCCACACTTATTTCTCGTTTAGGGTTCGTATCCGATGCTGTTGGCTCATGCTTATACGTAGGATTTTACGGTGCTAACATTTCTTTTTTTTTTTTTAGGTACAATCATCCCGCAGATCTCAACCTCCCAGATGTTAATGTCGACTTGGATGCTTGGTATGATGCTCTCCTGGGCAAGCTTGCGGCTGGGTTAGATGAGCACCAGGAATCTTCCAAGATCTCGACCGCGGCAGCCGAAGCTACATCATCTTCTGCGACCGCAAACGGCGCCACTCAACCCAAAAGTAACCCCACGCAAGCTAGTGATTCTACTCCAACTGCTAGCAAGGCAGATTCGACGAAGGCCGGCGGTAGCGCCCAAGCCTACCCTACTTCTTCGAAGAAGGGAGTTGTGAATTGGGATAAGATTGGTGATGACGATGGTGATGACGAATCCAAGGAGGATGCCGATGTTAACTCATTCTTCCAGAAGCTCTACAAGGATGCTGACGATGATACGAGACGTGCCATGATGAAGAGCTACATCGAGAGCAACGGTACATCGCTGAGCACAAGTTGGGCTGAGGCCAAGAGCAAGACGTACAAAACTCAACCACCCGACGGCGCCGAAGCTAAAAAGTGGGATGAGTGATATCTTACGCGATCGTCAGCTTGGGTCGTGCTTTTAATGCGCATGCTTTTTCTTTTTTTGCAAGTCAGTAGTGAAAAGGGATGGATGGTCGGAATGATACCAAGCATAGTTACTTTTCAATGCAGTTAATGATAAGGCATATTACGACTCTAATCGTACGTTTTATTCCAATTCCTTTATGTTGGCGGTGTTGGCTTGACATTGTAACTTCGGTATCGTATGGTATTTACCTGGGTAGGTATCTCTTACCTAAGATATGCATTATGCAAAGTTGATGAGCACCTAATACAGCTGGGAACTTTCGACGCGGTGAGATGCGCATGTTGGTCTATCTGTGCCTCTCTTCAGGATATACCTACTTACCTAGGTACTAACATAGGTAACGCTAGGTGATAAGCCATGCTGTCAGCCTGTCACAAGACGATGCAGAATCGATGTGTGATTTTTATTAACTAACTAGAATATCTAGTTCTCTACCGGCCTTGGTCGACGGAACCAGGCGAACGGATTGCCACATAATTGCACGGGTTGGAACGGATGACGTTTCTAGGGGTGATGATTGGTTGTAGTAAAAATATCTATCCACCCATAACCACGGTCCCGGCGCCAAGCTTCGCTTGAGGGTGTGGGTTTGGATACCACGTTTTACGTAGTGCTTCTCCGGCACTTGTTTTATCACGTCTCTACGACCGCCCCCGGGGGTCATCTTTATGGAAGTTCCAAGTCCAGCCGGTCTCATTTCAGTTGCCGACATGCGCTCCGGTAACCGTTCTGTTACCCCTTAGACCCTTCAGCTTGTAAACTTGTCCATGGTGGAAAATAACTCCCCGCAATTCCAGCGTTTGACTCTCCACATAGTGTCCAGACCCTCTTGTCTGAAGTTCCTCATCGACGGCAAGGAGCGTATAACATACGCTTCGGCAATTCGCTGATTGGCCAGCCCCGTTCGCACCGAGGTTAATAAGCTTGAATAAGCTATGGGCCATAAACTGTATCGTGTGTTGGACGGGATGTTCGACGAACTCCTCTAATATTTACCCGACCTCGTAGTAGGTACTTTAAGTAATTCATATGTCTAAATTGCCCGGAGATCTGGACCACAGTGGGATCGTAGATTGTTCAGGACCCTGAGTCTGCTTAACGATTCTGATTAATTCGTCTGATTAAGCTATTACTTCATCATCGACGTCTTGACATCATTTGCCTTGCTGTCCTTTTTTTTCTTTTTTTATGTTTGATATATTTTAACCCACGAGGACTCCTTCAACAGGAGTACCGTGTAGCAAGGAAAACGCAAGGGAAATTCCCAACACGACTCCATTTGCAATAACTCCTACCGCCGAGAGGGCGTCTCTCTATACTTGCCCACATATAATCTTTTTTCTATTACCAAACAACCTGCGTAGGCTCTTCACAATGAGCTCCGACGAAGTTACCATCTCCCCGACGCGGATTATCTTCCACGGAGCATGGGAGATATTCAAGGAGCAATGGCCACTTCTTATCCCGCTCTTCATCGTCCTCCGTATCTTGTATAGGCGATATGCGTCACCATTACGCGAATATCCTGGACCCTTCTTGGCCTCTTTCAGTCGTATCTGGAAAGTTATGTCCACTGTGTCTGAACAGACTCATTTGCACCATATCGAGCTACACCGCAAGTACGGTCCTATCGTGCGCATCTCCCCCAACGAGCTCTCATTCTCTTCTCCGTCCGTCGCTCGCCATGTCCTCTCGGCCGGGAAGCGCTTCTACAAGACGGACTTCTACTCCGTCTTCCCCCCGCCGGAGAACCCGGATATCTTCACCGAGATCCGCGAGGATGTGCACGCGATGAAGAAGAAGGTCGCCAACGTGCCTTACTCGATGGCTGCCATGCGTCAACTCAGCCCGTTCATCGACGACACGATCGACTTCCTCGTCAGCCGCCTCGACCAGTTCTGTCCCGACACGGCCATTCCCGGGTTCCAGCACGCCGGTCTCCCCGGGCGAAACACCGTTGTGAACCTCGGCGACTGGCTGCACTTTTTCGCGTTCGACGTTCTCGGCGAGGTGGCCTTTGGGCGCTCGTTTGGCTTCCTGGCAGCCGGCGTCGATAAGGAGAACGCCATCAAGACTATCGACAACAGCCAGAAGTACAACGGCATCATCGGCCAGGTCCCCGAGTTCGATTGCCTGCTGAGGAGAAACCCGCTGTGGAGGTGGATCCCCGCCTTGGATCCTAATAATGCGGTTATCACCCGTATCGCCCGCGAGGAGATGAAGAAACGTCGCCCCTTCGAGATCGAACGCGACGGTAAGGTTGCCAGCGGCGATGGGCGCGAGGACCTCCTGTCGTCTTTGATTAAGGGCCACCTAAAGGATAAGACGAAGTTTCATGAAGGCGATATCTTTGCTGTAGCGCATGGTGCTATGTAAGTATACCTCCTACCTATATCTCCCTTGTTTTATCAAATAGAAAATTCAGTTCGCTAACAGGCCTGGCATAGCTTCGCTGGTTCGGACTCCACTGCCTCTACCATGCAATCGTTTTTCTGGCACGTTCTCTCTGCTCCCAAGGTACTCGCCAAGCTAGTAGAAGAGGTTGATGCGGCGGCCCGCGATGGGACGATCTCGGCGCAAGGTAACATCCAATGGACCGAGGCCCAGAACCTGCCGTACTTCCAGGCGTGCCTGAAGGAGGCGATGCGTATGCGACCCGCGGTCGGCGTCAATATCGCCCGATACGTGCCCCCGGAGGGCATCGAGATCGAGGGCCGTCACATCCCTGGTGGCACACGGCTCGCTCTTAACGGCTGGGTACTGCACCGCGACAAGGCGACCTTCGGCCAGGACGCCGACTCCTACCGTCCGGAACGGTGGCTTGAGGATCCCGAAAACGCCAAGGTTATGGAGCGGTACATGTTCCAGGTATGTTACATATAAAATATACCTTACCTACCTCCTACCTACCCCTGAAACCCTTAGTGCTAAATGCTAACATGAATGATAGTTTGGCGGTGGCGCCCACGTGTGCATCGGTCGCAACCTAGCGCTCCTCGAGATCAACAAGGTAATCCCCCGGCTGCTGCGCGACTTCGAATTCGAGCTGGTCTACCCGGGCCGAGAGCTAAAAGCGAAAGCGACGTTCTTCGTGGTCCAGGAGGGCCTCGAGGTGTACATCTCGCGAAAGAAGAGCGAGAAGGATGCGCAGCAATAAGAAAGACAAGAAGAAAGAAGCTTTTAACCTACCCTACAACACCTAGACTCAATACCACAGTCCTTCAAAGGACAAAACACACTTACACACACACTTAATGATGCTACTAATAATAGTATCGGGGACGGCGGGCGACGGCGTTGTTGTGTTAGAGCTGGGCTCGCGGCTTATGAGAAAAAAAATGACTGCTTTTTTTTACTGCCCTGCGGCGGTTGGTTTTCACTTTCGGGGGTAGCATGTTTGTATACCATTTTGATGCAGCGATTTTCGTTATTCCTTATTCGTTTTGGAAGAGGATGTTTATATGGCTATGATGATGGTAGATGGACGAGATACGATGCACAATGCGACACGTTTTATATAGGTACCTTACCCCTTATACCAGTAGATACATATGGAAGACTGCTTACTGTATTGCGAGTATCTGAGCTACCCCAATGTAACTGACGAAGTTTCGCTCCTAGAAAATATTGCGAGATACGTAGCTGTTGATCCATAATCATGTCCAGTTAGGGCATCTAGGTAACAAACATTTCCAACCAAGAGTAAAATAGCTAAGACCATGATCATTTGAAATCAACCTTTTTGTTGTGTTTCTATCACCAGGCCAGGTCAACTTTACACCTAGGTGAACACTTACGTATTTCGCAATGACCAATCAAGTTACGAACCACGTTACCCCCTTGATTTCTTAATGAAGAAACGTACCCTAGCTCTCATTGGATGTCTTCCTATGTTACACATCTACGAAGAGTTCATGTAATTCTCCTATAGTAACTTGCATAAGATCGACTTCATGATAGTTAGATCGATAATGAAGCCACTTCGTTCTTATTCAGAATAGTCATACGTTGTCGAATGTCTAATATGGAATGTCTTAGACGATAGAGATAACGGCAATTAAATCTATAGTTGTGCAGTCATATAGGACACATTAACACTTCACATGGCATGTCGCATCTTCGGTGCGTTGATCCAACGAGCTTGCACTGAATTGGTCAATTTGGGTTCGTTAAATTTTCAAAATTTTCACCGGGTTCGGAGATCGAATTTCGATGTAAAGATCATGACAAATTCGACATGTGAAGAAGCATCCTCAATTTATAAGATGCCAAGCTTCGTTCTTCATACAGTCCCTCGCAGCCCCCGTTGCTACGTAGCAAATACTCTCTGGCGGCCGGATGATTCTGCGCAGAGCCGCCGAAATTGGACCTGGGAAAAGCAAAAAGCCAAGAGTCTATTTATCCGAATCTGAACTATGGCTTTATTTATACATAATTCCTACCAGAGCTCGACATTGATTTGCGGACACTCAATCTTATCTTGGTAGGTAGACAGGGGTTATATAATGCTTGCATACACCATGCAGCCTCGGGATAAATTAGGGGGCGTGGTCCTAAGAATGAATCAATCGCTCAACAACATAACTCATTCATGTACGATCTAAATCGGATGGGTTTATATCGTATCCAGCGTGGGATGAAACGGGACCGAGAGCCTTGCACCACCACCTCCTCCATCGTCATCATCTAACGACCATCGTATTCCTTAACGATCCAACTTCATCTCAGCAATTCGATTTTGGATGGCGCTGAGCGGGGTAACCAGCAACACAGCGACCAACATGCAATGCCGTAAGAGTAGTTGTTGGGATATCACCACGAAATTACTCGCATTATGTTGGCAACGTTCGTGTTATCAGCTCGCTTACAGATAGCCTGAACGATCCTGTCGGAAACAAGCCGGTACGATGAGTGAGGGGGCGCCTCACTGTTTGGGGATCACAACCTATCGGCTACGCAGAAATTTTCACCAGACGGGCGCGGAGAATACGCTGTGGCGAATGATTTAAGGGGCTAGGCCTCTTAGGTGTGATAACGGGTCGTGACGACGGGCCGCTGTGGTATCTAAAGGTCAATACTTTATGCAGCTCCCAGACAGACATCCAACAAGAAAGGTCGATGGCATGCAGCGCCATGCCTAGCTGAGGTTAAAGTGGGACGAGGGAAAGGCACCACTTGCGTCCGTGATGGGGTTTGCTTTGGCCGCTGATGCATGCGAGCGGGTGTTCGCCGGCATTTGAAACGGAAATAGGAGGAGCTGGTCCGGTTTTTGGATGGGGCGAGCGTCTCGGCATGTCTAGATCACCCGCAAAGCTCCGTGTCGCCCTGAGTCGTTTAAGGGGATAGATGAATACCTCCCTACTACCTAAGGTAGGTATCCACATGGTTGGTAGAGGTGCCGCTCACCCCCTGATTCTTCTAGAAGTTCGTCGGTATATGCCGACGTTTAGGCCGGCAAATATTCACACGTTAATATATCTATTTACGGATATGGTGCATAAAAGATGCAGAAAAGTTTATATTCTATGCAAAACTTTATTGTGTGTTAGACACAGCAAAGACTTTTACACCACTTGAGTCAATATTCTCGGCGTCATACACTTAAACTGAAGCTGTTTGTTATTAAAAAAGCTTGGAAAGCTCTAATCAACGTAGATTCATCCTACTGCTTTTTCCAATAGGGCTAGAACGAGCATGTCCTCGAGATATACAGATAAGGGGGGTAACAGGCTATTAATGCCTACGAAGTCTTAAGTAACGCTTGTTTCTAAGAGATAGTTGAAGTGTTCGTGTAAATATTACAAACCTGAATAAGCCCATACAGAGCTCTCCCTCTATAAGTAATAAACATTCAATCCTTAAAATATAATTATGCATTGGGTCCTACTAAAGGTACCACCTAGTTATTCACTGTGTGATAGTGTCGGCGTCAGTGAGACTCGGCCGGCCGTCTAGTATGTCAACTTTAATGATGTATAGCCTCAGGAGTCATAAAGAAGCTTCGTCTAGGTTCTGCCCTGTGTTTCAACATGCTGAATACCATGGGAGATATTAGAGACATAGTTACATGGTGCTACTAACATGCTCTGAAATGTAACGAGGCCGAATATCGATGTTACCGATCGAATATAGTAGAATAGTCAGGAAACCAATTCCATGAGTTCTGTATGTAACCTCCTATTGATGGTTCCGTTGGGGGGGGGAGGGGGGAGAGAGGGGGGGTTCAGTACTTCGTAACAGTTGCGGAACACGTTTCGGCCATTAATTTAATACCGCAGCGAAGACCTTTTGACATGCATAAGCCACCTATTTTATAGGGCCCTAAGCCTACCCCTATTTCATACTAGCTTCTGTACCCCTGACATGATCAATGGTCATGACCTCCGAGAACTCCAATCCACCCTGAACAACGATGATATGATCTTCACTTGCAAAAAAGAATTCAGGACTGCCTGAGCGCTGCGCTACTGCGCATCTAAGCTCACCGTTAATTGTACGCCATTCGCTTAGAGCAAAGAAATGTCTCCTTCTAAGCACTGGTGGAATTTGCTGCGTAGTTGAGTCCTGTATTATTTTGGTTTCGGAGGAAAAGCTAGTGCGGCCGGGTGGTCTTGCTTGCTTCGGATGCAGTTCTATACTATACACCCAAAGATTGACATCTACAAGTAGAACTGTAGACTGACCTACGATTCCAAGTACGGCGAGGATTTCGGCATTGATACTAGAAAGGCTCAATTCTTTAGGCAGCTGTGCTGGGTGCTCTAATGGAGTTGTTTGCGGGTCGAATGTCGATACTGGCCAGACGTAAAGCCGTGGGGGTGACGACCGGAGCAATTCTAGGACAAAACCCTGTCCAACATAATACGATGAACTACGCATGGTCAGTGGTTTAGTTGCCTGTAGCTGTGTGGGGAGAAGAGACTCCACGGCTGTGGGTGGGGTTTGAAGAGGGACGCCGTTTGACGTGGTCAACTCCTGGAAATTGGACCAGCAGAAAATCCGGGCAGTGCCAGCAAGAATTAAAACGAACCAGGACTCATTAGTCGGGTGTTGGAAGGCAGCTGCTGAGGTCGAAGCGTCTCTTATGTCCGAAATATTTCGATTAGGAGTCGATGTGACGCCACCATCAATGTGAGATATCGAACCTAGAACCTTCCCAGATAATAGATCGCAAAAGTCGTCCGTATTGCGTCCGCTGATTAGAAGGCGGTCGGACGTGGGGTTGACGAGTAGATTAACAATAGCAGCACCGAACCGGTGGTCCATCGTGATGCGCGCGGTTGGTAATTGCTGTGGCACCGACGAGACAAGGATGGGCTCAGCCAGTTCTACCACTAGCAGCCTACCAGAATCATCCGCTGAAATGAATAAATTGTGCGCTTCTCTCAAGGCAACATTGACAATAGATACTCCACGTCCGTGTCGATAGAGTACGCCTAATTCCTTCCCATCAACCGCTGAAAAAACCAGGACGTCGCCGTTACTCTTGCCTGCAATGATGTAACTGCCATTAGGAGATATAGCTAGATTGCTTGTGACCTCTGGAGTCATGGGTTCGAGCATGCCGACCATTTTAAGCGGAGGCGCTATGATATCACTTACGCTCTCGAGTTCGTTGTCCTTCCGCAACAGTGCTGTAGGTGCCCATATACGGCATTGGCGATCGTGTATGTCGACAAAACGGAGGCCATCGGGACTGAAGGCTATGCTTCGAATCGAGTCTTCGAGGGATTGAATACTGTATATGGGAACTAGTACTATGTTTCCGCCGTGATCCTGATCGAATTCGAATACTTCAATGACACCCCCAGTGCTACCAGTAACAAGACTATGACCATTTGGGGAGCAGGCGATGCTATTTGCGTATACATTTGGCCGTGTAAACGTCGGCATCATAGTGATATAGTCGAAGAGGTATAATCTTCCATCGCTGTACGATACTACTAGCGCAGTGATCTCTGGGTTGGGGTTGAATGTCATGTCGTCTATTCCGTTACTTCCGTCAGCTACACATTACCCTAGTAGCTGCAACTCCAACGCGTTCCATATGAATATTGGGTGGTTCCGATAACCCACAGCCAGCAGCACCGTTTCACCTGTAGCAAAAAGCGCAGCACGGCTTGGTGGCTGATCGGGAATATCAGGAGTACAAAAAATATCCTTATCATACATTCCTCCCCATGAGATTGTCTCATGTCGGCCAGTATCAAGGCACCTAGTAAATATTTAGTTTTCTGTTTAAAAGTCCGATTTCGAGGTATTATCATGCTTCGTAAAACTTCAATAAGTAGATCTTACCATTTCGTTAGCTCTCCGGATGCAAAGGCGCAAAGAAACTCATCGTCACTTAGAAAAGCAAATGCTATAAGTTCGGACTCTGAAATCGGATGCGAAAATTTCTTCGTCTTAGATTTAAGTTGCCACACGACCAGAGTCTTTGCACCAGAGGAAGCAAGATACTCGCCGTCATTGCTAAATCCTAGCATTTTGACCCTCTCAGGATGGGCGATTTTCGTTACGCACTGCACAGAATGCGGGTCGAAGAGCGAGATCTGTCCTGTCGATAAGCCAACAGCGAAATATTGGGAACCATGGCTAAGGGCCGTCACACGAGCTGGGTCGAAGTCGATACGAGTTAAGCAATCACCCCACGTTGTCGGACGGATACCCTTAACAGTTATTGCCCACGGTCGAGCGCTATTAGCAAAAGTCCTTGAGATGATAGATTCTGATGGGCAGAATGACGGGATGATGTAATGGATAGATGATGGACAAGCTAGTAACTGAGATCGGAACTTGGCAGTGACTCGGATTAGATCAGTCACCCAGCAGTCTAAGAAATATGCCGAGGGGTCCATAGGAGAAAGGTATTTCATTCTCCGGCCCAGATATGCGCGTAGGTTGGTTGCCGTCCTAGTGATATCCCCCAGGTTACCATTATCAGCAGCGTGTTCAATCCAGGAGAGGATATTTTTGCTCTTCAGGAACGTACACAGTTCGGACATCACGATATCTTCCCTTGATGTGCCCTGATATATGTGCTCAGAGAAATAGGAAGCTGCGTAGTCCAACAAGGAAAGGTCCGGTGAAAGGCCATCGTCTGGTTTCGCAAAGCCACGAAATCCTGAACTCTTCCGTCGCAGTGGAGCAAGAGGCTTGAAGGCGGCTTTGTTAGCAAGATATCGAAGTAATAGAGAACTAAGATGAGCGTGCTTTTCAGCGCTATGTATAGCAAATCCGGAGTGAAGAGATTTATCGAGGAGAAATTCCCTTGCGGTTGCATGTAGGATGTGTACTCTGTCGGTGTTGTCGACAAAGACGAGTTGGTGGCATAGGCTGGGAATTGCCTTGCTCATGTTCTGTAGCGTCTCGTTCACATCAAGCTTCACAGCAACACGTAACTCGTCAACACTGAGAGGCCGACATGCTAGAACGGCCCACGTCAAAATGGATTGAGCAAGTTTGACTCTGCGCTTGTCCTTCTCCATTGATTGTAGCATCCGGCGATACATATCTTTAAGGTCGACAGGCACTTCATTCAACACAGCGTCCATAGCCTCGCGAGTCCAGGCGGTTTCTAACTCTTGAAGTACGAGCCTAACCCATAAGAAAGAACCAGAGGATTTCTCTATTATTTTCTCGCACATCAGCTCGACGCTTTCGTCGAATTCCAGGCGATCTAGCTCTCTAAGCCTTGAAGCCACGAAGAGCCGCATATCATCAAGCGTATCCGTTTCAGAAAGGAACTGTAGGTTTACACGTGAATGTAGGGGCGCCAATCACCGTCCTATCTCTTCTAGGTGACGGCTAGTAGCAAACAGCCGAATGTCTCGGGGGAGGGTAGCGAGAATTCTCTTCGTAAAAAGAGAGTTGAAATTGGCACACTCGTCTACACCGTCGATTATCCAGAAGTGCTGAGAGATAGAAGGCAATTTGAAGACTCCATTGATAAAAAGTCTTCTCCAGACACTCAACTCATCAGTTATATCCCATGTCACACCTTCTCCTTCGAGTTGGAGAAGTTTATCCGCTACTTGATCATCCTGCATAGCCATTTGGAAGGCGAGGGAGCGCAGGCAATCGCCTAGTGTAGACTTGCTAGCCTCTTTTTGCTTGAAGAAAAAGTAGCTGCAAAACGCACCTAGATACTTTACCTGCTCAATAACGTGGCTGGATAAGACCGACTTCCCAGATGCTGGTCTCCCCATCAACCAGAGTATTCCTGACGCCCCGTTTGACTTCCATGAGGTAAATGATTTTGCTTCCGAGAACCATTCGCATGTTCCTGGCTCTCGAAGGATTTGAAGGATTTGAAGCTCGTCTTCTAGAGTGTCATCGACGCCTAGAAATGATCTAAGGCGTTGGTTAATGAGATCTTTGCTCAGGCCTTCTGGCGCATAAGTCAAGTTGACTTGAGTTTGTGAAGTGGCCAGGTTCCAGGGTGGCGATGACCTTAGCATGTCTGCAGCCGTATGAAGAGTGTTTCTTAACGTCTTGTAGTTTGGATCATCCGGACTGTTGAATTTGCATAGCTGACGGTGGTCAGCATTCATAGCAACAATCTCTTCGTTAGGATAGCCAAGCGTTGCCGAATGTCTTTCCACTACGATCTTGTTTAATACTCGAGGCTTAGCGGGGATTGTCTCGTAAAAGGACCAGAGGCGTAGGTCTGACGCATAGTGCCGGAACGTATCGTTGATATCCCTCAGAGAAGATGAGTCGGGAGTGAGATCAGAGACGAACGGTTTCGAGCCCCAGGCGATGATAGACAACCTCTTGATTATTGCTGCAAGATCACTGCCCCTGTGTGGAGTGCCTAAGAAGAACATCGAATGAACCCTACCGGCAAGGTCCTTGCAGGTTGGATCTTGTCGCATAAGAATGTAAGCTTTCTTAGCAACGCACCCACCCATACTGTGACAAACGAATATGATACGCGTACTACTACGCCTTATACTGGGTTTGTTTTTAAGCTCCCCAACTAATGACTCAGCGAAGTCATGGATGCTGAGTATGCTTTGCTGCCGTGGGTCTCATCATCGGCTATCGTGCGAATCGATATCCCATCAGACAATGAGTTAGAGAATACACCAGTCAGCGTTTTGTGCAGCTCTAATAAAATATCTGCTATCAGTTCTCGACATCTGTAAGAGAGAGATCAAACAGTTTTATGGAAGTATAATATACCTGATCCATGTCCCATTTTGACAACTCTTTACAACTCTTTACAACAGGTACACACAGAACTCTATAGCAATCGAGATTCTCATAGTAATTTATTGCTGTCATATGTTCAAGGAAACGGGAACTAGGTTTTCTAAATTAGGAATTAAGCGCTGGGGCTGGTATGATCAGCCATGAATTGTGGAACTATCTCAGCCTTGCCCTGGTTCAAGTTGATAAGAGACGCCTATCGATCCCTTGATCTACCAATAGGGTCAAGACATCAGGGCGTGGGCGTCTAAATCCAGACGGGTTCTTGCGTTCATTAGGTAGCCATGGCTACCTAATCTAAGCCGTAGGTACAATCTCTAACATTCATCGTTCGACGATACCCTCTCTGGCATCTAGTTGTGATAGAACATATCTCACGAGTATAATAGCAATGGAATTATCTGGCCTCGTAGACAATAACGTTGTTGGCGGTATGATTGCTACGATTTTTCCGTTTCCCAATGTTAAGCTGTTGATAACTTATTAGATATTCTAGCTCTTCCGGATGTTGCGAAGATTCTTGAGATGAAATACCATGGGGAGTCATCCTGGGCGAAAGCAACTCGTATCAGAGTATTGCATAATGATGGCAGAGAGGAAGACTACTTTATGAAGGTTTCTGTTGGTCACCACGGCCGCGAGGCATTGAAAGGGGAATTTGAGGCTACCTCAGCTATTCATGATATAACTTCCGACTTCTGCCCCAAGCCCATTGCTTGGGGTACCTTCGCCAGCGACCCGACATCCCACTTTTATATTTGTAAATTCTACAACTTCACCGAAGGCGTTCCTGATCCTACATCGTTCTGCGAGAAACTGGCACAGCTTCATTCCAACCACAACTCTCCCGACGGAAAGTTCGGATTCCATTGCGTAACATACAATGGTAACCTACCACAGGATAACACTTGGTCTGATAGTTGGGAAGCTTTCTTTGCAAATGGTCTCCGACACGTGTTGAAAGTGCGCGAGGAGAGAGCTGGACCCGACGTCGAGTTAGACAGGCTTCTCCCTGCCCTGTTTGACAGTGTCATACCACGACTCCTGCGACCGCTGGAAAGTAATGGCCGTAGGATATTGCCATCACTAGTTCATGGAGACCTGTGGTATGGCAATACCGGAATTGTTGATGAGGCCACTGATGAGGGCATAGTCTATGACCCCGCTAGCTTTTGGGCGCACAACGAATGCACGTTAAGTTCGCTTTACCCAATGGGCGTCTAACAAACTGACTGCATCATTTTAGATGAACTTGGCAATTGGCGCCCGGAGCGAAACAAATTTACTCGTCGATATGTACAAGCATATCATTCTCATATACCTAAGTCAGAACCTCAGGAGGACTACGACGATAGAATCGCACTTTACTCCTTGTAGGGCCACCCTCATGATAATTGAGTCTATAAATTCTAAGCTGAAGTAACTGAATAATTGCATAGGAGGTTTAACTTGCATGCTGCCGCTATGTTTCCGGACCAGGAAGCCTTTCTCCAGATGTATGTAGACAATTAGCTTCTCCATCCACTAAATCCCTGTAGACATTGAGATCTAACGTAGAACAGGGCAATCGACGAAATTCGAAGGCTTACGGACCTTTATGCAAGAGGGTCAAATGCATAACAGCAATTGTCTGACCTTAGATACCAAGTACCTGTACTTAGAGATGCTTTTTCATTCACTAGAGAGCCTTGAGTATTCTTGACGGATCGATTTACGTGCTTTTTGAGCTATTTTGAGCAACTCTGAGTTGCGCGCCTAATATTGGGTGCATCTTTGACTTACTTACTGTTTTAACATACTGTACACACGTGTCGTATCAAGCACTGTTCCCCTCACGACCAGTTAGTATTGTGGCTTACACCTACGACGCCTTTATAAGTTACCTCCTCATCACCCCAAAGGAGAGCAGCTTCGAAATTCACTAACAGGAATCTTTAAGTCAAGTTCCTAGTATGATGCCTGCTATCATGGACCTTCCAAACGACTTCATTCCGAACAATGGCCGGAAGATTCCTGCTGTTGGCCTTGGAACCTTCCAAGGCGAGTACGGGAATTCTTTAGTTAAAGATGCCATCAAACTGGCTTTGGCACAGGGTTATCGGCATATTGATGGCGCGCATGCCTACGGCAACGGGAAGGAAATCGGCGAAGCCATTAGAGAAAGTGGTATTCCTAGGCAGAACATCTTTGTGACGTCTAAACTGTATGCTAACGTTTAAATCTTAAATCACAAGTAGATGTACCTACGTACTTAGTTTATTAGTCTCACTGACAGAGCTTCTAGCGCACAGATATGGCATGACCCTGCGGATTTTGAAACAGCTTTAGATGAATCGCTTAAGGACCTGCAACTATATTATGGTATTAAAATGCTCTGATTTCCCAATGTGATGCCCTAAACTAAATTATGTCATGAGCATAGTTGACCTATATCTGATGCATTGTATGTAACTGAATCGAACCCATCACCCCATCGCCCCAAGTTCACGTCATGAATCTGAGTGCTAACACGAAGCGATACCAAAGTCCCTCATGCCTATAAGGCTGGTGAGAATAACAAGACAATAAGACACTCGAGCGGTAACGGAAAGGTAATGTACCATCTTGCAACGAATTCTCTACGTCTAGTCGCTCATAAGATGGAACAGCCTGTCATTGACTATGACCTTTCCAAACGTTATCCGGAGACATGGCAAGCAATGGAAAAGCTTGTCGCCTCTGGGAAGGCACACTCGATCGGTGGGCAAAGAATGAAGCACGCATGTCTTCGTAGTAACTAAGTTAGCGCGATAGGATTGTTCAACTTCAACATTCTCAAGACCAAAAGGATTCTCGAGATTGCAAAGATTACCCCGGCAGTCATCCAAGCAGAAATTCATCCGTACGATAGGAAGAATCTATCTTATAGTCATATCTCTAATAGGGTCTCATTTCCAGATATCTTCCACAGCATGAGCTCCACGGGTTTGCGGCCCAGCATGGCGTCCTGATCATAGCTCATCAACCCCTTGGTGGCCGTCCGATATCCCTGGTTCGAGGGAATCCTGACGAACCATTTCCAACAGAAGACCAAAAGGTATGTACCACGGGTTGTTGTTTCTTTAATTAAGCTTTTACTAACACTTATCTAGATCATAGACGTTGCAACTAAGTGTAACATGACACCCGCACAGGTAGCGTCTTTCTGTTCTTACCAACAGCTGCCAAGTGTCTAACTTCCTACCTTACTATATCACAGGTCTGCTTGTCTTGGGCTGTGCAGAGGGGAATAGCAGTCGTTCCTAAATCTATTAATAAGGAACATATGAAGCAGAATCTGCAGCTTGAAAGACTTCCTGATGATCTTTTCGCCACCGTCGATCGTCTTTCTTTAGAACGGGGCCCTCTTCGCTTTCTTGGCCCCAGCCGGCATATCGGTTTCGACATTTTCGATGAAGGAAGGGATCAACCAGTGGAGGATTGCGCACCCTGGGGTTGAAATTGAGTATCGTCATGGTCTCATACGTCTATCTTAAGACGCCATATGGAGGGCAATAATATGATATGACTCTAATTGTTGCTATATTCTTATATTCAAAGCTTTAACTGCGCAGCGTACCTAGGTACCACGGTACCCAACTTCAAGATTCAAGTAACTTCGCCCAGTCCAAAGCCGTCGTCCCCTCCATTAGCCAAGAGAGCTTCCACCAGTTCAGAAAACCCATATCTTCGGGCATGCACGATTGGCATCCAGTTATCCCCATCTCGAGCTCTCACATCGGCCCCTGCATTTATTAAGATCTTCACAATTTTTACCTTGCCCTCAAATGGTGGACTGTTTCTCCAGCTTCCGCGAAACTTGCGCTGGTACGGAAGATAATGTAACGCTGTTCCCAACTCGTGTGTTACTGCGTTTACGTCCACTCTCGGGTCGGCGATAAGAAGTGACACGACCTCGAGCAACCCATTCTTGCAAGCATAGTGTAAGGGAGTAAACCCATTTTCATCCACAGCAGATGGATCTGCCCCGTGCGCAAGTAGGGTTCGAACAACTCGTGATCGTCTCTGTATCAAACCAAAACTTTCTGATCCACATTCGGGGAAGTCGCACCTGCTGGCAAAATGAAGAGCTGAGATGCCTTTCGTATTAACTATGTTTACATTGGCGCCATAGCTGATGAATTTCTCAACTAGATCCGGGTGTATGTATTTCGAAGCAAAATGCAACGCGGTTAATCCTCCCATATCCTGCTGAAAGTTAGCTCAGAATCATCGTCGGTTTCGTATAATGCTTACTTGGGCGTCTATAGGCTCACCAGCCTGCACTAGAAAATCGACAACTTCACCAACTTTAGGGATCAGATGGGTCCATGTCGCGCAAAGACAGGAGAGCGGTGTTTTCCAATTGTAGTACCCACTTCCGCGGAAGCCAGAGTAGGTGTTATGTGTGTGCTTCTTTTGGACCTCATGACTTCGACGAGGATCAGCTCCTGCGTCTAGGACCATCTGTAGCACCGACAATATACCTTCGACCTCCTTATTGTTAGATTCATGGTCAAGCCAAAGTCGAATATATTCATTGACCTGATTTACCGCTAGCGACCAAACAGTTGACCCATGAAAGGGTTCCCAGTCATTTATCGCTGGATAGTCCAGCAATTCAATTTCTAACATCTGTTTGTGCTGCGTTATAGAAAGGTATGGGTGGGCAATGCCTCGGAGTCTTAGAAGGTCGGAAAGGGATCGGAAGCGAATCGCCTCAGGAGTCGTCAAATGACTTTTGCGTACGGAAAGTGTCGCATCTCTCATAATCTTCAGCTTTTCCACTTGTTCGCTCGTAAATCTTCTTGTCCTAGTGTGATACATTCGCCGAACACAGGATTCTGACCCTTCTGGATGGAAGGAAACGAAAGGATAGTTGAGGTCAGAACTCGTACTGATAAGTTTTTCTAGAACCCTAGATGGTATGTGGTCATCATGAAATACCCTTATGATGGAGCTGCAACGAAGGGTTTCTCTGTAGTAGCGGTTGTGGTCGTGTTCTGATCCGTGGAGAAGTAGCAAGTCCATAAGATAAACCTTGTTCTCTTGTTTGATCGTAGGATCAAGAGCACACTCAAGTAGCCAAGACCCCCCCAAGGTCTTGACGTCTGGCATTGGCATGGTATTTGCTGAGCAATACCTCGACGATATTGATTTGCTGATGGGAAATCGCAAGGGTTAGAGGTGTCTCAGGAAATCTAAAGCCACACATTCCACATCGAACAGTGATGCCGTACATATGATCGACATCTGCCCCTAGTTGAAATACGGTGTGAAGCAGAGCCATATCTCCAGTACGGCAAGCCCAATGGAGCGCCGATAAGCGCCTTCGGCAACTGGTTTTCAGAAGCTCATATATCGCTATGCGATAAAGACCTCTATTGCCGGTTCAACTTAGAGCGAATTTATCGCAAGGTTCTAGAAGAAAGCTAATAATATGTTACGAACCAACAGCCGAGGAGATCACGTTCAGGCCTGGAGCGGGGTCTCAATACCCCTTGGTACGGATAAATCTTGGAATAACCTCATGGAGGGTAGTGATCTGGGTGATCTTGTGTGATCTTGTGTGATCTTGACCAGATCAACCAGATCCCACCAGATCCCACCAGATCACATAGAAATGCTATGAACGATAGCAACAGGAAGTAGAAGAGGCATTTCATATAACTATCGAACGTTTCTCATGTAACTAGTCATTCATTTTCAAAGCTCATTAGCTATCAATCTAAGTCTTATATCTAACCCATATAAGGGGAAGGACTCCAAGCCTTCCTGACGGACACTTCAACGTTTATTTGACACTTGACTCGTATCGCTACTGTTTACCTGAAAATCAAGACCCATCGGCACTACACTCTAACGGACCTGAGTGTAGGTTCGTCACAAGTATGTGGCGATCTCGAAGAGATCCCACTATGACTAATCAGCTGAGCTATATATAAAACGATCTCCTGTAAACTACTAGCCTAGATCTCTTTTTCCTTCTTAATCAACCGTTATATTACCTCTAAGATCTCCTTTCACTTTACGTGACAGATATTTTATATGTTTAGGTACTGAATACATTCACGAGGACCTCATCGTCTGTACCTATCCAAGAAGCTGTAGTAGCACCTTGGCAAGTGTCAGTGTATTCTGTCACCTGTCAGCAAGTACCAGTACCACAAGCCACATCCATGGATGTAGGTGCATGGGCCATGTATCCGGTACAATTACATTCAATAGAAAGAGGTACCTAATCACGTGGTTAACCTCTGACCCCTGACATTCAAAGCTCGAAATGTCTCGAGGCTCGAGCAGAATGTCACTCAATCACCTTCCAATGAAAACCCAGGTACATACCTTAATTACTACAAAGTAATACCACTTATAATTTGCTCCTTTACCACATGGCCGACACCCTAGATAGGAGATCTGACCATGGACACTTCACCTCCATCCCATGGTGCGCCCGACACCTTCGCGGCTCAAGAATTATCACCCAATCACCAGAATGTCGGCTACAGAAGCTAAATGGCGAAGATTCATTATACTCCGAGACTCTCAAGTCACAAACTACAATCATGGCCATGTTACAAGTCTACGAGGAGCCTCCTTCGCCCACGGACCGCGTCAATTCCGGCAAGGCTTTTTTGACGCTAGGTCCCGGCTTGGCCGGGCACGCGGGCGTTTGCCATGGGGGCATCGTCGTTACGATTCTCGATGAAGTCATGGGTTTTCTCATCTCCCTCAACCAGAAACGGGGACATACGCCGGAAGTGCCTTATATGACGGCGTATCTGAACACGAAATTCTTTAAACCTGTTCCTACATGCGCAACCATTCTAGCCCAAACCAAAATCATAAAGCTGGAGGGTCGGAAGTTTCTCGCAGAGGCATGGATTGAAGACAGTAATGGGATTGTGTTAGCTCGTGCCGAGGCTTTATTCCTCGCCATCAAGAGCGTTTTATAATAGAGTAACGATACCTCTAGAGTGATGATACCTCTTTAGATTATAGCCATTAAATTATGAGTCGTCGTTGTGTTTGCGATTTGCGAGGGATTCGATTATATATCGGATGTACCTAAGCCATCTTAACAACGAGATATCTATTCCGAGAAAGTGCAACATTCTAAGATGCACGTCATACCATTTCTAGCGAAGGAGGTAGACAACAAGCCACATATATGGGGATAGTCCGGATGGTCCGGGTGGCGCTCGGGATTTAATGTGGGTAGTTCTCCGAAGTGCGACCCGCAACCCGCAATGGCAATCACCTCCCACCATAATATTGATCCTACTTGCAGTGCAATCCAATATTTTTTACTTAATTTACTTAGATACTTTATACTCAAGATAATAAAAATAAGTATATAAGCTCATACTAATTGGTACTACCTACTTGTACTCAAGCTTTTATCCCCAAAGTAGGACAGTCATTAACTATGGCATAATAAGTTAGGTACCTACTTTATCCTTATGAGTTGATAAAAAGTTAAACCTGGAGACTCTTTAATGTCCTTAATATAATATTCCTAAAGTGATAAACGACTACTATGGTTCTACGATGATATCACCAAGAATCTTTAACTGCTTGGACGGACTTTCCAGCATTATGATCAGTACAGGTAATCCTGTGACTTACTACGTTACCTATCAGCGAACGATGTTGGAGACCTTCTCAGGAGCAATCTGCTAGATATTGATAGAAAAAAAAAACCTTTTTATGCAAGACCAAGCTCGTACGAGCCATATTACAGGTAGGTATGTAAACGGCACATCGAATTTTCCACGATAATGCGCACATGCTAATTTAAACGTTGCAGTTCTTGGCAGCTTGGCATCGCATGGAGAGAGAGTACCATACGAGATATAGGTACCTCTTATCATCATCTCTTGAAGCTAGTAAAATATCTGCCCAACCTCTTATCACCCTTTCAAGATATCTAAGAATTATTATATGGCAGTTGGTTTACGTATACTTGCCATGTAAATTGATCACATCAGCTGGTCCCGCAGCCAGGGTAACAGTTCTATGTGACAGCCGTAACAGGCAAGCGGTCAGGTTTGTGTTAGCTGTGCTATCGAGCTTATCTTCTGCAACGCAACCGGTGACTTACATTAATATAGATCTTGGCGGCAATTGGGCGGTCGCAAATCCTCACTAGTTGATGAGTGACAGGAAGGGAAGTTATAGCATTCTGCATTCGGGGAAGCTTGAGTGGGTTGACAATACTACCGTCACAGACTTGCCTAGGGACTTTTGATAGCTTACTGCACTCGCTTCTAATCAGAGTCCCTTTGCCAAGCAGCCGTGGTCGGTCCTAACGGGTAGCGCCGCTCAAATATCTACGAGCTTACCACACCTAACCCTATACGTACTACCTCCGGTACATGAGCTGATAGGACGAAGGGTGAAAATATATTGATTATAGTGACGACTGTCAGGTGCGCATTGCAGGGGTTCTTCCAGCTTCTCCTTATAGATGGTTCAGTATCACTCTGAGCACCTCTAGTGGTAACCTACTCTTCCGAGTAACGCTTTCCTACAGTCGAGACCGCCGATCTTCAAGCCTTGAATGAGCTCTAAAGCTGAATATGCCAACTACCGTATCCTACGCCGTGAGGTAGACTTCGACTAACTATGCTGTCAGATTCTAGAGGGTGGTGGCCGATTGGCTAAGTGCGAGTCACGTAACGAGCAAGCGATTTCGTATTACAGAAATCTCTGCATAAGAAAAGAAAAAGTCTAGGAGATACGTGGTGGCGCGAATTAGGCAGGTGAATGATTGACTAGTAGCTTTGCGCGGGACCTAGATAGATATGGAGAGGTCGTTAAGGAGGAGTAAATACCTATGCGTGGTTTTGTGTGAACGACTATAAAATACCCTCAGGAGCTCGCAGCTAACGTCTCGTTCATATACTATTGCTTCTATACCAACTATATATACCACCAACATTCATTAACTGAATACTAGCCTTAGCTATTTTGTATAAAATGTTGTTCAAATCTGTTGCTGCTGCAGCTCTACTGGCCTCCACGGCTGGTGCTCACTATGTATTTCCACGAGATGGAAACTCCACAAGGCTTTGCGGTACCCCCGAGCCTACTGAAGCCCAAATCGCCGCCTCACAGGCTCTGCTTGCAAATGAGCGAACCATGCGTGCTAAGGGCGAGTTACGGGCTCTTCGATCGTTCAGCGTGAACACGTACTTCCACGTTGTGGCGTCTTCTACGTCGCTCGCAGATGGCTACCTTACTGTGAGTATTGGAGATATAACCCGGTTCAGAACATTTCACTTGCTAATTACTATGCAGCAACAAATGATTGACGACCAATTGGACGTTATGAACGCTGACTACGGTGCACATGGAATCACGTTCAACCTAGTAGATACGGATTGGACCGTCAACAGTAACTGGGCCGCCGATGGAGACGAGATAACAATGAAGAGGGCACTGCGAAAGGGCACATACTCTGATCTCAATATTTATTTCCTCGGCGATCTCGGCGGCGGATTGCTCGGGTAAGGCCCCGCCTTGATACTCCTGTCTTATACACTTGAAGTCACTAAGATCCTTAACAGATATTGCTACTTCCCGGGCAACTTCGCCGAAGGGTCAACCGATTTCTACTTAGATGGCTGCACTATCCTAGCTCAATCTGTCCCCGGAGGAGATGCTGCGCCTTACAACCTCGGTGGTACAGCTGTTCACGAGGTTGGGCACTGGATGAATCTCTATCATACGTTCCAGGGCGGTTGCAACGGTGCTGGAGACTCTGTTGACGACACTCCAGCTCAACGCAGTGCATCGTCGGGCTGCCCCGTGGGCCGAGACAGTTGCCCTGGTGGTGGTGTTGACCCTATTCACAACTACATGGACTACTCTGACGAGTGAGTTTATTTAAATTCGTACCCATCTATAAGCATGAGAATGTTATTAACTCTTAATATAGCGCTTGCTACGAGGAGTTCACTGCTGGGCAGGAGGACCGCATGTACAGTTCTTGGTCTACTTATCGCTCATAGAAGTGATGTGAATTCAATTGGGGATTTTGGGTTGTAAACATCTAAATGCCTCCAAAGAATCCAGTCCAATGCTAGAGGGGAGTTCTCACGGGGAAATGAAGTGTCCCGCAAGAGTAATGGGGAGCAGCTAATGTAGGCGCTAATATTCGATTGTATGTTAGCATAATATATTGTTGAAACCTTCCTGGGTTATCTGCAAATCATCTTTGACAATTGCCTTCAAAGGAGGTATTCAACGTGTATCTGTCCCGTCGTAATATCCTATATCCAAAGTGCTCAAACATTAGTTATATTCCCTATTAAATAAGAAACAAGTGAACCCAAGTGACGATGAGTGACAGCAGCCTCCCTCCCCCTTTTCCACCCCCCAAATCAACTTATACAATTTTCTAGATTCAATAGGCTGTTACCAAGTTGAATCTCTTTGATTTTGGTCTAGGTCAGCTTGCTCGTACCACTACCTATCATTACTAAATTTAGCCGCTATAAAATGACAGGCTGTGTTAGTATCTCATAGTGGACGGGAATATGTTTAAATATCAAGCATCTACAGAACCTTAAAAGCTTTCTCGATGCGGGACTTGAAGTATAAAACAAAAAGACGTTGCAGTAAGCTATTCGCGGCTCAAACGCCCTGTTACATTTCCCCACGTTTAGATCTGACATTTTACAGTCGTTTCAATGGTTGTAGGAACTGGTGGGTATTGTACATGTAGCAATGCCTGCAAGGACCATCAAGGTACACGATCCACTAGACCATAACGTGCCTTTTCAAACACAGCTGAAGAAATACAGGCGTGTCAAGCTCCGAAATAATTAAATGGCAAGGTTCAGAGAGAGTTTAACACTTCACCTAGAAATGATGTCAATCTCAATTGTCTGTGGGATGTGGTTTATATGCTTGGACTGGTGTAAGGTTGTCCTTCATAACAATTATATTGATTGACAATGCTGCTTTAAATCGCTACTAATGCACCAGTAACTCCAAATTCGTCGTATCCACCAGTTGGTCGGTCTCTCTCATTTGATTCTGCGAACGGAGTCTTGCTATCTCTTCTTCAACGTCGGAAGCAAATCTTATTTCTCATATCCTAGCCAGAAGTCCAACCTCACTCCATCTACCCGCATTTCTTTTTTAATTGACAATCGGCTTATTTACAAGTCCAGCATTCCCCTACAGATTCATATCCAACCCCCCAATCTGTAGGGTATCTGCAGTATAACGAATAACCGTGACAGACCAGCTCGCCAGACATCATGAGACAGTGGGGAGGCGTTGCCGGCATTTTGAACGGCTTGCATGACGAGTCGGTGCCCTCTGAAGTCGAGGAAGATGTTGCAGGAGAAGGCACAGCGGCTGCAGTGTCATTTGCTACCATATTCGAACCGAGGACTTGTATGTATGTTTCTGACAACCCTTCGTAGTGGTTTAGAGGTCGCGTGCCAGCAAATCGCGATAACGCTATAAGAGAAAAGACTCGCATGTACGATATAGTTCGCATGGTCAGGGCTTGAGGTAGTACCCCCTGGTAGTTTTGTACACGGACTTTATTCGAAGGATTAAGGGGGCAGTTCGTAGTTCGTATGTTTGACTTTTGCTTCAAGTTGGCGATAGAGAACTCAGTATTCATGATAGGTGTCAATGTCGTCACCTGGCTTATATACTTCAGTCAGTACTCCGCCAATATCGTTACTGACGTCTCAAGGCACCCCTTTACTTTTCGGCTAAATTCCACGTCGTTACCACAACCACAGCTAGACACATATATGATTGGTTCTTCCCTATAGCCGAGTTATATCACGGTTGTACGTCGGAGTTATTGATGTAGGAATGGAGATTAATATATAACACCCAACGCTCCGTTCGTTGTATCTACGGTGCTTGTGCGTTTCTGGAAATTTCCAGACATTTGAGGATTATGTATCGCTCTTGAATATGCCAGATTTTATGTGCTAATAAGTTCAGGTAATACGACTTCATTGTGTTTACTTAACGTACCAGGTAGCCATGCTAAGGTCTATCTATACGCTAAGCCATGATACAATATACTCAGAACTTGCCATCTGTCCCTTTCAGATAAAAACTATTCATCATCCTCTTGCAATGCGTTCAGCTTCCGCCACAGCGAAACTTCCCGGTCGTCTGCTCTGAGTCATTTCCGGCTTACCCAGAACAAATATAGATGGATTTTGTAAAAACATATGATCCATATCTTCCAGGGTACGATTTGATGTTTCAGGGTAAAACAAAAGTACTATCGGAAAATAGGAGAAACAAAACACGGCAAATACTACCCTGTGGTCAGCAAAGTCTTTGAAGTTTCTATAGGAAATTCCGGCTTCTCAAATGAAATAACTCACTCAGATAGAACGCCCAATTAAGACTATCAATGCCGACTTTTGTGAATTGAGTTACCACGAAACCGAAGAGCCAGTTCGTTGCTGTTGCAGCTCCAGCGCCTCGTGTTCGCCAACCTAATGAAGATAGTTCGGCACTGTAGACCCACGGCACACAAGCCCAGGTAAGTCCGAAGAACGTATGAAATACGATGAACATCGCGGTAGTTACATTTCCCATCTGATTCCATAGTTAGCGCGGTTCATAATGCCAGAGTATGTGAGCCTAACAAGCTTTCTCCTGGACTCATCAAGTTCACTCGATCTGAGAGTTAAGGAGGCAATCAGATGACATATTCCCATCATGAAAGAGCCGTACAGTAGCATCCTATTCATCTGTTAGCTGTTTCTTGTCTTTCTCTCGAATAAGTGCCCAAAGACACATACTTGCGTCGACCGAGTTTATCAATGATGATCACACTTCCAAATGCCGAGACTGAATAGACTGTACCATTGATAGCAGTAATAAGCCGACTCATTTCTTCGTTGAAACCAACATGCTGTGTCAATAGTGTGGGAAGATAAAATCCTATCAAGAGTATTAGAAGAGTCTAAACCCGCAAGGGAGAGCGCCAAACCTAACGCATTTATTCCACTGAATTGTTGCATAAACTGCGTGCCGCAAGAAAGTATCAGGCGCCGGAAGTTATGCGTCTTATCGCGGAAGCACAGGACGTCTATTATCGGCGGACGGTCTTCTCTCTCGAGCTCAATAGCGGATTTGATAGAGCGAAATTCGCTCACAACAGCAACATCATCCATTGGAATATCCTTCCCAGAGAGTCGACTAAGTACCTCTAGGGCACTCTCATTCTTGCCAGCTAATAATAGCCACCTCGGTGATTCCGGCACCAAGATCAGAAGCGGCGCTATCATGAAGAAGAAAACGAGTTGGAAGGCAAGAGGAAATCGCCATTGAAAAGGCCCATCCTGATTGTACAAGGCGTAAGCGATCCAATTTGCCAGCGAAAACATGGTGACGTTAGACGCGGTACCGATGACGACTAGTTTGCCTCGGTGATGTGATTTCGCACATTCGGATAGGAAAACTGGAGTAGAAGTCGATGTCAACCCGATTCCAAAACCATTTATCAAGCGCCCGATAATCATCTGGGGTAGATGCCACGCCAGGAATTGGAGAATTGCTCCCACGAAGTTGCAAAGCAACCCCCAGGCAATGGTTTTCCTCCTCCCAAGTCTATCACCCAACACAAAGGCCGCTATTGACCCTATGAAAGCTCCAATCTGTACGAGTTCAGTCCATCTTGCATGGCTAGAGACTAGGCTGAGCCATATAGGAGACGAAAGGACAAGGTAACGCTTACGAAGAAGCAACTGGAGGTGATGCCTGATATGTTTGCATCAAGCACCTGAGGGAACTGCTCTTTGAAGTCCTCCGAAACGAGAACGCCGGCAAATACACCCTACGCCAAGTCAGAACAGGCCATGTCGCATAGTAAGGTCTCAGGATCCAATAAACTCGCCTGATCATAACCAAACCAACATGACGATACTAAGTCACAGCTATCAGCAAAGGTCTGGAGGATTCAGATAGATACATTTGATTTCCTTACACGCATCGACAAGCGTGATCATGGCGATCAGCCTATTGCCGTAAATTCGGCTCTTTTGTCGTATCATCTTGGCCAACGATAACTACCTAGGCACCTATCAAGTAAGGGATAAAAGAGTCAAGACAGTCACATTCAAAAGCAGCTTTACGAGACGAAGAAATCGTACACCAGTGTTAGCTATAGCCCGGCATATTTCTATTGCGGCCCTCAAGCACGAGTGTTGGGACGGGTGTTCCAAACTGGGTAACCCCGAAAGCGATCCTTGAGCTTGCACACGCCGACGCCGGCTACACCTAACGCGACCCCGGCCTTGGCGTGTGTCCGGATGTCCGTTTTTGTAACCCGTCGGCTCCAGGGCTGCGGTCTAGACGATGTGGAGCTAGTACAGCTGTCAAATAGGTTAGCGGAAAAGGGGGGGAGCTTATCAAAGTGAGTGGGTATTTCCCCTTCACCGCATCTAAAACAACTTCGACATAGACTGGAGATAGTCCTGTGGAGTATTTAAGGGAGCCGTAGCCGGTTGTTGGTTTTTAACTTATTACAGGACAACCCGAAAATATTGCTCAACCTTTGGGCCACAATTCGTGCCGCCTTGGATCAGAAGAAGCTGCAAAGTGGAACTCAAAGCTGATCGCTTATGCAAAACCCCCCAGACTTTTGGGTCTACGTCGCATTTACATGTGAAAGTTTCTGACTAAAGGCAGAAACCCGGGAAAGGTCACTGCTATAGTTCTTAGCTTTGCTGTGTTCGCAGGGGAAAGAAAGCACGGCACTTGAAGCCACATTTGTAGTATAAAATTTGTTATTCATATCTCGGTAAATGTCAATAGATACCGAGACATCAAAGCCTGGGACCGAACCCCCACAAAGACAACTTTGAAACCCACAAATACTTCTTATAAAGCGTCTAGATGTCTTCACACAAGGTGTCTAATACAAAAGCTATGGCTTAAACCTGTAGCTTCGGTTTGCGTTTCTACGTTTAAGTAAATAGAAGCTGAAACGCGCAACTTACTAGGTACCTTAGACAATGATTTCCAAGACCATTATTCAGTCTCTTTCCAGACCTATCCTACAGTCAGTCAAGTATTCTCTCGGTATGGTGAAGTTCCTGTAAGTTTCACGTTATCAGATAGAGTTGCTGAGCAACTGTGGAATGGCCCGCATTTATGACCTCCTTATCACGATATGCGCCCATATCGAAATGGCACACGATAGATATCATAAGGTGGTGCCTATTTGAAGGATAGTATCCAGACAGTATTATTGTATCTTAGTTATTTATGCAGGCTCTCTCTCTACAGCCTTTACTACTCAGCAATTTTTCATAATACCTTGAGCAGTGTTGACGAAAGATAATATATGTGCAAAAATCACTGCTCAAAAGAAACTTCACGCCATTCTTCCGCCTCAACACCATCAAGAAGACCATCATTCTCCCCGTCAAGCGATCGCTTAAAGAAGCTTGTCAACAGTGCTCTCTGAATAGGTAGCTATGACTCTTGCGTCGTCGATAGTGCCTATAGACGCCGTAGCGTTGCTGGGAACGCCGCCTTCTAACATTGGAGTCAGGAGCCCAACATCAGTGAAGGAATTATGCACGGTTCCCTTTACGGTGGCTTGGCGTTTGAACCCTCGAAGATTCTTCCAAGCGTTATTCCAACTCTCATCAGATGTGCGATTGTGCCCTTTCGCGGCCACGATCATGAAGGGCGCTTCCGTGCCGATATGCTGCTGCTCGCCCCCAAAGCTACTGTCGACATTCGCGCCGGCAGCGAAGCGCATATCGTTTATCATAACTTGTAGCGCGGTAGCTCCGCCGAGAGAGTGGCCGAAAACTCCCACTTTGTCGGTCTTGAACTTGGTAACGGGACTGTATCCAGGGATCTTGTCCGTCACTGTCGAATTGGAAAAGGCATCTAACACCGATTTCAAGTCGGCTGTGCGGGTGTCGATCAATTTCGCAAGGGCCGAGGGAGACGCATCAAACTCAAGTCCGTAAACGACGCTTCCGGCGGAATATTCGACGATGCTTGACTCATACGGATGATCCACGGACGCCAAAGTGTAGCCGTAGGACGCAATTTCAATCAGAGTATCGCTGTATTCCAGTCTTGTGACACCCATAGCCGGGTTGAAGAGTAGAAGCGGGTAAAGAGACTGGGTAACGGGCGCATCCAGACAGGCCTGGGTGATTATGTTGTGAAGGAACCCGTTCGGAACTCCCACCTAGGTTTCAAAAGCAGCGGCCGTGTGAGGCGGCAGCTGTACTGCGCGCGTACATTGCCTCTTTTTCTTGCAAGACTTCGTATCTTTGGAACCCCCATCGATTGGATAAAATAGAGATACGGCGAGCTTCCGTGGCTGAGAAGTCGGAGCGGACGGGTCTAAGCGTGAGTAGTCGGTTATCTCCAGTACAGTTGTTCCAACGCCAAAAGGACCAGTGGGAGCGGGAACACTGAGATTGAAGCCCACTACTAGAGGCGCAAGAAAGCAGAGGATCAACGATTTAGTCGACATATTGAAGCTGTACTCGTGGGACGGTGTACCCAAGCGAGAAACATTGATCATCATACAGGCGCGTCAGGTTAGGTATTTACCTTATACTATCTCTAGATGGTATGATGCTAGGGATGAACGTCACCTAGTAGGGATCATGATCGCGTCCTACTCACTAAGCCTCCCTGCCAGTATACATGTACATACCAGACAGATATAGTAGTAACCTGACGTTGAGTTAAACCGTAAAGACCTTCAAGTATACGTATTATTGATCAACTTTTCAGCTCTGATCTTTTTGCCAAGTCATCATTCCGTATTTCTATTCGAGGTATTTTAGGTATGCAGCACCACTAAGATAGGATAGGGTATCAAACACCATGCTGAATAGGGTTACTTGTGTTCTATTGAAAGGGGGCGCAGTATATATAACTTCAACCTTATTTTACGATGGCCAGGTTCTTTGAAACGCGTCTTGCACATCATTCCGTGAAGTGAGGTATGCATAAAGCCTTGATTCGAACTACTATTGACTATTTTCAAACAATATAGTGGGTAGCTGAACTATCCCAACTTACGATATCCGAAAGTGCTGCCTAAAATGGGGGTTTTAACCGGTTAAAATCCTCAAAGCTCATTGCCCAGAAACTTCTAATTCATTTATGCAAGGGCGTGCGACCCCGGACCGGATCTATCGATATTATGAAGGTGAGGAGCCCTGCTGTCCGGGCCGGAGACAAAAAGAAACAGCGACTTCTTCCTATTCGGAAGCTCCGACAGTCCCCGAAAATAGTAGCTTTCGACTAGTCTCTTAGCTCGGCGGAATCGGCGCTGGTTACCTAAAAATAAGGGTGGCAACTCTTCTGTCACTACTTCCTATTCCCTACCTAGAACCTGTAACCTAGGTACCTTAGGCAGGTAGGTAGCTAGCTAGAGATTTAGTGTAGGTATTTACGGAATTCACCAGTCGGGGATAAGACCGTTTCTTTCGGGGTTATGTAGGTATGCTCCTTTTCCCATCTCAACTCTCTCTCGTTTATTCCATCTTATCATAAGAGTCTAGATTAAGTATTCATACAGCAACGAAACAGGCCCAACCTCCGTAAACGAGACAGCAAGGTAAATACAGTAAGTATCTCAAGAGACATTTAATGACTTGTGTATAACGCATTTGCCATATAATAACTGTAATACTTAAAGTATGCTTAGCTTCGGTCTTCATTGTTGCATTCTTTCTTTAGTCGCGATGTGCAGCTGCTTCCGCTAGGTCTACATCCGTGCGCGGCCAAAACCGCGTGAGGTCACCGAGGGGGAGGTTCACCGTAATGCGCATCTCTCCCGCCATGATCACGATGCACATGTACCAACCCAATGTCGCCACTACGAATAGTAGAGCTCCACCAGCCTATGTTTATAAGTTAGTTAACACCGCTCTGTTTCACTTGCACAACACAGGACGGACCTTCTGTAAACTTGCGGCTGTCTCATAGTTGCCCGCCGCGAGCCTGAAGTACGCACTGGACAAGATCCAAACCGCAGAGGTAGCACAGGCAAAGATCACGGCAAACACAGCGTTGACCTTGAGCGTGAAGAGGAAGAAGGTAAATAGAGCAAAGCCCCATACGACGAGGTATATCCCAATAACGGAGTTGTACTCGGGTGACATCTGGCCTGTCGGGTCACCGGTTGTCGCGTACGGCTCTCCGAGTTGCAGCGTGGGTAGATTTAGCATACCGAATGACAACCAGAAGACGGCGTATAGGCCCATGGCCATCATTGGAAAGAAGTTCCCCATGATCCATTCGAAGACCATGGAGACCAGCAGTAGCACAGGCCCGACGAAGAAGAATATGCCCCTGGTTATTGGTTAGACAACTTAGCCGTGGGGAACAGACGAGATGCATCCCAGAAGGAGTGATAGATGAGGAAAGAGGCATAGGAAAGGAACACTTACACCACAGGTGTTGCTCCTTGAGCTCCTCCCCAGCCCATCAATGTTATCGAAAAGGTATAAGTCGAGATCACAAATCTGGTTGTTGAATTAGATTAGTAGGTTCTTCCACATGCCCGTCGCCGGGTATACGTAAGGCTTACCCAACGATGCCGAGAGGTGTCGGATTAGCGAATCGCTTGTTGTAGTCGCCCACCTGGGGGACCTTGGGAGTGAGATAGAGCTAGCGCTGTGAGCATGACGAAGTGCCGGACCTAGTATCTTGCGACTTACCTTCTCGAATAGCTCCGGTGGCATTGTCACACTCGTGTCCGACCGGTTCAACCCCTTCTCCTCGTCAGAGTGGTTTAGGACGGTATTCACTCTGGTTGTCATCTTGAGATCGATTTTTAGTCCAATTGTGGCCGGATTAGGGAAATGAAGAAAAAGGAGGTAAGTTAGACGCTGTATCCAAACGACAATCTGAATTTTGTTTAGCTACCCTAAGGCCACGCAAAACTTTGGAGCAGATAATACCCTATCCTTTAATAGTCCCTGGACTATTTATTTACCCCAGATTCGATTAGGCTAGAACGTATCCAAGCTATATTGCTTTTACCACATGCTCGTCCGTCTGAACTACCATAACTGCCGGCACGTCTCGCTTCTACCCAATTAAATGTCGAGTAGCGCTTAGCCACTATATGGGTTCCGCGGTGCGTCTCGATACAGGTAGATATCGCGTGCGGTTGTGTAAGTCTCTGCCGAAGCCAAGACAAAACCTACCTCCGAATGTGCGAGCAATGGATACAACTCCGGTGCGGGGCCTGGCTATAAAAAGCAGTTGACAAGCCTATTTACGTGTAGAACGCCTGTCACTTGGTCCCCAGCTCATTTAATCGAATATAATGTAAATATTACCCAATTGGTCGTTGTATCTTTTATAGACGCGGAAGGAGATAAAATCGACCGAGAGAGAAACATTTGAGCCATCACTACAAACAACACGCGGTTGAAATACAATTATCTCGGCGGCAATTCCTCTCTGAGAGGACTTTCCAGAAGTCAACTAGGGTCTTCACCAAAGTATAGATTTATTTGATAACCTAGGTAAAATCAATCACAAGCAGAGGCTTACTGGCTCCCAGTTATCGAATGGCTGGGTGCTTCGTTAACATCGGTGTCCATATGAAGAAATCTCGTTAGGTAACATTCCGAAGAGTCGTATGCATTGAAGACTACCTCTACCTACCTACCTTATTTCCTTACTCAGTTACAATATAGATTTATCTTTTCAGCTATAGCCCTGTTTTTGGAATACTATTAGTTACAAATCAGGAAGTCAGGGACTGACTAACCCCTAAGTCAGCTATTGACGACGAGTTCAAGGAGGCATTGCGATATCTCGCTGTGGCTGAGCAATATACTACGCTAATATTGATAACGGTTATAGTTTCATTGAATGCATCATCTGTTATCATAGTGTATGATATTCCCAACGTTTTTCACGTGTTAGGCATCTGTCGTTCCATTCTTGTCGTATTTTCATTTCTTATCTTTCCAAAATCAAGAACTATTACGACGCCGAGTAGAAGGGAAAATTGGAGTAAGTGATGAGAAAAGCACATCATCAATGCGTTGGGGTAGAGGCAGGGTGCTATGAGGCGAATTAATTGTTACATCCATCGCCCTTATATAGGTAGGTCGAAATATTCTACCAGGTACCGTATCGATCACTTTAATCAATGACATGGATTACCTAGGTACTTGACCTATACTCATATTTAAATTCTGATATAGATCTCATAAACTCCAGTAGAGATTCATATTGTTCTTAAGGTATTGGCTCGTACTCTTTTCAGAACTTAGGTATCCACCTACTTTCAGAATCACGCGATCCTGAACCAATGCTCGTTTATAATTAGGTACGATCAATATAGCCGAAGAGAATAATAAAGAATTTTAGTATAACTAGCCCTGTTTGAGTGCCTACCTAAATTAGCCGGTGGCGCTTAAGAGAAGCGCGTCCGGGAAATGGTAGATTTGCCGGACGGGGGTATTGAGTGCGTGCAGTCCCCAGACGCAGTGTTACGAAGGTTAATTAACCGGAAACTAGAACTCACGTCTTTCCGAGACATCAAAGAGAAAGATCCGGGGAAGTTACACACATGACTGAACGGTTGTTGGTTGAGTATATTTTCATTTATGCCTCGACTTGGGCTTTGGAGGTATTCTAAACAAGCTACCCCTTAGGAAGTTGGGCACCCAACTAATCAGTACTCAAACTTCTGCCCGACAAGCTCTTCGCTTAGTTTCCATAGCTTTTCAACGCTCTCGGGGTCTGTGGCGTGTGGGGCAGCCTCGTGAATCTGGCTGTTCATCAAGTAGGCAGGTGACTTGGCGGGGATCTCAGGGTCTAGAGCCGCAATAAGCGACGTAGCGGCAATCTGCGTATACGTCTTGGACCGCGGAGATTCCCACACAAAGTCTTTACCCGTATTTCGCTTTACAATTTCAGGTATCGTGGCGTAGTCCTCCGGAGTTACATGGCTTCCTAGCTCCGTGTCGTTGTTGTAGCCAGGATGAGTAGCCGTCGACGTCACGCCGCGACTGCTAAGTCGTTTATGAAGGCCATAGCTGAATAGGATATTCGCGGTCTTTGCTTGACCATATCCAGTCCAAAAATCGTAGGTTTTACCATTCGAGTAGTTCCAGTCGTCGAAGCGGAATGGGGTAATAAGATAGCCAGAGCTAGTAAGATTGACGACCCGCGCTCCAAGGGGCTCGGAACCAGCGGCGATCAGGGCAGGCGCGAGAAGGTTCGTCAGCAAGAAATGGCCAACATGATTCGCTGATAGCTGCAGTTCAATGCCCTGCTTGTCCACAGTATAATCCTTAACGGCCATCACACCGGCGCTATTAATGAGGACGTCGATTTTAGGTGCGGCAGCTAGGATCTCCTTAGCCGCTCGCCTCACAGACTCATGATCGGTCAAGTCAACTTGCACAAAGGTTGTCTTGATAGAACTGTCGATCTGGGCGATCTTCGCTAGCACTGGGTCGACCTTCTTGCCAGTGCGTGACGCGATGAGAATATGAGCTGGAGCACCTTTCGCGATTGATACGGCCATTTGGCTTCCAATACTAGGGTGACCGGCTCCCGTGATGACGAACGTACGACCCTTGATCCGGGAGGCGAAGGCCTCTATGACCTGTTCACTGGTCGCTGTCTCGTCGAACACTGGCATATTGCGGTTTGAATCTCGAGTGTTAAAAAAAGTGGTATCTGTTATGGTATTTAAGAGTTTGGATGTGTCTAGTGAACCTGTTGCTCGTATAAAAAGATCCTACCTTTTGACGGGTAAAGATACCCTTATATCAGTACCTAAGACTACGATAGGGATGGACATGGCTGGGGAGCATTTTCTACCTAGTCATCGCTCTATGTTGTCTTAACCGGACGTAATGGTTCTTAACGCCGGTAAGGGTGAGTATGAAATATTAGCATATTCAGTATTCTCTAGACTAACAAGGGTAAACGTTTTATAAGATTTGTCATATACTTGGTGTTACTGGGACAAATTCGGATGAATACGAACTCCGATTAATTGAGACGTTTACTTGTCTGACAACCTGAGATGGCTAATGTTAGGTAGTTGTAAACTCCATAAACTCCATAAACTCCATAAAATCTCGTCAATTGGGGTTTTGAGTTTGTAAAAAGTTCCAAAAGTCCAGTTTCGGCAGGAGGGGAAATACGCAAACGGAAAAGCTTATCTTCCGAAATGGCTCTCTCGTCCCCACGGCTGCAAGATAGGTTGTGTGGGTCCAGCGACCACTCGATTGGCTTCCCAGCTGCCCGGTTGGTCAAAAGAGTTTAGTGCAAATCGGTGCTAAGCTTCAATGTGTCAATCCTTACATCAATTCTACATCCGTACTATATTCACCACTCCTACGCCATCTCGACATCTCGACATATTTTTACGGCCTCGTAGCCGACATTATCTACCACCGTCATGGTTCTTCAAGATCTCGGTCGCCGCATCAGCGGTGCCTTGCACGATGTTACTCGCGCACCGAATCTTGATGAAAAGGTATGCGCTATTCCGCTATTTCGCCATGGCCTCGCACCCCGCAATGAGATCTAATGGGGGGGCAAAAGGCCAGTTCGCTGACTTGCATCGTAGGCCTTCAAAGCCATGCTGAACGAGATCTCCGGCGCCCTACTCGAAGCCGATGTTAACGTGCGACTTGTCAGCAAACTAAAGAATTCAATCAGTTCTACGGTCAACTTTAAGGACCTGCCGCCCGGGGTGAACAAGAAACGATTAATCCAAAAAGCCGTTTTCGATGAGCTGGTCAAGCTCGTCGACCCCCACGCCGAACCTTTCAAGCCTAAGAAAGGCAAGTCGAATGTTATCATGTTCGTCGGTTTACAAGGTGCCGGAAAGACAACCACATGTACGAAACTAGCACGACATTACCAAGCGAGAGGCTTTCGCGCATGCTTGGTCTGTGCCGATACCTTCCGAGCCGGTGCCTTCGATCAACTAAAGCAGAACGCAACTAAGGCCAAGATTCCATACTATGGTTCATTAACCGAGACAGACCCGGCGAAAGTTGCCAAGGAGGGAGTAGAGAAGTTCAAAAAGGAACGATTCGAGGTTATCATTGTGGATACTTCTGGACGTCACCGACAAGAATCAGCACTGTTCCAGGAGATGGTAGACATTCAAGAAGCTGTTAAGCCCGACGAGACTATCATGGTTCTTGACGCCTCGATTGGTCAGCAAGCCGAAGCCCAGGCCAAGGCTTTCAAAGATGCAGCAGATTTCGGAGCTATCATAATCACCAAGACGGATGGCCACGCGAGCGGAGGTGGTGCTATTTCTGCCGTTGCAGCAACACATACGCCCATTGTCTTCATCGGCACGGGAGAACACATGTTGGATCTCGAACGTTTCGCCCCGCAGCAATTCGTAAATAAGCTTCTGGGTATGGGTGATATGGCAGGATTAGTGGAGCATGTCCAGTCTCTGAAGCTCGACCAGAAGGAGACGATCAAGCACATAACCGAAGGTATCTTCACAGTACGGGATCTCCGAGATCAGCTGAGCAACATTATGAAGATGGGGCCTCTATCGAAGATGGCCGGCATGATTCCCGGTATGTCCAATCTCCCGGGAATGGCAGGTATGGACGACGACGAGTCGAGCGCCCGGTTGAAACGGATGATCTACATATGCGATAGCATGACCGAGAAAGAGCTCGACAGCGACGGCAAGATGTTCATCGAGCAGCCGACGCGTATGACGCGGGTGGCTCGCGGAAGCGGCGTCTCCGTCCGAGAAGTTGAAGACTTACTCACGCAGCAGCGCATGATGGCAGGCATGGCTAAGAAGATGGGCGGAAGCATGAAGAACATGCAGAGGGCACAGCAGGCGATGGGAGGAGGAAATAAAGCGCAGCAGATGGCTGCTATGCAGAAGCGATTGCAAAGCATGGGTGGCGCGGGTGGCATGCCGGACATGGCGAGCCTTGCTAAAATGTTTGGCGGAGGTGGAGGCGGCTTACCGGGCGGTATGGATATGCAGAAGATGATGGAAAGTATGGGCATGGGCGGCATGATGGGTGGCGGCCGGGGCGGCAGGCGGTAACACGGATAGGAATGGACAATTCAATACCATGATCGCATTATCGGTACGGTGTCGATTCATGACGTGGGCATTGCACGGCGTTGGGAGGTAAAACTAAACTAATGATATCAATACGAAGGTTGTTTTTATTGGCAACTTGTCTTTCGGACGCCCCGAAGTGCCCTGTCTTTCAATCCTCTTGTCCGCTTCGTCTTCTCGAGCTTAAAACCGTGTATAATTACTACAGATTTGCCCCATTGTGTCTCAACCAAAACTAGCGACAATCGTATTCAGTGCAGTGTTGGCTTTGGAGGAACTTCATACGATTTGTAATGATATACTCGATTTCATATCGCATAGGATATCTTAGATACCTACATAACGCGTGGCGGCCATGGCCCCCTGTTTCTAATAACTTGATCTTTTACCTTAGGTACTTACAAAAGCACGCGCATAAATTTATAGGGTTTTGTCTTTTAGTGTTCACTCTTTTAGTGTTCACCGTCGTTGTACGCTCCTCTCCTTGACAGGAAATTGTACCAAAATCTCGAGTTTATCATCTTGAAATTTCAGTTCCGGAAGCCTATCTTGTACAGGTCCTGGTATTCTAGCTGTTCCCACTTAGACACTATCATACTACTAAAAAATCCATATCTTACTGTAGGTACACTATTATAATTGGGCATGTTGCAGCTGTAACTAATAATTGATCGTCGAATACAGATATCTGGACTAAATCCGCTTTACCGAACCTCCCTCCAAAAGCACACGTATTCCTTTGAAGTCACAATTGTAAAAGTATGGACTGTGGAGATTATGTAGAGCCCCATGATGTAAGGTTTTGCCAAGCTCGGAGAATTGTTGAATCTAGTCACTTACATCCATACCAGGTAGGTAACCTTAATAGGCGGGTCGGGGGGTTTTCCCCATGGAATAGCGGGGGCGGGAAAAGGGAAACTCCCTAAAATAATAAGCACAAGTTTGAAGTCATCGTGGGTAATAAAATGAGTCTTGATAACATAGGTTCCCCCTAGTGATGTAAGGCCGACAAAAAAGGGGATAGTGCCTAACAACTTACTATAGTACAGTAAAATGATATGTTTGGTAACTGATTATCCTACGCTGAGTTATGAGGCCTTGGCTTTCATTAACTCTAGGTACAACTACAAACCACTACAAGTCAAACGTTATAAACATTTACTTATTTTATCGGAGACTGTAAATATTAATTCTCAGGTACACATTTAATATCGTATTCTTAGCCATACACATCTGTAAACTTGCCCTAGGTAACTACCTTAAGCTAAGTTCCAGTGTCAGTAACTAGAAAAATTGTTAAATTGTTACTCATGGCGGCGCCCAAGAGGAGCATTTGTTCCGGTGAATGCCGTTGCATTTTTCGACCCCTGTCAAAAACGTGTAGCTGGGACATAAGAGAATCAGTTGCTGAAAATCGCTTCCTTATTGGAGCGCTTCTCCACCAGACAGTCAAACGATGTGGTTTTGTGATAGGCTGAGAAGCTCTACCAGCTGTAGGGATCTATCTGACACGGGATCTTGGGCAATCAAAAGAGAGTCGGCATCGTTTCCGGCTTAACATCAGTGACATATACTTCCATAGTTTCTTGTATATGAGCGCTTGTACATCGGATAAGCCCCAGCTTGTTGGGTCCAGCAGTTAAGTCCATGCGAACCATGAAACGGGAGCAAATCAAAATGGATCCGGTACGATGGGATTTCAAGAACTTGAACAGAATTCCACGCTTCCCCTCTTGTCAGACGTCAGATCTGCGTCTTTGTCTTGACGCGAAGTCCGTGGGGGAGCCACCTGGTTCAATCCTCTATACTGTAGTACCGACGATTATTGGCTGAGACACACTCCCTGCAGGTCTAGCTGCTCGACGAAGCAACGGGAGTTTGGGTCCATTTTGGAATGGCGAAGAATTTACGAAAGAAGGCTTTCATTCTATTACGCTTATGATGCCTTTATCAGAAAGGCCAGCATCAGGATGGCTACGATCACTGCACGTTCCCGTGGGCGCACAGCCTCATCCGTTTACTGTTCGCCGTAAGATCAGTACCCCATTATATATCAGCTTCCCGCAGCCCCTAGTCTTGTTTTTGAGGACACCAACTAGCCTTCAATTTTTTTTCATTTTATGCAATTTGCTTACGAGCTCGGAAAAAAACAACGTATAAAAACCGACCATGTCTCTTTGCGCAAGAGCTCTTAGCAGACGATGCCCCGGCGCATCGTCTACTTTTGCGAAAGCTACCTCCACTATTACCCCTATAACGCAACTTAGACAAATACATTCGTCGAAACCGACATCGACCGCTCCAACTTCATCCACCATGGCCGAATTCAACCGGAGAACCGATACCATCCCTAAACCGCCCGAGTCGAGGGAAAATCCTACCGTGGGAATTGCGCCGAACCCAAGCGAGAATATCGGCCAGAAGCGGCTTGCAGATTTCGACCTTGGCGGCAAAGTGTTTATCGTGACAGGAGGCGCACGGGGCCTTGGATTATCATTGGCGGAGGCGCTCGCGGAAACGGGAGGGAAGGGTATGTTTGCATTGACGCATCTTGGCGTCATAACCCCCCACGAATTTAGTTTGCTTACACCGAACAAATTACAGTGTACTGTTTCGATCGCGAACCGGAGGCCGACGAGGGTTGGGCCGAAGCAGCACGACGAGCCGACAAATTCGGCGGCTCTCTTCATTATACGCAGCAAGACGTACAAGATGCGGATGGGCTCGACCGAACTATCGCAGAAATCGCAGATAAGCACGAACGCTTGGACGGCGTGATCGCGGCGGCTGGTGTCCAGCATCTATCTCCTGCTGGGGAATGGTATGTTTTAAATACGAAATACGGCATAAAGGATGTACTTACTAATGCTGCTACTACCCTAGGACGAGAGATGAGGTAAATCGAATGATGGATATAAACTATACAGGCGTGATGATGACGGCCACGAGCGCGGCCCGCCAGATGTTCAAGTACAAGATCCACGGCAGCATGTGTTTTATAGCCAGCATGTCCGGTATTGTCGCCAACAAAGGACTTTTGTCACCCGTGCGTAGCTTTCGGCTCTCTCCCCCTTTACCAGCTCATGATACCTACTAACTAACTAACTAACTTGCAACACAGGTATATAACTCGTCAAAGGCTGCTGTCATCCAGTTAGCTCGCAACCTTGCTATGGAGTGGTCCCCGATCCGAAAAGATGGCACGGGCGGTATCCGGGTGAACTGCATCAGTCCTGGTCACATCTTGACGCCGATGGTTCGGAAGAATTTCGAAGAAGTTCCGGGTCTGCGTGAAACTTGGGAAAGGGAGAATATGAGTGAGTAAACCCCCCTTTTCATCTTTGGAGTATATAATGTTCCTGAGTACCAGGTACCTAAGGTGATACCTAACGCGGATTTCTTGTAGTGGGCCGACTGGCGGAGACGACCGAGTTCAAGGGCGCCGCCTTGTTCCTTCTCAGCAACGCTAGTAGTTTCATGACCGGCAACAACTTAGTTATCGACGGCGGCCACACGGCGTGGTAGAAACCAAAAAAAGTGGTTAGACGTGAAATGAATCAGGCCTAGATCCGTTGGTATAGATTTTGTGTACATTAGTTTTTACGCGTTAACGACTCGACGACGGATGGATGATATCTCTCCATGGACTTGTTTGTATATCGTTGATGGTTAGGGGTCCAGACCTACGGAGGCGGGGCCGCTATATTATTTATTGCATACACCGTAATCTACCCTAAAACCTTAACTCAATAGTGCTGTGTGGACCCTGGGGTGCACACTGCAGGTACCACGTCTCTTAACAGGGAGGCTTCGCTCAGAGGTACCTAATTCTAAAACATTCCCAATACAACACCAAATTACTTCACCTCTTACCTGACATGCCCATTCATTTCACCTCGTCATATCTAGCATCACCAGCGCTAAACCTATTCCATGAGGAACGTCATACCTTAAACGATCAGTTAACTGGGCACCAAATAGGTACCTATAATAAAGATAATATCCGTGCTGTCGTGCCGTGTTTTCCGAATAGCAAGCTGGCTGCCTTTCATGGTCGAATCCAACAAATCTAGACCTATATTTTAGTGCCCGTCGTTCAAAAGTTTAGGCGTGTTTAGGCTCTAGGGACCCCTGTTGATCTTCCTCACGTCATTAAGCTTACCTGGTACTTCATACATGGATAGCAGGTTGATATCAGAGAAATAGGTTATTGCATAACTTCCAGTTACAAGATCTAATTTCAAGATACTCCGCAGATTCGCAAACCAAATCCTATAAAAGATACGTGACAGGAGAGAAAAATAGCGTCTAAACACAGGACTTAGGTAAATCCTTCTCATTCTCATGATGAAATCAAAGATAGACTTTAAGATCGCCAATTACTGGATCTGGTAATTGAACAAGCATTTGCCCAGTCTTGCCAAGTTTTTCCACGACGATGACGTTCGAGTCCGGGGTTAGCGAATCAGATTCGACGAAGGGATGGAGACAATATGAACAACAGATACAACGCCACGCTTAACTTAGGTACCTATCTAAGAGAAGTCCACCAGTAGACCAAAAGAGACCAACACATCTCGATGCTTTATTTCTATTCGCTAATTTACACAATACATAGCTTACATGCCGAACCCGAATTGCCTGAATGTGATATGTGATCAGTTTGCGCTGCGTCCATTGTCGCACAGTTGATGAGTTATTATAATCATGACGTCAACCTCCAATATACGACACCAAGGTTCATTTACAAGATGTTATCATAGGTACCTCTGCATTTGATATTTATACAACCAGCCAAGTTCTGAGATATTGACTTGTTCTGAACTCTGTCTCAACCTCGTACATCACCACTAGAGAGCCCTTTGCCATCGTCTGCGTTTCGGGCATCCCCTTATTGGGACTCGAACAAAGATCTTACTCGTATACATCATACTCGGTGTTCTCTCAAGTGACACTCGATTATACTATAACCACCGCTAAAGTCGTAAACTTTCTAATATGAACTTTTTTAACCGCCGCCGTGCCGATGCCGATGGGCCGACCAATGGACATACTAACGGACACCGAGATGGACATGTCCACGATACTCTGGGCTATCCTATGGCCGTCCGTCCCAGTTTTGGCCAGTGGCTCAAAGTCACATGGCTCGATATTATTACTATGGTCTGCATGGGAGCAATAGGGCTTGGTGTATGTTGAACACTTACTGTTTATTACCGCGTATCAGAATACTTATATCTAGTCTAGGTGTACGAGGCTAAACCTGCTCCGACTCGATCATTTGCAGTAACATTCTCTGACGGCGAGGTCGTCTATCCGGAATTCGCATATCCGCTGCGTAAGGAGATTATTCCCATCTGGCTGGCAGCATTCCTTGCGGCTGTCGTCCCAATCGTCGTTATTCTGTTTATACAAATCCGGGTGCGGTCGTTCTGGGATGTAAACAACGGAATTATCGGGCTTCTATACTCGCTTATCACTGCCGCCGTCTTCCAGGTCTTTCTGAAATGGCTCATTGGCGGATTGCGCCCGCATTTCCTTGACGTGTGCAAGCCTGATGTAGCACGGGCCAGTAACGCCCCTGGTGTCAAGGGCGCAGGCTACAATGCGGCCGGCTTCTCGGGTATTTACTACACTACGGAGATCTGCACAGGCGACGAGAGTCTGATCGACGACTCTCTAGAGTCATTCCCCTCGGGCCACAGCACAGCTGCTTTCGCAGGCTTCGTATATCTATCCCTTTACCTCAACGCTAAACTTAAGGTGTTCTCAAACTACCACCCTGCGATGTGGAAGCTAGTGGCGATCTATGCGCCGGTGCTAGGCGCAACACTTATTGCTGGGGCACTGACCATCGACGAGTTCCACAACTGGTACGACGTGGTAGCGGGCGGTATCATTGGTACCGTTATGGCCTTCTCTGCATACCGTATGTGCTACGCTGCTATTTGGGATTGGCGCTGGAACCACGTTCCCCTCCACCGCGGCCAGCCTTGCCTTTACACCTACGACGGCGTCGAGCTTCTCGATGCACTGTGGACGCGCAAGGCCGGATGGGGCGCCGGAGCCTCGAGTTATGGCCAAAATGCACGCGCTACAAATGGCCGTGGTGGTTTCGAGCGGAAGCCAGTTGGGAGCGGCCCTGCACGAAGGGGTGACGATATGGTCTAAGTGATTCCATCTATGCTCACAAGACCTTACGATTTTCGAAATTATACTATTCATATACCTGTTTTACACATGTACCTAAGGTAATGTGTTGCACTATTGGAGATATTAATAAAGTTTGGGGCTAGTTACCTGCAATACAAAGGTATATAAGGTACCTATCGAGGAGAGTTTAATAGATCTACGATATCTAAGATTTGACACAGTCCTTTTTCTGCTAGGCCCCCACGGATTATACTTATAGTGCTGTCTACGTAAACTTAATTGACGCACCCCTAAAAGATTAAGTGAGTAAGTAGTCGAGTTATCGTACGTGACGGCAGTCGTAATGCATAAAGGAAAGTTTTATTGTGAAAGCGTTATCCATTATTATATTATAATGGCAATACAAGGGCAAAGTGATCATTCATATAAATAATTTATCCTTGGTCCTATTTCCAATCAGTCATGTTCGTTTCTTAAACAAGGACTTTGTTTGAATACTCCTTTGTAGCTCCCTGTCCTATAAGTGCCGTTTACCAGGCGCGAGGATCAGGCAGTGCCTACACCTAGGTACCAAATCAAATAGAAGTACCTAGCCTAATGCTAAGGACAAAAAATGTCATCTTCATCTTCTAGCAGTTCATCCTCCAGCAGCTTGTCTGCTAAGGATTCATCCGCAAGAAACGCGTCTACCAGCTTGGTTTTCAGTGGCTCACCTTCCAGCGGTTCATCTTCATACTTATCTACAGATTCAGATAATTCAACAGTCATATGGCAGCATGAAAGTTTCGACACATTTCAGTTCAGTGTTCATATATTCGCACTGAACAACGTATGGCCCGATGCGGATTCGAAGGACGTAAAGATAGAGAACATGCAAGGAGGCGGATACAATCGAATCATTGGCTTCTCTCGACGACGGACTGGCAATACAGACTCGGCAGATATCGAATATATCTTGCGACTTCCTCGACGCAAAGCTACTGCACGGGTAGAGCGAGATGCGGCCGCTTTGTATTTCCTCGAGAGGCATACCGGAATCCCCGTACCAAAAGTCGTCGTGTTCGACACCACGGACAAAAACGAGTTGGAGTCACCGCACATGATCCAGGATCGCATTTCCGGTACTGACGCACTGACAACTTTTCGCTTGCTTACTCACGCCGAGAAGTTGCGGTTTGCCCGCGAACTCGGTCTTGTGTACCGCCAGATGTTGAATACAAAAAGTCACACCGCCGGCCGCATAGAATTCGCACCAACGCTAGATGGTGATCTCAAGGCCGAGTTCTACGTCGTCCCGTTCGGGCCTGAAGACACTCGCTTAGCCAAGCCCTATAAACCCGCCGATATTCCCGCCAAGACCGTGCACGGCCTGCTCCTGAGCTTATTCTATGACCAGAAAGCGCATATCTTGAAGCACTATCCCGAGGACACCCCGAAGCTGGAGCTCTTGAATAGGTTCTGCTCGATAGCGTGGGATCTGGAACAGAAGGGTTGGTTCGACTTCACCCCCAACTGCGTCGCACACGGGGACCTGGCGCCGCGCAACATCCTCGTCAACCCGACGGCCGACGTGACGCAGCCCATCATATCCGCCGTGCTGGACTGGGACAGCGCCATGTTCGTGCCGCAGTTCATGGTGTGCGCGCCGCCGCAATGGGTCTGGGAGGAATGGCCTGAGAACGACGACGACGACGACGACGACGATGACGATGACGACGACGACGACGACGATAACGATGACGATAACGATGACGATGACGATGACGATGACGAGGGCGATGAAGAGGGCGATGACGAGAGAATAGCCGGTCAGGAACCGCCCACGGAGGAAAGACGCCAACTCAAGCACGCTTTCGAAGAAGCTGCCGGAGCGGCGTATGGCCGGTTCGCGTACGCGCCCGCATACCGGCTGGCAAGAAGACTCCTTCGGTTCGCGGTCGACGGCGGGATAAAGTCGGATGGCGACGTTGAAGAGGCGAAAGACCTGATAGAAGAATGGGAGACTGGCAAAATACCAGATAGGTATAATTAGGTACCTTCAAACAGAACCTTTAAGGTTCGGTGTTTGAGGTAGATACCTTAACCCTATCAACCTAATATAATCAAGTAGCGTTGGACTTTGTCTTTTATTATTTATTATAAACGTTCATAGCGATTACAATGAAATTGACAGTCAAGTACGTACCTAATGCAATGCTTACCTGTTAGAGTAGTTCACAATATGTTCCTTATCGCTTTTATAGAAGCACAAGATACCTATGTCTTAAATAATTATATTGGCTTTCTCCTATCGATGGTAGTCCCTAATAGATTAGTAGGAGGTATCTAGGTACCTCAGGTATGTAATTATATTGGCGTATGGAATTTAGCTCTTAATAGCAAAGGGGAGATACCTTAGCTATTCAGATTTTTCGGCCCCCGCCTCTCTGTATCTTCCCTCGAATCTCACTCGGTCTGGACCAAAGGCTCTACAGTCTTGACATAAAATGCCCGTAAAGGCTTGGAGATTGTAAATGCCAGAAAATGTAACCCGGGGAAGGAGTCGTCCGCAGCCACGGTAGTCCGAAGGCGAGCTCCAGCAGATAGCCATTTCCTTCAGGGGTATCACCTGCCCCTTTCTGCAGTCCATACACGTTTCTACCGGGGTGTGGCTCCAAGGCGTTCTTTTGAAGTAACTATTGGGGCATGTTCGCGTGCAGCAAGGGCACCATAGAGAAATGTCCTTCGGGATGGTAAAAACGTTTATGAAGTCCGTGGCGAGCATTGTCCAGGCTGGTCGCGGGTTAGGGAATGGGATCCGTGGGGCAATAGTACGGCGGGAGGAACGACGGACATCGGGCTTCTTGTCGGCGGAGTTGGTACTCGTAACCATTTCAGCACGATATGCCGTCCCACGAGAGCTCATGAAAATAACTTGATCTCCGTCTTTTGGCTTCTTGGTGTCCTCAACTTGCTCCTCAGGCATATAGTTCCAGCCGTGCATAAATCCAGGGGTAGCAGCCGGAAGGTCCGAGTTGAACGATACTCCAACCGGTAGGTTGTTCTGCGTCCATTTGTAGCGGTCTATGAAGGCCTGGGAACCTGGGCTCGATGGCTCGTTAGCGTCTCCTTCCGGCTTCTGTTCAATCACTTCCTCGTGACGAGATTGATTGTTCAGTTCGCCAGCAGGATGATTGTAAAAATCATCCAACAACTTATCAATATCGTCTATGAAGGGATCATTATGTTGTAATTGTGGGTTCATAGCCTCCATCGAGAAGTCCCAATCTCCCACATCGAAGTTGAAATCTTCGTCCTGGGGATTGAAATCCTCCATCCGGAACTCAAAGCTTTCCAACTTGGTTTCTAAGTCTCCCAGATCAGAATCCATGATAGCTAGCCGGTGCTGTATTTATGTAGGCAGACGATTGTTAGATAGTATGGACCGAAATCGAAGTTATCGGTTGCTAGCGTATGGTAAACGAAAGAAAGTAGGAGATAGATTTAGGAAGCGTTAAATAATAGATATTTTCCCTGGCCCGTCGTATTCTGCCATGAATCCGGGCCAAAATAAATTATAATAGAAGCATGATGCTCTTGAGCAAAAAGGGATCATTACGATATCCCTTGGACGACTTGTGATGCACTGGATAGGTACCTCTCTCCATGCTCGTTAGCTAAGGAGAGTAAATTGTGTAAATATCACCTAGATACCTGCTAGATAATGTTGTCAGAATAGTCCACTATTGTATTGCAAACCTGCATGTCATCCAAGTGATCTGTAAATAAACAAGTAGAACATTTTATTGCCCAAGCAAGTACACCTATTCACTCGTTCCTCTTCCTTTGCTCTCCTACAGGTAGATATTACTTAAAAACTAACAGCTAGGCTAGTCTAATGAAATGACTCTCGATGTGGTAAAATACATGAATAACGCAATTTACACAGTGAATTATATCGTTTTTAACTAGTTTTGGCGTCATTGAATCAAAATCACGTTGAGTAAATGGACAAGTGCCTAATCAGTTATTTCACCTTAGGCGCAATAGGTTGGTTAAATATTTGTAACGTTACGATCAGTTATGAACTAGCTGAATTGAGTCCTTATATGCGTTTCTATCCAAACTTAAGGTCTGTATAACAAGTAGGTAGCTACAGCTATTGATTAGAAAGGCAATTTTTGGGCCTTTGGCAAAGGCCTCGCCAAGTCGCCATATCAACAGATATATTGATACTTCCTTACGATGATAGTGTCACGTCGCAGAGCATGAGGTAGGTAAAACAACTTTGTTGTTCCGCAAGTAACTCTAACTATAGTTGCTTTGAAGCCAAAGCTATATACAGAATAACTCCTTTGTTCCAAGGAGTCTCAAGTGAGACTCCTGACAGGTATACTTTAGTCTTCGACAAGCTACAGTTAGGTAAAGAGGTGTGTAGATAGTTTCCAGATTTGGTTAATTTATTTAATCGTACAAGTACGTTGTCTGCTATTAACTCAACTCGTCATAACCTGAGTTCCAAAGAGTCCTCGTTCTCTATCTCCTTCTTACTTCTTTTAATACAAGAGTATTTAAAAGATTTGTGGTCGTAACTTACCTAAGGTACCAGGTAGATTAGGTACCTCCTAAGGTATTAAGTGACGGTTCATCTTCGACCAGTGATAGTAGTAGTAACAACGGGTTTGATTGCCTCTAACGGATGTGTGATTTTTAGGCTAGATACTTCACTGTCAAATTCAAGTACGGATTCCTACCAGTACCTATTGTCTCTCTCACTGTATCCAATACTATTAGGCAGCAGCGAAAAAAGAAGCATTAGCCGAGACCCGGCTCTTGGCTTACAGCATATCTCCACGATGTCGCGGTTATACGTTGTATTTAGAAGAGGGGTTGGGGAACTCCTCCACATACCTATACCGGAATACGCCGCTTAAAGTAGTTCAATGCAGTATAGCAGGCGCCCATCGCTACATAACAATGATGTGTATATAATCCCAAGTAAATCCTACTTTCTATTGCCCATCATGAAAGTATATCCATTCCGCAATGGTTTAAAGCCAGGGCATCAGACACTTGGAAATAGTTAACATCTTCTTGTGCGCCTCGTATAAGCCATAATGGCTGTGACAATCTCACAAATATCGTTCGAACATCACAGGGTAGCCTTGGGTATTGCGGAGGTATCGCCTCGAATATCATGGAGGTTCGATGGCACTTCCCCCAATTGGACGCAGAGCCAGTATGAAATCGAACTATCACGACATGAGCAGAATCAGACTGGGCTACCGCAGGTTGAACTATTTCATCGCAATTCCTCAGATTCAGTCCTTGTACCATGGCCCACAGTTTCTTTAGCCTCCACGGAGTCGGGTAGAGTCAGGGTTAGAGCATTCGGCGCTGGAGACGATCCCGATACCCCATGGTCTGACTACGTAGATGTCGAAACTGGACTCTTAAATAAGGAAGACTGGTCAGGAGCCCAGATGATAAGTGCGAACAAGAAAACAGAAGAAAATTCCCCCCACCAACCACTGCTCTTTCGCAAAGAGTTCTCCCTGGATAGTAATATTGAGAAGGCTCGATTGTACATAGCCGCTTATGGCATATATGAAGCACATATTAACGGCAAGAGGGTCGGAACCTCCGTGCTCGCTAGCGGATGGCAGTCTTACAAGCATCGTCTGGTGTACGATACCTATGATGTGACTGATCTACTACTCGCCGGAGATAATGTCCTTGGAATAACAGTTGGCGAGGGTTGGTATGCCGGACGCCTAGGGTTTGGGGGAGGCAGTCGCAACAATTGGGGTGATACCTTGGGTACAATGGCTTTGTTGGCTGTTACCTCCAATGGGGAAACAACAAAAGTTAAAACAGACACGTCTTGGACGGCAAGTACAGGGGCGATAATTACCTCGGAAATTTACAACGGAGAAGTTTATGACTCGACGCTCGAGCAAGCCGGTTGGTCAGCCCCTGGATTCTCTGCTCCGGACACAGCAAAATGGATTGGGGCAAAAGAGCTCGAAGCACCTTACGAGATATTAGTTGCGCCCGATGGACCCCCTATTCGGCGTGTTGAAGAGATCAAGTTGAAGGAGATATTAACAAGTCCTAGCGGGAAGACTATTCTTGATTTCGGGCAGAACTTCGCAGGATGGCTCAGACTTACCGTTAAAGGCAAGAAAGGGGATATTATCAAACTAGTACATACGGAAGTCCTCGAAAACGGAGAAATTGCAACCAGACCTCTGAGATACGCTGCCCAAACTGATTCCATTACGCTCTCCGGTCAGCGTCAAACGTGGGAGCCAACTTTTACCTACCACGGATTTAGATACGTCCAGGTTGATGGGTGGCCCGAAGAGGAGACTCCGCTAAACAGCGATTCGGTAACAGCTGTAGTCATTCATTCAGACATGGAGCAAACTGGCTATTTCGAGTGTTCAGATCCGCTCATAAACAAGCTGCATCAGAATGTGAGATGGTCTATGAAATCGAACTTCATTTCTATTCCTACGGACTGTTCCGCAAGGGACGAGAGACTTGGGTGGACTGGAGATAGCCATGCATTTGCCCCGACAGCCAATTTTCTCTACGATACAGCCGGGTTCTGGAGAGGCTGGTTGAAGGACCTTCATTCGGAGCAGGTAAAAGGTCAGTCATCCACAGTAATGCCCCAACACCCCATCTGATACGCCCATTGCCTCCTTATATAAGAGGTAGCTGACGCTGTTGACTCCAGGTGTACCTCCACTGGTGGTTCCGGCAGTCCCTGCGGTTGGTCCACAAATTGCAACAGGAGTTTGGGGCGACGCGGTAGTCGCCAATCCTTTCAATACGTATCACGCCTCGGGTGATCTTGAGGCGTTACGAGAGCAATACTCTGGAGCTAAAGCCTGGCTCGACGAAGGCATCCCCAGAAACGAAGCTGGGTTGTGGAATCGTTCGAACCCTCAACTTGGTGATTGGCTCGATCCGCTCTCTCCTCCAGATAACGCTGGGCAAGCTACTACAAACTCCTCTTATGTTGCTGATGCATATCTCGTCTATGTGACGGGACTAGTCGCGGAGATGGCGTCGCAGCTCGGTCTTGACGACGATAAAGCCCGCTTTGAGAAATGGGCTGCAGATCTCAAGACGGCTTTCAGAGAGGCCTGGGTAGATTCTGACGGTCTCGTTGCCAACGAGACGCAGACAGGGCTTTTATTGCCGCTATACTTCGATATATTCGAAAGCGATACCCAAGCAAACGCAGCGGCGAGCCGACTGGAAAAGATTATTCAAAATAACAAATATCTAGTAGGGACAGGTTTCGCAGGGACACACTTACTTGGCCTCGCCCTGACCAAATACAATCTCACCTCCACTTTCTACAAAATGCTCAGCCAAACAACCGTCCCTTCTTGGTTATACCAGGTGAAGCTAAACGCAACGACAACCTGGGAGCGATGGGATAGTCTTCTCCCAGACGGCTCGCTCAACCCCGGCGAAATGCTCTCCTTTAACCATTACTCGTTCGGCGCGGTAGCAAACTGGATACACCAAGTAATCGGCGGCTTAGCGCCTGCGGAACCGGGATGGAAGACAGTTAGAGTGAGCATAGAGCCGGGTGGTAACATAACTTGGGCCAAAACCAGCTATCTAAGTCCCTACGGGAAGATATCAACGGACTGGAAGGTTGACGACACAGGATTCCATCTGGTGTTAGAAGTGCCGCCTAATTCAAAGGCGGAAGTAGTCCTGCCTGGTGAAAAGCGCACTCTTTTGGTGGGGAGCGGTCGCCACACCATCTCCGATCCTACATTTCACCTTTGATCAGTTTGGAAATTTAGGTAGCAGACTAAGAACAAATGCGGCTCGCTAGAAAGGCGTTTATGCTAGGAGGGCAAATACTTGCGACGTGTCAGAGGCTGCTAAGAGAAGCGTCAATAATTATCCAGGTCATTATGAGAAGAAGTTAGTCGGAGTTGGCTAATGCAAGCTGTCCCGTGTTTCCGATATATCACTACGTTCGAGTAGGTTCTTCATAGGTACTACTTTAGGCAATGCATGCGGTCACTATTCAATAAATAAAGAGTCAGTATTGAGTAGTGAGTAGTGATAGTGGTGTGCTTGTGTAAAGTAGTGTGGTCAGAACACTGACGCCTGTATTCAACACATGAGAGTCAGAGCAAAGTAACCAACCTCATACTACCACGAACAGCCACCGGTAGTTTAATATAGATAGGATACGGAAATTTCCATCTTTACCAAAGTCGGTTTACCACTCCTTTTACCATTTCCACCTCTCTAGACACAACGGACTGACTGTAATACACTAACCGGAACTCTACTAAGCTACCAAGACGCCCACTTAGCAAAGTCGATACGCTTTCGCCCCTTTGGCAAGCTCAATGTCGACGCACGCGACTAACTCCGCCCACGAGGTCGGCATTGACCCGGGCGAAAATCGCGTGACCCCCAAGCTCGACACCATACCTCTTGAACTTCAGGCCATGATAATCGGCACCTTGGAATCGCAGCATTTTCGAAAGGCCATGAAGTATCGCCTAGTGTGCCGAAGACTTAAGGAGGCCGCGGATCTTGCTTTGAGGAAGCGATTCGTCACCCGGATCCATTTTACTACTTTTCTCGACGACTTCGACGCGCTCCGCGACGGTCGCAACGTGTTCATCGTCTCCCCGCGTGAAGATCCAAGGCTCGCAATAAACATGTATTTCAGCTCATTCTCCGAGGACAACGCGGAGGCTATCTACACCTACCCTTATCGAACCACCCTCAATCTAGGGGGTAACGATGGCACATTGACCGGCGAAATAGGCGTTCGCTTCGGAGGGGCCCGGTTCTGGCCGTTAGGCTCGATGTGCATGCTCCTATGGCGGAGGACCATGCAGCTTTACCTGGCCCGGGTTAGAGAGCCCGAGTACCCGAGGCCTTGTCTCAGTCACTCAGCCCTGATATTCGACTTCCCATATATGGACGGCGTCAAATTCAACGACGAAAAGCTCAAGCTAACAGTTCCTTGGGTTAAGCTAATTAGCTGCTTGATCTCGCGGGAAACCAGATTCGCAGAGAATCTGAAGTGGATGGCATCTCAAGATTTGGAAGCCACTCGTTGGAAGACCTCAAATCCAATTGTGGAACAAGGGCTGCGGACTGCTTTGCGTTCAGATCTCGTGCGCCGTGTGCGGTTCGAAGGGTGCTTCAAAGCAGCTAGCTACAGGCTTATGTGCGATTGGCCAGATGAATCTAACTGGCAAATGACCCCTTCCTATAAATATTCTCCTGGCCATCTCGCTTGGTTTTTTGAATGGGCCGAGTATGTTGGGATAAAGCTGACGGCTTCTTGAGTTGTTCAGTGGTTAACCGACATGAACTTGATGGCGCCCTTTTATGTTCTGGAATCTGTAAAGAACAACTAACATATCGCAAGATTTATCGTTAGGGATAGTATTAGTTATCCTATAGCAATTATGATGTCAAGTTAGGTACTTCCATATTTTATTGCATCTTTTTAAACCAGTAAGACTTCTTTTCGTGGACGATGTAAAAGTGGTGCTGTCGAAATACGAATAGGGGCTATAAGAACCCACAAACAACTGATATGCGCAGCTGACAATATGTTCGGCGGGCCGTTTGGACAGTGCGCTAAACATTTAATCCACCCGTATTTCCAACAAACGGCCAGGGGGGCATCTTCTCCTATTCAAGTCACAACTCATCGAGAATCAGGTACTCAAACTTGGATAACGAAAGCCAACTCTATCGACTTCTTTAGTCCCATATGTTATAGTAACGAACGAGACAACCTCTCCCGAATTTAACCCTCCCCCTCCAAAAATATCTACTCACACAAAATGTCCGGCATCGACTCCCCCGAAATCCTAGCGGCATACGACGCAGTACGCTCGGACAAAGATGCGACGAACTGGTTGCTTCTCTCGCACGCCAGCGCCGTAGGCGACAAGCTGACGCTCTCGGGAACCGGCTCCGGGGGGTTGTCGGAGGTGGTGTCGAAGCTGGACGACTCGCAGGTCACTTACGCCTATGTGCGGGTGGAATACAACAACGACTCGGAGAGCAAGCGTGTCAAGTTCGTGCTCATCGTGTGGATCGGAGAAAACGTCAAGGTGATGCGCAAGGCCCGCGTGTCCATCGAGAGCGGCAACGTCAAGAGGGTGCTGAGCCACCACAGCGTGCAGATCGACGCCCGCGAGCTCAGCGACCTGAACGAGGCGGACATCGTGGCTAGGTTGCGGAGAGCCGGAGGTGCGGATTACAACGGCGGGAGGGGCTGATAGAGAGAGGAAGGGAGAGGGAGAGAGAGATTAGAGGGACAGACAGACAGACGTTCAAAGGAAACCAGATACGGAGTTAAGGGGTTGAGCGAATGTTAGGTGAAGTGGCGTGTTTATCTCGGTCGCATATATACACAATAAATGGACATGTATTGGGTTTTTTGCTGATATATACGACTTGCGACTAAAAGGCGCATGCTTCATCGGATCCGTTCCTAGAACCTAACCTATGCCTTGACGGGTTCCCCGTTCCAGTCGGTAAGATTCACCACGTCTGGGATCCTCCCGCTGCGCACGATGGTCCAGATGATGTCCTCGTCGCTATCGTTGACTTCTTGATGTTCCATATACGCAGGGATAAGAGCGAAATCCCCGGGTTCCAAGTCTACCCTTTTCTTTCCTCCTTCGCTAACCACGGTGCCGCGTCCCTTGACGGCGTAGACTATTGTGTCTTGTTCCCCGTGATGATGGACTGCCGAGGCCGTATGTGGTCTTGCAAGCATACTGGTGGCGCATATACCATCGCACTTATCAACTATCGCATTGGAACGAGTCATTCCCTCTGTCTGCGCTCCCGATGGTTGAATTTGAGATGCCTTAACGGCGTGGATTGGTTGAGATGGTTCGGGATGAGACATAATGGTGGACGTAGAAGTTGACGCAGCCCCCTACGAAAGTTACAAGATTTATTATAAATTAATAAATGTCAAAGAGAAAAGTCAGTAGTGAGGTTGTACGTTTTATGTATTTTTTTGTTCGCTTCTTTTTCTAATGCTGTCCTACATTAATATGCACCTAGAGTTCCTGTCACTTGTATTAGGTACCTTATTTATGTATTGTACCGGCAGACCGGGTAAAAACGGCCTTAGTCATAATGATAACATTGTGGACTACGTACTTCGTACCTAACGGCATTGTGCATTAGTGGGATGGCGGGGCAGCCGGTCTCCTGTAATTCATCCACCTCAGGTACTTCATATTAGTGCTTCTTCATATGTTAGCATCTAATCAAGCATTAAAATAAATTCATCAACCGATTAAGCATCAACCATATTCACGATATTACCTCACGCCACTTCTAATATGGATATCTCAAACCCTCGTCGTATATTAGCCGTCTCTTTGGCAGATTCCAGTCATCATCTGTCCAATATAATCAAAGGTAATTTTCATAGATTCATAGCTCATATTTACAATTTCAGTCAGCGTTATACTTGTTATATATACAATTATCGCCCCTTTTTATTAGACCCATGCAACACATCGTGAGGGCATTGGCAACTCAACTTACCTAGCAGCGTAGCTTATCTCTCCCCACCTTTCCAAAGTACCACGGTCCTAGATTGGAAGCTAACTTTCAATTATTAGACCTCACCGGCACTCATCCCGAGCAAGCTTCTACGTCACTAGCTGGCGCGTCGCACAGCATCTCTTTAAAGACGGCATATTACACAGCCGAGGTACCCATATGGCTAGATCTCATATTGGCGCCTCTAGAATGGGCAAGCTCATTCTTATCTCCCGAGGCCAAAGAGGTCCTTGAGGTTCTCGGCGGCGTAGTCGTAGTCTTTTCGCTGCCGGGGAAGTCACAGGTCGATGAGACCAATGCCGCGCGGGAACTCATCCAGAATGTAGGCAAAGTCGTCAAGGATGGACTTGGCGGCTGGTCCTGGGACGGAGTCAGCTTGTGTCTGGGGGTTGGAGAGATAGATGACGTCGACGAGTGGGAGGACCTCTGCGCCGAGTGGGGGTTGGAGTTTGTGCAGGTCAGGAGCCAGTCTGTGGCAACGCGGAACGAGTTCGGCGGTACGCTTTGCCTCCACTTCATATATTTCTAATCGGCGAGTTCCAGGATCGGAAGCGGGATATTAACTGAATATATAGAAAAGACCGGAATCCCCCGTGCGCTGGAAGCGTTAGAGTCGAATGACTGGGCTCTAGCATCCACCGGCAATCTCGGGTCTGATTTCGAGGACTTCGAGGCGGAAATAAGCGCCGAAAAGGGCGACAGCAGCAAAGACAAGGAGGGGCCTGATCTCGATCCGGAGAATCTCGACTTTGGTTTCGACCGCGAGGACTTCGCCGGTCTCAAACAAGCGATATGGAACGCCGAGAAAGAAGACGAGGATTTTCTGAACGGGGAGCCGAGTACGGACGCCGGTAAGAAGGACGATGAGGGTCACATGGACGACGAAGAGATCAAGAAGATAGAACGCATGATGGTCAAGTTGCAGGCTGTGCGCGATACGAGCGCCGGGCTGCCGGAAGAGCAACGCAAGCGGGTGGCCGCCAAAGCAGTAGCCGAAGTTATGAAGGAACTGTGAATGGCTCACCGTTTTACCTTTTTCGTACTTACACATAACATCTGCTGGGCATTTAAACCGTCCTTAGCAGTTATTACACGGCAGTTGCCCATATTATAAGACTAACGCCGCCATGTTCTTGTCCTCGATATAGCAAGCATTCTAATAATTTCGCAAACTTCTGTCATGCTCATGACAGGTCAGTAATACAGAGCCAAATATTGAGGGGTCGTCAAGCTGTAACTTGAAGATATCCGATACATCTTTATCATAGCGTGCTAAATATTAGGGAAGACGATTCGAATGCGACTGGGGTTATGGTCTACCGGTTAAGTTGAGGCAAAGGATGCGAACCGCGATATCGTGAATAGGGCCCATGGTGCTATGCAGGTAGTATTCCTGTCGCAATACCTTACAATTGATCGGTACTGTAGGGTATAGACAAATTAGTACAGAGTCTCGAGTTTACCATCACCGTCCCTTTTATACATGGGCGACTTTATATAACCACATAGGCGATGTCTTTATGTGATGCTACCCTTATCACGAAATAGGTATGGGACTGTTGCCTTCCTACTTGATATGATAATAGTAGTTGCTCCGCTGTCATTCTTTACTCACGGCTCTGCAGGTAATCCTTTCTATTATGTTACTGGGGCCTTCGTTATCCGCGTGCTGGCTGACATGGGAGCGGAGCCTCATCGAGAATAGGATGCGCCAAGAATAGAAGATGCACATCGATCGCGGGATGGTTTATTAGGTCTACGTTGCTTGCGGTACCCACTGATCGTTTCATGCCCATGGCGCTTAACCCTGCGTGTTCCTAACCTAGCATGTCCCTGCCGGGGCTGGAGCCGAACGATTACAACCTCCCGGACCATTTACGGTAGAGTCAACGAATACAAAGGTATTTAAGACCGATGTCGTGAAGAGCATACGTAGTAGTTGATGGTAGACAAAAAAGCGAATGGGTTAAGCGAGTATGAGTGGTCGGCGATCTATATCTTTAGGCACTACTTAGAAGCACTTGTTATCACGATATCTCGCCATACAGCTGTGAATATAACTCGTTCACGCTAATGAAATGGTGAAGGTGACGACAACCAACCCATACAAAAGAGGATGATGATGTCAACATCAGACGAAAGATCCTTGTTGCTTCGTAAAAACCTTCGTTTGGTTTTCGCGAGGGCACGGTTTGAGACATCTTTGTTTCAATGCGGTTAAAAGGGCACAGTTCGGGAAGAGGCCTTGAGAAATGATCAGAGCACATCGTTTGAGACGCCATATAAACGTAAAATATAGGCAAGGTGTGATAGAGCCAGAGCGCAATGACGAGGACCTTGTCCGTTTTGCCATTTCGAGCGTGGTCCACGATACTACCTGCCGATTCTCTTAATACGGTAGCCTAAGCGGGGATGCGTATCTACCTATGTACATAATGCAGGCCTACCTTGTTCATGAGGCGGGAAACCTGAGGCTAGGATCCGGGATCGTGAACAATTACTTTTCCAAAACCTCCGAGCGATTTTCTAGAACATCACCAAGGCGCAGGTACGGATAAGATTACGTACGATATGTAGGTACATACCTAGACCTATTCAACGCCGATGGGTCGACAAATCTACAAGAACACGGGTCTACATACGATAGAGCAAATCATATCACCCCATGCCGTAGCCCGTGTGGGGGAAATGAGGACTGGTTAAAAATGGTAAGATATATCAGTCTGTTCATAAACATACAAGGCTGTAAGAGGCGTTCCTCGGGAAGTAAGCTGCAGCTACAATATAATAATTGCAAAGAGACGTACGTCTGCTGAACTGTATGGCGCGGAAGACATCGGAGCCGTCTTATCATGCGCCTACAAGGGAGGACGTGATGTAGACTACCTACACTGCGAAACCATTGGTTGATGAGATAAAGTAAAATATCGACTTCATGCAGGTACCTAACCTGGGGACCGGGTAGGGCAACGGGCTGCTGCACAAAGTCGCGAGTCTTAAATAGGATGTATCTTGCATCTTGTCCTCCCGTAATGCCGTTCTTCCAATTGGGCTTACCACTTGGTATACTAGGTATGTATTCTTGAAGTTAGGAGTGCTAGTATTTAAACACGAATACTACTATCATTTGGTCCAAAAAAATTAAAAAAAAAAGAAAAGATCGGTGTGCATGAGCATCCCTTCTGGGTAAGACCATCCGCGGTATCATCTGGTACCTTAAGTGGTAGTGTTGGTAGGACCCTGTCACGAGGATGAAGAAAGCGGGCGGGTGAGATGCGCTAAATACTCATATAGCCTGGTATACTCATACCATGGTGCTGGCCGATCTTTAATGCGATCTGTAATACGATCTCTAGATGCGTCTATTTGTGCTCAACGCCTTGGCTTACGATAAAGCGTTATGAAATAATCACGCTGGCCACGGCGCTCAGATTACATTCCCTAGCTCATTAAGTATGGTACATTCTATGTGTACGGCTTATCCTCGTCTGCTGCCGAACGGCCGAGAATTTGGTAAAGATTGATCGATTCCGTACCTCGTACTTGTGCTAGGGAAACTTATTAAAGGTATCCTTCAACATCAGTCTAGGCCACGACGTCAAACTGACCAATCGGGAGAGTGTCAGTCTAAAAGACGCCTGTGTGCATGGTGCATGATCGTCTGGACGAAAGTAGAAATCGACTTACTGGTTGCATTCCCCTTTATGCAACCTCTGGCTCGATACCCGACGAGGGTGGAATGCGCTTAGCAACAGATCGGACGCGTTACGCTGCCCTCTTAAGCCTGTATACGACATACTGTACTTTGTATAATTCTTTAGTCTTTTTTCCACGTTGGTGGAGCGCTTGCACAAAGTTTCGGCTGAACCGTCTTCATGGATCTTCCTGTATAAATTGCTCGTTCCCGTCTGTCATGTTGGAGGCTGAGACCAATAACCTGTTTCTCGTGACATGGATAAAAAAAGCCAAGGCGTGTTTGTGGAGGAGGGTAGGGCATAGGAGGATGCCCCCCATACACTACGTAGGAATGTATCTTTTCTGCAAGGTACAGTACCGACGGGAACGCGTGACGCCCTCTCATGGTCCACGATTCAGGGGTAGCGGCGCTAGTGCCAAATACAACCCTACCTCGCAAGGGGGCTGCTTTGGACTTATGTGAGTTGCAGTCTATGCATCTCAACCCGCGCGAGGCACTGTTTCTTAACCGTGAGGATTAGATTATTCTTACGATCCGGGTTGTTTCGTTTGGACCGATACACTGCCTACCTGATAGGTTAAGTAAGAAAGACACATGGTAATACGGTTGGTTTCTGCAAACAATAGTTTCTGTGGTGAGGCTTCACCTTCTTTTACACCTGCACGGCTGACCCTTTGGGGTTTAGGGGTCGAGATCTACCGCGTTTCTCGGCTGTAAGTGTCTCAAGTCGCCTAAGCCTATCCTCGCGGAAGCTTGGCGGGCCCAAAGTTCTTTCTAGCCAGGACGCGAGGGATTCGTAAGGGATCATTATCCTATGACCTAACTTGACTTACTATGTACTTGACCTCTTTTAGCGGTAAGGGAAACTAGCCCCGTTGGAGACGGAGCGCATCCGGGATCAAGGAAAACTGTTAAGCCGGCTTATCACGGCCGACCCCAATAAGCAGCGTTGTAAAATAGATCAAATTGTGATATTTTTAATGAGCACAAAGACCACAACTGTGTCTTATCGAAATGGTTGTCTTGAATTATATTTCAACTTTACGTTCGTTCGTTTTCAAACTTAAGCGCGAGCGATTGAAATCCGGACTGTTGACGCGGTGCTATTTGCCATGGGGAAATCTCTCCAACGAGAGGACAATCGCGGACCACAGAGGAATAGACGAATGGGAGAAAAGTGCGTTCTACACAGTGCGTAAATAGTACCAGTACGTGAAGTTGACTGCATGCTACTGCAGGAACACGACGGATGGTCACGCAGTCCCGCCGTGCTACTGGCTCACCAATGCAGGCACTGATATCCACACAGTCCCAAATTCGTATGATCTTTTGGAAGAAAAAAAGGAAAAAAAAGAAAGAAGAAGGAAGAAACGCCACCATGGGCGTTGCATAGTAGCTATGCTATGTGATGCATTTCTCTTCTATTCTGATGACGCGCCGGCGGGGAAAGTCGTGGACCACTCCGTAGTCAAGCCACTTGGTTCCTTAAGAGAGGGGCCGCGGGCTGTTCGGACGCGGTCAACCGCGTGAGTGTCTTAAACTGTTAGAAAAAAGTATGCAGGGGTAAGATCAACTAGTAGCGCTAGATATTAGATCCTGCTAGGTTCAGGGTCGGTAATCGAGTAGTGTAGACCCCAAACTTATGGACTGTATATTCTTGGCTGGATTTTGTTAAAGACAAGAATAGCCACCAATGCGTAGCTCTTACGAATGCTGAGCGGCGAGGCGTCGAGTTTATCATTCCATTGGGCATGCGCCAGGCGTTTGCGCTGGTCGGTTAGATGGTCAGATCAGTGTCAGGTCTGACGATTAACAGATGTGTTCTTGGCTCTCAACCCCCTTTTCTTGCATAGTACATAGTAGTATTACCCATCGTAGAGAAACCGTACCAGCGCGGGCCCTCTCATTGGCTCCCAGACATACGCCGTCAAACAAACCCCCACCATCGCTGGGATAGATAGGATAGATCGTCGCCCAGGTTGTTCAAAACAGGACACTTTAGCAGTGCGTTCAACTTCCAACCTGAAGCAGTCGGGCGGCACTTTTTCCTATAGTGTAAGCTTCATCCCATTATACGCGGCCTACTATTTACTAGTTATTCACGTGAGGCTGTACGTGGGTCGAGGTCAAGTATTCCCCTTCCCGACTGACCAGTAATAGAACTCTTAAGAAACTCTACAACAAAATGCCCTATTGACCGGACCGAATTGGAGACCATCGATTTGGGGGCCAAAGTTCCCACGTTGGACAAGCAACTCGGGGAACTGTCGTACGAGTCCCGTGTTGTCGGCTTGGATATTCGACCCGGGTTTTGTTGCACGAGGACAATCGATCAGCCAACTTACTTACCTAGTAGCACAGCCCATTTTAACACCGCCCGTCGCATTCATACTATAACAGGCTGGAAAAGCTGTAGCCATATAATGGTTCTTGAATTTCACCGAGATTTTAGATGAAGGAAGATGAAGTAAGAAGCAACACGTTCTGGTGTCTAGTACGCTTATATTCCGTATGTGCATACCTAGGAGGTAGGTATCGTATTCGAAACGCCTTCCCGCATATACTGTGATCAATAGGGAAACCAAAGTGGCGGCGCACGTCAGCATGGCAGCATGGATGTCCAAGCTCTTTTAGCCGTTAGCGTACTTATTATAGTCCGCCAGTCAAAGAGTTTCTCTTCCTCGTCTTATGCGTAACCTAGTAGGGGCTCCACTACCCTGTCTGGCCTATCCAGGATGCCTGTAATCCTTCGATCCCGAAAAAAGGGAAGGATACCTAAAGTTAAGAGTGACATAAGGCGTGCATATAAAAGTGTTTGAGGATATATCTGGGTTTGAGGGCGTAGTAGCTTGCGATGCTCAACTACATTAGACGAACAATTAGCAACCAAATGAAGCAGTGCTTAACTCCTTGGTAACTGTTTAGATAGATTTTGTCATACATACCTGTCATGCAGTTGAAGTCATCGTCAGGGGTTAGTCCCACAAACGTGTTACCGGACTTTCAGGGCCTTTTCAGTCGTTGCGCTCCATTTAACATCTACACTACCTACCTAAGTCCACTTTACTGGAGGGTTTCCGATCGTCCAACTCCTAAAAAAAAAGTCCAGCTACTTACCTATCTGTTCCTCCTGATCAGGAAAAAAAAAATAAGAAACAAAAAAACACATGTTCTTATATAGAGGGGTAGCGGGAATCAGCATCAGTGTTAGATCTGGTACAGGTATGCCCATAGTTCTAATATTAGGTATTCCCGACCGATTGATAAGTTGTATCTTGCGCTGAATGTTAACGAAGCGGCTGTTTCTCCCCCAATTCTGCGCGGGTAACGGAAAGACGGTGTACACTTTGCGAGAATTAGGTATGGGAATGAGAAGAAAATGGGAGAAAATGTGTGTGCGCGCGTTTGTGTATGTGTGTGGAAGGAACCGACGGGTTCAGTTAGTTCAAGACGTAAAGTCTCCATAGCATCCCGTCTGATAGGTTGTTTGAACCTTGATCTGTAACTGCGTAAATGCGCTTAGGTGCATTCCATTCCATACTGTATTGGGTCAAGTCGGGCTAACCAAGCGTCACGTATTAGGAAACAAGCCCACTTGCCCAACCTAAGCATGCTCCCGCGAAACCGCATCGTACCTCCACTGCCTCCACCACTTCGGATGTACAGTATATGCACAGTGGCTACCGTTACATTTGTACCTTGCAGTAGTCGTCCCACCTAGATTTTTTTTTTTTTTTTCTTTTCTTTTCTTTTCTCTAGAACTAGGTACCTCCGGTTGGTACCTGTACGGTCTACCCTCCCCCCCAAGCCCGCCCCCTCAAGCACCTGGGTCGTACCTTACTAGCCAGGCTGATCCCCGTCGCTTTGCTGCAGGTCCTAGTTCTCAAAGTACCACATAGCACCAGATACTAGTGATTGTTACTTTGGGTGGTTGATGTGCTGCGTTCGCCCTTAACAGCTTTTTTTTTTTTGGGCGGTCCTCCTTTTTTCCCTTTTCCCCTCCTCCCTTTTTTTGCTGTCTTCTCTCCATCTTCTTCTTCTTCCCTGTATCGTCACCGTTGTCGTTGTCGACGAATCTTCCGCCTTTTCTCCCCTCCCCCTATTCATTATTTCCTTTTTTTTCTTCGAACCCACGCTCTCTTTCGTCTTAGCCATTACGGACACCGTCACTCCTTTCGGGTCCATTTCGTTCCTTAGGCTTAACTTTACAAAGTACTATCAAGATCATTACCCTAGTCACCTCGCTACCAACTATACAACCCAGTAGTAGTATTGTGCATCGACGGACCTGTATCAATTTGTCCCTGCGCTATAGCTATAGCTCCGTGCCAGACGTTCCTTATTAACTATTATCAACTTTTACATATTTCCAGACCTTGTTGGAATAATAACTTCGATCTACGAGCGTGCTCGTGATAAGCTATTCGATATCGCGTCTAAACACGATTTCGAGGTCGACCACACTTAACTTAAACTTATTCGCAACACTAACGCTCCTTTGAATAACTCGTCCGAAGATGGACAGTCCTATCAAATTAGAACAGCACGGTTCTGTGGCTCCAACTGTCGCAGCTCCGACTTATTCTACTCCAGAGGCTATGTCGACACCCGGCACCTCAATCGACGCGAAGAATAGCCAATCGCCCTCGCCCTCGTCGGCGCAAGCAGGCACCCAGTCCAATGCGAATTCGAGGCGGCCGCCTCGGAAGAGCACCCTGACGCAGCAGCAGAAGAATCAGAAGCGACAGCGCGCGACTCAGGATCAGCTCACGACCTTGGAGATGGAATTTAATAAGAATCCTACCCCGACTGCGAACGTTCGGGAGAGGATAGCCGAAGAAATTAACATGACTGAGAGGTCTGTTCAGATCTGGTTCCAGAACCGGTATGTATCAGCGCCATTTTTTTCTCTTTTTGTTGTTGAATTCTCACTTATCCCTCTATAGACGCGCCAAGATCAAGCTTTTGGCGAAGAAGAGCCTGGAGACAGGTGAAGATATTGACTCCATCCCCGAGTCGATGCGCGCGTACTTGGCCATGCAGGCCATGGAGTCTGGAAAGGGTCTCGGCAATCCTTACATGGGACGCACCGGCCTCCTCCCGTACGGATCGATGATGCTCGGCGGCGAGCAAGGTGGACAAGGGAAAGTCCGTAAGTCGCTTCGCAATCCCTACACATGAGCTTGGTTAACGCGATTGTAGTTATCCATCATCTGACTTGTCGGTCTTTGAGCATTGGAAAGTGGACACGTGTTGGCCAAAACACAATGGATTTAATCATCTTCTACTCTCCCGAGAAGTGCACAATGACTTACTACATCAACAACGACCAAGCAGGATACAAGATTGAATACAGTTTTAACGCAATCAAGAACATTTACCTCGAGAACCCAGAAGGCGATGCTACTAAGATGGGCGGAATCGTTATCGAACTCAACAGACCCCCTAGCTTTTTCATGGACTCGTCCCCCAACTCCAATGGCTTCTTCCAGGTTGACGACTTTACAGAGGATCGACAGGCGACGAATTGCCTCACTCACCATCTCGGTGGCAACCCTAAGGTTCTCAGCGGCCAACTAGCAAAACTCGCTTCTCTTGAGTCATTCACAAACCGACACAATCCTAATCCTTACGACATGAGCCATGTCATGTCTGTATCTGCCCCTGTATCTCCCACGAACCGCCCGTCATCGCAACCAAACTTCGGCCAGCCGCATGTCGGCATGTACCAAGAGTCGCAATGGGGAATTCACCCGATGCACGCCGGTATGCGTGGTCCAGGCCACAAACGGCAACGGAGTAGATCAGTTCCCACCGCAGTTGATTTTTCCATGTTTCAGAACCCGATGCCTTCGTTTTATATTCAACATCCAGGCGAGAATCAAGTTCCGCCGCACACTCCTAACCTCTATGCGCCCATTCCCCAGCAACCTAGTGGTCTTCATAATGTTAACCCTAATCTGCGCATCGATACTCAGGCTACCTACGGTATGGATCTGAGGCAGTATCCTCTGTCTGCCGCGACTACCGCTCCTTCGGAATACTCAAGCTCGAACTATTTCTCGCAGCCTCCTGAGAGCACGCCATTGCCAGCTTCGAGTTTCAATACCCCTTACAGCGGGGCATTCCTATCGCCGCTACCTCAGATTCCCCAGTCTGTCTCTCCGTTGTCCTATGCTAGTCACGGCGACCCTGCTATCGTCGAGCAATCGCCTCCCCTCTCCATGCTACCTCGGCCGTCGTCTGCCGACCTGTATGGTATGGGGGAATCTGCTATTTCGGATGACGGCCACAGCTTGAATGAGATGTATTCGAAGCATACCATCAACATTCCCATGCATCCTCATTCTCCTGGCTTTGTAGAACCTGGTCAACCTGATCTGGATATGAGCCAACTTGTGCAATTTGATACTGTCGATCCGTCAAGTCTTTCTCCCGAGAGCCTTTCTCACCATCAGTGACTTAGCTCATTAAGTCAATTTGGACGGTCTTAATGGTTGAGGTGTCCATCATGCGTGATTGATGCCTCTGGTCTAGTTTTACTCTCCTTGCGGCGTTGCGGAACTTTATACCTCTTGCGGTTCGGTGGTTTTTCATATTCCCATCTCGAAAGTACCCTTCTTCCATTAGTTCGGTGTGAGGCCTGATTCGATTCTTGTCCCATTTCATCCTTTTCGTCGGCCACAGAGCTCAGCATGACGATATATTGCTTCGGAATTTGATTATGCGTGTCTGGTACAAGCGGTCGTACCTTCTCTTTTATTTCACAGCTGCTTCGTTCCGGAAGGGAAATCTCGTTGCCTTCATCTCCAACCGGTCTTTTTCCCGCTTGGATTAATAACGGAATCTCGGATCTAATTCAACCTGTCCACAATCTGCTTTGAAATTTTACAGACTACTATTCTTTCGCATTTTATGCAACAAAAAAAACAAGCGATGTCTTTTCTGGCTGCAGGGCGAACAAAAGAGGATGAACATGGAAGAAGCCCAGGAGGCTTGGTTTCGCGGATAGTAATTTTTAAATGTCTGTTAGGGGTCAGCGGTTTGCTGGCCTGCTGGAAGAAGTTGTCGGTTGGTAGGTATGTACCAATTCCGAGTATAATGATGATTGATACCTCGGGTGCGGAATGTTGGGGTTGAAAATAGCCTGGGCGGGTAGTATATTAGATATCGACGGCTTAAAGTCTGCGGTGAAAGCCCTGGTGTCGTCGGATATTGATTACGCCATGTCAAGATGGATTGCTTGACTAGCCTTAGGAACTCGATGAAAATGAAGAGATTTCCTCTTTGCTGTATTTCCTTGTCACGACTTTATGGCGAGGGGTTAATACATCGGGATATAGATTAACATGAATTTAACTGCGTTCTTGAAACAACTTGAATCCCTCTTCGCTCTAAGTATGTGCACACCGTGACATGGCAAGCGTACAAATTGAGATTATCTTTGTAAATATGCCTACTTCTAATTATGTTTATCATGGCTCTTAGTATTTCCGTCTTGATGTTTGGGTTGCTGACAGATGCTTCGCCTTACATGAGCATCGTACTTTTTAGTTCTAGTAATCTTTTCTTTACAATTATTAAATAAGCCTATAATCTAGCAGTGCGGTGTACATCAGCATCTCCAATATAGCTTCGACTACTTACTTTCTCGCGGATGGTTTGCCTGGTCGGCAATTAGGTCCGAGGAAATTTCTGGAATAGAGGTCCGGAAACAACATTTATTTACCTCTTATTATCCAGGTCGCAGGTCAACCTAATGTCATCCCTGCCCATCAGCCCAACCTCTAACCCGAAATAGTAAAAAAAAAAACTTTTAGCGCACTTTGGGCTGAGCTTACCCTAGTTAACATAATATTCATATATTTCATGAATTTTTATAAAACTAATTAATTACTAATCAATTATTAATTAATTAGTAATTAATTTTTAAAATATTAAAGTTTAGTAATTAATATATGCTATAATTATAGCGTATATAATGGTTATTACATGCTGTAATTTCAGCGTATTTAACGAGTATTACAGCACGTTTCCAGCGATTAAGAGCCTCAAAGCTCACCCCAATGTTGAAATCTTGGCAGCCCCGATCGTTACCCAATTGGGTTAGAGGTTGGGCTGATGGGCAAGGATGACATTGGGTTGACCTGTAGACTCTTATTATCTTTGCGAATCTCTTCATTGTGGCTTGAGTGTCCCCACTTTCTCCGAATCATGCCGAGAACCCGAAGCGGTTGAACTACGAACTGGCGAAGGGATGTAAAAAAAAGCCGCAGGATTGACTTCTATCTCCGAATCCGTTCATATAAGCTTCCCATCACAATTATTCACTTTTACCTTAGTGGTCAATGTTTCACGACAGCTTTATGTGAGATCCTAATCGATCCAGCGAGACTCATCGCTACATAGTAGGGTTTATTGCATGTTACTAATAACAAACATCCCATATCATTCATTTTCGTAGACAAATTCAGGTATACGGCCGTTGGTGGCCTGTTGCGGATTGTATAGCAGGCTAATAACACACGATAAAATTATTTTAATAGGAAATGATGGATTGCTGTGCCGTAAGTAAGCCGTTTCTGTTTTTTTTTTTTTTTCGCTGCTTGAACGATGATGTCATCAGGATCTTAGTGCGTTTTTTTTTTCCCCTGAATAGAAAAAAAAAAAGATAATTCAAGGCTGGAATGATGTGGTATTATGGGGATTGTTCTACGTGTAAACGTGTTCATCGTCAACAAGTAAACAGCATATGCCTTCATCCGGGAGTTACCATAAATGTTCCCAGATAAGGATTACACGTCTTTTGATTAATAATGCCGTGCATATAGTTTAAGAATAATACGACGTAGAACCGTCTTGATATTTCTGTCTTACATGGCTGAAGGTTGAATCGGACTCGAGCTGGGCTTCAAGGTCGGTAATGATGCCGTACAGCCGTACGTCCATACGTCCGTATTGTACAATACATCTCTGTACATCATGGCGCAGTGGATTGCGTGCCTCGCGTACGTACCTAACATACCTACCTCACACTACAAAGAGGGGTAAATACGATGTGTCTTGGCTGTAGCTGTGTCCTGATATTTCGTTGACACTTTTGAACATGTCCAGCGGCGAAGGACCCAATACGCGGAAACTAGCTGGCTAGGTTAGGTAGTTTGTATCTTCTCCATCGGGCGTTTGATGATCGTCTATGAGTCGTCATCGCCGTGTCCTACAAAGTGCTGTTGGAGGTGGCGCAGTCGTTCACACGAACGTTTGTTTTGCTTACATGGTAGTGTGTATATCACATTGCATTATCTATCGACAACCTCAAAGTGTTATGATAACGAGTTGAAATCAGAGTGAGCTATGCGACTAAAGAACTCAAAAGAAAGTATTTATACCTCATATCAATTTTGCATGCTACTATATCCTCAACGGGCTGCCATGATTTTCTATAATACGTAATTGCAGGGCACCCCAATATTTATGGTTTTGTGACAAGGATATAACAAGTCCGCTTTAACCCCTAATGGGAATAGCTTTATAGAAGGACCGGGTTTTAATCTGGGTTGGGGCTTGTTTTTGACAGCTCGATCCTTTCCAACATGTTGCCGGCCTCCGTAATGCAAAGCGTGGACTGGGCTGGACCTTGTAAGTTGTAAGTAAGTAAAGGTTTTACAAAGATTACAAAAGTAACCAATAATAGTTGATCTTCAACCAAGAGGAGTGTAAGTGATTGCTCTTCGTCAATGCATATTGTATCGAGTATTATGTTGATCACTTCTTCCCCCGGTTCGGCCTCGGAGCCCGCGGATGAGGTGGGTACCTAACATACCTAAAATCTATAGGTAGCACACGTGGTAGTACCTGACTTACACGTAAAGTAGATGTATGTATTACCTAAATATAGGTAGTACAATAGGTACAATACAATACAACACAATACAATACCTATAAGAGGTACCTAACGCTAGATTCGTGGCTCCGCGTTCCTAGAGGCTTTCGTTAGACTTTGCGGCTATGCTATGGGGTATAATACAATTCATTATTCAACAACTTACAAGTGCGATCCAGGTATCAAACTGACAGATATAGCGGGCAAAGTAGCGTATGACACATCCCACTTTGTTTCCTTGTTTTAGTTCTGGTTTTACCTCTCACCCCATTCACTTCCCCAATTCCATTCGAAAAGCTGTTCCATTACTTCGTATTTCATATTACTTGTCCTGCGTCTGCATAATCGTCCAAGCGACCCTCAACCCCCCCCCCCTCCATTGCTTTATCTTAGGCAATTATAGAACCGCCGACTTGTTTCTTTTATCTGCGGCGCCTAGACGTTCGCCCACTTTCTTCTACCTTTCCATTTTGCCTATTCCTATGAAATCTACGACAGAACTGATAGGCCCTTTGTATATATCCGCCCAATTATAACTTGTGGATGAGTCCACGATCCGAGGGGCTAAGTCTTAGTTGGCTATATTGCTGTGGGACGAATCACCGCTGTTAAAAATCACCTGAATTGTATTGTACCTGGCAGGTCTGGGCATGCCTTGGCCTGTGGCTCGGATTGCATGATACGACTTGCCCGAGACCATGTCGAACTACAATGGCTCCTCCGACGATGCTGAGACGCCATCGCAGCGTTACTTTTCCCTACGTTCTAGCCTTAGGACCGAAAACTCTCGGGCCGTAGACGAGCGGCAAGCCCATAATAGCTGGCGACCGAGACGAACGAATACCGATAACTCGACAAGTCGTGTGCGATTTTCTGAGGATATCCCCGAAGACGAAGAGCGCCCTAGAATAGATGCTTCCATTCATCCTCCTCCCAACCTACAAATGGACCCCAACGACTCTTCCCAAACCCCTGCCTCGTCGAAATCGGCTGGTACCCGTGACGAAGGACGGCATGTGGATTATATTCTTGATTCCCCGGCGGAAAGAGAAAAGCGGAAAGGTTTGAAGGACAGCGACACGAGGAGTCAGGATGGTGGAGACGATATTAGCCACAATGCTTTTCAGCTCAACAATTATCGGGCCTGGGTTAATAGGCAACGAAAACGAGCGCGAGGACCGCGAGCCAAGTTTGAAAACTTCTTTAACAACCAATATCAAAAATGGATTATCGAGGGGCTCCTACGGCAGAAGCCTCTCCCACCGAGTCTAGATGGTCGCCATATACCGATTAGGGCCGGCGCTGCCCGCAAGGTGCCGTTGATTGACGAGCGAAGTGGTAGCCACTACGTTTCGAATTTCATCCGTTCTAGTCGGTATACCAAGTGGTCTTTCGTGCCGAAACAATTATATTTCCAGTTCAGCAAGCTAGCCAACTTTTATTTCTTGGTCATCGCTGTGTTGCAACTGATACCAGGTTTGAGTACGACGGGTTCGTATACTACCCTTATACCTTTACTCATTTTCGTCTCTATCAGCATGGCGAAGGAAGGGTTTGATGATTATAGGAGGTACGTATTGGATAAGACGGAGAACTTAGCCCCTGCGTGGGTCCTCGATCCCGATGGCACAGTCGAAAAGAAGTTGAGTAGGAACCGCTTGGTAAGCTTGATCAGAAAACGTAGTAAGGAACAAGAAGAAGAGGGAATGGCGGAATTGCAAGATATGGGCGAGGGTCGCGAAAAATCCCCGTGGGCTACTATTCAGTGGCAGGATATTCGAGTAGGTGATATTGTCCGGCTGCGACGAGACGATAGTGTACCTGCGGATATCATTATCCTTCACGCGACGGGGCATAATGGAGCGGCGTATATTGAAACCATGGCGCTTGACGGCGAGACGAACCTCAAGAGTAAACATGCCTGCTCGTTGCTTGCTCAGCAGTGCGACACAATTGAAAATTTGAAGAATTGTGAAGCTGAAGTCGTGTCCGAAGACCCAAATGCCGACCTTTATAATTTCGAGGGTCGTGTTACCGTCAACGGTGAAACTCGACCGCTCACGACCAACGATGTTGTATATCGAGGTTCGATTCTACGCAATACTGATGAAATGATCGGGTTGGTTATAAATACAGGAGAGGAATGCAAGATACGGATGAACGCGAACAAGGATGTCCGCGCAAAAGCCCCGAAGATGCAGGATTTACTTAATCGCATCGTGCTTCTTCTGGTTTTGGTCGTCCTAGCCCTTACTATTGGCTGTATGGGTGGCTACTATCTATGGCAAGACGACTACGAGCGTCATGCTCCGTATCTTCATGGTGCCGATGTGCCTTTTGAACAAATTTGGTTTGGTTTCATTATTGCTTTCAACACCCTCATCCCCCTATCCCTCTACGTAAGTCTTGAGATTATCAAAGTTGGGCAATTTTACCTGCTAGGCGACGTTGAGATGTACGATCCTGAAACTGATACGCCTATGGTTGTAAATACGACCACCATCTTGGAAAATCTCGGTCAGGTCAATTATATCTTTTCTGATAAGACTGGGACATTGACAGAAAACAAGATGCGGTTTCGGAAACTCAGCGTTGCAGGAACAGCTTGGTTGCATGATATGGACCTTAAGCGGGATCAGCAAGAGTACGAAACGAAAGTATCTCAGGGCAAGGTTAAGAGTCCCAACCAACATACCAAAGGCGAAACGGATACGAATGCGATTCCTAACAGGGATGAACGTATCGAGGCTCCGCTGATTAACAACCAGGACCCTTCTGGTTCCGCTTCGACGTCAAAAGATCAGGCAGGGAATTCTCCAATTCCAAAGACGGAAACCTTGCTCAGCTATATCCAACGGAACCCCAATACAAACTTTTCGAAGAAGGCCCGGCATTTTCTCCTTTGCGTGGCACTTTGCCACACATGCTTACCAGAAGTTAAAGAGGACGGTGAAATCGCTTTCCAAGCCGTTTCTCCCGATGAGCTTGCTTTAGTACAGGCGGCTCGGGATCTAGGTTACCTTCTCATTGATCGTGCAGCACACTCTATCAAGCTCCAATATCAGAACCCCGAGGGAGAGCTTCTTACCGAGACGTATGAGGTGCTGGATGTGATTGAATTTAGCAGCAAACGGAAGCGAATGTCGATCATCATACGCATGCCGGGCAACAAGATTTGTGTCTTCTGTAAAGGCGCCGATAACATCATCATCGATCGGCTGAGAAATGCGTTCCTGGCGAAACAAAAGGCGTCTGCTGTGGAGCGCCGGGCTAGTATACGGAAAAGTATGGAGGCCGAAAGGGCTATGAGCCGCTTAAGTGGGACGTATAGCCCTAGGAATAGCTTGAGTATAAATAAGCGCAACAGTATCTTTCGAAAGGGTAATAAACGCAAATCTGTTGAAGCTAGTCGCCGCTCAGCTGTTTCAGATGATTTTGACACATGGTATACGAGGCGTGAGACGTTGGAGCTGGAGGAAGCGCCGATCTATGATATGGATGCTGGTACTCCTCGCGCATCTATAGCTCTGTCCACTAGATTAGTTGCGGGGAGCAACGATGATTACGATGGAGTTGTCGACGAGTTTCTAGCCTCGGATGATGGCGCTATCTTTGAGCGATGTTTCCAGCATATAGGCGAATTCGCCTCGGAGGGTCTAAGGACGCTTCTCTTTGCCTATCGGTATATCAGCGATGGAGAGTATGAAGAGTGGAAGAATATCTACCGAGCCGCTGCCACGAGTCTAGTGGATAGACAAAAACGCATTGAGAGCGCCGCTGAACTCATCGAGAAGGATTTCAGTCTTGCTGGCGTTTCTGCCATCGAAGATAAACTGCAGCAAGGGGTCCCTGAAACGATCGAGAAGCTCCGTAGGGCAAACATCAAAGTTTGGATGCTGACTGGGGACAAACGCGAGACGGCGATCAATATTGCGCATTCTGCAACGCTGGCCAAGCCCTTTTCCGAAATTTATATCATCGATGCTACCGTGGGCAACTGGCAGGAGAAGATAACTTCGACGTTGGTTGATGTCGGTCGTGGCATGGTAGCTCATTCTGTATTAGTCGTGGATGGAAATACCCTTGGCAAGATTGAGAATGATGAAACATTGAAAATAATGTTTTACGATCTCGCTGTTCGGATGGATTCTGTTATTTGCTGCCGAGCCTCGCCGTCTCAAAAAGCCGGGCTGGTGCAATGCATTCGAGAAACAGTGCCGTCTTCGTTGACATTAGCGATAGGAGACGGATCAAACGACATTGCCATGATCCAAGCCTCTCATGTTGGCATAGGTATATCTGGTCGCGAAGGCCTCCAGGCCGCTCGCGTAGCTGATTATTCCATTGCCCAATTCAGATTTCTTCAAAGGCTTCTCCTCGTCCACGGTCGGTGGATGTATCTGCGCACGGCAAAATATATACTGGCAACGTTCTGGAAAGAGTTGGTATTCTACATTGTCCAGGCCCAATATCAGCACTGGAATGGTTATACAGGCACCTCGATCTATGAGTCGTGGAGTTTGACTGTGTTTAATGCACTCTTCACATCTCTACCTGTTATACTACTCGGTATGTTCGAGAAAGATCTCAAGGCCGAAACCCTACTTGCCGTTCCCGAGCTCTATTCGTTCGGTCAGCGGAGTGAAGCATTCAATTTTAAGGAGTACTTGGCGTGGATGTTTACTGGTGCAGTCGACACGGTCGTCATCTATATGATGGTCTGGGGTTACTTTAAGGATATTCTATTTACCGAGAATAACTCGCTTTTCCCGCTTGGACAGCTAGCCTTCACCGCCGCTGTAGTATTGATCAACATCAAAATCCTGTAAGTTGCTAGCCTTTCCCTTTATTTCTTTCTCTTCTGTCTTTGTTAGGTGGGTTTCATTTCTAATGAGTCGAGAACAGAATCTTGGAATGCCATTACAAGACGGTGATCACTTTTGTTGGATTTTTCCTTTCTGTTATAGGTTGGTTCGTTTGGAACTTCCTCATATCGGCCATCCATCCTTCGAAATTTGGTCCGTACGTTGTCCGAGGCGCCTTTGTGAATGAGTTCGGAAATAAATTGGGTTGGTGGACGGCGGCAGGTGCGGCGATAGTAGCCGTGGTTGCGTTCGAGCTGGGCCTTACAGCACTGCAACGGATTTACTTCCCGCGGGACCAGCATCTCTGGCAAGAGATCGAGCGTGAGGGAGGGGTTTCTGGGGTTTTGAAAGAGTACGCAGTTGAGGAGGGTCGCGCCGCGTCTCTTTCGGGAGACCTCGAAGGTCGAGACAGTAACATTGATGAGAATTCAGATCAGGGACGACCTCTAACTCCAATCGAGAGTGAAGGCTCACCGAACAGGAACAAACTCTATGGTTTATTTACGCCATCCAGCTCGGCCAAACGGGGCCAAAGATTCCCACGTGGCGCTGGCGAGCATGGACTGGCGATTCATAAAAAGAAACGAGTACAGACTGCATGATTAGAAACGACCTGTTAGGTATTATTTTCCTGCCCCGAAGGAGTGGCAGACAAGCGCTATAAGGCTGTTTTTTCTTGGATTGGGCTAGCTGGTGTTTCGGGCTAAAAAGGAAAGGGGTTTTTAGCATTACAGCGTACCTAAAGTATGGACTGCAAACGGGATCATGGGCCGGGATTTTGGCTTACACTTAGATACCCTTGGAAGCGATATGGGCACGGGCTACATGTATTAAATACACAGAAGATTTACTGTTAGTATTCCCTTCCGCTATATTGTATGCCTTGTATAGACTGTTATAGACTTGTTTCTATACAACGACTTCTTGGATGATGAGGGGTCTTCGAGACTATGACGGGTAGGCCCCGAGCATAATAAACTCGGAGTTAATGCAAGTAGTGCTTACTAGATCCGAACCTACGGTGTATTGAGATATAAACTCTAGTCCAGGGGAATTTTGGGCGTCAGCTCCGATCGCTCGTAAAATATACCTACGATACCGTCGAATATGTGGATCGACAGGGGTTCATACTCGGCTCTCTAATCCTTCGAACGGAGGGGCTCGCCACGACATGTGAATTTGGTTGGGAATTACAACCCACATATGGGCGCTAAGCTTTGAGCGGTATGGAATAGGAAACGGGATTTGAAAACTTGATGGGATTTTGGGTGACTGTTGGTTGTGTTGAGGAGATACCATACGTCTATTGACGAACTCTTATCGGAGAAGAGCTGGTACGCCGAGGGTTGCTAGTGAATGCGTTAGGAGGTACCTCACTTTATCAAGACTTTTACTTAGGATAAAAGGACAACTAGCAATATTAAAAGTCACCGGTGAGCTCGTCTAGGGTTATTTCAGTCTGAACAGGGGTCTACGTTAGGGGTTGCATCGCCAGGTATGCTATGCATAGTATACTCTACCTACATACCATCCATCTATTATTTTTCTTATAATCTTTTTCTCTAGCTCATTTTCCATACACTTTAAAGGTACCTACCTTACCTATACTGTTAGTTACCTGTATTGGGGTTTCTAGCATTTTGACAGGAATAGAGTACGTGAGGGGGGGAGGAATGGCAATGCAGAAGGCTACGGGCCACGACGCCGTTCCCCTAACAGCTTCGGGAGCTCGTAAACCTCAGCAGAGTAGGGGGTTCACGCAGGAGCATCGCCCGTCTACGGTTGACGAACAGCGGGAAGAGAAACTTGTACGACTTCTGGAATGGGAACATCTCCGTAAGTTTTCGTCGCATAGACCAAAATGTAGTTTAACTCGCTTTATTGACTCGACTACCCATACAGCTGCTTGGAAACAGTAAGACACTTGCCCCGGAGGTATAGGGGGCGCACTACTTACTTGTGCTAAACTACCTAGGCGCGGTTGCGAGCACTTGCGAACCGGATATCGACCAGTCCGTGCTTCGTTGTGGTCATGCTTGCGTAGCTGGTCATATCTACATAATGAGACCGGTCCGTCGGAATGGCTTATTGGATGCTCGTGTCTTTACTGACGAGCGACAGTTAACATTTTTACCCACGTAGTCGGCGCACTTATTTTCCTAGCGTTACCCCTTTACGTCTTCAGGACCGAGATCCCGCCACGGTATAAAGTAGCTACTCCGGCCGATATCATAGTCTGCAGTATATATTTTCTAGGGGTCGCTGTCTGCTTTACGCTTTCGACTATGTTCGTCCCCTCGCTACATCGGTATCGTGGGATGACCGGAGAAGTCTAACTGGAGTACAGGTTTCACACGTTCATGTGTCATAGCGAAGCCGCGTACTCGTTTGGGGTCAAGCTGGATTATCAAGGCATAATATTACTGATATGGGGAGCGAATATAGCTTTGATTTACTACAGCATGCCCTGCGACCTTGGCGACAGGATTGCCTACTGGACTTTCAACACTGTTCTGGCTGGGCTGTGTTCGTATGCGACGTTTCACCCGTCAATAGGCTCTGCACAAACAGGGCATGCGCGCGCCATACTGTTCGCTACATTTGGGTTTTGCGCGGTCGTCGCTCCGAATTTAATTGGGCTGTTCAAACACGGGTTCGAGGAGCAGAGTCGTCGGGTGGGACTTAATTGGATCGCGGCGACTACTCTGTTCAATAGCACGGGCGTAGTAGTATATGCTGCTAAGGTCAGTACGAATTCATACATTCATACCTACCTAAAGACGATAGGTAGTTGACAGAAATGCAGTTCCCAGAGAAGTGGTATCCTCGTGTATTTGACATATTTGGTGCGAGCCACCAGATCATGCATGTCATGGCGGTGTCGGCTGCCCTTGCGTTTGCGAAGGCTATGCTGCAGGCGTTTGACCTTCGCCACCAAAATCCCCAAATATGCATTGGCGACAAGTCTTATCTACACTTGGAATAGGATAGCCTTGCGACTATGAGGCCAGTCTGAAGTCGAGCCTCTTGTTCCCGGCATCTGGGTGGTCGGCAAGATAGACCAGCTTTTCCTCAGAAGTCATAGCGTTCCATTTCTGATCCCTCACGCGGTTCCGCCAGACATAATATCCCTTCGTGAGTCCGTAGAGCACTAAATTAAGACACAATATACCGATCAATATACTATTACCTCTCCTATACAGAGGTGCATCGTCTGCGCGGTAGATGTTCGAAGAGATGATTACCCCTGCTTGGAGGAACATATTATATAACGCCGTCGCTATCGTTCGTGAACGGACGCTATTTGAGTTTCGGGATACCCATCCCACTTGCACCGGGTGACCTATAGTGGATGAGTACATGCTATCACACTCTAAAAGGGGCTAGGTGACCAGGGGGCAAGTACCAAGGGGCGCTGCTAGCAATAATGAAATCATAGCCCATGTCAACCATTTTGACGTTTGTGTCGTGTCGACGACGCGTAAGTAGATCAGGAAAGGCAGGCACCAGAATTGGAAGATTGATGCGCATGCAGCAAGTTGCCCCGTGTACTCTGCTAGTGTAGCTAAGGCCATCATATTGAAGACTGTGCCACATATTAGCTGAGTCTGACTACTTCCAAAGAGTACTGAAAAGGTGTGTATTAGGTTAGGCTAGGTACTCTTGAGGACTAGGTATGGTATAGATAAGAGATTAGTTTGGAATGTATCAAAGCCGAGACCTCGTAAGGAAAGACTAAGATATTGCTGCGGCGAAAAGGTTGGGATGTTGAAAGTAAGGCCAATGCCGTAAAGTGGCCTAATCGGCGTTAATAGAGTTCTCAATCTAGGTACCAAGTTTTTGTGATCTTACCAGAGGTCAACATCTGTCAAGCTCTTCCATAGTAGTTTAGGAGTAACCGGCTCTCTGTTATGCATGCCGCCTTTACTCGGATCATCTCTTATAATTCGATTTACCATGATAGTTTCCTCACGAGGTGTGAACCAGCCTTCCTTTCCTCGTGACCAACTCGCCGTCTGGGTTGGGCCTGGCGGCATCATAACAAAAGACAAGAGCCCGACGGTCCCAGTGATAAGCCCCTTAATACGCATTAGCTACCTGTAACTTTGGTTCCCATCCAGTGTCGCTTAGCCTTACCTCAATCAAGAAAAGCCATCGCCAGCCCGAGCGACCCTCCACGCCACGCATATGAAGTAAACCAAACGCAATGACGGCGGCAAGGATATCGGCTATGAACATGCCGCTCCAAAAGAATCCCAGGCGGATGGTAAGTTCGTGATGCTTATAAAAGTACGAGAGGTAAAGAACGCACTAGGTACTCGGCGAAGTTATTCAGTAGAAGTACGTACTTGTACCTCGGAGATGAGGAGTAGGTAGGTAACATACCTCCGGAATAAAGCCACCTTGCAGGATAGCCAGCAAAGCACGACAGGTCAAAAACGACGCGCGGCCATTAAGCGCAAACTGGGACGCGGACACGGCTGAAAAGAGTATAATCTGGGATGGGACCCATCGATCCGGTCCGAGCCATTTTGCTAATAGCTGTGCTGGAAATTCCCCAGCTAAGAAGAACAGCGCGTAAAGTGTATTTCCCAAGTTATAGTCTTTGACAATATTAGCTGTGAAATGATCCATGGAGGGGCAATTTACCATTTGTGCTCAGGTTGAGATCGTTGAGAAAGTTGTCAGTCAACGATTGCGCCAGATTAGCTCTATCCAATTCCATTGCCGTAAACATCATCGCCGTCCAGGCCATGATGCGCCAATCGATCTTTCGAACAACTTTATTTTCCTCTTCCCATGTCCATCGCGCTCTCGGGTCAAATCGATGTAAGTTCTCCCTATATCGTATTAAGGGAAGGTTCTATTCAAAGGAGGGGAAATTCTTAATACCAGTTATCTCGAGGCTTATACTGGGCTGCGACATCTGGATTGTCATAAACACTTGGCTGCTACTATTAGTATTCGTGGTGACTTATTGCTGAGCGTCATTAATATTAGGTACCTACCTGAGTTGCAATATCGCCAAGGTCGTAATGCTTAGACTTCTGGAACCAAAACCTTCTTGTCGTCTCGGGCTTTCCCAACGGAGGAACTGCCTCTGCTATGCGCTCTTCATTGGGTCCAAGTTCAGCATCATCAGCTAAGGCTGCTTTCTCGGATATCTCAGTTGGTAGCACAGTGGCCATGATAGACTCGAGAATAAAAATTGGGCGTAATGAGTGAAAGAGTCAATGTAAGACGTGACATTAGGGCACGCCGATATTGCATTCTCATTAAGAACTACCTTCATTTTCATATGTACTCCAAGACTCCCATTACAACGTTGTCATTCAACTGGGTAACACAGCTCGGAGACAGACATCAGAGCTTCCGTTACCCTGTCTAGAGCCGAGGCTATGCCGTTCTAAGAGCCGACAGAAGTGTCAGAGTCTTCAATGTCAAAGGTAGTTGGATTTGTAAAATCCTCGAAAAGGGGCCCAGCGCATTCAACTCGCCGACTTCAACGACAAGCCAGATAAGAAGCCCTTACTTACGACAGGTGCCCAGCAAATGTTCGCTATTATTGTCTTGAAAGAAGCCTTTCAAGCTACCTATCTTGGGGGCTAGACGCATGTCTAGCCGTGTATCGCAGATTCGCAGTCAGCATCCTACCTTATGTGCTCAGAGTGAGAATGCGGGGTAAGATCCGGCAGAGAGGCAAATACCTGCAGGTTGGTTACCTCTTATGTATTTCCATGTTCGTTGATACGACAGTCCTAAAGGAGGGGCTACATGGCAGGGCCATGATGAATCTAGCAATATTGGATGATCTAGTTATGATGTATTTCGACTTACCATTACCGATTTCGATTTTTCCGGCATTAAATAGAGAAATTGATTTGGTAGACGAAAAAAAGGGGTCTGTTCGGTTAGTTACTAGTAGATTACCTTAGTTACTAGTAAATTACCCCTTTTATACTTAATATCATTAATAGCACTAGGATTCTGGTCATCTTCATCACTTAGGGACTTGATACAGAGTGCTCGGGCAACATAATCATGAAAATCTCGTATCCGCCTCTTCTTTTTGAGGGACTATGGTTATCCTACTGGGCCTATGGGACAGCAGCGTTTGAGCCAACTGACCAAAAGCCACTTGTGCTCTCAGATGGCTGGTCTGGGCAGCAAACACAATCACGACCTAATATTGTCTTCATCCTTACAGATGACCAAGACTTACATTTGAACTCAATTGACTATATGCCGTTCTTGAAAAAACATCTCATCGAGCATGGAACCTTCTACAAGAGACATTTCTGCACGACCGCGCTTTGCTGTCCCTCTCGAACGACTATATTCACTGGTAAAAATGCCCACAACACGAATGTCACCAATGTTGTCCCGCCATATGGTATGAGAAACTTAACATGAAGATATAAATACTTCTAAATGTTTTTTAGGTGGTTACCCTAAATTTGTTAGCCAGGGGTTGAACGACAAGTATCTACCAATATGGCTCCAGGAGTCAGGCTATGAAACGTATTATACCGGAAAGCTCTTCAACGCGCACTCGGTCGATAACTATCATTCACCTCACGCTGCTGGCTGGACCGCTTCCGTAAGTTTCGATGGTCCAGTGCTATAGTTAGGCCTTGTACTAAACTATGAACAGGACTTTCTATTGGATCCATTTACATATTGGTATATGAACAGCACGTATCAGAGGAACCGAGACGCGCCAGTGAGTTTTGAAGGGCAACATAGTGTTGACGTTCTTGCATCGAAAGCACTAGGATTACTGGACGAAGCATTCGAAACGGGGAAGCCATTCTTCCTTGGTGTCGCGCCAGTAAGTCCTCATGCGAACATATGGTCTCCGAATTTCAAGCATGGTGGTCATGGTGACCTAGAAACGGTCGAGTTCTCGCCTCCAGTACCAGCCGAGAGACATGCAAAACTATTTGAAGGTGTCAAAGTCCCACGTACTGAGAACTTCAACCCGGATAAACCATCAGGTGCTAGTTGGATTCGGAAGCTACCAAAGCAGAGCCAGGAAACAGTTGGCTATAACGACCATTTTTACCTCCAAAGACTCCGAACCCTCCAAAGCGTTGATGAAATCGTAGACTCACTCGTCCGGCGCCTAGACGACCTCAAAATTCTGGATAACACGTATATAGTCTACTCTACGGATAATGGTTATCACATTGGCCAGCATCGAATGCAACCTGCCAAGCAGTGCAGCTTCGAAGAAGACGTCAACATCCCGCTTATTATTCGGGGACCTGGGGTTCCGAATAACGTGACTAGCGACATTGTAACCACCCATACTGATTTGGCGCCTACCTTTCTGCAAATAGCAGGCGCTCCTATAAGAGACGATTTCGACGGACTCGCTATCCCGCTCACCAAGGAAGGGCTTGAGGAAGCTAGGGAAACACGCCATGAACATGCTTCGATAGAACACTGGGGATTCGCCTCGAATGAAGGTCAGGTGCTCGATTCATATCCGAGACTACACATGAACAACACGTACAAAGCTCTTCGCGTCATCGGCAAGACGTACAATCTACATTATCAGGTGTGGTGCAACAACGAGCGAGAGCTACACGACCTGACAACGGACCCGGGGCAAATGGCCAATCTCCTGCACCCGGACGAGAAAGCTCCCGAGATCATAGCTGGAGCGCCTCTCGACAAGGTAGTCGCCAGGCTGGACTCGCTGCTGTTCGTCTTGAAGTCGTGTAAAGCAGAGGCCTGCATCCATCCGTGGAAGGCACTTCACCCGGCTGGTAACGTGGCCAGCCTGAGAGACGCGCTTTCCCCGCGATTCGACGCCTTCTATGAAGATAAGGCAAGGAAAATCGAGTTTGACAGGTGTGAAATGGGTTTCATACTTGATGCAGAGGGGCCGCAGTTTGAAGATGGGAATGTCATCGGCGGTCTTGATCCGAACTGGCATGAATGGACTTAGTTCCTTGGTAGAGTGATATGAGGATGAATCCTGTAAAACAGCCAACGTTGATTTTGTCTAACGGATGGTTTATTCTTGAGTGTTTCCGAATTGCACTCCTAGGTATATAGACTAGGTACGGGGCATATGAAATGTGAGAAGTATACCTATACTTCAAATGATACCGCCCTGTTTATACCATAGTGGTGGCCAGTGCGAGAAGAAGTCCCAGCTTGTCGCAGTTGGCGTACCATCTATTCAGGTCCCGGCCGCGTTCTGAGTTATCGGGACTCAACCGAGCGTCTATTAGATCTCCAAAGGTCCGTAAAGAGGACTTATACTGCTTAAGATGGGATATGCGAGCGTTTTCCCACTCAGACCGTGTCTTAGCACTCCAGAGTGACTGGGAGCAAGGAAGCGGGAGTGCACGGTAATTGCTAATGGTGGGACACATGACGCCAAATTTAAGATCTATTACACGACTCAAGAGGAACCAAGTGAGAGCACACCTATATTATAGTAAGGAAACGCTAAGGCATATCTGGGAGTGTGGTGAGGTCAACGTACCTTCGACGTGACTCGATATAAACCCAGTCTTCCCATGCCACATCCGGGTTGTCGAGGTCGCTGACAGGGAACCATACCATCGCATCAAACCCACTGGCCCTTTGCCCATAAAACTATCGAAGTTAGCATTAATAAGCATGCGTCGAATTTGTAGACCACGAAGAAAAAAAACATACGTTAAACGTCATAAGCATCTGCAGACGAATTTCAGGAACTTCCGATGAGACATTATTATCTAAAGCATACATGAGCATGTATATAATCTGCGCGCGCATCGACGTAGCGAGATCATTGAACGGGCATGACGGTAGAATGCGGAGAAGCTCTCGATTTTCCTCATCTATCATAGACCATACGGATTCTTTCTCGGAACCTTGGCGCTTGTTGTATAAGTTTGCTATGGCTGAGCATTTCGCAATATCACGAGGGAGCTCCGGCAGAAACCAGTAGCCGTGACAATACCACGAGAAGCTCTCTCTATCGAGCATCGTAAGGGGTAGCCCTCGCATGGTCTCTAAGATGAATTTGGCACTATGTCTAGCAATGGGGTCAGCGCGAAGCTCGGTTAAGGACCGAGGCGATGTGGCAGGCAACTCAAGGCTCGTGGATGAGCCAAAAGGGTATGTGAGCGAATTGTATGGCACATTGCTGTAATCACCGGATGAGCCAGATACACTATGGCACCAGCTGCTTGTGTTAGTGCTAACGACACCAGAAGGAGTGTGAGGTGCCTCGTAGACACAATCTAGACCTCTAGCTTTGCATCGCGCGCACTCGGTCTCGAAACTACATTTTGCTTTTGCAGAGTGGCATTCCCTACAAGAGCGACGTCGCTTCTTGGGGCGATCCTGAGTTCTGCGGCAATAGGCAACGTGACGCTTGTAAGCAGATTCTAGGGGTATATGGTATATGGTCAGTCCCGTATTCCTATCGGAGTTAAAAAGGAGAAATCGGCTAACCTGTAGATATCGGCTTGTTGCATAAGTTGCAGAAGCGTATTGTATCTAGAGTTGTATCTAGAGTTGTAGCGTTAACTGACATGATCCAGGTGAAAATACCAGGTATCTAACGGGTTGACGATAGGATCAAGTAGTTGAATGAATAAATTAGGTTAGGTTAGAGGTAGGCTTCTGACAGATACAAACCGCTGAGCCAAAAGTGTATTTGTTGATAGCACAATTGTCTATCTGACCTATGAGTGGTATTACCACTCACAGCTTCCTTCTATGATCTCCCCCTTTTTTGATGATTAATTTGTCAGCATCTCCAGATTTTATCTCCACTTAATTCCGGTGTCTGGTTGGTGTTGGAATACGACGGCAAGCCTACACCATTACCAGGATTATTCTATGTAAAACACCCATTCTACGTTAGGTCCAGGTAACCATGGGGGGAAAAAGCAGTGGCTGCCGAATCTATTATTCATTATCTGGCTCTTGTTCGGCGGCATAAACAACGTAAAAGACAAGCATTCTAGAATCTACAAGCAGTGGGATATGTTGACAGTTGAACGCTCCACCATATCACATTCAACAACTAGGCAGTGAACCCATATTCTATGTTAACTATGGAATCCTCTATGTTCTGCTTCTTACCTTGTCTTTGTTGAGTCTTCTCCATGCCGTCTCATCGGCAATGCATCCATCCACTTGCTCGTCTTACTTTCTAACAACCAACTTCGACAACTAAGGCTAGATACTTAGGCAATCATAGGATATTGCGGCTGCCTGGCAAATCTGTTAATATAAAATACCTCATCGTAAAGTGATCTTCCTACTTGCCCGAAATAAAATACACCATCTAGTAAAATCAACTGCATCAAGTTCGACCCTCAACACGAAGATTACAGTGAACATAGCGCAGACATGGAAGGTACCTTGGAGTTATCTGAGATTCTTCAGCCGGGTTATCCTCAAGAGATGGTTCGCAGATATTATCAGGAACAATGGAGTGAATCCGCCATCATTGCAGGGGACTTGGAGGTATACGAAGCCTCAGATATTCCTATTTCTCATCGCCTGAGCATGGAAAGGGGCTTTTGGGAAACCCATTCCATTAGCATCCATGACCCGCTAATGAGAAAGAGTGAGCATACCAACCTCACTACCGTATACTTGACGTGGCCTCATTTGGAATCACGAAGCTAATTGCGATTACCTATTATTATAGTCCTCCGCGATGTTCTGGATGGATATCCAGGCCTTACCGTACTGAATACCTGTCGCTCGACTTTCTTCCCACCTTTTCAACCACTAGTGCACCGTTGGGACGAGCTGGAAGGATATGCTGCTGAAGCTAAAGCCGACCCCACTACCGAGCACGCATTCTTTGTGCTACGCTACGTTCTAAACTCAATCATCAACCATCCGCTTTCTCCATCCGTTAGGATTAAGGCGACCGGTAATATTGACTATGAAAGTATATGGTGCCTGTATGCCCCTGGTTCCCTAGTCGTGAGTAGGGAATGGGACGTCTATGTTGTCTCTCGTGTAACCAAATGCAGCAAACGAGATTCCTCACCGGGAACCACTGGATGTTGGACAATTGATGTAGAGCATGTGGATTGGAACGGCGATGAATGCGGCTACAGAAAATATTTTTTCGAAATCGAAAAATTCAAGGGTTATTGCCGAGTCACAGGATTAGATATGTTCCCACTCTCATATGCAGAAGATGAGCCCGGGCTGAGAGCAGCACTGATCGAGAAGGGCCGTAAGTTTGAGCAACTCCGAGGCTACAAAATCGTTGCCTGTTGCGATGGATGCTGGATATGGGATAATACCTGTAAGAATTGGCGACTACAACCCGTGAGTCTTATACTACCTCCTATATATCAATCAAACTCAATTGCTTACCTATGTTCTTCATAAAGCCTGGGTCAAGGGTTTGTATTGACGCACTTGCGTACTATCACGGCAGATTATCCGATAAGCCTAAATTACGACCACTCCACGATGACGAAGAAGACCAAGCAGATAGCATAGAGCAAATGGTTGATGGGTCCCAAACCATACTAGAGTCTTCGCCAACTCCTCCTGCGACTGATGTGGTGCCAACATATCCATCTATGAGAAAAGAGGAACGGCGTCCCTTGACTGATGAGCAGCGACTCTTGATACATCCTTGGCTTCGAGTTTTTGATTTCCAAACAAAAACATGGTGCAAGATTTTGATCGATAACGTGAGGGAGCTAATTTGGGACGACCACGCCTTCGAGAAACTCCTTTTGCCCAGACACGAGAGAGAAGTACTGCTAAACTTCGTTAAAGGGAAGCTCTTGTCTAGGGACTCGGTGCTAGGCGACCTTAACGGGAAAAAGGATCGCCGTTTTACTTGCCTCATGCTCGGGCCTCCGGGAGTCGGGAAGAAGTTCGCAGCTAAGGCGGTCGCCGAAAAAGTAAGGCTTCCCGTATATTCCATATGTGTCTCCGACTACCAGAATAGTCACTGCGATTCAGAGGCGGACTTGAAACAGGCGGTGGATCGCTGCCACCTGCTGAATGGTATTCTCCTCCTGACAGAGGCGGACATGCTCCTTAATACCCAGAAAAACAACCCCGAAGAGCAGCAACAAGCGGCCGCTCTACTTCAAGCACTGGAAAGATTCACAGGTATCCTACTCCTCACTGCCAGAGAAGCCAGCAGCATTGACCCAGCCTTCCAAATTGATCTCTTCCTAGCCTTCGGCCCCCTCACCGCCCAGATGCGTCGCCAAATCTGGCAGAGCTCCATCGAGAACGCGGGGGAGGATAGCTCCATATGCAGTTCCGAGAATACAGACGAGCTTCTCTACGAGCTATCGAAATTCGATCTGAACGGACACGAGATCGAGGGCCTTGTCAAAAGTGTCCAGATCCTTGCGCTGGGGAGCGAAGACAGCGGTCGGAAGGTATCGAAAGATACGCTGTGTCTCCTCGCGAAGAATCGTATCTTGTCCCTGAGGCCCCCGAGTGGGAATCCACTACCTATCTCCAGAGCGCGTTTCCCGCAGCTTGAAGAAGCAAGTTCCCCAAGTAACCAGCGGAGAGCATCGAGTGAGCCCTGGAAAGGTGTTTAGGTAAACGATACAGATCAAATCATCTCCCTTCCATGATCAAGGGTAACTGGCAGGCTTGGCTTGCAGTGTAGCATCGTCGAAATAAGTCCACTTCCTACTAATGGATTCGGTGGGAAACTAAGGTACCTATCCATGAATGGCTTTCTGCCAGGGATAGAGGTTCATTGGCTATTTAAGGGGTAGTAAGCTCCCTTGTAAGAGAACATAAATTCAGGCATTACTAGATTAGCAGAATAGACTGTATGTACGATCCTTGACATTCAATCAGGTACATGGCTATAACTGGCGTTTGGTAGCAGAGATGTTCCAGATCCTCTTGGTAACGTGACTCATTTGGGTATGAGGTACTTAAACTTTGGGATGAAAGAATAAGCAGAGCGGTGGAGTTTTAGACACCAAGAACGATGGATATATTAGTAATTATGAATGATTAACCGAAAATGCGTTCCCAATTGGGTATGTTTCACTCCAAGTTGGGGGGGGGGGGGGGGGGGGGGGGGGGGGGGGGGGGGGGGGGGGGGGGGCGCGGGGGGGGGGGGGGGGGGCGGGGGGGGGGGAGGGGGGGGGGGA